TCCGTCCAACTCGCCGCCAATGCACCACAGGTCGTTGCCATAGCGCACCGATGCAAACCTAGCAAAATATCATCTCCATCTTTTTTTAACCCTTGCGGATCCGCAAATCAGAAATAATCCTTCAACAACAAAATTGCATACCAATGTCTGGCACGTTGGAGCTTTGCGATCTTCATCCAGCGAATTCCTCCCTCCCTAAAAACTGAATTAGCCGAGAGCAGAGCTCGGTAACCTGTGTAGAAAACCTGAGTCAGGCTCCTGAAGAGGCTATAATGAAAAACCGCCTAGCGGCTTTTTTTAATAACGAAGCCGCAAAGCGGCTTCGCCATAGTTACAATTTCAATCAATTTTATATTCTAGCGGAACCGCCTTGCGACCGAGAAAGACCATAGGTTCTAAAAAATTCTAAGAAGATTGACTTACGATAGCATAAGAATATTATCCGTGGCTCCAATCGACATCCATCCGCCGAGAAGGTAGATCGACTCGCCAATCGCCACGGCAGCCATATCTTCCAGAACATACGGCAAACTTGGTCTGAAAAGAACATGTTGACTTTTCTCAAATTTTACTGTCTAAAAACGTACCCTCACTTCTTTTTTGCCAACAAAGCAAAAACTCGAGAGAGCGCGTAAAAAAGTGGATTATTTAAGCTTCTAATTTCGAACTTTTAACTTTAAAAGCAATTTATTATTTACCCTTCCGCCCAAAATAGTTCGTGGGATGGAATTTGCTCAACAGAACGCGTGCCAGATCCGCCGATGACGACTATTCCGCGGCTCGGCGTAGCAACCATTGCTCGTTACTTGTTTATCAAACAGAACGGACAGTTTGGATTCATTTTTCTTCGAAGAACTTTTCTTCAATAAAGGAGAGATTCTTTCTAAACAAGTTCCTGATCTTGAACGCATTCTCCACATGGGCGGCGCTTGTTGCCAGGGCGCGGAGCCAATATGCCCTGGCTTCATCACTTCGCAGCTTGTTTCCGGCCCACAAGCCCAAATGTACCCATTCCAGGCGGTGCACACGTGATTCGATCTACGTATTTTTGAAGAGATTGGGATATTCGAGCTACGGTACCTCTCCTTGATCATATCGTGCGCATCTACCCAGAGCTTTTTCTTCGGAATTAGGCGCAGAACGGAATTTGTCCGCACTTGGGTGCTTCCTTGTACACTTGGCGACAGGTTGCGAAAACACAAGAAAAACAACTACACAAGGAAAATGGCCCTAGAACATTATTTACGGAAAAATTGCAGAATTTATCAAAAATTCACTGCAATTCGCAAACGGATATAAAAGCGTCTACCCGGATAATCAGCATGGGAACGGTCAGATTTGACGCGTGAAACTACTCCGTCAATTTGCTTTCTCAACCCGGGTTTCCTTTGGTATCGATTCGTCGCCCTGCCAATAATGCCTCCCATGACGTAGACGGACCCAGACAGCGTTACGGAACTTCATCGGGAGATCAAGAATATTGAACTCAATAATTAAAAAAAGGCGTCAAGAAAAATCAATTTTTCTGTCTGGCATTACGACAGGAAACTTGAATATTGCAGAAGAATTCGAGGAAAAAAAATTATTTTGCATTTTTTTTCTTGACAAAAAGTTATATTGAGTTCAATTTTGATCCCCTTTACAATGATGATACCTCTCCTCTGGTAGCTGAGCATATTCTTCAGCGAAGAAGTGAGCAGTAGTCGTGAAGTTCTCCCACCTGTCGTATGGAGTGATTTTTGATGTCTCTTGCAGATGGTTTTTGAAATTTCAAATTACACTCTGCGGAACACGTTACCGTGATTCATAATAAAGCGAAGCATCATGCTTTTTCTTCTTTCTAATCGTGAACTTGGAACTAGCCCGATTAATTAAGCCGCTGTAATTATAATAATAAATTTGAACCTTTTCGGGTGAACTTGGACACGTAGAAAATCCGACTTACGATCCTAGAATTCAAACAAAAAGAACTCAAAACCAGCCTGAAAATGGGTTTGGCAACCTGTGGAGAAACCTGAGTCAGGTTTTGAAACGCCTAAATCGAAAGCCGCGTAGCGGCTTTTAAAACGAAGCCGCAAAGCGAAGACATAGATTGAAATGGTAATACTGCGGTCATTTTGCGGCTTCGTCTGAAAAGTAGCCGCTACGCGGCTTTATATCGAAGCTTTTCAGAACCTAACTCAACTTTTCCATGGTTGCCGAGCCCAGGCCTGAAAGTCCAATGCCGCCAATAATTCCAATCGTTGGCCCTTCTGGAGGAGCTTCTGTTGTCGTGGTGGTAGTAGTCGTCGTCGTTGTAGTCGTCGTCGTGGTCGTTTCAGTTATCGTCGTGACGTTGAGCATGCTTTTGTTGATGTTTGAAAATAATTATCCTAGATTGCAAATAAGCGAGTTCAAACAACGTCCCTCCAAATGGCGTTGATCTGACCGGCTTGACTGTTGATCACCGCGACCAAATCTTTTTGGGGAATCACTCAAGACACAAAGAGCATTACTGACTCAATCCTTTTTAATTGTGACGTTTCGCTGTTTTAAAATCTCATCAGATTTTTCTAGCAATTATAAAACTTGCATTAGACCTTTTTTCTTTAAAATGAGTGAATCTTTTCCTTCAACGACAATTTTAAAAGCATCTTCTTGCGCTTGAACCCTTTTCTTCAACTTTTTAACCTGTCGCCTAAAAACCTCAAGGTCCAAATTAAACAATGAACTTGTTCTGTTGATGAATTACCGTAGTCTTGCTTCACCAGTTAGACGCCCCGTACGTCGCCGCGCTTGTCCTCAAAAATTATTTATTGACCGCAAAAATAATCAAAACTTCTAATAAAAAATGAATAAAATTATCCTCAAAGGCCTCAAACGTGATCCCCTTTGTCTCCAGAAAAGAGAACATTTCCGAAGTTTCCGATTTGAAAGGTTTCCTTGTAATTAATCCGACATTTAAAAAGCGCCCAAAGGGTACTTTTGATTTCCTTTGAAAAGATTTGAAGGGTCAATAATTCTTCTGTCCGCTGCGCGCCACACACATGGTGTGATTCGCCAGTGATTTACATAATCGTGCTTGTCACTTTGGACACGTTATAAAACCTCGATTTACTTTCATCGCCTCTACACTTTATTTCTTGATCTCGCCGCGCGCATCCGTCAAAATTTTGGCAAAATCGAGGAAGCTAAAAGTTCGCAAAGGTTCAACCTTTTTTCCAGGGCGATAGAAGATCTCCTCATTTGAATAAAAAGGTTGCCTCTTGACCTTTGCCCCTTTTTTGTTTCTTTACATTCTGGTGAACAGTCACTGATAAGGATAGCTACGAAAGATTATTTTATCGGCGACATTCTAGAGCAGCCACGAGTGAGTGCCACAACGTGACGGGAATTCAAAAAGACGGAAACATTCACGATCAAGGAAATCCGAAACAATACTAGTTCCGTGTTTCATTTATTGAGAAAAAAAAAATTAAAAAAGATAGTTCAAGTCAACTGAATCTTTCTTCTTTATGAACATTTCTGAATATGATTTTAAAATATATAATTCTTCAAATCGAACTTTAAACCAGTGTTTGAAAAAAGCCTGAGAATCGAATGGTCGGACGAGCGCGGGCGCGAAGGGTCCGATTTTTTGGAAGGGCGGATGGGAGCGGGCATGTAAAGGCCAGATTTTCGGATGGGCGGATGTGCGCGGGCACCCTCCCGCGCCCGCCCGCTCACCCTCCCGGGGCGCTAAATTCTACTCAAAGAAAACCAACCGAAAGAAACGTAAAAATAAACCAAAACCGACCAAAACAGAGTTGGAAAAAACGGACGTATTCTACACAGAAAAGGGACCTATTTTACATAGAATACGGACTTATTTTACACAGATCATAAACGATTTTCTATTTTTCTGTGTAAAATAAGTCCCAATCTTATGTAAAATAAGTCCTTGTTCTGTGTAAAATGAGTCCATTTTACTCGATAATACCCGGTCCGATCACATGCACTCACGGGCAAGGGGCGAGCATGGGAGGGGAGGGCGGGCGAGCGGGGAGCATGAGCGGTACGTGCGCGTGCGAGCAGTATGAGCCCTGATTTTTTGACGGGCGGATGGGCAGGGGCAAAATTTGTCAAAATTTTAGGTGGTCGGATGGACGAGCGCGCCCGCCCGCGCCCCGCTCGCCCGCTCGCAGCCCGCGCACATTCTTTTTTCAAACACTGCTTTAAACGATCCATAAATAAACTTACTTGTACTGTTATCACTATCTCTGTCTGCCAGAACGAAGAAAAATAACGCCGCAGACAAAAATATTCTCATCCTTGATTTCAATTCTTCCTTTCTTTTTTATTCTCTTCTGTTTTTGAGCTTTCTCTAGTTATAGATTGGCAAAATAATTTCAGAATCTTCTGTTGGATATTCCTCTGAATGATAGTAACTGGATCAACAGCGAGCAGGGTTCACTCCTTGGCTTAACCCGAAATGGTCGACACCTTCTCGGGTCAACTCTTCACTTGACACGACTTTGATCTGATGGAACGAAGATTTATGTCTCATCAAAATGCTTTGTCGAAACTAACTTTGCAATTAACAATTGTTTCTCTATTTCTTCGAAAAAAAGAAGATAGGAGCTGAACCCAGCCTTGAACCCGCTTTTTCCACGGAAAGCAATTTGAGGTTATCTCATGGACGAACTGAAATGACTAATTCAAGGTTTTAAAACATTTTAAAGCGAACACAGATTCCGGAAGTGTCTTGAAAGAACGTCGTAAATTTGGTGGTGACAGGCTGTTAATCGTTTTCGGCGAATTCTGATCGTAACAAATTATGAATCCGGTATAAGATCATATATTTATTCAAAGAATACATATCTATCTTTTACGTTCTTTAGCATGAGTGTAATATAGCTAGGATAAACTGAATGACATTCTGGTTAATCTTCTGACATTATCGTTACGCCTGAGTTCCTCCACTCTCCCCGTGCTTTCTGCTTTTTTCCATTATTAAAAGAGATAGAGAGAGAGAGAGAAAGATGAAGCTTCATAGCGCGCTTTTGGCGTCTTCTTTAGTTGGAGCTCAAAAATTGAGCTTCGACTCTTCCAATTATGGATTCGACGACTACATGAGCAGCTTCGGTAATGGCATGCTCGACTTCAGTTCTTACTGCAAAGCTGATAATTACGACCAGGATCCAGTTAACATCGCTCTCAACTACGTTCGTGGTGTTTTTGAGATGCTGGAACAGCCGGAATTCGCGATTTCGAAGCTCTTTGACGATCGGAGATTCACGGAACTCTCTCTGACTGATCTTTTGAAGATAACTGAAGGTTTTGTTCTTTTATTGATAGAATTATAATTTCATAAGTCCTTATGGAAAACTTTGACAAGAATTGGTGCAACAGGATCGTCACTGCTGTCATGGAGGCCGGGTTTGATATCGGAAAAATCGTCAAAGCTAGCTCTGGCCAGACAGTTAGAATTCTGGAGACTCTTGGGTAAGTCGTCTAAAACTTCAGTACAAGATTTGTTATTGCCCTCAGAACCAATGCAGAGCTTCAAAATCTCCTTCACTTCGTCGATGCCAACAGAGATTATTTGGTAAGCTTACTGGTATTTGGAGATCGTTAAATTTTCTAACCGTTAGCTCAAATTGGGTCCCATCTTTGAACGATCTTCGGCTGGTTGGGCAACAGTTGAGGAAATCCTTAGCAACATGGATACAAATCCTCAGATGTCATCCTTAAAATCTCTTCCATCATTCTACGATGATGAAATTGATCGGTCTTGCGCTGTTATGGAGGATGCTGAGATGTACATCAACTTTGTAAAACCACTTGCAGTTGGTTTGATTGAGGATCTTCTTGAAGGCTTCAGGTAAAGAATTAATGATTTATTTACTTACTTTGTCGAAAATTCAGAGGCCAAGAAAACCTCCTTAGCGTTGGCAAGATGATTGAGTTTACTTACCGAGTGAACAAGCATCTCCTTTTCGACGAGCAAGCCTGCACCAGATTCATCCAAGACATGTCTGATCTTCTTGCTCCATTGATGCAACTTCCCTTTGCTGCTGATTACTCCAGCTATGGCTCGAGCTACAACAGCGGCTACGAAATGATGGCTGGAGCAGCTATGGATCCCTTGACACAAATGTTCACAATGGTCCAATCTGGTGCCATTAGCCAGATCATCCAAAACTTGGATATTAAAAAGATCAACGACACAGTCTTTGAATTTCTTCGCTCCGAAATCCCATCTGCCAGAGAACAATCACTTGTTTCTGAAGCTCTGCAAGCGGACAAAACCTTTGCGATTTTGGCTAAAGTTGCTCCTAAAATGATTCAAACCTTCGTTGACAATGCTGCTCCACTGATGAAAGCTCTTGGAATTGAAGATGGTCAGATTATGGGTAGGTTTTTTAATATCTAGGGTAGAGCTTCAAACATTTAGACATCATCTCGATGCTTGGCAACAATAATCAAATGATGAACTTTGGCGATTCTACTTTCGCCAACTACGGGTCTGATCATTAATCATTTTCTTTGTGAATACTTCTTCAGAAAATTTCAACCGCGAGACTTCGGGCGAACCTTCGGCGAATACTACCGAAAGTAGATAAAATCGACAAGTCTTAGATTCATTTCTCCACCCTTCTTTACTTTTCTTGCTCAATAAAATAACTGTAGCAAATAACAAAACTTGAAACCATGAAACTAAGATGAATTATTTTATGATTAGCGTGTCTTGATAATTTATTTAACAGAAGAAGAAGGCACCCGAATGTCATTGTCACTAACACTATTCATCGGGGACAAAATCACCCGTCGCATTGAGGTGTTTTTCGTATCGCTTAAAAATGCACTTGAATCAATTATTGACCCGTCAAAGATCATTTTCGGCAAATGCTTACGATTTTGAATGACGCTTGGATCCAAGCACGTAGTAATAAATAACTGGATTGAACGCTTAGAATGGTTTTATATCTAAATCGAATTCTTATAGCATTATTGCATAGAATGATATTTGAAGAGAAAGATTAATTGAAACCAAATCCTGAGTTGATCCAACCAAGCCAGATTGAAAACTCTTGGAGAACTCGGCCGACCTCCTCGGTAAACCAGCCCGGATAATAGCTCTTCAGAGGGTTTATACACGCAAATGGGAACCAGCAAACCAAGAACGATATACAGACAAGCAAGCAAGTCCTAGACGCGTTAAAAGCCCCTCAAAAGACAAAGAAGAATACCTCAATAGTCTCGTCGCATTCACAGAAGTCGACGAAGTGTATTTTACACTGGTAGTTGGGGTCTGAGCTGGATCAGGAGCAACCATCGGTGTGCCAGAATTTACTGTGCTTGCGTTCGAAGCACAGTCGTTCAGAGGAAATGGTGATTTCTTGACGCTGGGCGACTTCGCTAATGGACTTTTTGCCGCGTTCATCCTCTCAGATAATGTTCGGTACACTGAACTCTGATTATTAGCGGCTATTTCTGATCAATGCAGAACTTCGCGAATAGAATGGTGAACACGGCGGATTAAATTGAAAAAAGAATCAAAACGAGGAGACAGCAGATTATTACTGCTGATCAGAGCATCAAAGCCGTTTATTTTGCGCTAATTGTGAACTCACGGGAATATGCCGGTGACATCTCGTGCTGTTTGTTGGCTTATCTTTTGTCAGAGAACGAATTCGCTTTTAATATTTTATGATTGAATAATAATGATGGGATGCTGATGGTAATTCTTTGTTTTCTTTCAGAACCTAAAGTTAGGGTCTTTTAAATATTTTGTATAAATATCAAATGAATCATTATTTCAGCAAAAAAATAAGCCATTTCCTTATTAGATTGTAGAGCGCGCAGCTGATCAGATGAGACGTGTCCCGACCTAAAGAAACGTTTCATGGATTTATCCTTTTCTTCCTTGTCATATGAGATTAAATACTGACTCGTATAGTTTATAGACTACGCAGTAAAATCCTTTATAAAAGAGGCTTACCGTTTTAAAGCATTTGAACCCGCTTGATAGAGTATGCAAGTGCAGCAAAGGATCTAAAGTGGGGATAATGCTTATATTTTTTGGAGCGAGGGCTATTTTAAGGTTAATCCCTCTCAAAAGTATAGGAAGGTAAAATGATATGGTCGAACTCCAGACGGCAAAAGTTGGATCCATCTTCAAGTCGCATATGGAATACATTTTTGACGTTCTTGAATTGACGCTTGATTCGAGTTGTTCTCTGTAACGATTTTGAAGTCTGAAAACATTCACTTTTCAAAGAGATCGAAATTCTTTACTCTTTAGTAGCATTTGCGTCTCCAGAAGAAAAATCGGAAATTTCCACTTCGGGTTCGTATGATTTTTCGTCGTGAATGAAAAAGGCCCAGCTTCCAACGACAATTGAACTTTGTTAAGGAATTACCAAGTTTATTTTTAAGCTTCTCTGATGTTTTCTGATATTGATTAAACCTTTCCTGCACCAAATAGTGATTAAAAAGCGTGTGGCAGTATTTGAGCTTCTAAAATTGATCAAATCAAGTTTAAGTCTCTAGTTATAAGTAGACTGAACCTGTATTTGAGATGAGAAAGTGGTGAAAAACATGCGAGGCTTCTGTCGAAACTTATTAGCAGAATTGAAAGAATTGAAGCTGTACAGAAAACGATGTCAAGCGAGTTCCAGACTCGGCAGAGTAGCACGGGCACTTCAAGTTCACATGCTCGCCATAGCCCTAAAGGTCGAGCAATTACCGAAGAAAGTCTCTTCACAAGATTGAGTCTAAGAATAATCAAGGAAGTCTAATTCGATTTCATTATTTCATGTCTTTTTCTATCGAATCACATGAATATATTTATACATATTTGTTTTGTTATTATTTTTAGATTCTAATTTCTTGGATATTTTCATGGCAAACCGCCTGTTTTATAAAAAAAAATAGACCCGCTTGCAAGAACACGTCACGTGGGTAACCATCTTTTTAGTGTCTATTTGACCCTCTTACTGTATTTTTGGCGGGTTATATATTTACTCATCCCTCTTTCGGTCGAGAGATAAGCCCTACCTATTGGCATGATGGTGGCCCCAATAAAGAAATCTGCAATGGAGAGGGAGAAAATAAAGACTTCTGGCGGCCTGTACATTTTTCGTCTGATGAAGTAGATCATGAACATAAAGTTGATTACACAAATCCATACTATAAGCTTTTACAGGTTCCATCTGATGCCTTTTTTTGCCCTTAGACGTTCAATTTTGGCAAATAATTTTCATGAAATTTGAAGATTTTACTCTTTTTGTAGAACCTTGTCATAGACAAACAACTAAGAATTATAAAATAAATCATCGTCTTCGATTATTTTTGCTCTTCATATTAAATCTCTTTTCGAAGATATCAAAAAATCTCTCTTCTTTTTTTTTAGCGACTCAGATTTAGTTTAAAATTGAAGGATTCGGAAAAGAAAAATGAGCTGCAGAAAAAAACTTGAAAAGAAGAGGGCGAAAGGGCGCCTCGGAGGAGGGTATTTATGAGCACAGATGACGACCAGGGGTGCAAGAATGAGCATTCCTCGTTCATCGAGCAATTATCTTCTAATCGCTTTGGAAATTATTCATTAAGTTCGAGATGCACAGTAGATTTCGTGTTAGAATTTGTGGAGAAAATCAGACTCTGTCTATATTCTGCTTGAACTTTTTCAACTTGGGAAAATGTACGTCAAAATGCTGTCAGATCAAAAACTGAAGACCACTAAAAAAACTCTCTTGGGAGGGATTTATTTGAGAATGTTTATTATAAAAGTCTTTCTTTGAAGGAAAGTTAGGCACTAAAGCATGGGTGATCTTCTGGAAGATTGTAGGGCCAGTCGCAAATGAAATATCGCTGGTTCCACACAAGTCCACCAGCACAATCGAATCCATCTCCGAAAAGGCCTTGGTCCCAGCAGACGATGTACTAGAATGAATTTAACGATCATGAACTTGAATTAAGGATTTTTTACCTTGGAGCACTCATCAGGATACGGATAGAAGCCGTCCAAGCAGTGTCCGGCAGGATCTTCAAAATCAGTGTCTTTGCAGCCGCTAGCGCAGAATTCCATAGCGACAGGATCGTGGGGGAACTTGAAAAATGATTTGATCAGATCATGGTGGAAAAGGTTCGAATTGGCATGTTAGTTCGGTCGAAAGAAGGTAGTTTGTTCTTGAGATTTTGATCTTAGACGATTTTCGGATAAGAAAAATTTCCAATAAAAGGGCGAAAAGTGCCCAAAAAAGTACAAATTGTCGTGAAAATGATTTTAATGAATGTGAAATGAAGACTTATCACGTATCAGACCCTATGAACTTTATTTTTCTAAGAAATAAAAAAGAAAAATTCTTAATAAAGGCATCAATAAATACTCACAGGATTCTCCGTGGTGGTTTCGATAACAGCTTCTGTAGTGAAAACTTCTTGAGCAAAAGCAGCGCATCCAAAAAGAGCAAAAACCTTCATTTCCAAAAAATTATAATATCCACTTTTTCATTATTAATTTCTCAAAACGCCGTTCTCTGACCACGTGCGTAATTCTCATAAAAGATTAGAGAATCTGTCGAATTACCGTACCAGGGTTCACTTTATTATATTTGAACTTTTTGCAGACTGAAGAATTCCCACAGAAATAAAGCTTTGTTTTGCAGGTTTACACCATTTATCTGTCTAGTTTTGAGCAGTAAGATAGATTGGTTTATTTTATAATCCAGAGCATGTCGTGAGACCCTAGTTTGTGTTTGAAATATTATTATCTTTTGAATGAATATTATTTAGTCTAAAAATTAACATTTCAAACTGTTCCTCAGAGTATAATGCCGCAAAGTCAATCTCGTCGCCATCAATTTTGAGATCGCTCATGCATCCATAAAAGCCCTGTTCGCCATCTGCGTTCCCCAAGTACCCATAAAGATCGTGATCGAAACCTCGGAAGAGTCCACGTGACTGGGCTCGATAGGACTCATCGTTGACTGTCAAAGTGGCTTCTCTGTCGCATCGCCGAAGACTTCAAATCAATTAATTATTTTGCCATTATAAAATTGCAGCACCTGATTGAGCTCCAAACGCCAGTTCTGATCATGTGACTTTCTGTCTTTCCTCGACCACTCCCGAGATCGTAGTCCAAATGAATTATGCCTCCTTTCATGAAAAGTCGCAGAAAGTCAACATTGTTGCTTCCGGTTATTAGCAGCAAAACTCCATCGTAATATTGCGGCTTGATGTTGAAGCTGATATCGACGCATTCATACCAAGTTCGAGGTACGGAAAATCGAGCGACGGAGTAAGGAGTATGCGTGAATTCCATCGCCTGATTATATAAAAAAGAGCAATCCAATTGTCAGTTACCTGGGTGAAAACAGACACTGTCGATTTCGTAAAATCATCGCCACTAAAGCAGGAATATTCTCCAGCATCATCTTTGAAAATCTTCTTAAAAATCAGCGTTCCATTTCTATTGAAAACTCTGTCTTCTGGATCAAATGCTGCCGGAGGACGGTAAGGAATTTCCTCCCCAACAGGGCTTAGCCAAGTTCTTGCTCCTCCTGCGTGACACTGAATTTCCAGTCGGGATCCTGAAGGAACAGATGATTTGACCGGATCAACCCAGACTGGTTCAACATCGAGGTCGAGAACTCTCTCTGTTCCGCCGATCGCATTTTTAGCTGTGCATTTTGCTACCATGCCAGGTCTATTTTTGTGCTACGAACAAACTGTTTTTTCTCAAAAAAATAAGTGACATAAGGTCGACTGTATCGAGCAGACATTCCTTGTGACAGAAATTAAGAGGCTTACTTCGCCCAGTCCTTCTGCTTTGAAATTTCCAACCTCGAGGAAAACCTTCGGCGGAGGATTACCCTCAGATTTACAGGTGATCTCTAGTTCAGAGTCTACTCGCGCTTGGCTGAGTTTCTCGATGGCAACAGTTGGCACGGCGAGGACAGAAATATGAGTCTGAGACGAGAATTCGCCATTTACACATTTCCATGTTCCACTATCTTCTGGCTCCAGATTCTCCAATTTTAGCATGTTGCCTACATGCTCGAGTGTTCTATTATTGAAGATCCATTTTGTCAAATTATCGCCTTCACTTCTCAAGTCACATCTGAACGAAACACCTTCTCCAGCCTTGAAGACAGTGCCAGCGGGCTCCGTTACCAAGGTCAAAACATCCATAGGTTCGAGGAGGAAGATTTTTTCAGCAAATCCGACAGGATTTTTTGCGATGCACGTGATGTTAATCGGCTGTTGTCCTTCGTATATGACATGAGCAGAGTTTATCTGGGTTTTTGTTATCTCCGAGGGCTGAAAATAATTAGAAAAACAATGATATATTATTCATTTGAAATCGTTCTTTTGTCAACCCTTCCTGTATCTCCTCACTCGCTATCCAAGTGAAAGTTAAATCCGATCCTTTTTCAACTTGGCATTCCAAATTCACTTCCGTTTGATTCATCTGAACAACTTCAAGTTGCGCCAAAATGACTGGTTCTTCGTAGACAAAGATCTCCACCGACTTATTGTTGCCTCCACTTGAACAGAAATAGACTCCAGTATCTTCAAGTCTGACATCAGTAAGCTCAAGCAGCGCGTCAGAATTTTCAATGACTCTAATACTGTTTTCTGCGGCAAAATGTGTCCATGTCACGGTTGCATTTGATTTATCCAGTTCACAAACGACAGTGACGCTTTCATTTACTCTGACGTACTCAGATGACGCGTGAATGCTGAGTACTTCTGCTGCTTTTTGAAACTCAGCAGCTTTGAGCTTTGCTTCGGCTTCTTGAATTGCTTCGTATAAAAGAGAAATTTCTTTCAAAGGAATAGAAGGGCCAAATTGATTGCCAAAAGCATTGTAGCCGAAACATGTAGCCTCGTCCATTTCACCTAGCTCAATTAGCGCTACGGGATGATCTTGACCCCATTCTTCACCATCTTTCTTGAAAATCCAGGTTGGGAGGCCGTTTTCGACGTTGCAAGTTATGTTGATTGGGAATGTGGCGATATCTTCTGGAGAAGGGTCGATGCTGACAGTCGGAAGGATTCCAATATGAACAGTTATTGGTAAACTCGTCGCGTTCCCATATTTATTAGAAGCTGTGCATTTATAAGATCCAGAATCTTCGTCTGTCAAATCATCAAAAGCTAATTCAGCGCCAATTTCTTCCAATTCTACATCATCTTTGGACCAGTGATAATTGACGTCAATTCCTAGCGCTGAGCAAGTAATAGACAAGTTGCTCCCTACTCTTGCATAAAGATCGGGCTGTTCGATTCTCACATTATGCGGTAGGCTGGAGCTTGGAATACTCGCAATTTCAATAATTTTCGAGAGACGCGTTCCAAACTCGTTTCGCGCTCCGCATTGAACAGCTTTCCATAGACTGTAGCCAACAGTAACCTCGTCAGACTGGATTTCTCGTGGGAGCTCGTCTGTTGAGTTTAGATAAACTCGCCAGAACACGTCCCCGTCTTTCGAGAAACAGTATATTTTCTCCAACTTTGAACCTTCAACGAACTCCAAGAGGCTGTCTTCGGTCGATGTCCTCAAAAATGGAGCCTCTCCAACTGTCAATTCGTGGATTCTGGATGTTTGCAGTCCATCCAAGTCGCTGACAATACACGTCAAATTGATCGTACTTTCTGGGTAGAAAGACAGCTGCGCGTCTGTTGAGATATTGTTGTTTTGTCCGTCCATCCACCGAAAGTTCAGTCCATTACCCGTCGCCTTGCACTCAAAATTTATCGGCTGTCCGATTTGAGCACTATCTGGACCGATTATCTGCACATTCTGTGGCCCAATCGGACCAATTTTCTTGTTGATATTAGCCCAGCTAAATAATCATTAAAGCTTTATAAATATGACAGAATAGAAAAAGAACACGATTGGAGTTCAGACGCACAGATTTGAACCTTACAAAGTTCACTGAACTGTCAGTTCAATCAAGTACCGCATAAATCCAGTTTCCATGAAAAATGATTGCTAAACAAACCTGACAAAGCTGACATCTGTCTGATTGGTGACAGCTCGGCATACGAATAAACCAGCACGGTTGATGCTCACCCGAGGAGAGTGCGAAAACACGTGCTGGTTGATACTCCAGATAATCGGGAACTGGCTTTTGCAGTTGAGACTTTTGAAGAATTATAGAAATGAAATTTTTTCAAGCCTTGAAGTTTTCAAGGTCTATCTTAGCAAAGAAAGCATAGTCTTCCTTGATTTCATTTTGAAATTCTGGCTTGTTGGGAAAGAAGGAATTGACATTGTTCTGTTAGAAATATTGTGCCCGTTGTGGACAATAACTGGACTTCTACCTGGTGCATCTATAAATTTTCCATGTTATCATTTCTGGTGACCTTTAAATGCTCAATCGCAAATTGATAGTTCATTTGAGATCGTAAATGAATAGATCGGATTCGCTTCAATTTATTATTTTTGTGGCATTATGGGCAGGTGTCAGAATATACAAATAATATTTTGCAGAAATGAAAGTTCCGAGAGAGAGAGGAGACTGGGCAGAATATACATACATGATGAATGTACATACTTTGCGAGTGTTGATGACGATCAGTTAATATGCGAAATGTACAGAGATGATGATTTTTACAAAATTGAATTTTGAAATAAAATAGTTTAAAATTGAACTAATGAAGGTGGCGATGCTTCTTTTGCAATGACTTTAGTTACCTCCAATGACCACCAATTCGATGGATACTTCGTCTTGGGCATAAATATTCGCGCCGATGCTTTAAAAATAAATTAAGAAATGGATCCAACATAAACTCCCTTACCAAGTATAAGTGCCAGCTGAGCTAGGTTGAATGTCCTTGATAACGAGCAGACCATTAGAATTAGCAGCAGTTCCCTTGGGCATTGCTGCTTGTCCGTTTCTGTACCAATTGAGTGCATAAGATGGAATCTATAAAATTTCTTATATGAATATGGAAATTGAAAAATTACCGAAGAGTGCGCAGAACATTTGAGTTCCACTCTTGACCCGGCTCTGACGACCTTGCGGGACTCATTCGATCGAAGATAGACTGATATTTTAGGATTTCCACGCTTTAGGTATTGGGGAGATCGATAGCTAGAATATCTGTTTTCTTCATTGTCGCCTCCTTGAAATATGTTAACAGGAGAAAAAGGGAGTTATTATACTTGAAGGAAGCTGAGGTCGATTAGTTGGCCTACTAATTTTTCGAGAATATGATCTTGTCGGCTGGTCCTCTCTTGATGAGCTTTGCGATGTTCTAGTATAGCCTGAGGATTTCTCCGAGCATTGAGAAGCAACAGATTGCAGAATATTCTCAACGAGATCCGCAAGTGCTAAAGATTGCAATCAAGGAAGAAAACCGACGACAATAACTAACCATCGTATTCCTTAACGTGAATTGATCGGCCCTTTGTGGAAAGCATCCTTAGCTCGTCATCGCGAGCGCTTGGGCCAACTCCAACAGCGAGCATGAAGTCAAACTGTTCCTGAAGCGTTTTGACGTCCTCCCGACGAATGTGATCACGTGAGCCACCATCTGTGAAAGTAATCATCGTCTTGAGCGATTCCGCGCGTAAGCTAATAAACAAAGGCGTAACGAGTGATTTCAAAAAGTATCAAAGGAAAAGCAAAATTAATCCTCGACGCACCTGGGCAGGGTATTTTCAGCGACGAAAGAAAGCGCCTTGCCCGTCATGGTGTTTTTCGCAATTTGCCGGATCACGGCCAAGCGCAAGTCAAACTCGGCCAAGTCGGACGCCGAATTAAGCTGGTAATCAACGTTTGTCAGTACGATGTCGGAGAATTGAACGACGACAACTCGTAGTGCCTGAGTGAGTTCGGAGGGAGACAGGTCGGACGTGAACTTGGAGATCCATTTTTGAATCTTCGCGAAATCGTTTGGCGGGATTGAATCTAAAATTTATTTTTATAAAAACCATAAATCTGATTTTATGTATTAATGTTTAAGTTTTGTCACTGCTGTTTGACAAACATTAAGGATAACAGACTCAATTAATTTTTAACGTGTGCTAGTATGGTAGCATGCCGTTTTCACCGCAATCCATTTACCTGAACCATCAACAAGGAAAACAATATCAAGCATTTGCTCCTTGCAAATCTCCTTCACATCATCAGTCTGGCAAGGGACAGCTGGAATTCTGACGCAATCACCACTTCGTATTTTTTGATACCCATGTCTACATTGATCGCATTTTGGTCCTGCAGTTGATCCTTGGCAACCCTGAAATAACATTTTCAAGGAATTGAAAATATTGAAATAATTACAATACACGCGCCAGTGTGCTTATTGCAGGTCTTTGCCATTCCATTACATTCGCAAGGGATGCATTGTCCAAGGTAAAGGCCTTTTCCGCGGTAGTATCCATCTGTGCATTTTTCGCAAGATGTTCCTGAAATGAATTTTCATTCGAAATCAGATTTAAGTTGAGTTTGTACCTTCATATCCAACTGGACATTGGCAAAGCTCAACTGTCGCAGCATTTTGCTCGCCTCGGTCAGGCAAAGCTTTGTCAATCTCCACATTTGAGATTTTCACAGAGCTGCCGTCTTTGTTGTATTGAGCGCGGATTGAGATCGTCTCACAGGTTGCCAAGCTCATCAGGAAATCCTCGCGAGTGACGGATTTTCCGTTTCTTCGGGCGAAAGAATTTTCATGGAGCTCGATTGAGTTTGCTCCCTTAGTGTGTGGGGATGGACCACAGCTTTGGATCAGATCGGGTTCATGGCGGGAACGGATGATAGCACATTCGAAACCCCTACAAAATTTTAGAACCATAACTCCACGAACAAAATTTTCTTTAAGATGTTTTTAAATACATTGTGAGTGACCACAGATATAATTAAACGTCAAAAATTATTAGATCATCGTCCATAAAACACTGTTTTAAAAGTATTTTCCATCAAAACTAACTTGTTGTGAACTTGGCCATTGAACTCAAGCTCAAATCTCAGGGAAGCACCGTAAGACTGAACCAGCTCTCCTCCAAGAACGCTGCAAGGAACCGTCCAAAAAGCATCATAATTTTCAGAAATCTTCAATGGAGCGTACAAACAGCCGATTCCACAACTTCGAACTTCATTGTCCTTTGATCGGCCGAATTTGTCCGTCAAATGGGTTCCTAAAATATTAAAATTTTGAAGAGAAAAAAGTCAAACCTGTAAGTTGTTTGGCTTGAACGGTGCTCCATTTGAGCTTGTCAAAGCTACAGTCATCCGATCGTCCCATGCAGAAGCAGGGCATAGACAAAGGGGTCGATGGGTTTTCATTGCAAAGGACTTTTGACTTAAATATATAATAAATAAAAGTGCAAGATAATTAAACACTTGTTTTGGCCAAGATACGCCTAACAAAAATATTTGTGTTTCTTCACTAGAAAAACGAGTAGTAAAATACAAAATACTTTAGTAAAAACGCAAACAATATGGTTTCTTAAAGTTCACTCGCACTTCAAATTAGAACCTTTCTCGGCGAGCAAACGGGATCAATGCCGCAGTAAACAGTGCTCTGATAAGCTTATCAAAATATGGCTGGACGCATGCGGTGCGCTGGTTAATTACCGCCTTGGAAAGTTAAAAGGTTCTATTTCTCAAACACACCTGGCACTCGCCGGTAAAGTCTTCACAGTCGTTGTCATCACCGCAGTTGCATTTTTGACAGTGACCAGTGGTAAGGCGGAAATAGCCATGTGCACATTCCTCGCAACTCAAACCTCGATAGCCGCGAGGGCAGAAGCACTTTTCGACGGATGTAGCTGGGATCGAGCTTCCTAAAAACATTGATTTATAGAAATAATAAAAGAAGGCTTTACTTTGAGTGCTAGCCATATCTACTTGGAAGTTGGCGATCTCTGAGAATTCAGTGTATCCAATGCATCCTTGAATAAGGATTCTTTGAATATCTGCAAGTACTGATAAAATATCCTCCCGACTTGCACTCCTTCCATTTTCAAGCTCCCAGCCAGCATTTTCAGAGATTTTGACATTAACAGATCCTCGAATGACGCCGAAATTATACTTGAGGGTTTTTCCTTTTCCAGTCAGAATAAGTTCAACTCGTCCGCCAGGGTTCCTTTCTCCGTCAATGATGATATCGAAGACCATTGAGCCGCCGTAATATGTTAGCTTGTCACCAAGGAATCGATCAGGAATAAGCCAGTAGCAGTTCTCTTTTCGATAAGTACGAGCGTGGTAGCCACCTTGTCTCTGGTGGTTGATATCGGAACGCTCTAACTGGTCCAGGCCGCCGTGTGAATTAATCTCGACGATTGGGAATCTATCCATGTCCTGTGGAATAAATCTGTTGAAGAAAAGATTCGAGGCTTTGCAGTTCTTTGTGACATCAGAGCACCAGCAATCTAAACAGCCTTCTGGATATTCCTCTTTTGGGCCATCGAAAGTGTTGATCTTGCAGCGATCGCATCTGCTTCCAACAGTATTATTCTTGCAATTGCAGTCACCATCAAAGTTTTCTGTCCCAGCTGGATTGCATGGAGAGACTTCAGGAGCTTCCGTCGACGTTGTTGTTTGAGTCGTTGGTGTTGTTGTCGCCGCCTTAGAGGTTGTTTTCTCAATTTTGAGTGAGCAGTCTTCCTGATTTAGATGAGCCGGGCATTTGCAAATAGGCTCCGTACCGGATACATCATCAAGCTCGCATTCGTATCCATTGCAAGGACATTCGATGCATTCATTTCCTTTTCTGTAATGACCTTCGACACATTTCTCACAGCTAGTTCCGGAGAATCCCCATGGGCAAGAACAATGCTCGACGTAGCTTGATCCTCGCTGAGTGGAAACTTTTTCAATGGACACATTCGATAAGCTTGTCTCGAACATATTCTCGTCATATGTTGTTCTGAGGAAAACGCCGGCAACATTCGCTAAAACATTCAAAAAGTCTTCTCGTGAGACTGACCGGCCATTGATGTCTTGCCAGTTATCTTCGCGGAAAGAAACGCGTCTGGTGTTGTCCCGATTCGGCAGTGTTGGTGTCCGGAAGCGATATGAAAGTTGCGAACCATCGGCCGCTTGTATCACTACATCTGGCAGGTCGATCGGCGTGTCGTATTGGGACTTGAAGGAGACGGTGTATTCCAGGGATCCACCATAAGTCTGGATCATGCTGCCGGAGAATGGTTCTTGAAGCGACCAGTAGTTAGCAGAAGCAAGAAAGCGCTTTGAAAGATCGATCAGTGTTATTTTCTTGTGACCTCGAATGACTTGCTCGGGCTTGGGGTAAAATGAAGAAGCATGATCATCAAGGGGAGCAAGTTTGATTTCGGAATAATCATCAGGATCAAGGTGTACTCGAGCGTAACCTCTATGAAGCTGAGCGCAGGCGCTGCTTTGGCCAGAACACCAGCAGTTCAAACAATCTCCGTCTGGCGATTTAAAAGTATTGTCAGGACATCGTCCGGCGGTTGGTTTCCGGACAAAAAGGGCTGCGTCAGGTACAGGGATAATATTACCACGAGAATTCATCGCCTCGCAAGAATATGCTCCTTCATCCTCTTTTGTGACGTTTCGAATGGTGAGTCGGCCGTGACCAAGGTGGGTTTTCTGGTCACATCTTGGCGCGGAGCAAGTGTGGCCCCAGTTTTTTCTCCAGGAAATAATGGGCATTGGAGTTCCTACCGCTGTGCATTCAAGGACAACAGTGCTGCCAACAGAAGCATGCACTTCAGGAAGTGGTGGATTTGTTACAGTCGGAGCGGCGCAATCAAGCTCATCAGAACTGTCGGAGCAATCAGGGTGATCATCGCATTGGTAAGACTTGGGAATGCAGTTACCGCTCGCTTTGCACTGAAACTGGGTGCTCTCACATGGACCCTCAAAGCTTGCTGGACATTCGCTCTCGTCAAAGGCATTGGCACAGTCCATGTCGCCATCGCAGAGCCATACTTTCGATCCGCACTTGCCGTTTCCACACATGAATTCGTTTGGCTCACATTCTCCAGCACCGCCTTCAAAAGTTCCACATCCCCACTCGTCAGATCCGTCAGAGCAGTCTTTTACTCCATCGCATGCTTGAGATCTATCAATACAATCTTTGCCATTGTGACATCTCATTTCTGTGTACTGATTGCACTGAATATTGTCATATCCATTCTGAGCAGTGTATTTTGTCATGTATTTAGTGCTCTTAGGAGTTGTTCTTGGGGCAGTTGCTTTTGGCATCTCAGTTGTAGTGGTTCTCTCGGGCAAGTCATATTCAATAGGTTCATATTCGTATTCTGATGACTCGGGGCCACTGACATCGACAACATCAGGAGTGATGGTTGGTGGGATAACGTAGTTATCACATCCTTGCATACCCAGATCAGTAAATCTAAATCCATTTTCTTTCAGAACATAGTTTTCAATGTATTTCATTTCGACAATACTCTTCAAAAATTCTTCAGTATCGTCAGCATCACAAGCAGAATTGACCAATTGACAGCCTATGTCGATGAAGACCATGACATCGCCATTGACTTCTTTGATTTGAATTGGAGTGACTTCGTAGTGGCCAGGGATTCGATCGTATTCTTCTTCGAAGACACGCATTATACGCTCGCTTTCGAAGAGAAAACGATTGTTGCGCTCTGTGGGGGAATCGTAGTTCCATTCTGTCTGGCCAGCCATGTCGATGGAACTGCCAAAATTGACTCGGGCACGGCTGTAACGATAACAATAGGATGAGTACAACGACTGTGGTGATGAGTGGCTAGCACTGCTTGTAAGACGGGATGTTTTAGAAGTCGTCGATGTTGAAGAGGTCGTCTGAGGAAGAGTTGTTGTACTAGTAGTGCTTGTCGTTGTCGTAGTTGTTGTCGTTGTGGTAGAAGTTTGTGTGGTTGTAGAAGTTTTCGTGGTCGTTGAAGTTGTCGTGGTTGTTGGTTGCTTTGAAGTAGTTGTGCTAACAGTTGAAGTAGAAGTGGTTGTTGTTGAAGTAGTGCTAGTTGAAGGCGGATTAGTTGTTGATGAAATTTCTTCTGTTGCTGGTGAAGATTTATCATTTGAATCGGGCTTGTTTTCTTTCATATAAGTTTCATCATAATCAGCGAAGCCATAGTCACTCTCGAAGTTGCCGTCTCCTGAAAACTCTTCGCCAGAGCCTTCGATCATGAGATCCTCATCATCAGTGGTGTGGACGGCTTTGAGCTTACTGAACTGGTCGCGTAAGTTTGCCGGTTCTGTGTTCATCTCGTTCATCTTGAGGACAAAACTTGGCTGAACAAAGTCGTCTTCAAATTTCCACTCGTCTTGGGTCCATTTCCAGCTTTTCTTGAGCGGATTTGCGAGAGAGATTGTTTCTCGGCCTTTTCGAAAAAATTATAAATAGGAAAGGGATTCGAGCTTACCTGAAATAACACCTTCATTGAGTAAATTTTCTTGCTGCGTGTTTCCAATATCCCTCCTCAATCTAATTTTCGTCACTTCTTCCCTGATCTTGTTCCGCTTCGTGCAATCCGTGCATGAGCTCCAAGCCACCTAAAGCAGGTTTTTAGCTTTTTCCTCCCTGGAAAAATGATCAATCAAAAAAAACTTCAGCAAGTCGCGTAGCGAGTGGTACGCTGATCGACGAGCGGGATAAACTTGAATTGTTTTATTCGCCGGAAATAATCCCTTTTTTGAAATTTCAAAGGAGGCAGAAGAAAAGTTCCTTTTCAAGGTGATGGGTACTCAATTTCAAGAAAACTCCGGAATCTTGTTGTTTGGCGTCTTTTTTGGCATGTTTGGCTGTTTGGCACATTATTTAGATTTTCAGGTGTGAAGGAAAAATCCCTATTTAGCAAGGTGCGGTATCTTTAAAACAACAAATTTCTCGCCCAATTTCATGATTTTGAAAAAGAGCGACACTCTTTCAAAACGGATAAGCTGTTTTTGTTTGTTGCGTTTTTTGAATAAACAAAACAGTATAAAACAGCTTGAGCAAAGATTTGAGAAAAGCTCGTGAATCGAAATATCATTTAAAATAAATCCGAATTGAGTCAGAAAAACCGCAAGAACAGAAATTGACAGTGGAGCGAGGCGGCAGTCTTGGATCAACTCCAAGCGCCAAACACCTCCGACAGAGAGCACCAAAACATGTTCGAGTGGCTTAGAAATGCTGTCACCGCATTTTGACGCACTTTTTATGCCAACAAAGAATGTACGATTCTGAATTATTACGCGAATAAGTCGATTGAATTATTGAATCTTACACTTCTCAAGAAAAAAAAACTCAGGGAAGCAAACTGGGGAATGCGGAAACGGCCAAGTCCGCAAACGGGAGCTCAAATATTATCGATGAAGTTTTGTCATAATTACGGCGTTGATCTTGACTTTTTCACTCGCAGACTAAAAATTCTAATTTGGGTTATCCAAAATGTAGTTTTTCCCTATTTTCGGGAGCCGTAACCTTTCGCGTCTAGAGTCTAGACAATCTGTAGCCACGCGTAAGCCACGACCCTCAGAGGTCACTTCCGGTGTCACATGGTGATCATCAACAGAAAGTCCCTTCGCCCATCATCAAACACGTGATCGGCAACCGCGAGCGCTCGGTCACGCAGAAAATTGCCACCCGCATCTTCTCCTCGAAAGAACTTGAAGTCAATATTGAAAAAAATATGGAGACGCAGCTACGGTAGCTATTTTCGGAATTTCACGCCTTGAATCTTTCTACACCTGAAAATTTCACTAATAGGCACTAGAACCGTCTCCAAATCAATCATTAAAACTTTCTTATTGGAGAAATTAGCAAAATTTTCGATTTTCCCGAATCCGAAAATATAGCGATTTTTCCTCTTTATAGCATGTTCAGAACAAATTCATTGGCGGCTATTAATCACCCGCGCAGGCAATGATGGGGGACATGCGCGGAAGTAGTAAAACGTTCCTTTCTCTCTGAAGAAGCGACATAAAACAATAATCAGCCGGAACTTGCTTCCTCCAGCGAAACAGTTATTTTTCTGATATAAGTTTTTGAATAAACACCTTCGAGTTCCAGGAGTTGTATTGACAAAGAGCCCCTTTGAAGTTGCGTTTTTGGAATCTTTAAAATTCTAAACTTAGTTTCCGCCCCTCTTGTTGTCGAAAAAAACCCGTGTCCGGGACACCCCTTGGCAAGAGATCATACATAAAAAGACTATTTAGCATTATACGCTTCAATTTTTTCTTGATCAAGAGAGGAGGTCCTAAACTGCGGAAAAAGCACTCATTTGAGAAGATTAAGAGGTCATTATCAAATTGCACGAAATTGGGGCGAAGGGTATTTTTTGACGCGTCCAGTGTTCAACGATAATCCAGTGTTGATTCCTTCAGCGCTTGACCAAAACACAGTACGTACTAAAACGCACCCCTGAGGGCACGTTCGACATCCCCCGGGCAAATTCACTGACGAAAATTGTAAAAGATATCAATTTTATCAAGAAATCTTTGATTATAAAAAGGGGTACCATTCTTGATCGCGTCATTAATTTTGGGCACCCAATTGTTGCTCATCTTTTTAGTTGATGGAATCTTTTTTACTTACTTGGGCTAGTAGAACCGATATCTTCATGTTCTAAGAATCTGTCGTTTCTTTCTTCTCAATCAGCTTGTCATTTAAATTCTGCCAAGAAAAACGTCCGTCCAAGAATATTCTGAATGGAATCTCTTTTTGACTTCCTCTCTCTTTCTATCAATTCGAAAAAGCGGCAAAAGTACTTTGTAAAGGTGAGAAAGGGGAAAGTTGTGAAAAGGCTAATTTGAGAAAGTTAGGTCCATAAGAAGATGGTAAAAATTCGCGCGTTAGCGATTTGAGGCGCGGCGCCCGAGCGACCCCACTTAGACAGCCTACAAAAGTTTGACAGGCTAGGGGTCCTTTTTCAGAAAAAAAATTATATGAAAGTATACAGTATTTCGACGTAATACTCATTAAAAAAAGGTTAATGCTGATATTCTCGCTAAATAAAGGAATAAATAAGGAGGAAGCTTTTGAAAAGGTTCAATAACGAAATTGTCAGATTAGCGATTGAATAATTTGACAGGAAAATTGAGCCCAAGAGCGGCAGAAGGTTAAATTATCTAAATTGAAAGGGGAATTTAAAAATTTACTGTTCAAAAAGTCTGATTCGTTTGCGGAAATAATTGAGTCACTTACAAAAAACATAAGCTAATCGATTTATATTCAGAGCACTTTTTTAGGTTGATTAAAACTTTCAAATAACCATTTCAATGTCGTATTTTGGGCTTGATACGATCAGGGCATTGTGCATCATTAGTACTAGGTATGATCTACTCGCTTTGTCGGTCAGTAAGGCGTGAAAAATTTCACTGGCGTGATATCACTTCCTCCGCTGCGAAAAATGGACTAATTAGTACATAAATGAGGACTATCTTCCGCCAACGAAAAAATTATCATCGAATGGTCTTTAACTAATGTTTTGTATAAAAGATATTCGTTTTAATAAAGGAATAATACAGTATTCTTCGCCAAAGCCGCGGAGTCTGCATCAAAAGTCTCTCATCAAAGTGATATTGCGAAAAAGTAAACAGAAAGCAATTAAGGCACACTTGGACAATGGTCAAGCGGAAACACGAGCTTGCTCTTTTATTTCTTCAAAAACTGGGCAGAGTATTGAAAAGCCAAGTACCCAACATTTTGTTTTGACAGGCAAAGCCGCATTCGTAAACAAGTTCAATCCACTCGCCTTGAGCATGTGTTTGGGCAAGGCTCAAGCTGGTTCGGAGTCCGCCCAGCTTTTTCTTGAACTTCATTGAGAAATTACAATCAAGATCTGTTTTATTTCAGCGAAGAAGAAAGTAGATTAATTGCGTTTTTCGAATCGAACGTGGCCTTCTTCGGGGATTCGTAAAAATCGATGGTTCGCGATCTTCATAGATTTCGATTTTCTAAAAACAAGTAAATTATGCACAACGATCTCTGTACATACCTAGATAAGCGGAAGTCGCGAATGATATTCGTCGTGAAAATGAAATACTCATCGATTGCAATCTGTTTGCCAATGCAGTTCCGAAGGCCGATGGAGAAGCTGACTACTTTAACGTCATTAACGAACTCTCCGTTTTTGTAAAATCGATCAGGGATGAACTTTTCTGGCTCCGGAAAGTTTGCTGGGTTGTGCATTACAGCCGTCAGAGATGCTAGAAATCACGATTTGCGAGAAAATCCTTTTCAAACCTTGAAGAGTGGAGCCTTTTTCAATAAAAACTCCGTCGACAACAATGTCTTCCGACGCTCGGTGGAGCAAACTATCGACGACGGGATTCCATCTTTGGCATTCAAGCAAAACTGATCTCGTAAAGGGGCAGTTCTCCTTCTTGATTTCATTCTCATTATCAAGAGAAGCGATTATTTCCTCGTACATCTTTTCTTGTACTTCTGGGTGATCAGCAAGAGTGACGCAGAACCACGAGAGTTGGTTTCTATAAAATTGTTCTTTTTTCTCTACTTTTTAGTTTATCTTACGCAAGAGTATCGCTCGCTCCAAGATATATTCCAAGAACTGTAGCGACCACGACATCATACCCAAGTCGTTTTTCTTTCTCAGCAGCAATAAGAAGCATATCTTGAAATAAAGGAAAGAAAAAACAGTTCGCTATTACCAAGATAGTCCCGAGGGTTGTTTTTGTCCAAGTCGATCCGATGGTTAACGATTTGTTTGTGAAGAAACTCGTGAAACTTTAGAACGACTTCGTTTCTTTCTTTGAGAAAACTGTGCCAAATTCTCTGATAAACAAAATTTCTAGTGACCCAAGATGGGACTTTTCCGGCAATGGTTCTTTTCAAAATTGAAACGCTGAAAAATTTAAATATTGTAGTCACAGCGTTGGCGATTTCTTTGAAGACTAAAAAACCATTTATGAAGTATGAAAATATTTGAAATTATCAGTACCTGGATCGTCGAATTCCATGGTGTTTCCAAAAGCAAAGCCGGTGATGACATTCATTGTTCCGTTCATAAATACTCTTTTTGGATCCATGCCACTTTCTTTGCTCCCTTCCCGGAGTAAAATCTCGTTCACAGAGCTGGAACTTTGCTGCATGATTTCGATCATTCGGTTCTTTCCGGTGAGTCGTTTTGAGGTATCAAACCACATTTGTCTGAATGATTTGTGCACAGCATCATATGGGCCATCTCCGATGCCGATGAAATTTCCAGGGCCGTTTTTTATAAGTTGGTCATCTGGACCAAGAATTTCATGCGCCTTTTTATCAAGTCCGATGAATGCCCTGTCGCTGGCTATCTCTTGGCTCTGTTTTTCTGACCCCTCTCTGTTCGAAAGTTCTTTTTGCGAAAAAGCTTCTTTGATCATCTTGAAATCAGTGAGAATGTAACCATTGCTGTAGGAAGAGAACGGAAACATCTTTGGTCGAAAAATTTTGGGGAGTGTTCCATTTTTAACAGCTCTCCCGATGACCTCTGCGTTCAAATCTTTTCGAAGCGGGTAAGGATGACTTGGAATCGGATGGAATTTGTACTTGAGCCATATTTGCAAAAATCGACATAAGAAAAGCGAAAATACTGTGGCAGCTATATAAGATAGCATTTTTCTCTTTGTCCAAGAATATCGTTTGAGCCAAGCATTTTATATGGGCTATCCAAATAGAAATTTTGTGAAGGAGATATAAAAATACTCATCCGCAAATATGTTTTTCTCGTACACTTTTTCTCCTATTCAAAACTCTTTTTTAATATAATGAACTTTGACCTATCTCAGAAAAAGCAAGGAATGCGATGAAAATACTGAATCTGACTTGATTTTCTTCCTTGATTTCATTAAAGACGATGAAAGAATAATGCTTGTTCCAAAAAGACCTCACAAATTATAAAAGAAAGAAATTTTTCACTCGCAAAAAATACAGCATATTTTGTGACAAAAGCTTTCTACCGTGTAATTTTATGGGATTATCGTGGCATAATTGGCGTTTTGATGGTATAAGCAGCATTGTCGACAATCATAATTTGCGGCTATAAATTTGGTGCAATACTTTTGCGCGAGTATAAAAGATGCCACCTGATGAAATTTTCTATCACAAATAAATGAAAGTCTTGATTTTTCTCTTGAAATTTCTCTTCGCTTCTCACTTCGTGAAGGCCGCAATTATCCTGCGTATAGGTCCCACGATACCCGTAAGATACAAGTAGTTGAAAAAGAAATGATAGACCCGACCGTGGTTCAGTGTTTTCTTCAAAAATGATGGGGTAAGGTGTCACTAAGTTGTGATACCGATAGGCAGGATAAATGGGACCTTCCTTTTTGGGAATAAAGATGCAGAGTTCACGGAGGAGAAACTTTTGGTGCAGCTAGAAGAAGGTTACCAAAGGAGCATCTCTCCGCTCAACCCAAGATACAAGCGTGAAGGCAACGAGATCGTTCGGCGTGACAACAACGTCATCAAGGTTGACATTTTTCTCGAGTTGATTAGCATTAACGAAATCGACCTCGCTGGCTCGTTGATGGATGTCACTTTTGAAATTCACTCTTCCTGGTTCGACAGTAGACTCGCATGGTTTCCCGAAGATTACGATCTGATCCAGAAAATGTCACTCTGCAACGAATGTTTTTGGAAACCAAAGCTTGAAATATCCAATGTCGACAAGTGGATCACTACAGGACGTACTATGGTTGATCCTCGATTGGGAAGCGCGCGCCGAGTCCTCGATTGGGAAGCGACGAGATAAAGTGCCCTTCCCAATCGAGGATCAACCATTGTACTATGGGAAAATCTCAGGCCTCTGTTTCTGCTTTTACTAGTCGCTAAAATATGGCTTAATTTCCGCGTAATATGCTAAGTTGCGAAAAACTGACGATCTGACGTAAAAATTGAACCAGAAAAAGGGTCAAGAATCGACGCGATTTCACGTCTCCCACATTGGCGAAGTGTTCTACTACGAAAAAGTACGAGCTCTTATTATGTGCGACATGCAATTGGGCTTGTATCCATTCGACTCGCAAGAATGCTCGATTGACATCGCTACACCAGGATTTAAAACCGAAGAGCTGAAATTCTCAGCTTCTCGATGGATCAAGCGAAACGGATATCAGGGCGACGTCTCAAACATGACAGGATTGGATTATGATGACACTCAAGAAGACGTTTTGTATAATGCCTTCTACCAGGAAAACGAAGAGTGGCAGTTCAAAGCCTACAAGGTAAACACACTCCATCTCTTTCAAAAATACTCTTTTAGTTTGAAATTTCTGAAAAAGAAGGACCAGATGGAAGCGTCTTTTCCACCTTTTCGACGACGTTTTCGCTGAAGCGAAATATTATCTATTATCAAATTACCTTGTTTTACCCACTTATTTGCATGAATATTCTAGTGTGCCTAGGTAAAGATGGATAATTGTTCACAATTTAACGGACTTTAGGGCTTTGGATACCCGTCAGCAGTGGCGAGGCAATAGGGTTTCAGGTATGGAATAAAATAAAATCATTGTTATAAGATTTTATACCTAAAAATACGATTGAAGGTAAGTTGGCTCAATGATAATTAAGGTGACCATGCTCTTGACAATTGTTGTCTATCTTGACGTTTTGACACAATCGATTCCAGTTTTTGGCGCTCTTAGGCTTATTTGAAATTTTAAAAGTGATTGACACATATTTGACAGAATGTCGCTCAAATAGAATAGGAATTCTATTATATGCTTCGATTTCAAAAATCTGACCAGCTCCTCCCCAGAATTACTGCTTCTGTTTCTTGTGAGCACCTTGTCAAGTGTGTTTGCTCAAATTCTAACAGGTACGTATTATTCTCTTTTGCCCTAATATAACTCGTTTTTACCACAGTAATGGTTCTTTGGAACGAAGATAAGACCCCCGATCAAGTGCAGAATTTTACAATTTATAAAGCAAAGTTTTCGTTTTACTCGGCAAAATTTTACGAAAAAATTCATTTTGCGAGCTATGTGATCCCGGCTGTCATCCTCCACAAAGCGGAAAAGGAAAAACCGCAGGAAAAATATAAAAAACGTGCATCACTAGACACGGTGACTTTAAAAGGTACCTTCTTTAAAAATATATTTACTTGTAATTGGCATGATTAATGTAAATTACACCGCGTAATAAATTCAATTTTAGAAAATGCGATTTCGTTCTCCGAAGAAGATTTAACACTTGCTTGGCGCTTCTATGGAAAGATGTTCAGGTACGTATAAGAATGACGACCATTTTGTGGCCCAAATTGGGCCGCCCAATTTCAGATTATGATAAAAAAATGAGCACCCAGTGTAATGAAGTTTTTTATAAAAGAATTCAATAAGTAGAGTTAATTATATATTCTGAACATGATAAGAACATAGAAATTTGAGTTACATTTTAGTCATTTTTGGGCGCTGGCTTTGACTTCCACAGTTTTCTTCGCCTCCTTTGGAATTCTTCTCAAACTGCATCTTCAGAGTTCAATTTGATCCTTCGTAATAGCTGGATAATAAAATTTTACAACTTGGCGGAATTATATTAGCATTATGAGCCTTATCTGTCAATTTTGTCTCGATTATACCGGCAATAGTGGTCTAAAAGGCACTTCTCGTTATTCAAGAGTACTATTTGTTCGTGATCATGAAAACAAAATAAGCGGCGCGCGAGAGCTGAGAGAGATCAAGAAATTGTGAAAAGCCGGACAATCTAACAAGTCTAGATCAGACATGTCTGAAAAGTTCTTTTCCCTGAAGTCTATTGTTATAAGTTTTTTATGCGTATTATTAATTATCATAAACGCGAACAACTTGCATCAGAGATATTCTAAAGAAGATAAGCTGCCCGCTAAATTTGACAAAGCTGTCGAATGGAAAAGAGAAAACCCAAAACAAATTTATTTTTGCAAAACCCACAAAACAGGAGGATCAACTCTCCAGAGCATCATTTTCAGGACAGTTTAACACGGAAATAGACTTAGATTGCTAATAATAATTTATTATGTATTCATCGTTTCAACCATCAAAAAAGATATGCCATGTCAAGGAACCTTACAATCGGCTTTCCTCCCCATGGTGTAGTGTTATGCGAAGGGAACTCCGGATTTCACAAAGGTTGTACGGATGAACCTGACGAAAATTACGACGTTATCGCGAATCATAACAACTGGGGACGGGCCTAAGGACTTCAATTACTTCGTATTTGTCGAAAAGGATTTGCGTTGTAAAAATAAACGCCGATTATTCACGGTGGCCAGGATATCTTGAAATATAAATTATGCAAATGTAAGCAGGCTTGACGAATCCTCGAAAGATTAATCAAGATTAACTATACGAAGCCCGTGAAAAGAGTCCATTCGTAGATCAAGTCCTTCCGAATGCCTCTAGGCTCACTATAATCCGCCATCCTCTGGGACAAGTGGTTTCGCATTTCCACTATTTTTTCTCCGCCTGGTCAAAATTTGGTGTCAAAGAAAGAAGCATCGAAGACTTTCAGCGAGCACTTATGAAAATGGAAGGAAATCAGATTTTCCCTGGCTCTCCGTGGGAGACCTCCAAGAATTTCGTAAGTCAAAATACGTTCGATCTGGGTCTGTCCAGAATCGATCCTCAAAAAGCGACAATCGAAGAAGCATCTCAATGGGCGGTAGAATACTACGACCTGATTCTGCTGACTGAGCGTTTCGATGAATGCCTCATTCTCCTCAAAGACATGTGGCATCTAAAACTAGATGATATTCTGTCACTAAAAGCAAAGGACAACTCCGCGGCAAAGACCTTTGGTGTCGGTGATTTACCACAAAACCTGACGGTAAGCATCGTGTAGAAACAGTTTTGAGATCAATAACCGTCATGTTCATCGTGATGATTATTCTCCGAGCACATAAGCAGAAAAAATTGGTTACTTTTACAAGCACTACTCTGACATGAAATTGCTGATTTAAAGCCAAATTTTAAGAAATTTATTCTGGAGAAAAATCATCTGGATGTTGTTCTTTATGAAGCGGCAAGTGCTGAACTAGACATGAAAATTGAACTCTTCGGGAAAGAAAAAATGGCTACGGAAGTCAAAGAACTTAAAATTGCTCGGGCAGAACTTGAACACCTCTGCGACAATTCTGACTTATCGAAAGTAGATGCACGGTGCGAGCTTCTGAGAAGAGAAGGCTCCCGCTTTACGAATTATCTCAAGGAAATGAAAAGGAAAAATTGAATCTTTTCCACTGCTTATAAAGAAACTTCCATTGCTGCATAGACTTCATATTTATGACATAAAACAATAAAAGTTCTTTGAAATAAAGCTCGAATTTATTTTTGGTATTTCGTAGATACAGTGAAGTCGTGGATTTGTTGCTGATTTAGGGTTGAAGGCAGTAGAGGCAGAAAACAATATTTTAAGAAGAGGAAATAATGAGAAGGTGGAATTGGTGATTCTTTGCGTGTTGACAATCAAATAACTTTTGAACGAGAAATAGAAGGCCCCATGGTGCGAGGAACTGAATCGTAGTCTATGCGGCGGTTGACTGAATTGGATCGTTTGGTTTCGGAGGATTTCGGTGTCGAAGCGCCCGGAGTAAAGAAGGGCCGGGCGCTCGTCGGCTGATGCGGTCGGAAATCTTGACAAGAGATCGTCCCGGGAGAACGGTACCGATTCGCCATTTTCACACTAGATAAAAATTGAAGCCGAAGAAAAATATATGCACTACCGGCCGATCGTTGGATACTTTGGCTCAGTGACGATTGGGAGGTACTTTCCGCTGAGAGCGCGTAAGTTGGGTGCATCGTTGCCGTTTTTGCAGTCGTCTTTTTCTTTACTTTCAACTTTTCGGCGGCCCAGATCCACCGTTGCTTTACGAATTCTGAAATCGATGAGTTCCTTATGAGTCGTTTTCGCTTACTGGTCATATCTGCGACGGTCTTCTTCGCTGAAGTGCGCGTAGAAATGTCGGCCGTTGTGTTGCTGTCTGGGAGCGGAGGCGGGGGTAATTCGTGGCGGGGGCCTCTCCCTGCCAGGGTCGTAAGAGCACGGCGCCATCGGCGGCGAGCGAGCGGAGTTGCTTGCGGCTCCGATTGAGCTGACGCCGCTCGTACTGGCACGGGTGCTGACACTCGCTCGATCGGAGCTGGCCGAGCGACGCAGTAGCTGGCTCTTCTCTGAACCGCTTCCGAACTCGTTGGAGCTCGTTCTTCCTCTGGAAGAGCTGGAAGATCGACGTGAAGACTAAACTCTATCGAAACACGGCTTTGGCTGCGAAGCTACCTGAAAACTCGACGTAGAGCTTGCGGACGCGTTCGTCTGATAACGTTTGTGGATCTTGTTGCCTTCTGTGGCTCGTCGATTTCGCTCGATAGATCTCGAACGCGGGGAATGATTGCCTAAAAGCTCCATCAACAAAGTTGGAAGTTGAAAGAAAGCGAACATGAATTGTGGATATATTTTTGAAGGCGTTAACATGAATTCAAACAACAAGCAACATGAAAGACGACATAAGCAAACAATAAACAAACATGCATATTATATATTTTATAATATGTTTTAGTGATGAAAAAAAATTGACTAAAGCACCAAGGATTTTGAAATCAACGAGGAGATTTTAAAAAGAATGTGTCGATTATTATTTATAGATCGAGAAAGTAGAATATCTCTAGCAGATATCTACTCAATAAGAATATGGACTAAGAATACTTTACCAATTCATCCGAGGTGAGTTATGAAATTAATTGATATTTTTGTGGAATTGATATTTTAAATCTGTACATTCTAAATACCAATATTGTAAGGATGTTTAATAAGCCCTGTTGTTATCAAATGCATAGAATGGAATATTCGAGTGAAGCGGGATAATTAATTATCGTTCACTGCAAACGCGCAAAAATGCCCTTTGGTTTAGTTGAATTTGAAAACTAGAATACCTTTGGAGTGTAATCATAGTGCTCTATAAGAAAATTATCAATGAAAACATTAGAACGAAAAAAGGATGAAGCGCTCAAATATTGAGCAAGTAGTGATGGGTGCCGCAGTCCGTGATTTGTGACTTTTACGGGAGTAAGTGTGAGCTTACTGTGTGGCTCCCAGGTGAAATCCTGAGACACGTCTGGTTGAGAAGCGGAGCGCTTTCTCGCCATAGCCCGCGCGGGTCGCCCCTTTTTGCCCGCGCTGTAGATTAGCCCGCGAACTATCCGCGCGATCGCTCCTGAACCCCATTTTTCCGAAATCAAGAACAGCTCACAATACAGAAGTTATAACAATATATTTTACAATGTTAGGAGAAGAGTATTGCATAAAATTGAAAGGATTAGATCACAATGTCGATAAATTTACCGTTTTTCTTTTTTCGATACGCGTCATACATGTTGAAGAATTTGGCCGGGGGCGAGTTCGATTGCTTGCGATTTTCGTGGAAACTTTTGCGCATTGAGCTCTCACGCTCGAAGGCGAGATAGTCGGACTCTTCAGAGTCGATCGAGCACTCTGAAAATTGTTTTAATCGAATATTCCAAAGAATATTCAAATCAAGATCGAAATCAAGCTTTGTGTTCAAGTATACGTATTGACAAGCAGTACCTATATAACTCATTGAATCGCATTTATTGATGATTTTGTTTTGAGCGGAGTTGCACTCGTGCAGGCTTTGCGATCTATTGATACCGGATTTTGCGGAATTGGAGTCGAGTGAGAATGTACGGATGCCGTGCTGAGTTGCCATAATGTACGAATCGTTGAACTGTCGAGGAAGTGAGTCGGTTTTCCGGGGTGAATGAGGCTGAGAAAGTTGTAAAAATCGTATTCTGGAGGAGAGATACCTTTGAAATGACGAACGAGTTTGGGTATGAGAGTGATTTCTTTACAGATGTTTTTGGTCTTTCGACTTTTATGAGAACTTCGGAGCGACTATAACTCGCGAGGTTTTGGCGGATGACTTCTAGTGCTGTTTCATTGTCTAAAGAAATCAATTTGAAGAGATAAAGAAAAAGATGAACTCACCATATCCGTGCAGGGAATGATTATTAATGGCGAGAATCTTGTCGTTTTCCTTGATCCGCCCGTCCTAAAATAATGCGTCACGAGCAATTTCCCTTCTAACGTGTTATTTCACTGAAAATTAATAACAGTGATCTTTGCCGAGTACTACAAGGGGCATTGCAAATGTTTAATCAGCTTCTAATGTCCGGTAGCTCGCTTTATTATTCATGTAGTCCAGAAAAGGTACTTGTAGAAACTGGCCTTAGCCTAAGAACAAAGTGAGAGAAGCACGAAAAATGAAAAAATTGACAATATTTTCGATATTTTTAAAGATCGGAAAGATTGATAGCTCGTTTTCTCCATCAAGACACATGGTGGGTATGCACGACGATGATGATGAGAAGCCTTGGAGATTTTTGTGAAGAAATACTCCGATGGAATCTGTGATTTCGATAAGACAAGGACCGATTGTGCAGAATGCGTCAATGTAAGTCGAGTTTCATATGATTGAAAATGGAAAATCATAGGGAGCGTGTCAATGCGGAATTCACAACAAACATCGATGCTATGACTGCCTCGATAAAAATATCTGCACAGCAGATAATTCTGAACTGGCTCCTTTTAAAATTTGGACGAAAAAGAAATCATCTTGCGTGTGTGAATGGAAACCTGAACTAGGAAATAACTGTGCTTGTTGTTTCGATGGTAAGTCTACTCAGAAAAATAAGTTAATTTCAATGAAATAAAGGGGGTGTGCAGTGCGAGATCGAGGAGTACAAAAACAGATGCATCGCGAAAGATAAATCGCTTCGGCACTTTCAAGATACACGAGAAGAATGTGCAAGTGGCAAAATAGAACTCGTCCCAACTTTCTCCCAGAATGGTATTCACATCAATGACAACGTCGCGCCCGTGCCACTCGTTGATGTCCATAACGCTAATGACGCTGATCATCATTACCCAGTATCAATTCAGGTACTGTATAATAACCTCATTCAACCCGTTATGATATTCTCAAGACCTACCCTACATCATCCCCGCAAGAGCCACATGGAGTCGGTCACTCATCAAACCAAGAACTAATCCAAACAATCATGGACAGCATGAACGACGCGCTGGAAGGAATAACAACCGACCCTGTTGAGGCTGAAATTCCGCTTCCTCCAGAATGTGCTCCGAAACAGAAACTCTATGTTCCTCTCTTTTTCTGGCCGTCTGTCGACGAGGTAATGTAAAGAAAACAGGGCAGTGTAAAGAAAACTTTCTAGGATCATACCGGGGAGAAAAAGTGCAGAGACTCATTCTGGCTCAGCTTACGCCATGGGGGACCCAATGTGAATATCGTGGTTCAGGTAAGAAATCAGGGCAAGAAAGTCGAATGCTTATTAAATCGAAACTCAGACACGAGATGCTCCAGTAAAAATCGACGACACAGAAATCGAAGCGATCCAGGCCTGTGTAGATTCTGCGACTTCAGGTCAAACCCAAGTCCTGGGATATGTCGACGCTGATTTTCAACAACGAAATATGAACGGTACCACTCGATATCAATTCTTTCTGATCACTAATTTTTGAAGAGATTCTCGATGATGTAAAGGTCTGGAGCGACAAATTCAAGAACATGGATGGACTTTACTTGGACCCTGTAGGAGTACAACTGAATGGAGCAGATCTACACAACTTGCTAACGAATATTTCAAAATTCATTAGAGAAAATATTTTCGACCATAAAGGCAACTATCAAATGAAAAAATTCCTTTCTATTTTATTTCTAGTGATCGTATTCAGCCCGCAGCCCGATTTCTACCGGTACTAACCTTGAACGCAGCGCCTGTCGTTAAAATTTTGTCAACGAATAAACCAGAAAGCGTGGAATGTTTATCGGAATTAGTTCCTTTCAGCTGAATGCCCAAACTCGTGTTCACCATCGGAATATTGAATGAGCACACTTCGGTTGGGCCTTTGAACATTTCCAAGACTTTTGAGTGAACTGTGAATTTATCTTCTTCGTTTTCTGATTCTGGCGCGCATTTTCGCTCCTTTCGAACTTGGCGGGAGATTCCTAGCGAAACCAAAGCACCGCTTGGACATGCTTTTAAGAGTTTCACGACTTGGGATTGAGTCAGTGAGGAAATATCGTCGCCATTGATGCTCAGTAGCTTGTCGCCTATCTGTAAGTCGCTGGATTGAGCTGCACTGTCGGGTAGAATTCGATTCACAATCAACGGCGATACTCCTCGGTTCGCTGGACAAACAATATCCATCAAATTCATGAAGAAAAGGTACCTGAAAGAGCAGTGTCTCTGGAAGTAATTGTGAATCCCAGGCCGCTGTTTCCTTTGAAGACTTCTATCTCCAGCTTTTTCCAGCGTCCTGTTCTTCTATTCGCGTTTATTACATTTGTAGCGGCTTTGAGCTCGAAATTTGAGGAATTCTCAAGATGTTGCTCGTCGCGAGCATCATCGGACATAAGACTGAAAAGATCTAGTAAGAAAAATGCAAGTTTCTATATAAAAAGCTACATTACAAAGCTTCTCTTTTCACTCATCGAGTCATAACTCAGAAAATAAAGGCGTAAATAATAAAATAAAAGCCTGCGGAAATGAGACATAAAGCTATTTTTACGAGCGATTGGAAAGTTTAAACTGGACTAACCTCGATTCCAGTGATTGTATCTCTTGAATGACGTCTTGCGTCACCACTCTGAGTACGATTGAAGGCTCTTTGAATGCTTTTTGAACAAATTCGTTTCGTGAACTAACACCTTGGCTCACGAGCAGTTAAAAAATGAAGCTGCGTCACGTCAGAGTAGACATAGACAAATTGAGTCAATAATACCCCCTAAGAGAAAATATTATTGGCGCTGTTTCGTGAAATACTGCATTTCGCAGTCTACAGAATAATCCTCGTGAACCATTCCTGAGCGATCCAGAGGCAAGCGAAATGTTGTTTACTGTAACTGGGTCAATAACTGACAGGATCGAACCGACTGTAACAATAAAATCAACCCCTGACCTTCTAGAATTCCGTCGCCAGGAAAAAAGAACTGCTCTCTATTGGCATTTCTGACTGAAGCAACTTTGAGTCCCAAAACTGCTCCATCAGATCTTGAGCTTTTCCAATCGCTGAATTCGATTCTCATCTCATCACGAGGATCTCGGTTGATTTTCAAAATAGTTGAATGCTGAATCAAACTCATTAAACTTACTGTCTATCAAGAAAAGATTCACTTGATTTGAATCATCTTATCAACTTTGACGCAATTTACAAACCTGAAAATAGACTGAAATCGTTGCGTCCGAGTAAAATCCCTCGTCGTCTTTGTTCTCGTCTAAATTGTGTCCTTCGCTGCGGAACTTTTCATAGTCAAACTCGCTGCTTCTCAGGGAATGTCTCGATCTATTCATTCCACCGCGGGAGAAAGTGGATATTTCCGCGATGGAGTTCAGTGGACTCGAAGTAGCCGGTTCCTCTTGAAGCCTAAAACACAGTCATTCTCCTTTCACCCGGTCATGGGATCGGTTGATGAGTCACGAGCAGATCAGAAGGATTATTCGAAGGGATGATGAATCACTCATCTTTCTCCCGCGGATGTAAAATTAGCTCCTTTCGGGGTGTTAAAAATCTGCTCTTCAAAGCTCGGCGACTTCCGCGTCCGACATTTTCTCACCTTTGATGGTTCGGATTCTGAATGGGACTGAGTCCGAGGGAAGCTTCTCCGGCCAGCCGCGGGTGGCAATAAGGCGAGGACATCAGCCCAGGTGTCGTGTCCTCTAGTGTTTCTTCTTCTTCGTCGTAGACTGCGACGAGGATTTCTTTGTCGTCAACGACGTCTTGAACCAAATCGTCGCCGCACAGCAGGGCGCCGTCCGAAGTTTCCAATTTGAATACATGGCAGTTTTTGTTGAGCAATTTCAGATAGCGGTAGGCAGCTTCAAAAGAACAATTATAAAAATAGAATTAAAAACAATAATTTTTCATAAAAGACATCAAATTCGATCTTTTTAGGTCACTTTATTTGACGGACCCTTATACTTCAAACCTCGTAAAATTGAGATTTGAGGTCAAAGGTCCCAATATATATCGAATTTCCATACCTTGTTGCATAAGTTCGTGAACAGTCTGGCTCGATTGACTTGGCACAACGACCCTGGTGTACCCGAAAGCGATTGTAACTTTCATCTTTTCAATAATTCTCTCATTTCTGAACGGATATTCGTTTTGAAAATTTGCTCTCATTTTCTGCCCCTTCCGCGTTTTCTTTTCAACTCTATTTTTAGATCGCAAAAAGTGAAAAAGTTTCTTCCGTTGCCAAAAAAAGAAGATTTCGCCCGTGGCGCGTTACTTATTTTTTCTTCAAAAAACGACTGTACCCAACAATTGGGGATAAACACTCCAAGTGACAAAAGCGCGCCCTTATTCCGACAGCTTACGTGGAAATTTGATTGATTCCGAATATCAGTCAATCAATCATCCACTTTTTATATTCAAAAGTAAGACACGCAGATGATAAATATTAAGAACGGTCAAAAGTTTATTATTCGGAAAGGAGATGAGAAAACTTAAGAACTTGAGAAACTGGAGAATAAACTTGACAAAAATGAACAATTTGAAATTTGAAAACCGAGTAAAAGACATAAGCGCGCTTGAAATGAGCCATAAAACATCAGTTATTATTAGTAAAAATGAATAGTCGAATTTCTAAAAATCTTTTAGAAATTTAAATTAAATTTGAAGAAAAATGAAAAATTAACTTTGATCTTGAGGCGACATTTGATGGTTCGTTTTCTTGATGCCTATCTTATTAAATAAAACTTGAATTTATCGCCGTGAAAACGCTGATTTATGAATCTGGATTAAAAAAATTGAGAATTGGAACGACGAGAAAACGAGGCTATTTTGTAATGAGATGATGGTAATCTTCATTATTCGTGTTGTTAAAGTTTAATTTTGAACATTTAGAGATGAACATTGAGGAGCAGAAGATTCGGAGATTTGAACAAGAAGCTCAGAAGTCCAAGGCGAGATAGATGTGATCCTCGCTCCAACCGGCGGCGGGAGGGATGAGCTCGAAGTCAAGAAATTGACACAAATTTCGAACTAAATAGGCCATAAGAATTTTGTTTTAATGATGCTAGTAGGTGTACCTGTCGTTCGAAGGTCCGATCGATTCTTGGGGATCGCCATCATGCAGCTTTGATACTGTAACTCGTCTTCGCAAAAACTATACATATGTATGGTCAACTTCCATCAATAATAGAATTCCTCTTCTTACCTCAGAAGTTCGACGAAAGCCTGTTTTGAAGCTGTAGCCTCGGAATTGCCCTCCACGACGATCACCTTTGCTTTTTCAAAAAGCAGGCATTCTAAAAAAGACAGTCAGAAATCGGTTCGCTCGTTGAACTTGTCATACCAAATTGTAGTGCGTGGCAAACTCCATGGACATTGACATCGATCGCAGTTTCCTCGCCTAGCTCGGGCAGAAGTGCTCCTGGTTCGTCCAAAGTGACCAGGGTTGGAGCTTGGAGCCGATTCGAGAAGCTCTGAAATGGGGATTGAAGTTTTCATTAGAAAAAAGGAGGTGAACTTACTTGTCGTTTGTCATTGTCCATAATCATTTTGTTGGCCATTTGTCTTTTCTTACACTGCGGGCCGCACTCTCCGACCTTGGCCAGGGCCGGATTGACGGCTATTTTGCGACGTTTCTTCTTGGCACTCATTAGCAGCGGCGCAGCACTGGCTTTTGTTCATACAATTACTCGGTGCAGGAAAAAACTCAACCCTCTTTCGTAAGTGCTTCTTGCGCAGCAACAATACACACAGTCTGAAATTGACTTTGATCGTACTGGAGAAATCTCGATAATTGAAAAATACAGGGATTAGCCCCAGTTTTGAGACGGAAGTGGCTCTTGAACTTGCTATTTTTGAGATTTTATCAATTTTCTATTTATACATGGATTAATTGATATGCTATAGACGACAATTTTAATTCTAAAATATTTTAGTAAAAAAATCAGAAATTAATTAAAAATAAAGAATAAAAAGTTCGAAGAATCATCTGTTTTTTCACAAGTTTGTAGAGCAAGGAAATTCTTCCGGAAGAAAAATCTCTGCGGCCAAATTTGCTTCAGTAGCGAAACAGTTCTCGGAATCTGAAAAGCAGCGCAGTTCGAGTTGAAAACAAGAGGCGGACTCGGGAGAGCGCTGAATTGGAAAGCCACCCTCGCCCCTCGCTTATTGGCCCGAGCACCCTCTCACTCTGTCTCAAGGTCAGGCAACCATTATCATACAGTCATCTACTGTATTAGCGGCGTTCATCTGATAGCTACTCTTGTCTCAGATAATTTCGAATAAAATAACTCGGAAAAAATTTTAATTTATTTGTCAGAAAATTTGGGTCCGAAATTAATGATTGATGCAAAAGAGCTCTATCTAAACATTTTCACTGGCATTTCCTCTTGAGTATCTTTCCCTTCTATGGTTCGTGATTTTCTTGTAGCAACAGCAAAGTAGGTAAAATATGATGACCAGCACAGCGACGATAAATATAATCGGAAAGAACAGGAAAGTTGCTTCATAAGATTTACCCATTTGTTGATTTTTAATTTTTAAAGAAGTAGATCCACCCATCTTCTCTACAGTGGTCATTGTTCTAATTCAAGTCCATTTCCGACCATTTATTAGATGGAAATTTAATCGGAAGAAACTCCTTCCTTTTCAACGAAGCGTAATCACAATCATAATCCGGTACTTGCCGAGTTTTGGCTAATCAAATTTATTCAAAATACGAGATGTTAGTAAATTTGAGTCCGAAATCAATGGTTGATGCATAATTTATGCAGCATAGAGGGCAAATGGTCTTTGACAGTGTTAGTGTATCAGTTGCAGTATTTTCGAAAGTCATTCACTGGTCGAACGAGTATATGTCGACCAAACATTCCTCTCCGAAAGATTGTTTGCAGGTAGGACACCGTCCCCTGTCTTCGTATGGGAAGTCGTCATCCGTGGGATCGAGGATATTTACGAGGCATCTGTGGCAGGCAACATGACCGCATCGTCGAAGCACCACTCGATGGACGCTAAACCAACCGTGGGATTCTTCAGTGAACTCTTCCTTACAAACACGACAGAAGTCGAAAAAACCTAAAAAAATATTGGAATAGATATTTTTAGAAAGAGTTAAGCTACCTGTTTTCTTTTTTTCTTCTTTGATGTCCTCTTCGCCTGTGACCTCATGGTACTCGTAAGAAAGCTGCTTGTAGCGCTTCACAACCATGTTCACCTCTCGAACTTTGTCTTCCAGCGTTCTCTCCATCGGTTCTTGAGCTTTCTTTTCGTCCGCAAGTTCTTTTTCTGCTTCCTCTAGCTTTTTCATAGCCGCCTCTACTTCTCTCTTGAGTACTTCTCGATTTTGCTCCTTACGCTTGATGATTTTCGCCTTTTCGTCAAATTTGATCTTTGCCTCGATTTTCTCTTGCTTGATTTCTGCATGGAGAGTTTTGACTACCTCGAGCTTCTTTCTCTTCGCTTAAATTATATTAAGAATTTTACTTCTGATTTTTATTACCTTTTTCATTCTCTGTCAACCATTTAGAAGCTTGCTCACAGCAAGATCCGAGGTAGAATTCGCGGAAAGAGATTCTCTCCGACTTACAGCTTCCGTCGGTATTGAAAGCTGGGCATTTGAATTCCGCGTCGGTCTTGTCGAATGTTCTGTCAAGAAATCTGTGGCCATGCTTCTTTTTCACGCACTCTACGCATAGTCTCTCGTCGTTGATTTCGACTGTCTTTGCGGGTACTCTAAAAAGCCAGTAGCATAAGTCATGATTTTAAGTTCTTCATTTAAATTAAATATTATCCTTTAATTCTTACCCGTCGCATTCAGGTCCAACGCATTTTCCAAACTGTCCGTAGGATGTGACGGAATCGGGGTGAACAAGTTCGAAGTCGTCTGGTTTCTTAATTCTTAGCTTTTTTGGTGTTGATGAAGATTCGGGAATGCCGATGGATTCTTCAAAACTCCCGGACCTTTTCATTTTTGCTGCACTTGTTTTTCTGCGGATCCCTCGTCTCGGAGCGTATATATGCGGGGGTTCGCTCAGAAGAGGGCGCCAGATACTGATACAGTTGGAAGGTTGGACTCCAACCGGGCGCTTTTTGGTTTTGCAGATGGTTTGATGATTATCTTTGAGCAAATTTTCCTCGCTAGGTTCAACTTAGTAAGCTAAGGTTAAGGTAGGCGAAAATTTTCTAGCTTGAATAATATGCTTAGCCTGATATGAAAGACAATCAATTAAATCCTTGGTTATCCTGTCCATTATGATTTCATAGACCACTATGATTTCTGTCAATTCTGAAGCATCAAAAAGGAAGATATTCATCGATAGTAACGATTTTTGAGCACTGAATGAGCTCAAGATCAGCAGATTTCGAGAGTCTTTCACCTTTAGAAAAAGTCAAGGGGGATAAAGAGACACAAAAGAAAATCGTAAAGATGACCATTCCTCCAAAACCTGGAATGGACAGAGATGAGCCTTACAAAATGTATTTCCAGTTTCTTATTGTCTGCTCATTTTAATTGTCGAATTTTAGTCCATGTACGATTCTCACGAGAGATTTTGAGCATCATCTGAATGTCCCAAAGGTAACCCTTGTCAACTTTTTATAATAAAAATGACAATTTAGCGACTTCGCTTTGTATGGTCGAAAATCGGGACATAAAGGGATCATTTATGTAAACGGATAACTGCGTATTTATCGCAAATGATCCTTTAAAAGTCACTCTACGATTTTTTATTCTTTTCTGTTTCTATGAATTCTTTGACTTCTGCTGGGCAGCTGAGTTGATCACATCTAATGTCTACCGCCTCATAAAAGTAGGATTATTTCTTGAACGAATGCAAAGGCCAAATTCAGCCTGCTTTGCCAATAATCGATGTCAGTTGCATTCTATTCCTTGTCTGGTACTTCCTCGTTGTCTTCTTCCGTGAAACGAGAGCTGAAGAGAAGGAGTACAAAATAGCATCATACTGCCACAAGAAAAAGCGCTGGATCGTGCAAGGCTCCGAAGTTATGGGGCTCAAAATGATCAAAAATGACTTCACTTAGAAAATAATGAGCTCCAACTATAGATGAATATACGATTCCTGCAAGTGGACACGAGATACATTCTGGTTTTATGTAGAATAAAGCGTTATTTGTTTGTTTTATTAATTTATTATTTGAATGAAGGAGGAAGTCTAACAGGTTCAAGTCGAAAGTCTTGTGAGCCGCCGTGTGGAAGACTTGCGCTAAATCGGCGCTCGTTGATTGCGAAAGGATTGCCAGTAGGTCGCTCAAATGTTTGGGACGGATTATCTCTTATTGAACTGAATATGCTCGGAAGAGGGAAGAAAGGATAAACTGTACCTGACTCTGGATCGTCGATAGAAGCGATTCACCAGAAATATTCCGAGGCAAAGAATGATGACGAAGAGAATTATTGGGATTGTGTAAGCTAGACAAACGATAAAAATGAAAGTTATGGTTGAAAAGGACGATTACCTAGCGGAGAAACGTAAGCACTTTTAGGGGGAATATCCAGATACTCTTCGTTTAGGTTTCGGAGGTTTGAAAGATAGTTCTAAGTTTCAAATGAAAACGTGCCATATGCAACTATAAATCTTACGTAAGAGTTTCTATCCGCATTGAAATGGGAGCTCGTTTTTTTTTCGCCTCGTCGTCGAAGGTTATCACCGCACTTGCGATTGTTCTCTTCCGAATTTACACAGACTCGGCAATCGTCTTTATTGTCATCGGGACACGGAGACCACTCAGACCAGTAGACTTTGAAAATTAGATTTTATTAAATATGCTTAATGTGCTTACGGGGATAGACGAATTTGTATCCAGAGCCGAGATGGTGATTCATTTCCGGAGGGCAACTGGTATTGCCCTGTTCTTCGGAGCAGCAGAATGCATGCTTGAAGTCATTGCATCCGGAAGCTGCCTTGCAGTTATGATCGCAGCGATTCCAGAGCGTGTTGTACAGGAGCAACTGTCTTTCACAAACACGGGTTTCGTGGTTGCATTTGCACCCTTTAGAATTTCGATTAAGGAATCATTTTATTGACCAACCTTGGTGGGAGGTTCCATGACTCTGCCAGCAAGGGATCGAAGTTGAAACGTAGTTAACTTTCTCAAGTGTTAGAGATCCAGGATTATTGTAAGGGTACCCGAAGTTGGAAAAGTCAAAGCTTGGGCAAAACTCAACGCCTGGCCGGGTTGAGTAGCACCTGTTTGTGCACTTCTGAGTTTTCGTATTCACGAAGCGCCATTTACATGACTGGTCCACATCATCTTGAAGGATTTAATATTGAGTAAAACGATTTGATTTTCTTACCGGAGCAGAGAACTAGAGCAAGTTGAGGAATCGTCGCGTGCTGATAGATGAACGGCTTCAAGTAGGTATTCACAGCGGAAATAGTGTAATCATAAACAGCGTAGTACATCCCATCTACTTGGTGTCTCGTGTCTACAACATGGATATGCTCTGCACATGATCGCTGCTCCACAAGATGGAGGTTTTCAAGATACTCCCGCGCAGCAGTATACAGCCCCTTTTGAAACTGTGGTCCCTTGTCACTCTCGTAAACCTCATTCAACTCTGCGAGCGAGCATTTTTCTTCGAGACATTCCCGCTCTGGAATAAAACAGGTCAAATTGAATGCTCGAAAGTGAGTTTAGTTAACCTAGATTATCGTTGTTGCTAAAAAGTGAACCCTCTTCCAAGTGACTTCTCGTATTTTCTCGTCTGTCTCTGCCTAAGAACTGACTGGCCTCTCTTTTGGAGATGCGTAAACTGTCCATTGCTTATTAAATTTGTCTTCTGAGATCATCTGAGTATCTCATCTCATATTTTCACGCGATTCAACATAAAAGCGGAAGTGCCTGTGATTCACTCTACTTTTCCTGCTCAACTTTTCAAATATTTTATCCCTTTGCTTAAAATTTCCCTGCAAGAATAAAATATAACCAAAAAGAACGATCAAAATGATCTCCTTTGAGAAGAGAGGTTTTTTTCCTGCCTACTGGCATGGCTTTTATTTTGAGAATTATCCGAAGATGTCGAAGCCCATGTCTTCCTCGGATTCGGAGGAGGACTCCTTCTTGGCCTCTTCCTTGGCTTCCTCAGCGGCACCACCGGCGGCGGCAGCACCACCAGCAACAGCGGGTCCAGCACCGACACCGGAGCTGATGTTGGAGATCAACTCGGAGACGTCGCAGTTCTTGAGGGCACCAGCGAAAAGTCCGGGCCAGAATGGCTCAACATCGACGTTGGCGGCCTTGAAAAATAAATAAGAATAGGGAGACGAGAAGGAAAGAAAATACCTTGAGGAGGGAGGCGATCTTGTCACCAGAGATGTCGACTCCATCATCGTTGAGGATGAGAGCGGCGTAGGTGCATGCCAATTCAGCGGACATTTTTGGTTGAAATCCTTTTTAAATCGTCTGAAAAGGAAGCTATAAGTGACCTGAGCTAAGATCCAAACAATGAGATCTTATTGAAGGCAAAAGGCAGTGAAAAATTTTTAAAGCAGCTATTTACAGTGAATAAATACAGAAATACAAGTCGATGGGGATTTCACCACTCAAGCAATTCGTCGAGATAGATACAGGTCTCGGGCGAGATTTGTCCTCCCGGTCGGCATTGCTCCACCAAAGGACAGACGCCACACGGTGTGAAGGAAAGTCCAGCGGCGACAAGAGGCTTGTCAGTCAAGGTAGCGTGGTATTCGTCGCCTCTTCGGTCAGCAAAGCCTTCCAAAACGAGAGCGTCGAGCAACTGGCGGCAATCGGTTTCTGTCAGGAGAAATTTGACGAAGCGTTTTTCATTCAACCAGTCGGCAATTTGACCTGGAGTCACACTCGCAGCGCGGAAGAGCAGAGCTGGATGTCCTTCTGTCGCTTTTTGGGCATCTTCAAAATTTTGTATGAAAGAGAAGTTCTGAAAAGCACCTACCCATGATTTGCCGAAGATGAGGCTTGAGAATATGAGTGATTCCATCGACAAGTTCCTTGTCAAATCTGTCGTTGTCGTAAAACGCACCGCCAGTGACTGTATGATCGGGCGTTACGTCGTACAGGAAGTACTTTTGCTTCGGCGTTCCAACTTTCTTGATCAGCTTCTTTTTCTCAAACTCGTCAAGGGTGCGCGTCAAATCTTTCTTCTTTACGTCTAGTTGAGCCATTATTTCGGATTTCAGGACTCCTAGGTTTTTTCCTTCCGCGATAAGCCTAAATCAGCTTTTAGGAGAATAGGGGAATCGGGGGATAAATAATGGGGAAAATTTAAAATCACCTGTAAACTGGCTCTTCGGACGCAGAAACAATCGACGGAATATTAATTTCGTCCTTGTAGGAATACGCCATGGACCCATTCTTCGCCTTGGCAAGTTCGACTTTGTTCGCCATGACGAGCTCGTTGATGATATTCGCTCTATCCATGATGGAGATGTCTGGACAGCCTTTTGGAGCTCCTCATCGCGAACGGGCTTTCCTCCGGCGCTTTTGATCAGAGCGAGAATCGCCGCTTCTTTACGCATTTTGTCCGATTGAACGAAGTCTAACGATGGTTCCTTTTTAATCTCCATTCTATAAGCAGCGAAAATAAATACAAAAAGATTATTTTTTATCATCTGCTTCCATCCATAAGCAGAGACAGAGAATCAACTCATCATCAACTCAGTAGATAGAAGCAGGGTGTTTTTATAGGAGTCGACTGGTTCAGAGAGCAACAGAAAAAGAACTGGCTCGGAGAAAGAGCGATTCCAGAGGGTTGGGCCGCGAGTAATTTACAAGCCAATCTTGGATCGTCGCCAGTGTCGTCGCTTGGCGTTGTACCGGATGTTGGTGTCGGTCTTGAATCTGAAAGCAGAACAGTTGATCTCTATGGAAAATGAGAAAGCGAAGATTTCCTCGGAAAATAAACTTTTTGATCAAGAGAATTGATTTTCCAGCGACTATTTTTCTCGAGTAATATTGATAAATTTTTTTCATAATAAAATTTGGACTTACCGGAACCAAGTGGGAACAGGTCGGTTCTGTTTCTGCTTCTTGGCGAGGATGAGCTTGTTGCGGAGGGATTTATGAGCCGCCATGTCTAAAATCAAACGGTTTTTTCACTTTTCGATCCATTCTCTTTCACTTCGTTATTTACAGTAACAATTTTTCTCTACAGAACACACCCCATGGGGCCAAAAAATCGAAAAGAACTCCGGAGTTTCCGATTTGAAATATTCACCGCGCTCATTTGCCAGCGTGACTTCGCCCACGCGATACGCGCGCCAAAATGACTCATTTGAGTATTTTTTCCATTCTTTGGATTTTTTCACAGAAGTTTCTTCGGAGAACATTCTTCAGTGGGATCAATCAACTAATTATCATTCTGAGGAGCAAATTATTAAGAAAAATAGTTCAGCTCTTTCCTGAAAGTCTAAGCGTCATTATATGGTTTCAATCTGCAAGTTAGAATTTAAAAAGTCCGATGATTTATCGGATTACTATCGGACACCTACAGTTTTTCCCTATCGCCCTGCTTATTGAGCACGAGTCTGTCCTTGTTAAACCTTTTTCTAATGAGCGAAATGGTACCATTTCGGCCCCTAACTAGCAAGGAACTGCATAATTTATTAAATCTCTCAAAAGTACAAGAACTTCTAAGTTAAAGTAAGCTTTATTTGCATGAAATATTAACACATTGTTTCGCACCGCATTCGACGGGATTTTGGAAGCTTCGCAGGACTTCGTAACTTCAAATCGTCAAATCATCACTTACAGTAGCTCTCTTACCATAGTCGTTTCTGAGGAATAAGGAGCAAACTTTGCCTTCAGGTAGCCTCCCCAATCGACGACCAGGAAAGCAAGGCTGATTGGAAAATAGCAGTTAAAAAGGACCGATTTTTTTACCTGAGAAAAAGGAATATTGCCGGCACTAGGTAAATACGATTAGGTTAAACAGTTTATCAGGTTAGAGATTTAAGAAATAAAAACCAAAGTAGGTTATTTTACCGATAATTAATGCAAATATTCTTAAAGCGGTTCGTATTTTTCATCGGATTTTCAAGGTACCGACGAGTTAAAAACCATAGCTACTAATGATCAAATCGCTTCCTGAAAATCAGGACTTTATGCAGCTCTGTTGAAAATTCTGTCTCTGCATTTATCTTTGGATTTCCAAGTTGTTCTTCTCTCATCACTTTCAAGAGCGGGATTTTGCCCTAGAATTCTCTTTCGGAACAGACTCTTCAAATCTCCTGTCACCTGTAGTTCTTCGATTGCGAAGTTTTCCAAGTTTATGAGAGCGACCGAGCTCATTTTTGAAGGAATAAAAGTTCAGGAATTCGAAAAGTTTGGCTTGTCAAGTTAATCAGATTTGTAATTTTAAAAGTGAGGAGTGGCGGACGTGGCGCCCCTATCCAGACATAAATAATTACAATAAGGGAGGGCCTTCTGGAGCAAAATCGTTGTGACCACTGGAGAGCACCTCAAATCGATAGTTGAACATTAATTAGGACGTAAAGATGCCGACAATGTCCATCAAACCATGCAACCTGCTGCAAGAAATTTAAATCATTTATCCATCAACATCTGTCAGCGATCCTTCGCCCTGGATCAGGGGTTCTCTTCCTTGATTTCTGCAGAAAAAAGCCTGCTTTTAGAAGTCAACAGCAGGGTGGAACGTTGGGGCAAGAAAATTGAATTTGGCCGCCCGATTGCCGCCCGACTTTTTGCCCGCCCGATTTGCCCGGGCGCCGACTTTTGCCCGGAAATTTCGGCAACCCCCAAACCAAAAAATATGTAAATTTATTGAAGAAAAAGCATTATTTTGTATCCCGAAGGAAGAAGGGCACTCATGGAGAACCGAAACCGGACGTTTTAAATAAAATTCCAGTATTTATGTCCCTTTAGATGCCATTTTTTCTTCTGGGCGCCGACTTTTTCCCGGGCGCCGATTTCTGCCCGACTGCCCGATTTTACCTCGTAAAATCGAGCCTTGAGCCGCCCGATTTGCCCGCCCGCCCGATTTTTTGCCCGGTTTGCCCGACTTGCCCGGTCCCAACGTTCCACCCTGGTCAACAGAGGGCCCATATTTGCAAATAAAAAAAAAACTCATGAAGCTACCAAAAGATCTCATGCATAGAAATACACATTGAAAGCAATCGGTAGCTTTTCAATTCAATTTCAACGCTGTGTTTCATTACAAGTACATGTTTTTATCAATTTGCTCAGAGCAACAGTTTTCGGTGAACTTCGAGGATTGTTAACTAATGAATCGTGAGCCCAAAAATTGTTGAGAATATAGAAATAGCTAAAAGTGAGTTTGGTTGTACCCAGGGTGGCTATTTTGGACAAAATTTTGGGGTCTGGCCATCCAATTTCCATCCAATAAATTTTGAGCCGGAACTATCCATCCAAAATCCAATCCAACCCAATTATTACCCAATTACCCAAAAATCCCCAATTCCAATTAGATCCAATTGGATTTCCAATTTTTCCAAGGCTTTTATCTCTTTGAAAAGAAGGGAAACAGTAAGTTTTTATCCAAAAGGAGGGTCAACATAGCCAAAACAATGATTTTTTATCCGAAATTTCTCATTTTCATTATGAAAATGACCCTTCTTTGCATAGTTTAGCGATATATTTTTTATTGGATCCAATTCCCCAATTTCCCCCAATTGCCCAATTTTCCCCAACAAAATCCGGTACCCTGGCCATCCAAATTCCATCCAAACCTTATTGGATTGGATCCAATCCAATTCCAACTAACCCCCAAATCCAAAATAGCCACCCTGGTTGTACCCGTGATTCAAATAAAAATTGGAATAGTCGAGACAGAAGAAAAAAGGTGAAGATCTGTTTGTTTAGGCGAGGGATCCCAAGTAATCACGCACTTCGGAAGGCTCAAGTCGCTTGAATCCGTTTTCGCCGCAGACGCCAATTTCGATATTTGATTCGTTCATTTGTCCTTGGAAAGAGGTTGAAGAAGCTGCTTTTATAGGAAGAATTACCTTCAAAGGATTCCTTGAGCGTTAAAATGGCAGTGTGGACGGCATCGTCCAATTCGAGGTCTTCATTGTACCTTCGTTCCAAAAACGATCGAGCGTTGAAGTAGTTTTTGCCTGAACACGAAAGTCAACTTTTGTTGTATAAGAAAGATTTTACCAAGAGCAGTCGCTTTCCAAGGGTAGTAGCAGCCGGACGGATCACACTGGTACAACATCGGCCCTTTGCTGTCGAAGCCGATTATCAAGAGCGAAATTCCAAATACACGAACACCTCCTTGTTGAGTGTAGTTCTGAATGAAAAATCAATGAGCAGGAAAGCGCGGAGAAAGGTCGAACCTGAAAGATTTCAGCGACGGTCTGTACGAGCTGTTCAGTGGGAATGTCCTCTCCATATCTCTGTTTGTAAGCAGCAGCTTCGTGTCGAGCATGTTTGACAATGACGCGATAATCAGGGCCCATTCCAGAGTAGACGACGCCGATATGCGGGCAAATTGTCTCAACCTAGAAAAGTGGTGAAAATAGGATGAAAGATAGGGATACCTTGTGGTAGGAAGTTTCATCTTGCAGAGCTGACTTGTGCTTCTTTTCTGTTGCAATTACAACGCCATCCTTAAAATTTAACATGAACCACGGTCAAGAAAGTACCCGCTATTCTCTTCTTTGATTTCATGTCCATTTTACCTTGGCCTTTATTCCAACAGCCGGCTGGCCCGCATTTACCGCATTGAGCGCATATTCAATTTGCACAAGTTTTCCTGACGGGTTGAAGGTCGTCAATGAAAACGAATATCTCTCGGACATATTTTTCTAAATGCAGATAATGAGAGACAAACTTCAATCTTCAATTTCTGGATATTTGACTTTTCAAGCTGTTTGGAATTGATTTTGATGACTCGGCAGAAAACGCTTCCTCTTTCAGCTTGAAAAAAGGGACAAGTGACAGTATGTGGCAGCGACAGTTTAGTTGGACGTTGAGAATTTTCATTGAACAGGGGAATAAAATTGTTACTAGATAAGCTCCATTTGCTCTGCGTCGACGTTGTTCGTCATCTGATCATATTCTAGCTTCGCTTCGGCGTACTCTTTCTGGAGATTTTGCTCGCGAATTCTCTGTCGCTTCACTTCAATATCGAGAATTTCGCGGCGGCGGGGGATGGCAGCGTCTTCGACCAGCTTCAGTTGGCTGAAAAGAAATTTGTTTGCAAAACGGACAAATGCTCTAGAAAAGTACCTGAAGACGTTGAGATCGCGTTCGGCGTTCTCGATCTCTGTCATGATCGATTCATAGTTTTTGACAAGATCGGCTGCTCGTGAACGGTATCCTCCGGTTTTGACCTAATTTTTAAAATTGAAAATCAGATAATTTCTTGAATCAGGTGTACCTTTAGGTTCTTTTCAAGTTTTGCTGCGCGTTTGGCTTCTCGTTTCATGTGGTTACGATTGATTTCAAGGCGATTTTCCGCACTCTCAACTTTATTCTTCTTGCTCGCCATCGACGCTCTTGTATATTTTGCCTTCTCTCCCTTGTCCGTTGGAAGGAATAAAACCTACAAAATATTACAATAAGAAATGATTTCGATTCTTACCTCGTTGTAGCATTCGGTCCAGACTTGATCAAAGATGCTTCCACTGATTTCTCCATGATCCATCTGTTCTTTCACTAAATCGAAAAGGTTACTTTTGCTCGAGATCACTTTTGTCTTACCGTAAAGTGCTTCTTCGAGAATAACTTCATTTGCTTCTTCCAAGTCTTCAGCATCGATTTCATCGTAGCCGTTCCTCTCCAAATAAGCAACGTGACTAAAATAATGTTAACCTCGGATTCAATTTATAGCTTGTTTACGTTGCTGGGAGCTGCGCTCGCTTGTTCGTCTTGCTTTGAATTTGGTTATCAGCGGAGTGGTTTAACGCGTCGTAATGAAGCATGGTCAACATTTCGGCCTAAATTTGTATGAGCGATTTTTTCGCCCATTCACTGACCTTGATCATTTCCTCGGCACGCTGATACTCAGAAAGCTGCACGTCGGCCTGTCGCATTATTGAATCATTAATAGCAGAAGGCCGAGGTAGACTAAAAAGTTCATTATGTACGTTAACATTATCGATTCTTTACCTGGTCTTGACCGCAGAGTGTCTCTTTGAAAGTTCAATTTCTTCCAATCGTTTTAGTTCAGCGGCGTGCTTGTCCTCCTCATCGCCCATGTCCACGACATAGTCTTCTGCGCGCTCTCCATCAAGCTCTTCTTGATGAACACCGTCAGGGAGTTCTTCTGGTAGAACGATTTCAAAATCATTTTTTGGGGTGGGTAGACGAGCGAGTCCTTCCCTCAAGTTGGCGATAGTCTCCTCGCCTCCGAATCCAGGAGTCATGCCTCCAGGAGTCATTCCCATTCCACCACCGGGAGTGTTGAGACCGAGTTTATCACGAACAGGGGTTTGACCAGTGGTTTGTCCTCCTTGTCCTGGAGTTTGGCCAGGAGTTCTAAATGGAGTGCCAAGAACAGTGTTTGGTGTCGCTTGAGTCTGCCGAACTGGAGTAACACCGGAGAAGTCACCGATTCCAGCTTCTTCTCCTTCTCCGCCCATCGACTGATCACCAGTGTCGAGGTAGGTATTTTCGCCCCCAGCGAGAGCTGAGTTAGTTTGATTCAGCGCTCGAATATTTTGAGCTTGGCGCTGGATGGCATCAGTAGTTGGAGCAGGAGTGGCACCACCAGTACCAATGGTACGCTGTGGGGTAAGCGTTGAATAGTCAGAGAGAAGCTGGTTATTGCCGTCACTTTGGTCGACAAGTTCCTTAGCTTGCTGCGAAGCCTTTCCTAGCTTGACGACTTCTTGAAGTTCTTCGTCAGTAATTTGAGGCGAGGGAAGAACGATCTTATTACGCTGATTCCAAGGCTTAACCTCCCTTCGTTTGAGAAGATGGAGCATGTCGTTTTCACGGAGCTCTTTCATCCGCTGCTGATCTTTCTTTCGCTCTCTTGCTTCTTTCTGAGAGTGCAGTTCCGGTTCGATGTCTTGCTGCGTGAGCTTTCGGAAGTCCTTATCGTCTGGGTTGAATTCGTCGTCGTTGGTGTCATAGAAACCCTTCGGAACATCCTTTTTGAAAGGAATTTCAGCGTTATAGTCGACCATTGCTCGTTTGTTTCGCTTAAATAGACTTGGAATCAATCGGCAACGAATTCCAGCAGCCTTCATTTCTCGACGCTTCTGAATCAGAGCTAGTCGTCGAGCTTCTTCCAGTTGCTTTTCTCGAGCCTTTCTCTTGGCTTTTTTACCCTGTGTGTTGGCCAGACGAGCTCGAGCTTCTGACAACATTTCAAGCTCATCTTCGTCCATATCAACTGGATCAGGTCGTGCTGGTTTCGTTTCTGGATTCGGATCAATCTCACCCGGCTTGAGTTTTCGAGGATCTTCTCCTGCTTCCAAGCCAGCTTCTCGATCAGCAGCTTTGTCAAGCAGATATTCGTAGTGCTCCAAACATTGCGAAGCCGTGCGACCGATGATAGGGGCAATCGTTCGCCACTGCGTCGGCATAAGCTTCGCAAGATGCAGCAACTTCTCTTCCTCTTCCCGACTCCACTCGGTCTTTTTGATATTTGGGTCGAGCCACTCGTACCAACGCGCCTTACACTGCTTCGCTGCTTTTCGATGAAGGAGAGACGCAATTCGACTCCACTGGTTCAAACCGTACTTCATCACCGCCGCCTTGAGAATTTCATCTTCTGTGTTTCGCCACACGCCTCCCTTGATTTGCATCCGCACCATGGCTGCGAAATTTCGATTTCCACTCTAAGAAAATTAAATTGAAAACATTTTCATAGAAGGTACTTTGTTTGAATATGAAAGTTTGTTCTTGAAACAGAAGCGGACTTTTGATGAAATTGAAATGCGTCTAGGAGTTATTGAGAAACATATTTAAATTAGACTGGAAACATCCAGTTGAAACAGCATATCATAAAAATACCGAAATATAATTCAAAATGATTGTAATCTAAATAAAACAACAGATAACTTTGTCGAAGATACTTTTCTTAGCTGAGGAGGTTACTTGCAGAGTCAATATTCACTTATTGCACATTGAATAAGGCTGATCACTCAACTCTCTCTTCTTCAATATATTATTTCTGTACAAAAAAGGCTAAGATTAGGAAGAAGAGAAAGACATGAGCAAAAATAATAATAGAATGCACCCTTCACAAACAGTAGAGAATACAACAGATAATGAAGAAAACGATGTAGATAATTAATGAGATTGGGTACGTGGCATCTCTAACAACTGGAACTAGTCGCACTGTATTGTCATAGGAAACTGTAAACATCGCGGGAGTACGTTCTTTTTCGGAAGGGAGGAAGCAGCAGGCGGTAACTGTAGCGTCATGGACATTTTCTTTTCTAAAACACAGTTGAGACGGCATTAAAATCTTGCTTGCTACCTCAAAATAAGCTCCATCCCACAAGATGAAAAAACATCCACGCTTCCATCAGAGCATCCCAGCCCAATAAGCTTGCCATCATCTGATACAGTCATACTAGAGACTTTCTGTGCGAGCTCTCTCACAACCACTGGCTCTGCGAGACGATACAGTTCGTCTTGAGGTTTCACTCTCCAACCGGCTACTAGACACGGCGTCGGCGGTTTTGTCATTCTTCGAGGCTCGTGAGCGGAAACAATGCCGAACTCATTTGGATTGGATCCTTTGAAATCCAGTTTAAATGCAGAATAGAGGGATAAAATTACCTGGAATAAATTTCACAGATCTGAATCTATAAGCGTCTGTTCCTTGACTTATGAGAAATAGCGTGTGCAGCTCCGTACAAAGCTTGCCGTTTTGCGCGTCATGGAGAAAAGCTGAATTCGAATAGTCAATAAACAAAATTCCCCTATGATTTTTGAACCTGTTCCGTCTCTAAAGGCAGAGACAAGCCATTTCGAATCAGGTGACCAGTCGATGCATTGGATTTCATCGTTGGCGATGTTCTTCCACTTCCAAATTGGCGCTTGTTGCGATGCAAGATCCCAAACTGATATCGTTCTAAAATCAGATACTGACGCTCGTCCTCTTTCTATTTTCCTACCCATCAGATCCAGCACAAGCGATGCGTTGTCCATTTGGACTAAATTTCACACCCTTTTGGAAGTTCTTTGTGTCCGTTTGCAGAATAGCTTGCTCTTGCGCATAGAAATTGTCGACTCCTCCAATCAATCCTTCTGCGTGGCGAGCTTCTTTGGAGTCTTTTGGGATGTTCTTTCGTTGCGTCAAGCCATTTTTATTCCTTGAAAATGAATAAAGGGGTCGGAAAGTAAACCTTACTGATTTCCTCCAGCCTTCAAAGGAGTTCGCTTTATGTGATAAACTCGGCATTCTCCATCCCGCCCAAACGCGACAAGCTGTCTTGATCGATGCGTGTCCATGTTCCAAGCGCAAGCTTTTCCCAGACCCAGAGACATCGTTGGATTTGCACTACAACAAATTCACCCCGTGAATGCCTCATTGAACTCACATGACTTCATTTCTCCTCTGGTCAAGTTCAAGCAACTCCACTGCGTTTCGAACGCCTGTCTTTGGCCCTAGTGCTCCTCCACCACCGCCGACCATGACCGATTTCGATTCGAAGGGCGAACAGCAGTAAATTGGGTAGTCGAGTTTGCACAAATTATGCACCCCCGACATGACTTCTTTCAAAACAAAAATTAGCCATCAACTTCAGAAGATTAAATATAATATATTTTGGTGAAAGTTTTTCGAAGAAAGTGAATAGAGCATAAGAAACACTGTCAGAAACATAAGATAGCGACATAAGAAGTACAAACACTGTTTTTTTAGGTTTACTCCCACTTTTTCAGACGCCCTTTATTCGCGTCAGGGCACGAGTTAATCTCTTATGATCAATAGTAAAATGATCCTCGTCATCTTGGGATTCTAAAACAATATTATATATGGATGTTCCTTGGCCAGAGTCATGGAAAATTTTTACGGTTTTACACATAAAATAGGCCATTTTGGGCATACCCTCTCTTCGAATGAGTCATTCGAGGTCATGTGACCTCACCAAGGTCACGAGACCCAGACGAGGACACGCAGCAGAGTCTGGGCTTTCAGAAAATATATAGAAGTATGGGGGTTACAACTAAAGATTTTGAATGCGGTTGGGACAAAGTGGGAGTAAACCTAAAAAAAACAGTGTTACAGTCATAGAACATTTTCTTGAACGATTTTTATTGCTTTGAAAACAGAAGTATAGAATTGTTAGAGCGAATACAAATGCGATTGATTCTTTTTGATGTTGAAATCAAGGAAGAAAATTTAATGAAGCCAGAAATTCATCAAATTTGTGAACTGTTTTTATAAAATCTTTATAAAAGACGTGTAAAAGTGTCAAAAGCATCGAAAGCAGACATGAACGAAGAATGAAAATAGAATAGTAGATAAATAGGGCTGTAGGATAGAGAGACAATTCTCAATAGTTAATGACAATCTCGAAAAACAGACAGTAGCAAACATTAATTTCACTCAATCTTGGAACACGCATGGTCAAACACGTCGACAGCAAAATCAATGTCTTCTTTGTTAACGCACATTGGCGGCTTCACACTAAAACAGACATTCCATTACTGCGAAAGAAAGAGATCACTGACCGGAAAGTTTGTCCGTAAGCGCCTCCCTTGCCGAACAAAACACCCTGGTCCTTGCACTCATTCCAGATCTTGTTGACTTGGGCAGCGGCAAGAGGCTTCGTCGGGTCTCGGTTCTCGCTCATTTCGAAGCCGAGCATAAGGCCCTAGATTCTGTTCAAGATATGCATCTTCGAGCAAACTTACCATTCCCCTGACGTCGCCGATAAAGTCATATTTGTCCATAAGTTTTCTCATTCTTTCAAGGAAATATGTTCCAACAACGTGGCTATTTTCTTGGAGCTTTTCATCGTCGATGACATCCAGCACTTCCATACCAACTCGGCAAGCCATTGGGTTGCCTCCGAAAGTATTGAAGTGAAGAGCCTTAAAAATCATCATCGAATTCTCTGATCAAAATGTACCTTGGACATATTAGAAGCTATTTCTTTAGTTGTGACAACTGCAGCCATTGGGAATCCATTTCCAATTCCCTTGGCCATCACAACCATGTCTGGAACAACATCGTGGGTTTCATATCCCCAGTAGTGCGTTCCGCAGCGACCGAAGCCAGTTTGAACTTCGTCAGCAACGCAAATGCCGCCCATTGATCGAACCTTTTCATAAACGCCCTTGAGGTAGCCCTTTGGATACATGTTCGATCCACCGACGCCTTGAATACCCTGTCAAATGGTTAACGATCGATTGATAGTACCTTGAATAGGTTCAGCCCAAAAACCAGCGAGGTTGTCACCGATATTGAGGTCGATAACGTCATTGAAATTCTTCAAATAAGCTTGGCAGTTGTCGCCATGGTCGCCAGCGTAAGTACATGGGTGAGGAACGTGATGGACTCCACCAATGCCGTGAAGGTTGTACTTCCAGGATCCATGGGAGGTGAGCTAAGATAGGTTGAAATTAACAACAATTCTGAAAAACAAACCTGTCTTGCGTAAGGAGAAGCGCCATGGTAAGCGTTTTGCAGCGCGACAATGTTAAATTTGCCGGTGTGCAATCTGGCCAACATCATCGCCAAGTCGTTTGCTTCTGATCCAGAATTTACAAAGTAGACTTGGTCGAGTCCGTCGGGGAACTTGTCGGCCAGCTTCTTGGCGTATTCATGGATTTGTGGGTACCAGTAGATTTGTGTCGTGTGCCAGAGCTGGTCGATTTGTTCTTTGAGGACTTTGTTGACGCGCGGGTGGCAGTGTCCGACTGAGACGGTCACGATGCCAGCGAAGAGATCGAGGTATTTCTTGCCAGTGTGGTCGTATAAATACTGAGGAAAAGGTAAAGGCTAAAGAAAGGGGGTTTGAAAGTACCTGCATCTCTCCTCGCTCAATCAAAACAGGCTCAGCAAAGTGCGCGGTCATACAGGGGAAAAGATGCTTTTCACGGAGCTCCGCATTTTGCTGGTAGCTCATGCAACGACGAAGGTTACGGAACACTTTGCTACTCATTTTTGTCTGAAAATATCTTATGTCAGGATTGATAGATTGTCAGTTGATTTAAAAATTAGGTCTAGCAGATATTTCAATTAAATTAAAAATCAGTTGGGTTACTGTAGTCTTCGTCAATCGTCTCTATCGGCTCTTGATACTTTTCCGCTGGATTTTTGAGAATGGATTCGGCAGGATCGCTGAAAACAGCATCGATTCCATTTAGCTTCGCCGCCACGAGATGAATGAGGCACACGGAAAATCCATGAAGGAAGATGTATTCGAACATGCTTGACAAACAAACATAATCGAAGAGAAAAGGCATAAAAACAAACCTGTAGAAAAAGTACGCTCCGAGAGCAGCTGTCCTTAGCAGACCAGAAAGCATGTTGATCATGGCCGGCGGGGCAAAGATGGAATTGAAGCCCAGAAAGTGCAGAGTGGCTAGAATCACCGCAGATGTCCCCAGCGCGTAGCCATAGTTAACTCTCAGAAAGTAGCAGCCCATGTTCAGCAAAAGGCAAAGAAAAACTTTTGCAATCGGGTTGAGTGGCGGAGGACCGGCATTTTTGCGCGGTAAATCGTTGGAGCCTCTCTTAAAATCAAAGTCGGCATATTTTCTTAAAAGTTCACGATGGTGCTCGGTAATTTAACGACTCATGATTCTAGACAAAACCAGTTTTAAACAACACGAGTTTGTAGGAGGGGCTGAATTGGGACGTAATAGCCCCAGGAGCCGTTAAAAGTGACCTCGTTATAGAAAAGTTTTTTATTTACCAGGGGATTTTGAGAAGTCGTCAAGTTTCGCTTTCCTCCGTTATTAGGCGCATTTGCCATGATCTTTTCGATTTGCTTTTCGAATTCTTCATTTCCGACCCCAGCCTTGTCATTTCCAGGTTGCGGAAAATCGAGGCCAGGTGCAATTCTATCGCCGGAAATCTGAGCTGCTCCCGCAGCTCCCCGCCCTAGAATTCGTTGTCTTCGTTTTTCAGCGCGAATCTGCGCTGCCGATTTCTTTGGTTGTTCTTCAGTCATTCTAGGGGAGAGAACAGATTACGTTGATTTTGAAGGATATGTAGAAAAATATATTTAGTAGCGTTATAAAATAAAAAAAGAGTCTACAGAATTAGATAGGTGTTGTTCTTGAGCTCTCTCTGCAGCTTCTTTCTTAGTTGAAATAAATGCCAAAAACAATGACGGAGCAGAAGAACTGCTCGTTTTTGAACTGGCTGTGGGCAGATTTGTCCGAGTCCGAATCCCAAATCGCTCGCATTCCACAAGTCACTCCCTGAACCATTCATTTAACTCTATTTCGAACAGCGTGAATTAACCTGTCCACGAAGCTCGCCAACTTTGGCGTCGACAATGAATTTATATCGCTGCGACATTCCAAGAGCTTGAACTTTTTCCAAAATCTCGTTTGTTACTTTTTGATTGAGCTCGTCGAGCGTATCTTATTTTTGGGCTCTTCAGTTTGAAAGTTTTTCTGAAAATGCTAAAAAACGAAGTGGAGCCGTTCCGTTGAAATCGACTCCATCGAAATTCTCGGATAGAACATCGTCAATAACTCGCTTTACAGCTGCTTTGTTGAATTTTTCGTCAGGGCTAGAATTATATAATTACTTCGTTGTTTACGGTAAAGATAAAAGTATTTATCTAGAGATATTTTTATAAATTTTTAGACGAAATGGCTTTCTAGTCCAATTTTTAATTAGAAATTTTAATAAAAATTCTAATTGGAATCCAATTATTGGATCAATTCAAAATGTGAAATACACGAAGTCATCAAGTTTTCTCAAAAAAGAAAAGAACCCTGAAAACGTACTTTGGGCGTATTTGATAAGTATAGTTGGCATCATCTCCAAAACCGAACATTTTCCGTCTTTTTCGCTATTTCTGGTTTCTCCCTCTCTTTCGGCCAATCACAATCGCGCTCCGACGCGCACCATATTCTCCGCTTCGGTACCCTCCCCCAATAAATCAGAAACTGCTACAGTTACTGTAAGAAGGCCCTGAGAAATGCACCTGTCCAGAAAAGTAAAGAGCAATGAGAGATTGATAGACGTGCACTTGAACATTTGCGGCAGCCGGACTTAAAACTCAAGTTTTTCGTTTTTTTCATTCGATGGATCGTCAAAAATTGAATGTGTGGCTGCTGCAGAAGCTTTTATCTATTAAAAAATCGACGAAACAGAAAAATATCCAACTTCATGCGAAAACGAAACTTCATCACTACGAAAATGCGCTTTTCAACCTTTTTTATGGATGAACTCGAATAGATTCCAGCGATGATTGTGTGTCAATATGTCTCAGTGCCAGAAACAACAAAGTCCTGTGAGATTACAGAACAGGAAGAATAACCAGTTTTATATCTCATTGTTCGCAATATGTCGTCTTTGTCGCAATGCGCCGTTGATCTGGCTTTATGGCTGACTTCTATTCTGAGTTGTGAGCAAATATACAGCGCTCAAATACTGCTGCCTCCATTCTAGTGAGTCTCCTCAAACTGATACAACCAACATGGAGAAATATGAAGAGATAAAAAAGCTTGGAAAAGGAGCTCAAGGTAAGAACCCATAAAAAGCTCTGGCGATCGAAATTTTATGCTAGAAATGAACCCTTTAAAAATTTCCCTTTTGATGCTACATTTTCCTTCTTGTACTTCGCCCTTTTATAGAAAGAATGAACGGATATCAGCTGTTTCGTGATAGAGAGATTTTCGTTCTTACTTTCATACAAGTCAGTGGAAGTCTACCATTCTTGGTAGAACCATGATCGTTCTGGCCATATGTTTTTGATTTCAATCATCAAAAAAGACGTAAACCTTTTTCTAAAGACATGGATATTGAAGTTGCTAAGTAAAGGCCTTTGAAATTCCTACTTGACTGGATTTACAAGTTCATTTACTGCCCTTCTTTGGAAATACACCTGAAGAAACGCAGGTGCGGTTTACATCATTGATGTTAAACCAAATACCAATCGATACCCAATGTTTCATCGTGTGTGAATTACGTTTTATTTGGCGTGACATCTACTTTCTCAAGAAATTACTTTATTTAGCATCATGCTACCTGGTCAAACACAAAGCAGAAGGGAAAGAATATGTCCTGAAGAAGATTGAGTGCGACGATGAAGGAGCTGCTCGAAAGGCCTTTCAGGTTCGTTATAGAAACGATTCGATATCATAGAGGAGAAGCATCTGTAGCTAAGGCTCCTGAGAGTACAATAAATAAGTCAAAATGTTTACTGTAGGAAGCGATGGCCCTTAACGAACTCCGCCACCAGTCAGTATGCGGATACAAAGAATTCTTCGTCTTTTGGGACAAGAAAACTTCCGCCATGTACGTTTGCATCATCATGGAAAACTACCCAAAGGGCGATCTAAGCAGAATTTTAACAAATCGGCGAGGAAAGAAACAACTGATTGAATTGCCCATTCTCCAAAAGTGGACTGGACAGATGCTCTCTGGACTGGCGTACATTCATGCCAAGAACATAATTCATCGCGATTTGAAGCCATCCAACATCTTTCTCCGCAACGACCTGACTCTCGCTATTGGCGACTTTGGCGTAGCCACCCTCATGGACGATAAACGAACGAAGACGAGAACAACAGTGGGTTCTGTAAACTGGATGGCGCCAGAAGTCTTTGAAAGGCCCTACGACGATCGCTCGGACATCTGGTCCTTTGGCTGTATTCTGCTGGAAATGGTTACTTGTTCCATTCTTGACCAAAAAGAAGTGCGCGAGCTATTGTTTGAAATCAAAAAGGAAGACAATTCTCTGACGAAAGTGCTCGCCAAAGTTAAGCAAATTTATTCAAAAGAGCTCGCTGATGTTCTCAAAGCCTGTCTTACCAGGAACTTCCATCAAAGACCAAATGCTCAGGAATGCGGTTGTCGAAAGTATTTTAGATAATTGTAGAAAAAATGTATGTTTATTATTTCGATTTGTATACCGAATGACAGGATCTTTGCAAATCCCCCTTTGGCGCTGCTGCTCTCAAATCTTCAGGAATCTCTTCATCAGCTACCAGTGACAAGACAGAAACAAATGCGAAAATACCCGCTCCAAAAGCAGACCTCAACCTCAAAGATTCGATGGCATATCTTGAGAAATACTACAAATCCTCCTCGGCAGCTACAGCGATTCTTCCACGCATTTCTTTCTTCACAAAGAGCGAGAAACTGACTCAGTACTCCCGACCACTTCTGCTCACCATGCTTAGTCACAAAGAAAACGACGCGATCGTGATTCAGTGCCTGAAATTGCTCCAATTTGGCTGCGTCACTTCAGAACTACTACGACCTTTGTACAGTATTGTGCGCACGTCAAAATGTAAAGATGTCGTTAACGAGTCGATGATTATCCTGTCACAGCTCAACTCGGAAAAGTCGATTGCAACTATTGGGTCATTAGGATTCATTCATGAGATTTGCCTCTTCATCAAAAAGTACAAATCAGGTACAGTCCAACTTCATGTAGAATTTCCTTCTATTGTCGATTAATTAGAGAAGGAAGTATTCAAAAACTGTGTGAAGGCATTATGGTCGGCTTGTGTAAACGAATCAAACGCAGAGCTCGCTTCCCAAGAAAATGTTCTTCCGGTACGATTCTTTAAAAAAACTGAAAATTGAACTTGAATGATTTTTTCAGGATGTTTTCGACGGAGCAAGTAAATTCAAGTCTGATGCTTTGGTTACTGCAGAAGTCGTTTCACTTTACTGGGCGTTGTCGCTGGAAGATGCGTGCGAAAAACAGATCCTAGAGTCAGCTGTTCCTGGGATCTTTTTGGCCCTTCAGTTGCATAAAAAAGATGTGAAAGGTTTGAAAATTCGCACGAAGAAGGGACATTAATTTGGACATTTTTAGTTGTTCGAGCGTGTTTTATGGCGCTGACTTCAATAGCTTCATGCGGGGAAGCTGCGTGTGCGAAGATATTGAACCCTTCATCGACGGAAAAGAAAGTCAACGGGCTGATGGTTTTTGTGACGGTTGTCAAGGAACAAGCGAGTGATAAACAAGGGATGGAAGAGTTTGTTCTTCTTATTGATGAAATGATCCAAGAAAAAAGCATAAAAGGTATAGAATCAGTGAAAATCTAAAGCTTTTAAAATATTCCTTTAGAACAGATGAAGAAATGCAGCGCGCTGAAGGCAGAATTGAAGAAGATCCAAACGTACCATAAGAATATCGAAAAACTTTCTGAAATAATCGCTGCCCTGTAAAAAAAAAATAAATAAAACGCAAAGAATGACTTCTTGTTTCTAACATGGCTAAGTTTCAGATTGTTAAATATGTTACTTCTAATAGCGTACGCGCCACTCGGGCTTGCGTTGCTCATACTTCGTCTTGCACTTTTACTCGTTTTGTTTGTGATGCGTGCATTGCTCTGCGCTACTTATGGAGTTACAGACGAAGTAACCGTCAATTTGTCAAAGTTGTATATGATCAGCTGCGGTGTATTTTTAACCTCTTCCGGTGACATTAGCGGAGGTTTGTGACTTTTCTTGTACTGATTAAAACTTTTCTTAGCCACGTATTTTCCAATCAATCGAACGACCTCCTGCGATGAGTTTATCCTAGCCATCACTTCCAAAATAAAAGCTATCATCTCTCCAAGCTCGTGGAGAGGATATTTTCTCAGACGAATTTGCAATATATCAGTCGGAGGCGCAGACTTACAGGGTTCAAAACGATTTGTTTTCGAAGATTCAAGTCATTTTAAAAATATTCCTGCGCAGCAAACTGTCCAGGTATCTTCCCATCATTCATCATTTCATCTTATTTCATTTCTAGCCTATCACCACTTCTCACTACATGATTTCGCCAATTTCAATAAATAAAGATGATGGATTTGTCTTGACGGCCGTGAAAATTCTAGCGTCGCCGCTGATGGTCCTTGATAGCAGATATTTAATGCCCGTAAAGCTTTCAGGTAATCAAACAAAATCCCAGCGCTGTTTTCAAAGTTTCTGAACATAGAAATCCCCGCAGAAAAATCCATCACAGACCATTTGCAAGAAATTATGGAGAAGTCGCGCTCCCAGCCGTCCGCCACACAACTTTTTCGAAGAACAGTTGTTCGAAGACAGCCTCCAGTCGTTCAGCAGCCGCAAATTACACTTTCTGCTGAGTTGCTTGCCAAACTAAATTCTATCTTAGAAGGTCAGAAGCCGTGGTTTCTCACTTGAAGTTAAATCTTTTCAAGTGTTTCCGGAAATTGACCGAGCAGCGACCATCCGTGATTTGAGCCAGACCAACAGTATCGATCTCACCATTCAAAACATTCTCAACGGCAAGATCCCCAACGCACCACCAAAAGCAAAGCCTGTACGGAAAGCGATCCCAAAATTGTCAGAAATCAAGACAGATCTCGTTGCCGAGAGCCTAAAAGACGGCTCAAATCCCATCAAGTCGCACATGAGCCTCGAAGAGCGTAAAGAAGCCTTGTTACAATTTGCTCGAGCAAAATTTCTTTCTAAATTAAACGATTCTAAGTAGTAAAGAAAATGCCCCTTTTTTACGATCAAGTCAAATTATAACGTTCACTGTAAATATATATCCGTAGTGCGTATTTTTAAAACTTGTTCTACCAAATTCTGTTCACGATATCAGCTTCAAAACTTGTCAGCATTTTGTTTTCTAAAAATTATTCAAATTGATTAAGATGCTGGAAGGAGCTCCCGTTACGAGGTCGGTTTTGATAGGGATCGGGCTTTCGAGCCTCGTCGGATTTCAACTCGGAAATAATGCGGAGAAACTGCTCGGAGTATTTTCAAATTTGCTCCTAAAAGGATCACATGAGCTCGTCCCTTTCGGATACTTGAGTTATCATTATGCTTCGGTGGAGAGAATTATTGGCTCTGAGCAACTCCTCGCTAGAAACATCGTCACTTCTGCCTTGATCATGTATTTCTTCGACTCAATTATGAATCTAACAATTTTTAGGAGCTCATGGTCTCTTGGACTCGGAATAACTCTTCCAATCGCACTTATGGCTTCATACACGCCCATTTTCATCGCATATTGCGCGCCTAAGAGAAAGCTTCATATCTTTTCGAAACTGTCTTTGTCGGAAAAATGCATGACGTACATGTTTCTCGCTAGTCTTGCTCAAGGTTTGAAACCTTCTGACATAGTTTTTATATCTTTCGATTTTCAGGAAATCCAAAGAGTGCTGCATTTGGCTTCGTGATGGGAATGACTCTGTTTAGCTGGGATGGAAGCATCGGATCGTTCTCGGAAGAAAAAGAAGCCGTGAAAGACCCCATCGGAGCGACACTAAAAATACAGCAGAAAATTAGGCTAGATGAAGAAGAACAGAGACTGATTCAAGCCCAAATGGCGAGGTTTCGAGCTGGGCCACCAACCGCAGCTCGGCCGCAAGTCAGAAGACAGCAACAACCTCCTCAATGTAAAATTTTCTTCTTCTATGTTCATCTTCAAAATCATTATTCAGTTGTTCCAAGTCGCGAGGCAATCGAAAGCCTAGTCGCTATGGGATTTCCTGAGGATCGTGCAAAGGCAGCTCTTATCAACACGAGAGGGGACATTTCTCGTGCTGCCGAGATTTTAGTCCAAAACCTTTAGGAGTTATTTCATATTTTTGTTCAAGTTATTCTGTCTGTGCAATCTTCTGAATCTCTAAATTGAGATAATAAATGTAAATTAGATAAAAGACTGTTAATTTTTTCATCGTTTAGATTTTTCGATGTCGGATGAAATGATGAATGAGTTTGAGGAGGTTGATAACCAGAGCGAGGTCTCTGACTCAAGTTTACCGCCTGATCTGGAGTTTGCCTCTGATGATGTAAGATGACAAGTCAATCTTTTTCATGAGTATTCACTTATATTTATAGGAAGCCGACTTGGATCAACTAATCGCAGATATTCCAAAATACGAGATCCCACAAGCTCATTCAGAGACGAAAGAAAACTGCCAGGAGATCATTTCGATTAACTCAACAGAAACAGAGCCAAGCTCCTTGAATGCGTTGATGGCTCTGCCAACACCAAGCAATCAAGTTGAGGAGAGAGCAGCAAGATATACAGGAGTGCCATGGAGGTCGATCGCCTCTCTTCAAGGAGAATCTATCGACGATGCCTTGGAACAAGCGAAAAAGATCCTGGAAAATGCGAATATCAGGGAGGCTCCGACTTTAAGTAGCCGCGATCAAGTATTCAACAAGCCAACAGATCCGCGCCGTCGACCCCAACAAAAAAGAGAGAATCAAGAAGTCATTGTGATCGGTGATTCATTCGAAAGCTTTCCTTCCAATCACTTGCGGCAAATCACAACTCCTTCTGTCAAAGGCGAAGTTATTGTGCTTGAGGACTTTGATTCAGAAGTACAAGAAGTGACTGTCAAGGAGCCTGAACTAAAACCAGTTGAGGATGATAATGAAAACGACGATGAAGACTTCGGTATGTTTTTTGTCGAAAAAAGTTCTTGACGTGGGTTTTAGAGATAACTGGAGAAAAGCAAGGTGACATACTTTCTCATCATCGATCAGATTGCCCGAAAAATAAGTTCACCAAGCTTCAGCCCTATGAGCAAGCGATTGAAGCGAACGAGTCCTTTTGCGAGAAGTGTTTTTGCTTTATTTGCGATAAAGCTTCAAAAGACTGCGAGTCTTGGTCAGCAACAGATGCTCCTCATTGCAACGCTTGGAAAACAGCAGACTGGAAGATACAGAAGCAGATCTGGAAAAATGAAACTGAGAAGCCAAAGTATCCTGAGGTCCAACCATCTCGTCCGCCTTCTTCGGGCTGGGGATTCGAAGACTATGCCTGGCATAACAGAAATCGAAACAGAGTGCGCCAGCAATCACCTCCAAAATGGGGTGAATCTAGGTCTATCTTTGAGGCTGGAATATCGAATTCTTGGGGCTGGAATGCGACTTCTTCGACAACAGAAGCTAGCAATAATCCCGGAAGATCCACTGCGAGCGGATGTGGAGGCGAAAATGAAGGTTCTTTAGTAAAAAGAGAAATAGAGAGCAAGGGAAGTTCATCGAACGGAAACTCACCAAATCCTTACTCGGATAACTCCGACGTCGAGTTTGTTGCAGATCGCACGAATGAAGAACTAGAATTTGGACAAGAAGATGGACCGATTTTGAATCTCATGAATATGAGTAGATTCAGCTGTCGCATCAGAGAGCAAGAAAGAGAGCGAGAGAAGAAACAAAAAGAGGAAAGAAAGCGGTTGCGTAAAGAGCGCGAATGGAGACCTCCAACAGCAAGCCAGATCGCATTTTGGGAAAAGAAAAAAGAAGAAAGGCAAAGGAATCCAACCCCAAGACCGAAAAAGAGGTACTCTTCTTGGGACGAGGATCCAAGACCAAGCACTTCATCCTCTGTCGGATCAGACGCGCCATCAACATCAGGCTTTAATCAGAGAATCAATCGCAACAGTCCGACAGTCAGATATGAAACTCGAACCTTGGACACTAATCAACAGAATCGCCATTCATCTACCACGTTTCACTCACAAGATTCATCACACAATTGTTCATCATCAGGACCAACTGGAACACAAGGTTTCAATCGTGGTAGACGACAATCACGACCTCCAAATACCTTTTCACATTTTCAAGGCACACGTCCTGGAGGTTATTAGGGTAGAGGTCCTAGGGTTATTTATGAGTAAATTTAGTACCAGTACCATCAAGCCCAGTTAGAAATGGACCTATCTACAACGATGTCCAATCGAATAATTCTTCCACAGTTTCGACCATGCCTAAGCGTCGAAAACATCACCACAATCACCAGCCATCAAAACAACCTTCTTTTAAAATGGGATACAATCGTGGATCCCGCTCGTAATTTTTCATGTCATGCCTCCTCACTGCTCTCACATAGAAAATAAAATTGTCATCTAAAATCCTGTCTTTTTTGTCATGCGAGAACGCTTTTTTTGAATTCCCGATTTGTTAGTATTTGTCAGTCCTGGTGGGTTTTGATTCAGTGTGTTTGAATGGAATGGAATCGCAACGAAAGCGTAGTACAACTATCGAGTATGATCCTATAGTACTGGCTCACGCTGCAAAAGGTATTTTCTTCCTTGTTTTTGCGAGAATTCACCACTTTCAGCTGTGGACCATGGAATATTCTCAAAAATGCACCCAGAGCTTGCATCCCTCGTGATGAATTGCCACTCTCATCCGAATGGAAATTCAGTTGAGATCTACGACAATCCTCGAATGGTCGAGCAATTAGCATCGACAAATTCTAGCCTCAAAGTGTCGGATCGTATCGCGTTATCGAAGATCCACCGGCTAGCAAAGACAAGATTCGAATTCTTTAATCTTTCCAAAAAATATCCCGCAGCGACCGACAGTAAACGGTGAAAATCTTCAAAAAAGCCAAATCTTACTGACAAACGTCTCTGGGATCCACTGGAAGATGAGGGAGACGCCATGCCTATCCATCCGCCTTTAGGAAGGGATAAAATATAATTCGACCGTTAAGATTTATATGAATTGTGATAGCCCTACTTACAGAGACTGTAATGAAGACATCGGAGTCGCGATCATTCAGCAAGTTTATGCAGGAGCTCGTCCCAGGAGATATACTCGTGGGAAAAGTCCGAAGTTGGAGAAGAGCTCAATTCGAACTGATCTTAGTCAGTCTTGACTGTGGCAGATTGAGACGAGTACCGGAAAATGTCACGATTCTTTGTACAATCCCACAGGTCTATTTATTAACTTGCAATTTTTTCTTTAACTTTCTGACACAGAAAGACGAACTTTTGGAAGAGGGTGACTATGTCCGCTGCGTCTTTGAACGATTCCAAAAAGATGTCCTTATCGCCACAACAGACGTAGATGTTCTGAAAGAATTCGATCCCCTCATGTCTCTAAAAACAAAACTCGGCTCAATTGACAGACCAAGGAGGCTTTCAGAAGAAGCGAAGGAGAAAGACTCGATTCACGATATCATTACCAGCTCGAACGCGTATCTAAATCCTACTGGAAGTCACTACATTCTTGAACGACTCGGTGTCGATTTAAAAGACACTCTGTCTTTCTTAGCACCTATCACACCCCCAAAACAAGGTAATATTTAACAGTTTATTTATTCTATCTCTAACGATTTCCAATTTAGAAGAAATGAAAAGCTGTCTGAGGGAGCGTCAATCAAAGCTTGCATCGAAGAAATACGTTACAAAAGGGGTGGAATACTTCAAAAAAGGGGAACTTCAGGAAGCAATGAATAATTATCGCACGGCGCTTGAACTTGATAAGGAGAATACCGATGCTCTCGTTGCTCGTGGAGCTCTTTATTCATCCAGGTTCGTTTTTTCGTTTATTTCTCCTTTCATAAGCTTATTCTTTTATCAGAAAGCAATGGCGAGCAGCATGCGAAGACCTCGAAGCAGCGTACAAAATCGACCCGGAGCATAAAAACGCGAAGGCCTACCTTATCCGTGTCCTTTTTGACTGGTCGAATGTTATCTCAACCCAAGCCGTTTCAGCAAACGAATCCTCAAAACCCGACCTAAAGCGCGCAGCAACTTTGCTCGAGCAAATACTTGACCTTGAACCAGACCATGTCGAGGCAAAGACAAAACTTCAAATCTTGAGGTTTGTAGATTATTTTCATAAAAGAAGATGAAAATACACTTCTGAGGAAACCTTCTGTTTTTTCGTCGATTCAAGACCAGATAAATGACAGAATTCGCCCTCCCGAAGACGAAAAGGTTTCCAAAATCGACAAGGAGATTCGAAAACTTATGAAGAAGAAAGACAAGGAGAGAAGGAAGGATAGAAAACGAGAGAAAAGGTCGAAGAAGGAAAAACGGGACAGCAGGGAGAGAAGTGTCAGCTCTTCAAGAAGTCCTCCTGTAAGTACTTACTCATTAAGATAATCGATCACGCATTCCTTCAGAGAGGAAGGCACCGCTCTGGATCAAGTAATGATTGTATTGTTATCGAGGACAAAAAGCCTGAGAAGAGACCCGCGTCGAAGGGCGTTACTGGCATTACCGGATTCTACCAGGTTTGCGCTTTTCAATCGACATTATATTTCCACTGCTTCTAAGCCGCCAAAGAGAAGGTTCGCAAAGCCCGAAAGTTTTGAAAAACTCGACGCTCTTTCGCGGAAGACCGATAATGTGAAAGGAAACCTCAACGATATTTTAAAAATGTTACAGTAGCTCAATTGCAATCTTCCTGTTATTCTGCTAATACGCTTGGCTCGTCGAGTCCCTGACCTTTCAATACATCTTCCATTATTTCAATTATTACAGCTGTGTACATATTTATTTACAGGAAACGGGCGTCGTCTTTCTAGCGACTTTTATCTCATTGCGGGGCAGGTTTCGTCACATGACATTGTCGTTTTTAGTTTTCTCGACTCACGGCCAATTTTTGAAAACCGCCGTGAAAGCGGTGTTACTTTTGAAGTAACCGCTGTTATCATTGCAGAAATAGGGCTCTTCTATAAAAGACACTATTTTCAAACGAAAATTATTTCTAGTACTAACCTTCATGCTCATGATAACTCCTTGTCTGATGTTCTTCCCATGCAGCGCGTATAAAAAAGGGTTGATTGCTACCGCGAGAATGAGCCAACAAGAGTTGAGTTTGTGCATAAACATCAGCGGTTTCATGACTCTTCCTGGAATGTTTGCTATTTCGTATTGTTGAATCATGATAAGTGAAGAAGTGACCCTGTAAATTTTTGATGAAGGAGAAGCTTTTTGAAACTGCATGGGATCATTTCTGTTCCCATACGACAGAATAGAGCTTAAAATGGTTCTAACGAAAGTTTTAGGGACCATCAATTATTCTTCTGAAACTTTTTGGCCTGGCTTTATTTTTATTACCATTCATTATTAATATCTTATATTTTTGAAAATCAAACAATAGTTGAAATGGGTTCAAAAGCTTTTAACATAAATTACCTATTTGGGAGCCAAGAAATGAGATAGACAAATACTATCAAAACGCCACTTATCGATGCTTTCCGTCGGATTATCACTGTACGTTCCGAAGAGTTCGTCTTAAAATCGTTTTCAAATATATCGACTACATGCCAGAATTGATCCATAATTTTTGCGTAACATTGAAAGCTACCTTCATTGCTGTGATGACGAAATGAACGATGGCGGCATTGCAATAAATAATGATCACAAGAGGGAAGATGAAGCCAACAATGATTTTCAGTATATCGTTCAAGGTCATCATGAAATACGCTCGATTCTCTCTAAATTAAGTTTTCGGTTCGTTCACGTTCTTCCTCATTATTTTTTCACAGGGTTTAACATGAAGTCGAACGAAGCGATAACTCCGTTTAAAAAAAATCTGCATTGAATAATTAAAAATAATTAACTAACCGAACCCGATTAGATTTTCACTTTGAATAATCATCATCTTAAATTTTTAGTCCGGATCATCCAGGTAAGTTCATGATCACAAACAAAAACCATAAAGATATTGCACGGTAGTCGATTCGGGCCTCAAAACACGTCCAATATTCTAACGCTACGGGGTCATTTATCGAAGCCTAGTGGTCCTTATCAGCGGATCATCGGGTCAAGTTGGCCTCCAAAAAATAACCAGTTCGACGGTCGCGGATTGACCATAGCCAAGTTGACTTTCCGCATCACATACTTATTGGGACATATAATAATTGTATTTATCAAAATTTATAAATCATAAGAAGATTCCTCGTCATACGTAATTACGAATATTCTACCTATTATGAGTTACTACTGATTAAACCACTAGCAAAATAAAATGGCTTTAATCGAGATTCTTCTAATAAAATATGGATCGCTGGCGAGGTACGATTGTTCCGCAGAATAAATAATGCCCATTTTCTACGAAAAACACTCACCCGAATTCACTGAAGTCTGGCCGACACATCGTATCGTTTTTAGCGTCGACATGTAGAATAGATGACACCCACATCGGAACAGAGCACAGAAATGAAAATATCCAGATGATTATTGACATGCCGCGGACGGATATGAATTTGTTCCAACTTAGAACGTTGAAGAGGATTGAGTAGCGATTCCAGCTGAGCGCGCAGATGAAGTACGACATTGCGTTCATTCCTGTCCAGGCTTTTTGAATCGGTCTTCAAAAAGGACCTCCGAAAATTAACAATTAAAGATTTCAAAAAACCCGCCTACATAGAACATTCCAGTGCAAAATTTACATATAATGAGCCCCATTGCACCTCCAAAGGGCCAAGAAAAGCCACGAAAGGCGTTGATGATCCAGAAGGGCTTTGAGTCGTGTTGACAAATCGCTTTTGCATGTTTTCAATTGAGAACGGCATATGCTCGATTGACAATTGATCATTTAATTGTACCACTATAACTGGTATATCTATCAACACGATCCAGAATTATCACATAGCATAGATCGGTAAGCAGCAATTGCAAAATCAGGTACTCGGAGTCGTTCTTCTTCGGCATCCTTGCAATCATCGAATAAAGCACCACAATATTCGCAAAGAATCCAATAACGAAGGCTTAAAATTACAAATTTGCCGGAGATTTTTGTCAAAAAAAACTGCAATTTCGACGATTGGACGATTGATTAAAGTACCATATAAATCAGAATTTAGTATAATTTAAGATACCTATTGTGTATAAAATTCCAGTTGTCATCGCAATCGCCTCCATATCGTTTCTTTGCGGCTGGTCTCTGTATAAATATGGGGTTATTGCAATTCAAAGTTCGCTTTAAAAATGAGTGGGATAATATGATTTTGTCCGCGCCGCAAGAGGGCTTCGCTCATATACAGAGTCGACAGCGGGCTGTCCGTGCTTAATAATGTGGATTAATATGTTATTCTAATTTTCTTGAAACTATCTACCATATAATAGTTTACGTGATATATAGTACCACGTTTAATATGGTCGCGTATACGAGTTCTATATTCAAGGGATAGATTCTCGTTCAATTCAAGGAATAGAAATTCTATTCCTTATTCTATATAGGATTATCCTACCTAAACCTAGTTATGGTTTAAAAGTTGGGGACCAAAACTAATTATCACGTAACTTATGCAAGTGAAGAAGCTATCTTTAAGGCGTCGACTGACGCAGAATCTAAATCTTCCCACCCGACCTTATTTCACCAGATCTATTCTGATATTCCAAAAAATCTCAAAGCGAAAAATCAACTTACATAAATTTATTCATGTTAATTTGCTTTGCAAGGTTTCTTAGCTTCCCAAAGTCTAAGTTCAAGGCTTCTGTCATCTCTGTACTGTCTTCGCAGCTGATAAAAATGAAAGTATCGCACTTCGGCTTGAGGTGAATTGTGTTCTGATCTATCCTTCGATCGCCGAGTGCTGAAAATATAAAAATGGTAAAAAGCACGCGATCAACCAAACACCCTAATGAGTTTCATGCATTATTCAACGCCCTCTTCGTATGTCGAGCCTATATACAGTATAGCGCCCTTTGTTCTTGCGGCGAATCTGCCAATCAAAGTTCATGGTTATGTCAAAGTCGTGTCGGCTAGTTGAAGGTTCACAAAATGGATGAACTTTATTCATCAGAAATAGACTCTTTATTTGCAAATTAATCGGTCTTAATACCTGCCATTTTTATCTTTTCTCCTTTTTTCTCTTTAATTTATCCCTTTCATGCTTTTATTTTTTTAATTTTGTCGGATAAGTGAGACAATTGTATTAAGGTTTTTTATAAATAATAAATGTTTCTATCACTATCAAAAGATCTCGTCTAACTAAAAATAAATCTGTACCTCTTTTTAATTTCATACCGATACTCATTTTGACGGATGAAAATGCTTAGTCTCTCCTTTTTACAAAATCTATCGACATTTTTACAAACTTCTCTGCTCTCAATGAAACAAACCTGTTTCTTCGTCGGTCGCAACAGAAGGAAATTAATTAATTGCGAAGGCAGTCAATAGAAGGTCAAAAAATAAAATAAAAGGGAGGGTGAACGCATCAACGGATGACAAGATCATGTTTCTAAGGAGCTTTGTGCTATTTTACGTGCATTTACTTTCAAGCAGACAAATCTGCTGCGAGAATAACTCAAGAAAAAGAAGATCTTACATCTAATATTGAAAGTTTATTGAAGACGGTAGAAATCACTGCACTTTGATTTGAAAGCGTTTCCCACGAAGAATTTCGCGGAAATTCACTTGAAGGCGAATTTAACGGCAGACAGAAGTAGAAGAGTACTCGATCTTGATGACGACCTTCTGAGATGATGCCGCTGCGGCAGATCGACCTCCACAAGTAGATTTACCCGCGGCGAACTGGGCAGAAGTCATGCCAGCCTAATAGCTTTGTTAGAAATTAATTCACTAAAATAGATTTCTTACAGTAACGGTGAAGCCATTCGAGGTAGTGAACTTGCACTTTTTCAGATCAATCTTGTAGTAAGCAGCGGCTTTGGTCAGATAGGAGCCGATAGTTTCGGTCTAAAAAAAGTCAGTCAAGTTGAGAATTTTTTTCTCAAATTTTAAACTACCTCCTTGATTTGCACTTGGTAGGCAGCGGCTTGGACGGCGGCGTATTCGAAGGAGACGAGCATCTTTCAATTTTTTTTCTGTCAAGATAATGGAACCTTCTTCAGCAGTTGTTTATATGCTGGGGTTTAGCATTTGCAAATTTGCGTGGCAAACGTCGACGTTACTTACGTATACGTGCCTGTAAATGTCGAGGCGGTCTTCTGACCGCGTGTTTTTATCGCGTCTTAGAAACTAGGACAGTTTTCTATGCAGATAAATGACGCTCAAATAGTATTCATAGGTCTGCTCAAGGACGATTTCATCGCTTGCTTTTACTGTTTGAAATTTTTGCATGCAAATTTTGAGCATCGATTTGAAGAAAATAATTTCGTTTATTTCGAACGGAGAGTATTTATAAAGGAATGGTTGATGGAAATCGCAATTGTGAACATTTCGGTGTTAGTGCAATAATTTAAAAGAACAGAAGGCTTCCGCAATGTTTGAGGACTGCATAATTATCGATAGTATTCAGACGTATTCCTGGACGGCGTGTGTGAGTTTGTTCTGAGTTCGCAAGCCTTCAAGTTGTTTGTACCCTGAATGATTCATTTCTTATTTTTGTTTCAGTCTATTTCTTTACCCAAATGCTTCTTGAGGTAGCCGTTTTGCAGAATTTCTCCTTTGGCAATTTTTGATAGGACCATTAGTGATGCTGCAGACATAATGACAGACGATAGGACACCTAATTTTTATGAGAAGATATTCAGATTTGTTGTAACATACCCATGATAAGCGAAATCCATCCAATAAAAAGCGCACTTCCGTATTCGAATCTGAGATAGAGCGGCGTGTTGTAAGGCAGTACGGGGTTGAAGTATTCCTGCACGACTTTGTGCGCGTAGTAAGAGACGCTGGCGCCCGTGCAGGCAGCTGAAAACAACGGTCATAGGTACGAGTGAACTTGGATATGGTCGGCGGAAACTTGAGGTGGCGAGTTCGAATTCGAACTGGCCCCGCTCAAGGCCCGCGCTTGCGACACCAAAGACGAGAATTTCGGTTCACTCAATTGGCTAGAATTGTCCAAATGTGGACTTTTCCGCCTTTCATTTCGCTTCCAAAAGAGTTCAAGAATGTCTTGACTTGTTAACATCAAGAATTTCTGAAACTCTCCCTGAGTAACGGTCAGAACTGCTCCGACAAAAAACATCCACGGCCCAATCATATTTGGGGGCAAAGCGCTGCCAGTTTTGAAAGGTGAAGTTACAGCACACTGTTGACTGGGATAATCGTCGTTTGGCATTTGGCAATTTGTCTGCTTATTTTTGATCAGACTTTTTATCCCTCCTGAGAAGCGTCTGCATTGGTTGTCGGACATTCGCAAAATCTGAACCTGTCTCTTCTCGAAGCAGCCGTTACTCCGCCATTTTTGCAAATATACCGCGGATCCTTAAAGTCAAAGTTAGCTTGTACATGTAACATGTAAAAAGTGATTTACCTGGTTTTTAGTGGTGACATTTGTTGTCCAAACGATCGCCATAAGAAGCTACTCTCGAAAGTCATAAGCTCTATCGTTCCTGTTTGACTTACCTGCGAAACACCTAACACACCGATTAACATTTATAACACCAAATAACTCCTGCTCGTAAAGAGAAATAATTTACGAGTAGAAGACACCGAAAATCATATTCTTTCTTACCGGCGACGCCAAGCAATAGACCACCAAGCAAAGCAGTCCTTGCTTTTGCCTTATGATTGGATGCTCCGACTGAAGTGCACTTCATTCCTAACACGGAGAGTAAGATGCCGAGAAAGCCAAGGCCGATGGCTGTGATCATCAACGCTCTGCATGTTTGTAGCACCTCTGGAATTTCGTTTAGTTACTGAAAGATCTACGTCTATTTTACCTGGTAGGCCAATGAAAAATACATTGTAGCTTTCACAATTTGTGTTCCCATTTGGCATCTGCTCGCATTGAGTCCATAAGCCGTCGAATCTTTTGATCATGGTAATGAATCAATGGATAAATCAGGATTATATACTGTTTATTTAATGCATTTATTGGGTAATTACCTCTTATGCTCATCAAGGGCTGTTCCACCAACTGAATTTTGTCTCCATTCCGGGCTCATGCAAGTTGCAATCATTCCCGACCAGGCGATGACCCCGAGGACGAACCCCAGGAGCTGTAGTCCCGTGGTCGCCATGTTCTCTCTGGTTTCTTACTTCTTTTTATTAAATCTCTTTGCTTGGCAATACTTCCGATTCTTTCTGTTTCTGAAAATTTTCGTTATTTTCTCTGATGATTGAGCTTTTCTCGGCGGAGGAGGTTGGTGCCAAGATCGGCGCGCCCGGGGGCGAGGAATTCGCAGCTTTTGAGTAAAAAAAAGGGATGAATGAATACAGACACTAAAGAGATCAGAAAACAGTTTTCACGGTCGGGGAAGCGAATGAATTATATATTCAAGTCATCAACATCTTGATCGTTTATTTTTTCATTTTACGCACCTTCTGAGCAGCCTCGCGGGAAATATGCTCTCTGTATGATTATGAATATTATTCGAACAGCATACTGGAATGTTTTTCTCTTCAATAAGATATTTTTAGTGAAAATAAATATTTTTCCTTTAAAAAAAAGCGGTGCTCGATAATCCTAGATCAATGTAAATCTGCAATAATCGCTTGGAATCGGGGTCATGGCTGGCTTGCGTGAAAATTAACCTGTTTGAACACAAAATGCATCCCCCTAATTTGGCGAAAATCGACGCATGGTTTTATTGCTCAAAGGCACCCAGATGAATTCAAATCGAATTAGGCTTGAGAGCTTTAAATCTTGATATTGCCTCGCAAAATTAACTTGATTACAATCAGTCCGATGACCTGTTCTGTGAGAAACGTTTTTATTCTTCATAAAAATCCAAAAAATATCTAACATTTTTTTTCTCCTTGTTGATTTCTGTTATCCCAATCTTAGCAAGATGCTCTCTCTGAATTTATTCTCTCTCTGAACGGCGAAGACGGCCTAGACGGAAGGTTTGTTGACAAAACTGTGCGAAGTACATAAGTGAGTTTTGATCGATGTCTCGCTTGATGTGAGAAGAGGACAAGCAGCATCATCCGGATAAGCTGATTGAGCCAAAGACGAAATTTGCAGAAATTAATTAAACATGCATTCTACTATAATAGAACGGGCAAGCTCTGGACTTCTTCGTAGATTAGACGGGATCACGGGCTCTTGCATTTATAAAGATCGTCTCACTGGACAATCACTGCGACAGAGTACCGATTTTTTGATGAATCAGTAATTGATTCTTCAATTTATACGAAGGCCAATTTATGAAGGATCAAAGAATGTCTTTTCGGCAAATACCGACTCTGGGTGCAGGACCCTAAGTACAAGTCTTCCGATGTCAACGGTACTAAGTTAGTACTACTAACTGAAGAAGATGAATTCATCGACATGAAATTAGAAATTGACGAAGAAAACGTTAGTTACTCGTCACCCGCTAGTTTCAGCCATTTAGAACACCAGCTTGATTGCAGGACAGAAGAGTCCCCCTCACCCCCTTTCTTCCCAGGGAGCGGCCCTTTCTTCGACAAATTAATTCTTCGAGGCGGGACCGACTTGCGTGGCCATAGTGACTCATCGTATTGCCTACGCAAGCATTGTTTTACTCAATGTCAGGTCATATCGAACAAGCTCATAAAATACGGATAAATCTCAGAGAAAAAGTGAGATGAACTCAATCGACGAAAATGGAGAAACTGAAATAAAAATTGAAGAAAATACCGAAGAACGGGATGAAATTATCGGTAATCCTCTGCCCGAAGAAACAATCAACGTCAAGGAAGAAAAGAAATACAAGTCGAGACTAGGTCAGCAGTCATTTACAGTAAGTGAGCAACTTACTTACATCCTCGAGCGGGAGAAGCAAATGGCAACATTGAATCCGCCAACCTGGCGAGAATCCGGTGAACTTATTGGAGCCAGCACTTCTTGCGTCAAAGGTATCTTCGCAAAGAAAGAGCTTGTCAAAGAATACGCTGCGCTTGGCCTCGGTTTCAAGCGAGTTCTCACCAAAAGCGACTTGGAGAAATACAAATGTCTTCGCGCAACATTGTCCGATGAGGAATACAACAATCTGTTAATAAAACAGCAGAAAAGACAACGATGCAAGAAAGCGCAAGCACTCCGAAGAGTGGAGAGAAAATTGAAGGAAAAGAATGAGGAACTACCTGCTAAATCGAGGAAATTGCTGACAAACTGGGAAGAAACAAGAGGAAGAGAAGCGTGGCTGAATAAAAAATGGAAATGCGAAATTTCCTTGGAGGAATTCCCAACAATGCCGAGCAATATCGATGTGACAGTAAAGACCGACATTCGTCAGTTGACCGTCGACGGTCTCTCCATAAAATTTGGCATCACAGAAAGCGGCGTGAAGTTCCGAAGTGAAACGAGATGGAGAAAGAAGTTCGCTATTCCTGAAGATGTCGATATTGATCAAGGACCCACGATTGAAAAAGAAAGGGGCAAGTCGAATAATCTTACCGTTTGGTATTATCGGAAACAAATCGGTGAAGAAGATGACATGATGACACTGGAGAATGCTCCAAAGAATATTGAAACACAGCCGCAAATAAAACAACATTTAACGACTAAGGATAAGTGCCTGAAGAAAAACTCAACGAACAGCAACACAAATTCAGAAAATTTACCCGAAATCAATGTACCAGAGTTTTCCTCGAGCGAGGATGAATCAATGATTGAAGAGGAGGGTTTTTTCATCCAAAATGCAACTCCAAAAACGGTTTGATCAGTTTTCCCTCGCAACAAAATGACTGTTTTATAGCATTACAAAATACACAATGGAAGAGAGGTAATGGCCGATGCTGACATTCCTGAAAGAGCTAAAAGAATTCTCCAGACAAATTTCTCCAGCTCTAATCGTCCAACAAAAACTCAATTGAAAATTATTTGTGAAGACACAGGAGCAAAGTATTCTCACCTCGAGCATTTCATGAAAAGGTATTTCCTCATTAGTGCCCCGTTTTCTTATTATTTGTAAGACTCTTCGTTATTGGGAATTACGGCTCTGCGATTCAAAGAAAAAAAGAAAGGATGGAAGGAAAGGACCGCTCTGAGTTGAGGACCCTCAGCCAAGGTCTTCCAATGTCGACGATGACAAATGAAGAAGTCGAGTTTGTCGTCACAAAAATTGAAGCTGACGATTATGAAGACTGTAGACAACTCTTACAAATTGAGGAAATTATGGACACGGAGATGGAATGCACTGATGAAGAAAATAATATATGTAAAACTGAGATAATTGACATCAACGATTAAACAAGTAACTCTTCGTTCTGTAGGGCAGATTTTTAACTGTGATATCATGGGCAACACTATTCTTTTTCTCAGAAACACTGAACTCTTTCTGCATTTAAACATTAGCTCACAAATAAAGAATAAAACTTTTGAATACTCATTAACCAATCTTGATATATAATGTGAATTGAAGCAGCCTCCATCGCTTAGCGTCATACCGCGTAGAATAAACCAGTTCTCGTCCGATCACTGAAGTCATACTACGACGGGCGGGGTTAGTACTTACATGGGTGACCGGTTGGGAATACCTCGTGCGCTAAGCATTTTGCCATTTTACGGAAAAGGGTCATCCTTTTCTTCTATACCGACACTTTCGCATAACATTTTGATGAATCGAACAATAAGAAAAGGTGCTTCTTTTCGGGTCAGGAATGCATTGAGACTCTCAATTTGAGAGTGGACCTTGCCTGGCGGGCGGCGTGGCACTTGAGAAAAAGCGCCCTCTACCGCGTGCTTATCCGAAAAGAGGCCGAAAATAGGAGCGTGCAGCGACAAAACGACCTCGACATCAAGCACCTTCTCTCGTCACTCATCCCATTTTTGAGTCCGATTTCGATTGTCTAACAGGTAAGAATCGCCTCCATGCCCACCCTCTCCTATCCCTCTCGCCTCTCACAAATAATGAAGACATCTGAAAGAATACGGAAAGACGCGCTTTTTTTAAGGTTGGGCAAGTTATTTCACCCACTTCTTGATCTTAAACCCTGGAACACCATACATATTTGGAATCAGCAGGAAATTTTAAGAACTTTGACCGTTTTAGTTTCCAAAATTTCCACTTCCGGTCCGATTCTAGAGCCGGAAGTTGACAAAATTTTTGAGTTTGGCCAACTTATGACCTATCAAATTGATGCTCAGAAAATTTTGAGTAAACTCATCTTAAAATCATTCAAAAAAACCGTCCCAACCGCAGTCAAACCGACCGGCAAAACTAGGAAAAAAGGCATAAATTTCTGATTTTTCTTTCAGTTTTTAGCGGTTGATTTGACCGCGGTCGGCATTGATTCTTCTCTCAGATGATAGGAAATCTTCTGAGAATCAATTTGATAGGTCACAAGTTGGCCAAACTCAAAAATTTTGTCAACTTCCGGCTCTAGAATCGGACCGGAAGTGGAAATTTTGGAAACTAAAACGGTCAAAGTTCTTAAAATTTCCTGCTGATTCCAAATATGTATGGTGTTCCAGGGTTTAAAATCAAAAAGTGGGTGAAATAACTTGCCCAACCTTAAAAAAGCGCGTCAAACCTTTCCTCCTCCTTCGAGATTTCTCCTTGGAAATTCACTAATAACAAGGGCGTTCTATTAGAAGATCAACTGCACATGCAGGTCACATGTGACCTTATGAATGGCAAAAGTTGCCCACCTTCAGTGTGTTTAGACGTTCTACTGCATCTAAGTGTAGAACTAGGGTGTGGAAGGCACGAGCTTGGTGAACATATCAATATTGATTTTCTAAATGAAGGTTTTTTACTGATTGGACGCGCTTTTTTAAGGTTGTGGAAGTTTTCTAGCACACTTCCGCCATACCGACCCTGGAACACCATACCTTTTCTGAATCAGCAGGAAATTTCAAGAATTTTGACCCTTGAAAATCCTAGAAAACTCCACTTCCGGTCGATTCTAGAGCCGGAAGTTGACAAAATTCACGTGAAAGGGTGAAGTGTGACCTATTAAATTGACGCGCTTTTTTAAGGTTGGGCAAGTTATTTCACCCACTTCTTTATTTTAGACCCTGGAACATCATACATATTTGGAATCAGCAGGAAATTTTAAGAACTTTGACCGTTTTAGTTTCCAAAATTTCCACTTCCGGTCCGATTCTAGAGCCGGAAGTTGACGAAATTTTTGAGTTTGGGTAACTTGTGACCTATCAAATTGATTCTCAGAAAATTTCCTATCATCTGGAAGAAGAATCAATGCCGACCGCGGTCAAATCAACCGCAAAAACTGAAAGAAAAATCGAAAATTTATGCCTTTTTTCCTAGTTTTGCCGGTCGGTTTGACTGCGGTTGGGACGGTTTTTTTGGATGATTTTAAGATGACCTTACTCAAAATTTTCTGAGGATCAATTTGATAGGTCACAAGTTGGCCAAACTCAAAAATTTCGTCAACTTCCGGCTCTAGAATCGGACCGGAAGTGGAAATTTTGGAAACTAAAACGGTCAAAGTTCTTAAAATTTCCTGCTGATTCCAAATATGTATGGTGTTCCAGGGTCTAAAATAAAGAAGTGGGTGAAATAACTTGCCCAACCTTAAAAAGCGCGTCATTGAAGCTCAGAAGAGTTTCCCGTAATGAACTCAAATGTTGTGGGGAGAAGTCCCGTTTTTCTTTCCATAGAGTTTATATTTGTAGGAGGCGAGAGGGATAGGAGAGAGTAGGCATGGAGACGATTCTTACCTGTTAGACAATCGAAATCGGACTCAAAAATGGGATGAGTGAAGAGATGGGGTGCCTGATTTCGAGGTCGTTTTGTCGCTGCACGCTCCTATTTTCGGCCTCTTTTCGGATAAGCACGCGGTAGAGGGCGCTTTTTCTCAAGTGCCACGCCGCCCGCCAGGCAAGGTCCACTCTCAAATTGAGAAAATATTATGCGAAAGTGTCGGTATCGAAGAAAAGGATCACCCTTTTCCGTAAAATGGCAAAATGCTTAGCGCACGAGGTATTCCCAACCGGTCACCCATGTAAGTACTAACCCCGCCCGTCGTAGTATGACTTCAGTGATCGGACGAGAACTGGTTTATTCTACGCGGTATGACGCTAAGCGATGGAGGCTGCTTCAATTCACATTGTATAGCAAGATTGGTTAATGAGTATTCAAAAGTTTTATTCTTTACTTGTGAGTTAATGTTTAAATGCGGAAAGTGTTCAGTGTTTCTGAGAAAAAGAATAGTGTTGCCCATGATATCACAGATATAAATCTGCCCTACAGAACGAAGTGTTACTTGTTTAATCGTTGATGTCAATTATTGCGCAGACGTAAAAATGAGCTCCAGAGTGTCAGGGAGTTATAGTATGACAACCGGAGAGGACTCCTAAAATGCGCACGCAGTTTGACTCATCGCCTTGCCTACGCATTATCAATTTCAAAGCTTTCAGAATGTATTTATTTTACTACCAATCAAATCGTCAGAGAATTACTCAATTAAAAAAAAATCCGCCGTATTCTTTTGAGAGCAAAGAATCGTTCGGAAGGTCCTGCAGAGATGGGCAGAATGTGGAACACAGCATCTGGCCTCGTTCAGTGCGCAGATCCAGCAGCGACTCCAACACAATCAGGCTTCAATGAAGTCAAGATGTTAAAAAGGATAGGGCGTTTTTCTGCTTGTGTTTGTTTAGAATATATTTATTCCCTTTCATTTAGTTTTTCAATTTATCAAAAAACATCCATCGCAGAGGAAGAAAACCAGGAAAACAAACAATGACAGTAGCTGAGCAACTGACTTACATCGTGAAACGAGAAGACGAACTTACAAGATTATATGTTCCTAGCTGGAGAAAATCTGCAGAGGATTTTTTACTCCAAAATCCACAATTTGGAATGTCTACTACAAACGCTAGATTGATTTATGACAGGAGGGATCTTATCAGAGAATACGTTGATCTTGGACTTACTTTCAGGCAGAAAACGACGAAAAAGGAAGCCGACAAGTTCAGGCATCTTCGTTCGACTTTGTCGGACAAAGCCTACAAGGAAGAAGTGATGAAAGTGAAGAAAATACAACGAATTAAGACTTTCAACAGATTAAAGTATTTGAAAAGACAACTGAACGAAAAAGGCGAAGATTTGTCCGACGAGCAGAAGGAGATGCTCAGCGTTTGCGAAATGAAAAAACTTGAAAAAGACGAGGATATAGAGAATCGAAGAAAACAAGTATGGAGGTGCGAAATTAGTCTGGTCGAATTCCCTACTATACCTGGCAATATCGATGTCACCGTAAGACCAGAATCTCGTAAATTTACTGTCGATGGGCTCTCAATGAAGCAAGGCATGACTGAAAGTGGCTTCAAATTTCGAGGTGAGACACGATGGCGAAAGAGCTTCGACATACCTGAAAACGTTGACACGGAGCGAGGTCCGAGAATCAGAAAGAAGGACGGGGACGCTACTACTCTCATCGTTACATTCGATCTCAAAAAAGATGATGATGATGATGATGAGGACGATGAAGAAGTGATAACTCTAGTTGAAGTCACGGAGGAGCAAGAAAACATGGAAAAAGACTCCCACAGCTCTGGAGAAGGAATGAAATTGAGATCTAAGAAAAAATCTCGAAAGACAAGCGACAGAATAACAAAAGAAACTTTCCCTACGATAACCGTACCGGAGCTTTCGTCCAGCGAAGATGAATCAAAGGTCGAAGACAAGAAAGAAGGCTTTTTCATTCAAAACAGCTCATCAAAAACGGTAAGATTGTCAAGAATAAGATCATAAACTCAAAAAATATATTGAAGGTTTACAAAATGGTATCTCGAAAAGAATATTGTATTGATCCAGATGTTCCCGAAAGTGCAAAGAAAATTATCAGGGAAGAATTCTCCAAGAAGAAGCCACCATCAGAGACGGAACTGAAACTTATTTGTCTAAAAACTGGCGCGAAGTTCGCAGAGTTGAATCATTTCATGAAGAGGTAATCCCGTATTTCAATTCCTTTTTATTGAGTTTTCATTATATTCTAGGTATTTTACGATAGGCAATTACGCTCGGTCCCCTTTGCCAAGAGGACGACTGTCAAATGATGATCCAAATCCTCCTCAACAAAAATCGACGGAAATTATTGAAGAGGATCAAGTCACCAAAGAAACGTCTGACGAAGGAGAAGCGACGAAGGACGAAGGAGATTCTTCTGAATCTGAAGAGGAGACAGATGAAGAAGGCGAATACAACTCAGATGGCGATCAAGTTTTTCATATAACTGATATTTTTGATACATCTACCGGAAAATCCTTCTTTGCCTGAGGAGCTTTTCCGTTTACAAATATCGATAGATACTTTCGCTCAGTAGGACCTGCACTCGTATTATTTAATATCACTGTAATAAAATTCGGAACGAAAAGATGGCAAAAAGAGTCAAGGAAGACGTTGCTAGTGGAGCGGAGGCGGGACCAAAATAAAATTCCATGTTTGAGGCAGAGGGGCCATTTTTGCCCGCGTATTGATTCACCGACTCGCCCACGCACGTACCGTCCTTTTCAAACTTTGAGTGTTTGATATCGTTCTAAAATTTTTAAGAGAAAAATGAGCACAGGGCAAGAAGCAATTGAAAGTATGGAAGTTCCATTTGAGCATGTAGAGCAGGCTGATGAAGAAATTATTGAGACCGCGCTGCCTTCCTCTGAAATTATTAAGGTCAACGAAGTCAAGAAAAGAAAGAAAAGGAATGGTTGGCTTTTTCGGGAGGATGATATGATAAACGCACGACCATAAAGTTCAACCAAAAAAAGAGTCACCGGGGTACCTGCTTTTACAGTGACTGAGCAGCTTGCTTTTGTCCTACAACGAGAACAGCAACTCGCAACTAAGAAACCCGGAAGCTGGAAAAAAGCAGCTGAGGAGTTTGGTACATCTCCATCTAACGCTAGATGTCTTTACGCGAAAAAGAAGCTGATCAAAGAATACGCAGCTCTTGGACTTGGTTACAAAAAGTTTCTCACCGAAGCCGAACTGGAGAAATTCAAAAATCTCCGTGCTACGTTGTCGGATAAAGACTACAATGATGTTTTGATAAATGATCAGAAAAGGCAACGAATGAAGCAAGCATCACACCTTCGAGCTATGGAAAGAGACCTGCAGAAAAAGGAAAAAGAACTGCCTGCGACTGCTAAGAAACTACTGAAAGAATGGGACGAACAGAAAAAGCAACCGAAGAAATGGATATGCGAAGTAAATTTGGATGAGTTTCCGACGCTTCCGGGGAATATCAATGTGACTGTCAAGGCACTATCGCGCCAATTTACTGTCGACGGGCTGTCAGTCAAAAGTGGCATATCTGAGAATGGCTTCAAGTTTCGCAGTGAAACAAGATGGAAGAAGAGCTTCTCCATACCGTTAAATGTAGACATGGATCGAGGACCAGTGATCAGAAAAAAACATGCCTCTTCGTCGATCACGGTCACTTACGATATCAAAGAAGAAGGCTTTGAAACAATTGACGGAAAACATGGACAGATTGTTTCGGCCAAAAAAGTTGCTGAAGATTTCCAAGCTCAAAAAGAGGAGGGGCCTCAAAGAAAAAAAGAGTTGGTAAAGTCTACTGGTGCTCTAACCGACCAATTCTCCAGTGACACTAAGAAGAAAAATAATCCCAGAATAATGCTAAAGAGAGACGAGTTTGAACCGATTAACGTAGCAGAACTCTCCTCGAGTGAAGATGAGTCAAACACGCAAGATGATTTCTTTACACACAACAGCTCATCAACATCAACGGTTTCATAATGACATATTGACAAAAGAATGAAATATGTTTATAGATGTACAAAATGTGGGCCGGAAAAGAGGTTTGTGTCGACCCTTTAGTTCCTGAAACCGCGAAAAAGATAATCAAGAAAAATTTCTCGAGCACAAACCCTCCGTCAATTCATCAATTGAATAAAATTTGCCAAGACACAGGTGCAAAATTCACAAACTTGCAGCATTTTGTCAAAAGGTAAAGCATCTTGCATGATGTCTGAAACTTTTTATGATTTTAGGCTCTTTATGATAGGGAACTACGCTTCTTTTTCACAGATGAGCATACAAGAACCAATCGAAACATGTGAAATCACCATCAAAGAGGAAGATATTTCCTCTTCAGAGTCAGGGGACGAATTGGAGGGTGAATATGATTCCGACGGAAATAGAGTTGTTTATATTACTGATGTATTTGATGTGCGTACGGGAAATTTACTACATAATTAATTACATCATGTTCTACATGTACTGTTTTATTTGAAATAAATTGTTTTCATAATCAAAGAAAATTGATAAAAATGATTGCAGGGAAAACAGCAAAGATTAGACTTTGTCTAGACGAGTTCATCGAATTCTCAAGCTCCAGGTTGGATTGAATCGTAAATTTTCGCTGGTAAACATCACTCACGGTTTCCACGCTACGAGTGTTATTCGTACATGTATCCAGGTATGAGAGGACATTTGCGTCGGTGGCATCCACCATGATCACAGAACATGTTACCGAAAGGTTAGAATATCCTTCTAAGAAAAACGCGATGAAGGATATTTCGTGAAGCTCATTTCAAGGTTCAATTTTACTGTTCAGAATTTGAGACTAGTCTAAAAATCTGACCTTTTCCTTTTTATACTGAACAAGTCCAATATTTTTGATACTCCAAGCATTCGGACATCCATTCTCAAGAAGAGGAATTGTAACGGGCCCAATTGAAGCTTCGCACGAAGAAAACCGAAAGCTAAGACAGAAAGTTTAAAACTCTTGGTTCTTGGTTAAAATAGTTTATCCAATTTGGTTTTATTGAATTAGGTTGATTGTTTGAAAACATGAGGGTTACCCAGTAGAGCTTGATATCGCCGTGTATTTCATATCAACAGTGATCATATCGCCAGTGAAAACAGGAGTTGAATCGGTTCTTGTGACCAGCTCGATGTTATAATCTTTTATGACATCCTGCGCAGAAACTATTTGAATCAAAGGAGCATCAGTTGTTGAAGAAACCGTCAAATTTGCTTATTTAGGTTAGCGCTATTCCACATGACAATATTTTCAGAAGTCATAATTCGAAAACCCTCCCTGATAAACTTGGGCTGTCGAACTTGCATACAAGCTCTACCGGAGTCATCGTCAGGGCCAGACTATTTGCATTCTCAAAGTTATTCTTCTTGCCGAAGATTCACTATTTATTGCTGTATGAATATTCACGACGCGAAAATATTCAAATGAATGGAAAAGAATATCTTCCGTGAATTTTTGAAAAATTCGTGAATATCTCAAATATTCGCGAATGCTGCGCGCCCTGATTGGTTAAGCTCCGAGCCGGCGGCCGAATTAAATCGGGCCCTCAGGCTCACATCTCGCGGGCGCCACCCAAACTGAAGCCCCGTCCCCGTCCGCTCAAAATTTCGTGAATATGCACGAGAATAGGCTAAAATGAATATGCACGCATTTCTTTTTCGTAAAAGAATATTCACAGGCAATTTCGTGAATTTTTTCAAGAATGCAAATAGTCTGGCCCTGGTCATCGTGGTGACCGTCGTGTCTGGGATTTTCTGGACGACATAGAATCGAAAAACCGAGTCGTCTTTGCTTCCAGTTGTCAATTCTGGCTTTCCGCAGGCACCGGCGGCTTGTCCACTGTCAGTGAACTGACATGAAGAGCTAAGATTAGCCGATTTTTGCCATGTGAGGTACAGTGTGTCTTTTCAAGGGGTCCTCAGAGTTTTTCGACTTTTGCATCTTATGGACCTAAACTCCTTTCCTATCGGGATATGTGTCCAGCAGTTTTGATCAAAATTGACGGAAATGTGCCGAGTTGAGCACATGAGCACGAACGGGTCGCATGTCTTGGCCGTTACTGTCTGTATAGTTGTCGAGCTTGAAAAAGAAGATAGCTCCGTAGACGAAGGGTTGTATGGAATCGTGGTGGATGAGAAAGTGGATGTCTCTTGTGCAAAATTCGGACGAGCAGAAAATAAAAGTGTCAAAAATAGCATTTTGAAAATGCGAAAATATGCACTTTGCAGATGTGACAGGTCAAATTTTGCTTTATGAGTGCATAAATTATTACCCGCTTGCGTAAAAGTTTTTATTTGCAGCGCTCAATTATCCGGTCTGGGGGTTTGCTGCGTTATACTACCGAGGATAGGTAAAAATGGATATTGTGTCCATTGATCTCGTCGGTCACCAATAGGCTTTTAAATTTATTGCCTGAGCTCTTGAACAAGATTCTCTACTCAAGAGCCTTTTCTTGAAAAGCAAAATTACCGTATTTTTTGGATAAATACAAAGCTACCTTGTTCGCTTTCAAAAACTTGTTTTCTGTTGAAATGAAAAACACAAACAGTGTAAAAGAGGTAAAGAATTTATTTACATTCCGTTAAACATCTAACGTTAAGCACAGTAAATATCAAAGCAAACAAACAGAGCACAATCGAATTATTTTAACCAAGAGTCAATTGTTTCTTCGGGGAAATCAATGTTATTCTTCTTGAAAAATTCTTTGTACTCTTCGATGAATTTGTTTATCATCATAATCTCGTCTAAAAAAGTAATCTTCACTGCTTTTCTGAAACGAGACTAACCTGGTAAAAATAGATCAAAGTCGATTTCTTGCTTTTTTCGCTTATATCGGTCTAAATTTTGATTCTCGATGCATTCCAGCCGCTCTTCGAAGTTTTCGACTTCAAAATTGTCACTGGCTTCTTCTTGCAAGAACGAATACAGCTTCCGCATCTGGCCAATCTTGTCGGTCTTGAGCAGGTCGTACCATAAAAAGTGAAAGTTTTCTCCGTTTTTCTCCGAAAGTCGAACAGCTTCTTGATAGTATTCGCTCCAAACTTGTCCATGATTCTTGATGTAATTTCGCCACGAAGAAGAGAGGAAAAGTTCCGCAGATATTGTGCCCGTGTGAGCACCATGACCATCACCTGACTCTTTCTCGGAAACTATCCGATTAAAATTCGCCTTTAGAGTATCATAAGGATTCCTCATGATGAGAACTATCGCCGATCCTTTTCGGATGTGACCGCGAGCATGAGATTTCACGCCTAAAAATAAATTTTGGCGAAGATATCTAATTTGATTATGAGATAATATTGTGAACAATTTTATCGGTAGTTCAGCAGAATGTATTAATTTAACGGCGGAGTTTTGTAAACATTTACAATTGTAACGATGGCTTTATTTGAAGGAAAAACATCACGTTCAAAGGGGTCGGTCTTGGAACTAATCAATTGAAATTGGGTCTATTTTTTAAAGCATAAACTTTATACTATAAACCTTTAATTTTACCTCTAAGACTCTTTAGTTTAAGACTTCATTTGCTAGTTTTTCCTCCGCAATGTTCATCTAGATTTTTATAATCGTATTTTTCAACCTTTTATTAAGCTCTTTCGTCCAAAATTCTTATTAAAACTTACCAAGAACTCTTCCGGATTCTGGTGCGAAATGTTCGCCAGGAAAAGGAGATTTTTCAAATAGCTCATCTGTATCAAACTCTTCGTCGATCTCGCGATAAACTCCTCCCGCATAGTAGCCCGTCATCGACTGCAGTAGTTGTCTGGTCCAAGTGTTTCCTGAGCCCTGGACAGAAAGAAGTAGAATCCAGTTGAATTGTCCCGGATCGCCGAGTTTAACATCAGCAGCGCAGTCGTAATATTCTCCACTGACGTCTCGTTTTTGAATTGCTGCGATTCTCTCTTCAGAAAGGTTTAAAAAGGTAATGAAAAGCAATGCACATAGAATTAAAAATAGTTTTCCGATCATTTTTATGAACATTATTTGTTACGAATGATTTCAGAAATGATTATAATTCTGTGGCAGTCGCGCTACAAATGAGGCGCCCCCTTTCTTTGTTATTGCTAAGAACATAGCCGTTGGATCAAATTTACCCAAGACTTGACCGATTTCAGCAGATATGTTTAGATTTCTAACATTTTGACAAAGTATAATCTCTAATTCCCCCTTTCCCCAGGGAATGATTTCACTGATCTTATTTAGAAAACCCATTTTCTAATTCGATTTTGTAATCAAATTTTCTTGATTCTCGGGCTCGTTTTCCAGATTTTTAAAATTTCATAAGATAGCCACAGTCGATAGCAAATCAAGGAAGCTGCCGCCCAACGGTCTGGACAACTCAAAATCTGGATTTGACCCGTTTCTGTTTTGTTTTCGATTTGACCTCCGCTGATTTTGCGTTATTGACCCGACTAACTCCGTTTTTATTTTGAGAATTGCGTCAAAGAAAGAAAGAGAAACAGCGAGTTTTTTGCTATGAACGAGAAGTTGGAGCGGTTGTTGCCTGATTTGGCGATATTCAAGTACTCGATTAGAAATCCTGCGAGATACGATTTGCAGATAGATCTGGTGCAGTGTGTCCTGGATCGGCTGATTGAGACGGAAGGGGTGGTTCCTTTGAGAAGGTTCGTTGAAATAACTCTTCAAGGCATCAATAGTATTAAGAGCGACGGAAGTATTAAAGGAGTACTTCAACAAGAAGCGAAGCGGAGTCTGTCGGCAGTTGAACATGTCGCCTGAAAAGATACGCACGGTTGTCTTTGGCCTTGCCAAGCCATTCGACAAGAGGATCAGTAAGGTGGGAATCATCAATCCATCCTTCCGCTGCATCAACAAAAGGATGGAGAGGTTCGTGATGACCAATGAGTGCACTGTGTGTCGGCTAAGGTTCCAAATTTATTTTCATCTAATTGATCATTAATAATCACTTTTTTATATTAAAATTCTTTAAAATAAACTTAAAAAATGAAACCTGAGAAAGAGAGAGGAAGTCCCAAAGCGATTCGATACGACGATCGACTTTAGCTACATTCGGCGAGGATTTCTGCTGAACGTGAGGCCAGTTTATTTCGAGAGAATACGCACTTGGTGGTGGGACGATCGGATCAAGCGGGGCTTCATCCGCACAACCAAGGGAAGAGAAATTGTGAATCGAGCCGGCTGTCTCGTGCGCTTCCTTATTTACTCGCAGGAGGACAGTAAATTGGAGGAGTATCGGTTTCAGCTTTACACAGAAATAGGTAAAGAAACACTTCACGATTTGAAATTTTGAATAAACCCTCTATGTATAAATGTTGATTTTTTATGTTATACAAATGTAATTGCAATGTTATACTTACTTGTTAATATGAACTTTCACTAGAATCATAAAATGGGATTACCTCTATCAAATTATCATTACAGGGCTAATCTTATAATTTGCTTGATTTATAATTTCGTTATGATCAATAACCAGTTCCAGTGCTAGAAAAATAGACACGCGAGATTCAACCAAGAGAACCCTCTAGTTCTAATGAAACGCGAAATTGACACTTGTAATTTGGCAATAATATTTTATACGGTATAAATTATACCCGTTAATTCGTGAGCTCAGCGTAGAGGTCAAAGTATTAGACACAAAGAAACATGAACAAAAAAATTTAGCGGAGAGAATCGGTAAAGCGATTGAGGAGAGTGCGAATGGATGTGTTAACGTACTGACGGTATCATACGGTATTTTCAACCTGACGCCGTTTTTCGTGGACGAGGGAATCATAGCTAACGTCGTTATTGCTACAAGAGAGTTGCAGGTATTTGTTTTGCGTTCAACCTGTTGTGTTTAGATAAAATAAGGATCTGGAATTTAGTTTGTTGATCGGTGGACGATCGCCTTTGTGGAGGAAAAAAAGCAGCGGAAGCCAAAGAAGTCTAAACAACGGGTTTCGAGCGACAGAGCATCATCCGCGGACTACCGTTACTTCTCTGGTGGGGACTACGTGTCGGACCAGCACAACAACTCTGACTCTAACGAGCGGAAACGAATTGAGAAAAATTCCTTGTCTCCGACATCGAGCCGCGACAGCCAGTACGAGAGCCTGGAATCGTCGATTAACGAGCAAAAATCTCGGTGAAAGTTATTTATTTATTGATCAAATGTGACGATTGATAACTTCACGAATAAATTATTTATTGTTTAATTTGTTGGCGTATATTCTAGAGCATTTTCTAGAGCTTGTTTATCTTTATGTCAATTTCAGATAACCGCAATTTGCAAAATTTTCAAAACTGCAGAATCGTCTCTAGAACGCAGCTCTGAAAAAGTATAAAAAGGGCCGCCGCATCCGAGTCTTCACTCAGTCAAGCTCTTGACTCTGTCGATGAGAGATCCCTAGAACACAAAAAGGATCAAAGCAAATCGACTTTGAGCATCTAATGTTCCCTGAAAAGGAACTCTTGCTCACCCACCGATGACTACCGTCATCACCTACTAATCTTCTGGCCCTTTTTAGGGCCAAAATTCTTGAACAAAAACTAAGAGTCAACTCAGACTAGAAATTCCATGACTCTATTTATGATTTTAGCGAAGCATTATTCATCCGTCTCGGAATGCAGAGTCCATTGTCCTAGTTTATCCTCAAGAGTCTGTTTATTTACAATTTTTCCACTCGTCGTCTGCTGATCGCACCTCTTCTAAAGGGGTCTCAGCGGGTTAAGTAGTTTTTTCAATGGCAGTGGAAATGGCCCTCCTGCTTGTTTGTGCACCTTTATAACCTCCACAAGGTGGTGGCAACTTCATAAAGCCTGCCGATGCTGCTTCGTCCTTCCATAAAAAAATTTTGCCCAACGTCGAGCTCGTCATGAATTCGCTTTTGAACAAACTTGTATTTTTCGCCGTCGCGTTTTATAGCCTTGTCGAGGGGTTCGAGCTTTTTGTACTCACAGATGGACCGAGAGACAAAATCACACACCATAGAAGGTAAAAAAGAATTTATTTTTCTTTCCCTAAAAAATTCTCGCAGATGGAAGGCTGCGAAGACATGGCTAACTCACGTGATCGATGCGACCAAAATTGGAACTGAGATCCACTTCATAACTTCTTCGGACCCAAATCATAAAGTCAACATTCGACATGCTTCTGGAACTCGTGACATTCACTCAAGGTTTGAAGTTTTTTGCTATAAAATAGTGCTCTAAATATTTTCAAGAATTTCTTATTTGGGACGACCCGGATATGATACTTACTCCGCGATTGTCTCCCTTGCGCATCAATTAGAAGACGACAAAGAGAATCGATTCAATCTGAATGATCTGAAGGCACTCATCCTTCTTACTGGTAATTTTTTTCTCTGATTTGCAACTCTAAGGGTTTTCTTTCAAGATGGCGACATTGGAGTCGATATCGAAGCAAACTGCTTTGTTAGCCCCAACTTCGAAATCTTCGACAAATCGTCCAACTGTGGTAAAATTTATCTAGACGCGTTGAACTACGCCACAAAGCCAGGGCAGCTCAGTTCCATAGGTAGATATTTTCTCTAATCAAAAAATGACAAAGGATATTAGATCTTGTGTTTGTCGTCAACTGGGCGACGGATGAGCTTATCGACCAGTCGTTAATCAAGGCGATGACGAAAATATTTCCAGACTCGAGAATTGTCTGCGGTACTCTTGACAGTCTCCGGTAGAAACCTTTTTCTAAGCAAATATTCAAGATAATATTCTAGTGAAACTGCAGTTGAGCTTCTCCGTGAGCTGAACACTGATATAACTGACGAACCAAAGCTGTTTGCTCCCGAAATTCGCATGCTTGATCAACTCGTTGATCACTAAAATTGACAGCAACTAACAATGGCCTTCTTCGTATGCTACAGACTGCTACAAGCGAATACAAACAACAAAGTGAACAAAAAACATGTGCTACAAAACAAAAATATCTCCCAATAAAACACCAAAAGATTAAAACTGACTAAAACGCATAATAAGAATTTTCCGATGGCGGCTATCATTATTATTAAAAATGAAAAAGTTTATTTGGCAAAAAACGTTCCCAAGAAAAAGCGCAGGAAATTAGACCGGAATAGATTTTAGAGGTAGAGGTGGAAGAGCTTTTCGACTTTTTCAAAGCCTCGGAAGATTTTATTCGTTTTTCACGTTCTTCAAGCCAGCATTTCTCCATTATCGCTAAAATGATATTTTTAGTAAAGCTGGACGCTACATGAAGTGATAAGTGACGATCAAGCACATTTTACCATTAGGCACTGTTTAGATGATAAATGGTATGCTTTCACTAAAAACTAAGATGTTGAATAATTTATACCGTAAATTCCTTTGTAAAATGGCTTGACATCTGGATGGTTTGTATTGCAGTTGAAGTTTGATGGTTTTAGCCGACGACCTTTGCGAATTTGTTTTTGGACTTCTCCGTTTTGAATGTCCCTAGAATTGAGTAACATCAGGTTTTGAAAAGAATCTCACTTGTAAGGCCGCTCTCCGAGTGCGCAAATCTCCCAAATGGTGACTCCATAAGCCCAAATATCAGAAGCAGGTGAAAATATCCATCTTTTAGATGCCTCTGGCGCTATCCATCGGACAGGAAGTTTTGCTGAAGATGTCATTCTAAAACAAATTTAGAAATCTATTATTCAAAAAAGCAGGACCTGTAGTATTCCTCTTCCTCTTCAAGAACTTTAGCCATTCCGAAATCTCCGATCTTGGCAATGTGTTTGTGATTGAGCAGTATATTTCTTGCAGCTATGTCGCGATGAATAACCCCATGCGTCGTTAAAAAGTTCAAGCCAGAGATGATATCAAAACACCAATGAATCTGGTCGCGCAGGGTCACTCGGTCCGGTTTCTCTCTGAGGTTGTTGAGCAAGGAACCACCGCTCATCTTATTTTGGGTCAAGAACTTCTGCGTTGATCCTCACAAAAGGAGAATTTCTCAACCCGTCTCATTTCCATGGCCATCAATTCAATTGGATCTCCTGATATTCCAAGAAGAGTTAGAATATTCGAATGCCTCAGATTCGCCAACAATTGAGCCTCTTTTTCGAACTCGAATCTGAGAGGTATTTATAACATAAAAAAGGAACTTAACTACCTGGAACCTCTCCCTTCTTTGAGCAACTTGAGTGCAACTGGAGTATCACCATTCAATTTTCCCGACATAACTTCGCCAAAATATCCGGCGCCGATTTTGTCGCCAAGAAGAAGATCCCTTTTGTCAAACACAAACGGGCTTCTCCCGCTTATGACTGGCTCAATAAGTTGAAGCTCCATCTTTCCCGAATCTTTCCAGTAGTATTCTGCAAGTGCGCTTTTAAATGATATGAAATTATCGTTGGCTGTTTGGAAGAAAAACTTATTTCCGCAAAAATAATCAACTTCTTAATTATCTTCAATGTGAACTGTGTTTAAGGTCATTACGTGCTTACATAAAATATATATATATATATATATATATGATATATCATATAATCTATCAAATTAGATTTGTTCGGTATTGTATTTTGAGTTCAATTGACATCATTTCTTAGAAGATTAAATCGACGATGCGAGGCAATGTAGTACTGTCTATTTTCTCTGAAGATTCTGTAGTGTTTGATTCCTCCACTTGGCGCTCTCGCACTCAAAGTATACTTGTGATTTTCTTGGCTCGTGTTGACATCAGATTTTCTTATCAGAAAAGCGCCGTGAACATCTGACGTTACTGAACGTGGATCTTAACATTTGCGATCTTAAATCTACGATCTACATATTTATTGAAAATCCGTTCATAGAAGTTTTCCAGCCTCTGGCCTAGAAACGTTGGGGAAGAACCAGGTTGTGTCAGAAAGACACAAACAGCATCTCCACTGAGTAGTCGTTATCAAAGTTTTCTTCTCTCCAATTTTGACAAAGATTCTGTTGTTTCTTTGGTTATCCAGCGGCATTTCAACTTCGAAAATGTCCCCCGTCACAATTTCTTTTCAGAAGTTTTGAATAAAAAAAGCTTGGTTATTTTGCATTTGACTTCTTTCCTATGTGGTCAGTGTTAAGTTCACATTTTGCTTCGAAGTGCCTCGTTTCTCTTAGTCTTTGCATTTCTAAGTAATTGTACGATTTGCTCCTTGAGGAAACGATGCTTCTACCCCTCTTTGAATATTCAGTCCACGCAGCTTTCTCTTATTACTTTCTAATTAATTTTTCCTTCTTATTAGAAAATATGTGAATCAATAAGTAGATCCCTGAAGGGATAAAACTAAGGTTTTTTCATGGAAAACAATAAAAGTATTCATACGAACTAGAAAAAATAAACCATTTCCGCTTCCTTGATCCCCCTTGATTTCTTTGTGAGTATGAAGTTTTCGTCTAAACTTGATTGAGTGCCAAACCTGCCATCTATTCTTGTTGCTCTCTTTTTTCTGTAAGTTATGTAAGCAGCAAATAGGTTGCATTGTGAGCAGAGCGTTGATTGTTTGTACAAGACAACCACTTAGTTAGTCAGTAGAACTGACTTCAAAATAGACTTTTTTCAGGAAAGAATACATGAACTGATGAGATCCAAATTTTTGCTACTTTTTTCGTATTGCCTGGCACTTTCGCAAATAAAGCAAAAGAGTATCATTGTTTACGAAGCAGAGGATGGGAATTTTGAACCGCTGGAAATATCGATAAAGGACTCGTTTTCAGAAGATGCTGCTGAGATTTTAGATGTGAGAGGACAGGGAAGAGAGTTCTTTTCTGGGAACGGGATGAATTTAACGCTATTCAAGGCGATAGACTTTGAAGAGCTCCAACTTGCTCAGGGATCGACCAGCTTTTCATTCCCCGTGCTCATTGCTAATCAAGAGGGGACAGAAACAATAGAAGGCATCATCGAAACAATCGTCACAAATCTCAACGATCACGACCCCTACTTCGTCGATCGGTTCAACACACGAATCGACAGACTTGACATTTTCTTCAATCTAGCCGGGAATCAAGAATGCTACGGACCATCCGAAGAAAATTGTATTCGCGGAATTCCTGAGTTTTCCTCTGGCTTGATTAGAAATGGAAGCGTTGTGGCTCAATTAATGGCTGATGATCTCGATTGCCGCCTGCCGAACGAATGCTCGAGCTCGCTAGAATTCTTAGTTGAAGAGAATCCTTGGATAGAACTGGCTGGGAATGGGATTTTGCAGCTCAAGAATGCGGAGCAATTTGACTTTGAAACAGATAGAGGGCCATTTCGGATAATAGCGAAAGTCATTGACTTTGGAGTGCGCTTTGACCGACGCCAGAGAAGCTCTCGAATTCCAGGTGAAAGGATGATTAATTATTCGAAATATTAATTCTCAATTCTAGTGTATCTGTATGTAAAGGACTTTCCAGATACGCCTCCAGTGTATCAACGGGATCGGAACTTTTTTCAAGTGTTGGAAAACTCGCAAGAAAACACGCTTATTGGCGAAGTCACAGCATTTGATGGAGATGAAGAAATAAATTGGCCAATTATCTACAGCACTTTTGACAATAGAATTTCAGTGGATAGAACATCTGGAAAGATTTTTATAAAAGACTCGATCGCGTTTGATAGAGAGGCGAACGAAAAACTGGAATTTGAAATTGAAGCCTTAGAACAACCAACAGGCTTCTTCAAAAATGAACGAGCCCTCAGCTCTGTTGCGAAAGTAGTTGTTACGTTACTAGACGTCAATGACAACGAGCCGTATATCGTCGATTTTGACGAAGACTTCATCTTTTCCGTCGACGAGAATTCTCTTCCGGGGACTGAAATAACCGGAAGCAGAATTGTGATTCAAGATGACGATCAATATTCAAACACTCATTGGAAGGCATCTATCACTGTTGATGATCCGAGGTGCAAAATCGACGTGATTCCCCGAGAAGGATACCACCGCAACTCTATTTCCCTCCGAACAAAAGAACCAATGGATTTCGAAGAGATTCAGTTTTGTGATGTCCAGCTCAAGTCGAGGTTTAAAACTGTATAAAACAAATTGTTAATAATTGAATTCCTTTGAAACCCCGGGGCTAAGATATTTGATGGCCAAACACTTGGTTTAGCGGAAGCTAAGAATTTTACCGTTGTTATTAATAATCTTAATGATAATTCTCCCACGTTTGAGACCACGTCATATGCATTTAGTGTATATGAAAATGAATCCCCTCCTTTGTTTATTGGACAGGTAGGATAAATACCCGAAGCTTGACGTTGTTAAAAGAGTAGGTTCGAGCAACTGATGAAGATTTTGGAGAATTCGGGGTCGTTACTTATGATTTACTTGCTGGGAGATCAGACTTCGCCGTCAATGCAACAACGGGGAAATAGCATGTTTCAGGAGCTTCGATCGTGAAGAAATGGAGTCAATACAGATACAAATAAGGGCGACGGATGTTGAATTGCGTTCGACAAATGTAGAAGTTAATATTCATATCTTGGATATCAACGACACGCCACCTTCCTTTAAAGACGAAAGAATTGCTAAATTTGTTGCCGAAAATGCAAAGAATCTATCTCTTGGGGAAATCACTATCGAGGATGATGATTTGGACGCAATTCTGAAGCCGTCAATTGAATGCAACACTTTGAAGAATGAAAATATTGTTCAGAAAGATATAAAATCGATTGTTTTAAGAAATCATCTCGATGATAACTCTTTGGATTTGTGGCTAACAGAGGGTTTCGATTATGAAGAAACAGACGCTGTAAAATGCCAACTGAATGTCGTTGATCTCAACACAGCGGCTGATTACGACAACTCTTCAATACTTGAATTTATAATTTTCGTCGAAAATGAAAATGACAATGCGCCTGAATTTCTCATTCCAACGATGGATATTTTTGTCAACGAAGACAGTCCTGTTGGAACGTTCTTGGCTACAGTAGCGGCAAGTGACGAAGATCACGATAGACTTCATTATTATACGAAAGATGAAAAGATCAATGTGGAGAGGAATAGTGGAAATATATTCCTAAGACGACCATATGATTTTGAGGAACGGCAATAAATTAATAAAGTAAAGAATCAAAAATAAAAGAATTTTTTTAAACCTTATAAAGATTTCTAACTTTGATGAAATCAACGTATTTGCTTCTGATGGTCTATTTAACGCTACTCAAACACTCCGAATTTATATCAATGATGTTAACGATGATGTTCCCGTATTGACAGAAGGTCAAACACAAATCAATATTTCTGAAGCTATTGAAGTTGGCACAGTATTGAGTACTTATTGTGCGGAAGATTTGGATGCTTCTGACGAAAGCTTGAATTTCATGATTGTAACCAGTCTATCTCAGTTTGAGCTTGAGGAGAAATCTCCTTTCTGTGCAGATCTTGTACTCAGCAAAAAGATAGACTATGAAACTGATCCTTCTACTATTGAGCTAAGGATACGAGTCATCGATGGTCTGACTTCAGTGCAGTCAAATATGGCCGAAAGGAACGTTGAGATCAACATTTTCGACGAAAACGACAATCCTCCGGCATTCAGTAAGAGCTTGTATAGAATAGAAGTTCTAGAAACTATTTCGGCACTGGAAACGATTCTTATTCCGACGATAGTAGATGATGATTCTGACAGCGTGAATGCTTTTAATGTTAGACTCAAAAATGGCACGAATATGTTCTCAATTATGGCTACTGAAAGCGTTTTCTCAATTATCGTCAAAGAAGATGTAAGCCTCCTTGGTCGCGGGTTCAGCACAGTTATTGCTGTCATAGAAGTCAGTGACGGCGTTTTCAAAAGTGAAGCTACCGTGGAAGTCGGTATTCAAGGAGTCAATTTCAACTCGCCGGTATTCTTGAATGATGGACACTTGATCGAGTCCAATATGCTGAATATAGCGATAGAAGAGAATCGAAATGATGCTCTGTTAAATCTATCATCTACAGACGATGATGCAGGTCTAAATGGAAAGACACAAATAAATGTTCGCGAGTCCGCTGACTATGTCGACTTCAATTTCTCAAATGGAGTATTGAAATTTAATAGTGCTCCAGATTACGAAGAAAAAAGAGAGTACATGGTTATTTTCGATGCTTTTGATGAAGGAGTCCCACCCCGAACAGTCAGTCTCACTGTGATTATTTCAATTATCGATGTAGATGACAATGAACCATTCCTCAACAAAAAAGTTCTGAATTCGATGAAAATATCCATCAAGGAAGAGACACCAATTATCATCAATATTCCTGCAGATTCGATCATTGATGTTGATACTGTTGGAAACGAGGACAACTTATTATGCATTATTGAACAGGATAATTCTTCGAATTGCTTCGCAAAGGTAAATTCTACCTGGCCATTGGGAAAGGGTTATAGTTTTTCTAAAAATAAAGTATTATTTATTCGGTGCGATCATGATTTTAAACCTCAGCAGAGATATCGGAACAGTTTGACTTTGAAAAATCACCCGTTGGAAACATCAAGATCGGCACCAGAAGATCTGAAACAAATCAATTTAAAGAAGACCAGCAAGCTCATTTGAAAATCTTAATTGAAGACATAAACGATAATGCTCCACTCTTTCTTGATGCCGGAGTCCTCGAACGCGGGATTAGTCTTTCAGAAGATCCAGCTGTTGGTTCAAGTTTATTCTCTTTCCAAGTATGGTTATATATTTTACAAAGTTAATTATGCATTTTAGATTTCCGATAAAGACACAACTTATGAAAACACTGTTCCGATATTCAGTATCGTTAATTCTTCCCAGAGCCCATTCTCAATAGGTATAAAATCATAAGAGCACTGGGTATTGAGCATTTTTCAGATCGAAACGGAATCATGCGGCTTCAGAATCCTCTAAGGTCGACCGATTCGATAATAACGACAATCAAGTGCGAAAATCTGGCGGCGGGACCATGTTCGTTAAAAAACATCACCTTCTTTCCAGCAGCTGAAGAAGACATTTTCGAAGTTCAATGCCTGAATATCGCTACATTCAACGAAAGCGCGTTTCGAAACGCTATCGAAGCAAAGATTCAAGGCGCAAAAATCTATTTTCATAAAAGCTCCAGACGTATTTCAGCTACAGGTGAGATGACAAGCACTGGGACAATAAGATTTCACATGGAAGACATGGTCTTGAAGGAAAAGGTCGGAGTCAAAGCGATCTTCAATGATCTTTCATCAATCGACTTTCGAGAAAATATTCGAGTTTTTGGACTTGTCCTTGAACAATCTCAGGTTTAACGAGCATGTTCGATTGAGTTGATCATCACTTGGTTCATTTATAGGTCGCGCAAGAGCAAAATCTGCAAACTCTTTGGACGACAATCTGGGTCCTATCTGGGATGATCCTTGTTTCATGGGTTTTTGCGATTGTATTTGTTAAAGTATACGCGTCAAGATTGCGAACGAAATTCAGACTGAAATGCATTCAGAACGGGAATTTTGACGGTAAAGAGATCAACAGTTCATTCGAATTAGAACTTATTCAGATTTGACTGAACTGCCACAAGAAACAGACAATCCATTGAAAGAGTGTCAGTTCGATACTCAATCTCAGTGTCCGTATACACTTGAAGACACTGCTCCTGAAGACTCGATGTCAACTGAGGTAAGTCTGTGCTTTGATTTTCACATGAAAATAACCTTTCAAGAGCTCAATGACAAACCATGACTCGGACCCGGAATGCGAGCACAATCAGAAAACCAAATCTACAAAAGCGAACAAACTATCTCCATCAAACTCTATTCAAGAAGAATCATTCTAGTAAATTTTTATAATAAAGAGTTCTATTTTTCTAATAAATAAATAAAATGACATTTTAGCTTCCTCGGGAATAATGAATAAACATGGTTGTAAAATTATTTAATTGAACTATCCAATTCTGGGTTTTCTCAGAATCCACTTTCCCAAGGTTAATCAATTAGCGTTCATACGAAGTAAGCATTTATTGCCTCTTCAACCTTCGGGAAATGCTTTCCCACATATTTTCGCGCAGCCACTCTTTTAGACTATCTTACATATTTATTTGACAACAAAAGATGTGTACATAATAAGTTACTACATATATAATTATCAAATGGACAGCGACTACGTCAAGCGAGTTGCAATCGTTTCAAATACTTCTGACAGACTCGTTGTCGAGGTTTTCCAATCTTTGTCTTCTACTTCTACATCTGTTTCTGTGCCTATGGCGTCTTCAAAAAGAATGCCTTCCAATCCAGTTTGAAAGTTCAGCTAAAAATGGCCATGAAACTAAATGACGTTGACCTTTACCTTTTCAAGATAATCAACGGCCTCCTCAGTTAGATTTCCAGTTGCAAAGTCGATCCTTTGTCGCAAATCCCGGACGAATCTCAGGCCATTATCCAAGCTGGTACGCGCTATAAACAACAATTTAAAATCTCTTCGATCTTTTTGTTGTCATTTTTATACTCGCAAATTTGCCAGAATTCAGCTGGCTTCAAGGAAAATTACTCTGAGTACCGACGCAACTCTGCCAAGTCATGTTAAATTAGCAAAATCTTACCGACATAAGTATTTTGTCGTAAAAGTCTATCAGTTTCAACCGTTTCAGGCAAAAAGCTCCACAGCGATCCGCCCTTGTTATTATTCGGCCTTTTGACAAAGCTTCTACAGCTGCTCAAGTTATGTCGAATGGAGTCTTTCCAGCCAAGATAGGGCCCTCGAAAAAATGGAAAAAGCGTTGAAATTCTACGGACGATTTCTCTCAGGGGTAGTGCTCTTGAGGGCTCCGTCAGCAAGGCAATCATGACGATAGAAGAGTATGAGTAGGGAGGCTTTGCATGCCGCGTGTACTTTTATCCTCTTCTTTCGATTCCGGCTGGGTTACTGATAGGGGTAACTGTTGAGCCTGTTTCTGTACAACGCCTTGAAGTCGAGATTAAACATAGAAAGAATATCAAAAATTACCGAATCGAGATGCCATAAGCGGAAGGAGTGACTGGTACGGCGGGTAGTAGTTGAAGTACAACGAGTTCTGTAAAATGTTCGGTCGGAACAGAGGCATTTGTTGATTTTGTTGAACACGAGGAATGGCAAAGTCTAGTTGAGAGCCAGAAATTGATGAAAGACTGTCAGACGCTATTCGTTGAATCTTACTCGGGCTTCCTTCCGTTGAAGCTGAGTTTTCATCATCAGAGTTGCTATGATCGACGTTCTTTCTTCTCAAAAGAACTGAGAAGACCTCATTTGAAGACAAGGAAGAAAGTGTGGACTCAAATTCGTGAATAACACCGAGAAGATTGTCAACGAACAGGTCTTCTAAGTCTTCAAGACGAATCTTGTTCATAAAAATCGAGTTCGCGTCGAGGGCGCTGCGATTAAGAGTCCAGTGTGCCACTTTTAATCGATCTTGTGAGAACAATGCCTAGGAAATAGTAAGAAGTTTAGATTTGCAAAGATCTTTACCGGTAAATTTGTCAGTGCCGCAGTAATTTGAAGTAGTAGAGAGCAGAGTTTTGTTCGCTCATTCCAATATGGAAAACAGTTACGAATCTATGAAAGATTTTTGGACATTCGTTAATACAGATGTGGCTTACCTTTTCCGCTATTTGCCAGCCGGTCACCGAATCCTGTTTCAAAGCGACAAAGGCGAAAATAGTCAATGCAGCTGTAGTGAAAGGAGGCTTATGATTCAAGCTAGGAGAAATCTCGTGCTTAGGCTGCGAAATGTAGTGTTGGAAAAGAGATGGCGATATCAGATTTTGCGGCATACATGTCGGAAAATATTGTGTAAACAGCGACTGAGGCGGCATCGACGGAATATCCGGGGAAAATGGCGATTTTCTCTTTCGATATGGCGACACAGCAAAGTTAGAGCTCGCCAAGTTTTCATCATTTTTGAGTGTTTCAATCACTTCTTGAATCGATGGCGCTTCGTCTTCTGTAAAGAACTCCATCGACTCTCCAGGTATGTCTGTTATTTGCTGCAGCAGGAGCGGCGTTATTCCCGTGGAGACGGTTAGTTCCACCGATGTTTTTCGGCGAATTTTTCCAGTTCGCAAGAAGAAAACATCTTGCAAATCGGAAGCGTATGTGAATCCAGCTTGAACATTTCTCGACACTGAAGTATTTTGCCGGCGAAGTTTGTCTTCCAATATTTTGTCTACATCCACTCTCCAATAGTTTCCTAGACATTAATTGAGACTTGATCTTGATGAGTCTTAGTACCTTTTGTATTCGTTCTCCGAGGATCTTTCAGGTCTAGCACGAAACAGTTGTTGTTGCTTAGATTGTGGCGGATGGAATCTTTCCAGCCAGCGTAACTTGTTTTGAAGAACGGAAACATCTCGCAGATGCGCTTGAGGATCTCAGAAAGTCTCAGGCGTTTCTGGGGCGATGACTGGATCGCGAGCGCGGTTAGGGCCACATATGTGAACGGCGGCTTATCTAATCGGCTAAAAGCTCAAATAAGGAAAAGAAGGGAATGTTGACTCACCGGTATTTCCGACTAAAAGTGATTTTCTGATGCATTTGCGCTGGAACGTGTTCCATTTTTGAGATCAAGGTAACTTCGCTTCTGAAAAAGTAAATTGTTAATGAGGCCCATTAACAAGTCCATCTCGCTACTTGTCCGAAATAAGACGGATCAAGCATGGCGATTTCCGGAAGTAGCCATTTGGCTGTCACCGGGCGCGAGTGGCAGATTAAAAACGCCGATTTCAAGTTGTATTCTGATTTTGTTGTGTGGACAAATTTCATGACTCCGGAAATTGAGCATTTAAAGAGCCTCAAACGAGTTTTAAACTGAACAATTTAGCCGACATGCTGAGTAACAAACACTCTTTTACTGATCTCATGTATTTTTTAAATAAGCAAATATTGATGATTTTGGTAAAAATTGTTCAATTTCTTTTAACAGCAGTATTATCAATAGCTCGATAAAACTGATTTTGGAAGGGTTAGGAAGGGAATTTTAGAATGTTATCATGATCATTGTGTTTATCGGTGACTTTCCTCATTCTTACCGAAATTTATGAAGAAGCCAGTTTATCGTTCTTTACTGTTTTTCAATAATCTGCGGATGATCTCTTTCTGATCTCCTCCGTTGCGATTTCTTATTGCGCGAGGACGAAAACAGCGCCACCATGCACCAAAAGTCAAGCAAATTATCCACCTCGATAATTTCCTTTTTATAATATCGGATTGGGGACTCGAGCAGCTTATCTTCGCTGGATACGAAAGATCACTGGTTTTTGTTCTCTGGAAACTTGTTTTCTTCAGAGTGTGAAAAAACTTGATGACGACCGGTGTTGAGCAAATTATCGTGTCAGATTTGGAGGAGGAAAATGAGGAATAAGCGTCGCAAAAACACTTGAATATACTTCTGCGATTTCGGAATACGAAAAACACTCATTTATATATGAGATTTTGAGCAGAAATTGAAGACCGTAATCTTACGAATTCTTGAGAAAATTAATACTTTTCTATGTAGGAAACATTGAGATTACCAATCCAAGATATACAATGTTGTCAACTAGTGAATTTCCTCGGATACTTCGATAATCATAATTATAAATTCAAGACCAAAAAATATCCAAAAAAGAAGCTTTCCAGCGAGTCTGTAGGTCTCATATCCACTACCGCTTTCGCGCAAATTATGATGGACGATGCGAAATGGTGATGCTTTACAATGCGAATTGCACGTTAGTGTAGTTATTTACGATAATATTAATTCCGCTTTCTGAGCGTAGAACATTTTTATAACTCTGATAATCTTGAGGAATGCTGACAACTTTGATGAAGTGCGTGTTTAATCTGGGCCCGCTTTTTCTTGCTTCAAATAATCTTCAAAACAACATTGTCTGGGGATTTCGTGGAGCTTCTTCAAATCTTCGAAGATACATTTTGGGCGCTAGAATTCTTGTTTATCATTTGCCCAACGATTCGTCCCGGTGACATGTTCCATCCACACGGGAACATGCGCCGATTTCCACGCTTTAACCGAAATTCATCTAAATTTATTCATCTAGCAGTTTTTTGTTTACTTTTAAGTAGAGAAATAAAAGCAGTACTTTTCAACTTTTCGGCTCTCATGAGTAATTACAGTCGATTATAGAGCGTGTGAATGAAGTGTGATTTTTCGTAATCCGGCTCTATTAAATGTATATTTTCAATTCAGAGTCGGCGCTAATTTTCAGATTTTGCGGCGCTTTTTCAAACTCGCCGAGCGCACTGTCGCCGCCGCAATCTCACCAGCACGCCCAGAAAGGGAAGCCAAAGCTCATAATTTCCATCAGTCCTTTGTAAATTACTTCTTCGGATTTGTGCGCGATACACGAACGATAACTGGTTCTCAGAGTTATACATTCAACTTGGCCTTACTTTTTTGAAACTCAGTTGCTGAAAGCAAAAAAGTTCTGACTTAGAACAGTCTGTTCTAATCATTCTGAATGATGTCAACCTTTACCATTTCGGTAGAGCTTTTTGACATTTCAAACTACTTCGAGCGACAATAAAATATTTTTACCTCACGAAAGAAAGATATCTTAGAAGCACAGGAACAAAGCTAGTTTGAAAGTTTTATCAAATTAAGAAGGTAACGAATGTAAAAGATATGATAGGATAACTGTAGGAATAAAGAGTGAAAAGAGAGAGAGATCAGATTTCTATCTAATAAAGAAAAAATCCAGTAATTTGAATTTTCCATCCAGTAAATTGATTTTTTTCAGGAATATCCACGAAAAAGAGAAAATAGAAAATGGGAGACGAAGATTCGAACAGAAGATCCAGATTAACAGTTTTACAGAAACTCTGGGCCGGAATAATTTTCGGGATGCCTGGAGCCAGTAAGTTCAACATATGATTTACATCCTATTTTTGTTTCAGTTATTACAGCACCCTTTTACACAAGGGCTTTTGCTCCAGTAAGTTCTTATCCTCGGGAACAGATCCAAACAGCTGCCGGTCCCATTTCGCATACGATCATTCCAACAATGTCTGATTATTTCTCAAACAAAGAAAGCAAGAGAAAAGAATTCGAGCGAAATTTCAAGCGCGCATACGCCATCGAATACTACAACCAAGAGACCAGAGACATGGAGAAAAAGTTCCGCTGGCGAATGGAAATGCTGACAAAGGAGCGATTTCTGGACACTCAAAATTTTGAGCAACTTCGATTACCGATCCTAATGTGTCTTTTATATTCCGTACTTTGGGTATTTATCTACTCTAGAATTTCATCTATGGTTACGAAGACTCAGAGTAAGAATATTCTTTTCAAGAGAGGACTCAGTCCTTCTGGCAATCCTTTTTATACAAGCATTGGTTCTGCTAAACAGCAATGGTTCAAAGCCTATCGTTACAACATTTTGGTAACAAAAGGATTCGGGTTTATGGTTGGTTTTTTCGTTGGAGTGTTAGTTGTATTCCCTCCTTTTTAAAGTAACTGTCATCTATCTGTATATATTTATGATTGAATAAAAAGCAAGTTGACAAGTGATGCTCGCATAATTAACGATTTGGAGCGCGCTAAAAGGATTTGTTTTTGATAGAAAGGGATGAGCCTTTGCGACAACTCTAAGCAGCCTCATCGCGCCGTGAAATCTCAAACTTCAAACCAAATTAATGATTTTTTCGGGATCACGATTCTAATGGAATGGAAAACGAGAAATGCACAACGACAGGTATAGATTTATTTTTAAGAGAGAAGAGGAGGTACTATATGATTATTTCTCTAGTCATCTTCGTAGACTTCTTCCCATCTAAAGGGCGGTTTTCTGCACGAAGCAGGCATCATTACTCGATCTCCCATTCGAGATTCTGTGCATGCAAGCCACGGAGGAAGTTTTCCTTTTGATAGATAGTCTAGGATATCCATCGGTGCTGGGGATTCGAGGCCCTGTTCGTCTTGAACACATTTCGTTGAGGACTTTGAAATGACTTTTCCGCCACAGCACGACTCTGCAAGAGCACTATACAAACTTGACTCAGTCCTAAATCAAATTTGAAAAAAATTATTTTGACTTTCAGACTTACTGAGACGCACAGCAGGCTTGAAAACGCTTGTCATATTTTATGCCAAAGATTTTCTTTCCACAACATTGTTGCGATTTCTCCGAGCTCTTTATGAAATCGTCTCCGCAGCAGACGGCATCTTTACCAGCTTCTGCAGCGATGAGAGTTTTGGAATGCGTCTTTCCCCGGCAGCACTTGTCTCCTTTTGTGGGATCAAAAGTCACAACTTTTCCGAATTCCTCGCTGCAGCATCGCTCTGGGCTGTCTTTTCTCTTCAACGCTGTGATATCACAGCAGTGGAACTCGCTCTTGTCGAAAGCCATGTTGTTGCAGCAGATGAATTTACGCTTGTCGTAGATTTCCTCCCCGCAGCAAATCTGTTTTCTAGTATTATATGCACTTTTCGCGCAGCAGGCATTCCCTGCACTTCGATAGAAAAGAAAGCCATCGCAGCAAAGTGATTTTCGATCGCTAAAACATTTTAAAAATGATGTAAATAATGAGCTATTTTATACCTAAAAATATCATAAAGAAGAGTTGTTTTTGTGCAAGTTTTTCTTCCTCTCAAACGAGGAATGGCTGTTGACTTCATTGAAGGGGGAGTGGCAAAGGGAAGGAGTGGGGGATTAGTGACTTTCGATTTTTGAGTTGTTCCAATCGGTTTCCATGCGCGTTGCCTCTCAATTTCCAGTGAGGATTTAGGCCGCTCTCTAGGTGTTGGGATTTGCTGACATTTTCCAGGACGCAGGTAAACATCGTCTATCGCAATGTCTCCGTCGTATCCACTTCCTTTGACAGCGACGAAAAGAAAGTTCATCTTTTGTAGATTTCGATATTGGCAGTTTTGATGTTGTGCTGCGAGTACCGCCAGTCTGTTTTCGATCGAGATATTCCAGTTCGTAGGGTGAAAAGAGGACTCCAGATGGTTGAGCCGAGGTTCATCATGCTTTGGCTGATGTCTTTTATCAGGACGTAAAACTCTCCAACATTATTGCCGAATGCGAGGTACCAAAAAGATAGACACATATTCGGGATATTGGACGAGTCGATTGTGGGTGTTATCGCAATTAGAGCATCTTTTGAGCTTATAAGAGCCATTCGAGCGTATAAAACATCACCACCTTTATTACAGTGTTCAGAAAAATAACGATTTTAGAATACCACCTTTGCTTAGTGTTGTATGATCAATTGCTGGTCCAGTGCGTAGGGATCCACTAGCCCCGCCCTGAACATCCATATCGTAGAACTTTTTGTTCCGAATGGTCAATGGAAGGACTTCTTTCAATTCCAAATCTTCTGCTTTTCCCCATTCCTTACAAAAGCCTTTTTAAAAGTGCAACTGAACCCATCTCTGCTATTCTTCGGGCCTGTCATTTTGTCTGATATATTTTTGCTTTTCACGGTTTCAAAAGAAAAGTAAGGAATCAAGGAGGAAAATGATTATTTCGAACGGAACCGTTTCTAGGGGATAGTCGTCTAAAATTGTGTGCATGTGGAACATGTTCTCGGGATCGAATTCGACATAGTCTGACTTTTTTCCATAATTAGGCGGCTGCAAGATTCCATTTCTGTACTTTGGCTTTCGTAAATACGCGTTTCCCTTCTCTTTCTGTGCGATAAACTCTTCATAAGTGAGACCGAAAGAATAGGCAAAGCTAAGAAAATAGATTGTCGCTAGAAAAAACATTTTGCATTTTTGGCCTATATTTTTTTCAAGAATTTATTTACTCATTGTTAAAATTCTGCGCACTGGATTTGCCAAGAGCAAGGTTTGGCAAATGCAGCTTGAAAAGGATGATTCAGAGTCAATTTGAAGAGATTTTTTATTGGAAGCAGATTTTATTGTGCGTGATTATTGTCCAGTATATATTTTGAAAAGTAGCGGTTGAATTGTTGTTGGCCGAAACGAGAAGAGATGAGGTTTTTGTTTTGAAACTGCTCCTGCATTGTAGCGTATCGGAGGACCATCCGGTTGATACGGGTTGCTTCAATCGGTATCGAACTGTAGTCGGACATGGAACTGGTTTGGTCGTCGAGGTGGTAGCGGGAGAAGCCAGCAGACTTGATTCCTCGAGCAAAGCACAGGGAGATAAAAAGAAAGAAGATCTTCATTTTGACGGTTGTTCTATTTCTAATTTGATTCGAAAGCACTCCTTACTCCTCCTTTTATGTCGATTGTTACTCCAATTTATATAATTTTTTATATGCGCGCTCGAAAATATCGTAAACGGTGTCATCATCATCGAGTTATATAAATTGGAATAAAATTTAATAGAGCCTCCAATAAAGAAGATGGTTGCTTTTGAACATTCCTTGCAATTAGAGGAAGCGATCGGTGTTGTTGGCTCGTTGTTGTCTTTTTGTTGTTGTTTTGCGTTTCTTTTTCTGAGAAAAAAAAAGTAAACAAAGGTTATGAGAACTGAAAATCACCTGTGGATCGGTGGAGAAGAGCATCTTGCACTTCTTTTTACTTTCATTCTTTTCGCTCCCAGCTGTCTGATTGTGATTACGTTTTGTAGATGATCGCAAGACCATTTTTGCTGGAGGAGGAGGACGTTTATCTGCTTCGGAAGCGACCTCTGTTGGTAGAGTGGGTTTTGGCGGCTCATTTTTCACGGAAGGCTTCTCATGGGTTGTCTTTGATGATGAAGGTTCTCCAGGAGAGCTTGGGAACGGACCAAAGTACTTTTCATAGTCGGGCACGTCCGAGCCAGAGTCTGAAGAAGACCAGTCCGAATCACACTCGTCCTCCTCGTCAGAGTCATCAAAAAATTTGATTTTATGCTTTCCAGCTAAAATCGCCGGAATTTTGAGAAGATGCTCTTCATATTGCCTCTCTCGTAGTTGCTGCTCGTAAGGTTTGTTTCTGTTCATGTTGCCCGAATTACCGTCTGAAAAAGGCGTCTATTAGAAGAAATTATCTCGAGAATGCCGATTTCAAGAGACAAAAGGAAAATTTGAGTCGAAAACAGGCAAAGAATGAATGAGAGAATCACTCAGTTACGAATATTGTAGCGGAGTTTCATCCGTCCCCATGCTCCTTCGAGTTTGAATGCCTCATCCTTGAGGTCTTGAATCTCCTGCTGTTGCTGCATCTCCGATATCTAAATAAAACAATTAAGACCGATTCAATTCTTTAATTATTACGATAAGGACGTAGATCGCAAAACCAACGCATGCCAAGATGATGAGCCCGATTAGTCCGAGAGTGCAAATGCGACACTCGTTCTTGGAGATCTGTTTTTGTAGCCTGATTGCTTCGGCAGATTGCATCGTTTCTCTTCAAAAAAAAAGATTTCTCGACTTTCGACTTGCTTCGATTCCGTGAAAGTGCGGAATGAAATGAGTAAGTGCGTCGTATCGGAGCAAAGTTTTGTCTTTCGAGAATTGAAATCTCTGCGGCGCCGAGTCTATCTCGGTCGATCCGGATTTTTCTGAAGCGGGAGTTTCGAAAGCGAACTCGATAAAGCAAGTCGTCAACAAAAAATAATAACTAAACTTTAAGATCAACTCTAACTTTCACCATCAAATCAGTCTATCTTTTCATTAACCCTTCAATTTATCAGTAAGACTCGTCAGTAAGATTCAGTGATATTTTTTTCGATTTTTTTATTGAAAGAAACGTATGTGCTAAGCATAGTCAACTAGAATTCTGTTTCAGTACACATGAGAGCAAAGAAAAGATAAAAATCATTCCCGGAAAGTCTCGAATGCTTGCTGGAGGCGTTGAATTTCCACTTGTTGCTGAATGTCGATGTCCTTAAAATAGTCATAGAAAATTTACATGCTTCATCTTGACACTAACCACGAGAACACAGAAGACAAAAAGAATCGACAAGAGAAGGAACCATCCAAAAATCCAGAGCATTTTAGTTGAACAGGCGTTCAGGACGATTTGTTTCTGCAGCTTCAAGGCTTCAGCAGTCTTCATTTCTACAGAGCCGGACATTTTTGAAAAAAATTTCGATGAAAGAAAATCTTGTAAAAAGCAAATGATGAGGAAATGAAAGTGAGTCTTCTTTTTATGTCGGTATAGGTGTCAAACCGGAAAACGAAGGAAAAATAATCAGACCTGGAAAAAAGTTGATTTGACCAAACAAAATAAATAATAATCTACTTTTCGAAGTCTCCTCTGATCTTCTTTTGAGTGCTTGACGCATTATCCCGGCAACGTCTTCTTATGAGAAAAGGTCTCGAATTGAGAATCTCAATACACTAATACAAAAAAACCAAGTAATTGTTAAAAAGGTTGTAAAAAATTATGAGCCGACCTCATTTCAGCTAAACTCATCGACAAAGAATTTTCAATTCTGACTAAAATTTCCCTCTCTCCTTGAGTAAAGATGCATTATGTATCATTTATTTAGATAATTGTTCCAATTGAGAAGTTAAAATTTAAATACTACCAAAAAATATTTCTTCGGTAACTTCGGGCTACACTATTTTTACAATAAAAAGGCAAAGGAAGATTCTCACGAGTTGAGTGGGCTTAGTTTCCGTACTTATCCATTAGATGAATCAGAGCTAGAAAATATAAAAAGCGGCAAATAATCAATTTCTCAAATAAAAAAAACGGAAAAATAAAGAGACAAAATGATGAACGAAATCTACAGAATAGAGTGGGAATATTCCGATGTCGGAAATATCAATAGAGTGAGGCCGTACTTGAGGGAAACTTACCACAAAAAAAGAACATCTTGGTCCACTTGACATCATCAACGACAGTTTGCTTAAAAGAACGCAGAGGAAAGAACTTGCGGTTTTTCATGAAAGAATAAAAAACGAGTTCAACATTGAATGGAATGCACTTGACGACATTGCCAGCTTCGATGACATCCACGTCGATTTGGCTCTGATGCTCGCCATGCAACAATACATCACTGAAAACCAAGAATTTCCCAAAGTCGAAGACAACTGTTTCATTAGTTCTGTTCTCGAGCTGCGTGACCCCTGCGTCGGAGTAGAAATGTACCCCGAATTTGAACAGGGCCTCGTTGGAAAAACCAAAATTCAATTTCCATTCGAAAAACTTGAAATTATCGATAACGATTACGAAATGGCCTTTCACTTTGAAAGTGTTTCTAACGCAGACGAATTTTTGATTGAATATTCTGTTGCTCAAAATTGCTTCGGGAAAAACGGCTGGGGAAGCAGGTAGAGAATCGCTTCTTTGTCAGCACGCTCACGAAACAAATTTAAATTCAGAGACAATTTTGTTGCTGTTAACTCAACATCGAACGTTCCGTTAACGCTGAACTGGTGTGGCGAATCCATTGAGAGCACAAACCTCTGCATCACTGTGTTCAGTACATCTGAAAATAGCCCGATATTGAAATGGAGAGAACCAGTTCTGAAGAAAAAGACGCAAGTAAATACGAACCTGAATGATCTCAAATCGGTCGATTATTATGACGATGACATAAACGACATAAATCCAGTAGCCTGTCCAGAAGTAGTCAAACCTGGAAGTTGTGTCATAAACGGCTCGAAAGCTACTTGTAAAGGAGCTATCAACGGATGCGAAGAAGAAGGAGTCAACTGTCCACGGCCAAAGGTTGACCCTAAAATTGCCGGATCAGGTAAAGATTCTTTCTAACTCGTACAGAAGTAAAGGAGCTTGTTACAAAGCTTCCGCCTAAGGCATCTTTTTGACAATAAACTTTAGCCGCTGGTGGAATCGTTTTGGCTATTGGGATTGTGATAACGATTGTTGTTCTTTTTATGAAAAAGAGAGAATCATCAGCGTCTGAAATTCTGCCGACATATGCTCAAGCGAAGACTAAGACTCGCGGCGCTGCAACTGGCTATTCTTACCGTTAAACTTACCAACCGATAGTTGACTGAACTGCCGAAAATCAGCAACCCTGACGTCCATGATTTCACAAATGTAAATAAGTAACAATGCTTCAAAACTAAACTTGCGCATCAATATAAAATTGGTAGTTCAAATAAAGAGTGGATCGAATGCTTTTTATGATCGTATGAAAATATTTTACTGCTACACCGATAAACAGAAATAAATAATTGAAGTTCTATCAAAAGTCGTCCGCATCGTCACTTTGAAGCCGGACAAGCAAGTCTTCGAGGCGCTGAATTCTTCTATCATTGGCAGTCAAGGCATTCACGAGCGCATTAACTATCGCCTTAGTTTCTTTTCTTTCTGAAAATGATCATTAATATGACTATTCAAGTGTCGCTCATTATTTACCGTAGCCCATATCTCGAAAGCCCGCTGAGAGCTCCCTGTTCAAATTATGCGATATCGAAGTTCCAAAAGGCTGCAACACACATCTTTCGTTCTCTCTCCCGTATTCAGTGGGTAAGAACTCGAAAGTAGAATTCACATGCGTTAAATCTTTGAAGCGGAGCATATTTGTCGCCTTCGAACGTGGCAGTTTTGGCTTCGCAATTTCCTCTGCCTCTCTTGGCTTTCGAATTTTGCCTTCTTTTCGAAGTCTTCTGCGCTCTTCTTTTGAGAGTTTGACGCATTCTCCGTCGGGACCCAGTTTTTTCTTGCCATTTCTACATTTTTCTTTGTCTCTCTTTCTTGATTTGCTTGGTGCGGCAACAAGATCAACCGGAATAGGAGCTTCTGTAGTAGATGTAACCGTTTTCGTCGTTGTCACACTAAAAAGTCGAGATATGAGCATTTTTAGGAAATCTTACTTTTCCGCTAACATTTCGTCTCGCTCTCCTGATCCAGCTTCTAAATCAACAATGTACACCTCGTTGGTTTCTTCTTGAATTTGGACTTCCACTTTTTCTTCTATAATTTCTTCGGCTTCCATCTTCAATAAGCTTTCTCTGTACTTTCGAATGGTCACTTCTGCATTTTCTCCTCCTTCAGCAGATCCGTCTGAGTTATAAATTCCGACTTTGAAATACGGTAAGACTTCGTCGTTTCTGCCCATAAACAGATCTGGACTCAGAGAAGCAGAATCGATGATAATTTTGTCATTCATTGAAATTTTTAAAAAGGCCGGTGTTGGGTGGTAAGTCCTTTTTGTCTTGTGATATTTTGACCACTAAAAATAGTCATTTGAGGACAACAAAATCGCTAACCTTGATCTCATATCGCCAGCGCACCCACTTGTCTATCAGTTCCTCACTTTCAGTAACATTTTGCCGCCAGAGAACATACACTTGCTCTCCATTTTCGTCGCATACTTTGTACTCGTCTATGTCTTCAGGCTTCAGAGCACAGCCCCCTTTTCTCAGATAAAAATGCTCTTTTATATAAAAAAGAAAATTTTAAATCCAGTCCTTTATTTTTGAAGAAATTCGAGTCCGATCGAGCCGAAATATAAAACTTCCCTTTTTTACTCCAAAAATAAGAGGTGGTTTGCCTCCTTGCTCCTGCTCGATTCCAATAAAAGACCAAAGATCCTTTCTCGCTGATTGAATCTTTTCCATCACAAGTCCATTTTTGCACGAGTACCATTCTGTATTTTCACAGCAAATAGTGCTGTAGTCTTCGAAAGACAAGTCTCCAACGCACTGATTGCTGTCACGGAAGCGACGACGGTTTGGGGTCCCGTGCCACTGAGTTAAAATCATCGATGGCTCTGAGCAGTTTGGGCAAGGTTTGGTCACCGTCGCTCGGGAAATCTTCATGTCGAATTCGTAAATTATACGACTATCTGGATCATGATTGACGGCTTAAAAATTAAATACGAGAATCGAAGCTCAAGTACCTTGGCAAGTTATTTCTGTATCGCAACATCGATTGCGCTCTTTTTTGAGTGCCAGTATCTCTGGATCAGGCCTCACGGAAAAACAGTTTTTCAACTCGGCTCTTTGCTTCGATGCGTGTTTTTCATTTTGAATCACCATTTTTATCTCGTATTCTCCATCTACTTCTGCTTTCAACACTTTTGCATTCTTATTTGAGGTCGGAAAACTCACAAATAAAAATAAGGCTTCATTTTGAAGTAAATATGGATGTTTTCAAGACCGAACTCTCCCATTTTTATCGGATGCAAAGCTGTTTCAAGAGGTGTTTCAGTTCCATCCCTCGCGTTTCTGATATTTTGTCGGAAGAAAAGGTCGTTTTGGTGGGTAAAACAATTTGTCTTGTCTCCTCTGCTGAAATTTTGCGTCCACAAGCTCCATTGAATTATTTTCCTGTCTTCAATCACTGTCGGCGTGGTAGTCTTCTCTTCTTGAAATAAGGTGCCAGGGTCCTTTCGAACTTAAACTTTTCATAAAATATTTTTTCAGCAAAACTAACCTAAGTCAGAAATGGCAGCAATGAAACCGTCTCTGTCGTTGAAAAACTCTTTATCGACGTTGACAGAGGGAATTTGAACAACGTCATTGGAAGTTATTGAGACAAAGACAGGAATACTTCCGGGAAGATTTAGAGAAGGCGATGTTTCAAAAGAGATAATTCCAATAACTCCCGTTGAATCTTTCATATCTCGCTCGATGAAGCCAACAAGCGTCTCTACCTCCTAAAAAATTGACAATTTTTGTTTTTTGATCCCCTGACCTTGGTTAGCCTCGGAACCGCTGGCAAAAAGTCCAGGTTCCAAATTAGCTGGGAGCTTTTTCGCAAAGTTTTCCGAACAAAATCACATCTTCGCCTTGCTTTCTGAACTCTCTAGCAAATCCTGAAACGCTTTTAGATGAAGGGATCCAAACGCTGACGATGGTCCGTAAAGAGCTGAGATCATGGAGGAGTTTTTGCACGGTGCGAATTGATTCTCGCCAGATTGAAGAATGCGCGGTATTTTCGAGGTAATCCCCTGGTGGTCCTAGATTAATAAGAGGAAAGAGTAAAGCAGAAAATGTCACGTAAAAATGATGATAACTTTACCCGAGATGATAATATGCAGCTGCTCAAGGCCAACGTCGCATTCGTGAAAATTCTTGCACTTGAGTGGAACCAGCTCGCGAGTGTACTTCTCGATTGCCACTTCGGTCTTCTTTCGAAACGGCGAGTGCGTCTTTGAGATGATAATTGGACTATCGTACAAGTTGTTGCTCTCTTTCAAAGAGTCGAAGAGCTCGCTGCTGTATCCGAACGGAGAGCCTTGAGATCAATTACCAAGGAAAAGATGTTGAATCCCTACCTATTGCAATATTCAAGTCAATCTTGCCAATCACATGATCAAAAAGCTGAGGAGCAGTTCTTATGAGCCCATCGAAGATTCTTAGTCATTAAAAAGGTCGAGCAATATCAATTCAAATCGCCAAATTTTAATTTTGAATCGATCGATTATTTCGCTGATTCTATAAAGTCTCATTCTTTTCTCGCACCTTTTCCCGTCTGGCTTGTTCCAAGAAACGCGCACGATCGTCAGGTGAAGCGATTTATAGCGTTCGATCGCCTTGAATTCAGAATTAAAATCGACCTCTAAAAGAACGAGCATGCCTTGAGCAAAGTTCGCAGCTGCTCGATGCCCTCGTTCACCCAGAATTTGTCGCCCTCGTCATTGAACACGATTCCCAAGCCCCCGCAGTCGCGTTCTATTAAAAATGTTCTTTACTTTCGCTTTTATTGCTCATTAAACCTTGCGTCGACTTATGGGAAAACTCAACGGGAGTAAAACTTTCCAGGCTTTCTTTCCCAAGTTGTGTAGTTTCCTGAAGAATGCCGTGGTTCGTCTCGTACGTTAGAATTTCATAATCATCGCCGGAAAACTCCAGATCCGGAAAAAGTTCGTAATCACCGGATGCGAAACTGGCGTCTTCTGCTAAAATTGGCCCTAAAGATCAAATTAGCTCACGAGCATTCCTCCTTGGAAGTACAGTTTAGTAAATAGAGCGTTTCGACAAGAACGTGAGTTAATTATCATATTTATACATTCACTATTGTGGCAATAGAAGTACCGTAATTTCGTTCTTACATCCTTCTTGTTTCTACAATTATACACGCTCGAATATAAATCTCACCCAAAAGCAAAAGCAGCACTTTCGCAAAATTTGCTTTCATCCTTCTCAGAGCAGTTTTTCAAAGCTTCATCAACTCTCTTTCGCGTAAAATCGCATCTGCTTCAAAAAGTACTTTTCAAAAAATGAAATTCGGAGCAGTAAAAGTTCAAAGGAAGTGCCTCGTCCACGGGTGGTCAAGGCGGAAAATCTAGTTCAATCACACCCTCCAGGCGATTTGGGAGATTGCGCCTGGGGCTGAATCAAATTGGCCACTTGAGGAAAAGGCCTCGCTAATTACAGGGATCATTCGATACTTCATCCCTTTTTGAATATCTTGACATTTTTCGCAGTCGTTCTAATAATAGCTTTTTCGTAAAAGAAAACTTATGGTGGCCTTTAAAAGTAATGTTAATAAATTGTGTTGATTAATTAAGGGACCCCGCCGACCGAGCTCCGCGCGCTTCTCGCTCTTTTTCACTCTCACTATTCACCTGGTTTAATTTTTCAATTATCGTGATTTTTGTACAATAACTAATCTTTTATGCTCTTTCATCTCCATTTCTTAAAATTTTCATAGCTTATTGCTACGCTGAGTTAGGGCGAAAACATTGGCGCTCGATTTCAAGTGTACATAAGTACTCGAATTATTCGGATTGACACTTCGAGACTACCCTCATTGAAAAGCCCGTGCCTTCTTGCATAAGGCTTACTTATTGAGATTTCCCGGAAGAGTTTACTCATCCGATTATCGTGGGATTAATGCGGGTCACCTGGAGCGCTCGGCGTGAAATACGGGCATTTTACACTGTTGGCGCGGGATTCCGCTGCGCTGGTCAGAAGAACCTTTATTTACCGCTCGATTACGAGAGCTGCATAAATTATAATTTAATCTCAATAAGTAGGCCTTATGCAAGAAGGCACGGGCTTTTCAATGAGGGTAGTCTCGAAGTGTCAATCCGAATAATTCGAGTACTTATGTACACTTGAAATCGAGCGCCAATGTTTTCGCCCTAACTCAGCGTAGCAAAATGCTATGAAAATTTTAAGAAATGGAGATGAAAGAGCATAAAAGATTAGTTTGTGTACAAAAATCACGATAATCGAAAGAATTAAACCAACTGAAGAGTGAGAGTAAAAGAGCGAGAAGCGCGCGGAGCTCGGTCGGCGGGGTCCCTTAAGCATGACTCAAAAATTGCTGGACGCATGTTACGTGGCTTGAACTTACTGACATTTGCAGACATCGGCGCAAACACTAGCAGACGTGTAATGTCACTTGTCGCCCCAAGAAAGGGAGAAAAATATTTGAACAAGATTTCCGAAAAATCCCCTTTCTCGCGTGTCCCTTCAAAATTTTTAAACAAACGCTAAAACAGTAGATTTTAGCCAAACCAGCTGTGTATGAAAACGGGCGTAATCGTTGTGTAAGGTCGTTCCCATTTACCGACTTCGTTTGATCCCTAGGCTTATTAGATGAAAACTTGGCCCATTTTTCTAGCTTAGTTTAGGGGTCATAAACCAGACCCCTTGATATGGTGCCCAAATGAAAGCTCAGCTTCTGAGCTTTCCAAAACTGTGTCATATGACCCCTACACTAACTTATAAAGATGGGCCGAATTTTCATCTAATAAGCCTATTGATCCCAAGCACTGCCCTTTATCGTCAAAAGCGGACTATAATCAGCTCGTTTTCTTTTCAAATTTACTTGTGTGCAAAACTTCCGCTGGAAAATTACCAACCGCGTATTTTTCTTTCAAAGCAATAATTACTCTTGTTGCAAAATCTACGTTTCTGTCAACATTTTTATTATTCAGAACTTCTGAATTTCAGAAGAACAAGTTTATTTAATTTTTTTTATTTATTCAATTTTAAGTATTTGATTTCCTAAATTAATTGCAAGCAATATGCCAGTAGAAGCTATTGGAATTACAAGGGACTCATTTGATAATTTTGAAAAAACAAGTCATCAAAACTTTCGGATAAAGCTGAAATCTCCCCTATTTATATGCTGATTATGGAACTCCCGATAAAAATCGAACCAAGAACGTCCCATTTTCAAAAGAACCAAATGATAGAATGTTCGAACCACCACCTGTTCATCGAATTTAACTCGTAATCATTTTGAACGACACAAAGCTTTATACCTCCCTATCAACGTCTTTTACATTGCCAATTTGAGACAATAAAGACGGTTACAGTGCGAAAGACTGTTCAAACTCAGGAATTCCTTTCTGAGCTTTAGCTGCGCAAATATACTGAAACAATGCGCGACGGAACGAAATTCCTGGCAAGTAACGAAAGAATCTGAGCAAGTCGACAGCCGGAATCGCGAGCTGGCCATTATAGAATGGACATATATATTTCGGGGTAGAATTATGCCCTCGAGAACGCAATCAATTTTCGTCAAATATGATGGTTTATGTGATCTGACCAAGCGGCGCTTTGCGTAAGTTCCACTTGAATCAAATTCAGAGCAATTTTAGAAGAAGCTTACGCGCTTTTTTCAGGGCTGTTATCAGCAGATCACAGAGGACAACAGTTGAAACAACAGTAACACTGGCTGACAAACTGTTAGGATCTTCGTTGGGTAAGCTCCATCGAGTGGGCTCAAATCTGTTCAAATATTTTGGCGTTTCAACCCGTGCGCTCACGGTATTTTTACACATGTTCCTCGAGCATAGAACGGGCCCCTACAAAAGAGCACTTTCGACACCACGACAACCACGAAGAAGCCTTCTAACGCCTTTTTCATGTGGTTCCATGGAATCTCTATCCATGCTTTCTCGCTTTGTCACATGAAAGATCACCAGAGGAAATTTTTCGATGATGAGTAGTAAACCGGGCTATTTATAATCAGGAAATCAAACTTTTTAGAAGCTAAGTTACCATGAAGCAGATTTCCTTCCTCTCAAGTTATTGATACAGCCTTTTTCTCATTGTTTCTCGTTCATAAGCGGTAGGTCTGGGTAAATAAGCACCGGGTGAGCTCTGAATTGGAATCCAAGTTATGCCGGAAGGACGTTGTTTTCTGAAAAAATGGCGAATGATGGAATCAGTATTTGACAATTTGGTTTTATCAGCCCTTCATTATGGGGCTCCAAGGCGTGTTTTCTTCCCGCTAGCCGGAATTTCATAAGGAAGGGCCCGAAATCCTTTCTAAGGGAAGGTTTTTCCTTTAGAAGCTGAATTTCTTTCATTACGGTAATTTTTAGAGGGCAATATCTCCCGCTGTACTGTTCCGATAAGAATAACGCAACGGCATAGAGTTCAGACCAGCTCCTGTTTATCAGCTAAACGGATTATAAAACGAGAATAAGGGGCACTTGTGGCGCAAGTAACGGATTTTGCGATAAGCGTGTGGCGCGTACTTTTTTTCGATAACCAGCATAAGCGACAGGGGCAGCTTTTATCGGGCTTTGGAGAGTAGGAGCACTCGAGCTAAGTGACTCTGTCCCTGCATTTTTGGATCAGAATAGCCAGTGTTCTCAAGTACTGGAGTTTTTAGATCGAAGCGTTACTGTAACTTCCTTTTCTAAAAAGACGCGTTTGAGTACAAGGGTAAAGTATTTGCTGTTTGGCGTCTTGGCGGTGGAAAATCCGACTGGAAGCTTCACAAAAGCCTGGCCAAGTGACGCGCTGTCAAATACGATGAGAGCCGTTCCAGTTATATACAGTAACAAAGTGTTTCAGAGCTTCTTTTGTGTGGTTATTCGGATGATAGTCTCGGTGATATTGAAAGTGGCTACGTCAAATACAATAGCTATCATTGTATCTAGGCAGGCTTGATTGATCGACCGGCTACAGTAAAAACGCCTCCCGTAGCATCGCTGCTCCATAAAGCTCTAGAATCTGACATTGTTTTAGACCAGCAAGCAGTGATCTGGCAAGGGACCATTTGTAAGCCTCTCAATGCTGCTTTTTCGCGCTTTCCATCATGATTATGCATTTGACGTCAAATTTTCGCAACGACTGTATGAACTCTTGAATAAAAAAGAGAGCCGCACACGTGCCTAGAAACAGTAATAATTCTGTTAAATCGGGGCGACGAAGCGGAACAAAGCAAAATTTTCTAGCTAAAGTTCGCGGCGAAATTTTAGTTCAAAATGCCATGTCGATGTTCTTCCCAGATTTCTCAGCACGGGGGATGTACCGGATTTTCTTGTAGAAAGAAGGGAGGAAATTGCACTTGATTAAATTCGTGGAGGGAAACTTCCGATGCGGAAGTTTTTGCTTCTTGGAGTTTTTTAATTAATTGCTCGTGTTGATTCAAATATTCTAATTTAATTTGCGAAAGCGTCTTATACAGTTACTTCTGTAAGAAATAGCTGCTCTTTGAACGGAAAAATGAACCAAAACTCGCGAAAGCTGTTTCAGTGCTCGTGCGTTCCAGATCCCAACATTTACGAACTTCAAATCCGCCTAAAACGAGTAATCTTCAGCACGTTGAAAACAAACTCGAGCGGAGACTGTTTATTTTCGAAAATGGAGATCTTCAATCTCGGTACTGGCGCGATCCGCATCTTATGCAGTTCTTTTTGATTTTTTCTAACGGCTCGTCAAGTTCATCAAAATCGAAATTTCCCTCCTTGAATTTTCAATTTTCAAGGCTAAGAAGAGATGAGTCAAGAATTGTAAGAATCAGATCCGAAAGCTCTTTTAAAAACCACAAGAATAATATTATCGCCCCCGCCCCTTGAGAGGAGGCCCTTTTTTATATCAACCCTCAAACTCGGAAGCCACAAAATACGTCTCCACTCGATTCTAAACACACTCGCCCTGAAAAAAACACATGCCAGAGTCAACCACGAGTTTACCAGTGCCAATTGCAGTGGAATTTCTATTCCAGCATTCCGAGGGAGATCACGTTTTCTTTCAAGCTCGCGGGGAGTATGGAACTTCCAGCTATTCTATTTTTCGGCCTGGCTCTTGAAGATGCGTTCAAGATAACATTCTGAAATGAATTCATTCCCTTATCGTATTCTGACTCATTTAGTGGACTTTAGGGGGCTTCAACGGACTGTATTACCGTAATAGATTTAAAAAATTGAAAGGCCTTAATTTCAATAGTAATTAGTCTCTAACCGGTCTTTAGGGCTGGTCTAACGAAAAATCTGGAAGTTGATGTCCCCACAAATGTCCAAAAACTTGCATAATCTCATTTCACGGCAAGCCCGTTCCATAAAAAATGAACCGAGGCTTGTTTGAGCTTTAAACGCCCTCGGAAATGGAATTGAAAGTGAGCGGAAATGAGCAGTGAAGCGTCGTGGTCAACCGGTCGGGCGCCAGAGCAGTAGCGCTAACAACAAATATTTACGGATGAAGCCGTGATAATGTGGCAAATAGTGACGGACTTGACAATTTATCAGCGGAAAATGAAATAATTGCCGAGAAGTCGAAAATTCGGATAACAAAATTATTATCTTCTTTGATTTTCGGGAGAAAGCGGCGATTTGTGTAGTGAAATTGCTCGTTAATTTCGCTGACGATCGAGAATTTCGACAAACTTCAGGAAAAAACGCTTCCCGTCGACTGCGTGTCAGTTTCCTGTCACTATCGTGCCGGCTCGCCAAATCAATCGTAAAAAGACGTTGCTCCCTTCCGTTGATCGATTTACATTCAGGATGTTGCAACTTGCATCCTTTCCAATATTTCAAAATAGCTCGTAGTTAATCCCGTTTCACTGCTCCAATTAAATAATTCACACGAATTTCATCCCCTCTGACCTTCGAGGTTAGCCGCTTGTTTTTGCGCATCACCGCGTATGACAATATTACCTGGCTGGCCCGCTCCGTGCTGGGTCACAAAGGTGAATCTGCTTTAATCTTATTATCAAGCTCCGAACACGTGAATACGAACTGTCTTCATCATACTATTTCTAAACGGTTATTGTTGATGAAAAAGGTGGAAGGGTTCCTCTCGTGGTCATTTCGAGAAATGTTCCTCTCGTGGTCATGTTCCTCTCGTGGTCATATTCCTCTCGTGGTCATTACTCACCGGCTTATGAAAGTTAGGGTCTCCCAATTTCCCCCGAATTTCCTCAAAGATAGTGCTTACACGCTTTATATATTTATAATAAGAGGTCATAAATTAAGTTTTTAGATGAATAAAAATCGAGATGAATTGATGAAAACAATTTTTTTAAATCGAAAAACCTGAGAAAGATAATTACATTTAATATAGTTTGCCTCATACGTTTGCCTCTTATTCTAAAGAGAATTTCTTCTGGTTTGTGCAAATAAATAAACTTATTCCTATTTGAAATTATTGAAAATTGAACTCAATCAAATGGACCTTCTCATAGTATCCTTGAAAAAATGCTTGGAGACCCAACTTATCATCAAAATGCTCCGTGATCGCAAGTCTCTACGTCATGACCACGAGAGGAATATGACCACGAGAGGTGCATGACCACGAGAGGAACATTTCTCGAAATGACCACGAGAGGAACCCTTCCGAAAAAGGTTGTTCTTCAACTTCTTAGAAGCTAAAAACTTCGATACATTCAGCAGCTTTATTTTATCCCAAACTTCATGACATCATTTATATCTCACAATTTTAATTGAATGCAATGTTGCTCTTCCAATTAAATGAAAATGTTCAAATGTAGTATACTCAACATAAACCAGACCGTTTGTTACATAGTCATGTTTAGTCCTTGCCCTCAAAATTAATAAAAATTAATTAGTAGCGCGCTACTGACAAGAAATAAGTATTCAGAATAATTACTACTAGTTCATGCGTTTTCAATAATAATAAATCTATCTTGACATACACCGATTTCACATCACAAGAGTGGCGATCGATTAGTGTTATTTCCGAAAATGTCTGAAGAAAGGAAATCAATGCATTTGAGATAATCAGTCTCAGACAATCAGAATCGCTCTGTGTTTTTTAGATTGTTTTGCACCTTCGGCTAAGTCTTAAATTTTTGTTAACAAGGCTAATTTGACAGAAAAGTAAACACTACCGAAATCTAGGTCAGTTTACTTTTTAGACTGTTGAAGGGGAAAATACGATTAGCTCAAAGAAAAATGTTAATCTCAAATAACCTCCTGCTTAAAAATGCGAACATGCGTTCTTTTTCGTGTAAAAGTACAAAACAATTTATATTAAAAACCTTTCTAAGGATTAAATTTTGGCTCTGTCCAAAAAATTCACCGCAGAACACGACTTTTACATGTCGAAAGTGAAAAAAAAAAATTAAAAGTTTACGAGTTGGTCAAACAGAGCCCAGTCCCTTCGCCGAATTGTTTTAATTCGAGCCGCTAAACAATATACATTAGGAGCAAACATTCATCCCAAAAACGAAACAAAAGACGTGCCAGTTTTTCAACAATAAGCTTGGTCATTTACAGTTAGATTTGGCGGAAGTATCTTTCAAGCTTTTTTAAAAGAATAAGCTACTTATGGACTTATTTAATGGGTCTGACAAGTACTAGACGTTTTGGAATGTTGTTGACGTAAATTTACGGCAAAGTGCTGATCAACGTGCCCTTATCCAGTCACTGTGGTCGCCACGTGAAGTAAATGTTTGCTTATCAAGCCTGCGATGAGGTTAGCAGACCAACAATCACAGATAAAGCTTCATAATCGCCTGTCACAAGCCAATTTACAAAACCCCCCTTCCCTGCCAGTTTGTTAATTACCGGTATGCGACGAGAAGTCCTAGCGATATTTCAAAGTCAATCGGAGGAGACGGCGAATTCGCGATCCTGACCGGACGCACTTCCTGTCGTGGAATTCCCAATCGCAGACAATGGGAACGAGATGAGATTTGGACGAACGGATTATCAAATTTGCCTTTTGCGCAAATCGCAAGAACTTTCTGGGGAAATCAAAAACGATGCTTGAGTCATTTCAATAAAATAAAAACGGTTTCAAAAACGGCGAGGATCAAAGGTTGACCCCAACAAAGAAGAAAAAACAACGACTTATGCTTAGGGTCTCTTCTCAAAAAGAGCAAGTACCAAAAACAAAGCTGACTTCAACGAAAAGAAAGAAGAAAGCCTAAAGACGAGATTTGTGCCGGATTTGTGTGTGCGTATTTGCGCAGTTTCTTGTTGTACTCTTCCGGTGTACCGTTCCTCAATGAGAGGATTAGAAAAGATACACAAAAAGGGCCTTTGTTGTTCTTTCTGGATTTAGAAGGATTTCGTTTTCGATCGCGTATTCAAAATATATCTTTACAAGTTCCGTACCGTAAGTCGCGGTAAAAACTCGACTGCTGGACAGAAAAAACTATTTTAAATTCCCAAACTTCCAGAAACAGCTTATTGAAACAAAGATCATCTATCCGACTAAAAGAGCTGTTATTTGCCCTGGCTTCACACCTGGCCATGTGCAGAGTACCCCCTACAGAAAGCGGCAAACCCCATAACTTATACCATTACCATTCTATATATGCATTTTAAAGAGCTCTATGTTGAGTAGATACAGCTTCACTGGTTAGCCTTTACGTAAACTGCATAAGAACAGATTGAGCCAGTTGTTCATTGAGCCTCACGTTTGCGATCCCACGGTAATTACCTTTCCGCAATGGGCTGAAAACTGTTTTCCCCGATTGGAGAGTTTCCACCTGCCGGAGACAGATCACCAAGACACTTGTCCGCATTTAGAAGGTTCGCTTTCCAAGATTACCGAAAACCAAAACGGTGTTTGAGACAATAAGGCTGAGTTTTCAAATAATATTGAAGGGTTAATTTATACACCTTATCAAAGAATAATGAAATAAAGGTGCATTCTTGCTTCTGAAGAAAAACGTGAGTTCAGAAGAAAGAATTAGCCACATGGGCTTTGATTTGAATCGAAAGAGAAAGAATCTGCGCATAGTTTATGTAAAAATGTAAATAGAAAAGACGGGGTTATTTGGACAGCCCGAATTTGCTCTTTTCTTTAGAAATTAGAAATTCTCGGATCCCGATTCTCGTGACGGGCGGAAGTGTTTACCCTTCGTGAAAACGATATTTGCCACCTGAAATAATGCCTTGCATAAATTTGGGTTTGCACGACTCTAAAATCACTTTAGTTTTTAATCGGAGTTTATTTGATCATGTGAGTGTTTTATTTTTTGTACAAAGGCGGCAATAAATACGATTTTTGAAGATAGCGGCTTGTTTCTACAAACAGAAAGAAAAATCGGTTTTAGATGAGATTTTCGCGGAAGGGAGGATCGGAAGACGATGACTCGGTGTCAGTGGAAGACAGATTGAGCGGGTCCATGGGACTGGGAAGGGTTGATTCTAGCGTGGGAGCTTTCGCTTTCGGGGTGGAGTCAAACTCAGCTGCGAGCTCCTCGAATTTTCGGATTTCCTCGAGTGTGTCTGGATCCAATTTCGCCATGTTCTTTTGCTTCGTCTTTTCTTTGTCGGACAGAACCGAAGTGTTCGACTTTTGCTTTTGGAGATTAGGAGTCGTCAAGCCACAGTCAATGGATTTGTAGCTGTCTGTTCGTGTTGAACTGGCGGTTCGAAGAGAAGCAGAGCTTTTCGTTGGTCGTTCCTTGTTGACCGATGTTGAGCGAGAAAGAGATCGCGCGAAGGAGCGGATCTTTCGGAATGTCTTCGGCAAACTGGATCGACGAGATTGGGGAGTGGCCGATTGTGGTCTGGATTCCATCATGATTGCCGTCGGAATGATCACTTCCTGATTGTCAAGCTCGCTGCTGGACTCGTCAATGCTAGAATCGCCAGGGGTTCTGATGAGCCGTTTTCGCGTCAGCTCTCGCTCACGTGATGCTGCAATCTGGCTCATAGACGACTTCGAGTTGAGCACGGTGTTTTCAATGTCCTTATTGACCGCGGCGAGATCATTCTGAAGCCGGAAGCGGCGGCTTTTCGTCGGATCAAGACCCGAGCGATTGAGCGACTGAATCTTCTGCGAGATGGAGTGACGACGTTGAGTAAGGCGTGTTAGTTTGCATTGGATCTCTATGGCTGTTTCAATCTCGAGCCGGCGGTGGTCTTCTTGGATTTTTTCTTTCTCCAAGCTTCGTGGGGAGAGATCGAGTTTCTTCATGTCTCCGAGAATATCGAATGGCTGTTCATGGATTGTAAAAGTCTTTATTTTTGATAATTATTCAACAAAATTTCTAAAAAGAAGTATCGAGACCGTGAGTAGATGATCACTCAATTTTCTCAAAAGCGTAGATCTTTATAGGATCTTGTGTCTACTGAATTAGATCAAATTGAGAAAAACTAAAGTGGTTTCCGGGCCCAGTGCCAGCGCAGAGCTTCGCGCCTGGTTCTGCTCCCGCCTTTTTTCCAGCTGATTACAGCTCTTACTTGTGTCTTAATTTATACTATTCATCATTGGATAAGCGGGATGATCCCTCGCCCGAGAGTTTTGTCTTTGAAGGGCCTAATAAACAAAGTTCGCGCTATAAGTCAACAAAGGGAACAAGAAAGCTAAAAGGGTTAAGGGTATACACCCAGAAAAGGGCACGTTATTTCTATTTGTACAAAACAGTCTCGTCTTTAGGTGCTTCTTTCCCTGAAACTTTTCAAAGAGAATGGCTTCGGCCAAAAAAGGCGCTTCGTGTGTCCTTTTTTTTCTTTTATAGAGTAGACAATCCGTGCCTTGATCGATTTCTTCGCCTCGCGTTTCATGCTGAGCTGATTTTGCTGCTGAATCTTCTCCTGCACAATGGTCTTGGGCGTTGTTCGCTTTGACGAGAGCCGGTCAAAGGTGGCGAACCAAAGATAGAATGAGTCTGCATTCGTTGTGTAGAACTCGTGTGTTTCTGCTTGTGGGTGGGTGATCTTCAATCGGAACTTGTGTTGGCTTGGTTGAATCAGGTCGCCTTCGAGGGTGTAGTCGTTCAGGTTGACGACGTCGATTGTCACATCCGATGTGACCGATGAGTACAGATACAGCAGTCGCTCGACGGCTAGAATTTCGTGTGAGAGTGATGTCAATTTTGACGAAGATGCGACTTCGATGTTGTGAAAACACCGCCTTCCACTTAGTCGTAATAATGGTCAGATAAGCACTTACCGACTGCCCAAATCTGGGTCCATTTGCGTCTCCCGACTCTATGATGAATGTATCCAGCATGTTCCTGTCGAACATGGCTGCTTGCTTCAATGTTCACCCTAATTGGGCGGTAGCGAGATGCTCTTCTATTTATTTGCAACTTTTCGACGGGTTGGACACACGCTTTCATCCATATCCCGCTTGAGACTCGAGTAATAAAATATTTACTCCCCATTTTGTTTTTTCAAAGAGCAGCTTTAGTAAGTCACTTCTCGGAAAAATATGGGCCATACTCGTAAAACACGATTTCAAGGGCTGTAAAGATTCCGATCGCAATAAAAACGCAACCGTAAATGGGTATGGATTTTCCGTCTAAACCTTTGTTTTTCTTACAAGTTTTTATTGTCGTCTGTGTTCAACCCTTTCCTGAGCCTCGAGGGGAATGTCTGGCACGGCGAGCTCATCTTGCGACTGGGTGCGCTCGGAGTAGTCAGAGCCGACGCCGGATGAGCATGTTTCGACAGAGTTGAAGTTAAGGCGATCAGCTGATCCACGTGAGGGATCTTCGGACATCCCGCTGGGCTCGTCCAGGCTTTGAGAGGAAAGCTCATCGCGGGATCCAAGCTCGTCTTTTGATGCCCAACTCGACGAATCTGCAACCTAAAAAAGGGATTAATTTCAAAAGTCTCCGAAAAAATGATCGATGAAAAATTTTTCTTTTGCCGATTTCTAACAATAGAAAAAGTCAACTTCTATTTTGTTTGTCAAAAAAATTATGCAATCTTGATGACCCAGTTGAAAGATAGCATTATCGAACTGAACATACACACTTATTTAGTCAGACGATTTCTCGGTAATCTGTGCGGCCATGCGCAAACTTTTGCAAACGGTTGACTGCGCCTAACTACCCAACCGGTAGCCCGGTAAGTAACCTAGCACTTAGGCGGGAATTCAAAGAAACTCGAACACTTAATTTTAAGGAGGTCATGTTTTGGTGCAATTCTGAGACAGGTTAAAACGAACCCTTTCAAAAGTGAACTTTTTGGAGCGAAAACCGAAGAGATCAATCATTTTGACAGTTTTTCATGACTTGTTCTATGTACAAATATGTTTTAAAAAAGCTAGAAAGACTCTACGGTATTCACTGTGCTTGAAAACCAAAAATGCCAGATTTTATCTTGATCCCTTTATGCGTTGTATGTTAAGTGTGCTGGGAAAGAAGCCGGCCCCGTTGATAAGGAAAGTTATGACTTTTCGTGGTTTCATTGAGCTCCTTGGCGAAGCAAAAAGCGGATCAAGACAGTTTTTTGTTATTCTATAAATTGGATGATACCGCCGCAGTTTTGCACATGCAGAGCCGCGCTGGCAACGGGCCAATGCGGGCCCGCATTTTTCTTGTGTACTCACGCAATATGCGCGCACTTTTCAAACGAGCGCATTTTGCAAAAATCAAAACGGCTCAAAGCCTCAAAGTCAGGGTTAAATTATTCAAACAAGAATCGAATCAATCAGTCAGAATTGAACAAACACTTCCGCAACTGTGACTCTGAAAGGGTCGCTTTCTCAACAAAGAAATTCCTCTTCAATTTCTCGTAGGAAGACAGAAAGAAAAAAATCACCTGATTATTCATTATTTCATAAGCAGATATTCTCGTTTTGTTTTACAAATTGCTCCATTATTCACGCATTTTTTATTTGAAATGATCTCTCACGAGATCCCTGTTTCTTTATTTTATTCTTAATCCATGTTTGAGCTCGATTACGACCCTTTTATCGTGCTCGTTTGGGTAGGAAAATTTAGAAAATGGGTTGATTAAAGAATAGAGCGATGTATTCAAGTCTTTAGCCCAGAAGATCAGCTGTTAAGTACGCACCGATTTCGCCGGGATTACGCGGCGAGTAGGGATCACCAACGGGACTTGCGCCCTGGCGATTGGATTCTGCTTGAATCCGAATGCCTCGCGGAACTCATCCTCGGACAGTTGCCGCGATTTTCGTTTTTTCAATGCTTTCATGTTTCGGTTTTGTTCTTCTGCCAAGAAAGGAAGCTCTCTCAGTATCAAGTCTTCTTCGTTACTGTATTTCAATCTCTGAATTTGAAGCTTTTTTCTGAGTTTCGATTGCTGCTTTCAAGTTTTGCGAGGAGTAAAAACAATGGTTCGTATTTTATCTGAGAAAATGATGCGAAATCGCGAAATCGAGATCGCGGCCTCGAGAAAATGAAAAAATACGCGCAACGACGCCCCGCGCGCTATCCCGCGCCCGCAGCGCCATCACTTTCCCGCACCAGGACCAACGGGACGCACTCACAAGCGCCCTCTACGATACGAACCAGGTCTTTGCCTTTTTTCGAGATTTGAGGATTGAACTTTACTGAAGACTTTACTTTTATAAAGTTCTTTCGTAGTTAAATTAATAAATGACTAATGAATCCATTGATTCTAAGAACCAGTTTTTAGTATTTTTCTTAGCTCATTACAATCCATTTTTCTACAGTAGGCCGATATTGAACTTTATGATAAAGTACAAGGTAATTTCTTTTATCGCAAAGCTGGGATGCTGGTAGAAATGCCCAATAATTGCTGTTTACACAGGGGAGCCGGGACTATGCTTATCACTCCCGTAAAACTGCAATTACAGTAGTAACTGGACCGCGTGACAGCTTGACTAAGAAGCTTACTCATTTTCCATCTTTTAATATCAAATCATCGCTAGAAACGAAAACAGTGTTTTTCGCACATCCTGTTTTATTGTTCGCGAACTTCCTTTTCCCGATTCGTCACCAATTCAAACATTCCAACAAAAAAGGAAAACCGAAAAAACTTGTGACTCAAACCGCACTTGAGATGGGAAAGAAAATTGAGCTGGTTGAAGACTGAAGCGGGTCAAACTTTTTGAACTCTACTTTTGGTTCATTTGCATAGGATTGAGTTCATTTTCCGGCTTTGTCGGAAATGGATCTGCTCAGCTGTCAAGTTTTGAAGAGGCAAGCTTTTTTATGCGTTATATTTATTTGCTCAACGATGCTGAAAACAAGGTCAAAGTGGATACAAGGACGAATAACAAGAAAGGCTACGATATCCGCCTAAGAAAAATCAACAACAAAGTGATCATCATCAGTTCAAAAGTTGAATCAAGTGCTTACATTTTAAAAATCATGTCCAAGTCATCATAAAATCGCCATTTGGCACGTGGTTTCTTGGAGAATTGAATAAGCCCACTTCTATTTGTATAATTGCCCTTTCAGCTGCTATAAAAAGCCATGCAAAAATATCGATCCCCATAAATACATCCCCTTGACATTCCAAAAAGAAGCCTCAACGGTAAAACAGCTGCAGTCAGTTCAAATGTTCCACTAATTTTGAACCACTCAAAATTTTTGACACGGACACAGGGGTCGATGTTTTTCTACAAATCGGGTTAATTAAATGCTACCTCTTGAAAAGCTCACTTTTGAATAGACGACCATGTGGGGCGGATAAATCTAATTCCTCGCGCTAGTAGCGACGGTTGAATGCGGTATTTAGAGAGTCGTCTTTTGGTAATCCGGAATTTCGGGGGCGATTTCGGTTTTCTTTTCTTCGGCCAGAGAGGAGAGATTATAAGCTGTTAAATAATGCCACCGATACTAAAATAGGCTTTTACATTTGTTAGCTATTGAAAAGCAAAATGAGAGCTACCAGATTCGAAGTTTGAATAGAGCTCACTAATCCACTGAAACAGCTCCAATGCTCGTTCAATGCGGTTTTGTTCGAACGGGGGTCGATCTATTTTCGAGTTGTTGAGTTTGGAGAAATCCCAAAAAACTTCGCAGCTTTCTTTTTCATAACTCAAAGATCAATTTTGTGATGTTTACTCGATTTCCGAAGAATTCATCTCCCAGAAATCATGGCCAGAAAAGCATCTTACTTCAAATATGCCAGCTTTCGATTCCTGCGGTCCGTTTGACCCGTTCAGTCGTCCAATTAAATGCATATCAAACTGTTCAGTGAACTTAACAGAATAATTGCCAAAGCTGTTGCCATTAATATGAGCATGAAAAATCTCAGTGATCAATTTTCTCGTTACTCTCGGCAGCATGTGCATTTTCAACGCATTCTATCTTCGACCGCAAGGGCAGGTGCATGGTCAGCGCCTCTCAATAACACAAGGCCTAATCAACAACACCAAGAAAGTCGAAGCGATAGACCTCAAAACACATGGCCAGGTGTGTTAACTACCTCGAGTACTCCTAAACTTGCGAAGTTACGAAGGCATTAACGACCGCTCGGTCCAATAATCCTGTCGCCAGAAGTCCACCTGGCAGCTTCTTGCCACTGGCACGGATCTTTGACTTCTGAGTGATCACGTGACATGATGGCTTTAATTCGATCGGAAATGGTTATAAATGAGCGAGGAGGATAAGAGCCTTAATAATTTCACGGACCGGAAGTTTTACTTGAGTATTAGATTTTCTAGGCCAGAACGAAGGGATCAAAACACTTTTGAGCTAAACAAAAACTGATTACATCCCACAAATTGTTTCGAAAAATTCGCCATGAAAATCGACATTGAAAAGAAAACCGAGATTTCTGTAGAATAAATTTCGTACTTTTTTGGTACTTAGAAATGAACACAGCTGCCAAATGAGAAATTTGGTTTCCTCAAAAAACCTGTGGCGTATTCAAGAGGCGCGTTGTTTGTCCTTCGAATGTCATTTAATTTTCGACGTTATTCCAAGGAGTGCGTAATGAAGAGCGAGAAGAAAAGAGCATCGAAGCTGGCCATTACAAAACGGTCAAGTGGCCGTGTCGAGTTTGTTGAAGACCAACTTGAGTAGATAGTTGTCTTTGCAGGAGCAACTACCCGGCAGAAGCAATAGAGCTTGTTGCATAATTGGACAAATCGCTGCTTTGTTTAATAATTCTCTCGAATCTCACCTTTTCTAGTGTCTTAAATTGGTTTAGTTCACAAGGAAAATCACCAAAGAAGAATTTGCGATGATAGAAAAATATGATAGAAAAGGATGCTGGGAAGATGAAAAAATGAGTGAACATGAACGAGCGATTATCCGATTTTACACGCGACGATATTCTGTAACTCGGCGTCAGGAGCTCCTTATTGTCCCACGGAACATTCCTTTAGCTTGATCAGCGGCCAAAATCATCCTCCATTTGATCACGCAATGAATGGCTCGCAAATACCTCCGAATTAAGACCTGCTTGAACGAAGAGTCGAAATTGGTGCATGACTAGTCTTCTGTTCACGCGGAAATCGTAAAAATAATACGCTGACCACATGATTATAATGTTTACGGGGCTACTTGGACACAAATTATACGTACAATCGACGAAAAAAGGAAACGCAGTGGTTTTATTTTCGGAAATATCAAATTTGCAATTGCTCTTGTTTTGGACTTTTTCCGGTTTTACAGTGTTTTGAGAAGAATAATACAGTCAGACATCAATACTAGTGGAAGATAGGAGTTGTTTGTCTGTGATACACTTGAACTCAGCGAGATACGAGTAGATTCCAAAGGTGATTATGGATTCAAGTGCTCTCAGAGAAGTCTGTGCAAATTTACTCTACAAGCTCGCGTGTAGGGGAATCTCCTCTCCCATGACCGAGATATCAAGACATAATCGATAGGAGTAGCTGAGAAAGAAACGGGGTTCATGGCGGATTGATCGGGGCGACCACCTGCTGCTCCGACCTGTCCCGGAATCATTCGGTCCCGCGGCGGGGCTTCTCTCCCACTCGTGCCCGGGCTTTGTTTGGTTGAGCGAATTCGAAAATGAAAATATGGCTTTCTTTGATTTGGAAACAAGGCCGACTTTGATAACGAGAAAAAGCTGTTGGAATCCGTTAATCTGTGATATAATTCGCCACTTTCTAACCTTTATCTTTTAAAATTGGTTAAAAAGAGGATTGATGAATCAACGAAATTTCGTCTCCCACAGACAGTATATTCAAACAGGACGAGTGTTATTACAGATGGAGCCATTATACGATTTACATCAATCGTAACGAGCAGGTCGTCAATCTGAACCAACACAACACGGAAATTTCCGCCGCAATTGCGCACAAAATCTCCATTTTTCCGTGGGCTTGCCGCTAAATACCTCCTTCAGTCTGTCGTCGAGAATCTATCAACACATTCGAGGCGGCAAAAGTGAAGCACTCGCTCGAGGGCATTCAGGATCGTGATTTTTCACAATACGAAGTGCTTCTTGAATGCGTGAAAAATTGAAGGCAAACCAAACATGCACAGTCTGCTCGTTCAAACATGACCAGTGTTTCGTTTTCAAACGTCCTATTTTACCATCAAACAGTTTTTATGAAGCGTAGATCTGTTTTCCTTAAGAAAATTAATATTTTCAAAAGTCTCGAAGCTCTTGTAATTCTTCATGGCTAAAAAGAAGCCACAAATTCTTAAAAAGCTACATACGAAAGTTCATTCTTCAGAGCAGCATCCTCAAATTACAGTAAGAAGTTCTTACTAAGAACATTTGAAAAATGTCTTCAACGGTGGGAAAAAACTACTTCAAATAAAACCAGAATTCAGCATTTTCGATTGCCTGCGTTTATCGATAACCGGCTGATTTCATACCGTGATAATGTGTCGGCCCACACATTGAGCTTCTCCACGGGCACTCAGAATGAATCCAATAAACGCAATGGGTGGTTTAATAAAATCCAGATTAACCAGCAGAGAGCCTTTTATATATTTGAGCTGCTCTCCTTATTTCCGGGAAGGTCGATCAATCATCGTTTAGGAGTTCCATTTCTGACGATCGAAAATTCTAATTTATCAAAGGGGCACTTAAGAATGTAACACAAAACGAGCTGGACAAGGATATGCTAGTGCTCATCAATCTAGTGATTCGAGGAACTATTTTTCGTTTTTCGGATTCTCAGAAGCGAGGAAGGATAAACCAATGTTAAAAATTATCAAACATCAAAGACCATGTGGCGCAAGATCAGCTGAGCCAGATGTTCTTGTTAAAAGAATCTAAAAGAGGGATAATAGCGAGATAATTGAGTTTTGAGTTTGTTCATGTGCAATTATTTCTGAGATTGTGAAAATCTGTTGCATAAATATTTAAAGAACAAGCTCGCTTGGTTTTTAATCGATTTCTGAATATACCCTTAGCCCTTTCTGAAAGTGGAAGAAAATGACTGAGTTCGCGAACTTGGCGTGATTAGCCGGCTGTTGTAGATTTCTGTTACCTAACCCAGAGAAGGGATAACTGAGGAAATCTCACTCACAGCGATAAGGATCAGTTCCTCTATGAGAGGGACGAGTAGTCGTTTCTAATCCAGCCGCAACCCTTACCCACGTTTTTCAGCTTTTACCAAAATTTGATTTGCCCAATTCAATTTGATCTAAAAATTCTAATCCGTAATCCAGTGATTCTCTAATCCTTGAAATTGCTCGTCGAAGTTCCGTTAATCCTCGCATAAGTGGCACTGAACGTGGTGTCTCGCTAACTCGATCACCTGGTAATATAATCACGTGATTGATCGGTATTTGAAAGAAATATTTTTCTAGCAACAGAACGTTTTGACAGGCTACCATGATTGAAAATTGCCCCCAAAGAAGGTGTGAAAAGAGAGAGACACGCGGAGAACCCATAATTTCATTTTACGTAATTGGGGCCTTTCCCAGGCATCTAATCGGTTTACAAATACCACTTAGCGCTCTTTTCGAAAACAGTTGAATGCGAAAAAACCACTTCCGGGAAAATAAGTTATTAAGCAGTGCCAATTTGCATTTCTCGGCGGAAATCCATATGGCTTTTGACGAGTTTGGCCTCAATTCTCGGTCTGCGCGAATTTCAAAGAGAGACTCACGTGTATCTTTCGCACTCTTGAAACGACTGTTTTATTGCGGGCAGAAGAGTTTATCTTATTTCGAGTTGATATTTCGACAAAATCAAGGGCCCACACGTTCAATTTCAATCACAATTCGAGTGATTTATTACCGTACTTCTTTCATAATTTTCAAAAATCAAAATCCTGCCCGTTTTACATCTGTAAAGTTTTCTTCCAGAAATCGAACATGATTTTACTAAAAATTTACACGGCCTATGCGTGTTTTTCACGCGTAAGATTTGAATTACCAAGTTTTTTTCTGAATCCAAACCATTTAGAACATTCTCGGTTCTCAGAGTCTTTAAAAAAAGAAAGTGTTTAGAGGGGAAGAAAGCTCTCAAAGGGTTCACTGGGATTTCCCAGCCAAAGCCGCGGAACTTAGTTGGCTCAGGTGTCATCTTCGGGAGACCAGAGGCTGCTAATTTTAATATTTCTTTATCGCTCAACACTTGAAAAAACGAGCTTTGCAAAACAGGTAAATAACAAAATCTCGGTGCCTACTAAAAGTGAAGAATTCACAGTACAATGAGGCTGAAGGCGTCAATTTCCTGCTGTGTTCCAATAACTCTGGAGCATGATTAAAAATCCAGCGCTAGAATGAATTGGAACACGGTGATTCAACACGTGGCGCGTTTGGCGTTTCTCATAAAAGTGTACTACTGTATTTGAGTTACCATACATTTTCGGAATTTATCTTTATCATTATTTGTAGACGCTCCTTTGTAGAATGTGCCTATGCCCAGGATTTTGTAGTGTTTGTGCTCTTTCTAATCTCCAGCCGGAGATTTGCGCTGCTTGCAAAACAATCTTTTTGAACCGCACTTTTTCGATATAAAAATGCAATTCGCGCTTTTTCTAGCGAGCAATTACATTTCATAAGTGTTGAATTTTAGGGGATTTCTTGTTGAATATGGAATCGAGCACGTCTTTTATTTTTTGGCGAAAAATGCATAAGAGAGACGTAAGTCCGGAAACGGAAATCATGTTGCGCGATGGAAGTCATCGAAAACAACAATAAGAACAGTAGAAATCGGTAGAATAGATAAAAAACAAAACAGGTTGCCAAACAAGATAAATGAGTACAGAAATATAAATTTAGGAACAAAAAATTATTACGAAAGTTGCTTGAGGGTGTAAGTCGATCGCAGCATGAAAGCTTTAGCTAGAATTTCGGAAATTTCAGATTCGCCCCAGCCGTTCGTGGGGAGTCCTTGAACTGTCATCATCAAACCTAAATTACGTGATTATACTTCAATATTTCTACCATCAAGTCTCTGATTGGCCGAGTAAACGGTCGACCAATCACGATTGAATCACGTATTGATGAAACTCTTTTGTTATTCGAAGTAGCTTACGTAGACTTTGGAATTACCTTGGAAATCACATTGATCAAGCAACAGCCGTTTCCAGTGAATGAGAAAAGCCGCGCAGACGAACAAGTGCAAGCTCGACCTTTCATCAGCCCCTGCTTCAGAAAAGTACGAGTCCCATAAGCGTACAATCGCAGATAGAGGCAGCTAAAATCAGATCTTGACTTGAATTCAAAGCTTGATTGTTACCTCGCGCATCAATAAATTATTAAACCACCGGAAGGCGAACTGAAGGAATTGAACGGAGTTTTCTTGCAAGTGCTGGAAGAGATCAGGCTGAATTCGCTCTATCAGATCTTCTAGCTGGGAAACTTGGCGCTGAATGCCTGGCTGAGCGAATGTGTAGTTGTCTTGGATCCCGTCTAAGAGCCATCCAAGGCACCAGAAACAATCTGCTTCAACCTGAAAAAAGTGATACCGAGGGGATCCAAACAATTGTAAGCCTAGGATTGGCAAGGGTTAGGTTTTTTCAGAGTAAATTTTGAGGGGACTCGTTTTTGCCGTAGAGAAATTTTCTCCGACGAAAGAATTTCGAGCAAGAATCTAGGAATTTCCGAAATGCTCGCTAAAAATAGCTATCATATGTTCCTCGATAAACAGCCAAATATTTTTGCGAAGTTGCTTGAAGTTGACTTTTCTTTGTTGCATTATTTGAACCTCGATTGAACCAAGAATTTATCGCTGAAAAAAGTTCATTCCATAAATTACGAAGTAAGAGCATAGAATTACGTGCCAAAAAATTGCCCGCAACCCGAAATTAACCTGACGGATTCTGAGGCTCACAATCGCGGCAAAAGTGCTGGACGCATCGTTTTTTAGAATTTCTCGTAACTCGTAATTTATCGTAATATTGTTATCTCGGGATATAACCGTTTATTCTACCACGAGTAATACTATTTCTACGGCGAAGAACATTAGATTCGTGTGTAGCGAGAAAATCGTAACAGTAAACAAAACTTGTATTTCTTGGTAACAAATTACCTCTCTTAGCGCTTCTTGAGGAATGAGGTCCATGTTGGTCGTTTCGAACTTTTCACCGGCTCTTAGATGCTCGGAAAGGAAAACGTGAAGAAAGGGGGTGACGAGGTCGTTCATTCCTTGGACATAGCCCGACGCCGGATGTCGAATCGCCCAAATAAATAAAATGCGTTCCATTAATTCCTTTTGGCATATTTTTCAGATGGAATTTCTAAAGGATCGCGACTCACCTGGATTAGCTTTTGCTGAAAGAGCGGAACCGACGGATTGGTTCTGGGGATGTCGATTGTTATCTGGTGGTACGTGTCCTTGTGAGACGGTTCTTTTGAAAGTTTGAAGTAACGATCAACCTTTTTGAAAATAAAAGTTATTCTCAAGTAAAAAGAAACTAAAACTAGGAGTATTCGATTCGCGGCTGAAAAATACGTACAAGCTTCCAATATTCATTTCTTTTCTTTTCTAGCGTCGCTAATCGCCGCTCCCTTGCCGTGGGAAGAAGTCCAGTAATCAGCCGCCAGCAAATGGGCCTGTAACAAGGGGGACAGCCTCTCCATGCTAATTCCCGTAGATCGGCGAGATCTGTCAGGTCTCTGTTTATTGCACTTGAAAATTTTTCCGATCTGGCAATTTGGGCATCAGTGAGCGGAGGCAGTCCTGTGAATGATTTATTTGGCGGTCCTGAACAGTGCTTGTGTTGGAAATACAAGAGCTAAAATAAATGCTTGGGTACCTGGCGAGACGATTATTGGGGATTTCGGCTTCGTTTTGGATTCTTCTGTATTACTGTTTGTTGCAGCGTTTTCTTTAGGCGGAATATTCAATTTCTGCTTTGGAATATTATTGCTAGAAGATTTGCTGGTTGATTCTTGAGGGGCGGGAGGCGGTGATTTTGGCGATTTACTGTGATTAAGGGTGGTCAACCGAGCTGATTCAAAAGGATGAAAACATTGGTTTACAAGAATTTAGGGCTTGAGATACCGCAGCGATCAGCATCTTTGACATCTTTGACATAGTTCCATAGAGAATATGCTACATTTGTGACGTGGCCACCCGAACCTGTAACGAGCTAGAACAGCAAGGGCAGCAGAACGCGAGGCATCAGGATCAACCCCAAATCCTTTGACGAGCTCGTCGTCTGCTGCATCCCAAGCGTCGGCCGTCTCGTTTTGGTACTTTTTGAACTTGGAACTTTCGGGAGCAGGTTGCGAACCTGCCGACTTGCCTGGCTTTTTCGTTGACCGCCAGAACAAGTCGGCCATCTGAAGAAATCAAAATTTTTTTTACTTGAATAGAGAGATTTTTTATCAATTTTAATGAAGGCAGGGAGACATAGAATGTTGTTAGGAAGAAAATTTACAGAGGAAGAGATGTTAAGGAAAAAGGTATTGCAGGTCAATAAGGTAGAGAGTACTTTTAGTTGTTGTATTTTTCTTGCATATTCCGTCGCGCAAGTCTTTTTGCTTCTAATGCCTAAAAGTGTTGTTAGCAAATAAGCAATCACGTGAGCACTGAAGAAAAGACAAGAGTTTTCTTGAGTGTGAGCCCCGTAGAAAAATTATGAAAAAAAAACAAATTGGTTGTTGAAGAGTGTTTCCACTTTAGTTCCAAAAAATCCCATCTTGGTGACCAAGACTCAAGTTTAATAAGAGCATGGTCTTATAAATGCGGAGAAATACAGTAAGACTTACGTCAGTAATAGGCTTTTGCTTTTGCAAATAGGCCTCGCGCGTTTCTTCGAGTTCTTGCTCCATCATGGGGTCAATTAAATCCAAAAATCTGCGTAGCTGATCGCTCGAGTAATCTTTCAGGTTTCGCGTTCCCTTTAGAATATTGCGTATTTCTTCTACATCTGGGTTCATACTTTTTAAAACGCGGTTAATTACTACATATGTAATAGTTTTTTTTTATCTCTCCATTTGTTACATGAGCTTTACAACAGTATTTCGCTTCTTTTTATCAAGACGTTTCTATTTCTAAAGTTTCAACCGCTGTTCTGGGCTATTTATCTCAAAGACGTAAATATATATACGCGTTACCTAATCTGGGCAGCTTGAGGCGGTGGTGGCAAATCTTGGATATAATTCATGAACGTATTGCGCTGATTTGACGACTGCTTGGTTGTGTTTTCGTAAACACACATACTGTTGAATGACTTTACGATCGTAGATGATCCTTCAAGCATTGTTCCGGCTGGAGAGTTTTCGCTTTTGAGGACAGTACTGTATTCATTCTCTTCAGATCCTACACAAGTCAGTAAAAACGCATGTTGACTCAACCTTGATCAACCTGAGCTACGATTAATAGATTCCTGACGCTTGTTTTTCGTCTGACTCAGTCGTCTCTTGATTTCATGAGCTTCTTCAATAATTTCAATAATGTGTTCCCTCGATCGACGAGCATTTTTGATGAACTCTTCTTCCAGCAGCTCGGCAGCAGAACTCCGTTTCTCGGGTTTCTTGATAAGACAACGCTTGACGAAATTGTTGAAAATGTTCGACACATTTGCTGGATCCTGTAATTACAAGTGAACAAACTGAAAGACTAAAGCAAGAGCGTTTTTAAGATTGAATCAAGAGATAGATTTTTGTTACTCTCCTTGAATGTCGGAGGGCTATTTTGCGGAATCGTATAAATAGCGCGAGCAACCTGCATTTCCGAATACGGCGGTTTTCCGTCTATCATTTCAATGGCAGTGATCCCCAGCGACCATATATCGGCTAAGCAGTCGTATCCGATTTCCTGAATGACTTCCGGCGCCATCCAATACTTAACAGAGTCTTAATTGGGCCGCTAATTCGATTATGAGGCAACTTTACCGGCGTTCCGATGACGGTATTGCGTTTATTGAACGTTTCTGTAAGTTGCCCGGAGACACCGAAGTCTGCTAGCTTGGCTACGCCCTTCTCTGAACGCCATCAATCAAATTTTCTTCGAAAAATCGAAAGCAGTACTACCTGTCAGCAGAATATTTCCACACTTGACATCTCGATGAATCTTTCTTTGCTGATGAAGATAGTCGAGTCCAAACAGGGTGTCCCGAATAATCGTGGCGCAAGCCTCTTCTGTCAGTGTTTGCTTTCTACACCTGTAAATATCGCTGATACTTCCTCCGCTGCAGTACTCCATGACGATCGCTAAACTGATCTTCTGAAATCTGATCCAAAAAAAAGCTCCAAAAACTAACCTGTTGTCCAAGCAGAATGATCCGTAGTACTTGATAATGAACTGGGAGTCGAGTTGCTTCATGAAGGAGATTTCGCGGATCATATCGCTCAAATCGCTTGTAGTAACTTTCTTGATCGCGAATTCGTTTCCGAGCCCGTCTTTTGTCACCGCCCTGTGAACCGATCCATAAGAACCAGTGCCGAGTAACTCCAACATATCGAAGGAGTACTCTCCCATGTTCTCCATGAATTCGTCTGTCATTTTATTCTTTGTTCTAGCGATTTAACATTCTTCAATCAAAGGGTGTCAGCTTGACTTTGAAGCATTTTTATAACAGAAGAAAGGGTAAATTTAAAGAGAATCCAGGCAGCGATGACATTAAAAATGCGCTCCACCATAAGTCGTGGCATGTGGCCCTTTGAACTTGTGGCTTCATAAGTTCGCTGAAGATCCTCTTTTGGAGAAGAAACATGTTGTTTATCGCTGTGTTCAGCGGCGCCCCTCGAAGGGGCTTAGCCTCATCCGACCTTCTTGAGCTCGCTCATGTTCGTTGTGGCAATGGGCGAACCGATAAATTGCACTTTGGACATGGAGGTCACATCTTGATCACCTTGGTTGTTCTAAAGAGCGAACTCAAAAAAAAAGATCCCGGAAAAGATGTACCTTGAAGAAAATTGTGATATTATTGACTTTTTGGAATTTGACAAATCGAACTTCAATCGGCTTCGACAGCTCTTCGAAGGACAAGTCAAAGTCCTGCGTCGACTTTCTCTGCTCAGCATCATCAAAAGAAATCGGACTCGTTTCATTCGCAAAGAGTCGAATTTCCTAGAAAAGCACCCTGGTTTGAGAAATTCGCACCTCCGAGAAGCTCTCTTACTTTGGGGGCTTGCTCCGCGTCACACCCAGCTTCAATGACGAGAGAATGAAGCTTAACGGGCTGAGTAAACTCTACTCTGAGGATAAGCTGCTCATCGCAGTCGGATTTGAGCTCTCCGGTTGCGGATTCTTCGATCACGTTCAACCACGTGTGATCATCGTCTTCGTTCAAGCACTCAGACTTCCCCTGATAAGAAATTCATGAATACCCACCCGGCAATTTTCGGACAATTTTACCTTGTCCACGAGGGGATCTAATTCGACAAGTTTCACACAACCACTCATCTCTGTTTGTGTTTTCTATCAGTTCATTCTTCAACTTTTTTCTTCAATCAAAAATTGATTTTTTTATTAAACGAGAACAGTCAATATATACCGATATACTTTAACAACAGGCAGTGCACGAGAAATCGCTTATTAGGATTTATATTGAATATATCAACAGTAAGTGTGAAAAGCAGTGATACAACAAAAATCGTTTATCCTGCTGATGTCAAGAGGATAAAGACAATCTTAGACGAGAAGAAAATTTTCCACCAAAAGTCGTGGCAGGTACCCTTTGAGCTTGAGGCTTCATGAGCTCGCACGAAGAAAGTCTTTGCTTACTGAGACGTATGAATAAGTAGAATCATTGAGGGCCCCAAATGGGGCTTAGCCTCATTTGGACTTCTGCTGCGATTTCTCGACAGCTTGGGGTTTCTGTCAGCCACCTGAGGATTCGATAGGCTAAACATTCTCAAACCAATAAAATTAAAAGAAGACTACCTTTTGGCTATCGTCACCCTTGAGGGCCTTAGAAATGGCATTACTCGCGGAGCGGATGCCCGAAACAATCAATCACAAAACCATGGTGTTCGTTGTCTGAAAAGTCAAAATTAAGGAAGAACTCGAAATTGGAATGCGAAAAATTTATTCAGAAATCAAAATAATTATGGAGGAATATTAAATAATGCTGGATCAAATGGGAGGGAATGGTTTATTTTACGAAATAGTAGATTTGAGAATTGGACGAAGAGTTTCTGCAAAATGTGTCGACAGAATCGTTTCACAAGAAGCTTCATTGGCTCGTCCAGAAGGATGAGTCGTGAGTTGACTCAAAGCATGGTGGATTTAGTTCGCCTCTCGAAGAGGCTTAACCTCATCCACCTCGAGTTCGCTGTTGCTGCTGCGGGGGCCGTTGTCAAGAAGCTTGCGGCTTGTCTTCCTCGTCTTTGTAACAACCAAAACATCGGCCGATAGCCTTGAAGGCCTCCGAACAGCACGAAATTAACACTCAGCACATGTTTCTTCTGAAGATGAAAGTGTTTGTCAAATGCTACGTAAGTAAGTGAACCTCGTTGAATGACAGACAGAAATAAATTAAAAAAGAAGCAGCCACAATATTATAATTTTCCTATCTTACGCCCTTAATTTCTTCATTTATCCGCTTTGCCCGCGAATCGTACTCGATACTCTTTCACTTCTTCGTCTTCAATCTTTCTGAATAATGGCCTGCTCTCGTAGACTTTGTGGTCTTTTTCCAAGAAAGCGCCGAACTTTGATGGAATCTGAGCGCGCGCGACACCAAGTTGTCTCGCGATTTCGAATGAAGTCATGGGCATGAAGGGCTCCAACAATGAGGACAATAAAAAGACGAGGTTAGCTGAAAGCATCACACATGCTGATGCTTCGTTGCGCAACGCTGGATCCTTAAAACTGATTTCAGACAGCTTTTTCCCCGAAAAAGCTTACCTTTGATTTGACCTTGACCCACGGTTGCCATGTTTGAATCAATTTGTTACCAAGTTTTGAGATGGCAAGCACTCTTCTTAATCCCTCTCTTTGTTGATTACTTTCCATGCATTCAATGTACTCCTTGAGCAAAACGTTGACTTCAGCAACCCAAGCTCGCATATTTCCGTTTATCTCCGCGCTGGGCACTTTCTGGTCGTAGAACTTGACCACAAAGGACAGTCCTCTGTTGATGAAGTTGCCCAAGTTGTTGAGCAATTCTGAGTTGTTCTTCAACTGGAAATCGCTCCACTATAATTTTATGTGCTACCAAGCTCTTGAGATTACAATAGCTTACCTGGAACTCAGTATCCTGCACTTCAGGCCTCATGTAAATCAAGTAAAACCTCCAAACATCAGATGGAATATTCGTTTCTGCCGCTTGATTGCCGAAAACACCGACCCCTCTCGACTTCGAAAACTTACCGTTTTCATAATTTAAATATTCCGTCGCGTTTATAACGTTCACCTAAGTAAACAAATTTTCTTCTCGAAAGTTCTAGGGTCTGCCTACCAAATTCCAGGGCTTGCCAGTGCCGAGCAAATAGGAGGGGAAAAGAACAGAATGGAACGGAACATTATCTTTGCCCATGAATTGGTAATATTTGACATCTTTGCCTTGCCACCAATCTCGCCATTTAGGAGTATACTCAGCTGAAGAAAATTTCGATCTAGGGCTTTACGATAATTTGAGATAGTCTCACCTGTAATAGAAGGATATCCAATAGGCGCATCAAACCAAACGTAAAAGACCTTATGATCAAATCCTTCTTTTGGCACTTTTACTCCCCATTTCAAATCTCTTGTCATGCATCTTGGCTCCAAACCCTTCTTGATCCACGAATCAAAGATCTGTTTAGCATTGTTAGACCACTCGCTGGTCACTTCATTGAGCCAGACTTTGAGTTCGCTTTCAATTTTAGGCAGATTGAGGAAGAGATGTTTTGAAGTTCGGATTTCAGGAGTACAGCCAGTGAATTTACATCGAGGATTAACCAAGTCGATAGCGTTGAGCAAACCGCCGCATTTGTCGCATTGATCTCCTCTGGCATCTTCGTACGCGCACTCCGGTTTAGGGCATGTTCCCTCGACGAATCTGTCAGCCAAGAACTTGTCCAACTTTGGACTGAACAGCTGCTGAACATCCTTTTCTAGCCACATGCCTCGCTTGTCCAAATCGTTGAAAATTTCATGCACGACGTCATCTTGAAACTGGGTCGATGTTCGCCCAAAATGGTCGGTCGAAATTTGGAACCACTGGTAAACTTCTTTATGCAAAGCGTGGTACTTATCGCACACTGCCTTGCACGCTTGCCGAACATCCTTATCATAGAGCTCTTTGAAGTCTTGGAATGCTTTTGTCTCGGTAGCAGTTCCATATTCATCAGTTCCGCAAATATAGAGCGTATTCTTTCCTAGAAAAAAAATTTTCAAGAATGTTTCTAGAATGCCCACGAACCGAGTGGTGTTTTGCTTTGAAGAATTTAGTTAGTTTTGCGACCGGTTGAAAAAAGCACGAATGGCCGGGCGCACGAAAATTCAAGAAAGAGCCTTCCGCGAATCTTGCACCGTCTTCGACTGTCTCGAGCGACGGCACAAGGAGGAAGAATGGTGGGAGCAGGCAAAGTGGAGAATCAGAAAGACGGCAAAGCAGATTTCCCTCGATTTAGCCCTCAAGGAAGCGGTCGGATATATTAATTTGAGCGAAGACAGGTAACTTGAGGTAGTTTTCATTTGATAAAGGATTTCTAGTTCTGCGATAAATGGCCACAATCGAATCGGCGATACATCATCAGTGATCAGAAAGTTGGACGAAGGAGCAACCAACGATCACGTCGATCGCCGAGGAAATACTGCTCTCCATTTTGCCGTGCGCTTTGGTTATATAAGAATTGTTCAGGTAAGACCAAACACCTGGCGCGATAAGCACCACAAAATGCATTTTTAGCTTATCTTGGAGCATCACCCTCAAGAGTTAGAGAGGAAAAACATTCATGGTCACACTGCGCTGAGAATAGCCTTCGAGACGAATAATTATGAGATGTATCACATGTTACTCAAGAAGAAGCCGGAGAATCCGATCTATCACTGGCTCATGAGTCAGGGACAGTCGGGAGATGTTGGACTCGCCTGTATTGATAAATCTTACGAGCTAGGTAAGAATTAATCGAAGTCTACAAAAAAACAAAAGTTTAAGGCTCCGTGATTGTAAACGATTACAAGCATTTGAAAGAAACTGGGGATTTAAATCGACACGACTGGCGATTCCGCATTGCTTTCCCAAAGCTCGAAACGTTTTGCACTTCCCAAAAGGGGCCGTATTTTCTCACGAATTTCTTCAAGAGCACTTTGGGCTTCAGAACTGCCAATATTGATGGCGATTTGACTTCACTTGTGAACAAGAACGGCGCTCTTTTATGTAAGTTTCAAATCAAAAATTGAAATATAAAAGCTGTTTCCTAGCCCGCGAAAATTTCAATGGCGAAGTGAAGCTGGTTGAATTGCTTGTATATTTTAACCTGATGAACTGTCATTATCGATTCTTGGACGAAGACATAACCTTCAATTCCTTTCAACAACTTCGTCAAGATGATCTTGAACGAATGGGCTTTCGCCTGGGAACTATTCGCTCGATTCTAGCAGCAATTTACGGTAAGATTCTCCGACGCATAAACCCTTATTTTTATAAATTTAGAGTTGAAAACAAACGGAGCAAATGTGATGCAAGCAATTCTCCGCCGGCGCGTAGAATCTGTCTGTGAATCTTCAAGCAAAACTGATGCAGGTCCTTTATAACGAAAAAATCAACCCACTTCTGTACAGAAAATGTAAATATAACATATTTTTATATTTAAAAAGCAAATCTTTCTTACCACTGAATCGGGAGTAGCGGGCGAAGATGTCGGCACTGAGAACACAGCCGACGACGTTGCCGAGGTGAGGGACGTTGTTGACGTAGGGAAGAGCAGAGGTTATTAAGATATTTTGCTTGCCAGGTTTAGGTAGGACGGTTCCACTTGGAGCTAGAATTGATGGTCAGGTCGGATAATGGCTTTGAAGGGGAAAATGGATCACCTGCGAGAGCAACTGCACATATGGCAGTAGCACCTTGCCATGTTCAGAACTATATCATATGGTCCATATGCTCTAGCACATATAAGAAACCCAAATTCGAAAGGATAAAACAAACGCTTTCAAGAAAATTTGCCCCGAAATGAATCAAAAATGAGAAAAGGGTTTTCCTTAAAATTTCCCCAGTACAAAACAAAAATCAAAACACAATAATAACCGTGAATCTAAAATGAATCAACAATCGCTTCAATCTTGTCATCATATAGAATACATTTCTTGCGAAGCTCAAAATAAATCATTTACCTTGATAAGTAGTTGGTTTGACTCTTTCAAATTGCGAAAGAACATTATTTTTCTCTGCCTCGATTTTCTCTGCATTAACTGATCTTCTGAGAATATTCGCCTGGCTCAAAATAAATCACAAAATCTCAAAAACTCCATCTTACCTGGTAGATTAGCTTCTGTTTATCTGCCTGGAGAGCCTTGACACTTTCTTGAACTCTTTCAGGGGCACTGGCCGTCGCTTGTTCAAGAAGAGCATCAAGTTCTCTGCTCAACTCTTCAATCTGCGCTATTTTCTGGCTGGTTTGGTCCATTCTGGCGTTTGAAGTTCGAAAACGAGCGGCTTTCTGAAAAAGAATCCTTCGGGTCAATTTGAGCATTTTTCTAAATTCGAAAAATTTCATCATTTTTTTGACAATCATTTTTTATTTTTTAAAAACAGCATATTTTCGGGTAGGTGTATGTTCCAAAGATTAACACAACGAAATCTGAGGGAGAGTTTCGAGGATAGAAGGATTTTTTTCTTCAAAAAATGAAAGGTAAACCTAGTTTAAAAAGAATATTTAACAAAATAATAAAGACGAGGAGAAGAAGAACGATGAGGAACTTAAGAGTTAAAATCGGAAATCGTTAGGAAGGTTTCTTTATAAGTTGGGTAATATAAACAGTTAGGGTAGTTTTAGAGGTCAAAAAGGGGTGAATTCACGAAGAAACTAAAAGTTTCGAGCTAAATTTTGCTTTGAAATTTTAGCCAATCAGAAGCTGTTCATCGATCAGCAAGCCAATCAGAAGCTGAAAAGCCACCACCGAAATTTTGTCGTAACATCATGATGCTTCATGAAATCTCCTCTTTAGTGGTCAAATTGTTAGATGAACATAAGAGTTAAAAAGAAAAATAATATATATGGAAGATCGATTGCAGCCTTTACGGGAAATTCCGCGATTGAAAAAGAAAAATGCTAGAATTTGCATTTGCGTTCCAATTTTGAAACTACTTTGAATATTATTCAGGTAAAGGAGAGATAAGAATACTTTATTGGTTTTTGTTGTTTGATAAGTTGAAAATGGAAAAGTTGAAAAAAAGGAAGACGAAATTTTAAATGATATTAACATTTTTAATTCTTGATAAAAAAAATAGTAAAACTCGAACCGGGATTAATTGTGAATAATTATTGATGAAGCGGAAAAACGGGAGCTTTGACTTTGATTGATGAAAAGTAAAATCTGGTACGCGATTTTCAAGAGACAAAGAAAATATCTTCCTACTTCGATATGAGAGAAAAAAAGCAGCCAAATAGTCAAAAAATAAGCTAGTAAAATTGATTTTTAATTGTGTGAAGAAAGGCAGGCTGAAATAAAAATTACTTGAGAGAGTGGTAATTTGAAAAAGCTGAATTTCCAAGATGCAAATTTGTCAAGTCAAATGTACGAAAATGCCGAGACGACCTTATTCTAGTGCTTAAAAACTGTACTACCGACGGTACAAATTTAGGATGTCCTTTCTCTTGACCTGTTTTAGTTTAGTAGATAATAAATAATAGTAAGCACTCCCAGAAATTTATAAATCGCTGTTTCTGTGATTGTGACTGTATCTGTAATTGCTACTGTAACTGTAAATAGGGAAAAACAACCTGCAAGAAAGAAACACGCAAGACAGAGGCCGCTTTTTGCGCCTTCGAGTGTTCGTTTTAACCAGATATTCAGGGAACGACAGGATATTTACAATGTACAGTGCAGAAAGTACTCGTACAGAGCCCGTGGAGGTTCGTTGCTTCTTCAAATCGTTCAACCCTTCCGGTACAAACAGCATAAGAAAGTACAGAAGGGAGAAAAGGAAGATGAAAGTGGAAGAAAACAAGGAAGAGAACCCAACATGAGGGTATGTAAAGTTGCACTGGAATGGGGCTACAAGTAGCTTCATTTTTTTTTGGGTTGGAAACAGTTTTTGAAAATTGCTCTAAAATCGCCAAAAATGTCCAGTCGGTCGGCAAGTTTTTGTGTTTCCAAGAATTTTGGAAAGAAATTTAAATTTTAAATGGATGTAGTTTCTTTTCGAAATAAGATTTAGACTCGTACGAAACTAGTAGCTCGAGGATCGAGTTTTTTGGAGAGGTGATATTGGAAAGTAAAGTAAATTGTTGCTGCTGTTTGCGTTTTGTTGTAATTGTTTAATAAATTTTGGAAAGGAGACTCGCTAGATCAGTTCGTATTGGCGTAAGTGCATTCTTTGGATGATGTCGCGACAGTCGTTGAACACTCTCTTGATGTTTTCGGTGTCGACGGCGCAGGTGAAGTGCGGGTAGCAGTAGTGTTTTCCCTCGCCCGTCGCCGTCGAGATTCGGATGAAGAGATCGCGGATGAAATATTTGGCACTGGTTACACTTGCAGGCTCGTCGTTGATCTTCTCTGGACATACATAGCTCTTGTAGTCTTCGAAATAATCTAAGGAGAGACAATGAATATCAAGAAGAAGAGAAAGAGCTACCTTCAAGCTTTGATTTTCCTAGTAATATTTTTTCCCTCAGCAGATCCTGTTTGTTCAGAAAGAGGATGACGGAGATAGTCTTGAGCCAGCGATTGTTCCATATCGTTTGGAAGAGGTGGACCGCTTCTTCAAGTCGGTTTTGACTGTTGTCCTCGCGCAGCATCATGTTATACGAACTCGATGCAACAACTAGAAAGATTGTTAGTCAGATGAATGGCGATTCTAGGTCTTTACCAAAGATAATCGCCGTTACATCGTTAAAGCACTGGATCCACTTGCGCCGCTCATCACGCTGACCGCCAACGTCGAACATATGAAAGTTGACCTTTTCGATGGTGAATCTCGTCTCGAAGATGCCCTGCGTGAGGACTCGACACCTGAGCATGTCTTGACTGCTGGGCGCGTAGTCGGGCTTGCGGACATCGTCAACCTTGTCGAGGAAGTACTTGGCGCAGTCGATGAGTTGGTATTCGTGGCTGCGGTCGTAGCACTCTTGAACGCCCGGATCCTTCCACAGCCGCGACACATGCGAGAAGAAGACATCGTCGTACTCCTGCTCGTTCTTTTTGTTCACACAATAGTCAAAAGAGGCTTGAGATTCGGGGTTATGTAACTGTACAGGCGGATTTATTTCACTCATCGCTGAATAAAAAAGAATGTTAGTTTATGAGACGATCCAAAATGGAAGAGGGAGAATGACGTAAAATGAGGTCTGAGATTGTTATAAATGCATAATTGAGTGAAAGAGAGGGAGAGAGAATCTCAAATTTGGGTGACGTCAAGTTTGGAACGCGTCGAAAATAGACGTCAGAGCGAGAGACTGTGTCTGATGACAGTTACGGTCAAAGCTGGTGCAGCCTTAGATCTAGGAGAATATATCAAATTAGGATTAAAACAATTCTGATTTATCAAACTCTCAAATAAGTTCTTTCTCCACAGTGTCGTTTTTCAGGGGTGAGTTGTTTGTTGCTAACCTGAAATAATAGATACGATTCCATCTCTTATATTCCTCTTGATATCGGCTATTTTTCGCCTCTTCTCGTCGTCGCTAAAGCCGTTGACGTGGAGGATGCGCATTTGTTTGACGACTGTGCTCTTGCCGCTTTCTCCAGCGCCGAGGAGGAGGAGGCGATGCGTCGATCGGTACTCTTGCTTGCATTTTCCGAGCTCCTTGTCGATGCGCTTGCTCTGTTCAATCCGCTCGCGCTCGTCGTCGTCGTTCGATTTTACTTTAAAACAGCCCATACTACACATGTCGGCATACTTGATCAAAACTCAACGATCTTGCAAAACCAATTCGTTGAGACTGTCCTGAACGAAAATTATTTAAAAACGCGCGAAATAATATATTCGCGCAGACATTTAAAATTGCTGGCGCCATGTTTTAATACCTTTTTCTAATTGGCGTGAACGAAAAAGAAGATAGGAACGATCTCCCCGACTAAAGAGTCCCGAGGACGACGATGCTCTTCAACACTGCTCGACAGCCGACTGGGAGCAGCCCTCTTTTTTCTGAAAAAATTGAGGATTACTGACTGGCTAAGATTCATAAGAGTCTCAGGCAGTAATTATGGCAGAATGAGCGCGGCAGTGTGCGATGAACTCCTTCCAAGTTGAGTCCAGTTCTAGCAATTCCAACTTTCCGATGAGAATGATCAATTCTTTCGCTCTAAAAGATACAGTCAGACAGTCAAGTCAATAAGTGAATCTAACGAGGGGTCTCTAGAATAGATAGGACCTCTGTTTATACGCTGGAAAAATTAGCTGGCTCTTATACCGCGTGGCAGAGAGAATGAACCCTAAAGAGTCCGAAAGTAAAATCGTCGTCTATGGCAAAGAAATCCTCATGCCATCCTTTGGCCGGGGAAATCCCACATATCCACTGAAAATCGGTAAGTTTTCTAAAAGTTTGTTCTCGTAAAATAGAAAATTTATGGGCGAGTCACTTTTGTTTATGACGAAAAAGTGGTACACAATTTACGTTAAAACATTGCTAGTCTTATCAGAAGGGCAATTAACATTAAAGCGTATTTGTTTAGGTGAAGATCCGGTGAAAAAAGCAGGCAGTTCCGTATCACTAGTTTCTCGAGACATCAAGCTGTTATCTGGCGTGTGGCAACAAGTAAAATGTGAAAACGTCTGGCGTTATAATCTAGCAATAGGTAAGAGAGGGTGTCGACCTTGATCTTGCGCTACGGGCTTATCCGATAGCCAATGAAGCGCTCGGCCTCTGCGCTTCTATTGTCCCTTTATTTGATTGACAGCTTGGCCATCTATTCTACTCCTAACAATCTACCAACTTGTCTTATTTGGAAACGAACAAAAACTAGCCCCACTTATAAAAAGCGTTGTTTCAACTGAATTCCATTTCAGTAAATCCCCGTTTTAAACTCTGAATTACCGACTAAGGTAAGATAGAGCGTCTAATACTCGAAGCGCTAATTATTAGAAAAAAACTTTCCACAAGTTCCTTCCTACAAAACTAAAAATAAAGTGGTCAGGAAAAATACACTGAAAATACCGTTTTGGCTGGACGAGTTTAATTTCTCGCGTTCGAGTAGGATAACGACTTGGCCGCTCTAATCCGGCGATCAATGACAGCCCAGTTAATTACTGACAGGCCAATATCTCTCTGTTCCTCTTTTTTCCGCGCTTTCTCTCTTTCAAAATCGTCTTCATTTTTGACCTGTTCTCTTTTTCGCATTTGTTTACACTACGAATGGCCCTGTACAAATGCCTGGGCTCCAAGATCAGTCGAGGTCGAGCTGAGAGCCCAGGCGGCCCTGGCCAGTCAACGTTCCATTCTCTCTGGCTGACTCTGCGGCGAGCAGAAAAGGTTAGCGACGATGGCGTATGTATATATGCCAATGGCGATATACTCTCTATTTTCAATGAGTCAAAGGTTCCCCTGGGACTCGGAGACGTACACAGACACACAAAAAAACAGCGCACAACTCATTTTTTCACTCGTCCATTACAAAAATGGATCCATTTGGGGTCAATTTGCCTATTGTTTTCCAAGGTTTTTGTTCCGTACTTTCACTGAAATCAACAAGGATTTCCAGTGGAAATCGGGAAGCAACGCGCTTTTTTCTGTCAATTTCTCTACTCTGGCCCTTCAATACTAATACGATCCGTCCTTTAACAATGCCATAAATTTGGCTAAACGATCGACACAGCGAAACAACATTCCACGGATGGATCTTCCTACTTGTCATTATAAAAACTATTCAAAAAATGAAAGCGAGAGCTCAAGTCGAATTCGCAGCAGAAAAAAAAAAGAAAACTCAATAAAAACGAATCGATATAATATTTAAATGGCGGTTTAAGGGGGTAGAACTAGGTTTTTCAAAAATAGCTGATTCTAGACCGGCGCTCAAAGCCAGTAGAGCTTAGATTTTCAAATTCTCTCTTTGGCTGAAGATAGATCAAACTTAGATCTAACAACATTTTTCTTAAAATTTTATTTAGTCAACACATTTTGGCGTTAGAGAGCGAAACGTCAACCCATCTCTTCGAAAATCGCAATTTTAGCGTATTCGCGTCCTCAAATTTCTCGAGTCACGTGAATAGCCAAATTTTTTCAATCTCATTTTAAGATAGTTTAACCCTTTATCTAGCAGTATTTTTGAGGAAATTGCGTAATCATAAGTAAAAACAGATTTTTCTTATTAAAAGTGCCTTTCGAAAATCAAGGTTTTTCGAAAAATCTAGTTCTACCCCCTTAAATAAGCAAGATACGAATGAATGATATGCATCATCGCTGACAGCTTATTTCCAAGCGTAAATAAGCACCAATAAAATACAGAAAAACATTATCTACTGGATAATAAAACCTCTACTAAAATATTCTAATTACGCGGCATTTCTCTTTAGATTCCTTTAGATAAAAGTAAGTAGAGATCGTTTCCAATCGAATGAGGTAATATGAGACTCTGGAATTTACTTTTTTTATGTAAATTTTACGCAGAAGTCCTCATTCCACTTCTGAATCACGTAGTACTTTCTTTTGTTTTCATAACCTTTAGCAATAGAAGTTTTTGAGAAGGTTATGAATCACATCATTTTTAGGGCACGATTTGTTCTGGAGCCTGGCCTCGAATTTCTTCGCCCCGATCATAAAGTATAATTTTCCGGATGAAGAGAGTTTCCGCGTGCGGATCATCACCGAAACGGGCTGGTCCTGGTTCCAAGGTCAAAAAATAACGCAAACATTTGACCTGAATGGAATTAACGATCACGATTGTCCCATGTCTACAGGCCGTAAGAACAAAAGGAGTTAAAGTTTGGTCAATAAATTGTGATCTTTAGCGTCCTGGTCAAAAGCCTCGACCGCTGGTACTAGCAGCAGTACCGAAACTTCTGGAGCTATGAAGACAATCACACAAAATGTCCTTCTTGATGAGGATAACGAGACAATCGTCTCGTACGCAGTTGGACACAGGAATGGCTCTAAAATAACCTGCTGAAGTTCAGTCTATATTTTGTAAAGCCCAAACCAAGCTGTGGCCCAATAACGACCACACGGCGAGTCCTGGACAACGGTCAGCTCGAGTGGACAGGAACGAGGCGGAAAAACAAAAAAAAACTGAGACCGATCTAAAATGACATTTTTCATTTTCATGCGAGTGGCACTCTCGTTTACATATGGACGGGGCGCGAGTTGCACATAGTGCGAAATAAAAATCAATAAATGCTTATATAATTCTGCGTTTTATTTTGCGACGCTCGCCTTTATAAATTTTAAGACCTCACTAAAGCGACGCTGGAAAATCATAAAATTACCTGCAGACGATTATTTGCGAAGGTAAGTCAATAATCAAAATTCTTGAGATATCCTCGTTCAATAAAAGAATCATCAAAGAAAATATATAAAACTAAAAACTTTTAGATTGATGAGATACCCGCACGGTTTTGCGAGCCCGCCTTGCCTTTATAGAACACCTTGAACCCGGAAAATATTTACCGAATTCACAAATATATTCTCCAACTTTCTCTAACGCATTTTCTATTTCACGAATAAAATATTTACCTTGTTAGAGCCACACACGTTCTTTGTTTGCTTGCGACGAAGCCTATACAAGTTCTGAGCAAGGAATTTCGATTGTCTCTTTACTAAAAATAGTCTCTAGCTAAGTCGAAAAAGGGAAACCCCAAGATATTTGAGATCGTTTTTTCCGAAAACAAAGTGCTCTCTCGATTGAGCTCGCTCGTAAAGATCACTCACGCGATTTCAACATCAAGGTTTCCTAGATGTTTTCAATTAGGAATACTTCATACTAGCTAAACAAAAAATAATAATCAAGTCAACAAAATCAGAACGAAACTAAAATAGAAATCTCAGAAAACATTATCTTCCATGATTTCAGTGATCAAAATAAATCCCTTTCCTTGCGTCATATTCAAGCAGCCTCTCATTCGCCCTCACTGTGCTAATAATGATACACTTGTACTCGGTTCCCTGAAACTCTTCCGTTGATCCGACGCGAATGTCATTCAAATTCGAAAGTTTCAAAATTTTTCGAATTTCAACCACTTGCTGCCGATATGGACTGATGATGCCAACATCGCTCTGCGCAAGTCCAGCTTTGATCACATTCTTACAGTAGGATAACACTTGAACCGCCTCTCTAGCATTGAACCAAGAGAAAGAGCCAGTCTGGCGGGCCTCAGTTCCACTGGCAACATCCACCAAAACGAAGGGAAATCCCGGCTTCGGGAGGAAATCAGCGTATTTATCAAGTGTCCCATCGAAGTGCTCATTATCTGCAGGCATAAGCTCCCTTCGGAAGTTGAAAACATTGTGTTCTCAATAGTCTTGAGTCAAGAATAGAATGGCGTTTTCGACTGTTCCTTTCGTAGAATAAATTGGATGTTATTTCGAGCAGACTTGGATGACTGCGATAGTTAATCAAAAGCTTTGTTAGATAAAGCCGGTCGTACTGTCCTGTTGATTGCTTTTCATAAAGGCTGTTGCCCATAAGTCGCATAAGCAATGATGTAGTCAATCCAAAATGACAGCTGTACGGGCTTTTTACTGTAGGCCCTGATTGGAGCTCGAACATGACACTTTCGCATGGCTATATTTAAACTGGTTTCTAGCTCTTTCCTAATTGCGCCGGATCGCCAGCAAGAATCACCTGCGATCCCGGCAAGGTGAATCGCATCGCCACCAATGTTTCCGGCTCTGTACACTGTGACGCTTCATCGACTACAAATTTGATTTTATTGAAAGCCCAGAATATGTCTGGTGTGTCGGTGCTTTCCAAAAATAGCCCACTAATGGCGATATCATTTTACTAATTTGGTGACTTTGAATTGAAGAAAAACCGTCGCGCTTGAACGGAATAAAATGATGAAAAAATAATTTACCCAGAAGAAAGTCGAATTTTCTTCGAGGTAGTGACGATGTCGCTAGACAAGTGCTAATGACGCATCTTGCTTCTTTGGCGAAATCATCTTTGCTGAACTTTTTGCAGTTTTCGGAAAGTGTTTCGTTGTTTCTTCTGAGTGCGTTCCAGCGGCAGATGATTTGTTCCGCTCGTTCTCCTAGGGCATTGCTCAAACGGGAAAGTAAAATATCCGCAGCTGCGTTAGATGGAGCGACTATCAGTACTCTAGCTGTGCTGCAAGTGATGAGTATTCTAGCGAGCTCGACCATTGTCCGGGTTTTTCCCGTGCCAGCAGGGCCAAAGATGATTTTTGGATGAAACATCCCCGCGCCCTCGAGAACACTCAACACGGCGTCGTTTTGGAATTGATTCAATCCGCTGATCATGGAAGCTGTAACATGATAGGGTTGAATATACTCAAATCGTCGCCTGTCTTCCAGCCCGAAAAAGTTCGTCGGCGTCGGGAAAAGCGTCACGAGCGATAGATCACGGCCGATTCCTTTTAATGCGTTCTGCATTGTTCTGATAGGATAGCGGTTCAGCGTGAATTTGATCGTCACTGGAGAGGCTTTGTGCTTTTCGGTGAAAACATCGGACATTTCGAAAATAACAGTGCTTGCGGCAAAGCGAATGGTGTGGATAAACGCGTGAAACTCCATCGTATCGTTTTCTTTTACGGTTATAATCAGCAAATCTGCGATTCCAAGCGGAGGACTTTCATTCTTCAAGCCTGGGATTTCGAGACTGAAGTGGTTGCAACTGAGGTGTTCCAAAACAACGTCTTTCAATGAAAACTGTTCCATTTCAATTCCAAGTGCGACTTCTTCACAAAACAGTAGCGCCGTCATTTTATCCTGGTAGTTTTTCTCGTTGAGATCAAGAGTGAGGGAAGGGACGATCTTGAGGATATCTGTTCCACCGCGGATACCGTTGACGAGGGCAGTGGGCACGTCGAAATTTGGGAGAAAGTGGGGTGGAGCGTCGCGTCTCTTTAACACTTGAGGGCGAGGGCCTTTGAAGATAAATCGTCGTTGGTCATTCCTGGAAGTCAATGTTACTGGTAGTTGAATAGGATAGACAGTTTACCTACTGACAGGAGCGATTCTCGCCCTCCCCGCCGCGGTTCCTCGAAATTTTTCAACCTCAATCGCTCTAGGTCCCTTTCTATTCGGAATCTGAAGAAAGAAGACTTCTTCATTCACTCGCGGCGTCCAAGTCAAGCAGTCGGATATATTAAACGCAATATTGCCATTCAACCAGCCGGTCTCGCGCTTCCGATCCCAGAACGTGATTGACCCGGATTTCTTCGTCACCTGACTCGGTCGAATACCGCTAACCATTCTGTTCTCTGTGATTTCTTGCCGCGGAACAATGATGTTGTCGCCGACTCGGGGTGTGTAAGTATTCACTTTCTGGCCATTAGCTTCGAAATGGACTCTTGAAATGTCGCAAATCAAGTCTGATTCTTCAAGGAAGGCAATTTGGCGATCGAAATCGATGAATTTGATGTTCTTAGTCTCCATCGCTTCCACTCCTTCGGGGATCGGCGCCGGAAGAGCGAGAACAAAGCTGTTTGTCCAACCTTTTTGAGAGTTATCGTCGCTGTTTTTATTTTAAATACGCAAGGAAATGCATAGCGCTTGAAAATGCTAATGAGGATGGAGATTTAAGGATAATTGCGCGATTTGGGCCTTGGCGCGGCTGTATAGCGGCGATATGATTTAATTGAATAAAAAGGAGGATAGACTCTTTCCTTGGACGAACTTGGGTTGGGCGGCTTGTCTCCAGCGCTGCTGGCCGACATCGATCGGAAGACCCTTGGCGGGGACGACGTCTTCGCCAAACTCTGAGAATATCACTGGTCGATGGGGTCGATAAATATCCGAGCGATGACGACAACGAGATAGACACAAGAAAGATACTGTACTTCTTCGATACCCACACCTGTCACGCTATTGTCCACCAGGCAGTATTCATTTTCGTAGTTGATATGCGTCACATGCCCAGATATAGTTCTCTTAAAACAGCCATTAAAATTCGAAATAGCGGCACAAAATTAAGTAAAAAAGTTTTCTACAAGTAGGGCGGGAATTAAAAAAACTGGTGTACCTTGTCTAGGATCACCCCTTTGTAGCGATTGAAAGGGCGCAGCGGGAGCTCGTATTCATCATTCGATGAGAGAAAATGGTCTTCACTTGAACACTTCTTTTCCAATAATGAGGAGGCTTCGACGATTTCTGTTCTTCGGGATAACAATTTTTCACATTTTTCACAAGAAAATGGGCTCGAAGAAGCCGATTTAGGACCTTCTATGTTGCTACAGAAAGGGCCTCCCTATTTCATTTTTTCGTTAGAATTTCATCCCGAACTCCTCTGTTTCTTTGGTAGCCAAATGTTCATTGGTTTGGCTCATGGTTTCACTTCTCGTTTCATTCTAAAAGAAAACAGTCGGTTAGAAAGGTAGATAAGTCGTAATTGAGTTATCAGGCGTTCTCTTTCTGGCTCGGAGAAGGGATGAATGCCCCGAGGGGAGTGCGGCTCACACCTTGGAGCGTACACGCGCTGCCAGCAATGTGCAGCAGCAGCACGTAATTCGGCATGAATCATCGCCATATTGATCCGCCGCCATTTTTCAGCCACTTCTTCTTCCCCGCCACCCACTTTACCAATCTAACACTTCCTATTCCCAATAAATTGTCTTCATCAAATTATTACCTACATAAATGGTATGATAAGAAGTCAAATATCAAAACTCTCCATTCTGCATTGATCAAAAAATGTCGGATACCGCGGAGGCAACCGATTTTGACGTCTTTTCATTGGCTAATTTTTCTTGCAGAACATTTTTTCCAAAAATCGAACCTATTTGATCATAATTATCTGGATAATATTATTGTGAAATCCTTCGATTCTAAATGATGATCAATTTTATCACAGAATCAAACATTTTACGATTAAATTTTGTTATAGAGTAAAATTCCGCTCTGAAAATTGTTCTAATTTAGAACCTCTAAATATTAAGTAGTAGTAAAGCATTCCGGCGACATTGACTCTTTGATCCAGCGGATCAACAGTTACTGTTACCGTGCTTAAAAGTACTTCAAAATTGCAGTTATGACTTCCACTATTCGAATTTTTATGTCTTATTTCAGATTCTGCTGAAAATGTCTCTTCCTCAGATCTGTAATTATCAAAAAGTATGAATCATTGGTCGGAAATTTCTCCCTTTGCCGCCTCTGCCCGGGGCTAATAGCCATTCATCATCCTAATCAACCCTTTTTTCGAATCCACAATTTTCGCCCTCGATTTCGCTCTTTTTCTTATTTTCTCGCGTTTTCTTTATGTTTTTTTATTTTCGCTTTGAAAGAAAAAATCAATTTTGATTTGACGATTGGCGATTGGGATGAAGCGATAAGAGATACGAAGCTGGGGAGCTACCAAAGCTGAAAGCGATAAGGGAAAAAGTGAAAAGGAGAGAAAGAGAGAGAGTTATTAGCTCTTCAGAGAGAGAGAGAGGCACAGGAGCGTAGTAAGTGCGTAGGTAACTGAAGCAGCTTGATTCATACAAACATCAATTCACGCTCGTCAAAAAGACAAGTGAATTTTCTTTTCAAACCACGCCATTTTTCATCACTTCCGAAATTTCAACAACATGCATTTTTTAATGAACTAGAGGTTATCGGCGAGAAGAAGACCTTAGAGTAGACCTTTATGATTTATATTCCAAGCGCATTTATAAATTATTGTGTTTGATATAAAAACTTTACATCGTTTGTTAGTGCGTGCTTCGACCAATAAGAACCAAGAGCCTTGTTTTTTGACCAATAAGATACTGCCCAAAAGGATAAATAATGGTTTTAAGAGAGTGGGGCCCAATAAATTCTACTTATTGAGAAGAAAATTTGATGAAAAATTGATTTTTTACATAAAGCAGTCTTTCACACCCGTGTTAGCTTTACAAGGTGTTTCAGCTCATCTTGGATTAGCATCTGAGCCAAAGCTAAATTTACTATTTGAGTTTTCTGCTGCCAGAACTAGAGAACCCTGTTTATCCTTTCCTTCCAGTCGTTAAAAAGACATACAGTTAGGCATACAGGATGAATAAGAGTAATTCTTACGCGCGGTGCTGTGCAAATTTGCTTTTTGTGAATGCGCTATTTCAAAAATGACTGGCTAAACATTCGAATTTTCCAAGAGCTGACAGAGTCAAGGGCACAGAGAATCAGGCGGAATCATTATCGTTATTAAAACGGGCTTTGACATTTATAAAAAACACGGTTTAGCAGCGCTAGTTATCGGATTTTGGCGCGGGCTCCGAGAATTAGCACTAGTGCGAACTTTTAATTAGCAATTTTCAGCCCCTCTCTCCTGGGCTTTCCAGGTCGACAGATGGCCACAGCCCCGAAAGAAAGAAAAACTGGCGGTTTTGAAAAGTAGAAAGATGAAAGAGAGTTGCGCGGGCAATTTGTACTTCCGCTCCAGGCGCGTTGAAACAGAATTTTTAAAGAAATGCAAAAAACGGAAAATAGCTCAAAAGAAAAAAGTCAAAAAACGTTAAGACAACAAAGGGAATGACGCTCGTGCCGAGGGTATAAGTTTCCATAAGACTAAAGTTATGTATCCAATTACCTTTTATACTAAAGCCTTCTCGTTGTTGTTTCGAAGAGGTCCTAAATACGGTGTTTAAAATACCCCTTCAACTTGATTATTGAATATTTTTCCTGATTGAAAGAGTTATTACTACTTTTCCTAATATAACGTACAGTTCCCTGTGGAGTTTATTACTGAGTCATTTTTGAGCTATTTTCGCTGCAATATTCAAAAGACGCAATCGATTTTCTTCGAGGCGGTTTCTTTTGAAAAAGAAAGATGCGCTGACTAACCGGTTCAGTCTTGTTTAAAATCCCCTTTTTTAGACGGGCACGCTTGAGTTAGAGGCAGTCTGAGAGGAAAACAGTTGAAATGACGCTGCGACAGCAACACCATGCCCAGTGGGACCCGAAGAATTTTGAAATTAGGACTTTGTCCGTTGAGCGACAGTTGGAACAGCTTGTTAAACAGGTACTGAATTAATAATTTCATTTTCTGATGTGTTATTTTTTAAGGTGACGACGCTCGTGTCTGGAAAACCGTCAAATTACCGCAAGGGACAATCAAAATCAGGCGCTGTCTTGATTGAGGTAAAAATTAAGGCTGAAAATAACTCCGTTCTGACGATCTTCTGATTAGGCAGTTGACAGGGCGCTGGACGGATTTATGCAAGTGGGCCATGAAGTCTCGCAAATTGCATCCAAGTACGGCACCTTGGGAAATGACATGAACGGCATTCTTCAAGAAATTGCCACTTCTGGCGCGAGCCTCAAATCCGCCGCTGGCGAATTCGTCAGCGATCCATTCGAAACTAAGAAGAGAGAGAAGGTCGTTCGCCATGCTCGGGCAGTCCTTTCTGCTGTTACTCGATTGCTGGTTCTGGCCGATATGGTTGATGTGGAACGACTTTTGGAAAAGCTGAGAATCGCGAAGGGAAGCTTGGGAAAAGTGAAAGAAGCGAGCACCCAAGACGAATTGAACGCGACTTTCAAAGAATTCGGCTCCGACGTGGCGAAGCTTCAAGCAGCCGCTGGCTTCCGACAAAAAGACTTGAAGGATCCAACACGACGAGACGAGCTCGCCGCTGCTCGACGAGACTTGAAAGACAATTCATTGATGCTCTACACGGCTTCGAAAGCTGCGCTGGAACATCCTGAAGTCGCCGCCGCCAAGCAAAACCGTGACTTTGTCCTGCGAAAAGTTCAGGACGCCATGCAGCGAATCGAGCGAGCCGTGACTGGCACTGGGCCATTGTCGGCGCGTGATGGCACAGGCAACAACCTAGCCGATGCGTTTGACCAGTTCGAGGAGCAGATCGACTTTTCGCCGTTGAAATTCGAAGAGAGCGTTGTCCGACCAAGCCTGGAGGAAAAACTGGAAAGAATTATTTCCGGAGCTGCGTTGATGGCAGATGCCGATTGCACGAGAGAGGACAGACGAGAACGAATCGTCGAAGAAGCCAATAATGTTCGCCAGGCGCTTCAGGATCTGCTGAACGAGTACATCAATAACTCTGGTAATCCAAACAGATCAGCGATGTTGGAGAATGCGATCGACGCAATGGTCATGAAAAATAAAGACCTGAAGAGACAACTGCGAAAGGCCGTCGTAGATCACGTCAGTGACACCTATCTTCAAACCTCAGTACCTCTGCTCGTCCTGATCGAAGCTGCGAAAAAGGGAAACGAAGAAGAAGTCAAGGAATACGCACAGGTCTTCCGAGAGCACGCTGAGAAGCTCGTAGAAGTGGCGAAACTGGCGACGACGATGTCGAATAATGAGGAAGGCGTACGAATGGTGAAACTAGCGTGCAACCAAATCGAAACTTTGTGTCCACAAGTCATCAACGCAGCGCTCACTCTCGCCGCAAGGACGGATTCGGAGATTGCTCAGGAAAATATGGAAGCTTTCAGACGAAAGTGGGAAGGAGAAGTGCAAAACTTAACCGACGCTGTTGATGAAATTGTAACGATCGGCGACTTTTTGGCGGTTTCGGAAGCTCATGTTTTGGAAGACGTCACTCAATGCGTCGCCGCGTTACAATCGAAAGAGCTCGATCAACTCGATAGAACTGCTGGGGCGATTCAAGGACGCGTCCAACGAGTTCATCAAGTTGTCATGGCGGAAATGGACAATTACGAGCCAGACTTTTACACCGACAAAGTGCGTGAAGAAACAGACAGGCTTTTGGAAGAGATCACTCCAATCTTTACCCAGCGGGTTTCGGCTGTTATCGAAGCTCTCGACAAGGACCCACCAGAGGAAATTGACGAGAACGAATTCATTGGTAAGCTTTTCTCTCATTTTCCCGTCTAAAGTGATCTTTTAGAGGCCGCTCGAATGGTCTACGAAGGCGTTCGAGACGTCCGACGCTCTGTTCTTCAAATGCGAGATCCCAACGACGACGACATCGACTCGGATATTGATACTCACTCACATGCCTCCACGAACAAAACCACCGACACTCTCAATCGCGATCCCTCCCGAGAAGCATTCAAGTAAGCAAACATCTTTGTTTTAGTCTCTTCATTTTCAGAAACCTTCCTGAGCCAGCGAAAGAAGTTATTGATGCTAACATCAAGGAGTTTAATGAGCAGCGTGCTGAGATGGATCGAGAGGTGAGTAACATTCAAAGAGATTTCAAGTCTCAAAGTATTATTTTAGGTTGGCAAGTGGGACGAGTCTTCCAACGATATTATCGTCTTGGCGAAAAAGATGTGCATGGTTATGATGCAGATGACGGACTTTACCCGTGGTACAGGTCCACTAAAGAGCACGAGCGATGTGATCAGTTCTGCCACTCAAATCGCTCACCTGGGTAATCAGCTCGAGTCGCTTGCTTCCCAGATCGCCGAGGTAAGATTTTACGACACATCCATTTTTCCAACGAGATTCAGGCTTGCCCAGAAGATTGGGCGCGAAACGAGCTCATGGCTCACATCAACAAAATCAAGTTCTACTGCCACCAGCTGAACATGTGCGCCAAGGTCAAGGCCGAAGTGCAAAATATCGCAGGCGAACTGGTTGTCTCCGGCCTTGACTCCGCCACATCCCTCATTCAGGTACCATTCTCTTGCAGCATCAGCCGAATAACACTTCTTTTAGGCTGCGAAGAACCTGATGAATGCTGTTGTTCAAACCGTCAAGGCTTCATATGTTGCTTCCACGAAGTTCAAGCGCGCTGAAACCAATTCCAGCGTGGTAAGTTTCAGTTAATAATTATGAGCGCTTGTCACCTTTTTACGAAAACCTTTTACTCAAACAAATTTTAGGTTGTCATGTGGCGACTGAAAGCTCCCGAGAAAAAGCCCCTTGTCCGACGAGACGGGCAAAACAACGGCGGAAACGGGCGAAAACCCGTGCGCCGCGCATCCCAAAAACGCGTCAACCACCAACAGGAAATGTCGAATTTCCACCAAAACATTTAGAAAAAGCCTTTTCTAGTACCCAATTTCCCCCTCAATCTCAACCTTATCTGCTTCTTTCCCCCAAGATAACGTACTTTACACAACCTATTGACCTTGTTACTTTCTTGTTATTTTTTCTACCCACAGCATTCGTACGATCAGTTTTCCTTACCAGTGAAAAGCGAATTAGTGACCAATTTAACAATCTGAAATCTTCATATTATTATCTTTTATAGACTATTCAACATTTCCAAGAAACATGAGTTTTGAATTATTCAAACAAGCTTTCAAAAATGAAAAAAATTTTCATTCTCAATCTCAAAAAAAAATGCAACAACCTCGTCAAAAACCATTTTTCAAAGAATCCAAACTTTAAGTTCTACTCAACTATTCACTGATAACATTGAAATTTTCAATTTTAAGTTTCTACTTTTTGTCATATTTTCCACATTTGTCCTTACTTTCTCTGTAAATATGATTCCCGACTCTTTCTTTTACCTTCGGTCGTAATCACCTCCGAATATTCGAAAAAAACAAACTCGCGTACTAACGAAACATTTGTCATTTTTACTATTTCTCCTTCATTTACGAACTTCTACTATCGCATGCTCTGATTTTCTATGAGAGCTGGGCAACTTCTACGAGCAACTTGTACTGTGCGTACCACTGTGTTTGGACTGAACCTTTCAATACAAAAATAGTAATAACTGGAGGACTAGATGTACTATCGAAGAAATGGAATAAACGTTCGAAAGCCATATCTGTTTGTTTTGTCTTCCTTTCCACGAAAATTTCATGGTTGAAATTCTGGGGTTGAAAAAATTTTGACCGTGCCCGGGGGTCGGAATTTCCGAGAAGCGGAGGGGAAAAGGACCGCGAATTATCGCAGAATACGCAGCTTAGCAATATTCTTAATATAATTGGTTTTCTAGAGTGATAACAGTATGAAGCAAATCCAAAAAATCGTACAAGTTGCTGCATCGAGTAAGTACTTAGCGCGCTGAAATCAACAACGAAAATTTTTTCAAGGTTTTCTGTTTCCAAATTTTCGCAGCTTGAAATGTCCCTAAAAATCTTGGAGCCGACGATTTGCCCAAAAATTTCCAACACACTTCAATTTCGACAGTTTGTTTTTCGCAAATTTCAGCCATTTGCCGAGAAAATTTCGCCAGTAAAAGTCAAAAATTTCACGAAAGGACGAAATTAATCCAAATCTGCCGCAAAAGTCACAACCATTCCGTTTTCTAATAAACAAATCTTTCAAAATTCGACTATCTCAAATTCTTTTCTTTTCTAGTTTCGCCGATTTTTTCAATACTAACACAGTTACTTTTTCAGTACCTAGTTTGCGTCTGGAAAGATGGACGAGATAAAACAGGAAGAGGTTAAGGTAAGGGCTTATAGTTCTGCTTCAAAATATATTTTTTTTTTAACTCATTTGAAGGTCGAACCGGAGGCGATTGTGGGTGAAGTCAAGGAGGAAAACGGAGCTGCTGAAGCAAACGGAGTCGAAAATGGCGCTGAAAACGGCTCTGGCGAAGCGAAGCTCTCTGATGATATTGCGGGCTACCTCGATCCCGAGCTGCGGGAAAAGATGGAGGCGATTCTTGCTTACCCAAACGTCGTCGGCCAGACTATTGACAAATTCGCCATCACTCGATTCAAGAATCTCAACGCCAAACACGCCAAAGAGGCTTTGAGCGAGCTCGATCGAATTGCGCAAAGCGCGCCTATCGAGAAAATCAGCCAATTCTTTGCAAACATCATTGCCTGCCACCAGCAGAATCAAGGTAAACGCATTCTTCCCGCCAAAAAGAGAAGAAATTAATTTTCAGACCTGGAGCAAGGTGGATCAGACCCGATCGAGTGGTCGTACCATGCGCCCGACCCTGAGCCGATTCAAGAACTAATTGCTAAGACTGGCTACAACTTGACAATTACTACTGGCCAGCGAAAGTTCGGAGGTCCCCCTCCAGAGAGCGTTTTCTCCGGAAAGAAGAAAAACAACGGTGAATGCTTCATTGGTTCTCTTCATCGAGATGCTTTTGAACCTGAAATCTGGTCGCTGCTTGAAGTAGTTCCCGAAGCAACAGTTTATGAGATTCGTTTGATGATGGGCTACGATGGAAAGTCAAGAGGATTTGCCTTTGTCAGCTTCGTTGAAGATGGTGCTGCACAACGATGCAAGGCTCTTCTTGACACCAAGGTATGTAACTGTCTCTATGCTCATCTTTAACTTTATTTTGAAGCCTTTTATGGAGAAAAAGCTCCACGTGAATGTGTCCATCCCTGCAACTCGCCTCTTCATCGGCTCGATTCCAAAAGACAAGTCAAAACAAGAATTCGAGCAAGAGCTTACAAATATGGGCGTCTCGACGGTAAGTGTTACTTTGATTTTATTAGTAATATCGGATATTGAATTTGCCAAAACGGCGAAAGTGATCACAAGCATCAGAGAATGTACGAATCGCTTTGCAGGTTGGAAAGCGGTAGTCTGTGTTCCTCGAGTAGGGGCTGTTGCAGCACTTAAATTGTATGTAAAAGGGGGGTTTATTGATGATAACTTACAGGAATGCAGAATTCGTAATGATTGTACAGAGTCTCTGTACAAGATCTGTCCCTACAGTCGACTTGAAGCCCTCTTTCATCTTTAAAACAATCATTAGAAAGACTAAATGAACAGTTCATCTTACCAGCATGGATTTGAAGTAGCCCGTTATACAGTTGCATGATATTTTCTCGTCTTGGACATTGATATTCAAAGCACATATAATTAACTGGCGCATTTGGAGTCGATCCAGCGTTTCCATTCGCCGTCAGATCGCAGAAATACTCCGGGACATAACCTTCAATCAATTTTGAATATTTTTACGACTGACTTGTTTTATTTTTACCTGCAAGAGCAGAACCAAGAACAGCAAAAAATCTCATTTCTTTTTTGAATATCTCGTAAGAAGTTCCATTCGCCGTGAATTCACGGGCTAAAAGTATTGTTTGTACAAATAGAATCAATCAACAGTAAGGCCCATTACTTGGACATGATCCAAACTTGATACAATAAAGTCGCAAAAAGCGCCAACTATAAATGATGCCAACTTGACCAAATCAAAGTCGAATCATTTTTTATTTAGTGGACCGAGGTCATCATGTACGAGCCGATGGAGTCTCAGAAGAGCAATGGAGCAGCGAATCGTGGATTTGCTTTTGTCGAGTTTGAAACTCATATGGACGCGTCAACTGTCAAGGTAGGGATGTCTTGAGGTTGGGTGTTTGAACCAGCGCTTTCAGAAAAACCTTCTCAATCGATCCCTGGCCCTTTTCGGCCGCTACTACCAAAATGTGGACTGGGCTGATCCCGAGAACACGCCGGATGATGCCGTCATGTCAACTGTGAAAAACCTCTATGTCAAAGGTACCCTGCGGCGAGTGTGATAGCACGCGTAGTCGCTCTCTAGCGCCCCTGGAACTGCCCAAATGGGATAATAATTTTAAGGTTGGTCGGAGAGTCGAACTGAAGAGGAAATAAAGGGGCTATTCGAGCCGTATGGAAGTGTTGAAAAGGTCAAGAAAATCAACAACTTCTCGTTTGTCCATTTTGTTGAGAGAGAATCGGCTCTGAAAGGCAAGAATATGAACGGCTTTCGAGTTTTTAAGAAATCATTCTAGCGATGGAAGCGATGAATGGAAAAGAATTTGACAATGGAGAAGTTATTGATGTAACTCTTGCGAAGCCAAATGACAAGAACCTAAAAGGTAAGAGATTGATGCTAATCTAAGATAGTAAAACAGGCGTTTTTAGCGAAAAAAATGCAGCGTCAAAACCAGCGTCAGCAGCAAGGAAACTGGGACTACGGATGGAATGGCGGCGGATACGGCTATGGCGGAGGATATGGAGGTGGCTTCCAACCTCAAGGCGGTTTCAACGGCAACTTCAACCGAGGCGGCCCTGGTGGACGTGGCGGCCGAGGTGGAATGGGCCGTGGAGGCGGGGGTCAACGAGGAGGATTCAAGAGAAATTTCCGCGGCGGTGGAAACAACCCTGGAGGCTTTCAAGGCGGCCCTGGAGGGCCCAAGCGATTCAAAGACGACTCTCAGTGGTATCAAGACCAGCAAAACTTCGGCCAGTGGTAGGCTGCCACTACTCCGAAATCCTGACATGAAGCGGCTAGCTATCAATATTTACAACTACCCTGATTTACCTGGACCTTTTATTATTTAGGATTATTATCTTAATTCTCAATTTCTCAACTGCCGCCCTTTTTGGGCAAAAAACCTAAAATATCTAGAACTACGAATTGTTTCGCAAGTTCACAACTCTGTACGAGATTACCCGTCACAGTAACCTGTTTACAGTAATCCAATATTGTCTCCGAACAAAAACTCGCCTTCAGTAATCAATTTTTCAGACCGTATTGAAATCGGATAAAATGACGGGACAAAAAGGCCAGTCTCTTTATGAGCTCGCGAACTCGTCGTTTGTTCACTCCCTGGGGCAACAAGAAAAGAACGTCTCTACCACCATTCCCAGCGCTGTTTCATCCTCAATCGTCGACATGATATGCTCAAACTTTCACAAGCGTCTCTCCAACGATCCTGACCCATTTTACTCCGACGACGATGATGATGCACAGTCTAATCGCAATAATTCCGACCCACCAAACATCAGAGCCCAAGAAAGCCTCAAGAAACTTGATGGGCTGATGCTCGAAGAATTCTCGACGGAGAAATATCCTCATATTGATCAAGAAATTGTCTTCGACATTTTAGCGAAGCCCCAGAATCGCTTGAAATCAGTGGACCTGAGTAACATGAAAATTTCGCAGCAAATTTCTTACAACGCTCTTACTGTTCTTGACATGGTCGACTTGGATGATGATCTCGATTATCCAACAAATGATAGCGGACACGAAACGATGGAAACTGATCAATTATCGATTGAAACTCCGAAAGAACGATGCATGGAAATGCGTCTGCGAAATAAATCCGAAAGGCGTGGTCCCCGAATCAAGCTCGCTAGAAGTTGCAAAACAATCAAATTCCCCTGCATCAATAAATCGCCTCCTTCCCATCCAGCGAGCTACTCTTTCCGCCGCTCGCCAGCGAACGAACAATTGGCCGCTCGACTAGCTGTAAATACTTTTGTAATAGATTGCACCGACGTATCTCCGAATCTTACTCCCGATGATAGCAACACTAGTACAGGGATCAACTACAGCACTGTTCGGACTATCGCCTTGTCGAAGGAAGCGTTTCCTTCTCTCAAAGAGCTCAGTGTTGGTTCCGTTACGTGTCTCAGTCTATTCCATCCGAACCCACCAGCGCTTACATACCTGGATCTCTCGCACATCGTCCAGCCCAACTACCAAGCCGACATTTTCAATCACCTCGACCTCATTAGATTTCCAATCGGCTGCCTCCGGAACACCCTTAAAACTCTCATTCTCCACGAGACCGAGTTTGATTCGAATTTTCTGGAAGCCCAAGTCTTCAAATGCAACCTTCTCGAGGTCCTTGATGTTTCCCAAGTACCGAGAGAGCATCGTTACACAGAGGAGGAAAATATCTCTGATAACAGACTAAGAGGCTATAAAATAAGCACCTTTCTTGATATGCTGCCCAACTTGATTTCTTTGGATGTCTCTGGCACTTGCGCCGGTAGAGGATTGAAGGATGAAAAGATGATCATAATTTCCGGTGAAAATGGCTGCAAAAAGATAGAAATCCCCTCTCCAAGTCCTAACGATATGTCACCAGGCCTCCCAAGCTGGCTAGATCGCCTACCGTTGAGCTTTCTCGGCCTCTGGGGATGCGGAATCGACTACGAGAATATGCACCTTCTGGCTAACCATATTTCTGGCTCAAAATCAGCGAAACAGCTGCTGATAACTGCGCGCAAATGGCAAAACGAACCAGCAATGGCCGCAACGATTTGGAATTGCATTTTCGATTTTCTTAAAAATTCAAATGAACCGGCATATTTCTTGGAAGACTGCATCGGTATTTTCGAAAAATACTACAACGATCATGAGTACAAGCTGCCCCTTATTCTTTCGGCAAATATGTATTATGTTGTTTCGCCTATTATCGAGGGTCATCGTAAGTTTTCTTTTTTCTTGCAAAATCGAATTAATCTTTTCTAGCTTGCAAGCATGTGAGAGCCATGAAAGAAAGAGCAATCAAATGCTTGATTCGATGTATCAACTTCAATCTACATCACATGAGAGTGATTCGAAATTGCCTCCTTACACTTTTAAAATTCCGCATTCCAGCTGACTTACTCTTCATTTATGAAACCTCTGCTTCCACTTTGTTAAAGGTACTCTTCAGAGGGAATGAACCTCTTAATCATTGTCTAAGATTTTAACAAAATATCAAACCGATCGCGAGTCGGAGCTTCTGGTCCAAATGGCCGTACAAATCGCCAACCAAATCGTCTGCCAAGTAAACCAAGAGCGCAAACTAGCAACAAAAAAGATCAAGTTCATCGATACTATCTGCCAAGGTACGGAAACATCATCAATCAGTTATAAAGAGTATAATGGTAGTGATTACACAACGCCTCGAATTCGATTCTGTGGACGATAGCTTGAAGGGATGTTGGAGCTGCCTCTGGAACGTTACTGACGAAGCTCCTGCGAACTCGGAGCGTTTCATCAAGCACAACGGAGTCGACCTCTTTCTCAAGTGTCTAAATAAATTCCCAGAAGATACGGAGCTCAAGAGGAATATCATGGGCTTAGTCGGTAAGAGATATGCCTTTGCTGTTCCTCCTGGTAATGAATCTTTCCTAGGGAATATCGCTGAAGTGCCTGAACTGCGAAAAGACCTTATTCGCACGGAAACGATACGATTCTACACGATGGCGTTGACAGAAAGCGGCGAGAGCAGCTTGGAAGTGGCGTACAATGCCTGTGGAACTCTTTCCCATCTGATGAGCGACACAAGCACTCCTTGGCCAGACTCTTTGTTAGGTAGATAGCCCCGTTTTCTTCTGATATTAACGCTGCTCTAGCGCGAAAACCGGAAATCGCTGAAATGATGTGTGAAGCAATCAAGAGCTGGGATGAGTCCGCTGAGCGGAATATCAACTACAGAAGTCTAAAGGTACTGGATTACGAACCAATCCGTTTGTAAAGCCTTTCTAGCCTATTATTCACTTACTGAAGTGTTTCCATTGCCCAGAAGCGCAAACTTGGGCCACCTGGGCTCTTGCTAGTTTAACCCACGGTGATCCTGACAAAAAGGTAGTTTTTTACAACTCTGAAGTCTTTAATCATTAACGTGTAGTATTGCAAATTAACCCACGAAGAGGGGGTTTCGAATGCCTCCAAGAAATCGTCAACTACGAGTACACCGACGAGTTTGTCCGAAATGTGGCCCAGAAAGTCATCGACCGCGTTTCATACTACATCTCATGGCATTCAACTTAAACCCGGCTGCTGGTCAGCTGAAACGCCTCTTTTTTCTTGATTCAAAGATTCAACTTAATCTATTTATTTATGTATGATTTGATTTCCCTGCAAAGCACTGTATCTAACTTGCCCGCTAAGTTTTAAACAATGTTTTCATCGAACCAAATCGTGAATATTTAAATAACTTATTCTCTCTCTTCATACTTCTCACCTTATTCTTCTTTGCTTCTCCACTCAGTTCCATTTTATTTAACTTTAACGTTTTAAACGTATAATGGTGTAAATTATTTTTATCTGAAAAAGTTCGGTTCTCATCATTTTGCTTTTTTAAATAAACGCGCGCCATTTTATTCTTCACCCACTTTGGCGTCGGTTTTAAACTACACTCTTTTATAATTGATATTCTTGAAGCTAGAATAAACGTCTAGCTGGATCTGTCCGGCTGTTTCATAATATAAAATCTAGTCAAATTGGGATCTACGTCTTTCCCTTGATTTGATAATTGAAAACTGATTTATTGCAGTTGTTAGAAATTTCCTTCAGGAAGAGCTTGTTTCAACGCATTATCTAAGTCAGCAATGATATCTTCCGCATCTTCTAGTCCAACAGACATTCTGATCATTGTGTCCGTGATACCAAGGGCTTCTCTGTGCTCTTTTGGTACATTTGCATGGGTCATACTAGCAGGATGTTCGGCCAAAGATTCGTAGCCACCGAGGGAGACGGCAAGAGTGACGACTTTTGTAGATTTGAGGAATTTGACGGCATGCTCTTCTTGACCTTTAGTGGAGAAAGTAATGATTCCTGGAGCTCCTCGTGCAACTTTTTTCAACGTTTCGTGCTCTGGATGGGATGGGAGGCCTGAAATTCGATCTGATGTCTTTTGAAAACTGGTTTTTCTTACCCGGATAGTAGACTTTTTCGATTCTTGGGTTAGCTTCGAGCCACTCTGAAACTTTCAGCGCATTTTCGGCATGTCTTGGCATTCGGAGATGAAGTGTTTTCATTCCTCTGTTGACCAAGTAAGAGTCGAAGGGAGAAGGAACTCCACCGAGGGTGATTTGAGTCATAAAGAGGGCTTCTCGCATATTATTGCTAATTGCGTATTTTCAATCAAAAAAGTGTTTTGCAGGTTTACCTGTTTGTCGATAGAAGACCACAAACAACATCAGAGTGTCCGTTGATGTATTTTGTCGCTGAGTGCACGACAATATCCGCCCCGAGATCGAGCGGGCGCATGTTCCATGGAGTCATGAAGGTATTGTCAACGATGACGACAATATCGTCTCGGATTCGATGGACAGCTTCAGCAACGGCAGCTACGTCGACGACGCGGAGAAGAGGATTTGTCATGGACTCGAAGAAAACGATCTGACATCATTTTTTTAATAGGAGAAATGAAATTCGAATAACCTGTGTATTATCTTTGACAGCAGCGACTACGGCGTCGATGTTTCGCATGTCGACCATATCAACCTGGAGCCCATTTTTGTTGGCGATATTGTTGAAATACCAGTTGGTACCACCGTAAACATCGTCACCGCAAATCACATGATCACCAGCCTTAGCAAAAGTTTGAATGCAGCCAGTAATAGCGGCCATTCCCGAGGAGAAGGCAAGCCCGTGCTTGGCATTTTCTAATTTAGCGATACACTGTTCCAAACATTCTCGAGTTGGGTTGCCGAGTCTATGAATATTTTTAAGGGCCTGAGTTGTAGATTGATCATTAACCTTGAGTAAATGTACTTTCCATTGGTTAGATCCGGGATTCCCGTGTCACTTCGTTGATAAGTCGAGGCCATTGTAATCGGTGGAACAGCTGATTTGAAGTTAAACTTCTCAGGATCCTGACCGGCATGGATGGCATCAGTGCCGAAGCTTGGGAAGCCTGGGTTGGACATTTTTAATGATTTCGCTCCTTTCAGTGAAATCGAACTGGTCATGTTCTTATGATAATTCAGGGAACTAACATCTATTCTAGAGAAGAAAGCAAAACAATTGCGTCAGTATTCAGTTTTGTTGAGGAAATAAAAATGCATCAATCCTTCATAATTTCATTTTACAATTGACTGACGCAGATTCTTCAGCGATCATAAAATTTGACTAGTCATGGAGCAGATGATTCTTTTTCCTCTGAGAAACTCGACAGATGGACAAAGATTATTTTTATTTATTTTGATAATAAAACAGATTCTTTTTGCGCAATAAGGCCTATAAAAAGAAGCAACCTCTTCACTTTTTTTTCAAAAATGAGACTTCGAAGTTTCCTTACTTTTTTGCTTGCTCCAGTCTTGACTGCTGTCATAAGATGTGAAGACTACTCAAGAACTTGTGAAGAGGCTATTAGAGCCGAAGCAACAAAGATTCAATCAAGGGAGCAGAAGCCTTGCCGCAATATACGAAGTTGCCGCAGATATCGTTTCATTCAGAGACTCCGAGAGTCTGCAGCAGAGCGATTTCGAAAAAACTCTTCCATGATTTCAAATAAATAAACCTTGTGAACTTTTATTAATGTCTTATGAATTGTTGTGAGTGAAAGATCGCCACAATCGTGGTGCTACAGAGATCTTCTAAAATAATTTTCTACTTTCGTTTTCCAAAGCGGCCAGAAATAAACCTAAAATATTTATCAGAAAAGAGCTAAAAATAAAAGCACTCACTGAGCAGCATATGAGCGTGGGTAAATTAGTTCGCCGAAAAAAGAATCTTCAATTGCCGCATCATTAGTTCCACCATGCTGCATTCCCTCTGGCAAAGCATCGTTGGCAGTAGTGAAGTAGTCGTAGAAGTTGAATTGGGGAAGGAGAATATCTCTCGCGGTGTCAGGAAAGTCCTCGTTGGAGACTGGTGCGTCGATGGAGTCAGCAAATCCGGATGAGAAAAAGTCGATGGTGCACTTTAACATCTGAAAAAATCCTTTTTCGTAATGAAATTTAATTCCGCTTTACTTTTTGCATCTTTTCGCGAGAATCGATCTCAGGAGGAATGTTGTCGCTGTTCTTGATCGACTTCTTCCAGCAGGCAGTTTTCATGTCGCATTTATAGACGGTGTCGATGTACCACTGGCTCATCGTCACGAAGATGATGTCGATCTCGCCAACGAGGCCATCGGCGCACTCAGTGAAATATTCAATCATCTCGTGCGGCGGACTGCGCACATCCTCGGCACTCTCGTATCCTCCATCCGGGGCATTCATGCAAGCTTAAATTCCGATTAAAATAAGTTCGTGGTTCCAAAAACTGGTCACTACGTGCCTGTGTCATTCGGAGCATGGCTGCGTATATAAACAAAATAACGCAAAAAGTGCAGAGCTGCACGGAATTTCCAAAAATAACAACTTACAGATGAAAAAAAACCCAGTGAACCCTTGGCTTACCCGCAGCGATGTTGATAAGAAAGAAGAGCCTCATCTTTATTCTCTATAATTTCTCCTACTGTATTTTAGGAGAAAGAAACAGCCCAAAAGGTAATGTTAAGGACACCTCTTGATTCTGGTGCTCTGCTGGTGTGCCAATTTGTTGCCTGCGGGGCAGCACCGCATTCAAAAAAAACTGTGCTCTATTAGGAAATTACTCCATAGACAAGCATTTCTAGTGCAAAAGCTTCTATTTTCTATTTTCATGCAGACGTCTATGTTTCGATGAAGTTCAGCTCAAAGTCGATTCATATGAGCACCAAATAATTCAACTTGCGATTTTTCGTCAGCCATCTTCCAAAGCTGGATTCCGAACCATGGTTACAAAAAAACAATTGGTCGAAATGCTTTAGAAATAGGGTCTATTTGTCCGCACGAAATTATTTATAGCTAAACACTTGTTATTCACTACAACGAGCATCACTTTTGCATCATCATAAACAACCTTCACTTGGCTATTGCTGGAGAGTTAGCACTCTTATCTCAACTATAAATAATTCTCCTCGTCATATTTATCCATTAAATAGATTATAGGCAGATTCGAAAAAGGCCTATTTTTCCCTATCTGGCAAATACCATTGTGTATGGGAAGTTCTAAATGGCCGATTGTCCAGCGAAGTGCATCTTCCCAAGTACTTCCAAGTGTGCCGTGCTGCTTCGTGCCAGTTGCTCAGTGCCGAGGTGACGTCACTGTCACCGGACGCTTGGTGGTGGTGCCAACGAGCCCACAGGGCCTCAGCACCACCAAATCATACTGGATACGATAAATTGTTTAATAAAGCACCAAATTAATCCCTTTTCCTTTCACATTCATATTCAATTTTTTGATCGTTTTTCTTATTTTGTAATCGTATTTTCTCAAAACCCCATCAAAAAATCATAAACACGGAACAAGAGAGCATAAAAATTAAAGAGATCACAAAAGAAAAGTAGCAACGAAGATAGAACGCATTTGAAGAAAGATCAGGTCAGTGAGAAAGGAGCACGAGCGGATAATCCAGCCATCTTGAGCCGCGGATTACAACGCGGCGGGTTCTTTATCCACGTGATCTGTCTGCAAAAAAGTGCCATTGATGTATGAAAATATTGTGCAAAATTCTCCCACGAAAATGTTAATTCAACTATTTTTCTAACAGAAAAATCGGGCCCCGATTATCGGGAACAGAAATCGATTCTTGAAGGTTACTAGAATTTTCGATTTTATTCTTAGATTGTTACTAGAACTGGACGTGTAGGTTATTTTTAGTACGAATCGCTAGAGGGCGGTAAATCTCGTCGGAAGGACAAAAACTTTAGGACAAGGAAGGTTGTCTCCCGATGCGGCCTTTTCGAGGATGCTAGTGACGGCAAAACTCACAAACAACCAGTTTGATCAACCAAAGACATGGGAAATACTTCTCTTTGGACGCTTCTTTCTACTTTTCTCCTGCTTTCAGGAAGATGGACTGTAGCACAGGGACGAAGGTGAAAATAATTAATTACTAGAAAAGGTGCTCTTGAAACCGATAGAACCGCTAAGTGGCCCCAATTTCGCGTTGCTCAAAATAGTAATAGACCAACGTCCATGGTCATTGATGATTTCAAAAAACTTTTTGTGGGGCCGGAAATCGTAAAAAATCTGTAAGTGCAGTTTTCTTCAGCTTATCGAGACGAGTCGAATGATGGGTCTAGCTCCTGATAACTGTTAGGATTTACCGGTTTACCGGCTGGTTACCGGAAAATACGTTGTCACCGGCCGTTTTTGTTCTAGAAGTGGTAAACAGATGATCGACCCAGGAAATTGTTCCTTTTAGTCAGTTCTACTTTAGGCTCAAAGATTAGGCTCGTATCAATACTCTGAAGAGAGTTATCACTAAAATACTATTTATGGCAGAAATGGGACTAAAAATCAGGAACGTGCAGCAACTACAAAATGTATGTAAAATTTACTGTTTTTGTGATAACTCTCTTCAAAGTATTGATAAGAGCCTCATCTTTTAGCCTAGAGTAGAACCGACTATAAGGAACAATTTCCTGGGTCGATCATCTGTTTACCACTTCTAGAACAAAAACGGCCGGTGACAACGTATTTTCCGGTAACCAGCCGGTAAACCGGTAAATCCTAACAGTTATCAGGAGCTAAACCCATCATTCGACTCGTCTCGATAAGCTGAAGAAAACTGCACTTACAGATTTTTTACGATTTCCGGCCCCACAAAAAGTTTTTTGAAATCATCATTATTGGTTACACATTGAGCTGATCAGCCAAAAATCAAACTTTTATCTTCGAAAAAGACAACTTTCAAGGATAAATTCACACGGGGCGATGTTCCTAACACTTGTAAATCTCCTGATGTGGTGGCTCGGTGCGTGCAAAAGGCGGACATTGATTTGATCTTTCTCGTGGATACTTCGGACCATCAGCAGGGCTTTGATAAGGCAAAAGATCTGATTCGAAATGTTGTTCAGTGCTTGCGCGTTGCTAAGGATTGGGTCTAACCATGAGCTTGCTTATTTCGCAAGAAAGACATTTGATTGACCTCGAAAAAGGATGAGACACATGTTTCCATCGTTCGTTATCGCAATCAGGCCAACATTGATCTCCCGCTGCAAACAAGCAAGCCAAAGTTGCTCACTTATCTCAAGAAGATGACAAATGGACAAACAACGAAGAATACTCGCTCTTTTCTTGGCAAGGCTTTCTCCTACCTCAACACTGCCATCAGCCACCCTAAGTTTGGATCGAGATCGGACAAGTTTACAGTCGTTGTTGTCATCACGAAATCTCCCTCGGCGGATAGCTTTTTAGAGCAAAGAAAGTCACTTTTACGACAAGGCGTGAAAATCATCAGCGTCGTCTATAACGACGTCGATCCAAAACTTCTTGCTAAATCTGTCACTGAAAAAAATGATGATTATTTAATCGCTCTTCGTGGATCATCGGAACTGCCACTAGCTGGAGCTTCCGTTAGCTCGGCTATTTGCGAGCTAAGCACAAATTACCCGGGCATCGAAGCTGCTCTAGAATACGATCAATTGAAGAAAGCGTACATCAGTTCAATTTCCGACGTGAAAAGCATTTCTCTTCTTGGACCAATAATGGTTACTCCAATTGCAACCATGGCAAAGATCACTTGGGCCGGCGCAAACTCGAATCTCGTCACTGATTATGCTCTGAGCTGGACTCCTGAGCATGGCGAGCTGGTACAGGCGCAAGGAACAAAGACCGAACGGATTATAAAAGGACTGCGACCTGGAACTGCATATGCTCTCGAAATAACACCCATTGTCAAGATGAGGTTCAAAATTTCATGAGATGAACATTTGATTCTTACCTGATTTTGAACCTGTTTATTGAGAGATTCAGGGAAATCAATTATCATTATGTTTTCAACTGAGTCAAATCCCCTGGAGAACTTAGAAGTTCGTGCCGAAACCTGCGTGGAGAGTACTTACGAACCATTCCTTGAAGTCAAATGGGACGAAGAACAAGACGATTCCATTGCTCGTTTAACAATCACTCCTCCTCTTGAGGAAGACAAGTCAAGAAGTGTGACTTCAGAGCTCTCTTCTGGTATGATGGAAAATCATCGTTTCTTCAAACTTGTGACCCCGGGTCAACAATATCAAGTTGAGATGACCAAAGTCGGAATCAAAAACGTCGTCTCCGTCCCAAACATGAGGAAAGTAGTTGTGCCACCTGAAGAGCCCGAGAAAATCTCGATTGGTTTAATAACACAAAGTTCCGTCCAGTTGAAGCTCGCTGCGCCTAAAAATGGAATCTTTGATTATTTTTTCATAACAATCACTTCTGCTTTTGGAAAGACCGAACACAACACGACGATTTCGGATAAGGACTCTCTTGGTGGCCAATTCTATACGATGGTCTTTGATAACTTACTTCCTGGCGCTCATTATAAGATAAAAACTTTTACAGTATCAAATGGAGTGAGCTCTCTTGCGGCTAAAGTTGAATCTTGCTTTACTCTCAGTCCGACGAAACCAGTTTTAGGAATGGTTTTACGATTACTGAGTATGATTTAAATGTGAAAATCCTGAAGGGTAGAGCGTCTAGTCGTCGTTAGGATAACGAATTCCTGTGGCTTTTGACCATGAAAATTTCCACTCTGGTTAGTCATGTCCGACTAACTCTGCCTGGTAGTTTCAGGCTGAAACTTTCATCAATCATAGCATCATTCTGACGATAAAAAATCTTCCAGGACAAATGACTAACTCTAATCATAACCATCCCACAGATCGCAATCTTTTACTTTCCGGCTCTGGAGGAGTATGCGTTCTTTCTTTCCTGGGCAATGCTGTTCAATGTTTGTCAAACATTCGATCCACAACTCCTGATGAAATTGGGGCTGTTCTCTACTATGAAAACTGGGAGCCGATCTCCAGAATGACGAATAAATACATGATCTATGCAAAGCCAAAAGACCGAAAAATCCTTGTTACCGGAATGAACGGATATCCTCACCTCACTCTTGTCGGAGATTTAGATATGCCTTTTGGGCTTGCTCTTGACAAGTATGGAGAGAATTTATATTTTACTGATCAGTGGACGTATTCCATCGGTGTTGCGTCTATTTCGGCTGCTCTTCAGGAAATGATGCGAAGAAAGATTATTTTTTGAAATTCCTATCAATTATATAATCCCGCGTCATTTGCTCTAAATTTATGCTTAATTTCTCCATCATGTTCAAGGGAAACGTTAAAGCGACGAAGCAAATTATTACCTCTAATAATGGAATTCCACGATTTATTGCCGTCGATCCTATCCGCCGGCTTCTGTACTGGTCCTCTCGCGACGGCGTTCTCGAAAGTGTCTCGCGGTCGGACTTGAATGGCAAAGGCCAGAGGATGATTTGGTTCAGCCTTGGTGATACCGATATTGATGGACTTTCCGTTGACTTGAAAACCGGGGACGTCTGCTGGAGGAACTCATTGATGAACAGGGTTGAGAAAATCGACTCAAACGGCGATAACTTTGAAATAATGGCTGAAGATATTAAAAGCAAGGCACTTTGGAGAGTATTTTCTGCTTCGTTGTCCGATGAAAATATGTTGTCAATTAGGTATCTTTTATACTAAATATTTTGAGAATATATAACCAAGCATAAATCATTTTCGCTAGCCAAACGCTTGGAAAAATTGGTGATATTACCTGGGTTGACTTTTACAATGCTCCGGATTATGCAGAGATGATGGTGAAGCTCAAACCAAAAATGGACTTTCCATGCGCCGTTGGCCTCTGTCAAGATGACGTTTGCATCCCGGACTCGAAGGATGACGAGTACTGCTCCAAGTCCTGCCAGGTCTGGGAAGAAATGTGCCCAAGAAGCAAACAATGTATCCCGAAAGAGTATTTCTGTGATGGGTTCGTCGATTGCCAGTATGGAGAGGATGAAGACTTGGAATTTCTAGGATTCGAATGCCCGCAAAAGCCAAAATGCACAGAAGATGATGATTTTGTTTGTGATGTGACTAAAAGATGCATAAGGAAAGGGGTCATATTTTGTCTAATGATGCGTTCTCTTCCTTGATTTCATTTTCTTTATTTTTGACGAAAATCATAAAACTGACCTTATATTAAAGCAAAAGTCTTGTCTGCGATGGCAAGTTTGACTGCCGCGATGGTTCTGACGAGCAAAACTGTCTAGATTTTTCGTCAAATTGCACATTTCAAGACGGCCTCTGCACATGGAACTTCGGAGAGAGTTCCATCAACTGGAAGCTAACAGATGAGCCTTCTCCATCCAAAGAAACTGGGCCATTTTCCGTCGATGAAAACAATCGCTATCTTCTATTCGAAGCTTCGGAAATCAACGAAGACGATGAGTCCGAGTTGGTTTCTAGCGTTATCAGTCAAACTGTGTGCCTCTCTTTCAAGTATATGATGAATGGAGCACAAATGGGAGAACTGAAAGTGGAACGTCGTGACGAAGTTGATTCTGTCGAGTCTATCGTTTGGCAGAAATCAGGAGACCAGGGCCAGTCGTGGATGGAGTCTGAAATAAGCGTGATACCATCGAATGGTCCTTTCCAAATTGTTCTTACAGCGGTCAGAGGGCGGACATTCTCTTCGGATATTGCAATTGACGACATAAGAATTAAAAACGGGATATGTGAGGCAAAAACGAAGTGTACATTCGGAGCCAAAGAAGATTGCGGTATTCAGTTTCCAGATACGCAGGAGAGCTTCTTTTCCTGGGTAGCTGATTTTGCTAAGATAATACCACCTAGACTTTCGAAGGAAATGGTTCAAAGATAAGGTGTTTTTTGAAATATAAATATGAAAACAAGGCTGAACTAAAGTAAGACAAATTCAATCGTCTCGCCAGATTGGCAGACTGGAAACATAGAAGACTCAGACTGGCGCATCTTTGATTTTCACGAAGATGATGTAGATGTATGCGGTGGTTGTGGAACGGGCAAGAATCCGAAGTTCATCAAACGGCATAATTCTGTTTGGATTGGCGTTGTCAGATGTCCAGAGAATGCCGATGAGTTCAAAATATACATTTCTGACAGTCGCGAAGGAGTCTATCGACACATTCAATTCCCTCATCATACCGACATTTGTGAAATCTTAGGAGGTCGCGCGAATGTTCGATCATATGCAGTTACTGTATTTTGCCCAGTGGAACTCGCGTACAAGCAGCATTCTGATGGAAGCTTCAGAGAAGTGAATAGTTTCGCAAGCAGCTATGCAAAGGATAAAGGTTTCCGAACAGTCAAGTCATACAAATGCTTGGATACGAACGTCCCAGAGCTTAAATCATCGGCTGAGGAATACAGTTACTTCGTTGCTTCAGCTTGGGGAAGTGGCTCAAAGAAGCCAAGAATGGCGTTCTTTACATGGCCTGTTCATCAACCAGCAGAATCTTCGGAGCCGACGGAAAATTCGAGTTCATGGTGTTTACGTTTTTCATACTCGATTGTGTTCACGCCTGAGCTTGTTGTTAATATGAATGGAAATTTGCTATGGTCGTCTGAAGGAATCTCGACTGGAGAGTTTAGGGAGCACGTGGCAATCAATATTCCGAAGCCTATCGGGCTGGTCATAAAATTATCTATATCTAATAAAAGGAAATTCTATAGAAGAAGTTTCGTTAGATTAGCCAGGGCGCTTTTTATTAATATAAGGTATGCCCTTCTAAGTCAGATGTTCTAGGCTGATGAAGGCTATTTTATTGATTCGTTCAATTAACCCTAAAAATCTCACTATCTATAAATTTTTGACCACTGAGAAAGTTGGATATGACTTGACATTCATTGCAATTATGCCCGAGCGAAAGTCCGGCGCTGCATTGGTCGACGATATTACGATCGACCAAAAAAGTTGCTTTGTTCGACAAAACAAGTGCGATTTCAACTCAATAGCGGACATTGAAAACTGTTTCTTCCATCTAAATGAAGGTTCACTGACCATCGAGCATCAACACCGTCTCTACGAGAAATCTCCATTTGATCCGGAATTACTTGCTCCTGTTCTTAAACCAGGATATACAATCACTTTGAAATCAGAAAATCAATGGAACAGCATTTATGAGTCCGACGAGTTCTTCATCGGCAAGCCCTTTTACGACGAGTATTGCGTTCTATTCCGCTATCGACAACGCGTTTCTGGCGAGATTAAGGTTAATTTACTCATCGATGGATACGAAAAAGCGCTTTTCCACAAGTTTGAACGTCCGAATCCGCACAAGATCTATCCATGGGTCGACGTGGCAATCGATGTTAAACTTGACGATGAGAAGTTTCCACTGGGCGCCATGGCCAAGATCCAGTACAAGGGGCTCTACGAAACTTATCTGTCTAGGATCGAACTTCAAAATGGCGCCTGTCCAGCTACGAACTGTAACGGAAAATTATCCTGCGTAAGTGATCGGAAACAGTGCGTCGAGCCATATCAATTATGCGACACGGACAATGACTGCGACGACTGGTCAGATGAAATGGGCTGCGCAAGTGGCTGTGGAGACCAGTCGGAACACTTCGAGACTAAAGGAAGTCTAGGAGCAAAGCCTGGACGATCCTCGTGTTTGTGGCGAATCCATGGAAGACCGGGCAAGAAAATCGCTGTGAAGGTCACAATGTTTGGCGATCTTGATCAGATCAAATTCATGACAATGTTCGAAGGATTGAAAACGCTTGATTCTTATTACGGCGGAGTTTCTGTCGATTTGGAGCAGGGTATAAATGGCACTGTCGTCAAAGAATATCTCTTGAACAGCAACGAAGCCACTATAATCGTTGATTTTAATTTGGTCTTGATTACTGCCGACGGTCAGATAAATGCTATGCCGCTCATTTCGTACGAGCAAGTCGATGATTCATATTGCTCGTTTGTTTGCAAGAACGGCGAATGCCTTCACGACAACTACCAATGTGACGGAAACCCTGGATGCTTGGCTGAAGACGACGAGCTTGACTGCGTTCGCGAGAACCAAGTCGACGGGTTTAACGTTGCAGAGGTTCGACAAATCGATGGAAGCTGGGCACAAGTCTGCGCTGACAAAAACTTCACAAGAAAGATAGCTAATCGACTCTGCTATCAAATGGGCTTCTGGGCGGCTTCATCTTTTAATTATGAGAACTTGGTTTCTCCATACAACAACAATTTTGTTGTCGCGTTACCTGAAACTGATGACCTTGCTGGAGATTACTGGGTTCAGGGCAAACTTGTGGCAGGAACATGTCCAGGGAGAAAGGTCTGGACAGTAGATTGTGCCAGCTACGCTTGCGGCAAACGACAAGTCAACACTCGCCCTGTAACCCGCATTGTTGGTGGGTCAAAGACTTATCTTGGCAAGTGGCCCTGGATGGCGTCCTTTCAAATTCGAAATGTTCATAACTGTGGTGGCGCGATCATAAGCGATTCACTCGTTCTCACTGCAGGACATTGCTTCGATAAGAATTTACCCAAAGTTCATACCATCCTCGTTGGTGGTAACAATCACAAATCTCCTGAGATTATTCGTCGTGGTGTGAAACAAGCTTATATTCATCCAGAGTACTACCCTGATTCGAACGTACCGAATCACGATATTGCAATTGTTCAGCTGGATAGAAAACTCTCTTTTTCGAAATATCTTCAGGATAAGTTCAAAAACATGTTTTTGGAATTGCGTTTAAGAGAACATAAACTCGCAATTAAACAAATGTGTGCCGACTAATTATTCGCACTCGAATTCGAGCTTGATTAAACCTATAGAACTTAATTAAGCCGATATGCCTCCCAACGTTGAAATTCGTTCATGGTCCAGGAAATCTTTGTAATTTAGCTGGTTGGGGAAAGCTCTCAAAGGTAATTTAATTCTTGAATATTCGTTGTTATAATATTTTACCCGTCATAAGGATAATGTGAATGGGTTCCCGAGTATCATGTACGATGTCTCTTCGCCCATTATTCCCAATTCGAAATGCGGTGTTGGGGAGTACTCGCATGTTGATTTTGCTCGAAACGGCTCACCCATTACAGACAATCAGTTGTGTGCTGGAAAGATGGACACCGGCGGTGTCGGAATCTGTCATGGTGACAGTGGCGGGCCTCTAATGTGCGAAAACAACGGAACCTTCTACCTAACAGGAATCGTTAGTTGGTCAAGCGGGTGTGCGGAGAAGAATGCTCCTGATGTATTGACCAGGGTTGATAAATATTTGGACTGGATTGTGGAAACGACGAATTTCCAGACAGATACCGAACCATCTGAACTGACTGCCCGTAAACCGGAGAGTACAATATGTAGTGGTGCAGTTGTCGCACGCGGACGTTCCGGTTTTATCCAGTCAGACGGCTGGCCAAATGAATATGGACCGGATATTGACTGCACGGTAAAAATCATGAGGCAATCTGCACGTGTGATTGAGCTCTCTCCGCTGTATTTTGCTTTGCCTAAAGAGGTAAACACAGGGTATTTTTTATAAATATGACCCGAAATTAAGGAAACAAGAAGCAGACTCCGTATTTATGCCGGTGAAGTTCAGCCAGATAATCTTATTCAATCTTACTCGGGAATCGGACACTTCGACGATGCAGCATTCAGTCAAAATCTTTATATAAACGACTCTGATATAACCATCAGATTCACGTCTGGTACTCATAAGGTATGATATGAACGAAGCTAATTTATGTCACATAAATTAAAACTATATCGTAGCTCTGGCATATTTGGGCTGGTTTCCAAATTCAGTACCGTCTTCTCGATGAAATGCCGATGGAAGATACGCAAATAAGACTTGACTCCCAGTGTGGTGGTCCTCTCCTAGACGAGCCTTTCTATTTCGAATGGGGAACATCTATGAAAAACGTTGCCGAGAGCAAATGTCTTTGGACTATACCGAAAGCTGCAGATGGGTATATTACGTTGATAGGAAGGTTAGATATCGGAAATTTGAATCAGAATCCAGACGTTGCATTAGTTTGTCTTGTCTCCCCCGGAAGTAAATAATGCTCGAATAAACATACCTAACCTCAAAAGAATTTACTGAGTTCGACATCCCAGCTGACGTCGGCCTCTTCCATATATATTTTGACAAGATGTTACCAAATAACTTCTATGCTTCATATTCTGGGTCTGAGCTTCCGCCACCGATTGAGACAAGTTCTCAGGTCATCATTCAATTCGTCGGGCTGACTGAAGTAGAGGCTTACTTCCGCATCGATGTGGTCTATCAGCAGCGACGAAGTCACGCATTGGCGAGTGAAGTTGTCGGCAGCTGCGGCGGGAAACTAGGCCCTACTTCCGGTTATATAGCTAGCCCAAGCTGGCCGAATCCCTACCCAGGGCATCAGGAAGGGTTTAGTGATTCAGCCTCGTCCACAGCAAAGAAAATATATTAAAGAATCATTCGCTTTCGATTCTCATTGAAGTTCATTTGAGTCCAAAATTTGGACTCCAAATTCTACATTATTTTCTTCGAAACTAAACCGCTAAATAAGGAATGTATTTGGATGATAGATGCGAAGGCGCATCAACGAGTGGTCCTCGAGTTCGAAACATTGGATCTTGAGTTCGAATACGACGATTTAGACGTTACAGATTCACTGGGAACAATTCGAATCGGCCGTGAATACGCTCCTGGCCTTCAAATGTACGGAGCGCCGGAGCCGGTATTTGACGGAGCAGTGACTATTCGCTTCTCCACCGATCAAGACATCAATTACACGAATAAACATCTTGGCTTTCTGCTGTACTTCCGCGTTGAAGATTACGTCATCGATAATTCTAATGAGTTTGATTCATCCTTCATGTATTCCACCAGTACCAATGCTCCGTCCACTTATACAACCGCTGCGGAAAATCTTGTGCCGAGCTACAATGCGACGTGTCCTTATACATCTGATATTCGAAATGGAGTTCTTGTTCTAAAATCCCCCGGATTTCCAAATGGTTATCCGACAAATGCCGATTGTATCTGGGAGATTGGAATAAGCAATGAGGAACTAATGATGGAACTTGACGTCAAACAGTTTCATGTTGAAGAATCAAACGAGTGCCAATTCGATTCTCTCTCGATTTCCGAGGGAAACAATGGCTGGGGCATGAAACTTTGTGGCGCTTTGGGCAAAGAAGTCCCGAGTCGACTTGAAGTCAGAAGCACAAAAGCGCGTCTGCACTTTTTGTCGGACAACGTGCACGGCTACGAGGGGTTCGAAATTCACGTGCTGCTTATACAACGACCTCCAACAACGCCAATGCCAGCGAATGTTCTTTTCACCTGCAATTTCGACTTTGACATGTGCGACTTTCACAATGGTATTGGCAACACTGCCGAGTGGATTCGAATGCGGGATGGAACCCCATCCTCAGAGACTGGCCCTCCATACGACGTTTCCCTTACTGGCTATTATATTTATTTCGAAGCGACAGACAAGAACGAAGGCAGCCTTGGTCGAGTATTCACGCCCACTATTGATTATTTCGGAGAAGCGGACAATGTTAATCTTGATCTGGATCCTCACTGTATTCAGTTTTATTTCGATATGTATGGCAGCGATATGGGCACGCTGAGACTGTTTCTCGTGAATGAAGAATATGAAGGCAGACGGAAAAGTTTACTCTGGGAGCAGCATGGGCAACAGCGAGTCGAAGAAGAAGAAGAGCCATGGGAGCAAGTGTCTCTTACGTTCTATCCGTACACCAAATTCAATCTCGTCTGGGAAGCCGAGGCGGGCGCCGGATATAGAAGCGACATGGCCTTAGACCAAATTAAAATTTCTCAAGGAAAATGCCGAGATTGTACGGGAGACGGTCTATTCGACTGCGAGGATGACGCCTTTACGTGTATCTTATCTGAGTTCCGCTGCGATGGCTACTCCGACTGCCCAAATTCAGCGGACGAGGAAAACTGTTTGTCTGAAGAATCTAAAGAAGTTTATGAAACTTTTTGTGAGGATAAATCGTACAAGAATCTCGCCGCTTGTCGAGAAGACAACTATGTTAATTTCTGCGATGGCGAGGAGACTCAAAAATTATGCGATGGAAAGTGGGATTGTCGATACGGCGCCGATGAGGCTGGCTGCTCTACAGTCACAGAATCGCCGGTTTGTGGGCTCCCTGATCCTGAACCAAGGTTCGTCTTGTTAACATCCGTGTTTACAATCATTTTTATATTAGATCTATGGGTTGGGCTATTGGAAGGGCAAGATTCATGAATGTTCAATATAGATGGGCTTGGACTGCATCTCTTCACTTCAATAGGAGCCGGTTTATGCATCTATTTTAAGACATGTAACCATTTGATATTGGAATGTTAATGTAAGTTTATGCGATAAAATAATTAAGATGAGGCTTTCTATGGAGTTTTCTTCAAAGAAAGTAACATTATAAATAGAATCTTCAGAAACTACCTCTTTTCTATTTTAAAATCAGATAATTGCACTGATGGACCGATCTCAACTAGAGATGCATCGATTTGAAAATCTACTATTATCCAAATTTTAAGCCATATATGATGAAATAATTACATATGATATGTAGCATATCTGATGTAAAAAATGTCATATATCATATACATGTATCATATACATGTATAATATATGATATATAAGATCATTTTATGATACAGAGATTATGCACAAAACGCGCATTTATAACCGATGAAAGTAAGTTTGAATGCTCGGTTCATATGGTCGCAAAAGACTGGTACATCACCTCCGCTAGATGTGTTCAAAAAGGAGTAACAAGGACAAAATCGAAAACGTCATGGATGTCTTATGGAGGCTGTCAAGAGGAAAACGATGATGAGTACGATATAAACGTCACGACGAAAGACTTCAGCATAGGAATGTTTTTTCATAAATTACTTTTTTCCAGAGCGATTCCGTTTCGTCGTGTCTTTGAATGACAAATAGAATATGATTCTATCAATAATAACCTCCAATTGAAAAAACAAAAATAGAACACTTTTCCGTTCAAGGCGACTTGGTAATTCAACGAGTAACGCAAATTATCCTGCATAATTCCGATCTCGAGGATCATGGCAATATGGCTTTAATTGGAATTGAAAGCTCGGAGGAGATCATGCAGTATCCAGTTTGTTTCGATTTTGATGAAACGCATCGATTTGACTTTGCTTTGGAGAAGCCGCATCTTTGCCAACTTGTTGGGCATAGAAGAGATCTGCTCGGGGATACGTTTACGAAATGGCAGAGCATGGTTCCAGGTAAAAAATTCTTACAGGCGTTACTTACTGTTACACAATATTCGAGAACGTTAAGAAACTCATGTCTCGCTTTAGTAACATCAAGCGACGAAGACGTGCTCAAAGCTGGTTACAGAATGCTCCTTGTCCAGCCATTTCACGATGACCACGGCACTGGACTCTTTTGTCAGTCGTGGAATCAAAAATGGCACTTGATTGGAATAACGCAACCAAATGACGGTGACATAGAAGGACGCTCTGCGACTTGGCCAAGTATGAGGGCTGGACTCAATGTTGTCTCGGATATTCAGGTAACGAAATAGAGCTTTTATAAGGTCTTTACGATGACGTGATACTAAGGGTCTCACGAAATGGGTTCAACAAGAATGCCCTGGACAATTCTTGTGTAAAAAAGATCGGGTTTGTATCGACCGGAAGAACGTCTGCAACGGCCAAGTCGACTGCTCGGACGGAACCGATGAGCGGGAATGTGACTCGGGGTGTGGCGGCAGTTCTTGGATTGAAAAAATAGGAACATCAGTAAGTCTGAAAAAAAAAACAACTTTCGATTTTATTTTCCTTTTTATTTTAATATTGGCCCCAATAAATATCAGATATTATTTTGTAGAGTTATAAAAGTAGTAGAAATACATAAATTAATCTATAAACAAGGTATCCGTATCAACAGATGTTACAAAATGCCGTTGGATCATTCCGTCTTCACCAAATTCCATCAATATCATTCGAATAGACAAGCTTGTTTCCGACCGGAAATTCAAAGTCTCAACATTTGACTCCATCAACCACACATGGCTTGTCTACAAGACCGTGCCGAAGTATTTTTCGTCGTCGCCAGGCGGTACGCTGACTCTTCAAATCGATATGGAAACGGAGAACTCTTTGCTCGACATGAGATTCGAAAGCTTCCGCGAAGAAATCGCTGTCGATGGAGTCTATCCATGCGAGGGTCAGTTCAAGTGCAAGTCCACAGGAATGCGCCAAGTTTATTGCATCTCGCCGGAATTTGTAAGTCCTAAATAAAGATCCAGCAATCATTTGATGTTAGGTCTGCAATGGTATCAATGATTGCGCGGACGGAGAAGACGAAGAAAACTGTGAGAGCATCCTCGAATGTGGCAGTCCAAAATTTCAAACTGCGCTCGCAACTCCAAGATTCTTATTTTCCGAAAATCACCCTCAGAGCTGGACAGGTATTGCGACAAACGAGGCTAAATTCTTTCATGTTTGATTTAAGGACAAGGAAAATGCATCTACAAAATTGATTCTCCCGATGGCAAGCCAATCACCCTTGATTTCGAAGAGTTCAGGTCGGACCCCTCTGATGTCGTGCGAATCTTTGCCGGCTTTGGCTGCTCAAAACGTCAAATTGGCGAGCATTCGGGCGACCAACCATATTTGCTCAATACCAAGGAAACTTCAATATCTATAGGTAAGAGCTTCTGAAACTTATTGGCTCCCAAGCCCTAATTTAAGAATGGAATTACACCGACAATATTCACATACGACGCTACGCTCTCAAGTTTTTTACGAAACAATAATAATCCAAACACACTTAAACTAAACTGTACAAAAATTTACCCTCTTCTCAAACTGCCATTTTTCTGCTTTATACTGGTATAAAGCCACATTACTACAACTGATCTTCTCATACCACAGTGTTCTCAAAACGCTGCCTCTTCATCAATAAGTTATGATTTTGCCAATAAATTATTCGCCTCACTATTTGGTCAAGTTCTACTCATCGAAATTAGGAAGAGAAAATACTTAACGTTGACGGAAAAACGTCAATTTCCATAATCTTTTGGTGCGTTGGTAGGAAAAATCATGATCATCAACTAAGAAGACCAAGATCTTCTTCTTGTTGAAAGAAATACGATTCTCGACCACCATCCCCTTAAGACCTTGTGTCTTTTACAGGATGGTTCCTTTCATCCTCTACCTAAAAGAAAAAGCTGCAAATCGCGCTATCAGCTGGCCATGGGCGCTAACTAGGAGGTGCGAAAATACGCAAAAAATAAGAGCGAAAGAGAATGAAAAGTACGCTAATTGCCCTATTCGTATTTCATCTTGCAAATGCACAAAATATTGCGAAAATGATTCGTCCTCAGCTTCCGCCTGGATGGTGGGAGAATAAATTACAAAAGACGATTCTCTCCGGCTATGGTATCTTTCAATAATTTTTGCAAATTTTATGTTTTGAATTTTATTAGAAAAGAACATCGCTCCGTTTTCAAATCAAATGATGGAGGATGGAATGCAGTCGCCAATTATAGTTAATTTCGGGACGGAGGTTATACAAATTCCATGAAGTTCATCTCGTTTCTTTTCAATTATCATCGGATGATTTTATTATATAATCAAAAATGCTTGTCTATTCAAGCGCGGTAGAAAATCACTTTACGGTTTTATCACTTTATATAATCTTTGTGAATTGTATTAGAGCTATTAAAAAAAACCTCCACCTGAGCCATGGTTGTTCAACGCCTTCTTACAATAAAGATGCGAGAGGAAGAAATTGTCATGGCCGGTAAGCCATACGATTTTATTGCTCATCTAAAGCAATTAATAGGATATAACGTGGTTGACTGGACTGATGAACGCCTTAGCTGGAATCCAGAAGACTATAAGTACCTTTAATTGATTTTCGTTTTTCTCATTAATTAATAGCAATATATCGGTGACGAATATCAATAGCCAATTAATTTGGAAGCCTGGAACGGTGTTCTACAACAACAAGGACGGTGTGTTTGAAACTAAGTTCAAAACGAAGTTGAAGCTCTACAACACTGGATATATTTCATGGATGCCGCCAGGATAGGTTCTTCGAAAATAAGAGTGCCGGCGAATAATTCATGATTGCATAAATCTACCTTTATTCACGATATTTATATGCGTAAAAGCTTCTTGTATATTAATTGTCTTGGATAATGTGTATTGGATCCAAGGCAAAGTAAAATTGAATTACTATGTTTCATATAATTGTACATCTATGATAGATCTATTCTTGAAGAATTATCTGCAGCTCTTTATAAATCTACTTGCTCGCTGAATGTCAAGGTCTTTCCCTTTGTAAAGGATTTGATAATTATAATTGGTTTCAGAAAATAGACTTAGAGAATCAATCGGTCAACTCCATGGCTACTAGTCTAATTATATTTTTTATCAAAAATAGATCGACAAAAATGCAGTTTGATTTTCCGATCCACCGACTTTGTTACGGGATAAAGCTCAAGCTCAAGTTAACCTGCTCTCGCTCGCTTGCTTTAGCCCTAGAATTAGACGCGCGCAATCTGGATTTTAACTATGACTTTGCTCTTGAAACGTCGTATGTAGAAGGCTCAAATGTTTCCGCTGAATGGGTTCTGGAAAGGCTTACTGAAAGACAATCATTTTAACACGCTTTGCTTGCTTACTAACAAGCTACTTGTAGTTGAACACTTTTTATCCTGAGCAGAAAACTCATATCTCGACTACAACCTAACATTTGCCGGCGAAACTTCTTATGTTGAAGGCTCAAATGTTTCTGCCGAGTGGGTTTTGTGACTCGGGCTTATATTCATTTGTACCTTAAGTTTGTAAAAAAGTATGTTAAAAAGCCAATTAAAGTTGCGAACAAATATCTCGATTGTCGATTCTATGGACTCCGACCTGTCTTTCAAGGAGATTCACTTTGAATATCACTTCCAACGAATGCCCCTATTCTACATCCTGAAGTAAGTATGACCTCGAAGATTCTTTTTCCTTCCTTGTAGCTTTTTCCGTTAACTCAGTCATCGCTCATAAGAGCATCTGTCAAATATTTTGATAAATGTCACAGCTTACACCCATAGCTATGTCACAGCTTTGCCCTTAAAGAAAATCGAATGATATCTTTTAGCATGATTCTCCCTATATGGCTAATGTTCTTCCTCTCTATTTTCGTCTTCTACCTCCCAACGGATGCCTGCGAAAAAATGACGCTTTCAATTTCCATTTTGATCGGACAGACAGTCTTTCTTACGCTCTTAGCTAAGGTGAGGGCAGACGGAAGCTTATGATTTATTTTCTTTGTAAGCATACTCCAGAAACGTCGATGGAAATACCGCTTCTCAGGATACGGCTTGAAAAATTTAATTCAAGAAACTATTACGCCATTTTAGACAGATTTATTAAAAGGATAAAATCTAATTGCTTAAATGAGCCTTTCAAAAGTAGCTATCTGCTGTTTACAATCATGATGGTATCTTTCTCCGTGATTATGAGCGTCGTCGTTTGTAATGTACACTTCCGATCGAGCGCGACTCACAAGCTTCCTCGATATTTTCAAGTCATCTTCATTGACTACATCGCGAGATATTTGAATATCAAGAGACCCCCTCCTTTTGAAATTGATATGCCAAGAAGAAACTCTCACGGAGAAGATAGTAAGGGAACATCTTCCATTCTATATCTAACGATTCTCTAGCGAAAACGACATCAATGTGCTACGAACTAGAGCTTGAAGAAGACGGGGGAAAAGCTGTAGCGTCAGAAATTATGTTTAACACCCATTCGAAGCTATTTGGTTGTTCAGGATCGTAATTTTCATTGAAATCAAGTTCTAAAAAGCACGAGGTCTAATCTCTTTGTTATACGTGCGTAAACGAGGTACAATTGAAGATTATTCTCAAGATAGAAAGGCGATGTCGACATCAGTGCGAAATACAACACGGCCATTAGCGCGAGAACTCAGGAATCGGGCTTCGTTTCACGAAAACAAGTTAATACGGTATTAGAGAAAGAAGCCCGTTTCAGGCCAGCGGTAGAAGCTATCGGTAAGCTTAATCTCAAAATTGATTCAATACCAAAACGATTACAATCAAATTGAAGAACTTAAGAACTGCTCCCAATTTCAAAAGCGTTGTTTCCATATGATTACATTCGCAGCTGCTGAGAGAACTTAAAATAGAAATTCAGAAAGCGGCTTTTAAAACTGAGAATGTGCGTTACTATTCAAGAGGTTGAGGCGGTTCATTTAGATTTCATCACTACAACGATGCAGCAAAACGACGATGAAAGTACTGTAAGTGATGAGTGGAGGTACATCGCGCTGATAATAGACAGTCTACTGTTTGGGATCCAAAGACATCAAACTGATAACATTGACTAGATTTTATTGCTAGACTGGATCCCAAGTAAGCTTTATGTCTATTGCTTTGTGGCTATCGTGGGAAGCATTTATTATTTCTGGAGCATCAGTAAGTGAAAATTTATGGAAATTCAATGTCCACATAGGAGATTTCGTTGAACATTACGTTATTGATAAATTATAAAAATTCCATATATGATATATCCCATCATATACCATTCTATATGATATATCGCGTTTGTCAAAATCGAGCTATTTCGACTCATCCTAAACGGTCAAGAGAATTTCAACGACGAGACGTACCGAGAGACACGCCTTTTATAGATGCCTAAATATATGATTTACGGTATATCATATACCCTATATGCCTAAATACTATTAAGATTATGTGGCAATCTTCTGGCTTCAAAGTTGCGCTTCGTCTGGTGACTGGAGAGCATGCTATCAGAACAATACTAATCTGAATGCTTTCATTAATAAACCTACATGAAATTATTCAGTCAAAAAGTTATTTTACTAATCATTTGGTTGACGATGTCAACTTTACAGAGCAATAGAAGCAATAAGTAACAGTGAGTTAAATTTTCTGCGACAGTCGTAACTATTGACTAATGACATTTTCAAAGGGAATCAAAATTAGTTCCGACCATAAAAGGTCATTGGCGGATAAAGGGTAGAGAATTTTTCGACAGTAGTAAGCTTCTTTCCTGGAGACGCACTTCATTCTAACGCTATGATTCTTATTGAGGATTTTTTAGAATATGTTATACTTATACATAGAATATACTATACTGTATAGTCTATACATATAAATTTCTGTTTCTGATAGACTACTGATTGTATTAGACTGATAGACTGACTTCTATAGAATCACAGGATGATAGTAGGATTTGTAGGCTATATAATATGTAGCCTTTTATATATAGCTATGATATACAATCAGTTGATAGTGTGACGACATGGGCGAAACTTACATTGCTAGGTACACCTACAATCTGTCTTTATATACACTGTATCTCATACAGTTATGATTATATCGGTATGATTAAGAAGGATAACAGAAAATTCACATTACATAAAACTATGTTATGTTATGTTCCATTATATTTTTACGTAGAAAAGTTTCTTTCAATAATAATAAGTTATTAAGAAATATACGTCACATTATATATTCATATGTTTTTTGTTAAATGATCCCCGAAGAATATTCATCAGTATGCTGCATACTGTATGCAGATGCAACTACTCGATAGATTCTGAGAATTCATCTATCCATGCGCGAGAATGTAATTTTGATACCAGAATCTGCACTTCAGTGGTCGAAGACGAAATTGAAAGAACCTTATCACGACTAAAAGTCAATCAGGGCGCCATCATCCTCGACGCGAAACACACCGCGCGTCGCTAGCGCCCCTAAGTTGTAGTTCTCAAAGCATATAAGCAATTTCGGAACACTAAAACTCACACCACTTATTTGCTCATTCCGCACAAAGAAAAACAAAAATATCCCAAATAATCAGTGGAAAATGTCAAATATTGTCAAGGCAGTTCTTCTTTTAAAACTCGTTGCAGCAACTACGCCAGATCTACTCGTCAAAAAACTATCGGAGATAATCGAGTGTGCCCATCAGTCTCCAGTCAGTTTGCCAAGTCAACAGGATAAATTTGTTGTGCCACCTCATTGTTTCAGGTAAATATAAAAAGAAAATGCAAGAAGATTAATTTTTTTCTAGCTCAGAAAGCATCAGTCCGCTTTCTTTGGCAAGATCCGCCCGAAACACCAAACAAATATTCTATCATCGTCAAGATTTTTGCGAAAATACGAAATGTTCTCTTCACGATCTTTATCTTTCCATCGAGGTAAGAAAGTACACTATATACAAACTGATTAATGAGACACGTGCGCTAACCGGATTTCATCCTGAACTTCTCGTTATTATTCCAGCATCAAATTGAGTAATTCTCAATTTTTATATTCAGCATATGGAATCGTATACAAAAGCCCGCTTGGTTGGGAAAGAAAATCACCCATCCGTGCTAGAAATAAGAGGAAAGTGGTACCTCAACCTTGGAATGTGTGGAGGATTCTGCCCTGGATCCCTGATCAGAGGCAAAAATCATCTGTAAGTTCAGCCTTCAAAAAATATGACTACTTCTTATGTAAAAATATGCTCATTTATATCTATCTATAAACATCCGTCGCCAGATGCTTCTATTTTGTCTGGGAAGAATCGTTCTTTTCTCATTTCCATTTTTAGCTATGACTCGATTCATGAAACCAGCATCTCGAAAAATGTCGGATGCGCTGCCACATCAACAAGTTCAATCCGCCTTATTACGCAAAATCATCAAATCGTAGAAATCGAGGATGTTATCACTCACGGCTGCTCTTGTGTAAAGTTCCATAGCTGCTAAGGAAAAACAAAACTACATGGACTTCAACAGTGAAGACATAGAAGACCTCTTCTCTTCCAGAATCTCTTCAAAGCCATGAGACCGAATTCCTGATCATTTCGAAAGAAAAAAATGCAAAACAACATACTGTATCTGACGCCTACTCTTTGTGCTTACCTATAGTCGAACGAATCTTCTTTACTCTGTTCAAATGCAATAAAAGAAATCATTTTTTATCAAAGATAACAGTTTATTGAGAATATCTTATTTCATCGAAAGCAGCAAGTTTTCCTCTTGCTAGAGCTCAAATGAGGGATTCTTAATAGAGTTCGCAGTAGCTAGAATCCTCGAATCTGCACGTGACTTGGAACTTGGTGTTGCAGTCTTCATCGTTCCAACGACCCGTGTATCCTGCCTTGACACAAGCTTTAGTCGTGTCATCCATGCTAGGCTCGCCGTCTTTCCAGTTTGTCCAGCTGGGAATAGTCTTCGCAACTGTCTTGAAAAGTCTTGAATTCCTTTTGATGCCGATCCAATCATTACGCTCAGCGCTTCTACCAGCTCTGAACACATTGTACTCTTCTTCAGAGTCGAAGTATGCGAGTGATCCTCCCATTACAGCACAAGTTCGTTTGGCTTTCGAGAAGGACATGGTTATGTCATCAGGTAGTTCCAAAAATCCAGCGCAGGTTGGCTCACATTGCTTGCAACTGACAGGGCAGTTTTTTCAGCATGTACACTGGATTAACCATGCATTGGTTTCGACTTGCCCACCCTTCGCAAGCCGGGCTTTTGTCAACACAGGTTTCAGAAGTCCAATTATCCAAAAAGGTTAAATCACCGATGGTTTGAGGCGTCCAAGTGTCGCAGAGCCCAAATGTCTTTGGGCAAAACATTTGTTCGAAACCGCCCGTCGCGCAATTTGACGCGTTACAGTTAGGCTCGATGTCTGCGCAAGTTGGGGGATCGTCGATTCGGCAACTATACAATCTGCTGGCGGAGCATGATTTATCGTTCATAACAGCAGGTTCATCACCCGGCTGAACGTATAGCTCAACACATCGTTCCTCTGAGTTATTTGGCTCGCCGTTGTTCCAATTCAGCCATGGTGTTGTTCCGTCAACGTTCTTAAAGGTTGATGAGGATCCAATTTGCTGGACACCGATCCAGTGATTGCTACCGCCGTGGCCTGTTGCTTCGTTGAAATCCTCGAACTCAGCTGCATTTCGGAAGAAAGCAAGATGACCTCCAAGTTTTCTGCATCGAATCTCTCCTTCGAATGCAGTTTTAGCAATTCCTTGGACGGGGGTAAAAGTGGTTGTGGATTGGGCCCGGTCGAAAAAGGAGCCTAAAATCAAACTGGTAAAGACTTTCATAGTTTCTCTTTGAAAATCAGCTCGTTAATAGTCTTTATATAATGCTGGGCACCAAGCATTCTTGGTGGTGTAAGTTTAACCGCGTGCAGCGTACAAGAGCTGTCAACTTCAGAGTGCTCAACTTCAACGTCCCGAAATAAATTTCGAATTTAAAAACCCGTTCCAGACATGAACTTCAACGTATACGGTATACCCGAGGCCAAATCAGATTTTTTTTCGTGTCGCTAGAAATACCGACTGTCAGTCTATCGTCGTAACAAGCGTATCAAGTTAGCCTCATTTTGGTTTTGTTTTTAGGTTTTTGAAAGATAAGCGAATACCGTGATTCTCACTGTTGAAATTTATTTTACATCTGCTGTACAAAAAACTGCAAAAATAATCACTTTTTTGACTCGTAGTTTTGATATCTAAACTCGTTTTCCGCCACATCATATCCAATTTCATCCCCTTGTTTCCGCGAAACCATCTCCAAAATTTGTGAATCCACTTTCGGGAAATCTTTTCGCGCCTTTTAAATTATAACAGTCAGTGCAATCGGAGAATTTTACCTCGAATTCTTTTGAGTGTTCTTTTAGCCACTCAAGAATATTTGTATCCGGTGTAAGAACTTCTGCTTGGTGGCGATTATCGTTGCCGATAATACGAGCACGTTCCTATTAATAATTCATTTTAGCTCAGTTTAGTTTGTTTACGAGCCTCAATCAGACGACGCTGGTAGTTGTCCTTGTTCCACGCAAAGTCTTGAATTTGAAACAAAGTTGACTTCGGGCTCAACGTGAAGAAAGTCGGCCACTGATGTCGCTTTTGATTTGCGGGCATTCTTACTCGATGCCAGGTCGCTGAATTTACTCCAATCTACTCTATTCGATGCATTATTGTTCACCTTTGACGACACCATAAGTCGCATGCTCAAGTATATTCCCCAGATTGACGGTAAAGGTGTTCTCTCTAAATGGAACTTCCTCCCATCTACCATTGAAATCCATCTCCAAGCCGCCGACTTCACTTTGCATGAGGAAGGTCAAAATACTACTTTTTTCTGGTTGAAATCAACGAAGAGTCACGGCGAAATAAAACATTTATCAACCAGTTTCTATCAACATGTTCCACAAAAGCCCATCGTTCATTAGGCTTAGTATGATAGTAGTTAATATGCTTTTATGAGGATACCTTTAGCACTAGAATGAACATCGCTATTTTCAGTATCCTCTCCTGAACAAGAATGGGGTCTTTTCCATACGCTTCTGAAAGAGCGCCATTTTTAAGTCCCAAGACTTTTTCGACCCAGTAAACAAGGATTTCCCCTAATAATGAATTAACTTTGCCAAAACTCGAAACATACCAACTCTGTACATTTCTGAAATATAATCGAAAAACGCTTCATCGATTTCCTTCTTGTCCAATTTGACATCGGATCTTTCATTCACCACGCGTTGGTCTTTTTCGTTGTAAATATCTCCGTACGAAAGTTTTCCCTCTCTCCATTGTGCGAGCTCTTGTCTTTCCCATTTGTCAGCAAGAAAAACGTCCGGCGATAGTCTCTTGACTCGGTCGGTAATTGATTTTGGGACACCGTGGTCGCAAATGTACAGGAAGCCGACTTTTGTCAAACCCTTGAAGAGCTTTTGCCGCTCTTCTGCAGAATGACGGAGGTTTTGGATGCTTATCGAGGGAACGTTCTCTGACATTTCGAAGAATTATTGAAAATTGATTTTGATTTGGAGCGGAAGTCATTATTGGTGATGAGTCAAAATATTCAAATTCAGGATAAAAAATAATATCAGAAAAACTTGCTACCACAATAGAATGGTCCACCTAAACCAGCAGATATTCCCGCAAATGATTTATTAGGGATTTCCAATTTGAAAAATTGATAGCGAGCTAAAGTCAGCTGGTGGCGCCACATGCGCGGCTTGCGCATCAATTTCTGAGTCTCCGACTTTCGACAAGGAATAATAAAAACTTGACCAGAAACCACACGAAAATAAATATACAGAGACAGACAATGAAGTTCTTTCCCATTCGAATTTTTACAGTTTTACAGGCGACAGAGGCGATCGATCTTTATAAAAGTGTTGGATTTGTGAGCGAAGATTTAACAAGAAAAATTGAGGTTAGTACAAAATTAGAACTGTCTTCTGCGAACACTTTTGTTCAGCAAGGATTTGGTAAAAGATCCAACAATGTCGAAATGCACATGAACAATCAAATCTCAAAATGGCGGCCAGACATCCGCAATCCAATATCATCCGAGTCCTCAGAAATCACATCATTTCGCACAAACTTCACAAAGCAGCTTGATGATCTTGCAAAGAACGTAGACAGAGAAATAGCCAACACAGAAGCCGCCGTAAAAGAGATCAAAGAAGCACTGAAGAGAAGTATTGGCAAGTTCAACTGGTCTTCAGAGAAATCAAGCAAGGGCGCGGCTTGGGAAAATGAAACTTATTACAATGCCGGCTATGTTAATACAGGTTAATATTGCACCCTTATCTTTTTATAGGTAATTTTTCATTATCTAAAATAGGCCCCAATAAATTATTTCATCTTCTCTTGAGCGAGAAAATATTTAAAATTGCCTATCTCTTATTTCCTTAGGATTCATATTCATTTCTTAAATGCATTCATAATGCATTTGAAATCCAAGTAAATGGATGAAAATTTAAGATGAAGATGATAAGTACAGCTCGCTGCGCAACATGACGATTTCGAATATGCAGCAGGACAAATGCTTTGCGAATGGGGAGATAGGAACCGGGCGCTGATTTATTTAACAGCTTGCGTTGTCCGCAGATCGTGAGAAAACGCTAGAAACAATCGAGGCACCCCGAAAAACAGATGTTTCGTTTGACCAGTCAGCAGTCCACGTACCTTTCAATGTCTATTCTTTATCAACCGAAGTTGTCAGGGGAGCGACGTACACTAAGGAATGTTTCACTAAAAATCAATCGCAGGATTCTTCATTTCTTACTTTAATCTCCCATGTTCATCGATGAAACAAAGAAAGGAACTCGACCAAAACTTCTATCAAAACATCCGCAAAGGCCGCGTCTCAAGCTGGCAATATTTCGCCTCGTCTTCTGGCTTCACTAGATTTTACCCAACTCCGCAGTGGAAGAGGAAGGACGAGTTTGACAGACCTATCGACTACGACGCGCGTTTCGAACATTGGTACATTGGGACGATCAATTACCCCAAAGAGGTCGTCATTGCCCTCGATGCGTCGGGCTCAATGAAAGGAAAAAGGTTTATAGTCAGTTCGGGGAGCTAGGACAAATCGATTCCAATCGCTTTCGATTTAATTAACGACCTGGAGTTAATTGCAATTTGTATAAACCCGCTTCTTAGTCTAATTAGATCATAGCTATCAACCTTTAAATGAGGTTATCGTCAAATTCTAGCGACGCTAACGATACGAAATATCATCGAGAGCTTGACTTCAAAGGATTACTTCACAATCATCAGCTACAATGATCAAACGCGATTCGTACATCCGTGCTACGAGAACAAACTCTTCCGTGCAACGGACAAAGTCAAAGCTGAATTCGCCGTTCGATTGCAGAAAGTGGAAACGACGGGAGTAGCAAATTTTACGTCTGCCCTTGAAACTGGCTACCGAGTGCTCAAGAACTCGAACCGGCCAGTGAGCACATCGCGCGCCATGCTCTTCGTAACGGATGGGGTTTTGTCGCAGGATCTCGCTCGCTTCAATGAAGTAAAAAAGTCGATCGGAATGATGGAAGTGGAAATGCATAATATAAGAATATTCACTTATCTAATCGGGAAAGACATCAAATATGCATCTCGCCTGAAAAAAATAGGAACGGGTTTGTTTAATGAGTCCAGTGAATAATCAAGACTTGAGTGTCTTCGGTGCTCGAAAAATAAGGCGGAAAAACTGTAACTAACCTAAGAAAGCTTGTACTCATTGCGGTTACTTCTCGCATGTCGCTTCTCCTGCTGATGTGAAAGAAAATGTCATGAAGTTTTACCACGTGATGAATAGACAGCTTGCCAATGCCAAAAACTCCTATTATCAAGCAATGGATTTGATCTTGTTCAAAGCCATTTTTTTAAAACTGATCAAAATCCGACACTTAGCCCCAAAATGGAGCGAAGTCTACTCTAAAACGTCAATAGGAGGGGTAGATGTTCAGGATATGATACTGTCCAGCACAGTTGGAATTTACAGAACTGACGTGGAAAAGCCAGATATAACACGGCTCTTTGGAGTGGCCGGAGTCGATTTACCGCTGTGGAAAATTTCAAGGCATTTCAAGGCGATGAACATGGCCCCGAATTCTCGGCAGTTTCTTCTCAACAAAAGCGGCTTCGTAATAATTCATCCCTACCTTCAAGATACCATCGATGAGATGACCGTTCGGCGATCCTATCGAAGCATGTCTCTCCACCAGCTCGAGTACATTTCGGATCCAAACTGGGTTCAGGATTTTCGACTGATACTACACAAAATGAGCAGAAAAAATTATCTTGAGTTCAAAAATGTTCCAGTAAAAATGCCTCTTGATTGCGTTGGAAACCCAACATGCGATAGAAGGTGTGATTTTCTTCAAGATTAAAGTTAAGGAGAAATAATTATCTTAGGGACCCAGAGTGCTACTACGATCATTGCCAAAGATTCCTCTTTTCTCAGACGACATTTCAATTTCAAAAGATCAGCGGTGGTTTCATCGTCGGCCAGGCGATTCCGAGCGAACATGCGAACACGAATATTGGCTTGTCGCGAAAGTTTAGATCTGATAAAACAAGTTTTGTTGGAGGGAACACATGCAACTCGAATTATCGAACACGTACGCCAAGGCAGGACTATCTCTGTGAGCTTCTAAGGGAACTAAGAAATGCCAATCAGATCTCTTTGCCAAACCAATGGAGGTGATCAAGTAGTTTGGTTTCTTTTGCTGATTTATTGATTAAGGGACACGGGCGAGCAGCGCGGAGCTGAACTTCACGCGCTCGCCATTATTCTTGAGAATGAGATTTTTCAAAATTTCTTTTTGCAAATATCATCTACAACTCTTCAGCTTTCTATTCCAGTTCTCAGTTTGTCTCTAGCATTATTTACTGACGAGCTAGCGAGAAAAAGAGACGCGCAACTTCAAAAGGCATCAAGTCCTTCAATCTTCATTATTATTTCATGAAATTAGCACCATTGAAAAGCCCATGAAATTCTGAGCAGATCATACGTATAGCGCTAAGCTGAAAATGTACTAATTAGCGATAATGATCAGATAAACAAGGTAACCTAGCGCGCGCCCAGCAGGAATCATGTCCAAGGAGCCAAAAATAGTTAAATCGGAGCGCCCTGCCGTGCGGAGCGCGCTAAGTTCCTAGGTTTATCAGCGCTTTCTGCGCAATTAGTACATTTTCAGCTTAGCGCTATACGTATGATCTGCTCAGAATTTCATGGGCTTTTCAATGGTGCTAATTTCATGAAATAATAATGAAGATTGAAGGACTTGATGCCTTTTGAAGTTGCGCGTCTCTTTTTCTCGCTAGCTCGTCAGTAAATAATGCTAGAGACAAACTGAGAACTGGAATAGAAAGCTGAAGAGTTGTAGATGATATTTGCAAAAAGAAATTTTGAAAAATCTCATTTTCAAGAATAATAGCGAGCGCGTGAAGTTCGGCTCCGCGCTGCTCGCCCGCGTCCCTTAAGATACTGTTCTCGAAAGAAGACGGCTACGAGACGTGACGATTGTCGCGATTTCACTCAGAAAGAAGCTCTGACTGAGTACTTGACTGAAAGGTACCTTGAATTCTTGAATAAGTAAATGCTCACTCTATTGATCTTGGAGAAACCCGCGATTCGAGTGCGAAGAAAATATGATCGACGCACTTCTGTATGATGTCAAGATCACGTCCAGCTTGATCAATATTTGGTCTGATGTGTTCAGGGATCAAAATGACAACGCAAGACTTATGATTGACTTTGGCTTTTGCTTGACCAGAAGTGGCTTGATCAGATTTCTCGGTAAGTGAAGTACAGAAGAATATATCGAAAGCGCATTTCAGACAACTCGCCTCAGGGACAACAAAAATCAATTACGGCTCTGGATGATTATGGACGCTTTTCCAAATCTGGATATCCTCTGTATTACCAGAAGACAGTTGGATATCCTTCGAAAACTTACATCTTCACGATGTCTCCAATCAGTGATTCGTTTCTTATGACAAGGGCGTATTATGTTGGCGAGAATTCTAAGATCCAGGAAAACGAATATGCTCCAATGATGATAACTGGCTTTCAAGTCAAGAATAAGTACCTTCTGGGAATGATAAGAGTAAGCATTTGTTCAACTTTGATTGTTCACTTAATATTTCAAAGGAAAAACTCAATCATCGGCAAATATTCGATGCGGTTGGCGGAAGTCCTTGCGGCGACTGGAACAAGCCAAACGAGCAGTGCTCGGGTGGTTATAGGTGTTTTGTTATTGATGACTTTGGCTACGTATACCTGAGCTCGAGGGCAACCGATGAGGTTGGTAAGCACTTGGGAACAGTGGACCCTACTTTGTTCGAAACGATGATCACCGACCCGCCAAAACTCTTTCAAAAATTCGAGTTTCGCAATTATCAAAGTACCAGCAGACAGAACCAAACCAACAGTCCCATTTTATTGGATTTGGAGGATCAGATCAATTCGGATTTTCATATCGATAGAAGCTGCATCAAAGGTAAAGAACATACTATGACTCATCTGGTAGAAAGAATTGTAGACTACACGATCTATCAATTCAACCGACGATCTGATACTTCCAGTGATTATACTACTGTTTGTCCGGTAATACGAACAGTTCAATAATCAATCTACCGTCTTTTTTTTAGGGACCATCAAAATTTCCAGGAGATCCCATCGATCAATGCTACGAGCGAAAATTCGCGCTTCGCCCAATCTTTTCTACGAATCTTCTCATGCTTTGGGTTCAATGCTGCGATACTGGCGACGAAACGGTAGAAGGGCCAAATAATGGAGTTCGAAATAATTGCATCGAGCCACGTAACTTTACGCAGACGCTGAAAGCCCAGGAAGTGGCAGAGAGCGAGGAGCAATTTTGCGAACTTGCGCAAGATCAAGCTGAAGATCTGCAGAGTACAGAGATGATCGATAATATCGAAAAAGTCGAAAGCGTCAGTTTCGCCAAGCAATTAGGTTGCTCGGGCTGTGCCTTTCAAGTAATCAATTTATCACTTTTCTTCCTACTTCTTCTTCACTGCCTTAATTAACCCTCGAAATGTACTAGTCTCTTAGGAAATAAATACAGACAAATCACTCATTTCCATCATTTTTTTGATATTTTATTTTGGCAATATTTCATCTTATTTGTAAAGCATCACTTGTCAGGGTTTTTCTCTGAATCAAGTAAAGCATTTCGTAGGCATTTTTAAAGTTGGATTGTATGTAGCGATTGGCATTTTTGTGTTTCTGAGAGAAGATCAAATGTACAGTTTTTTGGAAGGGCACTTTTTGTTTGAACGAATTATAAATTAATCGATGATCGAGTTTGATCCAAATCAGCAGACAGTTTTTACATTGTCCGGGAAGTAACCTACTGGAGACTCGTCGCTCTCGTTGATAACTACATTTTCCTCGTCGACGATTTCGTCATCTTCTTCGTTATCTCGCTCTTCCGCACTCTTTGGCGACATTGGTGGAGAAATCTTCAAAAAAAAAATTCAAGAATTCTGAAATCAAAGAAGACTCACCTCAATAATGCTGTTGAACTTTTCATAATCAACTTGATATTTGTTAATATTTTTATTCCTCGTTATTGCCGGCTCGAAACGGTGTCCCCAGAGGATCTCGGAGCAGACGTAAGATGTTCTAACTTGGCAGGCCATTCCTGTTCCTTCCACGATTCCTGAAATTTCGAGTTTGAAAATTGTTTGCAGTCATGAAACGTTAGATCCTACGACCGAGGGGTAAGAGCTGTTAGATACTTGCAATTTTGAGCTTCGATTTACCGTACATTTACTGATGAATCACCCACGAGAGGGGTAACTCAAGCGATAAGTACGGTTGCAAATCGGCGTCAAACCGCAATTTCATCGACCGGGTTATAAAAAAGGGACTGACGTTATGGTTATCGATTATTTCGACTCACCGGCCATGATAACGATCAATTCTAGCGGCTCTCCTGAACTGAGAACTTCTTGAGACAACTCATACAGTGGCGATTCCTCGTTGATGATATGTACATAATCAACAGGCTGCGTTAAAAATAAAACATTCGAATTGGCGAACTCCACATTTCGCTCTTCCAGCGCCAGCCACTCGCCATCAAGAGATCTGCGCGTTTTCAGAAGCTTGCCGGATACATTGACATCTATAAGCAGCGAGTTGCGGAGGTTACACGCCCTTACGATCAGGCATAATTGGCCGTCGCGTTCAAGAATGACCGCTTTTGTTGAGAACTCGACAGTCTTTGCGCGGTATTTTGGTCGAGCGAGCTAAAACCAGAATATTACAAAAATTTTATTAGTTCATAACTTACCTTAGTAAAAACAATCGTAACAACAAGCGAATCCAAAGCGATAGCAGTGAGGAACTGAATGAACTGAAGAATAATTGCAATTGGGCACTCTTCGGTCGTCGACCTGAAGCCATAACCAATTGTTGTCTGCCCTTCCAACGCAAAGAGAAAGGCTGTGGTGAAATCAAAGACTTGATCGACACAGGAGCTAAAAAGAGGGTTACTTGTTCGTTGATTTCGTTATTGAGTTGACTTACGTATGATCGGTGAAGTTTTGTGGATTGTTATAAGCTTCGATATCATTGTGGTGCCAGGCGATTGCCCAGTAAAACAGACCAAATAATAGCCAAAGCCCTTGAAGATTATGATTATGAATTGATTTATTCAAACGCATGTCCAGAAAGACGTCTTCCAAGCCGGCAGCCGGCTGGTTATATAACTATCAGAACTCACCAAAGAAAGAAGCGAAAAAGGCTATCAGGACATAGTACCAATGAGCATCAACGAATGTCGTGAAGATATCCTTCATATACATGGCAGATTGTTCCTCCATATCTTTGAATGAGACTTGATTTCTCCCTTTTTTGTCCACAAGCCTGGTATGCTCGGAGAGCTGCTTTGCCATCTCCAGATCTTTTCCCCGCAATGTTCCGAGATATGAAGGACCATGTTTCGATAGCTACAATTTTTCCTTATGAAAAGTCCCTTACATTATTCCAAACCTTTTGACTGACTCTATAATCGCCACCGGTATCAAGGACCATGCGCGAGATATCTCTTCTGAGAATTTTCGATCCTAGAAATTCAAGGTCAATAACTTTTATTCTCTTGCTCCTGCCAAATTTTTACCATTATCGGAACTCTCAATAAGATCGCCTAGCTTGTCAATGCGCGACTTTGGGTACCGAGAAAAAGGGTTGAAAAAGATCAAATTTATAAAATGTCTCTATAAAATCTCTGGTATAAGTTCAAACCCCTTGCCCATCTCTTAATGATTCAAGCAGAGCTTCGGAGACAGCTGGAGAAAAGTGTCTGTTCCTTCCCTTTCCGGGACTGTAAGCGGGTGAAAATAATCCCATTTGGAAACCAAATAAGGGCATTTATATTCAAAAAATTTTCTCAATAATGAACCGGTTATGTGTCTCTCTGTAAGTCAAAAATGGACCCGGCCTTGGATAATCGTCTCTTGCCATCGTTCGACGCTGGAGGAGTCTGATAGAGAACTGCTCGGCCGTTCAGAAAGCACTTTGAGGTCCTTTGTTGCCCAAAGCTGAGTTGTGGTCAGATCATTACATGAATCTCAGATTCTGACAAAGACCGGATGAAATCACAAAAACCGTACTTCCGGATTTCAGTAGAGCAAATTTCGTTTAGTACGAATTCTTGTGTAAAAGTTTGCTATTCACCCGATTCCTTGTTAAAATTTTCCGATAACCTCCCGAGCCAGTGGCCCCACAATCGTGAATAGTAGCTGGGTAGCCTTCGAGTTTAGGCCTGCCGAGCATGAACGCCGAGTCGAGAGCTGAGTCCGGCGTGATCCTTCTCTTGAGGCTCAGAGCTGAGATTAGCTGGATCTCGGATGATCCCCATTAGACAAATCTCCCATGTCAGAAATTTGTAACTACTCGAAATTGAGCCAAATTTTAAAAGCGCTCCTTTCACACCGAGGATAATCGGGCTATTCAGTCAAAAATATTACTGTAGCAACTGTGGATTAACTCAACAAGGCGCTTTACGTGAATTTTACGAAATGTAATTAACTCTTAACTTTTAGACACTGAGCCTATCATTGATACTGTAAGATTCATCAGAAGAGGGTGAGAGCAATTTCTCTTCCGAAGCATTGCGTTCTATCGGCGCTTTACGTATCGTGAATCTGCTTGTATTTCTCTGTCTTACAGGAAGCTCCATTCGAAAAAAATATTCAGCTGCTCTGTTTATTCACGGAAAAATTGAAAATGACGCGGTAAAGCGGAAAAAAAAGTCCGGAATATTTTTTTCGTCAATCAACCAACTCGAGGGGGATCTTTTCAAGGCTCCTTTTTTCGGAGCTCAGATTCTGTTTTGAATAGGGCTTACTCATCGCCTTAGGGGGTCGAAAGAGTCCCTCAATCGATCATGTACCGGAGTTGAAGCAGGTGACAAGCTCAACCCCTTTGACAAGTCGATTTTTAACGACTTTTTCTCGGATTTCGGAAATCATGTTTGACAGTTTTTACATTCGACCTTACACAGGGAAAATTGAGATTTTTCCGAAAAATGATGGTTTCTGGGAAAACTTTTTAATCGTGGATTTTATGAAAAACTTTATTATTTGATGTTTATTTATGAATGACTTATCATAAATATAATACGTTCATAATCTGGGAATATTACTATTTCTACGACTATCCTATTCACAGGGTAATTAATAACTACGTAGATGATAGAAATACCTGTCAAATCACACTCATCCTCAGAGTACCAAGAATTCATACGTTTGAAATTCATTTATTCAAAAATCCAAAGCTACCTTTTTTTCTCGATTGAATCGGAGATCTAGCTGGAACCGAGTCTACCGATTTGGCGCGAAATCTGGTCTCACTAATCTCCACCACCATCTGTCAATTTAAAAAATTTCTATAATGATAATGATTTTAGGGAAAAAGAAGCCTCAGTGCCCCAATTTGGTGCACGAAGTGGGCCTAAGGGCTGCTCCGCCAAAAACTGATCCCTGGATAATCTTGACGTCCTTGAAATATAGAGACCTAGTTGGAGGAAAAACAAAAACAGTTGCTTTCGATAAACGGCCGTGGGTCAGACTTTAGAGAAATTTAAATATGAGATCTTTTTCAACCTTTTTTTCGTTCCCAATTATCAAATGATTCTCAACTTGCTATTTGCGCACATGCCATAATTCACTTTTGTCTCTTTCTGCTGAGAAAAAGCATGTTGCTAAAGCCTCACAAATCATCTCCTGCTATGTGCCTGAACTTCCCTCCCCTTATCACCCCTTTGCATAATTTGGGGGCGTGTAAATTCCATATTTGCTTCAACGTACCCCTCCTGGCATTTCTAGCGCTTGCTGCCTCCCTTTGTCGGATGCTCGCGAAAATTTCACGGGCAATTGGATTGTCGATTATTTCTTCGTCGACGGCTGGGGCGCTTCGGATAATTGAACCTTCGAGGTCTTTTTTTGAAGGGTGAATAATATGTTCATAATTTATTCTTATTTCTTATTTAAAAACTACCCATTCCTTGACAAGGCATACTTTTTCTATGTTGTTGATGTTCTGCAAACGAAACAAAAGATGACTTTCTCGATCGGCCGCTCATATTATCCGACTGATTTCTCTTCTTCTAAAAATTGGTGTAAAATTTTACGAATTTGGCATTTGCTTTTAGGAATTGTCTCTAGTCCCGCTTTATTCATTCTAACTTACTTTTACAAGCGGGTGCATCATACTTCTACATCTTGAAGCCGTAACGCCAGCTGACACCATGTCGTCTGTATCTTCTTCTATCGGTGCGAATGTGAATACTGTATTTCTTCTACAAATTCATCGTAAGTATCTCTCATTAAAAAAATCAAGAAGGTTGGGGATCTGACTGACCCTCTGTGAAGGATGTCTATAGCTCCGAGCAGGTGCAGGAGCTTAAAAATACTCTTGTCTCTGATCATGTCTGGAAAGTGTCTCATAGATAGTAACCCACTTTCAGGGCTGATAAGAAAGTGCTCGCTTTTGAATTAAAAAAAGTTCAACAAATTGAAAAAAAAAGAGAATAAATGGCAATAAAATGGGAAAATGCCGTAAAGCGTGGGATCAAGGAAAAAATGATAAGAATGATGTGATAAGACTGAGGATGGGCAAAAAGCGACGAGAAAAAGTCACGTACAAGTTCAAAAAAAAACGATGTCTTCCTTGATTTCAGTTTCTCTTATTTTATACCGTAAAACTGGAGGGCGAAAACGGCCAGGCTGCATCTCAGATTCTCAGTCGTGCTCTTTTAAATCTGGGTTTCTCGCCGTCAAAAAGGCACTCTTTGATTGAGGATGAGCCAGTCCAAGGGTGTTCAAAAGATGTTTCCCTGATAAATATTCATCTTTCCACAAAGTGCAAAGTGTACTGGTTATTCTGCTAGCGATTAATATAAATATCAATTCCACGATTTGACCGATCAACGATTTATAATTTAAGCAAAATTAAAATTCTCTTTACTTAGAAAGCACTTTATAGAAACCCACCTCAGTATTTGAGAACTCTTTAAAAGAAAACTTGGCCGGCTTCTCTCGTTTCAAAATGTTCAAAAATGTTTATTTTTTTCTTGGCCGAACCTACCAAGACGCTTCTTATTACTGTAATTCTATTCAATTGGGTCACAGGAGTGTATGATAAACTGAGAAAATTGAATTTGTCTTTGTCACGTGGCGAAAATCTGAATCCAGGAGCTCGGATTATGAAGGATCAGAGCAGCAAATGTGCTACGGGAGGCGTAATTCGCTGCTCTCAAAGGAAATTATTGGAAAGGACATTTTTAAGATTACAGTAATGCACCCTGGAGAGATGAAAATACACGCATTTTTAAGGTTACTCTTTATCATCGAATAATGCGAAACAGATGGCCATTAGTTATCCTGCTTTATTAGGATTGATTTGTTCTTCATCTTTTGAGGTACGAACCTTTTTCTCTGTAGAAATAAAATTACGGAGCGTATGAACGCTAGAAAATCGTATGAAATGTTAATAGGTGTCGCCGACCTTTCAAAAAACGTAAAAAAAGACGCGGCGTAGAACGCTACTGGCGATTATTTTTGATGAAATAAATAAAATGCTCGAGTGAATGAAAGGCAAGTGCAGCATAATTCATTAGGGCAGAATTAGGGATTAATCAAGCGATTGTGGCGAGTGGGTTCAGCCGCAGAAATGGGCGAAATTATGTTCGAGTTTAGGATTTGTACCAGTCTGCTTCGTCTGGAGAAAGATTAGTGTTCACCAGAGGTCACTTTTGAACCCTTTTTTATACCTTGAATAACACGGGTGCGATTTTGTCATCACAAAATGTGAGATTCTCTAAACGTAAACGATGGATCGTGACTTTGAAAACTGCTTAATTTCAAGCGTCCGACTCGTTTATGAGGTCGTAATGCAATTTCTGAGTGTCTGTGTTGCTTTATCTCTTTACGCTTACGCATTATTCATTCAAGATATAAAAGCAAAAATAAATGGCATTTAATTGCATTGTAACTGTCTAATTTAGATGCTTCCGGATAATTAACCTGTTTTTCGAGTCGTTCTCTTTGTCGCTGGCAGAAAAAATTAACTGAAAGATTTTCCGTCGTCAATTTTTGATGAGACGCGACAATGAGATTTTTAAGAGACAAGGTCATATTCTTAATAACAGTAAGTTCATCACTCCATGCTCCCCCTTGCCCTATAAAAATTTCAACTTAACGGCTTACCTTGAGTTTTTCTTTTCTCAATTCTCTCCACTTTTCCAGCAGACCTTCCTGTCAGCCAGTTGTTCATCCCTCCGTCGATAATTAAGATCTTTCGCGATGTTTTACTGCGGCTGTAGAAGTTTCTCGAGCACTTTATTGGGCCCGTTCTGGAATGTCTCCCTTTATATTCTATATTGCCCCTAATAATCGAGCTGTATGAACTGACAGCAAAGATTATGAGTTGATCTGCCCTTGCGTGAACTCATGTGAGCCTGAACCCTGCTTTTTTACTAATAATACCTGTTCTTGAAAGGGATTTCGTTTCAGATGTTCCATGTTTGATCGGATCAGAAAGAAGCGGCTCGGTAGATGAACTTTCTTGCTAAAAATCATTTTTAATTTCTTTCATTTAAAAAATTCCTCACGATGGACAAAAAAGGATCCCTAAGCGCCTCATTTCGGTGTGTAAAAGGTTCATAAGAGCTGTGTCTTTTGTTTCTAAATTTTTCGAATAATTTTTCTCGTTTCATGGAAATCTGAACTCCAATTAAAAAACTTGTGATCACGCCAAAGTTATAAAAATTAACGCTCTGGATGATGTCATAGGGACCGGAAAAGATTTACAATCCACGAAATTATAAAAAATAGAGGCATCATGGGAGGGGGCTGGTCTTTTAGACAGGAGGACAAACGGACCGCTACGAACCAGTTTTAGATTCTAAGAAAAAAAAATATTTCTAATGTTACCATGTTAAATTCTGAAGGAAATTAACTCTGCTTCGAACTCACTTCTCTTTTGAAATCAGTACTCGCACTCTCCCAAGAAGCCATAGTTTCAAGTGTTTTTTCGTAAACTAAAGAAGCAAGTCTTTTGTTCAACGAATTCTTGCGTTCGGTTGTAGTATTTGTAGTCAAGTGTTTGAATGAACGAAGGGAACTGGCCAAAAGGAGCCTCAGGGGTGCTCGAATAAGAAAGAATCCGTATTGAAAGGAGATAATTTATCAGAAGAATGTGCAGAGCACCCTGTTTAGCGAAGCTATAAAATTGTCTTATCACCTTCATTCTCATTGACGTGTGTGTTCTTCTGTTAGAACATACTCAGCTTGTAGAATTGTCTATTGTTAGTTGTTATCTCTAACCTTGCGGTTTGTAAAACTACCGTTTCGAATTTTCGATAAGAAATAGAATGTCGCTCTCTAACGCCGAATAACAAAATTTGCAAAGAGCTTGTCAAAAATATATTTTTTTAAAATGACGATAAAGTCATTTTTATATTTTTCTTCTCAAATTTTTAGTCGAATTCTATCAGAGAACCCACTCGCTGCTTTCGAAGAGCTCACTAATTCACCGACTCATGGCCTGTCAGCTTGTACCCATGAATCTAACTTCCGAAGTGATGTATTTCAACGATCAATCTTGGCGGAAAGAATCATAGGAGGAGTCTTGGCCGCCGAAAATGAATGGCCGTATATAGCGAGATTGACTGTTACCCAAGGAAGTAATAACTACCTATGCAGCGGAACTGTAGTTGACAATCACTGGGTTTTAACAGCGGCGCATTGCTGCCAGAATAGCGATTCTATCAAAGCGACCTTCAGCGATCTCAATAAAAAGTTCACGGAAACCAACGAATACGAGCTGACTGTGAAAAAATTCGAAATCCAACCGCAATTTGGAAATGGGTATGATCTCTGCTTGCTCAACTTTGAAGAGGATATAATCGAGAGTGACCCCGATAGAGATGTTCAAATCGCTTGTTTGCCCGATGTCGCTACTTTTCACGGGAAAGCATGCTGGGTAGCCGGCTGGGGTTCTAAAAAATTAGGCGGAAAACTTTCGAATAAGCTTCGTCAAGCAGGAGTGAATGTGATGAGCCAAGAATATTGCCGTGAGTTTTCGGATATTCCTTGGGAACATTTCTACGAAGACGATATCTGCGCAGGACTCCCGGATACAGATGGTGACGGAAGGACAGAGGGTGGCGTAGACGCTTGCCAAGGAGATTCTGGAGGACCACTCCTTTGCAAATTCAATGGCAAGGCTACTCTCGCTGGAGTCGTTTCACGAGGGTATGGCTGTGCTCACGAAGGATATCCTGGCCTATATTCGTCTGTATATCACTCACGGGATTGGATTCGAGAAACTGTGCTTGGCGATGAAGAACAACAAGCACAACCGCCAACAACGACAACATCGACAACTGAATCAACTCAACCAGAATTCGCGGATATCACCAATCTTCCTTTGCCAGCCCTGCAAACCTGTGATAGTGATATAAATTTCCCTGCTGATAGGATTTTTGGAGGAAAATTTGCGAATAAAAATCACTGGTCTTTCATGGCTCGTGTTAAGGCAACGGAGTCATCAAGAACGCAAACTTGTGGAGGAACAATTATTGAAAATCATTGGCTTCTGACTTCTGCTTCTTGTTGCGAGGACGTCGATTCTATCCAAGCGACGTTTAACGATGTTCATCGTTCAAAGAACGAAGCTGGCGAGTTCACGATGAACGCCGATCACTTCGAAATTCATCCCAGCTATGGACAAGGATTTGACCTTTGCTTGGTATATTTCGAAGAGAATATTATCGGAAATGGTCAAAATTCCGGCGCCGAAGTTGTTTGCTTGTCAGACACGCTACCTATCCATGGTTCAGCGTGCTGGATTGCTGGATGGGGAAGAAAAGATAATGGATACTTTTCATGGAAGCTTAGAGAAGCAACGGTCAATATTTTTGACAGAAATTATTGCAAAGAATTTTCAAATTATAACGAATTATATGAAGACGACATTTGCGCTGGAGTTCCGGATAGAGACGGAAATGGACTGATCGATGGCGGAGTCGACGCTTGCGATGGAGACTCGGGTGGTCCGTTGATTTGTGACTTTGACGGTCGAGCAACACTCGTTGGCGTCATTTCACGAGGAAACGGCTGTGCGCTTGAAGGATATCCAGGAATATACTCTTCGATCGCACATTCCTACAGTTGGATTCAAGAAATTGTTGGAGCTGAAAAAATAGAAGATTTCGAGGACGAAGAGCCCCAGTCTGAATTTCAAAGTCTGTCGAACATCATTGTTCCGAATCTACAAACTTGTTCTCATGCTGAAAACTTTCCCGAGGAACGCTTTTTCTGGACAAATCGAATCGTTGGGGGTTCTTTAGCGGAGGAAAATCAATGGCCATATATTGTTCGACTCGATGTTCGCTGGGGGAGCTGGGCAAGCTACACATGCGGCGGGACTGTAGTTGACAATCATTGGGTTGTCAGCGCTGCTCATTGTTGTGTTGGAATGAGAACAATTTATGGTACCTTCAGCGACCTGAGAACGAACAGAAATGAGGAAAACGAGTACACTTTAGAAGCTGATCATTTTCTTGTTCAACCAAAGTACGGCAATGGAAACAACGGATACGATATTTGCATGATCCACTTTAGCGAAGATATTATCGCTACAGATCCAGACCAAGATGTGAAAATGGCATGCATAAACGATGCTCTCCCTGCTCACGGATCGTCTTGCTGGGTCGCTGGGTGGGGCACAACACAATTCTACGGCCAGCTTTCAGACAAGCTTCTCCAAGCAGGTGTTAACATTATGGATAGGGAATACTGTATTCAAAATTCACACGAAATGATTCTTTTCGAAGACGATATTTGTGCTGGAGTTCCGGATCGAGATTTAAACGGTTTAATCGATGGAGGAATTGACGCTTGTCAAGGTGATTCCGGAGGGCCACTTATCTGCGCGATTGACGGGAAGGCAACGCTAGCAGGGGTCGTTTCTCGAGGATATGGTTGTGCTGACGAAGGGTATCCTGGACTTTACTCGTCGATCGCACATTCATACGACTGGATCCAAGAACTTGTCAGGAGTGGACCGCCCTCATCATCCGCCCCTTCGCCCCCTTCGACCGAGAATAACGATGGCAGAAGTCAAAGCTCTGGCCCAGTGACCGAATGTGATTCGACAACCATCACCATCTCTGCTCATATCAACGACCTCTATGGGAACTTGCCCGAGGATCTGTGGGATGAAGTCCGTTTGATAGTCGGCACATGCAACGGAACCCAACAACATGAGTCTGGTTGGATTATCGAAACTTTTGAACTTGGTACTTGTGGCGGAGAAATTTCACAAAAAGCTGACATCACTTTTGAATGGAGAGTATGTGGTTCACGATCACTAATAAGTAGAGATGGTGTTTATGTTGCGTCAAAACTTGGTTTTGATGCAAAATGTGTGTATCCTAGCACGACTACTGTCGGAACTCACGTTGACGTCCAACAGATAAAATATTGCCATGATGATTTACTTATTGAAAATGATTGCGTTACTCCTGGAAATGGAAGTTTTAGTGATTTAGTTCAGCTAGATTTCTATAAAGACGAAGCTTATCAAAGTGAAGCGGTTGATTTGAATATAGGTAAAATGAATATAATTTTAATTTTTATAACCAATCTTATATTAGGTGAAATCATCTACGGCCTGATTTCTGAGAATAAAACAAGCAGCTTCAACTTTAGTTATCAGGTGAAAAATTTAAGAAATTTAAACAAATAAAATAATTGCTTGAAGATAACGAAATGTACAACGTATCAAAATTCGAACAAAACTGGAGCCTCTTACGACCTTATTTCAAGTCCATGCCAAGAGACCGATTCCTCTCATTTCCTTGAATTAGATATCACCGATCTAACTGGCAAAAACTCGGATTCAGAAGACAATGCTTCCTTCCACTTCAATACTTTTACTTTCAACGAAAATGATGATGAACTTCATTTCGAGTGCGAACTCAAAGTCTGCATCGAAGACTTCGAAACCGGCGATCTCATAGATCAAAATTGCATCGAAACATGCTCTTAGAAACTGACCGAAAAATTCAATAATAATTGAGCTATGAAAGACTTACGTTATGCATTACTGTTCCTCGTCTTGCTCTCACGTCTTTTGCCAGGGCATCGGCTTCAAGTCCTTGGAGAGTTTTTGTTTGCGACCAGGTTGGGGCAAGTAATGGTGACTCTTCGGTTCCATGGTCTGAAAGAATATTTACTTTTGCCAGATAAAATCTGCCCAAGGGTAAAGTCAAAATTCAAGAGAATTCAAGCAGACATTGAGACAAACCATAACGTACTTGACAGGAATAATTCAGAGAAAGACACTGATCTGTGCATTTCAAGATCGCTAGCCCAAGTGACACCTTTCTAAGTCAAGGTTGGTAGCGTTCACTTAGGATATTAACCAGCTGTCATCAGATTTACTATGATACAACCAGTGTCTTGGTATTTTGGGGAGCTATGCCTATTGGATCGACTACGATATCCTGTAGAAAATGAAGCTCTCCGAGATTAATGGAGTGACTCCTATGTCGAATTCGCTGTTTCTGAAGAGAAGGGAGCTGAAGATTGGTCTCCGTTATTTCTGATAATCTTCGTGACCTTGGATAGCGCGGGGAAAGTCTGTGTATATCATTGAAGAAGCTTCGGACCTAAGAAATTCTACAAGCTTTTCTATGACACGGTTTTACTTGAACGGAAGCTCTTCGAACGGTTCCAGCTGCTTTTGATATTCTCGAGCTACCAAAAGTCTTCAAAAAGCTTTTTCTTGGCGTTTTCTCTGGAATCGGTAAATATCTCATCCCTTTTTGTTCTTTCATTTCTTCGATGTCGACTGGAGACAAGGTTCTCATTTTGGATACTCTATCTTTTTGGAGCGTGAAAAGTGATCACTCCACGTAAAAGAAAACAATCAACTATTTATAAATGCAAACTCCTAGTCAGTTTTCTCTGTGGCCAATTTGAAAGATTCGGAAAAAGTGTGGAAGCAATCAATTATTTATGCGAAGTATTTGATTTAAGAAAAGCTCAATTTTGCCTCAGAGCCTGTGAAGGAGCTGACTGTAAATAATGATGACGGGTTTAATCCTTTCTATCCGTTCTCTAGGGCCGTAATTGTCGATAAGCTCATCAGTTGATCCTCGTTCATCATCAACGCCCGTGTCTGATTAAAATTAAACTCTTTGAAAATTAGAAAAGAAAACTAAAAACTCGAGCTTCAAAAACTACCTGTAAACCAAAGAGTAGGAATACTAAACTCCATTTTTTCACCTCTCTGAAGAAAATTAATATTAGATCTGGAAATAACTGCACGGTGCAATTGAAAAATCATCAATGATTGAAAACACAAAATCACGCATAATCTTCCAACAAAGCTCTCTCTCTCTCTCTCCTCTTTTCCAAAAGACTAGGGTTTAGCATATGTACAAAATGAATCTCTTGATGCATGGTAGATTCTCAAATTGACATCAAATTGTCAAATTGGCGACTGTGAGTGACATTTCAAGTTCAGCTCCTTTCCTATTTGGGCGAAAATCCTCACGGCCCTTGAAGTTCACTGTTTATGTTTCTTCTTCTAATTTCTCTCTGTTTTCTTAAAAGACGAGGCTTTCCTGGTGACCTTAAAGGTTTTGGCGCTCAAGAATCCTCAAGAATTATACTATTGAAAGCCAAATTATGTAACGATCACGTGGCAGAGAAAAATATTTACTGGGCTTCGGGCTCATCCCCACGATTTAAAAGCAGTTTCTCAATAATTAAGAAATAAGATGAATTAGCCGTTCTCAAAATTGTCATGGCGAAATTATTTATCATGTGTATTTGGCTCAGTAATTGACCTGTCAAGTTCGTTATGGTTGTCTTCTATGATTTCAATTTGCGTCTGTCAATTTTTTTCTATTTTCTGATTCTTTTTACCATTCAAATCTGGAACAGAGCCGATTGAAGTTGCGGTAATCGTCCGGATTCGATTAACTGTCTCATTGATTGTAACCTTAATCCATTAAAAGGACGATTAAAAGTTCAGATCAACCTTTACTTGAGTAAATCTTCCCGTTTTCTCTCCTTGGGAATTCTCCTCTTCCATGATTTCTTGACGTAATCTCTTTGAGTGCCAAGTATTTCTCTGTCTAGCTAGTACTTGGACGGCAATTTACAACTTGCTAAAAGATCCTTCTGCTCTTCCAATAGATTTATGAGCTGATAGATGGAAAAGAATTTCTTTTTCTATATCCGATCATTTGCCAAGCTAACAGACCGCGGGTGGGTGACGAATAAGCCAAACCTCGATTTCCCACACTTGATACACACGAGGAGACGTCTACACATTTAATTTTATAATCGCCGATAAAATATTTACGCAAAAGCTTCCGAAAGTCGCAAAAGCCCTTTGACTCTGAAATTTGCTGAGGTATCATTCCTTCAGATGATGGTCTTGCCAGCTAATGATCAGATAAATAGAAATTCTAGAATAATGAGTTATGAAGATTCACCTTTCATAACAGGCTTTGAGGATGCAGTTTATCGATAAATGACCACAAACAGTGATGATTCTTCAGATCATCATGGGTTGGATTGAATCCTACAGCAGTCATTCCTCTTACAGAAAATTTCAGTACGATCAACTGCCCCTACCTCAACGCCATTCGCGCTAGAATGTGGCTCACGCTAATTTACTTCATCGTTTTGGTAACGCATTTCTTCAGAGTAATGGCTTCGCCTTATTCTTGTCCCAGGAAACGGCTCCGCGGGGCTAAGATTTTTTAGAGCGCTATCTCTCCTCGAGCCAGCAAAGTATGATAATGTTATCGACCGCACTCGGTGTTCCTTTGGCGTTTTTGTTGGGTGGAAGAGTATCTCTGCAGACTGGCTTTTCTTATGTTCTCGTGGTCTTTATTTTGACCGTTATCCACATGTACGGGCAAGGTTAAAATGGAGGAAATATTGATAACACGGTTCTTTTGTAGAGGCGTTACTTACGGTTCTTTTTTCTGGCACAAGCGAGTGTTTGCCAGAACAGGCTAGGGTGTGCAAAATGCAGGCTGAAAATTGGGCAGTAGGAGGGGGAGGGACTCGTTTTCCCTCCTTCTTCAAGGGCCCCTAGGGGCTGCCAAATGGGAGAGAGGCTGTGTTGGTCGAAAAATGTTTCACGAACAGGGGACCTACCAGCGTCTCCCTCCCCAATTAACACACAACCCCCTCGACCAATAATTGCCCACCCTGAGAAAAGGTGGCGAACAGCTTCGGGGATGGACAATCATTTCAAACACACAAGTAAGTTGAACACTATTTTTTAGTTATGCAAAATTTATATTTATTCAAGGGAATCTTACTGATTTTAAATGCATTAATTTGCGCGATTTGGCAACTCCCAAATATGGATGAAATTGTCAGCGAAAGTGACCCCGCCTGTAAATCATCTGTAATGCCTGGCTTTAACTTCCACAAAAGCAGCTATGACCACCATTGATTTTTAGAAGATTGTAATAAACATATTTATTTAAATTTTCGTTCAAATTGCTACTTTTGACGGGTGCAATATGCGCTTTTGCGTCAAAGGATTGTTCTTGCTAACAGCGACCGTTTAAAAGCTTGAAACGAGGAGTAACCAGCGAGCGTTTCTGAGAAGAGGGATCAAAAAAAATGCCTAATATTTTGTCCGCGTGTGATACCGAGGAGTTCAAAATGAAGCAGCGAATGCTCCTGGAGCTCATGGACTTGAAAAATCATAAAGAGATGGATAGACTGTTCGTCAACTATCAAAGGAACGCTCTCTTTCCCAATTCTGCCCAATAAGCCCACAAATATGACTCATATTATATGAGCTCGGCAACCTGTGTAGAAAAACTGAGTCAGGTTTTGAAGAGCTAAAATGAAAACGAAAGCCGCGAAGGGGTTTCGCCATCTTTAAGAAAGAAATTGTTGGCCATCTTTACGAACTAAAATCTAATCGGTCAAATGATCCATGATGATTTGAAAATAGTATTCAGCAGTTGAGTCTCTTCAGAATTAACCAAAGGAGACACAATGAAAAGGGTTTATTGTAATCCCTTATTTGCGCGTCAAATACTTAAAGGGTTGACGCTCTGTACCATAAAGCTGCCGTAACCGGGTCAGTCAGGAACAGCGGGAGGTTCCACTTTTTCTCAAAAACAATCGGCGACGAGCATCAGATCGGAAATCAGTCAGTCTCGATTTTTGAGAAGTTATCAGTTTTGGGTCTATTTTTCTGCGTTTTTGAATTTCAAGAATGAAAGCAAAGCCTTTGACAGAAGAGATTTCCGAGTCTGGAACCGAGAGTTTTTCAGGAAAGGATACGAAAGTTAGACATGAGAAACAAAGGTGAACATTGAGTACCCTTCTGAAAGGAGATGAGTTTACTGAAGATATCAGCCAAGGCGATTTCCTCCACTCAGGAGATGCGCTGATTCCACTCAAGAAAGTCAAAAAGGTTTATTCACCAGCTCACTTGGTTCCCAGTCAATTATTCAATCATGCAAATTTTCAATCTTAAAATTCCCATTCATTTTTGCCGTGAATCAAAGGCCTCAATATAAAATCTTTGGACAGTCGTTTTTTTTTCAATTTTCCCAAAGAATATTTTATTTTGAAAAAATGGGCAGAAAATCGGATTTTTATGATGTCGAGCAGATTCAAAGAGATAATTTGCAAGTAAATAGAAGGCCTATTAATTGGTTGAATTCAGGGTAACTTCTTCATTTTTAGGGGTCATTAAATATAGACTTTACTTAACGAGGAAGTAAAAGGTACCCTTGCTTTCAATTCCCGGAAATTTCTTTGAGCTAAACTCTATTATATTTTTCATATTTGACTACCGGCGTATAAAAACCCTCCGACCGACCATTTCCATCTTTTTCAAATAACGTTCCGTTTGGAAAAAATGGTACGTATTTTCCAGAGAAATGGTTCTGTTTTTCTGTGTAACATATTCACCATAAACAAAGACAAGAATCAAAAGAAAACAAAAAAAGCCCCCCGCTAGGCGGTACTATAGTCTATAGAACCTTTAGCAATTATGTAGTTTAGCTTAAGCTAGAGGCAGTGTTAGAAAAAATAAAATAGATACAAAAAGAAGGTCTAGCGCCCGCGGCAGGTCGGGTCTTCACGAACCACGGATTTTTTTTTTTCAAAGCACCACTTTACGTTCACTCTCGATCATCTTGGACCAAGATGGTATATTTCTCATTTTTTTTTGTATTAAAACCAACATACAACTAATAAAAACCTTTAGGGAGAGAGCAATTCAGAGCCGAAGAAAGAGACTTGGGGAGGAAAGCTAGAATTCCTTCTCTCATGTATTGGTAAGATATTTATTCACCTTTGAGCTTCTCGACTGGTAGATAGAGAGTTAAAGCTAATGAAACAGTTTTAAAGGCGTATAAAACTACCGAGTAGCAGACATCACAAAGAGTGCGTCCCGTAAAAGGTCGCTGAATGCATCGTTTTGGCCGTGCATGACCTGTTGGAATTTTCCCAAACTTGAGAATTTAGGGTACTGCGTCGGCCTTGGAAATGTTTGGCGATTCCCATATCTAGCTTATCAAAATGGAGGTGGCGTGTTCTTCATCCCTTACTTTCTCATGCTGTTTCTCTGCGGTATTCCGATTTTTCTGACTGAGCTGTCACTCGGTCAGTACTCGGGCGAGGGAACGCTTGGTGTTTGGAAAACTGTCCCAGCCTTCAAAGGAACACAGGTCAAAATATTATTACAAGTTGAGGGTCTTCACGGACCGCATTACTTTTCGCACTTTTTTTTCAAAATTGTAAGAGATATCAGGTGCAGAAGGGCGAGAGCTAAACGCGAACTGCTGAAATAACAGCGTCCGAGACTCGGAGAGAGGATGAATTGACAGCTTCGCTTCAAACTTGAGTTTAAATTCGGTATTACCAGTCATAAGTGAAGTGGAAGAGCGCCGCTGGGGAGCCGCGGGGTTGAAATTTTAGCTGTTTTTTACGGATGAGCTGCTCCAAGCTTTTCAATTTCAACTTAAGGATTAACTCTTAATTTCCGAGTTATTCGTTTTTGACCTAATGAAAAGGAATCGGATACGGCATGATTGCTGTCAGCTTCTTCGTCATGATCTACTACAACATCGTCATAGCCTACTCCCTCCACTACCTCGTCGCTGGTTTCAACAAAGTCCTCCCTTGGACCGAGTGTAATGCATGGTGGAACAAAAACGAAACAAAAGCCTACTGCGAAATAACCAAGATGCTCACTCCAGAAATGAATGATTGCAGAAACAATGAAACATTTTGGAAGTTGAACTCGACTTTCACCGACGCCGTTATGCCTGACATTCAGGATAATTATTTTTTGAGTGATCAGCAAGTTACCGATTTGCTGGATGTAAGCTTGAAGTCTTCTGAACCAGCGGAAGAATACTGGTTGTAAGTAAACATACCATGCATGTTAAATACGACAACGACTGTATTTTTGGTTAAATTTATTTGAAAAATATTCTAGCCGTCGAGTGCTTCAACTTTACAATGATGAAACCGATGCCAACCCAGAAATGAAATTCACGCTGGACAATTTGGGCGTCCCACTGGGTGAGCTCGTCGGCGCCAACTTCGGTAAGAGATTTAATAGTGTTTATATTCAGCTAACAAAAAATCATTCAAGTGGCTTGGCTACTCGTCTTCCTGTGCCTATTCAAAGGCGTTCAATCCGTTGGCAAGGTAGTCTATGTTACCGCAACCTTCCCTTACGTCGTCTTGGTGATCTTGGTTATTTTTGGTGCGACGCTTGATGGCGCTAAAGATGGAATTACCTTTTACCTGAAACCGGATGTATCCAAACTTGCCGATTCAGGCGTATGGGCTGCTGCTGCCACGCAGATTTTCTACTCTCTTGGTGTTACTTTTGGTGGATTAATGGTCATGTCTAGTTACAACGAGTTCGACAACAACATCTTACGGTAGATAACAGCGCATTTATTCGTAAATCATAACAATTTTAGTGATACATTTATTGTATCCTGCGGAAATTGTTTCTCATCCGTCTTCGCTGGTTTTGGTGTCTTCTCATTTTTGGGCCACATGGCTTACAAAAACTGCATCAAAGTCGAAGATGTCGTCGCATCCGGACCTGGTCTCGCTTTCATCGCTTATCCCGAAGCTATGTCGTTGCTTCCAGCTTCGCAATTTTTTTCAGGTAAAAATTCTCTTCCCTGATGGTTATTTTAACCCATTCAGCGTTGTTCTTTATCATGCTGGTCACTCTCGGCCTCGACTCACAATTCGCCATGGTCGACGTCCTCATCGCTGGCTTTTGGACGAGTTTCCAAGTTGCCGCTATGGTTGGCGACGAGTCGCTGTTCTCTCTACTACCTGCTTGATTGGCTTCCTTCTCGGCATTCCTATCCTTACTAACGGTGGCTACTGGTTCTTCAATCTCATCAACGACTACTCTGCCTACCACGGTCTTCTTATTCTAGCATTCTTCCTCATCGTCGTCCAACACTTCTTGTACAACTTCTACACGGGCAAATTCCGATTTGTTTCCAACCTCGAAGAAATGGTCGGCTCTCTTTCAGTCATTACCAAGGGTTATTTTTATCCAATGTGGTACTTGATTACCCCCGCCATGTTGCTTTACGTAATCATTACTGCTTTCCTTGGATACGATACCATCGCGAACGCCTACCGAGATGTTACTGGGGATGATCCAGACAGCCCGATTCAAGTTTTTCCTAAGTGGAGCAACACAATTGGTAAACAATTTGTTTTAAAAATCGCCTAATCATGTTTCCAGCCATGCTGATGTCGATGACTCCAGCGGTGATAATTGTTGTCTACTTTGTCGCGTCCATTCTCCTGAAGGGCCTTTCATCTCTCAGGCCATCCGACGATTTCATGTCTCAAAAAGAAAAGGAAGAACATGGAACAGGTGCGTCTTAATCTTTCCCTTGCTCTTTGTAATCTCTTTGCTCTTAGGAAATCCGGCTTTCCGGGACATTGCGCCAGCTAAAGAAGAACAGTCCCATTTATAGATTAACTTGCTATTGTCTGCTCATGCTAGTTCATTAACACAGAAAACCTACAAAGCCTCTACTTTGTCTCTTCATGTGAATAAAAAATATGCTTTGAATGACATTTATTTTTTTCCATAATTAAAGTTTCCCATAAAGCCGAAAGAAGTATAAGAAGTTTGCAAAAAAGGATCTTCCCCTTCCGGCGTATGATCAGCTTCAGCAACAGTTGTAGGATTTGCTATTAGCTGATTGACTTCGTTGAGAAAATCCATGCATGACCGAAATGGTTTTTCTTCGATCTCCGATTGAATTTTTGGTTCATTGAAAATTTTCCTCATCAGCTGCTCCCTTTTATTCTCAGACTCTCCTAAAAGCGATTTCGAGAGATGAATTTTTAGAATTTCCTTACCGTTGGAGCAAATGTCTATCAAGGTAAATAACGCGATTGTCTCAACAGTCGAGCAAGCCAAATAAGAACTTGGGCCAGAAGCTATCACTGACGCGAATAAAAGACAAATTTTGCCAATTTTCATTGTTCGATTCTGCTTACATAACTTTTTGTCTGGCTTATATACTGACATTTTAATTTTAAAAGAAAATACAATATTTATAATAAACACGTGTCGATAGCTACCAAGTCACTTGAACCTCGTATTAACATAAGGGCCTCTTTGTTGACAGACGACAGTTTTGGACGATTTACAGTACTTTTGATGGGCTACCCCGTTAGTTAGCAGTAAAGCAGACTGAGATTTTACACACTGTTACGTTTATTTTTTTCCATAATCAAAATTGCCCAAAAAGCCAAAAGTCGAAGTCATTGTTTGAAAAAATATATCTCCGCTTTCTAGGGCAGAATCAACGCCGACTGCTGCAATCGTATTTATGGTGTCAGCAAAACCCGTGCATGATCGGACGGGTTTTTCTTTGAGCTCCGATAGAATCGTCGGGTTGCTGAAAATTTTGCTCACCAACCGCCATTTTTGTTGTTCGGAATCCCCTACAAACATGATTTTCTACATCGTTTACAGCTGCTTACCGTTTGAAGTTCAAACTTTGAACACTGGTCTATCAACTTGTTAATATCCTCGTCCGATTTTGCTGGATAGAAAATGGTGGGAAAAGACATCAACGCTAGGAGAAAATTGAAGTACTTGAAGATTTTCATCACTTGATTTTTTCCTTTTTTGCTGCTTCTGTTCGCCAGCCAGCCAGGAAGGGACATGATTTATGATCGATAGAAGAATTTTACCAAAAAAAAATTAAACGAGTCAAATAAATATTTACGACTTTAGTGACTAAAGTTTAGTCGGTGTGGAATATATTTCCCTTTTTTTACTAGCTTACGTGAAAACTCCTAACATTATCCTATTAGAAAATTCAACTGAGAGGAGAAATTCCAGAGGTGATCTCTGAACTTTTCATTCATACGAAGGGAAATATTAGTCGCCCCTGAGTATGACCCTTTGGAGATGTATAAAACACGGGACAGAGTGAATTCTTCAGAAATTTTCGTTTTTGTCAATTTTTTGAGCTTCATGGAGAGTAAATTATGGTCAAGGACAGGGTTGAAAATGTTCGAATATTTGAACTCAACGTTATCGAAACAAATCACGCTACACTAGAAGGAACTCCAGCTAGAGAGAGGCGAAGGATCAACGACTGCGACATCGTTGTACCAGCAAGTTAAAATGAAAACTCGCTTTTGCGGCAGGTTGATGGAGCGCCATTTGATGAAATTTAACTCAGCGAGCAAGGGAAAAATGTTCGCAAAATGTGGGCGAGCTAGGGGTTTGGGCACGTTACTTCACGATGACTTTAAACTCAATTAGCCACAGAACTTTCACCTCCGACTAAAAGAACGATCTTAGATCGCCGACCTATCAAAGAATGAAGTAGAGAAGGTCGTCAAGGCAGCTTCCTTTAAAATTATATTTATTTCTATTTTCGAGCAGGACTTATTCTAAGAATTAGCGATTTCGAATTTTGAGTTTGTCGAATTTTCCGTCGCGAAAGGGTTTACAAACTGGACAATTGATTTTTCTGCAGTTTCTTTTTTGAGTTCGATCGTTGTTGAAATAAATACAAATTTAAATCAAATAGAGGGATTAATTTTCTACTTGAATGAACAAATTCTGAAATTCTGAATTAATTCCATCGAACCTTTCCTCCAATGATGAACAATTGTCTTCGTGGCGATACAATACTGTGTGATGCACCATCTATCCATCGTGCAAAAGGGCATGTGCTCGATCGCTCGTTTGATATCGTCGCAGTGTTTGACTCTGCAACTAGCCCCGCGCTTGCCATAGAAGCCGTTGATGCACTTCATCGTATGGATCAAGGTCATCATCGAGCCACGCACCCAGGAAAGTCGCTTCTTGAGCATATGTTCAGGAAGTCTTCGCTTGTCTTTTCGGAGGGGTTTTCGGGTGTATTCATAAACAGGCTCGGTTATTTCACAGAGATAGTCGATCATAGCAGCGCCGCCAGTGTTGATCGTCATCCTTATCGATAAAAATTATCAAATTTATCTATAAAATTGAATACAATTCTGAATAATCTATTCATTATCGGATCTGGACTCCTCCTTGCTATCAAACGCGCTTTCTCTTATCATTAAAATCGACTAGTACCTCAAAGAAGCTTTGGTAAAAACGAGTTTTGGTGCTTGTTTTTCTGGTATGTCTTCTTTCTCTTCGTTGTTTTGAACAAACTAACGGAGGAGTCCTGAAGTGAAAGAGGAGCTAAAGGCTCCAGCTCGTGAGTTATCAAACCGTGTGACGTCGCAATTATTCAAACGGTTCCCAGGCGGTGATCTATCGAGTTCCACGACGGAAAAGTAGTTCTAATAGTTGCTGTCAGGAACTTGCTGATATCCGACTCTCTCAACCTCGAACTTATGAGAAAATTTACAGAGTGGGCGTTATCACGCTTGTTGTCCCTGATTATTTCATTTTTATTTGGAAATATATTTTCAAGACAGATATAATGTGTGAATTGCGAAAATATTACCACCATCTCGATAACCTAAAGGAGTTTTAGGTCTGCCATTTGCTCACAATTATAACGACGCTCTCAAGCAATTGTCAACGAGTTCTAGTCTTGGACTCCAAGAGATACTCCCGATCAAGGGTCCGTGAACATGGGGATATTCAGCGAATTCATTTTTTCCATGAATTTTACAAATGTTTTATCTCAAAATCTTTCCATTTTTAACTTTGTTGCTTGGCCTAGATAAACTAGAAAGGGAAGAAGTTTTCGAGAGGAAATTCAGTGAAAAATGCGCTTCAAACGAGATCGGGGGAAAAAGCGCCCTCCATCAGTCTGAAAAGTGAGAGTTGAGCTCTCGTGCGATTCAGTCAATAACGCTCGGGGCGGCGCTGTGAGTTGGGTTGACTCATCGCGCTACTAGGGCTCGATGAGTGGGCATTTTCGGATGTGGCGCTGAAACTGGCGAATCAACTTGGTGTGCGCCGCCGCGGGTGGGCGACTAGCGCCGCGCGCGTCCGCTGATTGGCCGAGCGCCGCGTCCGGATCGGGTGCACCGCGAAAACAGAGCGACGCGAATTTTAGATTCAACGCGCCGCAACACGCCGCAACTCTCTCTCTCCAGCATCTCACCCAGCATCTCTCACACACCGAGCTCAGCTCAGAAACGCTCAGCTCAGAGAAAACGCCCCGAAAAGGGCGAAAAATTTTTTCTTCAAAGAAAAACTCCTGTGCCGAAGAAGACGCAGCTGGGAGCGAAAATTTTTTGGAAGCGAAAAAAAATTCTAGAGACAAAAATTTTGAACGAAAGAGAGAACGTACGAAAGAACAGCAATTGAGCTAAAATACAGGTGATTCATTATATTAAACATTGCATGAAAAAATCACTCACGAAAAGGGAAAATCATCGAAGGGGAGGGAAAGAAAGTCGGGGAGAATCGACGATAAGGGTCTTTTTGTTTCAATTTGAAAAATACGTGGGCGGGAGAGCAGAAATGTCCGATGGACGGATAGAAAATTGCAGAAGGAAAGAAAACATCAAATAGACGGAGATTCTATAGAATTCGATTTCGAGAAAAAAGTCAACGCGGGCGGAAAAAGACGCGAATCCCCATCTTTCACCATTTTTCTTTTCACTTTCATCAGTTCCGAAATTCACAGAAAGCGCCATTTTTGCATGAAAAATAGAATCCACGGTAGAAAAAACGAAGCTAGATTTCGAGACTCATTTTTTCAGATGAAAAATCTTCAAGATTGACACGGAGCAAGGAATGGCCTTCCAGCAAGGAGGACCTTTCAGGGGATTGGGTAGAATCTTCTTTTTTTTCGTGTCGAAAAAGATGAAAAATTTTTTGAAACGAAAGAAATAAATTTTGATAGGAAATTTAAAATTTGCCAATTTTCGATTTCTGAAAAAAATTTGGGAACTTTATTTTGGGAAAGAAATTTTCTGCAAGATTTTTTTTTCGAGCCGAAAAAAATTTTGCTTTTATTCTTTTAGGAAAGAAAGTTTTGAAAAAGAGTTTTTTTTCGATGAATTTTCTTCTTTGAGTGAAATTTATAATTTTAAATTTTGTAAATATAATTCGAAGTTGAAATCAGAATTGATAGTTTGATGAAATTTTTCAACCCTCGGAAGCACGGACTCCGCAATTGGACCGCCTTCTAAACGGCCGCGAATCTCAGAAAGCAGCGAAATTGCAGTGAACCCGATGAATCAGCAGAACAACGTGCTCGATTCCATCTTCAGCGGCTCCAACGACAACCAGAATCAAGTCAACAATGTCGACGAGCTTTTGTCAAGGATTCACGAAGATTTTTTCAGAACAAAAAATCAGAATCAAATTTTGGTTTCCAGGCAATCCATGCAGAAACCCTGAGACAGGTTCCGACTTTCAGGCCCGACTCAGGTTTTCTACACAGATTGCAGAGCTAAGCCTGCGCAATTTTAAAATTATTCCATATCAGAGGATAAAGACTAAAGTAAACTGCGAAACATTCGAAAGTTTATTTTCTTCAATTGAAAGCCCATTTGACAACATTTTTTTATTCTGTCAAATTTGGGAGCCAATGAGCGCACGCGGAGAAAATCTACAATCGATTGATCACTGAAAAATTTTCCCACGCTTTATTTTCAAGTTTTTTTAGCAGAGATTTTTTAATTAAAATAATTATGAATCCGAACTGGCAGAATCCACAGAATCCGTCGAACCAAAACAGCGGACAGAGTAATGGAATGAGCACGAATCAAAATAATGTTAACCCGATTGGTTCCTCGATGAACCAGGTAAGCAACAACTCTTCATCCCCTTCCTATTTCACAAGATTTTCTAAAAAACGAATTCTAATCATTTGTTTATCCACTAGTGGAGCAACAATCTTGATGCAAACTCGTATGGCGTAAGTCGAAAAAACATTACATTTTTATAAATCTTCTGTGCTTTCTTGTCGTGACTCTAGATTTGAAAAATATGAATTTAAAAAAATTAAAAAGCATGATTTATATTTTACACCCTTTTTATTACTCGTTGATGTGGAATAATTTCACTGAGAATTCAACTTTCTTTTTCATCAGACTTTTCTGAAGGTCCTCTTTTATGATATCAGATTTCAGTCCATAAAATTTTCAATCGAATCTTTCTACATTATTTCATTGACTTGGAACGACTCGAGATTCCATGCAATTTTCCGCGAGAAAGTCTTTCTTGAGGAAGAAAGTTGAATTCGATCTAAATTTTCCATTCCCCTCAATTTTCCTTTCGAATCAAAAAGCAGCTGCTTTTCAGGAGCTAACCCCAGAAAAATCATCCCTAACCCATCCCTATTCGTCGCCACACTAATTTTGTCTTACCCTTTTCTTGATATTCGCCTCCCCCGTTCTTGAAAGAATAACTCAATCTAGTTTCCCTCGCATCAGAACAACTCGATGCCGACCTCGTCAATGTCGAACTCAATGCCAAATCACTCGATGAATCAAATGATGAACGGGAGCAACCAGTATCGGCCACAGCAGACCAATGTGCCTATGCCAATGCCTACTCCCTCGCCTAACCGAGTTATAACGCCGAGGTATTATTTTCTCTGGTTTCTCAAAATTTCACAATTGAAGTTTTTTTATTTCAAGAAAAAATATTTATCATTTTTGTTTTGGTTTATTCATAGTAAAGCTTTCGGATCTAATAGATCCATCTTCAGTACTAAAATAGTTGTAAAATTGTTGATCAGAAAACTCTTTTCACCTTTTTGAGAGGCTTGTAAGGGCACACTAAAGAACTTGAATAAGAAAATAAGAACAGATAAAATTTGGTCTAGAGAAGAATTTGATAAGACCTCGGTCTTGTAGACAGAATGTTTTTTGAAAATGTGTAGAAATAGACGGGCTTCGGAACATTTTCAAAAACCAAAACAAAAATGATTCAACAGATGTCAAACCACAAGAGAAAAAATATTTATGTTTGATTTTCTTCCACATGGAGTCATTTGAGGTCAATTTTAGTAGCTGAGTATAACTTTTCTTTCGTTTTGGACCTGTAAGAGGTCGTTTTTATTGATGTATATTTTCCAGACAGCAATTAAAAATACCCCGTCTTTTGGGGCTAATAATTTCCTATTGAACTAAATTCCGGACAAATTTTCTTTATGAAATTTCTTCGGCAAAGACTTGTTTTGAGAATCGAAGGATGATTAGGCCGATTGATGGCTAATTCTAGTGTTAATTTTGAATTGTTTCGATTCTGCTCCACCGCGCTCTGCTATTGCCGCCAGCTGCGCCCCGCGCGTAGGTTGGCGCTCAAAGTCGCACTGCTCGTCGGAGGCGGCGCAAGAAGGAGCACCAGCTCAAAAACACATATTTTTTGACTTCTCATGACTGTATTTGGCTGATTTGGGAGAAGAGAGCGTGGATGGAGATAATTTTGCAAATAAATATTGTTTCGAAAAGAAAGCATCTTTGACAATGATGTGAGTTAGCACTAGAAAAGAAGACATTTTTAATTATAGAAATATTCAAAAGAAAAATTACTCTTTGCCAGCGTATTGGCTCGTTCTTTATCACTAAAAATAATTTTGAAATTGCTCCCAAATGATCCTTGTTAACTTTGAAATCAAGCATGTTTTTCTTGAAACTAATCAAATATTTTTTTCAAAAAATCAAAAACTTGATTGTTGACTTGACTGCCGATGATTCTGAAACAAATTGTTCAGCCCGTCGCCTGGCCCGAGTTCTTATAATATCCGCTCGCCAGCTCCGGCCGGCGTGCCACCCGCCAGTTCTGGCCAGGCAATGAGGGTGACGACGCCTAACATGAACAGCTTTAATCCGAATATGATGGGACAGTAAGAGCTCTCTCCCATTCTTGGGCGCGTTTTAAAAAGTGATGTTTTCTAGGATGACTCCGCAGAACCCACAGGGTTTCCAGGGCAACTTCGGGAACCAGCCGAATCAGATGAGACCGAATAACACACAGCAACATGTGAACACGATGCTCCAGAGCGTGGCGAAGCCGACGATGGTACAGAATCAGCAAGGAGGCATGTCGAACCAGATGAACCAAATGCCACCGGGCATGCAGAACCAAATGCGAATGCAACAAATGAACATGGGCAACATGAACATGATGCCGAACCAAATGCAGATGAATCCAGGCATGATGCATCGACCGGGTGGGCAAGTTTACGGCCAGCCGATTGGGATGAACATGCCTCAGAATATGCGACCGATGGCTCCGATGAACCCGAGAATGGCGATGACGAACGGGAACCATCCAAATGATGGAACCATGATGGTGCAGTCTGGCCCGAATCAGCAAATGCCGAACCCGAACCACAATCCAAACGTACCGCCGAATCAGCAACAGTTATCGAATCAAGCGAATAGTACGGCAACGCAGGACCCGGAGAAGCGCAAGATGATACAGAACCAGTTAATTATTTTGATCCACGCAGCAAAGTGTACGAAGAGAAATGACGCTCAAGGCACCCAATGTCAAATTCCTCATTGTCAGACGATGAAAAACGTGCTCGAGCATTTGCCCAGCTGTCAAATGGCGAAGAACTGTCCGGTCCAGCATTGTAGCTCGTCGAGGCACATTATCGCCCATTGGAAGCAGTGTAAGAATCAACAGTGCCAAGTCTGCCAGCCGCTCAAGCATCCGAGCGGCGGTAACGATCCGAATCGAGCTGTTCAAGGAAACGCGGCTGGAAATGCCAATGAACAGGGTCAACGGCCACCGACTGCTGATCAGCCCGGGCAACAACCCGCGCAAGGCGGCCAAAACAATACCAACAACCCTAACCAAGTCGCTAACGGCAACTGGAGAGCTGACGTCAACTCAGAACTACGAGAACATCTCGTGAAGAAGCTCGTTTCTGCTATCTTCCCCGGCACGGATCAAACAAATAACTCGACGAATGCGAATGACGAGCGCATTGTGAAGTTGTTTTCATTCGCGAGACGCGTCGAGGAAGATATGTACAACAAAGCTACGACGAGGGAGGATTACTATCACATGCTCGCCGAGAAAATTTACAAAATTCAAAAAGAACTCGAGCTGAAGCGAAATCCAGCTCAAAATCCTGCAATTGCAGGTGGACCGAGTCAAGGCCCGAATCAAGGAGGAATGCCTCGTCCGCCTAATCCGCAGTTTCCTGGCCAAAATCAGCAAAATCCAGGGCAGGGGCAAAACCCGGGAATGCCACAGCAAGGAAATCAGCAACAAGGTGGCTTCCAAAACAACCAAGGTCCAGGAAACATGCAGCAACAGCCGAATCAACAGCCTTCTGGTCAGCCAAGTTGGAATCAACAGAATCCAGGTCAGCCTGGCGCGCAAACTCCTGGCCAGATGAACTCCGGAAAACCGGGGCAGAACTTCATGAGTCCGAGTACGCCGAACAACCAGAATCAAAACCAACAGATGCCAAACTCAAATATGGTGAAATCAGAGCCTGGCGTCGAGACAAAGCCCAATGTGCAAAATACGCAGCAAAACCCATCTAAGTCCTTTAATAATCAGCAAAGTAACGCTGGAGATGTCAAACCGCAAATTAACACAACACAATCCTCGTTTAAAAATGAAAATGGCTCGATGATAAAACAGGAAAATGAAGAGAAACCGAACATGCCCCCAGATGCGAAACCCTGCCCGATCAAACGCGAGGCCCAAAGCCCCGCGCCAAGCCCAAGCCCTGTTTCGAAAAAGCAGAAGGAAGAGGTCAAGGAGGAGACCGACCCCGGAACGCTAAAGAAATGGAGCGCTCAGGAATTGAGGGACATGCTCATGCCTATTTGGAGGAAGGTTTACGAGCATCAAGACGCCCCACCATTTCAAATACCAGTCGACCCAGTCGCACTCGGTATTCCCGACTACCCTGAAGTCGTCAAGAACCCAATGGATTTATCAACGATGAATACAAAGTTGGAAATGGGAACTTATGAGGAGCCTTGGGAATTCATCAAAGATATGTGGCTTATGTTTGAGAATGCCTGGCTTTACAATAAGAAGAACTCACGGGTGTATCGGATGTGCACAAAACTTAAAGAGGAGTTTTTGCGAGCTGCAGAGCCCGCCATGAGGAGAAATGGCTTTTGTTGTGCCCAGGTAATTTGTTAATTACGTTTGTTATCGTTTTAATTGCAATAATTTAGTCTCTAACATGGACCGCATTGCCTCTTTGTTGTTTTGGCAAGACAACCTGCACTATCAGCGTGGGAAGCTGGTACTACTGTTACGAGAGTGACGGTACGACGGGTCCAGCTATTCCGATGAATGTTCCTGGTCCTCAATTTACCGAGAAAATCTACTACTGCGAAAAGTGTTTCGGTGATGCCAAGGGAGACACGTAAGATTCAATAATAAAAACTCATTATTTACGAATATTTTTTCAGCATCGCAACGAGTAGTGATCCCGACAATCCCGCTCTCCAGCCAAAAACGAAGTTCTCAAAGAGCAAAAACGATACGCGAGACTTTGAGCCCTTCCAGAAATGTAAACGCTGCGGGCGAAAGAATCACCAAATCTGCGTCCTTTATAAAAAGGAGATTTGGAAGGATTTCATCTGCGACTTCTGCCAGGACAATACGTCCAAGCGGCGCAAGAAGAATCCATTCACAGCCGAAAACTTGCCGGAAACTGAATTGTCCAAGTTTATCGAGGCCAAGGTCAACGGCTACGTCACTGGTAAACTTTTAAATCACACAAGCTTTTTCTAACTATTCTTTAGCTAATGACAAAAACAACGAAGCAGGACATGTGTACATTCGTACTGTTTTCGTGGGCAACAAGGCCGTCGAAACGCGCTCTGGCGTCCGCAAAGAGGGAGAAACAGCTGGATACCCAATCGCCGAAAAGTTCAAATTCCGCGCAAAAGTCCTCTTCGCTTTCGAGCAAATCGAAGGCGTCGATGTCTGTTTCTTTGGCCTTCACGTGCAGGAATACGATGATAAGTGCCCTTCGCCAAACCAGCGCCGCGTTTATATTGGATACCTCGATTCTGTTAAATTCTTCCAGCCTGCTTGTCTCAGAACAGGCGTTTACCACGAACTTATTATGGGTACGTCTTTTATGTCAACTTTCAACTCTTAAATTCTCTTTTTAGGATATCTTGAATACTGCCGAAACTTAGGATATGTCTGGGCCCACATCTGGTCTTGTCCACCATCTGAGGGAGATGACTACATCTTCCACTGCCACCCTCAGGAGATGAAGATGCCCAGATCCAAGCGACTTTGTGATTGGTACAGAACGATTTTAAATAAGGCACAAGACCGTGGCGTTATTACCGAATTCAAAGACATCTATTCACAGGTACTGACCCCCTCATTCGGGCGTTTCTTTAAACCAGTATAGGCTAAAGATGACGGCGTTGTTTGCGCTACCCAAATGCCCTACTTCGACGGTGATTTCTGGCCGACTGCCATCGAGGATCTCATCGCAGAAGTCCTGAAAGAGCAAGCCGCTGAAGAAGCAGAAATGGCCAATGATGACGGCATGTACAGCGACAAGGCGAAATCGAAGAAGAAGAATCAGAAACGAAACAAAAATAACAAAGGCGGAGGAGACTTGATGTCCAAGTTGAACAGCCTCATGGAGCGACACAAAGAAGTCTTTTTCGTCATTCGTATGCATTCTGCCGACAGTGTACCTGCTCTCCCTGCGATCGAGGATCCCGACAAGGACATGCCTTGCGACTTGATGGACGGACGAGATCCCTTCTTGAACAAAGCTCGAGACGAGCATTGGGAGTTCTCGACTCTCCGAAGAACCAAGTACTCATCCATGTGCTTTTTGTACACCCTTCACAATCCTGACAATCGCTTCTCTTCCGAAACCTTCTCCTGCAACAACTGCGACGCCCGAATCACCACACGATTCCACTGCAAGGTCTGCAGCGACTTCGACCTCTGCGCCAAGTGCAACGATGCTATTGGTTCGCAACACGAACATCAGCCGCTCGAAAAGAAGGTCGCCAACAACGGCATCTTTGGAGGCAATAATGATAACGATTCTATGACATCCAACGAGAAACGAAGAGAAGGCATCCAACAGTGCATTCAGAACTTGGTTCATTCTGCCAAGTGCCGAGACGCAAACTGCAACAGACCCAACTGTCAAAAGTAAGTGGATCTTTCCTCTTCCTTTCTGTCCTTTCAAACTGAGACTAACAATCTATTTCTAGGATGAAAAAGATCATCGAGCATTCTAAGCGATGTGCTAAAATGAAACAGAAGCAGAAGAACAACCAGCAATGTAACATTTGCAAACAGGTAAATGTCATCTGAAATGATCAAAATGTTTACCGAAATTTAAGTTCATCGCTCTCTGTTGCTACCACGCAAAACATTGTGAAGAAAAGTCCTGTAAGATCAACTACTGTGCTCAAATCAAGCAGCGTCTTCGCATGCAACAGGAGTCCACCCGTCGGCGACAAGAAAAACTCATGCGTCGTCGTATGGCTCGCCCAGAGCTCGAAGCTCCGGCTACTCCTGGACCAGCCACTCCAGGCCCACCAACTCCATCTATGGGTAATCCAGGAACGCCGAATCCAAACGTTGCCTCGAAGGGAGGCATGCAAGGATCAAGGTAACGTTTAGTCCGAAATATCGGTTGTGTATTTTTTCACTAGTAAATTGGGTCAAATGCAAAATAACGGCAAACTGGGCCAGCAACAGAATAACCCAATGCAGCAGCAAATGCATCAGTACTCAAGCAGTCCGAATATGATGAACCAGCGACAAATGCAATACCAGGGTCAAGGCGGCGCACCGACGGCAGCAATCAAAGCCGCCAACAAGGTCGTCCAGGAAGCGATTCAAGAAGGAAACAAGTCTATGCGTGATCAATATAATCCTGTAAGTATACGCAGAAAACAAAGAGCTAAATAAATTATGGTGCAATTACTAAATAAAAATATACCGATCAGTTCTTTCATTCGTGTCCTGATTTGTATATTTGCGTATGGCTGACATTTCAGCTGTATTTAATTGATGATGGTGGTGATATTTTTTGTACGGGGATAGACTGCGAAATCAAGAAAAAATGATCAAGCGCTAATATATATTTATATAGCCGCAGTCTATGTACAACCAGATTCCTCAACAGAATCCCCCCTTCCGATCTCAGGTAATCAACGAGAGTCACTTCTATAAGTTCCCTCTCAAACTCGTTGGACTTGATGAGAGTAGTTGGATGAGTTTTGACGGATAAGTGTTTTTGGTGAACACATTTGGTGTTTGATAAAGCTCTGTATTTTACTGTTTGCAGGGATATAACATGCCGACCTCGCAGCAACAGCAGCAAGGAACCATGTTCATCACCCAACGCCCGAACAACCACAATAGCCCGATGAACACTCAACAGCAGCCGCAACAACATATAGACAACACGATCAAAATCATCAAGGAGTCAACTGATCCGAAAGATCCAAAGGTAGAACATCCAAGATTTTGCCAGAAAATAACAGAATTTGTAAGATCCTCAATGTGCTAAAACAAAATCCGCAACATGTTGCCCAAATTTTCCGCGATATCAATCCCAGAAATCCTAATCAAACGCAGAACCGAGTGATGATCAGCGCTCCAAGTAAGTATACCTTTTCTCGATCTTTAACAAAGTGATCTTTTGCTAACGACGATTTTAGACAACCCTCAAATGCAGAATCAGATGAGCAACATGCAGCCAAACATGATTAACGCACCTCGCCAGATGATGCAAAATCAGATGAGGAACTGGCCCCAGAACCAGGGTCCGAGGATGGTAAGCATACGAAATACTAGTATCGGTCTATTTTCAACTCATATTCAGATGATGCCTAATCAAATGTCGAACAACATGGGCAACTCGCAGATGTACCAGATGAATCAGATGGGCATGATGCAGAGTGGAACGTTTGGGAATCAAATGAATAGAGGTCCATCTCCACAGAATACTCGTTTCCAAAGTTTTCCTCTTCCTTGATCTCAGTGTTCGTAACTTCTTTCTATAGTGTCGATGTCAAACAACGGCATGCAACCAAACATGATGCAGAACAACATGATGAGCAACGGGCCAATGATGGGCAACGGAATGGGAGGTGGAATGGGGGCACAACAGAATATGATGCGCCCCCAGCAGCCGCAGGTAAGCGTCGCACTATAGCGACCGGGTGTTAACAATTCCGTTTCAGATTTCTTACAACTCTCAATTCAGATGATGGCTCAGGCTCCTAGATTTCAGCAGCCGGGCATGAGCAGCGGTCAGTCCATGATGTTCAACCAGGGCGATCCGCCGCTAGGTCAGCAGCCCAACGCTGACCCAAGCCAGTCGTATGCCCAGACGGTTGATGGACTGTAGCTGTCTGTCACTGTTGTCCACTCACAATTCCGTTCACTCCCCTCATCCTCTTCATTCATTCCCTAAACTTCCTACCCAACCAAAAACAGTACTCCTCACAAAACCGCGCGCTCGGCCAATCCCGTGTTCTCATCAAGCTATACCAAATGCCCATCAAAAATGCACCTACGTTTTAACCATCCAAAAACAACCTACGCTAGGAGTGAGCTAGAGAGAAGCCACCGGTGAAAAAATCTGACCTGCTCAAAAACCTACAAAAAAGATAAAAAAATGGTCGACGATGTCTTCCCCAACATTTCCCGCCACTTAGTCATTGGCTGGCAGACCTCAAATGCTCCTTTCCGAAAACCACATACATCGATCTGATTGGCTCCGTTCATCAATCTGATCCGGCTCCACTACTGCCCGATGCTGCTTGGGTCCCGTTTTGTCACACTTTCTTAAAACAATTAAATGGCCCAGATTACCCAGTATCTATCGCATTTCAATTCTGACCACCACTTCAGCCAGGTTCCATGTTACCAGTTTGCCCTTTCTCATCCCTCGGCTCGCTCCATTCCTCCGTGGCAGGGGGCGTTCGCGAGCGGTTCCAAAAGTCCTATTCTATGATTTTTCCTTCTTATTTTCAAAATCTCCCAACTAGAATCATGAAACCGCTGCCACAATTACTTTCGCATTTTTTTATTTTCAATTCCGATCATATAAATTCCTTTTTGACACACCTACACACACCCACGTTCGCAAATTTGGTAGAATACTTTTGATTGGTCCCGTCCAGCGCTGACTCACCGCAAATGACTTCAACCTATTCAGAAATCATTGAAAATTTCCTTTACCTTTACGCGAAAAGCTCAAAATCTAAGTTCAACCCGCTTTTATCCTTAATTTATTTATATTATTATTTTTTACTCTCCAGCTTTAAAAATTGCGAACAACTATTTTTACCAAAAGTTCATCCCACAAAACCTTTTTTAAAGTTTATCTCTTACCAATAAGAAATCCCCCTTTTCCGTTCTCGGTCTTGAAAAGATTATAAAGGCGTATACTTTTATTCCCCCATTTTTCTATTTCGTGTGCTATTCGATCAAAATTTTTCAAAAATTTTGAGCCTGGCCGACATCCTTCAATATTAAAAAAATTGGCCAAGTGCAATTTTTCTACTTATTCAACTTCTGTATAAAGATATTCTTAAACACGTCCAAACTTATATTTATATACTATTTTAAATAGAGAGAGTTCTCTAATAGAGAACTTTATCAGTCCCATAATTCTATCGTGGATCGCTGATGAGCATCAATTTTTGTTGACAAATAATTTAATTAATTAAAAAAAAAACTTAAAAAAAACACACACATCACCTTCCACATGCTGCCTTAGTTTTTACTGGTTCGTTCCGCATCCTCCCTCTCCCTCCAATTTCTGGCGGAATGCGCCAGAACTGTTGAGCTAAGTCTGGACGAGTCCGAGAACAGAGTAGCACTAAGAACTGTTTGTGTATTTATAAATTATTGTGTTACGTTGATGTTGCTACCTCTATTACGTAATCGCTTCCACTGGGCCCAAACCAAGCGGTTCGTTTTGCCCCTGGGCGTGTGTTCATTTCCTCCTCAAGCCACAACGCATCGCCCAAGGCCAAAACACGCCGACTAAAAACTAAATTCAATCATTTTTATTGCCAGTTTTGGGCACAGCTCGGTTACGTAACTGTTTATTATTACGCCTACTACACTGTAATTGTTTCTGCTACGCCACAAGTCAACGAAAAATAGTAATATATCATGTTATATTTATATAACGTAGCCAAACAGTTACAATGGTTCAAAAACAAAACAAAAACTCTTTTTGTAAACTTGTATACTTGTTTTATACTTGTTTATGGCTCTGTAACTCTGAAGCCATTACCCGACTGAAAATTACATAAATATAAAAAAAGTCGAAAAAAATATTGATCGACAGTGAGTTTGGGAATGTGATCGGCCGGGTCCCCATTTTTTATGACTTCCGGAATTTCGTTTACCGAGGTAAACAGGAATCAGGTGGTCAAGAGTGATTGCTTCTTGATAGAGAACGATAAAGATGCCCTGTTTACAAGCGAGATTTTTTCATGCTGGACTCGCCATATTTGTGTTTTGCCATCATTATTGGGTTAAACACAAATATAGCTGCTGGAAAGACCAATGATTTTGAGTTTCACAAAGAATCTCAAGATCTTTAGTTTTTCTTTCCACCATCGTATCTTTACCCGAGAGCCTATTTAATACTTTATTGCGTGTTGATTCCAAGATTTACGATTCCCAACAAATTTTTGATCGCCCCCATCAAGGCGTAAACATTCCCCCAATTTTATGGATATTCGTAAAATAAACATTCCTCTTTTTTGAAATGCACCCGTGCGTCTATTTACCACGCCTTGTGCTGTGCCAAATCTGTCCAAAATTTCACGGATGCGGAAATTTTCACAAAAGTTGAATGATGATCTGAATTTGATTTTTCAGGGCCAATTTGGGTCAATGTTTTCCGACGCCCCCCAGTGGGCGACCCCGCTGCCCGAGAGATTCTCAAGCTCACTTGACAAGATTTGTCTTGAATTTTCCTTTCTTTTTTCAAATTTTCCTTTTTGCTGAAAATTTTGGTCAATTCGGTGAACTAACAACAATATCCAGTTCAGACAGATAGAGATAGAAATCGGACGAGAACGAAGACTACGACTTTCATAGAGACGTCTTCAGAAGAAAAGAATAAAAATGAGAAGATTGCTACTTTTAACAGCAAGTGTGCTTTCACAGTTATCAGGTGAGCCTTCCTTGATCCGTTGAAAGTATTGAAATCGTGAATTTAGATGATGAAGATTTCGAAGGATCGGGAGAAGCGTCTGGGGATTTCATTACCAATTGTAAGCTTTGAATTGCATATGATTTTAAACAAATTAAATGATTGTTTCTTTCTGAAATAACAAAATTTTAGACAGCGAAAATCCTGAAATCCGCTCCGACAAGTCGCCCAGCGAAGCCTCCCTCTTCGATCACTTTGTGAATAAGAAATTTCTTGCCGCTGTCATCGCCGGATCCTGCGTCGGTAAGTTCAAAGACAAGCAGCGTGTCAGGTGGCGCGCCAACTATCATCATCATTATTTTTAAGCGATTTTGGGACGATGCTTTGGATCAAATCCAGAGTCATTATTTTTCATCCAATTTGATACTAAGCTGATCCGGTCAGCTAATATTTGTACTGTGAATTTGCCAATTTCAGACCACCATATAATTCGCCAGAATATTGGTTGGCATATTTTGATGATGAAGAACTTTGACAGACTTGTCACAAAGTTCCGAATTCAGGGATCGATTTCTCACCTGTTTATTTAGGTTTATTACTGGCATCGATGGCGATGACGCTGGTCCTGTGTAAAGCTCGGCGTGACTCCTCACTGCGCCGTTACGACTACCAAGCGGGAAAGAGCCATCTCTATTGATCCCCGCCAGCGTTATGAAAATTGATCTATCCTACTAAACTCAGCTCTCTACTGATAAAGTCTTCTTCCCTCCTTGCCCCTGGGAAGTTACCAAGTTCATCCGTTATCAATCCCCTTATCATTCTCCCCCTCTCTATTTCTCAACCCTTGTACAAAGAAGCCATACCGCCAGGTCTTGATTATTTAATTCGGGCCTATCTTTTATTTTTAATATCAGCCTACGTACTTCTACTTGACGTTCCATCGCAGCCTATATTTTTTTTTGTATCTTTATTTTAAATTTTACTTCAAAACAAACATTGTGATTTCAACTTTTTAAAAACTTAAATTCCTGAAAGAAAAATACTCAAAGCTCCTGAACTTTTCCAACCCTTTTTACCACCCATTCGGTTCTTTTCTTATTCGTCCGTGACCAATAAGATATCCAGCAAAATTTAAAATGTACTGTACATAATTACCTCAATCCTCCTATTTTCAGTCGTCGTTAAAAACTTAAAGTTTGTATCGTTAATGCTCTTTTTCAACTTGTAAGCAACTCACTGTAGTTTTATCTTCTACTGTAGTGTATGCTGCTAGTATGGCGCTAGTATCCCTCGCAAAGATTTAATACGAGTCCTGTTTTGTGACAGGAAATAAAATAAATACGAAAAAAACAAGTTTTCTTAGTTGTACTGAATACAACTTGTACTCATTGTCGATTGCAGGATAGTGATATTGAGCCTTCAGAATGCCGGGAATTCGCTCACCTCCACGGCCAGTCAATCTTTCGTCGCCATATCGTCGAGCGATGCAGATTCCTCCAGAGGCTCGTAGAACGGGTACTAGTACGACTTTCTTATTGAAATTGTTACAAAAGCTTGAAGGGAGTTTGAACGAGGCTTTGGCAAACTTAGCCCAGAACTTGGGCGTGCGAGGAAATGATAGGGATGATAGAAGAGGAGCGAGGTACTATCTAGTGAGGCAACGAGAGGTGCGCCAGAGACAAGCGCTTTTTGAAAGATACAGACAAGATACGGGATCCAAAGAAGATTTATTCTCTCTAGTTGTCTAGTTGTTTTTGATCCCTCCTTGAACATTTCATCGAAGAAGCTGAAGCAGCTCGGCGGCAGACATCATCCCTTCGCTCTTACCAAATGCCTTCGGACGACACAATCGACCCAGAAAAAGAGCTTTCGGAACTGTTACACGCTTCGGACTGCAAGAAATGCGACTTACAATCATGCAGACACAAGAAACAGATTATCAAACACTTCTCTCTTTGTCCACAAGCGAGGAGGCTAAAAGTTTCGCCCCAAAGAAAGGTCATCTGCGGTGTATGCAAAGTTGTGAGTCCTCTGAATCCTTCTTCAACTGGCAATTATCGCGTTAATTTAGTATTTGAAAATTCACGAATTCCACTTCGACACTGGCTGCTGTAGTGGAAGTTTATGTCCTTTGCCGCACTGTGAAGAGATTCACAGTAATCCGCAGCTGAAGAAGTAATCAGCACGGAAACACGAATGCTTGCCCCGCTCGACCCAGATCCAGAACTCTCTAACTCCTGTGAATGTAAAAAATATTCCAACTGACTTTATCCAGCTTATTGTTCTTTCCTTTCTTATTCTAGCTCATTTTTCGCTTATGTATATCCTGTGATCTTGTTCTGACCGGATATTTACTGAGGCTTATTTCTCAGTTGTAACTAGAAACAATTTAAAATAAACCAATTCTCCATTTTCGATGATTTTATGATCTAAAAGATTGGCTTCGTTGTCAGTTTCTTTTACAGGGGGTCTTTGCTCTTTTTCTGACTTTGCAGGCTCTTAAAGTAATGAATTCGTGTTTCATTACTAATGGTGACTCTAAACATGCAGGCCTAGTTGATACTTAGCTTTTACAGTTCGATTGAATTCTCTCCGAATGGAAGTACTGACTTTGTGCGCCTGAATATAACCATTCTGTAGGATTCCTAACAAAAATATACAGGGGATTAAAATTTTTCTGAAATTATATTGAAAATTGATTTCGAAAGTACAGTCATCATATTTACAAATGGGGTCATAACCTTGATTGCAAAGGAAGTATTCGGTTGAACTCTGTCTTGGACGATGAGGGCGACAACTAAAATTTTTGTTGGTTCTTTGAATTGAAAAAAAATCATTACCAAGACCTCTGGCTACATGCTCAACAATAGCTGTCGTGTTGAAGGTTGTTACAGGTAAAGCGAATTCTGTAGATGTTTTTCCCTCGGTAGTTTTCTCTTCGCAATCTTGTTTCCCCTTTTTAGTCTTCTTTCCCACGCATTTGTTGCTGGGCTGCTCTTTTGGTTCAGTTATGACAATTTCGTTCAGTGAAACTTCTTCGAATCGAGGACTTGCAAGTTTTGATCGTGCACTTGGATTTTTTTTATTTTCGTTAATTCTAAAACTCCTACCTTGGAATGATTTCATGATTGATGGGCTCTGTTGGCTCTTCCTTTTTGCCAAATCCGCAGCAGCAAGAAACCATCTTCTATGATACTACTTTTTTATAAAGAATATGCTAATTTTGACTCACTTTGATGCGCTGCTTGATAAAACTGATTTTCTTTCTCATTAGATCAAAACATTATGGGTGTATTCTAGAGATTATAATAATCTGCAATTTAAGTAAACGCTCGTTAATTATATGATGACGCATTTTATTTCAAAAATCGAAGAGCAGAAAGTTCAAATTTTAGTATTCATCTTCGTTGTCTTCATTGTCGAGGGAGTCGATTCCGACCTCTTCGTAGTCCTTCTCAAGAGCAGCCAAATCTTCTCGAGCCTCGGAGAATTCACCTTCTTCCATTCCTTCGCCGACGTACCTTGGATAAGATTTGAAATAAGATTAACTTTTGATTGCTTACCAGTGGACGAAAGCTCGCTTGGCATACATCAGATCGAACTTGTGATCGAGTCGAGCCCAGGCCTCAGCAATAGCAGTTGTATTCGAAAGCATGCAAACTGCGCGTTGAACCTGAGCAAGATCGCCGCCAGGAACAACAGTTGGTGGCTGGTAGTTGATTCCAACTTTGAAGCCGGTGGGACACCAGTCGACGAACTGGATGGATCGTTTGGTCTTGATTTGAGCGATGGACGCGTTGACATCCTTGGGGACAACATCTCCTCTGTAAAGCAAGCAACAAGCCATGTACTTGCCATGTCGTGGATCGCACTTGACCATTTGGTTCATTGGGTCGAAGCAAGCGTAAGTGATCTCGGAGACACTCAATTGCTCGTGGTAGGCCTTCTCAGCAGAGACAACAGGGGCATAAGTCGCGAGAGGGAAGTGAATTCGAGGATAAGGGACCAGATTGGTCTGGAATTCTGTCAAGTCCACGTTGAGTGCACCGTCGAATCGAAGGGAGGCGGTGATGGAGCTGACGATCTGACCGATGAGTCGATTCAAGTTGGTGTAAGTCGGTCGCTCAATGCCCAAGTTTCGTCGGCAAATATCGTAAATCGCCTCGTTGTCGACCATGAAAGCGCAGTCGGAGTGTTCAAGAGTCGTATGAGTTGTCAAAATCGAGTTGTAGGGCTCAACAACAGCAGTAGATACTTGAGGAGCGGGGTAGACAGCGAATTCCAATTTCGACTTCTTTCCGTAATCAACCGAGAGTCGTTCCATGAGAAGAGAAGTGAAGCCAGACCCAGTTCCTCCGCCGAAGGAGTGGAAGATCAGAAATCCCTGAAGACCGGTGCATTGATCGGCGAGTTTTCGGATTCGATCGGTGACGACATCGATGATTTCCTTGCCGATGGTGTAGTGGCCGCGAGCGTAGTTGTTAGCAGCGTCTTCTTTGCCGGTGATGAGTTGTTCTGGGTGGAAGAGCTCTCTGAAAAGGACAGTGTTAGTTTGATGAAGAAAATCAACAAGGACTCACTTGTAAACTCCACCGCGGATTTCATCGACAACAGTTGGTTCCAAGTCAACGAAGACAGCTCGAGGAACGTGTTTGCCAGAGCCGGTTTCGGAGAAGAAGGTGTTGAAAGAATCATCGAGTCCCTCGTCATTTGCAGCGGCGAGGTGACCATCGGGGGCGATGCCGTGTTCCAAGCAGTAGAGTTCCCAGCAGGCGTTACCGATTTGGCAGCCAGCTTGGCCGACGTGGATGGAAATGCATTCTCGCATGTTGAAAAAGGTAAAGTGAAGGTTTTTGGTTTTTTAAAAGTGGCTCGATAAAAGCCGGAGAAGGTGTGATGCTGATTCCAGAGCTGGAGCGCGATTTTATACTCGGAGATTCCATTCACAGCACCTGCATGAATTATAAAACTGTAATTACGATAATTGGTGAGCATAAAAAATTGGCTCGAGCCAATTGTTTTATTTATTGGAAGCATTGTTATGGTTTCTGCATGGCGGGGAGCGCATTTATTAGAGAAAAGATGGCTGGAAATTTTCAGCGCGCGCTGATTGGCCAGTCAAGAATATTGGAAAGAGAAGTTCTTTTGAAGAGTGTGAAATAGAGAACAATGGTGAGAAGTAGGAGCAGAAGTAGATCCAGGGAGAGAGATACGAAGAGCAAACCATTTCACTCGTCGAATCCAAGGTTTGGTCAGAAGATCGCTAAAGCAATTTTCATTATTTTACGGAATTTGATCATTATTTTGACCACATAAGATAGATCGAAGGTAACCAACGATTTTCTCGATGTCCGAGGGAAAATGCGGAACTCAATCTTCGAAAACGGGACAGACAAAGCTTGGGGAAGAAGTCCATCCCCGATCTCGTCGGATTCTGATATCGAAGAACATGTCAAAAGACGACAGAAACGTAGGTATCTGTTAAATACGATGGTGTATCAATCTTTATTTCAGGCAAACAATACGAAGCAGAACGGCAACAAGCAAAGAAAGCAGCGCTTGAATCTCAAAAAGTAACGATTTCGTCCGATTCGGATGACGATGAGAAAAGCAAAAAGTCCAAAAAGAAGAAAAAGAAGAAGGATAAAAAGGCAAAGAAAGAAAAGAAGAAGAAACGTTCCAAAGTTGAGTACGAAGACATGTGGGTTGAAAACACTGGGCCTTCAACTGATCTTGTTCCAATAAAAAAGCCCAGGGTTGAGAGTTCATTATCCATCGGTCCAGAACTTCCAGAGTAAGTGACAGTTGTCTGGAAAAGTGCTTATTGCTGATTCTAGAGCAATAAAAGCTGCATTTGAAACGAATATGGCGACAAAGCAGGCGAAACCTGGCCAAGGAGTGCAGCTCGCTGAAATTATCGATGAGCAATCTGTAAGTCATTTTTTATCAAAGCAGCTGTATGAATTGCGAATTCTAGCGTATTCCTCGGAGAGGAGAAGTCGGCCACAGCGAGGCTGACATTGATCACTACGAAAACGCCGGCTACATCATGTCAGGAAACAGACACAGACGAATGGAAGCCGTCAGACTCAAGAAAGAATCACAGGTGCTAAAAATTTGCTGTTTTCAGAAAATTCAAAACATTCTAGATCTACTCTGTTGAAGAAAAACGCGCGTTGCAAATCTACACTCGCCAGGAACGAGAAAACAAGGAGACAGCCGTGATCCAGCAATTCAAGGATATGGTCAATCAGAGAACGCTCGAAACGAAGCGAAAAAACGCGATGAACAACGATTAGCCTCTTTCATGAACTTGTTCCACTGCCCCCTTTTTCTTCGACTTATTTTCGCGCTTTTAGAATGGCAGAAGCGCAGAAACAAGAGAGAGAAGAGCTCGCTCATCGAGCTGGTCATGGGTATGTCTTTTCTTTTTCACTGATTCCTGAGTGCTTATTTAGTTTTCCTCTTGTGATTGATTGCGATATGCAAGAAGAAATGTCCTCGGAAGCTTCTGATGCCGCTGTAACTGGTAATTTCTTCAGGATACACTTAGAATTTGACCGTTTTTTCAAGCTGTTGAGAAATACTCAAACAACTACTCCCTTGCCGCCAAAATGGTAAAAGAACAAATGGACAAGAAATTCGGCGCCGCGTGGCATTGTATCATTGGCGAAGGTTTCGACGCCAATGTCGACGCTGATTGCGGGGCAAAGATGGTCATGATGTTCGGTGGAGCTGTTGGCGTTCTTCTTTGGAAATGCAACTAGTTTTCTTACTTTTTACTGCTTCCTTTTCCCGTGTCTTCCATACTGATCTATTTTTCTATTCCTATCAATCTATATATTTTCTTATCACTGATTTTACACCTCTTTCTATTCAGAGAAAATGCTGTTATCTCGGGAGAAGGCAGCGATATCACAGTCCCCGGTTAATCGAGTGACCCCGGCGGAACGAGCCGAGCCACAGGAAAAGCCGATAATCGAAGGGTTCTTCAGCAAGCGCGATTATACTGGAGCACTTACGCTAATTGAGTTTGAACTCAGATCGAAGAAGCCATCACATGATCATACGACGCTGCTCAAATGGAAGGCGCTAACCTGCGTGAGGATTGGTAACTTTGAGGAGGCAATGAGGACATATGAAAGTATACTTGAAAATGTAATTCTTACGACATAATTTCCGATCCTTAACTTTTCTTCCCAAGAATGACAGCGACCCAAGCGTTTACTGCTACTTATCAATATGCTACTTCTTCCTCGGAATGTATCAAAAAGGCGACGAAACGATTCAACGCGCTCCCCACTCAAGCCTCCAAAATCGAGTGCAATTCCAATTAGCCCAAAAGCAGGGTGATGAGTCGCGACTTATGCAGCACCACAGGGCATTGGAATATGACTGCAGCGAAGATCAGCTGGCCTTGGCCTCGATGCATTATCTCAGATCGCACTTTCAAGAAGCAGCCGATATATATAAAACGCTGTAAGTAAAGATCAACGCAACTTGTCTGTCCCTAACATTATTGTAGCTATAAAAATAACCGGAAATTCCTCGCCCTAAATGTCTACATCGCCATGTGCTACTACAAACTTGACTACTACGACGTCTCCGACGAAGTGCTCGCGGCCTACTTAGCCGAACACCCCGACAGTCCAATCGCACTCAATTTAAAAGCTTGCAACCACTTTCGTCAGTACGACGGGCGCGAGGCACTCAAAGAACTCAGAAATATCAAGTCCCTCGATGGCGGCATCGGAGCACTAGTGAAGCATAATCAAGTCGTCTTTCAGAACGGAGAGGGGGCACTGCAAGTTTTCCCACCGCTTGTTGGTGTGCTCCCAGAAGCGAGACTCAACTTATCTATTTACTATCTCAAGAATGGAGATGTAGAAGAAGCCCACAATCTCATGAAGGATGTTGAGCCCGCTCTGCCTCCAGAACACATCATCAAGGTAAAAATGAGTCCAATAGCACATAGAACTAATCTTTTTACAGGGCGTTACACATTTGATGATGGCAGATATAGACGGAAACAAAGAAAATGTAAAACAAGCTCAACTTTATTTTCAAGCCGTCGGCCAATCCTCGACTGAAATGGACACGATTCCTGGCCGGCAATGTATGGCTAGCTGCTACTTTTTATCGAAGCAGTGGGATGATGTTTTGCTTTATCTCAGCTCTATAAAGGTTCATTTCTGACAATGGAACTGGGCAGAGAATTACATAATTTAAAGGCATATTTTACGAATGACGACACGTTCAATTTCAACTACGGCCAGGCGTTGGCCCAGCGGCGCAAATGGGAAGAAGCAGAAGAGGTCTTTCTCCTAGTCAGGTATCGTCTACGGTAAAGCACAGAAATCATCAATTATTCAAAAACAGATCTGAGAAGATACAGAACGAGTTTGCGTACATCTCCTGGCTCACCAAATGCTTCATTATGAACGGAAAGCCCTCTCAAGCCTGGGAGAATTACCTCAAAACCGACTCCAACAGCGGAACGTTTACGATCTTGTCGATGATCGCGTCGGATTGTTACCGAACTGGGCAGTTCTATTACGCGGCAAAAGCGTATGATGTTCTTGAAAGACTTGATCCTTCTCCTGAATACTGGGAAGGAAAACGAGGCGCTTGTATTGGCTGGTTCCAACGAATCATTGCAGAAAAAGGTTCGATACAGATCATCCAAAATGGACAAGACATGATTGATTTTAGAGCCCCGTGACTCGCTCACAGATCTGATCCTGATGCTGAGAAACACGAACAACCGCGAGGTCGACTATCTCGTCATGACGATGAACAACTGGGCCAAGGAAAACGGAGCCAATCTTGACTACTAACACATTTTTGTATTTTTCTACATTGCCTGCTTTTATTTTTCTATTTCAAACTTCAAATATTTCCTTTTTGTATTCCTGGAAAAACCTTTCACTTCAAAAATATATTTATATAATGAAAATGATCTCTCGCTGGTTCAGCAAGGTGTTAATCTTAAGAAGAAGGTGTTTTGACAGGATTGTAATTAAAATGTCAATATACTCTGGGTTGTAATTATCGATTAATTCTCTCTGGCCAAGTTGGTTTGAGAGACTACTCGATAACGGGTATCGATCGGTACCCTCTTGACGCGGATGACGAAGAAATCATCCCTCCTTTCTTTTCTGTTCAGAATGAGTAGACTGTGGCGGTACGGAAGCCCTTATACCCGCGTCAGAGACTACATCCAGAATAAATTCATCGCAGAAGAGAATAGACCGATTTGGTTTGATGTCTTGACTGTTCATCCACCTTTTAGAGAGCCTGTGCTCAAGGAAAAGCTGCCCATCAATGATTACTTTATTAGGAATAGAAGCATTCGTGAACCGATAGGTAGAAAAATATTTGAGATCTTTGGCTGATTTTTTTTAGCTTTGAACTATTTGGCGGATAAATCGCGCGCAGCATTCCGAACATCCTACACAGACTCGATAATTTCTCTCGGTAAAGATGCGAATATACCATTAATATTAACAGCGACATCCATGTGTTATTAGATCCAGATATTGCAAAAGTTGAACTACCATTATCTGAAAAGATAGCTCGACGAGTAGCGACGCTGACGCCATATGCCGAAGAGTATAAATTTGATCCTTACAAAGCAGCTCTAGGTGATTATTTCTCCGTTTATACAGTAGCTAACTGTTTTTTGACAGTGGAAGCAGGAATCGAATCAGATGATTATTACCGACACGAGTTTTTGGACAATATGGCTGAAGGGGACTTATCTACAGCTGAGAAAACTCGCCTGGATAGGAGGAAAAACAATCTGAAATGGAACTTTCGATGCTTCAATCAATGATGGAATCGGCCTCCATGCAAAACTATAGTATTCCCGATTTTGATGATAGTTTCAGGCCCGTTTTTAATCGCTAAATGTCTCAATTTCAACTTTTAAACTCGATTCAAAACAAGGAAGAAGTAATGAAAGATCGCAGCAAAGTAAATCAGAATCGGAAGCAGATGATTTAGAAGCTTTATTGAATGATCTTCTTGACGGAAAATAACTGTGAATATTCTTCCATACAGTTCTTAATCTTATCCATCTTCACTCTTCTTTTCATGACCAGTTTCGCTTTGTAGAGACACATGTCGAGAAGGGTTGAGGGCGGCAGCAGTAGCGCTCAACCCGGACAACAGCCGCAGCACCACTATGTCGGCCCATACAAACTCGGAAAAACATTGGGAAAGGGGCAAACGGGATTGGTGAAGAAGGCTACTCATGTAGTGACGAACAAGCTTTACGCTATCAAAATCATTAACAGGGAACACCTGAACGAATCTGTACAGGCAAAAGGTGAGATCAAATTCGGGAGCACTTTGATCAATTATTAACTCGATTGTCTTTTTAGTTGAGCGCGAAATCGCCATCATGAAATTACTGGAGCACCAGCATGTTTTGAAAATCGTCGATGTTTACGAGAATCGTAAAAATCTCTATCTGGTGCTGGAACACGTCGCCGGCGGCGAGCTGTTCGACTATCTTGTGCGCAAGGGGAGACTGTCTCCACGCGAAGCGAACAAATTCTTCAAGCAAATTGTTTCCGCTGTTGATTTCTGTCACCAGGTACGATGATTTCAATAACATTGATAGCGTAAATTCTCATTTTAGCACAATGTCTGCCACAGAGATTTAAAACCGGAGAATTTGCTACTTGACAGCCAGAATAACATAAAGGTGGCTGATTTCGGTATGGCATCGCTTCAACCTGCCGGAAATATGCTAGAAACAAGCTGTGGATCACCTCATTACGCTTGCCCAGAAGTTATCAGAGGCGACAAATATGATGGCACGGCCGCGGATGTTTGGAGCCTCGGTGTTATTCTTTTCGCTCTATTAGTAAGTCATCTCAAACGCTAGGATAAGAATGCATTGATTTGCAGGTCGGAGCTCTTCCTTTCGATGATGATAATCTGCGAACGCTGCTTGAAAAAGTCAAGCGAGGTGTTTACCACATTCCCCACTTTGTGCCATCTGAGGCTCAGCAGCTCATCCGGGGCATGATTTGTACAGATACGAAAAAACGACTCACACTGAAGCAAGTTCTCAGCCATCCGGTGAGATTATTTCCTAATCCGCGCATTGCTTAAAATCTTCCTAAAAAAGTGGATGACGAAAGGCGGAGAACCGTTTGAAGGACCCAAAGTCGACCCTCGCACACAAGACATTTACTTCACCAATGAAGACGAGCTCGATCCAGATGTGATGGCATCTATGTCGAGTTTAGGTTGCTTCAAAGACCGAGAACAGCTTGTCGCCAAGCTATTATCCAACGAGGAGTGCACAGAAAAATACGTTTACCAGTTACTGCTGCGCAGAAAAGGTATCGCCGGTTGTTTTTGTCGCACTTTCTCGTGTCCGATTCTGGCAGTCCATTACGATAAACCTCCTGGGCAGACACTCGAGGAGCTTTACGAATATCGTAATTTGGTTAAACGCCAAAATGAGACCTTACATCGTAGTAAACAAATCAGGCCAGGTCCACCGCGGCGAAACTTGAATCGAACCGTTCACTACTAATTTGCATCAACTTTTATCAATATCAAACGTTTTTGATATTGATATGCGTCGCTTGTTCTCACAACCTTCTTCTACCATCTCCATTTTCTTTTTGTAATTAATTTTATATTTTTGTATCAAATTGATAAGAATCTATATTAATTCTCATCCCCTTTCAGAGCGGCACCCGTCCATGGAAGACGACGAGAATCGTTTTGGCTACGACGTGTCCAAACTCGGCCAGGATCGCCCGAGAAAAAGGACGGACTCAACGGCAAGTTTGAACAAGCTCGCTTCTGTCTCCAGAAAAAACTCGCTCAATGGGATGAACAACACGGGATCAACTCCATCTACAGTACGTCCTGATTTTAATTAATTGATCGAAAAAGAGTGCCCGTTCAATTTTTTAACAGAGATGAATCTTTAGCCGCAGAGGAGTTGCTCAACACACACGAACGTTGGCTTTACCGGGCGTGGAAGGTCGTCAAGTTCATCGGGAGTGACGGGGGCAAGGACCCGTTTCTCCTGGTCCTCGGTGGCGACGCCGCGCACCAGTCCGAACCACTCGGCCATTTCCACCCCACTGACTTCTGCCAATTCCTCTAGAGCCAGTTCACCACCTAATACGCCTAGGTATGTTAAACATTTTGCCACTCTCGAAAACAACTTTGAAAACACTGAAAACGTAGCGGAGGAAGCTGGACAAAGAGAATTTCAAATTCCATCAAAAACTCTTTTCTTGGGACGCCAAAGTTTCACCGGAGAAGGACCTCGAGAGACAGCTCTTCTGGGGAATTAGGTAGCAATCAGTTGAATGGATTGTTTTCATAAATTGACATCATTAGACAATATGGGAATGCACAATTCGTCGTCGACAGACTCGGAGAAAAAGAGCTGGTTTAAAGAAGTTTGGAATTCTGTCGGAAATACGGACGGGATCTACACACTGTACATAGAAGCAGACGATCTCCAGCGCGTCAAAAATCGACTAGTTCAGGTTCGATCGCGCTCGAGTTGATCAGCGTTTAATTTTGTGTTCAGGCATTTTTGTACGTCCCGAATCTGAACCATTCCTTCCGGCACCACTCGCTCATCGAAATATCGTGCAACGATCCATCTTCAATTCCATTTCAAAGTCATAAGCCTTTCAAAGCGCAGGTCGAAATCACGAGAATACACAACAACCGTTTCCAAGTCATAATCAGACTATTGTCTGGAAACACAAAGCGTTTCGCCCGGACCTGCGTGAAAATTCAGGTTTGAAGGATCTCGGCTTATGCATATTTTACCGCAAATTCTAGCAAGTCGTCGAAGCTTACGAAAACCGCGCGCGCGCCCAGTATCAGGATCAGAATATGAACATGGCCTCGGAAATCTCGCGCGTCACTGCTGAATTAGAAACAATGTGTAATAGCCTTCAAAAGCAGCCAGTCTACCGCCCAGTTTAACAATAATATTATTATACATAAAACTGTTGCTACTTCTTCACATTCTTACTGTACAAAACCACTTTCTTGCGCATCTATTTTTATTCCATTTTATATTCTTCAATCGTTTTGCAATTGCACTATCTTCACTCTTCACTCGTTCAAATAAACAAACTGTTCTTCACTGTCAACTCACTGTACTATTTTCTTCATTAAAATATTACTACCCAAAATAAAGACCTTATCTTCACCTATTTACTTTTTTTTTCCTTCAAAGTCAAGTTTGTTCAAAATCAATAGCCATTACTCTTCTGCATAATTATCACAAAGAAAATATATCCTAGTTGTTTTCCTGGTGTTATGCATAAATTTTAGGTGCTTGAGTGAAAAATTTAAACATTTAGGTTCCGTGTCTGAGTGATTGTTCGAGATGGGCAAAGGCAAGCCCAAGACTAAAGGAAAGAAAATCCAGCTTGGTGATTTCATCGGCGATACCGGTAAATATCTGTAATGTTGTCCACACTTACAATGATTTTAAGGCAACAAGATTGCTGTCAATGGTGAAATGATGGAGCTTCCTTCGGCACCGAGAGCTACGACGCTCGAAATTGATGTCTCATTGGTAGAAACTCACATTCTTACTGTTTGATTAGCTTATTTTTTAGCTTCCAGCACGTCCTCCATTTACTGCTTCCGTTGCGAATTTGGTCTACGAAATTCAAGAAGAAGATCTTCAAAAATTCTTCGACGATATCCCGTATAATATTTTTATCAATTATTCATGTTTAAATTTCGTAGCAACATTACCCGAATCGATATCCCCCGCGAAGAGGATGACATCGACGGCGGCCAGAAGGGTCGATTCAAGGGTGTTGCTTACGTTACTGTTGACGGCAATCGAGACTCCTGCATCTCCTCCATGGCAAAGATCATGGCTAAGAACGATACAATGCTTGCTGGCCGACGTGCCAAAATTGAAATCTACGATGTTAGCTAATTCTCAATTTTGTTAGGTTGACGATTCGTCTTTTAGGAATTCTCTTCGAGAGGTGGCGGTCGAGGTGGAGATCGTTATGGCCGAGACGACCGAGACGGTCGAGATGATAGAAGAGGTGGACGAGAGCGAGATCCCGGCTTTGGCCGATCAGATGATGCTGATGATTGGCGTCGCCCTGCTGCTCCATCACGGGACGACCGAGGCGGCTTTGGTGGAGATAGATATGGGTAAGCTAGTGATAATCTTCAAATTATTTACTGGAATATGAAGTTCTCGAGGAGGATATGACGATCGTCGAGGAGGCGACCGATACGGGGGAGACAGATACGGTGGAGACAGATACGGGGGTGACAGATATGGCGGTGACAGAGATAGAGACCGTGGTTATGGGGACCGTGATCGCTACGGCGGCGATAGATACGGCGACCGAGGTGGCTACGGCGATCGCGACCGAGGATATGGAAGAGATGATCGAGACCGCGGTTACGGACGCGACGACAGAGACAGAGGATTTGGCGGCAGCAGATACTCAAGCGCAGCAGATGAAGACAATCAGTGGAGAAGGGCCGAGCCTGAAATTCCACGACGCGACCCGAGAGATGAAGTCCGACGCGACGCTCCTAGAGAGCGGCCGAAACTCCAGCTTTCCAAAAGAACCGTCAATACCGAAGGTAGAAATTGTTTTTTTTTCAATTCGCGCTGTATTTTTTTTAATTAAGAATCCGCTCCAAAAGCTGCTGGTTCTTCTGCTTCCATATTCGGTTCTGCCAAACCAATTGATACTGCAAAGAAGGAAAGAGAGATCGAGCAGAAACTATCAAAGCTATCAGTTGATGATAAACGACCACCAAGGAGTAGCGACAGGAAACCAAGTGTAAGGCTTTTGAAATCAAGGAAGAGAATGATTTTTTATTTCAGCTTACGGCCGAGGAAAGGGCGAAGAAAGCTGAAGAGGATTTGAAAAGACGAGTAGAAAGTGGAGAACTAGCGGCTGGACCTGAAAGCAACCAGAGAGAAGAGGTACTATTTAAAGCCACTACACAGTGATCAGTCAATTTCCTAGCTCGGCGCACAATCGCGCTTCGCAGCACTGGAAGACGAGTAAACCCTCGACTCTCGAGCCAATAGCAATCGGATGGAAATCGACAACGACAGAGAAACTCTTTTTTAACTCAATACTTTAATACTTTTTTAATTAAAGAATAGGTGAAATATTGTGCGCTACATGTTGCTCCGAAAACTAGCAGATAGAAATTTACAACTCAAGTTCGCATTTAGCCAAAGGCTTCACTTCTGTACCAGTGATTATATATATTTAATCTGTAAACTCACTCTAACTCCCAACGTCAATCTCACAGCTTCGCCATATCTTATTTTAATCAATTGGGTGAAATAAATATAAATTTCACGAAATTACAAAATCTTTTCTCCGTGAACATTTTCAAAATCTGACTGAATGAGCTGATAGAGTAGGTCCAGTTCTATATTTACCAAGAAAAAGATCGAAAATCGAAAAGTTTTTTTTGCCGTCTGGAAGCAATTGAAGTAAATTTCTGCTGACAGCTATTGTGCAAAAAGTACCCATTAGGGACTCCAATTTTTTGACGGAAATATATTCTCGAGACTCTGAACTAGGGCGCCAGCTATTTTTTTGTTCATTCTGATTAGTTTATCGCCGGTTTATCAGCAATCAAAGTTAGGTGAAAAATTCGCTGTGGCGATGAGCGCGGCGGTGACTAGACAGCGTAGTGGCGCTGTTGCCCACCCTAACCTGACGCTTGAAAGGAAAATGATTGAACGAGATTTTCATTCGTGGTTGGCTAGGGTGCGCCACAGCGTCACCATGCCGCATTGTCACTGCCGCGCTCCCCGTCTCATCAAAATTTTCGTCTGACTTTGATCGCTGATAAGAGAAGGATCGCGTAATCAAAACGAAATAAAAAATAGCTGGCGTCTTACTTCAGATGCTCAAGAATATATTCCGTCAAAAAATATGCTGTTACAATGAAGATTTTTTACGCTAGAGCCGTCAGTAGAAATGTACTTCAATTGCCGTTAGACAGCTCTAGAACTTTTAAATTTCAATTTTTTTCCTCGGAGAATATGAAGCTTGGCCTGTTCTTTCAAGACCTCTACTCAAAGTTTGAAAATATTTAGAGAGAAAAGATTTTGTAATTTCGTTAAATTTATATTTTTTCCACCCATTCTAAACTAAACAAGTCTCGAACTTTAACATCATCATATTTTATCAAAGCTTTGATAAATCAAAAGTCTGCTGCCTGTTCAAAATCCCTTCCTTTAAAAATAGCTAAACCTCCATCAAAGAAAAATTATTCATTCTACCTAATATTACTGGTAGACCGAGAAAAAGAAAGAATACATGATTGACGCTAGACTTGTCGGACATCTACATTACAGTGTTTTATTTACAGTTATTGCAGGAAAAATCCACGCAGTACAAGTATGAGTAGCACGATATCGAGAACAAATGAAAAAAGAAAAATTTGAAAAAGGCTGAACTAAGTTGATGTTGTTTTTTTGGGCACGGATTTATAAAAACAAAACGTTTGTCTATTCACAGGTCGAAGTTCTGTCGGGAAAGGGATGAATTAAACTTGTCGGCGGGTTGGTTTTTTAGCGCGCTAATGAAGTCGGTGTCCACTGAAGGTTGTGAATAAATACGAGTGCCCGAAGAGCGATCCTTTGATGAGCTGCACGTAAATGCTCGATCCGGCATTTAAGTAGACCGTCACGCTGCACGAGGAAGTTTGGTACCTTAATTATAAATTAGAACGGGATAAAGAGCATCCAATGTTTTCCGGCGTCAAAAAGATTAGAAGAGATTTAAATCACCCTTGGCAGTTTGAGCTTCCTCAAGGAAGATGATGACCTTTTAGGATCTTTGAGTGGGCAGCTTGCTACACTTTGTGCTCGGATCCCGAATTTCTCAGGCAGATCATAATTTTAATTTACTGCCTCGTTTCCAGGACAGTAACTCTCACGGGCAAATCCCTACCGCCCATCTGAGTACATTTAGTTTGAGAAAAAGTTCCTTTGAAGGCATTAAGCTCGATAAATACCTTATTTGAAAAGTGTATTTTCTCAAGAGCTTTAGTTGAATCAACAAAACAACAACGAAAAGGTTTAGTCAATATTTCCGAAATTCAATTTCGCTTTGTCAGACTAAGCGTCTTGCTGCCTGGGAGATGTGATTTCCACCTGGAAACGATTGAGACCCATGGCGGATATTCTGAAGTGTTGGCTGCTCGTCTAAACTTGAGAATTGCCGCGAATTTGAACTCCTCCCGCATGAGCGAATTCGAGTTATTTTATGTTCTGTCGTTAATATTCAGCCAAATTTACGTGTGGTTCTGTTGACTATCATTTTTGAAGATGTTCAAACGTGTTGAAACGACGAGGGTGGCAATATTTGCGTACTTTTCTGAAAATGACATTGTCGAAATATTGTTATCAGCGCGGCACTTGGACTAATTCCAGTCGCCTGGTCACTTGTCTCACTGGCGTGTATCAGCGGGCGGAACAAAAAAACTATCGAAGGGGGAAATTGTAATCGACATCGTAAATTGAAATCGCGTCCTCCGAAAATGATAAATTTGGGAGCCACGCATAGCCGCTACTGGAATTTATAGGCGCCCGGAAATCGACCTCTTTTACTGTAAATGCTACGATCTCACAGTTTCCGATACTGTTTCTGTACATTTACAGTCATTCTCAGGAATCCAATCCCTCTAATCTCATTGTAAACGCTACTTGATGGGCTAAGTTTGCTTGATGCAGATAATTTTAATCTCCAAGGCGTGATACTGTCGATTTCTGCCCGAAAATTTGGAACAAACGAAAAAAGAAGATAAACTTAATTCCGCCTCTGATAGACAGTCGCCAAGGCCGAAAAGATTTCTTTGCGTCAGAAGAATAATAAACGGTAGCAGAAATGCGACAGTGCAAAGGAATCTTTAATCTCTTGACTAACTTTCGGGCCGTTTGAACTTCTGAATTCAATTTGAACTTACTTTAATTGCGAAGTCACAGTACACAGTCGCTGTGTACCATCCTGTACAATGGAGAGGAAGAGCGGCTTCTCGAGCGCAAATGCCGAAGTAGTCAAGTGGTAAATGCCTGAAATGAATTTGTCAGTCTGTGACCGGAAGTTTCGCTGACACAATGAAGGTCAAAGTTATTACTGAACTTCCGGTAGTTTTGAATTTACGTTTGTGCAAATACAAGAACCCTAACGCCTCGACAGCATTGTAAATCATTTATTTGCCAAAGAAAGAATCCAGCAAGACTGCTGGAGATGATAGACTTCTTTTTATAAATCCGCTCTGGCGCCCGAAATAATTTAAAGACAAGGCGTATAAAATTTAGCAAATTGGTGTAATCTCTGCGGGAGAGAGTCTATATCTACGACAAACAAAACTTGCATCTCAAAATTTAGCGAAAAAAAACATCAATCACAGGATCATTAGCAAAATGGTTAAAAAAGCGACGTCCGGTTGTTGATTCTCACAGGAGAGTCAGTGTTTGTTGCACCGCCATAACCGGAAACTATCGAATTCAGATGGGAGTCTCTCTCAAATTGTTTGCAAGCTAACATTCTTTCTATTATGTTAATCTAATTCTTCAATGGATTTGCGGAAAAATGGTATTGCGAGAAAGTGGAACGCTCGGGAAGAAATCCAAAAATTCGTTGACCGCGGCACCGGGCGGTCATTACAGCGTTAGCGGCTCCACTATTCCGCGATGGTCAGGACGCGTCAAGGTGACCGTGCAGCTGCACCTCCCATCTTTACGCGCTTCTCAGGTTCAAACTAGGCCTTCGAGGAGTAACTTTTACCTGAGATAGGCGTAGTGTAGACACCGGTGTTGGTGTCGTATCCAATGTTCCTCGGATAGGTGAGCTGAACCTTGTCGAATCGCACAACTCCTTTGTTACGACTTGTCCTCGTGAAGTTTCTCGTCAGACCGACTGTAAACGCGGCGAACAGATCCTCTGTCGGCTGCGAGTAAGAGCTCGATACATCGTTCATACTCGCTCCACCCACGCAGTAGGAGCGATCGCATTGACCAGGTGGCCCCGGTGGTCCTGCTGGTCCAGTCCGGCCCATTAATCCCATCGGCCCCTGAAAATGACCTTCAACACTCGAGAATTTTTGTGAAATTTTCATTTCAACGAGATAATTAAATTGGATTAGCCCTTTTGAATTCGAAAATTGTGGCAACAAGAAAAATCACCAGGTGGTCAACGAGGGATCAAACGCGTGAGCTAATCATTTTCGAGATTAATCCCGTGTTTACGGTGACACCAAGAGTGGGCTCTCGATTTATTATATGCCCCGGTTAACAGCTGATGAGGACAGCCAACACTGAGGGATAGCTGATTTATGATGCGGGGCTATTTTTGGAGGAGACGGTCAATGGTATTTATGACGATTTCTTCGTAATAATTAAAATGACGAATTTAACTTACCGGTGGTCCGATGGGTCCTACAGGGCCAGTTCTTCCAGCAGATCGCGTTCTTGTCCTTTTGTTTCTCCTACTACTGCTCAAACCACGTCGTTTCTTGGGTCTATCATTTGTACCATGATTTCCCAGTTGATCAGGAGCTGCCCGGTGGATTGCCCGTCGCTGGTTGACTTAATTCAAGAAGTTAAAGTTTACTCGAGAGGGTATTTTTAGGAGACAAAACAAAACGAAATTTCGACAAGGTAAAGAAACTGCGTATCTGTGTTTTTACAAATGCTACTTTGAACATGGAAGTTGCCTTATCCCTGGATCAAAGCCAAGGAGGCTACTTGAACGATGCTCCTTGAGCAAGGTCCCTTTTCCAAGTTCAATCACCGCAAGGGATGAAAGTTGCTTGTAACGCATTAATTGACGCGTGGTTTCGGTACACGGCCGGTTTCCCCTATCCCGGATCATCACTTTGTCAACTATTTTCAAAACAACTTTGGAAAGCTGGTTCGTGCTCATTAGCCTCTAAGGATGGCTGCAGCTGAGTTCCAACTAGAATACTTGAAATTTCAAAAATTTAAGAGCTGAAAAAATCGGCAGGTGCGCGTAGTTTTTGACCAGACATTTTGCTTTTGACATTTCCGCTTGCATGTCGTTTCCTGCTGAAGCATTTGCTCAGCGCCCGATAATGGGGAAGTAAATTTCCGAAATGTGTTACAGTAACGATTCTAGCACCGAAAATCGCGCGGGTAATTTATCAAGGCGCGACCTTTCCTGCGATAAACAACGGTAATTGATTATTTCTAAATTGGGGATCAATACGCAGTATAAATGACACCCCGGAAGGATTACTTTTTAAAAGGGAGCCTTATCGGAACTTTGAAAAGAAAAGCCACAAAGTCAAGTTTGACCTTCAAACAGAAAATAGGGGAACAAAGCGTTTACTGTGCTTTTAAGCATCTTTCACTATCAGAATCAAGTCTAACACCTGGATTCTTTGGCAAACAAAACATCTACTTGAACTACGATGAAATGAGTTTGTGCAGACAAAATAAAAAATAACTTATAATGACGAGATGACGATGGGGATGATGGGAAAACTTACGAATTCTGACACTGTGCCGTATCGAGGGATTTGCCAAAGACTCAGAAAGGCTCTCACTGGAATGGAACGCCCGGGCGGGTCCCTGAGCGATTCCGTAAGAGCTCTCTGAGCTTGATTTTGAGCGTCATCTGGCAAAAGAGACGCTCTCACTAAACGATTAGAATTTTATTTAAAAGGGCCAGGTATCATGTGTGTTTTCAATAAAAACAAAAACGCATCTCCTTCAAGCTTGAGAGATCTTCTCAAACTTGAGAGCGGAAGCGGTATTTTTTGAAGCCCCTGTTTTTATTGAACTTGAAAAATTATTGACAATCATTTTTAATTTCTACGAAAAAGATGTTTTGCATGAAGAATTGCTTACCGTAGTGCGTTTTATACTCTTTTTCTGGCTGCGCTCTTCCGTACATAAACGCTGCTTGAGCAGAAACGACGTCGATAAGTAAGCATATCAGCGGTAGAAGGTTTCTCATATTCGAGAATATGCCTTTTTAGGTTTTCTTCTGTCGTCTTCGTAAAAGATCTCTGAGACGTTCAATCTGACAACAAAGCTGTTTGGACAAGCTGCGAGGGTGTTTGTATTCCAGCAATTCTGATTGTACTGAAAATGGTCTCTGATTGGAGCTGTGGTTCTTTATTGAATAGAGAACGTGAAAATAGAAACGATTTATATTTGAATTTCACCTCGGCGATCAGACAACGAGCTGACAAAATGAATCGCACTTGGGCGCCATCTCTGTGGGAGGCAAGTAGCGCCATCTGGGCGCCACCCTGGAGAACTTCTTCGACAATTAATGATCCTAAACAAAAGGTAAACATGCAATTATCCTTGGTCATTATTTATTTTCAAGAATGTCTTGAAAAATTCTTGTGTTTAGGGCTCCAGACGGGCGACCAGGTTGAGTACGGTCAAGTCCAAGGCGTAAACAGGAGAGAAAACGCAATTTTCCAGTTTGGAATTCTTTCCGTTCGTGCTTATAAATATCATCTTTCAAAATAATCTGACTTTACCAAAACTTTGACGTGCGAAAAATTTGTGCACCTGGGGCTAGTGGCCCAGAAGGGCAAACGCCAGCGGCCAGATTGCGGTAGTTGGCGACGGGGCATGAGAAAATGGCCAAGTTTATTGCATTTATTCCCTGCAAGAACTTCCTTGGACAACATTGACTTGATCAAATGCGGCGCATAACATGTCGTAAAATTACAAAAACGATCCGTAAAAATTGGAGACGCAGAGTCCGCACCGCAAATCGTCCCAGATGGAAACCACAAAGTCTACATGAGCTTCTTCAGTAAGCTTTCGCTCATACAGTAGCTTCTTCAAATCGAGCAAACAACTTGTTTAGCAAGTTCCAAGTTTACCCGCGATTTTCCCGAATTTCATCACTGCACAAGTAGCTCCTCGAAAGTTTCCCTTTGCGATGCAAAAAACGTTTGTCAACTCAGAGAGCGCATACAGTAGTAGTGGCTTATCTCGCACATTTACCGGAACCGCTTGACAGTTCAATCTCATCAGCAGGTTCACGATTCCCAAGTCGTCACCGCTTCCGGTTCTTCCATTTTCGACTTCTATTTGGGCACACGCTGATCTTGACAGCGCATTTTTCTGATATGTCAAAAACCCCGCCAAGTTTGTATTTCAGGGAGTTGTAAATTTGTCAGAGTCATTTTGAAGGCCACGAAAAAGTTTTTCTTCACACTCGTCGCCCGAAATAATGAAGGAAGATTATGGAATTGTGGGGAAGATCTATTTTCGCATTATTGAAACAATCAACCCTCTTCTCGCGCAATTACCAAACAAAAGCCGGGTAACTGCTACTTCTCGGGAAAAGAGAAAGCTGCCCTCCAAAATAACACAAACACAAAACGATAGAATGATCAAACGCTGGGCCGCCGCGCTGACTTCCGATAGCGTTGAAGTCGGATTTCCCTAGCTAAATCTTTGGATATCCTTTTAGTATATTATGGAATTCATTTGGGGATTACGCTTTTGAAATTTTGGCAGAAGCGTGGCTCAAATACCAAAATAATGTCATTCGAAAATTTTCAAATATCATAATATTTACCTCCATGTAACAGGTCTTTCAACGACTCCTGCCAATGATAAGGGTGTCAATGATAATATCATTCTTTGGAACTGAAGACTGTGATAATTTCAAAAAATTTTTGCGGGTCGGAAAATCATAAAAATCTGAAAGTGCAGTTTTCTTCAGCTTGTCGAGACGAGTCGAATGGTGGGTCAAACTCTTGATGACTCCAACGATTGACCGGTTAACCGGCAGTTTCAGGAAAATACGTTTCCGGTCGCCGTTTTTGTTCTAGAAATGCTAGAATGACAAAAAAGTGGGAAACTGGTTCTTTAAGTTAGCTCTTCTGTGCGTGAAAAATGAAAATCATATCTCTAACCATAAGGTGCTTATCACCGAAATTCTATTTTCTCATGAAAATGGGACCGAAAATTAGGAAGGCGCAGCAACAACGAGATACCATACAAAATTTCGATTTTAATCGATAAAAAAGTTTCGCTATATATTTGACCAATATCTTTTTGCCCACAGTAGAACTGACCATAAGGATCAGTTTACGGGTTCATTCATCATCCTAGCATTTCTAGAACAAAAACGGCGACCGGAAACGTATTTTCCGGTAACCAGCCGGTAAACCGGTCAATCCTTGGGGTTATCAAGAGTTTGACCCATCATTCGACTCGTCTTGATGAGCTGAAGAAAACTGCACTTTCAGAATTTTTAAGATTTCCGTGTGGGATGACTAAGTTCGTGGGGACTAGGTTCGTGAGACTAGGTTCGTGGGTGGCTGGCTGGAAAACGTGGTTCGTGGGACTAGGTTCGTGAGTTTTTGATTTTATATGTATATTTTTATTTATAATGATTAAGTGTTATTTATATGTATATATTTATTTATATATATTTATATATATGTATTGTAATTCTATGATCATATAATATAATATTGCTATCAAAATATAGGTTCGGGGTTTTTGATTGGTTAGAATTTTTATTCTATAAGGAAAAAATATGTGCGACTAGGTTCGTGGGACTAGGTTCGTGGGTTTTTAATTGGTAATTATTTTTATTCTATAAGGAGAAATTATGTGCGACTAGGTTCGTGGGACTAGGTTCGTGGGTTTTGAAATTTTTTTATAAGGAAAAGGAGGGTGCCACTAGGTTCGTGGGACTAGGTTCGTTGGTTTTGAAATTTTTTATAAGGAAAAGGAGGGTGCGACTAGGTTCGTGGGACTAGGTTCGTGGGTTTTGAAATTTTTTATAAGGAAAAGTGGGGTGCGACTAGGTTCGTGAGACTAGGTTCGTGGGTTTTGAAATTTTTTATAAGGAAAAGGGAGGTGCGACTAGGTTCGTGGGACTAGGTTCGTGGCTTTTAAAAATTTTTTATAAGGAAAATGGGGTGCGACTAGGTTCGTGGGACTATGTTCGTGGCTTTTAAAATTTATTTTAATAAGGAAAAATGGGTTGCCGCTAGGTTCGCGGGACTAGGCTCGTGGGTTTCTATTCTAAGGCAACCATTGTTATTCAGCGCTAACATAGAAATTCAGTTAAAGAGCCTAGCGGCTTATTTTGGGGGTGGGAGGGGGTGGGAAAATCATTTTTACCATTTAACTTTACCCAATTTTACAACCCACGAACCTAGTCCGACGAACCTAGTCCCACGAACCTAGTCTCACGAACCTAGTCTCACGAACCTAGTCTTCACGAACCTAATCTTCACGAACCTAGTCCCACGAACCTAGTCCCACGAACCTAGTCTTCACGAACCTAGTCTTCACGAACCTAGTCCCACGAACCTAGTCGCACCCCCTTTTCCTTATAAAAAATTTCAAAACCCACGAACCTAGTCTCACGAACCTAGTCGCACCCTCCTTTTCCTTATAAAAAATTTCAAAACCCACGAACCTAGTCCCACGAACCTAGTCGCACTCAATTGTTCCTTATAAAAAAATTTCAAAACTCACGAACCTAGTCCCACGAACCTAGTCGCACTCAATTGTTCCTTATAAAAAAATTTCAAAACCCACGAACCTAGTCCCACGAACCTAGTCGCACTCAATTGTTCCTTATAAAAAAATTCATAATTTTTATAATACTTATAATACTTATAGAAAAATCTCTTATTTCAAAACCCACGAACCTAGCACCCCTACGAACCTAGTCCCACGAACCTAGTCGCATCACATTGTTCCTTATAGAAAGGAAACCATACCCCATCTTGCATACTTTGGCATAACCACCTACGAACCTAGTCCCACGAACCTAGTCCCCACGAACTTAGTCATCAATCCCCGGACCCGCAAAAATTTTTTTGAAATTATCCTGTCATAAACCGCAGTTAAAGAAAAGCACTTGTGATACGTTTTTCATTATCAGTGTTATCACTTTCCGTGCGTAAACCAACATTTATCGTGAGTCCACTTGGACCGGATATTTTTATCACTGTTTACCCTCATTATGGTTATTTATTGCTCTTACAGGCTGCTTCCGAAATTGCCCAAACAAAACAGTCTGTCCCCTAACGTGCGAGAGAAAGAAAAAAACGCCAAAGTTGCCACTTGACGGGTGACAATGCTCCATAAACTTGCACCAAGAGCACTCCAAGAGCGGCCTGTTTGCTTGGGCACGGTCCTCGGGCCACTTTCCCAGTTGACAAAACGCCACTTGATTTCGCTAATGAACCTGAAAGCTCTCTTGTAAATTCTTTTGACTCACTTTTTATTTGGCTAGTTCTCGGAGTATCAGCCCGGGCGTTGGCCCTTGGATCAGAAAATGATTTTAACTGCGGCCAGTTATAGCTGCATGTGTTTCAGCTTGACAGAGTTGAGCCAAGTGTCGAGTTCAAAGCTATTACCGATCTTTTATTACTCTTTATTGTCAGAAGTTTTGTGAAATCGGTTGAAAACGATTATCTTGGCGGGAGAAAATTCGACCTCTTAGGGATCAAAAGACTTAATTTTCCAATTTATTTGAAAGGGACAATTGAAGAATATTGTACAGTCGTTGAAAAATAACAGTTTTCAAACTCGCTTCTACCTCATAATTATGCTTTGAAAGCAAGTATCCGCCGGTCTTCCGATTCTAATAATATTGAAATTATGGGAAAGTCAAAACTTGTCTATCGGCGATTTATCGATGTGGCTATCTCCTGGGGAGGAAGCAGCAAAAGCGTGCTCGACGAATTTCATCGACCAAGATCACCTGTCCGAGCGGAGGAAGCCAGTCCTTGACGCGATAAGGCTCATAATCGTAAGGCCACAGTCGTAAATGTTTTCCAAGTTGTTTGAGAGAAAAGGCAGGACTTGGCAAAAATCTTACCAACAGCTGGAGATAGTAATAATATGTCGAGTCCCAAAATGTGCCAGAAAAGAACCGAAGAAAAAGAATCAAGGGCTGGATTCTTGACGGAAATCTTACCTTGCGAAAAAATGGTTGATTGACAAAAGCTTTCACATCCGAATCGGAGACTTTGCCTTGGCTGAATTTGATCGACTAGTTCCGAAGGTTGACACCTGCGACTCTTAGCCTAAGATGTGAAATTCAAAAACAGGAAGCAGTTGAGTAAATTTGAACGCGAAAGTTGAGCCAAAGCTCAGAATCGCACATCTAATTGAGGAGAAAAGCTCGTTCCCGCGGATATATATTTCTGTTATGGCTTGGAACCGTGCCTAGTTGCTGCCGATCCGGCTAGCCGCGTTGGGACAATTCTCATCAGCAGCTGCTGCATTTGATGGATTGTATCTAAGAGGCTCTTATTTTCAAGAGAACAGGCTGATTTTGATAACGTTATGGCTCGAACGATGTGAAAAACGAGGATGCTTAATTTTCTCTGTTCCGTATCCGTTCTGATTTTGTCGGCTCTGGTTGATTCCTTTTGATGTGTCTGTGCTAAGCATTTGACGTGCATTGACGTGTGGGCACGTTTAGATGCACCTGAAAGCTCTGAAGTCGTAACCACCTCGAACGTGGCCGTTCGCGGCGTCAAAGACCTCACACTGACACTTTCACGTTGACAGGGAGGAGGAATTCCGCAGCTGGAAGGGTGACGTGATGCACATAGGTTCAAGGCCTTCCGCTTTCAAGATATTTTTAGCATAAAGCTAAAATAACTTTGACACAATTCAAATTCTGCTTCGTGCAATTTCGAAGAATTCGAGGTTCAAAAATATTTGGCCCCGTTTTTTTTAAAAAGCAGCTGATTTATAATCATAAAAAGTTTTTATTGAAATTATTTCGTCATAAAGTTTTTTCGCTTGAAATCATGGAAAACGATGAGGATTTTTCGATCTCTTCCTTGATTTCAGTAATGGCTTCTGAAATCGAAATTCAATCTAAAAATGAAGGGGGTGGGTTAGACACAGCTTTAAATATTTTATAATTGAATTTGACTTTCAAAAATTTGACCTTGGATAATTTTTTAAGCCTGGCGGGTAAGATTTCAGCACTAAAGTGAGGTGCGGTGGGGTGGGATCACACACGCGAGCCATTTTGCGATAACTGTGGTGTAAAAGTAAGGACTGTCTTGTACAGTCGCAAATTATCCCCCTAGTGCTCAGCGCGCGAAATCGAGGCCAGCAACTTGTGCCGAAAGAGGAGCAATCCAAAACGCCATCCCATCAAAAGTGCGTTTTACTCCACGAACAAATTAATAACGAAATTGGCCGCTCCGCCACCACCATTGAATAATTGACACCGGCCAATTTTTTTCATAATAGAGAGAAGCTCAAACTCAGATTAAGAGAATCGCTGATTGATGTAAAATCGAACTGAAGAAAAAAATGGAGAATATTCCGCAGGTATTGCAGTTGAAAAATTATTCATCTGTTGATTGGAAAATTTCAGGATAATTATACATTAGTCGAACCAGATGAAGTTCGAATATACGAACCTATCGGTTCGGGGAGCTTCGGCTCCGTTTTTCGCGGCGAATTCAAAAACATGGAAATTGCGGTGAAAAAGCTCCCGAGCAAAGAGAAAGAAGCGAGCATTCTAGCGATGCTCAATCACCCAAATATTATCGAATTCTACGGCGCTTGTGAACAACCGGGCAATTACAGTATCTTGATTGAATTCGCGCGTTATGGAAGTTTGTACAGCTTTCTACAGACGAAAGAAGCAGCCAAGTTGGATTTCGAGCAAATGATCCGATGGGCCTTGGACATTGCGCGAGGCGTGAACTATCTTCACAATGAAGCTCCTTGCAAAGGTATTGACTGAGGTCAATTATGGATTATCGCGAGTATTTTCTCTTCTTTCTATAAAAATACAGCGAATTCCAGAGCAAAAAGCTGCTTGAAAATAACTCATTTTCTAGTCATCCATCGAGATCTCAAATCGAAAAACGTTGTAATTGTCGGCGACGACTACACTTTGAAATTATGCGATTTCGGCGCCTCCAGATATTTAACTCAAACGGCGACGATGACCATGGTGGGAACATTTCCATGGATGGCGCCTGAATTAATTCAAGGAAAGAAATCGAACGATTTGTGCGACGTCTACTCTTTTGGCGTTCTTTTATGGGAGATGCTGACAAGAGAAGTGCCGTTCAAAGGCATGGAAGGTTTTCAAGTCGCTTGGATGGTCGTGGAAAAGCGTCAACGACCGGTTTTACCTGACAAGGCGCCAGAAGAAATCAAGCAGCTTATCAATACTTGCTGGGCGCACGATCCAAAGGATAGAAAAGACTTTCGGGCAATCATTTTGGACCTTGAAAAAATGGAGCTCGATCAAGAACTTATGGACGAAACCAACTCATTTATGGGCAACAAAGAAGATTGGGAGGAAGAATACGAGGACCTCGTGGAAAGCATGCGTACGGAGCAGCATTCCTCGATAAAAGAGCGAGAGGAAGAGCTCGAAAAGAAGGAGAAGAAGATGAAAGAGTGGGAAGATGCTCAACGAGAAGCTTCAAAGAACCACGGATTGATCAATATCGGCCAAATTGAAGAAACTTCGTTCAATCGAAAATTCAAGTTTTCGGGAAAAGGCGAGGGTGCCGCAGAATCAATCAGAGGCATGCTTGAGGCAGTTTCAGGTAAAAAAGGAGTAAAGTGATCTGGTGATTAGTTTCTCATTTAGGCAGGAATCTTTCGAATCAAAACTTGAAAGCACTCACGCGTGGCAGTTCCGGAAGCTCACTTGTGGCTCTTGACGACAAGTACAGCTCAAATACGTCGCTTTCATCGAACTCGTCAACGCCGGGAACCGTTCAGCCTGGTCTAGGTTGTTCCAGTTCAAGAATTCTATCATAACTTTTGCTTAGGGTATCGACACAAGCGATCTGTTGGAACTCCCCCAGCCGATAAATATCCATTCTCTCCTCTCCTTTCAAAACACATGGTTCAATACAGCCCAAAGAAGCTTTCTTGTCCAAAAATAGAAGGCGAGGCTGAGTTTGGAGGCTCAACGAGAAAGACTTCGCTTGGAATTCTCGGAAACACTCAGACTGGAGAAAACCAAGCTGTGATGTTGCCGAAAGAAATCGAAGAAATTCTTCAAGCACAAAGCATGGGAAATGGAAAACCCTTCTGCAAGTTTTCTAGGCAAACGAGTACTTCTAATGAGACGATATCTTACAATGAAGCTCGCGCAATAATCAAGGGTCCAGAAGGGACTGAACCCCGCGTGATCGAGAACGCTTCAGGAGATTATTCCAAAAGTCAATCACATGACAATCTGACCCTGTTAGGGAAAGATGCTGCTGTCTCGAGAGGGCTAAATATGTTGACGAATATGTCACCTTGTTCTTCCACTGCCAACATGACACAGTTCAATACAGTCTCCTGCAATTCTCCGGAAATCTTTCAACCAGGCTATTCTCCAAACGAAGAGCGTCTCCAACAGAAAGTCGGCCTTCTTCAACAACAAGTCCGTCTACTCGAACAAGAACTGAAAAATATACTCAACAAGCCAAAACGCGGGGTCAGAGTCCAGGTCAACTGCGGTAAGATACCAACTTCCTAGTTTGAGTATTATCGAGCTTGCGGTTATTTTGTTTTAGGTCCCATCACACGTGACAAGGGTTCACAAACAGACTTCTTCATAAGTCCAACAGAATCGTACAGAAGCTCGACGATCGGAGGATCACCACCTGACAGTTTCAAATCGAACATAAGCAATGGTAGCTTTGGCAGTGGGCGTAGTACAATTTGCCCATCTGGCGATTTATCAGGAAAGGATCTATCACTCCAGCAGAATAAAAACCCACTTGAAGCCCTCGAGTCTAGGCCCCTAGCCGATGCTAGACTTGTGCGAGATCACTGATAAGACCACGATGTGATTCTGGAGAGACATTCCATTGCGTCTATACAATCTGAAGATGACCCTAATCAAGGATGTAAGTACCCACTTGAAAATCAGTGTACTTTATTATTGCGCTTAGCTTGCGAGACTTCGTCTATGTCAACATCAGCGTCTACGTCGATCCCAACTACTCCAAGCTCTTCTCAGCCAGATGAGATTCTGCCTAGTCCGTCTGGATATGAATCTGGAGGGGATTCAGGTATTTTTCTTTGTTGTGAAAGCTGGCTAGCCATGAATTTAAGAGTATTCACAACGAATATCACATAAGAGACGGACGAATTGCCGCCCAGGACACGATGGAACTGGCTATTCAGACATTCGGCTCATGTCCGACGACTCGGATTCAGAAGCAGTTTCGCGCGTTCACCAGAGACACTCTTGCGACAACCCTGTCGGCTATCGGAAGCCCGCTCATGAGTCCAGGTTAGAAATGATCAGACGAACGTCTCTAGAAGAACGCCGCCCGCTAAGTTCGAGAATCACACCACCAAGGCAATTATAAGAAAATATTTTCCAAGTTTTTGCTTGTCAAAAACCTTTGGTGGTCCTCCCTTTACGTGATATCATCTGTGATACTTCACGTAGGCTGTAAAGTACTTGAGTGCCGCGTGCACTGGAAAGTACTTTAGGCCTTGATACCAAATTTATCTTGATGAAAGCGGGTTTTCTATCAAGATAAATAACTGAAACTCTTTGGGTAAAAAATGTACGGAATTTGATCTAGGTAAACTTATGTGATGAAATAAGGAGCTGACAATGCGATGATGAGCGCTCTTTGAAAAGCCAACTCAGTAATGAGCGCGAAATACGTGTTTTACAAGTCAATTTCTCTTCGATAATCCTCAAACATTCATCCTCTAAGCGTTCAGTGTTTTAAGCTGCGGTAAACTCATTGTTGATTTCAGTACGGTTTCGCCGCGCTTCCAACGAAAAGTCAACAAAATCTCTTCATCGTCTGGAAGATCATCGAGTTCATTACATCTTGATGTTGATGACACTCGCTTACGAAAGTCATCATCAGGAAACTCGCTGAATTCGTCGCAGCCTCCACAGCTAACCTCTCTCGGTAGAATAAGACCGGAATCGGCGGATAAGGTATTTTGAAATTTTCACTACCGAGAACGACTGACGTTTAGGCGAGACGAAATATCAGTGCTCCACAACTACAGTTGATTGAAGATAGAGCTCATTTGACGAAGAACCAGCCACACCATCAGCCAATGCTCGATCTAAACGAAACAAAGAACATATCTCTAAATCAGAAGTTTGTCTCGAGGTATTTATTGCTCGCTGTCAACAGAGTATGATGCATGTGTTTAGTGCGGAAATAGGGAATGTGGGCCATCGAGGCATCAGCCGCCTCCCCTCTGACCCTTCCAACCGCCCTAAGTCAGGGATGAGCGGCCGCCACTCACTCGATCACTACAGTAATCTTCCTACATCGCCACGCTCAGCAGGCCCGATGAGCAACTCTGAAAATAAATTCACATTCGGTCTTTCGCCAAGGCCAAAACCTAAAATTGAGCACTGCCGACAAGCTACTTCCTTCGATACTGCTTCGCAATATAGGTTCGCATGGGTGCAACTAACAGCGTTTTCGATAATTTCAAAAAATTCAAAGATAGCCTCTGTTCGATAAATTAAAAATTTGCCCTCTAAGTAATTCATTTTAGCTCCGATCAAGACGATGTCCGTTCCGAATGCTCCGATAGCCCGTATTACCACGTTTCTTCCTACCATGTCCCGTCACAGCAGCGTCGAAAGCATTCGCGACCTCACGATCAGGTATTGACAGGTTTCTTTTACAACACACTCTTAGCACGCTTTCAAAGTCACAATCGAGTATATTCGATACAATTATTAAAACCGAAATTCAGGCGGCGCCAAACTTTGAAGCTCTTCATAACAGTTCCATTCTCTTAAAAGGCCCCGGCAGAACTTCAATCCAAACAAGGCAAGTTTCAACAAAACCGACTAATTATTAAAAAGAAATTTCAGACACGGAGCCCCAGAAACACAGCCTGTAAGCCGCTCTCGTCCAGGATCAAACCTCCGACTTGACATCTCAAAAACGATCAAAAAATTTCAACAACAATAATGATAAACCCTACTTGCCAGAAAACAAACACTGTTGCTCGAAATTATGAATTTAAAAAGCTCAAAGCTTTATTTAAAATAAATAGAAAAACTCTTGTCCAGAAGTACAGAAATTGGAAAAGTATGATACACAAGTGGATAGGCGGATTTTTCTTCGTCGCTAACATTTTTTTTTTCGGAATCGTAGAATTGTCGTGGAATATTTGTTTGGTGACTACTACTCGTACAGTTACAGTAATTCACAGCTAGCGCTAATATAACACGGAGATTGAGCAGCAAAGGGACGACTACTGTGAGCTTCTTCCGGACTCACTCGATGATGTCTGGTGGGCGAGTTGCCTCGGCAGCGCGTTGACGACGCATCGTATTTGTCGGAGATTCGAAATCGTTATAAATGTCTATTCCAGAATCAGCTCTTTCGGGAGATTCATTGCTAAAAGTGTGTTACGCTTAATAAATCAGACTTTTCAAACCTGAAGAATGGCGAAGGGCTTCGAGTGTTGACCCTCCTCCCAACCGGGACGGGTATTCTACTCCTAGCCGATCCTGGCCTCGCTTCCATTCTGGGCTTGACTAATTCCCCCGAAACTCCATGCAAAGACACAGATAAGCTTTGGAGCGCCATCTCCGCAGCGGATTTTGGCCTTTTTGTTGGAGCTTTCTCGTCTTTTGTCGACGAGCCGAGATCTTCTAGTGTTAGTCTATCGTCGCGATAGACCTTCATGTTGACCTTGCGGTCTTGGCTCGATTCACGAGACGTCTTTCCGGAGCTCTTTCCAGGTGCCATGGATTCCTGCGAGGTCAGCCGTTTTGTCCTCGGCGTTTTCGCGGTCATAGGAGTCGAGTAAGGCGTCGCCGAGGATGAGCGCGGCGGGGTCGATGAACCGATTCTAGAGCGAGAGGGAGTTTGACTGCGATGTTTTTTCATTCTACTCGCAGAGTTACTGTCGCCTTTCAGTGGCCTACTGCGCTCTACAGAAGAGCGGTCGACAGGCAACGACTGGTTTAGATTGACGTTGCGTCGAGCAGTGGCAGGAGAACGCGTTGGAGTATTGGAATTGTTTGTCGTTCGCCGTCTTTCCTTGGCAATATCGGATTTGACGCTAGACGGCGTACCCTTGACTTCTTTCACAACGTGTCCTTTTTCGTGCCGCTCGATAATGAAGTGCTAAAGAAAATGTTAACATAAGCGAAGTGCCCGTGAGATCGGTATTTTCATGCAAATCTACATGTTAATTGATGATAATTCTATTCTAATCTTGAATCATTCATGATTGAGCGAGTCTATCAACTCTTGAACAAGGAATCAGCATATTTTTGTGAGATTTGTGCACTGGGATTAGTTCTGAAATCAAACTGTGCTACGGAAAAGAACACAAGGCATGGAACCTCTTTTTCCGGCGTCTCGGTCTTTGGTGAGCGCGTTCGCCTGTTAGAATTCGAATACAGCCGATCAAATACGGAAGAGCTTGGCGAGACGCCAAAGCTCGCCTCGATCAGGTTGGTCACGCTTTTCGATTTGAACTTGCCTTTTCGAGTGGAATCGGCCTTTGTTTAGCTTATTAGTCGTCGAGTGATTTTGTTACTGTCTTGTTACTGTATGTCCCTAATTGCGAGAAATTGACATACGGGTTAGGGTTAGGGTGAGAGAAAAGATGCATGGTGTTAAGGTTCTTACTCGAGGAAGGGTTGAATACGGCCGAAAAGCCGGGGTTGATGGTGTTTTTGTTTTAACTTTATTTCGAGCACTGAAACTTCCGCCCAGAGTTTTACTGTTATAGGAACTTCTCCCGAGACTCGATTTTGGTGGTGGTTGAGGTTGAAGTTTGGGTTTTGATTTAGGTTTTGTTTTCGTAAGCCGTTTCCTAGGAGGACCGAGTCTATCAGACACGGAAGTGGTCGAGTACTCGGACGACACACTCGAGCGCCTTGCCGGTCGAGTTGCCGTTGCGGGTCTAGCAGGCAAGCTGCGCCTATCTTTTGGCTTTTCAAGACCGATGGGATTCGGTCTTGTTATAGTCTTTACAGGCCTCGACGCATTTAGCGAGGGCGTCGATGTCGACAGTGTCGCCGCGAGCGAGGCCCTTGACCCCCTCCGCGACGATGACTTTGAAGAGGTCGTCGCTTGAGGGGAGAGAGTTTGATTAAGACGCGTCGTTGATCCAGAAAGTTTCTATAAAATCCATATAAGCCCCTTTCATCCCTTCTCAATACCCGAACAATCTTAGCGAGCGAGATTCTAAGGGCTAATCTTATTTTATCTCCATTACTAACACTCCCCATCAAACTGGTTTATCTTCAGTTCTATCGGAGCTCGATCACTCATCTCTTGCTTGGAGATCGTCCAATATTATAAATAACCAATAATACCGATAATTTTACCTGACGAATGTGTTTCTCCTGGCGATGGCGTTGACACCGACATGGATCGTGTTTGTTCAAATAATTTTCTAGCGTGTCCCAGCCTCCACCAACTCGAACCATCACGTGATTTCGGAGAATCTAAGAATGGTTGAAACTGTAGAATACAGAGATTTGCTTACTCTCATGTAGATCAAAGCCTTTGAGTCTCCAATTCGATACTTTCCATCTCCCACTTTCGTCAACGAAAACATCGTAGGGCAAGTACAAAGTCCAAGATAATATTGCACCTTTAGAAATAATGCGTTAATAATGACCGAACCGAGAGTTCACCAATTCCCATGAGAAATCTACCCGCGCATCCCTCATCTGGCGAATCGGCAAAGATCATAATTACCATTTCATCCAGGCTTTTAAAGTCGATCGCAACTTTCTGCGGCTCTGGTTCGGGCTCTTCATAATCGGAATAGTCGCTTTCAACTTCGCCCGCATCGATTCTCATTTCGCGTTCAATTTCTTGTTCTAGTTTGACGATCGTTGGTGCCTCCATTCCAAATTTTGCACCTCGTCGAGCAACCTAAAATATTCGTTGAAATTCGTACTCTTCCATGATTTCAGTACCTCGAGAAGTGTAAGGATAAAGTTCTTCTCATTCTTCCTCAATATGAGATCGTCAGTTTCGAACATGATGATATCCGAAATGCCAAGTTCTTCCCTGCACCACTTGATGAAGACCGCAACGTTGTCACGCGCGAAGAACGACTCTGCTTTGACATGTCGGCCCTAAATGTGAATTTTCAAATCCGGCTCTTAGATGAAATATTCATCGGTCTTTTGCCGGCTGAGTTCACCGGCGCCGGACCACATGACCTTGGCTTTTTGGATCATTTGGATTCCCCCGGGCTTTGTACGAATCGAAACAAAAAGAGAATGGAAAAGGGAGATAGACGTGAAATCTGAACCGCAGTTTCATTATTTAAAATTTAAAAACGAGCTGGAGCCGACCCAACATACTGTCACCCACAGAGAAGCTCCCTTCGTCTACTGTAACTACTATCAATTATGCATCGTTTTGTGACAGATGCGCTTATCCTCGCTGGGTAAATACCGAAGAGGCTATCTTTGAACAAGTAGGGCTCGCGCCTAGGGGGCAATTTCACGTCCCAGATGGAAAGAAAGAGGATATCCGCAACTTTCAATGCTTCAAACAAAAAAAAATACTGTTTGAACAATCCAAGGAAGGAAGTTCTCATCAAAAAGCGAGGTAAGAATACAGATTAAATACAGTATTCTGCTACTGTACGTAGCTCAATTAAATACGGAATAAACAACTGCCAAGTGAACTTGATCAATCAATAATTTACAGACAAGTGTGGAAAATAAAGATATGCCCGGGCCTGATTTTTAATTATTTACCTCGTTAAACTTCACACAATTCTGCGGCACCTTGACTTTCGTCAACGAGGGATGCTCTGGGTTCGTCATTTTGAACTCTTCGGCATGCAGCGTCACTGTATTCGCGTGTTTGCAGAGGAGAATTCCAGTTTCAAGTTTTCGAAAGAAAGAATATGCGTTTATCGTTTCTTTTCAAGAGCACCACAAATGTTTGTTCATCGACGTACAGTTACTTTCAAACTGTATTTGCCTGTCCGATAATATCGATAAAAATATGTCATTTTATTCTGCGATTTATTTCCTAAGACGTCAAAGGACGCGACAGTAGATGAGTCTTTATGAAGTTCCAAACTAAAAGTGTTTGAGCTTTTTTGTGGTGCCGTTTCCTGAGTGAAGAATTTGAAGCCATTCAGACAAGTCTTCCTTCATGGCGAATAAATATTCATTCTGAACATCGATTAGCGCGCTCGGCAATATTCGCCAAAAATCGACTTTCGAAGCTATCTAAGAGCCATTAGGGGCTTACAATTTGTAAACCCATAAATCGACCAAAAGCTTGGGCCCATGTCAACAGAGGGCTGAAATCGCTTAATTGGCACATGTACCGGGGATTAACTCATCGGATAAATTTTTAATTGAAATATGTTCTTTGATCTCAGAATCAAAAATGAGAGTGAATTTACGTAGAAGAATGTCTGTGAATTAACTCACGTCTGGGTAAAAAAGGAGGATTTCAAAGACGAAATTTGAAAGTTGTTTATTAGTAATAAATTATTACCTGTGTATTGTACGGTCTGATAGACTGTCTGGCAGACGCGTTAATAACCGCCGAAACTTCTTGCTTCACCTCATCGGATAGCTCATTCACATGTCGCTCCATTTCCGCCACAGATGTTCCAGTCGCCCCGGGCATGCGCCTTTAGGGGAGCTGGCAAAGCTTCTTTATGTTATCTCTCAATTTTCGTATTTCAGTATCTCTCTTCGATACGGTCTTTGTAGCCCTTTTTTCGCGGATTTCGGTCTCGCAATCTAGAAAAAAATAAAACGTCCGAATTATTGAACAGTGGGCGAAACGGAGGTGAAGCGTGGTGAAATCAGCGCATGGGCAGACACGAGAGGGCGCCAGGCGAAAAATTCGCGCGGCGCGCTCCTCCGGGCAAAACAAAAAAAATTTAAAAACCTCTTGATTAGACGATTATCTAGAATTTCTCTAGACAAAAAAGTCTTGGGAAAGCGTTTTTTTTCGTTGAAAAGAAGAATCTTTGTTATGATAACTGCCGAGCTCATGGAAAATCGCGGCAAATAATAGCGTTGTAATTGGGACCCCTACGGTGTTTTATTATTTTCGAAGTTGTAATAAAAAAATTCGCAATTTCCTCCGCTCTCTTTGATCGAACTGAAGCAGCTAGGTTTACAATTTTTTCTCTCGGCAAACACCACCGTAAATTTGTTATTTACTCCTCTGCAGCAAAAATCAGTAGTGACGGGGGGACAAAAACGATGAGAATTTTACGATCAGTGAGTCGAATCATTCATCTTCGAGTCTTACTAAGCGATTCATTATCTCAGAGGGAAAAGCCTTTCCTGACGATTTCTTGAGGCGACAATAAACCTAAGGAACCTAACTACAGTTTGAAAATTGTCGAAAGATGAATGTAGTGCGCGAATTCTCAAATTCAGCGTCATTAACATCTTTCATCTATTCAAGTGGACACAGAGCAAATCGTTTTTTGTCCTTAGTCCCACCGAGGGTCCACTTGAATCCTCATATTCTCCATTAACTGTTTTCTCTCCCTTGCTATAACAATTTTGAGAATTCTGAATTCTGACCGGGTAATAAATCAAAACCCCAGATGGTTCCTTTCCCGAGGGAATAAAAGACTGCTCAGAGTTTTACTTTTACGAGTTTTGCTTTCGCCTTGACTTTATTGCGAAAAAAAAAATACATCATTAAAAATGACACAGGCGTTTTTTAAAATCAGCAACGATTTTTTACGTTGCTAAAAACGTCCCGCCCTCACGGCTATCTCTGAAGGCATTGATTTTTCTTGGGACCTGTCAAGGAGATATTTGCTTATTTGCGATTTCGATCCGTATGTATCTCCACGTAGCACTGTTGTACTTCCGTCGATACTGACACACTACTATTCTGCAAAATCGAATTTGGCTACTTCAAAATGCAAACTTGAGCATTGTCATTTTGAAATGAAACTAACTTCAACTCTCGAAAAAGTCCTCTGAGATGCCCCTTATTGCCTCGATCTTGTGCCTTTGAAATTTTACAATTTACATTTCCACCGCAAAAAGTCGCTTTTACGCCTCTTTATCGAACGCAACTCAAATTTACTCAACATTTACTCCTACATGAACTCAGTACTGAACTTTTTACTGAGCATGAAAATCGAGTCATTACCTTTTTTATTCTGGGCTCGAGGAAATAAAATGGAAAAAAATCTCTACACGCGCGGGAGAAAGCTTTGACAAGTTCTCTGTTTGGTGTTTGGCTGGACGGGTAGTTACCATGGATTTAGCAAAAGTCAGTCCGATGTAATTTGTTTAATCGAAAGCCATCTTTTTCTTTACTCAAATATACATTATTCCTTTTCTGACAGCTTCTTTCACAAAAAATGGAAACCAAGGAAGACTAACAACTGGCAAATGAGCTTCAATCTACCTTGAAAATTTTCTTCGAAAAAAAGAAAAAAAAAACTCAAACTAAAAATATTCAAACTAAAATTATCTCAAGCTCTCTAGCTTTTATATAAACCGAGAAAAACGTGGTATAAATGAGATTACCTGACGTAAAAATTTCGTATTCTCGTTAGTCTCTCTTTATTGATTTAAATTTCTAAATTCCTGTCCAAGAATTTCTCTTCTGATAGTTTTTATCAGTACACGAAGACTGTGGACGGCCCTAGGGCGGCCTTACGTGAATATGTCCACGGTATATCCGTTTTTGCGACGGATTGATTACTTCTAATTGCGCTGATAAGCAATCACCGAATATTCTTGCTTTAGAAAGAATCATACAGTATGATTTATACAGTGTTAAACTGTTCTGTTGTATTTATCGATTGACACAGTTTCGAAATGTTTATAATTCACCCCTGTCAGATCATATTTGACTTTTGAACTAGTGTGCGCAGGTGAGAAACTGTAGTTGTTGTTTTCCTCAATGTTCTGAGAAACTGCTACAGTCCTTCGCGACCGGCTGTAACGGGTTTCGGCTCAAGTGCCTATTCTGTGCCACGAGCGTGCCTCAAGTATCCTTTCAAAGATTTTTTTTCATTCTGTAATTTCTGCTTCGAAATCTGAAAATGCCACCCCGTCATCATGTCACTCTTTTCAGCTGAAGTAATTTGCATTATCTCGAGGGGTGCTTTTGATTTGCGGAAATTTACGGTTACCGTTGCGAAAAACACGATTTACGATCTTCAATTACAGTTATCACAGTCTCCCAAGTACTGTTAACTGTTTTTTTTGTCGTTACACAATAATTTATAGTCTGTGTAAGTTTTACAGTATAACTATACATATAAAACTTATAGAATATATCATATTATATCATATTATATTATATGATTCATATATTATAGATCATATATAATATAATATATTGCCCATATCATATGGGCCATATATAATAGAAAAATAAGCTTAATAAAAACCAACTTATTCTTTGTTGATCGCAGACAAATTAAGAACTCAGGAAATGCTACTGCATTTAGCAAGCAACAGTAAAAAAAGATATGACGAGAAAAAATAATGCTACAGAAAAATAGAGAACTCTCCAGAAGTCATGCCTTCTCTTTGAAATAAACGATAAAAGGGAAAGTTTGGCCACTTCCGCGCGTCGCTTTATCCTTGATTTCGCTCTTTGGTCCTTTGAACTGCGTATATTAAAAAAAAAAGCATCACGTGTGAGAGAGTACTCATTTTTCTCATCTCACATTGAAATGGTCAGAAATGGAAGTGAAACTGAATAAGTACTTGATTATTTTTGCCCTTTGCGGAATCTTCAGCGCGGTTTTATGCTTTCTGGGAAATTTTCACAAAACTAGAGCGATCTTTGGACAACTTCAATTATTGACTGAAGAGTGGATTGATAAAAGCATCAAATTTTGGTATTTAACTGAATTGAAAGACCTATGGCTAGTGTTTTATACCAAAGAAAAGTTTGGGATGAAATTGACGAGGAAAAAACTCTTTGCTGGGAACACGTAAATAAAGAACACGCAGTTCGGGTTTGCAATTATTTGAAAAAGGAGCTTCCATTATTAAACTCCCAAGATACTCGAAATGAAATATCAAAGTAAGCCTTTCTTTAACAAAACAAAAACGAAAAATTACATTATAGACGTGCTATTCTGGGCAAACTAACATTCCTGAGGAACAAAATTGAATATCTCAACAGTACTCATTTTAAAATAGCGGCAGAAGATGGTGCATACATCTCAAAGTAAGGCGATAAATCAAAGTCCAATTCTAACTGTATCTAAGAAATCAACTCCGAGAGGTTTTCTATTCCATAGAAAACTTTCAAGCGACGAACGAGGATGAAATTTTCCAGGAATACTTTGAAAAAAAAACGCATAGAATTAATTTCATTTTGTTATTCTCCAAAGCTTACCAAAGAGATACGCGTATCGTACAAAAATGATTTTACAGTAGAAACTCCACACTGTCTTACCGCGAGCTTTCTCGAAGATCCTCCGACCCATCAGAATACAGTAAGCAAATTATTTTCGATACAATTTTCCACACCTTTTTCAGTTGCCATTTATATGCACTAGAGAGCGAGTAGGGAATGAAACTTATCGACCAATTTGGGTGGATCCGGTTGTATTTTTGGATCTCCATTATCAAGACTGGCCGTGGATCCCGTTCGACGAGAACATGGAGTTCACCTTCCAAAACTTGACAATCAATAATCAATGTAAAGAGGGAAGTCTCTTCTTTCTAAAATCAATTGAAGACCTTGAAAAGATGCGCAGAATGTTGAGAATTACCAACCTTTTTTACGGTATCTTATAATGATAAGTAAAAATGCAATATTTTGTTGTAGATTGCCATCATTATCATCGTTCGTCGAATCATAAAGGTACCCCTTGGGCATAGGGGATGGAATTAATGTCGGAAACCAATTGTTAAAGATTGTTCAAAAACCGACGTTCCAGAATATTTTCCTCTCAACTATGGCATCAGCTTACCATGTAGGTGCCGAGTATACTGAACCAAAAATACAATTTTTTTAGTACGCCCGCTTACGTCCGAAACTATGGAATCATGGGATGGCAAAATTGTTCAACAACAGATCTTCGACCAACTTGAGCCATGTCCTCAAACAAAAGCATTTCTTCCAACAACAATTCTTATTGATTACAACATCACTGGGCTTTTTCTGCGCCTCGATCATGAAGATCCTTATGGAGCGAATTTTTGCCTTTTGGATTTGCCGTTGACGAAGCGCAAAGAATCCTGCAATAATGCCTATTAGCTATTTTTCATGATTTTATTATTTTTATTCGCTCGTGTTGAACAGCTTTTTGTTATTTGATAATAGGAGGGTAAGTATTGCGGGCAGTAGGAGTTGTATTCTTTTAATAAACTCTTTTTTGTTTGTTGTCAATGTGTTTACTTTTTTCGTTTGGAATTACTATGAACAAGAGAAGAGAAAGTAAATCTGTTAAAAGGAAGCTTTCAAGCTTAATTTAGGAGAGAGTTATAAAGAAAATAAGGATGCTGGGTGACGCCATATTGCAAGATTGGATTGTTTGTCTGGATTGCGGCAGCAGCTGCTAGTGGATTCGCTGATTGACTGGCGAGAACATTGTTGAGGGTCTTAGTAGCGTCCTTTCCCTTGTTAGGGTCGACCAAGTAGCCGACAGCTGGGCTGCCGAGGGCTGAAGCAAGGCCAAGCTGCTTCTGAGTAGCCTGGTCGACGCTGTAGACGAGTGGGTTTCCGTAGAGAGCATAGGCCTGGTCCTGTGTGAGGAAAGCAGAGCTAGCGAGTTGAGCTGCTGTCAGTTGTGGAGCGTTCTGGCCAAGGGCGAGAGCGAGGGATGGATTGCCTGCAAGTTCTGATTGGAGCAAGTAGTTGGAGTTGCCGGTAAAAGAGTAAGCAAGTTCTGGGTTAGTTCGCGCCAAAACGGCGCCAACAGTAGAGTGTGGTTTTTGTGCAGCCTTAAACTGATCTGATGTGACGGCCGCGAGGGTGGGATCTTTAGTGAGTCCATAGGCAAGAGCTGGGTTGCCAGTGGCGGCAGCGGAAAGAGTGACGAGCTTGTCTGCATCAGTATTTTGGTTGCCTGCGATGAGAGTTGCTGGGTTACCGCCGGTAAGAGCAAAGGCATGGTGAGGTTGGACAGTAGCATCCTTGGAGAGGAGGTATGTGAGTCCAAGATCGTTAGCAACGTTCTCTGGTCCAGCAGTAAGAGCCGCAAGGGTAGCGTCCTTAGTGACAGCGTAGGCAAGGGCTGGGTTGCCAGTCTCAGCAGCGTAGAATTTCTTAAGTTGTTCACTTGTCGTGTCGGTTGGCAAACCCTTTGCAATGTAGGCAGCCTTGGCATCACCAGTAAGAGCGTACGTATTAGCCTGATCTTGTGTCAAGAATGCGATCGTGTTTGGGTTGGCGTCACCGTTCTCAGCCATTTGGATAGCCATGAGATCTTTGTCCTTGGTGATCGCATAAGTGGCAAGAGGACTATCGAGCTGACCAGCGAGAACAGCTTTATTAATTTCATCATTCGCTGTTGGTGCGGCAACGTCAACTGATGCCAAGTTGGCAGCAGTAGCATCACCAGTGGCGACAAATGTTTCCATTGCATCGGTCTTGCTGTTAGCACCGACAAGAACTGGATTCGCTTTAGCCTCTGGATCTGTGATTGCAGCGAGGACGTTGCTGCCCGTGAGGCCGTAAGTGAGCGCTGCGCTATTGCTCTGAGAACCAAGGAGAATGTCTTCGTCAGAAATAGTATCGGTTCCATCGGCGAGAAGGGCAGCGTGGGCATTTCCAGTTGCGCCAAGAATGAATTCAGGTACGTTGTTATGTATGGGGACGCCAGCTGCTCCTAGCTGTATTGCAGGAGGAGCACCTTTTCCAAGGATTTTGGCAGCAGCCATGTCAGTGTTTCCCCCAGCGATGGCAGCATCAATCATTGCATCTGATCGAGTCACATCAGGATCTCGGAGAGCTCCAGCGTAGGCAAGAGCAGGATTTCCAGAACCGTTGAGGATCATAGACTTCATTGGATCAGGTTTGTCAGCGTAGTAGGAAGCCATGATATTTCCTGTAGTAGCAGCGGTAAGAAGAGGATCCTTAGTCAAGGCAGCGACCAAAGGAGCATTTACACCTGCGGAGAGTTTGTTGTCTTTATCGTTAATGAAAAGAGCTCGTTCATCATTGGTAAGCTGGTAGGCAGCGATGGGGTTGTCCAACTGTTGGATCATCATGCTTCTGACAGGATCAGCAGTGTCTGCGGCAAGGGCAGCGGCTGGGCCACCAACAACTCCAGCCATGATTGTATCACCGCTAAGAGCAGCTCCGAGTTGCTTGACTTTTGGATCGTCTGAAGAAAGAGCCATAAGGGTTGGATCCTTGGTCATTGCGTATGCGATCGCAGGATTTCCAGTTGCCATGGCGAGAGATAGCTTCTCTGGATCATCCTTGCTGGCGGCGTAGACTGATGCTGGATCGCCAGAGACGGCAAGGGCCATAGATGGATCTTTGGTCATGGCTCCGAGGAATTTCTTAGTGTCAGCATCAGCAGAAGCGGCGACCTGACTGAGAACCAGATTCTGGTCGTTAGTCAAGGCTTTTGTCAGAAGAGGGTTGCCAAGTTGATCGGCAAGGACGGTCTTGGTAACGTCAAAGTTGTTGTCAGCAGCGTACTTCTGAGCGGCATAAGCGGCGTTGGCGTTTCCAGTGAGAGCAGTAGCAGCCTGGACACCTTGCTTGGCCGCGTACAAGTTCATGACTGGATTGTTTGACTTGTTGACTTTGACATTCGATCGAACACCAGCGGCGAGTGGGTTGCCGGTCATAGTGTAGCTCATGACTGGGTTGCCACTGAGGTAAGCAGAGTAATCTCGGGTTCGATCAGCAACATTGTTATTCAAACCGGCATGAAGGGTGGCTGGATCACCAGAGACGGCGTAAGCAAGCCATGGATCAGCTCCGGTCTTGTCCCAAGTATTACCACCGAGTGCGGCGTAACCAGCGGCCATGTCAGCATTGCCTCCGAGGGCGTAGTAGAGTGGGTTTTTACTGTTGGCAGCAATGCCCTGTGCTGGGATGGTGCTTCCAGAAAGAGCAAAGGCGGTGTAGGGATTTTTGGCGCCTGCGAGGAAGGTGGCGGCTGCGACGCCATTAGGATCGGCTTTGAGATTGTTGTTCTTGGCAGTGGCAACGGCAATGGTACCATCTTGAGTGAGAACATCGGAAATTGGAAGAAGAGGATCTAGACAATAAATATGAGTCGTTGAATTAGAAAGAATTCTTACTCTTAGACATGGCGAGAGACATAGCAAGATCACCATCTTGTGCTTTTTGTGCGGCGAGGTAGTTGACAGCTGGGTTGGAAAGTCCGTTGATATCGCTGCCTTGGACACCGAGAGTGAGGTAGTCCTTGTCTTTGGTGAGCATGTATCCAATAAGTGGGCTCATTTCTATGGTAGAAAATATATTTACTTGTCAGAATATTTATGATTTACCAAAGTTATTCTTGTCCTCTTTTGGAGTGTCAGATGAAACGAGTGTTTCACTAATCGTCGATGTTGGTTTCTTTGTGTAACCCTTAATTACTCATTTACGATAATGTCGATCAAATTGTTACTTACAGTAATTCGCTGGGCGACGCAGATATTTCCGATCTTGGAAATACATTCTTTGACGGGCTGAACATCGTAGGCTGTGTTTTCCTCATCGCGTATCACGTAACTCTCAGCTAAACAATACACGTTAGAAAATGTCTGGCTCAATCTGGCGTTTCTCTGTGGATCTCTAAGACTCTCTGCGCACCTGTTTTAAGAGCGATGAAAAAACTCCCGAGCTTCATCTTGAAGTGAGCTCACGCTGAGTTATGAGTTTCGAATTGTCGTCTAAAAGCACTTTTATAAAATCGAAAGAGCGACACCTGCGCATCGTGAAAACGCGCGTCAGAGCGCCACCACCTATCGCGAAAGATACCATGAGGCATCACGAGGCTCAAGATGTACCCACTCAATTAATCATTCTACAACCATATGACGAATGAGTTTATTTTAAGATAGAAACAGACAAGATAAGTATGTTTGGGCAAAATAGACTTTGTGTTTCTTTTTTTTGCTACCCAGTGTAATCAACATCAATAGAAGTTGTGTCCACACGTCCTTTTTCCATCCACCTGTCGACATCTGAAATATATTTTGAAAATGAAGCGTTCCAAGATGCTCACCAAAGTGGTAGACTCTATGCGGAAAATGTATTTCAACGTAGTCAACGCACCAGGACGATCCGAGTCCTTTATTATCATGTTCTATTCTCATCGCCGTCACTGAAAAATAATCGAACATAGGAAAGTTGTGTTTTTGTCACGTTTTCTGTTACCTGTGCCTATTTCAGCAATTTGATGATGGAAGACATCAATTTGCCCTCGCTCAAATTTGTTCAAGTGATTTTCGCTCGTCTTCAGCTCCATCTTTCCGGTTTCGCCCTGCTCGCCCTTCAAAAAAGTTCATCGAAAGTGTTCACGTTAAAAAGGGAGATAAAGGTATTTCCTGACAAGACGGCATTTGAGCCTCGTCCGCAGGATTGTCAAAAGCGCACGTTGAGAGCTTTTATCGTGAGCTCCTGTGGCCGGTTTTTATCGACCACACGGTTATCTGGCGGAGTTAAACCCCCTTACACCGTTTTATCGCCCAATTGAAGCAAATTTCTCTCGAACCTTTAGTGTAACAAAGACATTCGCATCAGTTCCAGCGCAATCAGTGTCCTTCGTTCGAACAATCACTTGAATCTTGACCTTTTCACTTTCGACATCAGACATTTTCAAATTTTTATATTTTCGAGAAAACCAACTTGGAGTTTGTTTATAAACGAAAACCACTCAAAAGGATTTAGAATGCTCGAAAGATTCTTCAAAGGATTAAATTACACTTGCACCTATTTTACTCATTTACAGATGGATAATTGTATCCAATTCTGTAGGAAGAAACAAAGAAATATATTGAAACTAGCATTCTTGTTTTTATGATTGATTTCTCCATCCTTGTTCAAAGCCGATAATTCGCAGGGCCGGTCAATTAAATACAGATCCTGATTTGATTCTTCAACTTTAGAATGAGGTGACTAAATTAAATTAAATTAGAAAATGAAAAAGCTAATAAAGAATTTTTTCAAAATGGAGAGATCCTCGATTCTGATTTCGGCAGTTTTCTTCATGATTTTTATCGATAATGTGCTCCTGACCGCTATAAGTAATCATAACTGTTCTTCGATTAATGACTGAATGGTTTTAGTTCCGCTGCTGCCGACATATCTAGCTGAGCAGGAAACGGTGTAGAATTGATAAGACACACGTTTTTCCTTGATAAACGGTGTCATATTCCTTTCAATCTTGTTAAAAGCTCATCGCTTCTTATATCGCGTTGAAAAGTCGAATTCTACCGTTACTCGATATTCTGTAGGAACAGGTAAAAAATTCGATTGAACCGTTTTCAAAAAAAATAATGGTGTTTTAGTTATGTTTGCTAAGCCGATTTCCCAGCTAATCACGAACTTCTGGGTTTCCGGGCTGATTCTGAAGTTCGGATATGTTAAGTTTTCATAATCCGCTTAAAGAAACTTTCCGCGACGGAAAGTATTTCACGTTAATTTCTTTATTTATCCAAAAACACTTTGAAAGCTTATTCTGAGTCAATGTCTACATAAGTGGAGGGCTTTTACTAGTCATGGGTTCGCGCGAAATTGCAAGTGCGAAACTAGAACCGGTCAGTTCCGGGGTATTTTAAGAAACGGCGTCGAACCGCATTCTCAAGGGTTCAGTTCGGGGGCGATGATGATTTCGCGCTCGTTCTCGCTTTTGGTCATCTCGAGATGCATCCAGGTAATTGGAGAGACGCGTGAAACCTCGCAACAATTACTTTTTCTAGGGCATTGGGTCATCGTTCGGCACAGTTTCTGGACTCGGCATGATTGGCGCTTACTACGACGACGATCTCAGCCGAATCGAAGTTATGGGAAGAGCGATGACTGGATTAGCTCTTGGTGTTCTAGGTACAGACTCTTCTTTTGCTTCTGTCAAAGAATTGACAAGCACTAACTACTGTCAAGTGGGCCCGCCATTTAGCAGCGTTTTGGCGGAGCTGATTAACATCGACTTCCCGTTTCTGATTCTTACTCTCGCTGTAGGGATGACATGGGTTTTTGGGATGATGATCAAGTACAATTTCGCTCTTCATGGTAATTCCAGACTGAAAAAACTCCTCCTCAATTCATTTCAGTAACGACTCATAAAAGGATTCACGAGTTAGGGTTCCTCGGACGACATTGTTCCTTTATCTACACGTTCCGGAAATATCGGAAATTCTTTGCTTTCAGAAGTTCCTTCAAAGAATAATATTTAAACGAAGGTTGACAGATAAAAAGTTGAAGTCACCGCGTTCAATTTAAAATCCGACAGCCGAATGCCGGCTTGTGATAATATCAAGGCCGCGAAACTCAGGTGAACCCAGCCAAAGCTGCTCAGGGAAAAGAAGATTGTTGTTACTGCGTTTTTTATCTTCGTTTCAAATCTAGCTGTATCGGCGTTGGAGACTGGGCAGGATCGGAAGGATGATCCGCTTTCGATTTCGTTTACTCAGCTAAGTGCTACAGGATCATCTCAAATTAAAGCCGCTGCAGATACAGCAAGTGCTGCATGAAAAGCACATGGGTCCAGGAATTCTTCTCAAAGGAAAAAAGGTTGAATCGAAAATTCTAGTCGTGACGTCACTAAAAAGGTTGTTTTACGTCACGAATAACAAGGTGAATTATCCCTCATCCCTTCCGAAAGGTCTCTAAGTAAAAAACTTCGTTTAGACGTTTAGGCCAAAACAAGCCTTGAGTCAGTCGCGAAAGAAACAGGCACGTGACCACCGTTGCAGGTGTTGTTATTCGATTTAAACCTTGCATAAAGGGCTCTCCTTCATTCCAACAACCGTGGGCTACGGAATTGGGTCGAATTTTATCTCCACGTTTTTCGACATTTTCGGCGGTAAATCAACTCTCCTCAAAAAAACATTGTCGACAAAGTGTATTCTAGGGCTGACCAGAACGTCGACCGTGGGAAGCGGTTCAGTTATCAGTGGCTTATTCATGAAAGTATTTGAAGCTAGAATTTCGAAGTTAGATACTCACGTGCACCGCTACCGGTAGCAAATTGTTTCTAGCGACTTAAAACGTGACTCGAGTAAATTCCCGAAGTTTACTGTCGCTTTGCTTTGAAGTGCAAATTGGATCATATCATTTCAAATCCGCTCGAAACAGATATTCTCTCATCCAACACTTCTCAAATCTGCACGCTGTTCTGATGGTAATGGCCGTCGGAAATTTCAGTAAGTTCGAGGCAAACGTGCGTTGCGGCTTGTAAAAGACGCAATCGAAAGGTCCAAACCTTATCGTGTGACAGCTTGCTTCCTGTTATTTCAGTAGCCTTTCAAACAAACTCAAGGGCCTTACTAGCCTTCGAGCTTTCTAAAATGTCCTCAAGTTTATGAACTTGAATAAAAATTCAGTGGTTGGTTTTGGCGTTGGATTAGTCGATAATGCGCAGTTTTCTCTCCTCAGTTTGTTATTCAAATACGGCGATTTCGGGAACAACTATGGATCGATTTTCGCCATTGGGGATATTGCCTTCTGCGCGGCTTTTACAGGAATCATGACTCAAAGAATAAAATAATCTGAGATAAGTAGAACATCGGATGTTCCAGATAGAGTTTCTGAATCAATCAAAGTCGGGCCAATCGCAACCGCTTCGATCGGCGAAGAGGTTGGGTTCCCTCGAACGCTAGAATTTCTCGGCGTTGTTCTTCTGCTCTCCAGCCCCTTGATTCTCCTGCTTGGCGGCAATTACCAAAGATCGCGGTCAATCAACTACGAGCCGATACGAAGGAACTCTCACTCAGTCTATTTCGTCAACGGGTTCCCTTTCATAATCAAACTCTTAATCAACTCATAATCAAATTGAGCTATTGACAATTTTGCTTATAAACAATATTCTTGGATCCCGCAACTGTTTTGAGCAACCCGTTTTAGAAAATAAAAGACTTTCTTCGCAGCTTACAGCTTCAACAGAAACTATGGAAACTTTGTTCGAAAATTACTATCAATAAAATTTTCACAAAATTTGAAAGAAAAAAGGTTTTCGCTAGAAAACGCGAGATTACGATATCAACCTCTTAGTAACGAGTACTTACTACTTACCATGCTCGGTATCATGCTCGTCTAAGGACTACGTCAATGGAACGCAAAGTGAGCGGAGGTAATTTTTGGACGAAAGAATGTCCCAATTCAAGCAATTACTCTTCCGTAATTACTAATTGTGCGCGGCGATTTTTTCACACGAACTCGGAGGTCCTTCGAAGTCGAATTTGCTCCCTAAATGAAAATGACTGAGAGCCAGTATTCCACGTTTCAGAATACCTAAAAGACGTATTCTGTTTCAAGTGCCGGGTGCTTTGCAAATATCCGCCACTTTGAAACTCCACCGGTTCTTCGCGTGAATTACGTATCGTTTGTCGGCAACGAGCTGGTCCCCTGAAAAATAGGGGTGGGGGGAGGAAGAATGTATTTCAAAATACTCTTTCTCCTTGAGTTGTACGGCTATAATCGTCTTAATAATTCGGCAGGAAGGGGAATTGTTGCGATTTTGCGGTGTCTAAGTTACATAGCCAAAACACGCAAGCACGCTGAGTTGAGCGTTTTTCTGATTCCTCGTGCGTACCAATAACATGTTCGATATTTGTGGGCAAAGCAGGGGCCGCACACTGTCGCTAGGAATTAGGAGTTCTGGATATTTGGGGCTTAGAATGTCCGTAAAGAATGACTCGCGCAAAATGTTCACTCGAACTTGATTCCAAACAGGAATTCTGTGGCCAAACAAACTCAGAAGATGCCAGGCGATAATGCATTAAGCAAGGTCTTAGGCAATTTATAAATATTATTATATTCACAATAAACCATCTCATTCCTGGGAAATGGGAGCTTGAAGAGTCGAGGCTCTTTCCTAAAAAAGGAATATGTATTCAATTTGTTCTATTTTTACGATCTTCTCTGCTGACTCATCATGTGTGACATTTGCAGTGAAATTATGAAAATTTGGATTTCCGGATTTTTGAAGATTTGATGATGTTTTTGAGATTTTCTTCGAATCTTTAATAAAAAAAGAGCATGACAAGAGCCAGTTTAGGCGGTAAGAGAAACCTGCATAATTGTCGGTCGAATAATATTTTTATAAGATGGGCAGGATCTATCAAAAAGTGTTAAAGAGTTCCAGGCGAAGAATGCGAAAAGGTAATTACAGGAAATGTTTTATCAAATGCGTTCCTGCTTGACTGACGAATATTTTTGAAAGGAACGGTAACTCACTTTTATTTTATTTTATAGATTATCAACAATCTCTGGAGGAACGGTTTCAGCATTTTGTGGAAATTGCGTGGTATTCAAATAAAATACGGTATTTGCCTTGGAAATAATTGGGATTGACTGTAGATCTCTATCTCTCATTCAAATCATTCAAAATGAGGAGAGATGGAATTTTGAATTTGAAAGATTTTGCAAAGTTTAATGACAAAAAGGGGAGCAAGAAAAGGTACTAAAAATTGAACCTAAAAATTCTTTTCTTTTTCGCGTTTTTTTTTCACAATTTGGAAGCTATGCCAGTTCATAATGAAAAACTAGGTCGTCTGGGGACTCTCTTAGGAGATTCTTTTATGAAAGTCCTTGACCTTATCTCAGAAGTCGTAGAATAATTTTTCTGATTATTGGGCAGCTGTTGCATATTCCTCTTCGCTCATCGCGGTAGAACATTATTTGAACATTGCAATAAAAGATGGATAGAGGGGTATTTATGCGCACTCTTGCGAAAGAGAATACCATTTCGAGTTTGAAGAACTGAACCAAAGTTCCAAAAATGGGAAAGAAAAAAAGCGCAAAGTCGAATTCAACGCTTTATTCCAGCAAAACCGGGTCTGAAATCTCAAGTACAGTCTCGAAGGCCACGTCAAAGAAGTCGTCGAAAAAGAGAAAGAGGGGAGCGAAATCAGTGAAGTCAACGATGACCTCAAAAACTTATAAGACAGCGCAGTTGGAGCATTTTGACGATCCGTGTATTCCAGATAAGATTTGTGGCCTCTCACTCTTCGATTTTACGATGACATTCCTTCCATGGTAAGAGATGCAGTCTGACAACAATAACGCTATTTAGGATTTCCTTTGCGTTATTTTTCTTCGCCTTGATAATACCAAGATGGGGAGTCTTTGACGTTGAAACAATGGACAACAACGCTATTGAAGAGCGGGTAAGAGAAAGTTCATGAAAACGCCATTGCTCTTAACTCAAGAGCGTAATGCATATAATTTCTTGAAAACACAAACTTCACACCACAAATCAATAGGCTGGATAAATAAGTAAAGTTCATTCTAGCGCGTAAAGCAGATCGAAGTTGGTGCGTTCCAAGAATGCTACGTTTTCGACGAGAACGTCAAGCAATGCGTTGCCATCGGCTCTTACAAGGCAAAGTTTGAAAACATCGTTCCAAATCTCGTCCCTGATTATGAGCTCAAATGCGTGAAGATTCTCATCCCTATCAATTTATTCCTCCTGCTGATTTTCATCTACTGGCCGTTTGTTGGATACGCGACCCGATCATATGGCTTTATGATGTCGAGCATGGGCTATTTGCTTGTGGCGATTATGCAAACGACAGTTTTGGTTTTATGGTCCTCGGGGTACAGGTAATGTCAGCAAGCTGCTATCCAAACCCGCATAAATTTTCACCTTGCTAACCAAACTCAAGAAAAGCGCAATTTCGACTGGATGAGAACTATGCATCTTCGAGTATCGGAAGAATTAAATTTGATCATTTACCAATGCCGAATTGCATTGTTGCTGGAGTGGTGATTTTGTGCGTGGTTGGAATTATGGGGCTCATTTTTACTTGCCAAAATGACTACAGGTATTTTACTTCTTGAATTTTCGTGTCACAAGAAAACTTCAGGAAGTCACATGACATGGGAAATCAAGTGTTCAGAAGAATGACTAGAATGACAATTTTATCGCCCAAAGAAAAACCTCAAAAAGAGGAAAAACGAAATGACAAACCAACTCAAAAAGAATACGAAAAGGCAAAAGATGTTCTCAATGCGAACCCAAAACTCATGGAGCGGTCGGACTCTGGAAGCTCTCAAGGCGCATTCATTTCAACTGATAAGCCAACAGTTCATTACGAAGATTCTGTCGCAGATCCAAAGTCAGTCTTAGGTAGCTGCTGATTATACTCGCACTTTAGTTATGCCCATTTCTAGAGCAAAAAGTGGATAAAATCTTGGACACGTATAGCAAAGATGAAATCATGCGAATGGTTGCTGAAATCCAAAATGGTGCGGCTCAATCTTCAGTCAATACAATCACAGAAACCGGCAACCACAATGTCGCTTTCACTTTGCCTGCTAACGATACGATACCTGTCTCAGGTGATAATAGCTACGTATGAGCAAACGATCTACTCTGTACATATTTTAAATATATTGTTATAAATAAATAGTTATGTCACATGTACAGAAAGAAAATAGTCAGACTTTAAACTCGGAAGACAAAATCGTCGAGGATTGAGGAGATAAAGAGGGACCAGATGATCTGACATGACCAGATTGAGATGAGAAGACCGCCCATATGAACGTCTTCTTCTTCGTCGACTTTCGGAGTTTGAAGGAGAGTGTACAAGTATACATTCAGAAACGAAATTGCTAAATAGTTCTAAATCTAAAACGAAATAAGAAAACTTACTCGCTCCAGAGAAAATCAAACTGACGACGATCCAAAAGTATGAAACCATGCCAAAGCCTTTTCCAACTCGTGGATCTCCCCCGGCAGACACGGGAATGTTGTTGAGAGTATTTCCGTCTTCGGGGTCATTCGATGTGACGACCTTATCGTTGTTATTTCGAGTTGTTAGCCGTCGAAGAGTTTTGTTGATTGCATTGTCGTCTTCTTCTTCGAGCTCGCCAAAGTCGTCAAAGTCGGCCAGGTCATCGTAGACGGTAGTAAAGACTGCTCCTGCATTACCATCCGTAGTCGCTGTTTTAATCTAAATATAATCTGTATCTTTTGATAACACAGAAGACGAACCTGTGTGTATTCGACAAAATCACCGTTCATTTCAATCTCCCAATCATAAGTCAGCTCTCCCATGTCACTCTGCTTGTTGAGCTTCCCGAGGATTCTTCCGAAGCTTTCCGCACACATATTTGGGTTATTTTGAAGCAAAAACATATCTTCGATATTTTCTCGCTTGTTTTGACCAGATCGTTTCTTGGTAAAAAGCTTTTTTGTGTAGCACTTTGTTTCGACGGAAATGATCACTGGCGGTCGCAGCCTAGAATATAAATTTAAACAGTGATTTGTTGGAAGCACAAACCAAAGAAAGAACCCATGAATAAATCGAGCGAGAACGGACGCAAAATATCCAATAAAAACTCCACCAAGAACTGCTTCTACAATCAGCGAAATAGCATCGGTATCCCATGGATCTTGAATTCGATGGTAGTAGCCGATGAAATGTGAATCAACTTTAACTGCTCCTCCAAAGAGTCCAGCGACCTGTTAGCTCAATTTTAGCGAAAATTATTCAAAAAAACTTACCTCTGTTTTGGACGATTGCGAAGAGTAGGCAAGATTTCTGACGTAGAGAAAGCCAACAATCATGGCAATAAGAATTTCTTCAACTTTTCGAGACCAGTTGAAAGAGGAAAATGATGTTGAATTGTAAAGACCGTCGAAGAATATCGATGATTGCTTTCCTTCCTCGAGTGAAAGCTTGACTGAAAAGGAGTCAACAAAATGAGAGAGATTTATCAGAATACCTGGAATATTATTTACTAGCTCAATGGGGTCGTAAATTATGGCATCTTTTAGTCGTTCTTTACTGTCGTCCTTGTCAGATGCTTTGGGGAAAACGATTTTCGCAGAGGATAGAGTTGCAATTTGTTCTCCGCGAAGAGAACTTTCTGATGATATACCAATTTGAATGAACTTCGTGTTTCTGCAAGAATAAAAAAGCCGCAAGAATGATAAAGAAAAATACCTGAGATGACGCTGATTCACTTTTATATCAAAATGGCCGTATTTTCCGATGTGATTACCGAGGTCGTCATAAATAACTACGGTTTGTTTTTCATCGCCTTTCTCTGGAGTGAATTTGATGAACAGTTTCGGCTGTGATACATCTTTCGCAATAGCCAGACCGAGCTTGATACTGCAAGTTTTTTCGATTTTTACAAGTCTACCTTACCTTTACTGTGGTCCTTCGTTTTCCTGATCCACATGACATGTCAATTTGTCGAGCACCAAATGCCTGATTGAATTGATTTTTTCATATGGGAGCTCTACGATTACCTTTTTTACGAAGTCTCTCAAAATGAGAAGCGCAAAAACACAGGAACTAGTGATCAATACATAGCAAAAGAAGGTGCTAACAGAGGAATTCTGTAGCGAGTCATCAACCTGATAGGTACCCATCAGGTAATCCCTTCTCGACCTTGCAACTACGGAGTTATGCAAACATCAATAATTATGCTTTTACTTGCATCTAGAAAAACTGCTTTCTTCCTGGAATAAGGCAGTTTGAGAAATGACAGGAAAAAGATGAGATTTTCTTCTTCCTAATCGGAGATTTTTGTTTTTGTGAGTTTATTGTGGCAGGATAAGGTGGAATGTGAAAGTTAAGTGAATGTTCAAGTGACTTGTGAAACATGTTTAGTATAAAAAATTATTTTCGTGAACGAGTGCTCCTGGTGCTACGTGTTGAAGGAGCCTCGCTTTCTTCAGCCTCTTTTTCGGCTGCTTTCTTACGGCCTCGGGCCTTAGGTTTTTCCTCGGCATCGTCATTTTTCTTTGACGATGCTTTCTTAGCAGCCGCAGCTTTCTTAGTCGGCTTTTTGGCTGGCTTAACTTCATCAGCCGGTTCTTCTTCGGGCTGATCGTCGGCCTCGTCTTCTTGAAAGGAAACGGTGGGTTTTATACCGCGTTTCGACTTTTTCAGGCACGAGACAGTATCGACGTGTTCCATTTCGATCTCTGGCACGACGACGGGTGCTTTTGATCGTGTGGAACGGCCCTTCAAAATATTTATTAACGTTTCATAAAATGATCTTAGTTTACCTTGGCTGGTGCGGGTCGTTCTTGAGAAGATTCGTCTGAAGATGCCTTCTTTGCTCGACCTCTTTTTGGCTAAATTGAATTCAATCTTTAGAACAAAAAATATAACTCTTACCTTTTCAGCTTCCTCCACGGGCTCAGCGACGGCTTTTGGCTTTCGTCCCCGCTTTGGTTTTTCTGCTGGCACATTAGTCTCCTCCTGCGACTCCGATGTGTTCAAATCTTTTACCGGCTCCTTTGCTTTTCGCCCGCGCTTTGGCTTTCCCTCGACGACAGCGTTTTCGGCAGGCTCAGAATCTTTTACCTTTTTCGGTCGACCTGCTTTTTTCTTCGGCGACTCCACTACGGGCTCGTCGGACGATTCAGACTCCTTTACTTTCTTTGGTCTGCCAGCCTTCTTCTTAGGCGACTCGACTACCGGCTCTTCAACTTTGCGCGCTTTTCTGCCTACTTTCTTCACAGGCGATTTTTCAACTTCCTTTTGTTCTTCTTCAGGAGTTTCTTCGACAGCCTTTTTAGACTTTCGTCCAGCTCGTTTAGGCGCTTTCGTTGTATCTTCATCCTCTTTCTCGACTGTTTCTTCCTTCTTTGACTTTCGTCCCCGAGTTGGCTTAGAAGCAACTTCATTATCTGAGCTTTCAGCGGTTCCGGAGATGTTTCTCTTTCTTCGCTTGACTGTCTTTTTCGCCGGCTCTTCTTTCGGCTCTTCAGCTGTTTCCGTCTTCGAGGTTCGCCGAGTTCGTCGCGGAGCAACAGCGATTTCGGCAGCAACAGCCTCGACAGATGCAGGCTCTTCAATCTTAGCTTGCTTCGCTGGACTAATTTCCTCGGGCTCATCGATCTTCCGCGCACGTGGTCGTCGCTTGGTAGACTTTTCTTCTTCCTTCTTAGCTTCAACCTTTGGAGTCTCAAGCGTGCTAACTCGTCTGCTTCTTCTAACAGGCGTAGCAGCAACTGCTTTCTTTCCTCGTCCCTTCGATGGAGTGGCTGCAACTGGTGCTTCCTCAGCTGATGACTCCGAGGCGGAATTTCGTCGAGTGCGCCGAGAAGATGTCGCAACTGGTGGAGCAGGTTTTCGTCCACGTTTCTTTGGCTTTTCTTCAGTCGTCGGTTGCTCTTCAGCAGCAGGATGTTCGAGCACCGGAAGATCTTCAAGAATAGGAATTTCATCAGCTGTAGCTTCGGGAACTGGCGGTTCCGCAACTTCGGCAGCTTCTTCTGCCATATCAAGAATTGATTTTCTTGCCTTCGTCTTCTTATCAGCAACGACACCATCTTGTGCCGCATCTTCAGCCATCATTAATAGAGATTTCCTTGTTGATTTCTCAACTGGAGCTTCGACAGATTCTTCCGCTTCTTTGGCCTTTTGAGCGTTGGATTTGCGGCCACGCTTCGACTTAACTGGTGATGGCTCTTGTACTTCCTCGTCTTCTTCAGTATTAGCTTTCTCGGCTGATTCATTTTCGGACGCATGGCTTGAAACTGGAGACAAAAATGCTTCATCAGGAGGGACAATTGATCGTCGTTTAGGAGTCGCACTTGTAGAAGGCTCGCCAGTTGCTTCAGCGAAGAAGTCAGTATGTTCTTCCTCTTCAACTTTCGGCTTCAAGGAGGGGCGACCTCGTCGTTTTGGTGTCTTGACCTCGGTCGCTGCTTCGGCTTCCTTCTTTTTCTGCGCCAAAGATGGCCTTCCTTTTCGCTTTGGCGTGGTAGTCGGCTGAGTCTCAACCTTTGTCGCAGATTGAAGACCCTTTGGTGAATCTTCTTCTGGAGCAGCCTTAGATTTCAACGAAGGTCGCCCTCGAGATTTTGGCGCATAAACGACAGGTTCTGTTGATTCTTCTTCCTCTTCTTTCGGTTTGAGTGATGGTCGCCCTCGCCGTTTAGGAGTGGTCGCAGTTTTCGTCTTTTCCTCGACAACTGGCTCTTCCTGCACTTTTGGCTTGAGTGAGGGCCGACCACGTCGCTTGGGTGTAGCTTCCGTAATCACGATATCTGGAGTCGTATGAGTAGTAGTAGCGTCTTCAGTTAGTTCGGTCTTTTTGTCGGTAGCTTCTTCGGAGGACGTATCTTGAGCGGATGATTTTCCGACTTTCTTGGGCGATTCAAGCTCTTGGCCAGCTTTTGGCTTGATAGAGGGGCGTCCACGACGTCGAGGAAGATCGCCAGGAGATAATTTTTTCTGTTGAGTAGTGGGTTCTGGAATGAGATCTTTTTCTGGCTCTGCGGGACTATCAATTTTCTCTTGCGATTTATCAAGAGCCATCGAAGCGTCAAGTTGGAGGACATCTTTTTCACTCTCCCTGAGGATGTCTTCCTCGTCATCGTCACTGTCAGGAGTCGAGAAAAGAGTTGTAGAAACGTTTGGCTCGTCGACGGCGTTTGTGCCAATAAAGGTCTTTCGAGTTCTGGATCGATGCTAAAACAAAGAGTTAAATTGATATTGGAATCAAGAAAGACTCACCGCGCTGGTTTCGGAAAAACGTCTCAAGCTAGCAGTTGAAGTTGACATTTCGTCGTCGAATTTTATCTCGATCGGATCGCCTTCCATCAGGTATTCATAGGCAATCTGTTCCGGAGTCGCCTCCATGCCACCAACTTCAGAGATGAGCTGTCGAATGCTAGTGTTGCCGATTTTGACATCATCGGTCATATCCTCCATCGATTTGACATGATCTTCGTTGTCGAGATCAAGAACTGGGGACTGGAAGACTTTTTGCATTGCTCTTGCGTCTATGAATAAATTTAGGAGATGTCGGTTTTATATAATTCTTACCGAGAAGAGGGGACTCCGGTTCAATAGCAGGTTCGAAAATGGCCTTCATAGCAGTTTGGCCAGGAGTTACTTCATTCGTTTTTGGCCTTGACTCGTCATGTTTGAAAGCCGAGTCAGCAAAGTCAGAGAATTTTTTCCCACGTCCTGGGGTAGCGAATGTGTTATCTTCCATGTTTTTGCGAGCTGGAGACTCGAAAATTTTTGCGGAAGGAGTGGCAATAGGTGTCTTTGAGCCAAAGAGACCGGTCATCGCATCGCCACCTGGAGTAACGGGATTTTGAGGGACCGACTGTTCTTTCGCAGTCTTTTCCTGTCCGTCGCCAAAGATGTTCTTCATCGCTTTTCCGTCGGGAGTTTTCATCTCGTGAGCCATTTCGCTAAAGATTTTGCGGACATTTGGAGTTGGGAGGGACTTTTGCTCTTTGAACATTTGGTGGAGCTCTCCTTGGATAGGAGTGGCTGCGGCTTGCTGCTCTTTTTCTTCCTGGAAAAGGCCTTTCATTGCAGATTGGTGAGGTGTTTGATTTCCCTTGGCCTAAAAAAGATTCAGAAACTCTCGACAATTATCATTTTACCTTATTTTCTTCCGCAAAGAGTCCTTTCATCGCGGTTGGGCCAGGAGTCACACCAGCTTTTGCTGCGTTCTCCTCAGCAAATAGACCCTTCATAGCAGTTGGACCAGGAGTAACGCCTGTCTCTGAGCTGCTTTCTTCTGTGAAGAGCCCTTTCATTGCTGTTGGGCCGGGTGTAACAGGGTTCTGCGGGATTGTGCCTTCAGATTCCTTTTTGGCAGCGAGTTCCTCTTCATTCTTTTCCGCCTCTTTTTGATCTGGAGTTTGCGGAACCTGGCTAGGCTTGGCTAGCATTTTCTTTAGATAAAGACAATTGATTTGATAAAATACCTGGAGTCATGTCTTTTTGAAAAGAGCCTTGTGAGTCGGCGAGATTGTTTCGTCCATCTCAACACGATTGACGAGTATTTCATTTTGGCTTTCCATCATTGGCTTGGGAAGCGAATCAAGTGCTTCTGATGGCGTTGAGGGAATCTTGACGATAGATTTATCGAGCTGAACATTCAAATAGAATTTTCTTTCTTGACGGAATTTACCTTTGGAGTTGGTAAACCCTCGTTAGGGCTTTTATTTTCTTTGTCAAGAATGTCCATCGCTTTGTCGACGACTTCTTTAGGCTCGTTTTCGAGGCGATTTTTCATCAGTTTCATCCCGTACATTTTGATTGCCTTTGCAAGGAACTTGGGATCAGCTGAAAATCGCTTGACTCGCATCTTCGACGATGGAGAGGGTCCGCCACAGGTTCGGCGGCGAGAAGCAGACGATCGAACTGCCGAGACTCTTGCGAGAGAGGTCACCTGGAAACGAATGGTTAATTCATTTAAAACAATGATTGTGTTGTTACCTTTTTTCGCATGCTGCCAACAGAAGTAACTTTAGGTGTTTGATCCAGCGGGGTCATCGAACCCTCACTAGGATGCTCAGTGAAATTGTAGCCCTCCGGCGTTTTCGGTTCGACGCTACTATCTTCGATGTTCGTCTCGTCATCTGATGCCATGAGCGCAGCAGTAGAGTCCAAGAGCTTCGAACTTTCATTCACCTTCGTGCTCTCAAATGGAGGATGGCCGACGTCATCGCTGATGTCAAAGTCGGAAATGCCTCCAAGGGTGATATCAGCAGCACTCGTGCTTGGTGGGTCCTCTTCGTTCGGAGCAAGAAGCTCGTTTGTCAATGTTCCGGGAGAAGAGGACTCGCTCTTCGGTTGGAACAGAGAAGACTTTCGCCTGGCCTTTCGCTTCTCAGCTGGAGTGGTGGGAGTACTGAAATCAAGGATGAATACCAATAGATTAGATAAGGAAACTTACGTTTGATTGTTTTGCGGATTAGGAACTTGCTCGATCGAAGGCGTTTTCTTTGGCTCATCAGGCTCGTCTTCTTCGTCAGAGAATTTAAACTCATCGAAGCTGAAGTTTCCTGGCTCAGAAATAAGCGACGCATTCGGATTCTCCTCCTCAGCGGGAATAAGCTCTGGCATATCTTTGAATTCTTCTTTTTCCTTTTCCGAATTTCCCAGGTCGAGCTTTGGCGGCGGCCCCAAATCGAGCTTCGGTGGATTTTCGCGATGCATGCCTTCCTCGCGAACGGCGTTTAGTGGAGCGCGCATTGGCGTTTCTTTCAAAATGCTTTTTCGCTCGTTGCTCTTTTTCATCGGAGTCGATCCTTTTCGAATCGGCGTGTCTGGAGGCTTTCGGTAATCGAAGATCTCTGGACTGAGGCGGTTTCCGAACGTTACTCGTCGTCTGGAAGAAGCTGGTGTGCCGAAGGGTTTCGTAACTCGAGTTGGTGTTTTCATGACTTCGACGCGCTGAATTCGAGCTGGAGCGGGCGAAAAATTGATGTAGGTTTGCTTGCGAGGCATCATCGTGGAACTCCTGCGTCTTTTTCTCAACATATGCCCTTAAAATATATACAGTTAGTTCTAGAACTGAATGATTATGCTTCACCTTGAGGATATTCAATGCGAAAGGCTCGCCCTCCAACGCGGAAAACGTCTCCATGCTTGATTGTCTTTGGCTTCACTTGATTTTTGTTCGGAGTGGAAGAGGTGTTCTGAGCGACGTAGGGGACTGCTGAGCAGTTTAGCTGGAGTGGGGCGAACGCTTGGTACTGGAAAACTGAAAAAAAATTGGGCGAAAATTCTTGGAGGGAAAAAATGTGAGGAACTCTATGTCGTTCAAATCAATCTTACCATATGTTTCTCCGAAGTTCTCGTCATCCTGCTCTTCAACAGTGATCTTCATGTGAAGAGCTTTTACCAGCGCGTTTTTAATTCGCAGGTCGCATTGTTCGCCGGCTCCGATCAGCCAGGAAACAGAGCCACGGAGCAGAGGCATCGTTCCCCCATCCGTCGAATCCTTCTTGATGATGACGATTTGGCCCAGAATGTCCTCGTCCGCGCATTCTACCTGGAGCTGGTCCATTGCGGCGCGTTTCTCTCGTCAAAATGAGCAAATGGGCTCCTCGCCGCCGGTTTTTTTTGCACGGCGCGAATCAACAAGACTGATCTAGAAGCGAAAAAGTCAAAAACCGTTAAAAATATCATCACATCTTTTTGTTCAGTACCTATCATGGACCCTTTTTCCGGATTATGATCAATCATTTTATAAACAGTTATTAATAAATAATAAACGAACTTATCAGTGGAATACTTTTTACTGATCCATTTTCTGTCTTCGTCATGACTCATGATCGTTTTCTCAGAACCAGGGAGTCATTAAAAATGCAGATAAAAAGTCATTTTCTCTGTTGAGTGCGCGCAAACGGACTATTTTCGCGCGCGCGTTGCCACCGTGCAGCCAATCACTCCGCGCTATTTTCTTTCCCTCGAGGAAAATCTATATTTTTCTTATTTTCGCATTCGCCACGAATAAATTACGAAAATCTTTTACTCATTTGAACGATTAATTCAAATGACATCATATTATCATTTGTTATTAAATAAATAATAATTTTCGAAGTTCAAATTTAATCTAAATCATACCTTCGGTATGATTCATACCTTCTTCTAAATTTATACTAAAAATTAAAACTAAAATTTCGATGAGTGACAGGAGAATGTTTGAATTGCGATTGTGAATTGCGCATTTCCTCTTTTTGCGAAAGCAAAACTCCAGGCATCAATCAACTCGCTACTTCCTGAATGTTTATCTCTCAGAATTTGTTTGTCAAATCATTTCTTCATCACTTCCTTATCGCAGTGATAACAGCTTCATCGGACGGCTTATCGATTCACGCTCTGCGATTATAATCGACAAAAATAGAAAAAAAATCGACCAGAATCAAATTCAAGAAAAAGAAAAAACATCTCATTTTTACTCTTTTATTAACTCCCTAATGAGCGCTGACCACTTCTTTGGTACCGAAAGGGCCTAAAGAAAAGCCATTTTTCGGCAATAAGTCGTAGTGTAGTGCTGATAACTTTGAATTTCCATCTTCGGCGTCGGCCAGTTTCTTACTCTTCAAATCTCAAGAGGATAGGAGATACGGGCAGGTGCCACAGAGAGTTAGCCAGGCGATAGGTGTGAAGATAACTCTCCGAGCCGTTTCATCTTTTCTCCTCCGTTTCTAGTTCTTTTGGTGCTGTTTTAAAATCTGCGGTGCTCCTCAGAGAGTCACTTGTTGGCACACCTGCGCAGAAGATCAATTTTGAAAGGATCAGACTTTTCAAACCATACTTATTCTGATTTTTTCTCGCGGACTTCCAGTAAAATAATGATTAGTTATCGCCGATAACTTATCGGTTTTCCAGTAACTACTGAAGATCCTGATATATCGATGTTGATATCATTGAACATTATCTTGATAAAAAGCTATCGTATCATATTTTTATCGGGGTAATTATTCGTCAGTCCGGGCTTTATCAAAGCCTCGGTAAACGTACGTAATATTAATCAACCCTGCGTATCGAAGATATCTTTATCCTATCGATGCTGGGCATCAAAGAAGTGATAAGGAGATCTCACACCTTTTAAATAACGAAGTTAACTTAGTGATAACTTCATGCACTTACCGCGATTCCCTTTTCTAATTGACGGACATAGTCATCGCCTTTTTCATTTTCAAGTTATCATGCTTCCAATTCGACGACGACGAAGATGTGAACACATCTGATGTCACTAGCATTGGCGGCGTTGGAGACTGTCCGGTCTCTCTAGCGCCAGCGGGACGGCGCCGCGGTCGCGCTACGGAATCGCCGCCGCACTTTTTTCTTGATTGAAACAAGATTGAAATCCACGAACAGAATCACCAACTCACAAATATTTCAATTACAAAAACTGATAACAACGAAGAGAGACTCAAATCCATCAGAAAATCGAACTTTTTTCAATTTTGCTAAAGATTGAAACAGAAAGATAAGCAGTAAGAAAAAAAAACGTCAGATACTGAAGAAATCGAAAATGGTTGCTAGCGAAAGTGAAGATGTTTCTGTCAAATGCGAACCGATGAATGGTGAGTCCTAGCGTTATATTGAGTTTGAAAAAAATTTCACGACAGCCGTCGATCTTTCTTTTATTCTTATTCTTAAAAGTCTGAATAGTTTTCGGAGACGGGAAGGTTTTGTGAGTTTGATGGCGGTAAAGGATCCTTTCAAAGATTTAACCATATTTTATCTTGAAAATATGAGGATGAAAAAGCGGTAGACATATCGTCTCGTCAGTCAGGCACCGTGCCGACCGCCGCGGGGTTCCATTTCCACTAGAGTTAGAGTTCCTTTTCCGAGATAAGACGGTCTGGAACGACTTTTATATTTTATTCACTGCTATCGTTATTTATTCTTTCGATGGCTAAGATAAAACTTAATCGATTCGGAATTATCGACTGTAATGGCTGACGTTATCAGCCCTTCAGTACCCTTTATGCACCCTCGGCAGGTGACAAGAAAGCTACTGATAACGCCGATAAGCCCTCAACCACGCGTTTGATCCTGTGAATTATTATCGGCGACGATTAAAATATCGATTTTTAACTTTCGCAATGAGAAAGAAAAACTTTTGAAGATTTGGCGTGCGATTGCGGCTGAAAAGCGGAAATCAGCGATAACCATCGGCAGGTGCGCCTTTTATCGGCGCAGCGGGAGATCGCTGACTTCAAAAACGGGCTTTTATTGGCCTTGAAGTCTTTTCATGAAAACTCATTTTCGAAAATGTATTTGAGAACTAGCTTAACTGATTCCTTCATTGAATTTATCCCTAGATCTCCTGCTGAGATGATAAGAATTATATACCCTCTATTTTCATTCGAAAAACCGGGCATTTTTAAAAGCAAGTTTTCTTATCAGTTTTTTGGAAAAGCGTAATTGTGCCACCTTATCAAACACTTCAAGTGGGGTTTCCCGATAAACGATAAACACCTGCTGTGCAGTGGTCGCTGTCAAAAAGGGGCGAAATCAGTTTGATCTAGCTCTGGAAGGTTGTGGCACCACCGGTCTACACCTGCTGCTTGATAACACCTCCAGAACTAGCGCCTTCGATAATGATCGTGTACCCCTAACGAGCGCTCTGCTGAAGTAGCCTTGGGCCTATCAGATGATCTCTGATGCACCTGTGGCACCAAAAAGAAGCTCCACCACCGAGCTCTTTATCAAATAGTCATTTTTGTCGTTATCGGCATCACGATCCCGATAAGAGCAGCTCGAGCCAAGGGGACTGACTTTGATGATCTTGATCTCGCAGCCCCGAAGAGTTCCTAAGAGCTCTATTCAGATAATCGACTCAAAAATAACATCAACTCAAATCAAGAATGAGATAATGGTTAATACCGTTTTTATTGAACGCTCAAATTTTTGAAACTAAAGTAGCCGCATGCGGCTTTACAGTCAATTTCATGAACTTCCCTTTCAAGCTTCCTTTATTGATGATTAATCGGATCGACCACGGGGAGCTACCTCTCGTGGTCATTTCGTCAAAATTGCCTCTCGTGGTAAGTTGCCTCTCGTGGCCATTCGCCTCTCGTGGTCATAACGTATCGGCTAACGAACCTTAGGGTATCCAAATTTTTCTCGAAGGGCAGATTTTTACAAGCCTAATATTCTTAGATGTCAAATTATTTTCGAGTAGTATATACGCGGAATATAAAGATAAGATAATTTGTTGAGTACCTTACTCATCTCTATAAGAAAAACTTCGAAAAGAGTTTAACTTTCGATCAATTTGAAAATTTTAATTGCATTCTCATTTAGAAAAAATTTGGTTGGATTGTGCCAAGAAAAAGCAGGCGTTTATAGAAAATAAATTGCTTTTTATCCAAATTATAGGCCTCTCGAAGTATTTTAGAAAGAATCTTTCACACCCAACTTATCATCTAAATGCCTTACGTCAAATAAGCCGATACGTGATGTCCACGAGAGGCTAATGGCCACGAGAGGCAACTTGCCACGAGAGGCAAAGTTGGCGAAATGGCCACGACAGGTAGCTCCCCATCGACCACCTGAAAAACTGATGATCTGATGAATAAATCTGATGAGGAATGATTCTTAGGCGAAGCAGAATCAAGCTTATCCTCTTATCAGCCCAAATAGTATGCGTTTTATGTGTGAAACACTCACACTCAGGAGAATCACCGCATCAACCGGTCGATTCTGCTGCTCCTGAGAGCTCCAGCCCGCGACCTACATCGAAGATCTATAGAAATCTACCTTGACGGTTTGTCATATCAGCGATGATAACATCCCGCTCCTATCGGGCAAAATATGTGAAAGATGTTAATCCAGATAACAACCGGTATCGATATCGTTTTTTCTCAAAATGAACAAAATTGGTATGATGGTCTTAAAATGGCTCTATTTCTGTAAAATTCAGCTCTAGAAAAAGATTTTTTTATCACCATTTTGGACATCGATAAAACTCGATCGATAAGTGCTAAGTAGTACGGAGATTCCCCGGTCGCCGGAAGGCGATAAAGAGCATTTCACATGTTCAGGCTTTTCTGCTTTTTCCCGATTGATAAGCGAGCCTGGCTCTCCCGCTGAGAGATATCTGATAAGACACCTGCGCCGCCAGTGCGATAAAAAACACCACCGAGCTACACCAGATCGTGGATCATTGGCGATAGGAATCGAAGGAGAATTTAAAGAATTATTCAAATCCTCGACCGCAGATTCTAGATACCCCGCTGGGAGTATCGATGAGAATCTGAAAACTTCCCTTATCGCTACTTGTCCTCGGCGAATGTTTAACTCGGTGGGAGAGCCAGTCTCGCCGGTATCTCACCGATAAGGATCGATGCCTGAAGAGCTTGGAGAAAAAAAAATTTGACGAAAAAATTTTCTCGACGATAAAAAACTGATAGGACGGAGAGGGCCTTTCGGCATCTTAAGGGTGTCGCGGCGAGATAATCGCGCACTAGAAAATTGAGAAAATAGCCTCCTCATTTTTCTTCATTCTCACGGAAGCTGCGATATTTTTATCAATGCCAAGATAGGAGCAATAAAAGTAAGAATTCGTTTTTGGGTGGCGGCGGCTTGAGAATTTATCAAAAGAATCGGCTTGGAATCAACTTTGCTTTGGCGATATTAAACGAAATGAATATTCATTTGATGATTCGTCTGATTGCTATCAACGAGGAAACGATGAACTTTTATGAGCTTCTTTGAAAGGTAGAAACTCGACAAGCGGCTATTCAAGAACTAGGCTATTTCTCCTAAAACTTTCAAAAATCTTCGAAAATGTCGCTTCAAAATGATTTTTGCCTATCTTTCCGACTAAAATCCTGATAAGATAACTCTTTCATTGAAAGAGCAGCAAAATAAAAGCCTTCCAAAATGTTAAAAATCGCTGATAAACGTCTAAGAGCGTACCGGTCAGCGGAAATCTACCCGGTTGGTTCCACCCCAACGAACTCGCGGCCTGGCGAGATCAGATAGTAATCAGTTATCTTTACCCCTAGTGGGGGCCAGTTGGCTCTTTTTGGCTCAGTTTTTGAACCGGCCATTTAAAAAAAAATAGATTTTTGGAAGAGATTTTTTTTAAAGAAGCGAGAAAGCAAAGAAAAAAATTATGAGAAAACCGCTGCGAGTTTCGAAATTTGTAGGATCAATGCACGAGTGCGAATTGAATGGTAATTATCAACTGATGCCCCATCTGGCCGATAGCTAGTCCTTTTCTCTGATAACAAGTCCTTTCCGTCTCCAGATAGGAGCTGATGATCGACACAGACGTCCTGATAGTTGTTGCTCGTTTTCGAGAAAATACCCAATCGCAAACATTGATTAATTTTGCAGATCAAGGGGTTGTGTTCGGAATTGCAAAAGCTCGCAAATTATCATTTGAAATTCCTTTATTCAGCCAGCGGCTAAAATTTTGTTTCAGAAACAGAAGTGATTGTTCGCCCATGCAGTCCAGAATCATCAGAAGGAAGCCCGAATAAAGAAAATTGCCCTCAAAGACATCTCAGAAAAACTCCAAGGTAAAAAAATGGAAGAAGTTGTAGAATTTGCGAAAAGTAGAAAGAGCCGCGTGCGGCTTTCGAGTCGAAGAAAATAGCCGCCTTATAGCTGCCAAACGCTTTTCGACTATAATTGATAAGAACAAAACTAGATGAGAACAAGTTTTTTCGTTTCATTTTCGGGCACTTGTGATCGGTGCTCGAATCTGTCGGATCTTTCCAAGTACACACAGGGTGTGAAAATACTACAAGAAAAAAAGTGGAGGTCAGATAGCGTCTCTTATCACGGCAGGTGTTTATCAGTCCTCAGCGCGTCGTAACACCTCCACCAATAGAGCCTGCGCCGCCATCATCAGGCGGAGTAAATTTCCACCTCGCTTTTATCAATTTCCGCTTATCACATACTGCCTCGCCTGTTATCACCTGCTGGAAACACTTGTGGTGTCGGCACCGCAGCGCCAGATGCAGATTCGGCGATAAATTTAAAAACCACCCTTTCCAGTTTTTCAGTTTTGCCAAAAATTAAAATTTACGAGCGCTAAATTTATGACCTGACAGTAGCAATTGATAATTTCCGGAAAACATACACCTCGGTCAATACTGATGCTTGTTAAAATTAGCTAGATAGCTTCCGGAAAGGGTGGTACGGATTGATAAAGCGGCCATACTCGAGTGAGAACTCAGGTGCCCTAAATTATTTGCGAAAATTTGGAAAATATGCATCGAAGACTGAATGATACCAGTTTGGTATTTCGTCAATTTTGGCGGCAAATTTCGTCGATTATCGATTCAAGCACCTTTCAAGTATATTTTTTCACTAATCGTAGTTTCACTAGCCGACCCTTGAAACAATCAATTTTCTCTTTTTATGCGCGATAAGTGATAAGAGAGAACTCGGCGTGGAGCCATTGACTATCCGCGCCAAAATAATCTTCCAGCTTTCGGCGACGCTAGAACTGATAAAAAACGCTACTGCTCCTCGCGAGAGTTTCGACGATTTCAATTGTCGTTAACACCTTTCTATCTCTAAAAGGACCGCTTTCTCGCGCTCGGCAGGTGTGCTGATAAGCAAAGAAGATAATTGATAAGAACTTGACATAGTGCTAATCCGATTTCCCCATCCGTTAAGGACTTTCCGCGCTAGAACTGGCCGAATGTAGACATTGTCAGCTACCCGATAAGATTACTCACTCATCATTTCAGTAACACAGTTCGTTTAGATCCGTCAATGGGGGAAATACAGTCATCCAGTCCGCCCCTGCCGCGAACGGACTTCCACTTCCAAATGGTAAGATCCTCATAAAGCCGCAGAATTTCTCCGCCCGTTATCGTTATTTGCATTTTATCACGAAAAGGAGAGTCTTTTGAGTATTATCATTTGGACTTATCCAAACAAGTAAAAATACTTATCGTGCCCAAACATCCTCTCCGATTGTCCTCCATCGAGCTTATTTTTATTTAGTTAGCCTAAGTTATCAGTCCATTTCCGGTAATTTGGAAATGATTTGCCAACGATACCAAACTCTGTTGTATTTTGAAATCACTTACCGTGTTTTCTTAGCTACGGCAATTTCAAATTTTGTTAAAACAATGAGGAAATTTAAAGCTAAAGATAGAGAATATGACTCGTAAAAACGCTCTTATCAGAGCTTCGCTTATCACAACTTGAGCTTTATCATTTTGAAATTTCCCAAGGCTCTTATCGAATTATTGGCGTCAATATCTCGGTAGCCAGGCCTTGATAAACCCTTATCGCGATCTCTGGAATCAGTTCTACTGAGCTCTGTTCGAAAATCTACCCCTAAATTTCAAGCGATCAGAATCATGAAACCAAAAGAATTCGAAGAAGTACCAAATTTTCCCAATTCTCGGTACGTAAGCAAAAACTACTGATCAGTCTGAGGTGACAAGGATCGTATCTGGCACACCACGATCTGATATCTCTTCTGTTTGTGGCAGGATAAGACGGCCAACGAAGACTTTTGATGGTTGGGTATCGCCATCGATATCAATCAATTCCATGACAACGGAACACTATTTCGACTTATCAGATCTTTACTTTTCATATTCGGCGATAACGGGCCTGCACGCGAGAAATAAACGCAACAGAGGACTTTTGACATTTGAAGCGCGATAACTTCTTTAGCTAAACATCCTTTTAGCCTCGTCGAGAAGCTCAATGCTCTTGGAATGCGGAAGATGTGAGGCCATGTTTAGGTCTCAAGATGCATACGATACTCATAGGAAGATCTGTTTTGGGGGAAAGGTAATTCAATATTAAATATTCGTGTTTATAAAAATCATAAGTCTTTTTATTTTATTGCAAACTAGAATTTAAAGTTCTTCCCGAATTCGAATAGATCATCAAAGATTCAATACCATTGTTAGTTTGATCGTGACCTTTTTCTCATATAATTGATTCAATACTTAAGGACCAACTTTGCTTTTGCAAAATCTGCGGTGTCCGAAAAGACTCTGAATGGACCATGGACAAGCATCTCTTTCAACACTACTGCATGGATTCAAAAGGCTGCATGGACTGCGGCTGGCGATCCGACCTCCACATCAACCCAAAACCCTCTCCGAAGAAGACAAGCGCAAACTCATCCTCCGCCTGTACACCGACATCGGCAAACATCTCCGAGAAGTGCACATGTCTCGTCCCGAAGCCCACGATGCTCAAATTCCAGAGAGAAAGGGCTATCGAATTACTTCAAATGCTCTTCGATGCATGGACTGCAACGCCCTTCAGGATGACATCAAGTCCCTTCAGGAGCACATCAAACTCTGTCCCAAAAGCTCGAAGCCTGCCGTGTTCGTCTGCTACTGCCGTGCAGAGTTTGCCGATCGAAAGTCCTTTGACCAGCACATCAACATGATGCAGTGCAAAGAACTTCTTCTCCGCAAATTCCAGGGACTCCCTTTCGTGCCCGGCTTCCCACCAAATATGCGTCCTCCAACCGTCGCCCCACCGAAACCGCCTCAGAGTCGATCTCCAGTGAGCAAGGTGAGAAAATATCAATCTGTCAAGGCCCCCTACGACCGGCGCGTTATCGCCAACTCTCGGTGGGGCATCAGTACTTTCCCTGTAATCTCGAGGACTGTGTCTATTTCGCTGGCGCTATCTCCAAGAGCCGGGCGCGGAAATCTGGACTGTTGACACCCGTACCCTGCTGCGCACACACTATCAATTGAGATAATTTCAAAAAATTCTTTCGGGCCCGGAAATCATGAAAAAACTGCTAGTGTAGGATTGTAGAGCTCGTCGAGACGAGTCGATTGATACCTCTAACTCTTGAAAATTCCAAGATTTTCCGCCTACGCAACTGATAAGAAGGTTGTTCAAACAAAATCGTAATTCCACTGCCGTTTTTGTTCTAGAGTAGCTACAAGGGAGTTCGACCCCTAGAAATGATCCTTATGAAAAGTTGTACTGACAGAGGAAGTTTGGACCTCTTATCACGTGTCCTGCCGAGCTTATCAGTGAAAAATCGTTTTTTCCATATATTCTCACAAAACATGTAAAATGATCAGTTTTTGCGCTGAATTCATTAATGAATGAAATATTTAATCTAAACAAACGATTAATATCAATAAATTTGATAAGAAATTTCATTTTTCAGTAAAAAATTATTTTTACTGATAAGCTCGGCAGGACACGTGATAAGAGGTCCAAACTACCTCTGTCAGTACAACTTTTCATAAGGATCATTTCTAGGGGTCGAACTCCCTTGTAGCTACTCTAGAACAAAAACGGCAGTGGAATTACGATTTTGTTTGAGCAACCTTCTTATCAGTTGCGTAGGCGGAAAATCTTGGAATTTTCAAGAGTTAGAGGTATCAATCGACTCGTCTCGACGAGCTCTACAATCCTACACTAGCAGTTTTTTCATGATTTCCGGGCCCGAAAGAATTTTTTTGAAATTATCTGAGCTTATCAACCGGGGCTGATATCCCTCTGCGAAGTGTGGTGCTACTCCTCGTATTATCACACCTTTGCCAACATTTCGAGTGATAATTGTCAGTTCTAGCTAAACTTATCCGGCAGAAATTTCCAAATGGATCATGTTTCGGAGTTTTTTTTCGGAAACCATCAATGTCGAAATCCGGTAGATTATATTTTTTCCACCTGGGACAAGCCCCTATCGTTAGATACGTCCCACCGATTTGGTGACATGGGCGATATAGATACACCTGAGTCCAGGGATCCGAGATTTTGTCGTCTGGACGATCGCGCACCTAGCGCTTTTCTTCCGCGCGCGATAATCATTTTCGCTGCTAGGCGCGCAGCGCGAAAAATTCCCATCGGCGGGCTGGATTATTCAAAAATATGCCGATGGTTTCCCTGCGCCCTCGCGCTTCAGGAGCGATGATTATTCATCGCGGTGGGCCCGAGAGCGCGATAACTTATTTTCGGCCACCCTGGCTGCGCGCGACATGATATTTTCGCCCATGAAAATTTCAACATGGGGGACCCCTTGATACTCGATAAAACACTGTCATTTTGGAGTAAGCCACACGATTAATCGATGGCCCGTGATGTTTAGCCAAAATTTGAAGAAGAAAAAGCATTTATAAGGAGATTTCGATATATTCAATATAATTTTTATGAAATTTTCGAAATCTGCATGTTCAAAAACCAATAAAAGGTATTCTTCAGTCATAAATTGGCTTAACATCAGAATCCAATAACTGTAAAAATTTTTCTTTTGAAAATAGTCAGATTTTACGGATATTTCCGGTGCAAAGCGTCACTGTCAGCGATTAGCACGACTTATTTGTAGGCAACGTTGCGGGAGGTCAGTACAAATTTACATTTTGTTTGTCGGATCTCTTATAAGGAGATGGACAACTTAGTCGAATTTAAGTGTTAACAATGTGACATCCAAAAATTGAATTTTCAAAAAATCGGTCAACTAAGTCAGCAATCTCACGCTGATCATTTGATTCGTGCGCCGACTACGTCGGCAAAATTGAAACCAAGCGCCACCGTCGCACTCCCGCTCGGCAGATTTTCGACCCTTTTGAGTACCGCGATTTCATTTTGAGTGACTGCACTCTCATTATCGGACGCTGGAGCCACTTTCCGCCCAAAGCGAGAGTTCGAAAAGTCCGAAAGCGAAATTTCCCTGGGCCATGCGCCCGAGCGCCCTCAACCGCTTGCAGTCAGTCCGAATGAAATCGCGGTATTATTTATTGGCGTCATAGGGCTGCGCGATCGAAAATCATCGCCCCCTCGCCGAGAGAGCGATTTCATACCATCGCGCTTGAACGCTGCGCATTTGAGCGCGCGAGTATTTTTGTCGGCCTGATAGGGCTGCGCGATCGAAATTCATCGGCCCATCACCGAGAGAGCGAGTTTTTGCCATCGCGCCTAAACGCTGCGCATTTGAGCGCGCGATCAGAATTTTTGCTCCTGCGCGATAACTCAAATCGCGCCTGAAAAGTGGGCGATCGTCCAGACGACAAAATCTCGGATCCCTGCCTGAGTCGATATTCTCCAGCAAATCTGATAAGTTAGTCAGGTAGTCCGATGGCGAAGAAAGACCAGCGCTGACCCTTCGCCAGGTGTTATCAATTCGCGATAAAGACCTGCCGGGCCAGAAATCCGCCAAGATTCACCTTTATCACAGTTACCCGGGCCGAGCTCAAATCGCCGCGCTTATCGACAGCGGATAGAACTTATACTGAATTTGCATTGTTCAGGACTCGCCCCCATCCAAGCGGCAGAAACTTGACGGCGAATCGATGTCACCGGAGCGCGAGCAGGCCGAGTTGTTCTGCGAAAAATGCAACATTACTTTCAAGAAACTCGAGGTTTTCAAAGTTCACAAGGAGAATTACTGCGAGTCGCGACATGCAAACGTAGAAGCGATTCAAGAGGCCAGAGCGCAGAAACAGCGCGAGAGGGAAGAGCTAAAGTTGGTAAATAAGGTAATTGGCAGTAATTATACCATGAAAGTTATTAATTAAGAAAATTAAATTATTTCGTGGATAAAACTTCAAATAGTGTCGAGAGTATTATGGGGTTGTCGATTGAGCTTGACATAAAATAATATATATTTACAGTATAAATTAATCGATTATGGTTTTTATGCAATAAATCAATTTTCTCCATTCATAAGGAAACATTAGTGTTCTTTCAATATTTTAAAACTGTAATTTCAGCTGAAGGAACAAAGCAAAGTTCGCCTGCAGGAAGAAGAAGCCAACCGCGAATACACCCAAAAAGCTTTCCCCTGCCACGAATGCAAAATCGGCTTCGATTCCCGAAAGCATTTCGCCGCCCACAAGCAAAACTACTGCCCCTCTCGACAGACTGATTCTCCTGGATCGGAAGGATCATCATCTCAGCCAACCTCTTCTTCCGCGAATCTCCTGCAAGCTTCGGGCTTGTTGAGCATGTTTAGGTAAGAGTAAGCATTCCAAAGCCTCCTCTAACCGTCAATTCTAGCCAAAACCCTCTGATGTCAAACCTGAATCTGCTGTCAATGCTCTCCGCAATGAACACCCAACAAGCGAACCTCGAAACTCTCAAGAAGGCGCTCAGCGGAAAAATTAATGGCTCGACAACATCTCCCCTCGACTTGAGTTGTAAAGACTCCACGGACGCCGAGGAACAAATCAAAATCGAGGAGGTCGAGGAAGAGTCCAATCCTGGAATAGCTGTATAAAACTATGGACAAAAACTTTAATATAAAAACACTCACTTGTACAGTTGCAATCGAAAATAAATGCTTTTCACTTCACCAATAAAATAATCAAAATTGAATACAACTGAAAGTGTTCGAGCAGGAAGTCGATAGTCTAGTTTTCCAATAAATTTTATTATCTCTAAGATCGGGCGAACATTAAATGACAATTTGGCAGTTGAAAAGTTTTCAATAAAACAGGACAGAGCAAGTAAGGAGCCTAAAAGAACGAGTATTTTCCTATGCATTCAAGACACGGACAATTCCTTCCCGTACGCCATCCTCGGACTAAAGTTCCTTAATATTTTCAGTCGAAACTGGTAATCTGACCTGCATGGTGATGAACTCGACTTTCTTGTTCAACTTGTGTGCCTCGCAGTGAAAGCCGACCTTCTGGCATTTAGGAACAAGCCAGTCGAGAGCAGAATCTTCCCACTCGTTTTGCACCTTGATTTTTTCGAAGAAATTGAGTTTGCAGGGCTTGTCTCGCCAAAGATCGATGTTGCGCTGGAATCAAATTTACTGAGTGGTCGCCTCTCGCCCAGATCGCCTCTTGCCCAGATCGCCTCTCGCCCAAGATCGCCTCCCGCCCAAGTTGGGCAAAAGGCGACCTGGGCGAGAGGCGATCTTGGGCGAGAGCCGATGTGAAAATATTTTAAATGCAAAATATCAATGACTTGGGCGAGAGGCGATCCTCGGAAGGAGACGACCACTTCGAAATGACCCGATTTAGAATTCCCTGTCATGTCATTAACCCGGCAGGTACTTTTCGCCGCTATAATCTCAGGCAGTCTATCTTTGGAAAGATTGAAATGTTCATAGGGTGAGCTGTAACTGTGGAGAAAAGATGCTGATGACATGCCGAGCACGCTACTGAAGTTCCATAAGTACCAAACTTTGGACACTGAGCGTCGGTTGAAGTAGCAGGGGATGCGATACATGAAAACAGCTTCATCGTGGAACTAAGCTGCACATGATGACCTTTACGCCACTATCATTTTTATGTATCACTTACCCTGCTACCTCAACCGGCTACCTCAAGCGTGATAAGTTCCAAAATTTTCTGACTGTACCAGCTCATCTAGCGAAACATTTCTTTCAAATGAGTTTATAAAAAGATGGTTCAGGCTTTACGACGAATCGTCGTCGACGATAGGTACTTGCTGAGCGGTCATGATAGGGAAGTCTAAATGGAGTTTAGGAGTGCTCCAAGCCTTCTTCCTAAGATCGCCTCTCGCCCAACTTGAATTAGTCCTTCTTAGTTTACATTGAAAATAATCTCATATCGCCTCTCGCCCAAGATCGCCTCCCGCCCAAGTTGGGCAAGAGGCGATCTGGGCAGGAGGCGACTTGGGCGAGAGGCGATCTGGGCGAGAGGCGACCACTCAAATTTACTATTTGTTATTTTTTGTGGACTTACTCCAGCTTGTTTGGCGAATTGATCCGAGACTGCTCGAATGAAGCCGACGATTGGAAGATGGCTGTCTTTGTCCTGAAGAATTACTGGAAAATGGGCGAGAAATGAAATGACTTACGTCGATGAAGCAAGGCTCGGTCCTGGCTATGAACTTGATGAGATGAGGGTTGGACTCGCTGATCGTAATGTAGCTGGAATCGAACATCACGTCCACAAATGCATCAGTTTGAGACTTAACCGTTTGAGCAACATTGGCTGGTGGCTGGTGGTCGCTGTAGAAAATCACCGAGATATTTCGCGGTGTACCGTTTCCTGCACTGAGCAGTAACGGACGGAAGCCAGGGGTTGCTGGCCCAGGGACATTCATTCCTTCCGGGACTTCGAATTCGACCAGTTCGAGGCTGCCACCCTCAAACTCGGCCAGTTTCGCTACCACTTTCTTGGTCTCCTCAAGCTCTTTCGGAAGAATTGTGCCTGGAGGACAATGAACCATGCGGGATGGTTTATCGGACATTTTCTCTATAAAATTTCGATGAAAACCTTGAACACTTTTGTACAGCAATTTTTAGTTGAGTTGGAGCCGTTCTCTATGAAAGCAGGATAAGTTTCGAAAAATGTTTTCAGGCCAAAAATCACTTTTTAACTGTTAGTGCCATCTTCACCGCCGTCTCAAACCGAGTCGAACGGTATATGTATCGCTTGAAAATTCTAGAGTTTCGGGTACTTCCGGTCAGATTTACGAAATTCTAGTATTCCACTGCCGTTTTTGATACAGAAATGGTACTATGGCATATAGCATGTCAAAATGACCGCTAAGACGTGAGGAGTGCAGGGGTCTCAAAAATAAGTATTTTTGCAAAGAAAAGTACCTAAAAATAATTATTTTGTGATTTTTAGCACTAAAAATATCAATTATTAATTTTTCGGGCAGAAAGCAGATGGATAATCAAGTTTTATCTCTTATAAACAAATCTACAAAGAAAACTACATTTATATCGAAAATTCCGTGAAATTTGATATTTTTAGTGCTAAAAATCACAAAATAATTATTTTTAGGTACTTTTCTTTGCAAAAGTACTTATTTTTAGACCCCTGCACTCCTCACGTCCTAGCGGTCATTTTGACATGCTATATGCCATAGTACCATTTCTGTATCAAAAACGGCAGTGGAATACTAGAATTTCGTAAATCTGACCGGAAGTACCCGAAACTCTAGAATTTTCAAGCGATACATATACCGTTCGACTCGGTTTGAGACGGCGGTGAAGATGGCACTAACAGTTAAAAAGTGATTTTTGGCCTGAAAACATTTTTCGAAAATCATCCAGTCTCTCGTTGAATGATTCAACTTGAATCAGTTAGCTCGGTGAAATGATCGAGATTCATCTGGGCAGCGTAAAAGAAAAAACCATCTAGAAAAATGCAAGAAGAGTTCGGATAGTTTTTCCGAGTTTCAGTCTGAGAGACTGACCAAAGTCATCCCTCCTTTGTTCGAAGTTCACAATTGAATTTAAAATTAACAGAAAATGATAAACGCTTTTCATTTCACGAGTTGAAAATATCAAAAATTTATTGTGGAAAATATATTGTTGATAAAGGCAGTATAAAAATAAAAAGGGTTTATGAATTATTCGGCATATTTCTCAAGCTTGGCAAGGATCTCGTACTTGCTCATGTCCTTCTTCGCCTCTTGTTCGTAGTCGACGTACTCTCCGAGAATGTTGGTACGATCGTTCTTCGATATTTCTGGAGTTGGAATTCTTTCCGCCTCCGATTCCGGTTCTGGACTTGCCTTCGACTTCGGCCTTTGTTCGTCGTTTTCTCGGTAGTCCATGGAGCGGTCGTACTCGAGGTCTTCGTAGAGGTCTTCCAGGTTTCTGATGTACTGGTCGAACTCGATCTTCGCGATGAAATAAGAAGAGATGAAGACGGAGAAAAGGAGTTGGACGAACCAAGAAGTCATCAAAAATCCAGAGTAGTTTTCATCCGCCCAGAACGTTCGTAGACCGTAGATCATGTACAAAATCAACAAGGAGGTGATGCAAATATCTAGTGATAAAAAGCATCATCAATGCCAAGTATAGAGTTAAGTACTTACAGATAATTGATGCAGATATAGAAGCGCAGGTATTGTTTTGCTGCGTGCGCTGCTTGAAATCATCCAGAAGAGGGTTCAAAATGTCATCAGCTGTTGGATGAAAGCTTTTTCCCATGATTCCAGCGGATGGTGCGAGAGTGTCGCTCTGCATATTTTTTATTTCTTCAGCGGTATCCTATGTTTCTGTAAGTATGGAATATGAGATGAATACTTACGAAGAACTCTTGCTCGTTCAAGAAAGTTTCCATGTCGTCGTCTTTTCCTTGCAGATATTTATCTAAACATTTTGAGTTATCATGAGACTCTCAAAGAGTTCTGCACTAGATATAATTCTATAGATTAGGGTCGGACACAGAAAAAAGTTCTCAAATCCTTTTTTCTCATCAGTACCGAATTCAGCATGGTCAAAAACCCCACCCACAAAAATTTTGCACCATTGGTGGTGAACGTGGGATTAGAGAGGCTAAAAAGCCCTAAAAATGGCTATTTTTTGGTTAAAAAGCTTTAAAAAATCGAATTCAATATATAATGAATGCTGATGAACTATTTTCTCTTTGTTATTTGCAGTAAAGGGTTCAAAATATATGCGAGACAAATTTCAGAGGCAGAAATGAAAAATAAGGACAGTTGCGACGCCTTTTACTTTTCAAGTGACATATATTTTCTTTAAATAGCTATATTAAAACAGCCTTATCTCAAAAAATCTAAAAGCCGCAATCTCAATAATGGGTGTTTATATGTAACAGACACTTGGCTTTTATCCTCAATAAAAATTATATGCATAGCTATTGGGAATATTTTTTAAAAATTTTTTTTCTAATGTCCGAACAGGACTAATATGGAAAATTTCACGTTTTTAAAAGGAATCTCCAAGAATTATTTCTGGTTTATAGGTGCTAGAAACATGGTCAATGGCTTCTATTGGAGCTTTCAAAGCGCTTTCTTCTCATAACTGGAAAAATAAATGATCTGGGTATCCTCTGAGATTTTCTAGCGCCTCGAAGTTGACTGAAACTACCAGATACGAGAATTCAAGAATTTGAACTTTTGTTCTAGGCGTGCTATGATTACGATCGATAGCTTTTCTTGAAGCTACAAGTAAGTAATCACTGAATTCATCGACGTGATATTTTTGGAACCAGCTGGTCATTCTGGTGGTTCGTCGCGGTCCAAACCTTTGGATGGATTGAGATCCGGCAATATGTATATCAAAATGCATATTTTTGATAAGAAGAAGTTCCAACAGATTTTCAAACAAAACCACTTCGTTGACCGACTGGTTCACAGCGGTTCATAACGGTTCACGCTCAGTATTCACAAAATATTGAAATATGTATATCAAAATGCTTCTCTACTAAAAAGGAGTCTTTCAAACTGATTTTCGAACAGAACCACTTGAACCAAGACGAACCAGTCATTTAGCCAAGTAGTTTGGTTCGAATATCTGTTAAAAAGACTAAGAGATACATTTTGATATTTATATTTCAGCATTTTGTGAATACTAAGAACGTGAACCACTCTGAACCGCTCTGAACCGGGCGGTTAGCCAAGTGCTTTGGTTCGTAAATCAGTTTAAAAGACTCCTCTTGAGTAGAAAAGCATTTTAATATACATCTTTCAATATTCTGTGAATATTCAGACCGTGAACCGCTCTGAACCGCTGTGAACCGGGCGGTAAGCCAAGTGGTTCTGTTCAAAAATGAGTTTTAAAGAGTCCTCTTGAGTAGATAGGCATTTTGATATACATATTTTAATATTTTGTGAGTATTCAGACCGTGAACCGCTTTGAACCACTGTGAACCGGGCGGTTAGCCAAGTGGTTCTTTTCTAAAATCAGTTTGAAAAACTCCTTTTAAGTAGAGAAGCATTTTGATATACATATTTCAATATTTTGTGAATACTCGGAGCGTGAACCGTTTTGAACCGCTGTGAACCGGTCGGTCAACGAAGTGGTTTCGTTTGAAAATCTGTTGGAACTTCTTCTTATCAAAAAATATGCATTTTGATATATATATTGCCGGATCTCAATCCATCCAAAGGTTTGAACCGCGACGAACCACCAGAATGACCAGCTGGTTCCAAAATATCACGTCGATGAATTCAGTGATTACTGAGCTTCAAGAAAAGCTATCGATCGTAATCATAGCACGCCTAGAACAAAAGTTGAAATTCTTGAATCCCGTATAATTATCACGTTTTTTGAAACTTTAAAAATTATTTAAAAATATTCCCAAGTCTCACGGCATCGAGACATATATCATTCGAATCGCCAGCTTCTGCTCTTTCGATACATATATATTTCCCTTTTGCGGCTTTCAAAAAATTTTTTGTGTCCGACCCTACTATAGATATAAAAATTACCGTAGTCAATGCCAATATCCATCATTGGTCGGCTTTTTCTTATAATTTCGTCATCTGTTGAGAACTCTTCATCTTATATAAGTTCTCGATTTATACCAACGAGGAAATCGCTAAAGAAATTCGAACTTTGCCTGATGAATCTGGTAAAGGAGGAAACTCATTTGCAAACGTCTCCATGCTTGTTCTAAATTTTCCCGAGCTTGGTTTTGGATACGCGTCGCCCAAAAATAATCGCCGAGCTGGAGATTTTCCTCGATCAGTTTTCTTCTTTGCTTTATTTTCTTCTCTGATTGCTGCTTCTTTTTGTGCTTCTGCATTTTCTCGTAGCCATGGGAAGGGATTGTCTTTGTCTTTTACTTTTCTTCGCGGCTTTTTGAAAATTGAAAATTCACTGTTTATGCTTTCGTCATAATTTGGCTCTGGAGTTTTTGTGATTCAACTGAATATTCGGAGAATTCTCTGTCGACATGTCTTGGAATCCCTTCTGCTAACTCTTCTTCTGGCTCGGGCGTTGGAGGAAGAGGGATGCCCCGCGTCGTTGTCGGTTTTTGGCGATCTCCGATGTTTTCGTACAAAATTGAATCTGGACAATCCTCATCTTCAAAAGACTTTCTAACTCGCTGGATCAACGATCGCTCTCGAGAATAACACTCTGATAAGCTGATGTTGTCGACGATCTTATTCTCGAGGCGGTAGACTTCTCGACGAATGTATCTTGTTCCTGTCGGCTTGAGAAGATCCTTGGAAATTTTGTGAAGAGTTCCGACATAAGAAGGCTTCATTGTCGTCATTTTTGTAATGAAAAAATTGGAGTTTTCTGTATCAGCTGCGGCGAGCTCCTGAGGCAGATTCGTCATTCGAGAGCTAAAAATATTCGATTTTTCTTAGAAATTTGAATTTTTTACCGAATATTAGCAGCAGTTGCTTTATGAAATTCGCCAGGAGGACAGTTTGTGACTATTTTCTCCTGCTGCAATTGACGATTCACAAGAGTTCGTGTGCCTGAATGCTCTTTTCGAGAGAGCAAGCTTCGCAGAAACAAGCTTTGCTCCCGCCAGTCCATCTCGATCCACTTTTCATGAGGGAGAGAAATCATCTCGGGCTCAATTTTCCCCGAATTCGGCTTCGCGTGGAGCTTTCGGAGAATGATGCCGATTAGGGTTGTGATGGCGGTGGTGATTCCAACGATTGTCCACATGAAGGGATACATTCCAGCGCCACCGTGAAGCTAAACTTGCTTTTCAGAAAACATAGAAGAGAATAGCTTACATTGAGGGTAGTTTGATCGGCCTTGTGAAAAGCCGACCACCAAGTCGGATCCCGGAGAAAAATGAACATGGTTATTATCATAAATGCGGTAAAAACTTCTTCAATCTTCGCCACGAGCATATTTTTGATGTCAATCGGATCCCAATTCGCATTATTCGACAAAGAAATTGTCGAAAAAAGTACCGTGGGGAAGTAAAAGTTGAGAAGAGTCTTCTCATACACCAGATTCGTCAGCTCAAGATTGAGCGGCTTCTCACGAATGTAAAGGAACCATGGCCCGAAATCTTTCGTTACCGCGAAATCTCCCCAAGCGAAGTCGATTCCATCGCGGATTTCGATCTTTTCAAGGCTTGATTTTCCATTTTTCTGTCGTTAAAAATCAAAATTCATTCCCCTTCCTGAGTAAGTTGGCCGATCATTTGCCCAGATTCAAAGTCGGCATTGTCCACGGCTATATCGACATCGCGTAGATGGCCGATATACTCGTGGAGCGCAAAAATCAAGTTGACTTGATTCTCGCCGGAGAGCAATTTTTCATAATCACGGAAACAAATCAACGCACTGTTGGCTTTCGTTCCGTTCAGGCGAATGTAAAAGTCGTACGGGGATGATGTCGTCTTTGGTAAATCGATGATTCTCATCTGCAATCGTTGTTAAAAGAATAAATTAAAAAAAAGTTTACCGAAATCATGAATGTCTGATGATTATCAGAGCACGCTTCTCCAGGCAATAGTAGAGTCTGCCTCTGTTTTCTTGCCAGCTGAAAGGTTTTCTTCTGCACATGATTGTGCAGGGCTGCAGCAAGGCCGATAAGGGCAAAGACTGCAAAACATGGCAGCCAAAATGTCATTTTCTCTCACAATGAAGATTTTTCTCCGTGGAAGTGAAAACAAGCTGGCCTTCTAGAAACCCACCTTCAAGGAGACAAGGAGGAAAAGAACACAAGGATGATTAAATGAGTATCGTTTATTCAAAGACTCTTATTTGTCAGGAATCTGTTGGTAGAAATCTAATGAAGACAGGATTTTACCGCGCATCTTTTCTTGGCTATCGGCGAGTTTCAATGCAGCTGCTGATTGTCTGCTTGAGTCGTTGACGATCTTTTCCATGACTTTCTCCAGATGACGGACTTTTCGCTGTGCTGCGTCTCGCTCTTTCTCAACCTGCACTGCTAGAATCAATTCTTAAACCGAAGCTACTGCAAAAAAATCTTACCATGAGCTTGCAGCTCACGAACAACCTTCCCAAGGCCCTCATCACTTCCCTTGAAATCAGTGGACAGTTTTTCCAACACCGAGATTTTATTCTTGAGACGTTTCTGCTCCGCTCGCCAATCCTTTCGCTCCTGCAACAGTTTTTCTTCTAAAGCGTCTTTTTCCGCTGTCAGGTTGATTATCATTTCTTCGTGTGTCGGTGGAGCTCTTTAATAAAAAATAACATAAAATGGATGTGAAATTAATTCAAACCTTCCACTCGGCTTTTTAGGGATTGGGGCTCCGTCTGGATGGACGTCAATATCTGGAGGAATGAGAAAACCATCGGGTGTATGAGTGGGATACATCATATTTTGCTGCTGCATATTCATTTCTTGTCTTTCGGGGACGACCTTGTACTGCCTGAAAAATACCAGTCAGAAAATAAATTACATGAAATCTTAACCTGTCCTTCGGATGCCCAGAAACTTCTGGTACCGGCCGCATTCCGATGGGGAAATCGAACTTTTCGTGGTTTCCGAACATTCCATTCTTCAGCGCGATTCCTTGCTGGCGTAGAGCGTCAAATGCTGGGTTGTCGTCATAGTAGCCTTCGGGTGCTTTCACGGAAGAAAGGGGGGTTCCGCAGAGATGAGACGGGATAGCTTCCTTCTTGTTGTTCTCTTTTGAGCTTTTCTTTTGGCGCGATCTGAACATTTTTGAAGAATGAAGATTCGATATTTGAAAACCGGTAAGAGATCTTGAATCAAGAATTAATATTGCTTCGTTTCTTTCTAGACCTGAGATAAGCCTGTCTCTTAGACAGCCCGCTTTATTACCTTTCTTTTTCGGAACCCTCATCGCGAAGTTTGAGACTTTCCATAGATCGACCAAGATTTTCATCCTCAATTCTTGTCACTGGAGGTCGCTTTGGCATCGCATGAACCATATTCGTTTGTTCGTCGTCTGAAATCATGTTTAGATGCTGGAAATCATGGAAGACTGACCCTCGTAAGATTGAAGCTGAAAGTTATTGTTGTTTTTGTCTTTTCGAAGAAAGCCAGTTTCTTCCAGGGGAATCTCCTTTTTTCGAAGTGGCTTTGCTTGGCATCCTTCTGAAGCATGAATACAAAATCCTTCGAAGCTCAATTTCGCTTCGCAATTTCCCATCGGACACTTGAATTTTATATGTTTGAGATGATCAACTTGTTTGAATCCGCTTCTGATGATTCTAAACTCGCAGCCATCAAGTCCACACTTTCCATTTCGTTTATCAACTGATCAGTCTTCATAAACTTTTGCTCGGCAAGAAAAACTCGTACAAAGGCTCATAGAATACTGTCCTTGGCATTTTTCACAAAGAAGCTTTTCACATAGTCGTCCAGTTTCGACGGGAGGTTCATCAGAGTAAGATTTTGTTGAGAATTTGTGGCTGAAAAGTCGACGCGGTATATTCCGGCAGTAGAAGCTTTTTGTGGGTCTCAAAAACTTGGTTTTACGTAATTATGTAATTATGGCGTTTAATTCTTATGAATTTGAGACGGGCGTGGCAGATGAACTTGGTATCAGCATCGGGAGAGCTTGATTTCTTGCAAACAAAGGCAGGTTCAATGCCTTTTGAGGATCTCTTTTTATGATAAAATAAATAAAATTTGAGTAAATAAAAAGTTTTAGTCTGATAGACGAACTACTTGTTTACGAAGTAATGAGGATCTTTCCTTGATTTCGTAACTGCCCAAGAAAAGCGCCGTTCATTTTCTCTGATAGAGAAATCTCCGTATTTGTAGGAAATAACTCGCGCAGGGGAAATATCAGCTCTGAATGTCTCTTGCTTGTTTTTAGCGAATCCGCTCGGTGCGAAATGAGTAACTCGGCTCTGGTCTGATCTTTCCCTTCGTATCTGCTCCAGCGATAAATATTCGTTCTCGAAACTTTTTTGAAGGGAAATGTCCTGCTTGTTCTGGAGACGTTCCGTTTGCTCAAAGAAGGGAAAACTAAAATCGTTTGTCATTTTCATTTTATCAAAAAACATTAATGCATTATGTAACATAAAAGTCTATATAATTAAGGGATCACCCCCCGATTTTTCAAAACTTTGGCACAGCTCATTTTCGCCTATCATTAGATTCCTCGTGTTCTGAGGATCATTTTGATATATTATAGTACCCCTCTACATAAATGCGTCCCAAAAATTTTGGCCTCCAAAGTTTGGGAAAATGCATGTAATTTGTACTTAGCGTGAAAATCGCGATTATTTTCAATTTTTCATCGTTATCAAAAGAGGACAAGTTAGGGGTTGATCGAAAGCTTAGAATGTGCTGATTACGAATATGATATCCGCACTAGAATCTTCGGCTATTTGTTGGCGCTAGAGAGCATTTAACCACAAAAAAAATGCCAAAAATGGCTCCAAAAAGTTCTACAACTAGGAAAATTTTTTTCACTCATCCAATTATGCTGGTTCTACCAGAATATTAAGTTTAGGCTCTGAGCTATCTATAGAAGCAAAAATATTGGTGATTAAAAAGCCCCAAAAAAAGTAGATACGATTTGAAAATGGTCAAAAATAGCCATTTTCGCCAACTTTAATCACTTTGACGGCCTGTAATGCATAAGCGAATGTTATGCTGGCAAGCTGATTCTACCAGAATTTGCTCCTTTTAAAGCGGGCTTTCTAATGCGCCTAACACCAGCTTCCTACGTAAGCTCAAAAAAAAGTAGATAGAGGTCAAAGTTGGCGAAATCAGGGGGGGATCCCTTAAGCCGGTTCTCTAGAAGACCGGAGACCTTTCAAAGATAGTGTTGTTAGTCGATATGGTTTGCCGACAGTTTTATAATTTTGGCTCTCCGAAGGTTGATGGTGAAAATCCTCCCTGGACCTGAAAAATCTGCGTCCGATAAAAAGCTCTACCGAGCCATTGAGCTTGATAATGGCTTACTCGCACTTTTGGTTTCGGAAGTGGACATTGATGCTTCGAGTATGAATGCTCAGAGCTTTGTTAGTCAGAGGTAAACGATACGAGATACAGTAGCTGATATTAATCTGATTATTCAGTACCTGTGTAAGTTCTATGGGAAGCGAGCAAGAAGAGGACGGAGGTTCAGATTGGGAAGATTGTGATGATGATGAAGAGGAAGATAAGTGTCGAAAAATGGCCGCTGCTTCGATGGTAGTCAACGTTGGAAGCTTTCACGAAAAGGCCGAGTGCCAAGGACTTGCACATATTTGCGAACATATGGTTTCTATGGGCTCTACAAAATATCCAGATGAAAATGAGCTCGAACAGCTTCTCGCTCGAAATTCAGGGGATTCTAATGCTTTCACTGAGGCGGAATATACGAATTATCATTTTGAGGTGGCTCCGGATAAGTTTCAAGAAGCACTAGACATCTGGGCACATTATTTTATCGACCCGTTGATGAAGGAAGAATCTATAGAACGCGAAGGAATCAGATATAAAATTATGCAACCAAGAACTATAATAAATTTTTATATCCAAAAAAGTCACTGCAGTGCACTCAGAATTTGAAGTCAGTAAAATGGATGACGATTGCCGCAGAGAACAGATTTTACAAGAAGCGATTTTGAAAAAAGACCATCCGCAAAGTAATTTCAACTGGGGAAACAAAAAGAGCCTGATTGAAGATCCGAGAGAAATCGGCAAGTCTGCCTTTGAAATGCTTCACGAATGGTTTCCCCGAAATTATTCGTCAAAATTTATGAAACTCGCTCTTCAGGAAAGGATAAAATCATCGAATTCGAGAGTAAATTTTCAATGTTCTAAGCAGGGTTCGGTAATTTGAGCTCACGCTAAAACTCAAGGAAACAAAGCTTGAGAGTCTCTCAAGTTGAGACTCACGTTTTTTAATTTGAGTTTTGAGAACTCAGAGATGAGAGCTCGCGTGAGAAATCAATTCTGGCGATCCATGAGCCAATCAAGGAAGCGCTCGCTTAATTTGAGTTTTGAAAACTCAAAACTCTCAAATCTCCCAAAAACTCAAAACTCTCAAATCTTCTCAAAATGATTTCTCAAGTCACTTTGAGTTCTCAATTTGAGGAAATTTGAGCGTCTAGCCAAAATGAGTTTTAGCTTGAGCTCAAATTACCGAACCCTGGTTCTAAGCCTGAAATAGAGCCCTCATTCACTCGATGACATGCAACAGTGGGTTGAAGACATTTTTTCACAAATCCCTACTCGCGATCTTACTACCCCCTTGGACGAACCGGACTGGTCGATCGGTTCCGCATACGAAGATCAGAATGTTTCTAAGCTGATAAAGTACGTTCCCGTTGCCGATGGAAACTTGATGGATATCATTTGGAGTATTCCACCTCAAATTGATCTTCATAGAATCAAGCCGCTCAAGTTCTACAGCTGGCTTCTCAAACATCGTGGAAAAGGAATGGTGACTTTCGTTATTTATCAAACCTTTTGTATTTAAATAATCGTATTTCATGTCATCAATGGTAAGGTTCTTTCTTGTACTATCTCAAGCAAAACGACTGGGCTAATGACCTGAAAGAGATCGAAATCGAAGAAAACAAGTTCCATTCTCGCATTCGAATACAACTCCGTCTTACAGAATCCGGTCTCGCCAATTGGGAACAAGTCGTTCAGGCAATCTTCAGTTATCTTGCTTTGGTTAGAGCGCAGCCAGAAGTAGAAAAGGCGCGTATTTTCGAAGAAATTAAAGCCGTTGATAATATTGGCTGGAACAGCAAGGAAGAAGGAGAGCCCCTTGCTAACTGTACCGATATTGTCGAAACAATGCAGTACATTGATGATTCTACCAGGTGGCTCGATGGCGACTACATATTGTTCGACTACGATTCTGAGAAACTCGATGAAGTTCTTGAATATCTTGCACCAGAAAGATGCACCTTGATTTTGAGCTCTAAGAAATTCGAAAATGCGACTGAACACGAGGAGAAATGGATGGGCGGGAAATACTCGATCGAAGATTTGAATGAAGCAACAATAGCCAGCTGGAAACAAAGTGAGCCTCTTAGGAAGGGATTGAAACAGAATGAACAGTGCGGGTGGTACTGTCTACTTTTTCCTTCCAGGGAAAGTGAGTTCTCCATTCCATCGTCGAACAAGTATCTTGCTACCGATCTGACGATCAAAGACGACGAGCCGAGTACTGACTGGGACGCAATTCAGAAAATCGAGCACACAGAATATGGAGAGCTTTGGTTCAAAGGAGAAGGCGATTCAAATCTTCCTCGAGCAACTATCTCACTTTTAGTACGATCGAGTCTGCCGTTTGAGGGCGCTAGAAACATGGCGATTCATGAATTCTTCCCGTATATTCTCACTCGAACAATGGATGACGAAATAAGTGATGCTGAGATAGCCCTTCTCACTATCGAAATCAAACCAGATACGAACACGGTCAACCTGAAACTCACAGGAATAAACGACAAACTAAGGCTGGTTTCTAATGCTAGTTTTTCATGAAAATAAAATTTTTTTAACCAGAAAAGCTTGCTACTCGAAGAAACAATTCGCCAAATGATGAACTTTCAGCCATCGCAATCTGAATTTGACTCGATCAAAGCTCAATTTCTTCAAGATTACAAGACAAAAATTCAAAACCCGGAGGATCTTTCAGAAGATTTGAAAATGTCATTCCTCAAGAGCACGAATTTTCCTCTCATCGAGAGAATAAAGGCTCTCGAATCAGTTACTCTTGAGGAGTTGATCGAGTTCGTTAAATCATACAGGAAAAGATTGATATACAAGCGCGGATATAAACCATTAATCTCCAATAAAAAGCCTTCATAGTTTCTGATCTCTAAAAAGAAACGATTACTTCCTCTCATTTCAAATCCAAGGAAACTACTACATCAAAGAAGCAAGAAAGATTTTTCATCGAGTTATGGAACAGTTCACAGGTATCCCAGAAAGCAAAAGCCGCGTGTTCTTAGATCTTTTAGGTCAAAAACCGGTTTTCCAGATCATTAGATCTTTCCTCAAAAACTTCGGCTCAAAGAATCAAAACATTGAACCACATCGCCTCACAAGACGATTCTCAAAAATCCTTCAAGTTCCTGATAAGCCGTCAGTCATCATCACCAAAAATGTCAACCCAACTGATGTCAACACAAGCTACAACATCCACTGGCACGTCGGTCATGTCACCATCAAAGAATGCATAAAAAATCAACTCTTGGTCACGATTCTTGAAGAGCCATGCTTCGATATTCTCAGAACAAAGAAGTGTCTTGGATATTCAGTGGATATTCAACTTGAAATCATCTCTGGGATGGTTGGCATCGGCATATCCATCGTTTCTCAACAAGATAAATTTTCTGTCAAAGAAATTCATGGTCACGTCCTTGATTTTATCAAGGAGATGGAAGAGTTCGTTAATAACTTGTCGGATGAAAAGTTCAACGGTAAGAATACCTGATGCGTTTTTTACCTTCCAACCCCCGATTTAAGAGCATCGAGAAGGTCTTCTCTACGCAAAACACAGCTCTGATGAAGATTTCGAAGACTGGAACGCAGAAATCGCCAAGGGCGAATACCGATTCGACAGAGTCGATTTTGAAGTCTCTTACCTCAAACAAATCACAAAAGAAGAAATCGCCGGCGTTTTCAAAACAAGCATTACTGAGAACAAAAAGATAGTCCTCGTTGTTGTCGAAGGAAACGAATCGAACAGGACGAGTTCAGGACAAGAGCTGAGTCTGGAACATGTTCCAGCGGAAGATTTCTTTGAAGAATTCGAGCAAATTGAAAATATTGAGGAAGCAAGAGCACGATTTGGCTTTTTTGACCCAACATATATAAATATTAATGAGTGAGCATATTTTACTGCTTTTGTAATAAAACTTAATAAAAATGATTGATTGAATGTTTTGAGGAGTCTTTCGGCGTTATGTAGTAACGGGATACGTCTGAAACATAAATCGTTCTATTGTCACTCCTTATGAAATCCTTCCTGCGCGGATACGGTTACATTTGATTATTTACGGGCAGCTTTAACGATTGAGTTTCTTCATCGGCCTCCGGTTTGATTACGAAGTCAAGTATTAAAAGGAAGAAACGCAGTATAGTGACGTTTTTTATGACTTGATCTGCAATTAACATCATGAAAGAGAGAACTGAATGAAGAGAAAAATATGTTTCTACAGTAAGTTTGGAGAGATTTTCCTGGGGTTTCATCACAATAAACACGCGTAATCGTAACATTCTTTGGCATTTCGTTCTCTGTACCGGACCGGTTCCAAACTAAACAATGCTCTTGTAACTCCAAATACAAATGTAAACAAACAAACTTTCACTTTGGTAAATTTGACATCTTCAAAGTTTTTACTTTTTGACGTTCTAAAGAGAGATTTAAGAAGTACTGCAAGAAAGGAGGAGCGTAATGGTCTCGGCTATTTTGCTCTTTGTTGTCTTCAGGGATTGGGTTTTTGAAAGTTCATGGCGCCAAGCCAGATTGGAATAGAGAGCTTCTAAGAAAAACAAACAACAAAGTTCAAATTTTGAGAAAATTCAAAAACTTGATTTCTCTGTTTTTTACTTGATTTTCATTTCAAATAATTTTTTCAAATTTCGAAAGCTCAATAAAGTACTGTTACACAGGCAGAATTCATCTTCTTTGGCACCAATTTATGGCACAAAGATGATGTCACTGGCAAAGAAAAAACCATTCCTTTGAATTATGCTGAGCGAAGATACAACTCTGACAACATGGAGGAAGTCAATGAATATATTCTGAACAATGTGTCGCCTTATGATCGCGCCTATGTTTCTTCCAATCTTGAACCAACGACGATTATTCGAGAAGAGATTAGGCAAAGCTAATATTTATCCATATCTTTAGCAATAGAATCTGCTCCTGGTTCTACTGATACTGATTTTCTTGATTTTAAAAATAAGATGAAGTTAAACTTTACAAAAGGGATAAAGCGTATTATGACGACAAGTTGCTGGAGCATGCGTGTCCGATGGAAATTCGAAGGGTAATTATTAATTACTAATTAATATCACACGCTTGTTCGTGTGATCTTTTCAACGAAATTTCTAGAGCACTCAAACATTGAGGAACCGTGTACCAGATATCATCGGTATTGGCTTCGCCAAGTGTGGCACTGGGGCGTTGGCGTTTTTGGATTGTCATCCATCTGGTAAGCACAGTTTTGTAAACAGCACCTAATGACTTTTTATGCAGCGACTTTTCGCACGAATGAACCTCGATTTTTCGACAAAGAGTCGGTCCTGGACGACATCATCAATGCCAACAAGACCGGCAACGTCGCTGCACTTGACCGACATCGAAAAATTTACGCTTCTCGCCTCCCGAGAGCTGCTGATGATGAGCTTTTGATTGAGAAATCGCCACAATACGCTGGAGGAAAAGACTATATTCGAAAAAAGCGAGCCTTGGCAATGAAGATCATCAATCCAAACGTCAAGCTCGTGGCGATCGTTTGTGACCCTGTCAAACGAGCGTATTCTCAGCTTCGGTACGGTATCGATGATTTCCTAACCAACATTTTAATCTCCTAATTTCAGGATGAAAGCAAGGAGAACTGCAGTCACAGGGTTTTAACTTCGTAAATTGCTACTAAGTATTCCATGTTTTACAAAGTAAAATGTATCATTATAAAGTGTACTTCAAATCGGGCGTATTAGAAAAGCTCGTTACAAAGATGGAAAATAAGCTGGAAAATAAACGATTCGTATTTTGTGTCAATATGCGCGTATATATTTCCAGTTCTAGTGAAAACCACAGGATACGATACAACAAGAAAATAAACATTTTCAATGGCAACGGGAAATTCGTTTAATTACTGCGCAAAAAGCAAAAGAAACTCTCGAAGTTTTAGAAATTTAAAAAGTATTTTCAAAGTGATCACCCTAAGCAGACAGAACATCGCGACTAGAAGAAGGCGAAAAGCTCCACTGTAAAAGCTGTCTTTCTGGGCCCCTTGATAAGGTTAAAACGTTTCTTCGGAAAACCGACTACGTACGCTCTCTTTCAGGCGATTCTTCACTTCACGAAAACGCTGGACCGTCTCTACGAGAACGGACACGAGTCTGGCTTTGCTTCTTACGCGCCTTACCTGGCTCCTTATCTCGAGGTTTTCGGGTTCGTTTACTTTATCCGCTTTTAATCCCAGCGGGGACGACTGTTTAGACCAGAGAACGTGTATGTTGGCGATGGAGAAAACATGATCAGTAATCCTAACTATGAATGGGGCAAGCTCATGGATTTCTTGCGCATCGAAAAAGATTACTTCAAGTTCTTTGTACCGGAAGAAAAGGGCTTTCCTTGCTTGGAGATGCCCATCCGCCACTGTTTAAACGCTGCTAAGGGTACCCTTCGGAAGCATTTCTAACATGTTACGAGTTCTTTTCAGGAACTTCGCGAAAAACGCCTGTCCGGGAAGTCTACCCTGCTCAAACTGCCAAATGGGAACGGACCTTCACGCGTTCCATCAAAAACATGATCATTGAGCTAAATATTTGTGAATCTATTAATTCGCACTGCTGTTCTTTGCTCGCTGATGAGAGTAACTCGTACTCGTGGGCGCACGATTATGTCTGCTAGAATAATAAATTTTATTTTATTTACAAGTGACGATCGTCATCTCTTATCGCAGTCTCTTTTGTTTGTCACTAGCATACTTATAGATGCGTTTCTATTTACAATATTTAATTTTGAGATCAAATTTTCCTACCAACGCTCAGTATTAGGAATCGAGCGTTCGTATATAAAATTGGAAGAGAAAAGTGGCAAAACAAAATCAAAATAATGAGTTGGACACGCTTACCCGAAATTCCCAAAATAAGTGGGAATCGTAATGTTGTAACGCTCAATGGCGGCATAAATATAAATCAGGCTGGAGCTTCATCGACTCTACCCGAAATCGTCAGTAAGTTGAGTGGAAACCAGAATGTTCTCACGATAAATGGTGGAATAAATATATATAATACTGGAACACAGTCAATTTTGCCGGGAATCGTCAATAGATCAAGTGGGAATCAAAATACTGTAACTGTCAATGGTGGCATAAATATCAATAATGGAAAAATAGATATGCTCCGCCCTCCAACAGGTCAAATCATGGAAGTGCAATCATCAGAGTTAAATGATCATCAAGAAAATGCTAATTTGAAAGCTGAACTGGCGAAAATCAAATCTGAAAATCAGACATTGAAAAATGGAGTTCAAAATTTGAATGGAGTTATAAGAGGACACGCAAAAACCATCGCTTATCTGAGAAATCTACGACAAGAATATGAAACAAAAATTGAGGATTATGAAAGAAAATTACAGCAATATTCAAAATTTGATGAAAAAATCGAACGCAAAAATTTTGAGATTAAAAATCTTCAAAAACGCATAGAAAATCTTGAAGCTGAGCTGGAAAATCATCAAATTGAAAATGATGAAAGATGCCTCTGTCAAATTTGTTTAGAGTTGGTTAAAACGCAAAAATCAATCTGAAGACAAATTTTTTAGAGAATACGATTCAATGGATCACTGTTCTACAGCTCTTACAACTTGTGGACATGTTTTTGGAAGTTCCTGTCTTGAGCATATCATAAGGTTTCATTTAATATTTGGTCAATTTATATTTCGTTCTATTCTATTGACATGAATATATAATTAGATCACATGATTTTCGATGAAAAATATTTATAGAAATCAATCCAGATGTCCAATTTGCAACAGAAGAGCCGGGCTCGACAATTTTCTCAATATTTACTTGGTTTGAGAACTGTATAGAAAAATTTATTTATTTGAGCGGTAAACATATTCATTATAACCTTTGAAAAAACTGTCAGTTTGTAATATTATTTATTAATGCAGATTTACAGAAAGAGAGAAGTGAACTTTATAGAATTGAAGTGGATTGAAACTTTTGGTACTCTTCGTACCAGTATCTTTTTCATTACTGTACTTGTGGTTTTCGTTGAATCTTTTTTTTGTCTTCCATACTTACCGGAAGTGATTATTACTGTATTCGTGAAGATAGTGCGCTTTGTGGTAAACGAGAAGAACATTCCCCCTCGGAATGAGAAAATACCGACTTAGGGATTTTATATTTACAAAGTAACGGTCCGGGATTGATAATTCTGAAATAATGATAGGCTCGTAACTAGCTCGTAAGTGACGAGGAAAAGTACATTCTCCAGCCGTTGAAATTGGTTAAATTAGGGCTCGAAATGAGGCTCGTCAAAAGATTTGTAGTAGCTTATTAGATTCGGGTCCGGGTTGTATAATTTATCCGCCTCGTAATTGATCGAGGGGAGTAAGAACGCGCAGCTCAGGCCGATGCAACAATGCCACAATGTATGAGTCCAGAAATAGTTTCCATTTGGATGGTGGCCTTCTTTTTCGAACACCAATTTCGAGAGAAAACCTCCAGCGGCAAAAAGGCAGCCAGGAAGAATGTGGCACCACCAGGCACTCTTCGGCGGGTAGCAGTCGCGCCGCTGCTTGCATTGGTAACACCAGTGAAAGAAGATGATCACAAGGCCGAGAATTATGGGAGTTGCATAGAGCCAGCCAGAGAAGCGGTTGAAATGGGCGCCGACAGCGAAACAGAACATGCCAACTGTGTGGAGGAAGGAAACCCATCGATCGGGAAGGTCGGCAACGCAGAGAACAGTCGCCCAGATCTAGAATTAAATTATTAAAACAAGCAGAACATAGTCATCTCGATAGCGCTCTCGATGTAAAATAATACAGACACGTTTTTAACGAGGACTCTTTCCGGCAAGAGCAGCTGAAAGTCGAGGACGACGTTCTTTGTCAAACAAATTTGATAAGCACTCCGAAATGTTTATGCCATATTAAAAACTCTAAAAAAGATGTCTACGCGTACATATCCATAAAATTTCTCAGAACAAAGAAACACGTTTAAATTTTCGCATTCCTCATTCATTTCGGAATTTTTCTTGTGAGTCGCAGTTCGCCCAAAAAATCTCGCACGTTCTATTGTTTCGCATACCGCACGGGTCCAAATGACCGTCGAATTCGTGCGTTTCCATGGCCGAGTATGGGAATGATAATAGTAATGTTCGATGAAAGAAGACAGCGAAATGAAGTTGGTTACGCGGTGAGGCCGGTCAGTTACTGTTTGACAACGCTGGCGTGTGTGACCTGGCGGTCATTATTCGTGATCTGACAGCTAATTTTCTCACGGCTGGATCAGAAAAGATTACCTCCAGAAGCCGGGAAAATCTCCTGACTGCCCTTTTGGGTTGAAATTACAGATTTGCAACGCCTTACAACATTTTTGTCCACCCAGCATTTTATCTCACGCAAAAAGAACTGTGTTTTGATTTTTTACTGTAGCGCTTCAAACGAGCAATTATTGTTAAACGCAAATTTGAGAGATTTTTAATTGAAAATAATTTCCCGCGCCGATAAGCCTCTCATTCTGAGGCTGCACTCTTAAATTCTTGAGTTTCGCTGATAAGAAAAAGCACAGAAAACTGCTACAAATAGCTATCCATAAGTGGACATGGCTTACCGCAGCGGTCGAAGCGACGAAGTCCGAAAACTGGAGTGTATCGTAATCAGCGATGCAGAAGTACTTCTGAGTGGAGAACTGATCGCATGCGTGATACATTGTACTGCATCCCATGGCGATTGTAAAAAGGAACGCTTCCTGCCAGTAACGTCGGTGGACAGCGATGAATATGGCTTTTAACAGGCTGATCACGTGTTAATAACTCCGTGGCAAGGAGACAACGATCACGTTACTGCTGTCACGCTCATGCTTATGTTGATAATTGTAAAGTAGAAAGCGTGATAAGCCCGTCCCTGGAAGAAAAAACAGATTCGATAAGGTGAGGAGCAGCAGTTCCAAAAGTTGGGTGGAGATTTCCATTGCTTCTGTCGAATCGGAGCAAGCGACTCCTTTGTATCCTTAACTCTTGGTTAGATAAAGCTCTTAAGATTTCAATTTGTGGGAGAGAGGGATGAAAATTATTTGAATTCAAAGGAAAATTTAATTTCAAAAGTGGAATTCATAGTCTAAAAAATCAAAATTTATAAATCCTGGAAAGCTGTGTTTGAACTAGGGATTCAAATGATTCGGGCAACGTGAGGCGGAAATTTCAAACAACACGAAGAAACTTTGAATCAAAACGAGAGCTTGTTAATCCCTTTATTCCCTTCTAGGTAAATATTTGCTCCGTCCGGTCAGAATGTTATGAGATCCTCTGCTTCCAGACTTCCGCTCCTTCACTTTTTTTAAGTTTCGGAAATTCCGAAATTCGCATCTGGAAGAGAGAGAGAGAGAGCTAGAATCTCAAAGAAGTTGTATAAAAGGAAGTGCTCCAAAAGCAGCGATAATAAACACCTGGCGTCTTCGAGCGCGATTTTTCGAAGGTTTATTTGAAACTAGGTTCAAACAAAAATTATCACGGCTAAAACAAATGCTCACGTTCAAGCCACTTATTACTGCATTATAGAGCCAGGAAAAGATGCCTCTCTAATGAGCCAATTACGAGTTTGAACCCTCTAAGGCCTTTCCTATTCTTTAAAAATTTGAAAAACGTGCGGCAGTACTTCCCTACCCCTCGGTTGAAGAAAACCGCAACTATTTGCTATGGACGTGTTTTATTTGTAACGAAAATAAAACGGCAACGAGTGAGGGTCAGGATCAGGGTTCTAAACGGACATGTCCGTGTACGGATTTTATCCGTGTCTGTCCGGTCTTGTCCGTACGGACAGACTAGACTTTTAGTCTATTGGTTGAGGAAAAAACGGACAGCCTAGACCGGACTTTTGTCACGATCCGGACGAAATCCGTATTTGTCCGTATTTGTCCGTGAAATCCGGACAAACCTAGACTTTTGTCCGTGTCTGTAAAATCCGGGCAGAATCCGAAAAAATCCGTAAAAAAGCACGATTTGAGTTCGAATTCGTTTCAAAAAAGCCTGAACCAACGTCATTGTTTGATAAAATAAGCCAGGTTTTCAGTTTAAAATTTAAAAATATCAAAATTATTCGAAAATATCGATGATAACTTTTAATTGATATGTCTTTCTGATGGTGCGAAGCTGGAACTTTGAGGACCGAGTCTCATTGAAGGAAAATTGGTTAAATTAAGAAATTCTTAATATTACCTTATTATATTCTATATTAGGTCCTTCATTATTCCGCTAATTCATTGCGAGTCCTAAATTGGGACTTTCAGCACAGCAATTTTCGGAAAAAGCCAGCTCAACGTATTGAGGGGTCAGCGGTCGGGCTAGCCCGCTCAGTTATTCAGCTCGATCATTTTGAGAGAACTCAGCTCAGACTAATGATTTTCTTCATAAAGCCAGCTAAGGTCAGCTTGGATAACACCAGCTGACATTAAGAAAACGCAAGTTGAGCTCAGTTTCCCAAATTTTCATACTGCTTAGCTCAGCTTTGAGAAATTTTCTTTTAGGTCAGCTTCAAAAAGGTCCTAGCTATAAAAATCGTTGTGAAAGTTCTAGTTAGACACCTTCAAAAAGACTATTCTCTAACTTGAGAAAATCACTTCATATTTCTCTCTTCAAATAAATTTCTATCAACTCTGAGACGAGCTGATGCTGAGCTAAGCTAGAAATTTTATGAAGTCTTTGGGCTGAGCCTATCCTCTTCCGAAAAAATAGCAATAAACTTGCGACTCTTGTCCCAGGCAAGTCCCTTGATTTTCTTATATTGGCTTGAAAAGAACTCGATATTTCGATGTATTCTCTGCCGAATTTATTTCTCAAAGATTTTTTTTTGGTCCTGTCCGGTTTATTTCTATAAAAATTAGTTTTTTACCCTTGGAATTTTACGGACATTTACGGACAAGACTTTTTAGACCAGACTTTTTCTTTAAAAAAAAATGTGTCCGGATTTTACGGACAAAAACGGACAAAACGGACATGTCCGGGACTAGACCGGACAAAAATCCGTTTTTTCGATCCGGACACGGATAGACTAGACTTGGGATTTTCGCGGAGGACACGGACACGGACAGACTAGACTTTTAGATTTTGCCTCAAATTTAGAACCCTGGTCAGGATGATAAGCTCGTTTGAAGAATTTCTATTTGATCAATTTCATCTCACGATGTTATCGCTTGTTAAAATGTTAATTGAAAAAGTGTTTGATTTTTTCCTCGGAGCATGAAAATATTTAACTTTAGGACATCGTATCATTTGACTTGCTAATTCGTCTCTAGAAATAATGGCTCTGTCATTAATACCGCGATTAATAATTTTCCACATGAAAAAAGCCTTTCAGTCGAGATAGTCGAATAAGTTGTAAATGAGGTATTCGGGCGGGTGTTGCTATTTTCCGAGACGCGCTAATGTATGCACGTCTCTGTGGTCGCCTTTTTCAGCAGGATCGGTTTTGCAAAAATTTGCTCAAGTGGCGGTGGAGTTGTACTAATTAGCCGCTGCGCGATGAAAAAATATGCATGTAAAGAACGTGTGCGGGGAGATGCAGCAGCAGCTTTGCAGATTCGTCAAGAAAGAAGGATAAGGTGGGATTCGGAAGATGAAGTTTATCATTTTGATCTCGTTAAAATTTCATCAAGTGGGATTAATCAAGAGTATCCTTCCACTGCGGGAAGTGAACTGATCTGTACGAAGGAGAGTCAGTTTGATTTTTTCTTTCGAAAATTAAGCTACAGTAGGAATTTTCGTAAAACTTGTTCTTGAAAAGAACGTCACTTGTAACGAAGGTTTCGTAAAGTGAGACGATAATTTTCTTAAAAAATATGACACGTGACTTTTTGAAAGCAGATGGAGGTAACCAGCAAAAGACTTTGATGGATTTCTCTCGGGTAACTCAGGGTTCTATGAAGAGGATAATGAAGGGCTTTTATCGTGAGCTGTTTTGAATAGAGCATAAGTTGATGGTAATGCGGGTCTTAGCGGTGCTACTTGCGTAATGGCCATGTTGTTGAGAAAATAATAATCTTGCAATTTACTTTGCATCAGATCTGAATGCAACAAAAGGGCAAGAATTTATCTGATTTGAGGTTTTCGTAAGAATCTATCAACAGATCATCCTGAGGATGAATTTAGCTAACCAAGATAAGCATTCACGAATTCTGAACGCATAATAACCCCTCTCGTGGCCGCCTCCCCACTTCCAAATCCGCCGAGTCGGAAGTGCTGCCTTCCTTCTCATTTCAGTAAATGTAAAAAGAGCGCTTCGAAGATAGCATTTTTCCCGTCTCAAGTCGACGTATTAGAAGTTTCCTAAAGTTTCGCAGCGGCCCAGGTGTGCCCAGCTGCTTGTGAACCAACGGCTCAAAATGAATCCTTATCGGAACTTTGTCTCACTCTCCGCGTCCGATTCATGCACGTGTCACTTTTCGACGTGTTACGGGTAATCGTGTTTATCATGAACCGGCGATTATTTTCATAAACTTGTGTTCATTTTAAGAAATTATTAGAGATAAATTGTGGCCAAAACGGCGATTAAATAACCAAACAAAATTGACCTTCTCGATCATAAATTAATCGCTTCATAATAAACAGCTATTTTCATCATTTTCCAGAGATGATTATTTTTCATAACATTCACAGAAAAAGGCAATCTTAAAAAGGGGGTAGTGTCAGGAACCGACAAAGAAATTTCGACAAATTTTGCATGGAAATTTTCAACCAATCAGAAGCCCGGATCCGGCTAACCTGCCAATCAGCAACCGAGTAGCCGCCAACGCGAAATTTGTCGAAATTTTTTTTGTCTGTTCCTGACGCTACCCCCTTAAAAACCTACAAAAAAACGGTAGAAGAAAAATTTCATTATTCTCTCCCACGGTTGTCAATTTCGCCAGATGCGATGATTTTCTATTCCTTCTTATTATCATTTCTCAAAGTACAAACCTGCTTTGCACTTGCAAGTGCTTAGCAAAACTGCTCCTTCTGTAAAGTACGTTTTGCAGCTTCCACGGCCGTCTAGTTCCCCACAGTTTTCAGGACAACCGGCGATCGTTACATTCAATCCAGCGTTGTTCAAATCGTTTGATTCAAGAGTTCCATTTTGACAAGCGACATCAGATGCTCGCAGAAACCAGATGCCAGGAGTTGGCATCGACACGTAAAGAGACTTGCTTGGGTTTTGACATGAGAAAATGAAGCGCTAGAATTATCGCGGATTTAGAAAACCAAAATGACGGCTTTTTGTGAACCAAATAAAACCACAAAGAATCAACCAACAAGCGTTCTGCTCGACAAAGATTCACAAACTTTTATTTACGAAAACTCAGCAGAAACAGAAAAAAAGCCAATTGAAAAATTGGATTTCACTGTTTTGAAAATATTATTTCAACAACTTGGCAATATTTGGCTGCTTAGACGGCCACTTCGCCCGATGCAGTTTTTTTTGTCGGGATGAAAATTGGTAACTAAGGACTCTTAATTACCCAGTCCAGTTCTATTGTTTACGCTCTTTTTCTAAACTGGAGGAAATAGTAGTAAGGGCGTCTTGTAAAAAGAAGAAACGGGAGTTCTTTAAGTTGATCGACCATTTTGACACTTCTGTCGGCTCGCTTATGTCAAAATCCCTTCCTTTCCACTTTCTAGCGTCACATCTTCTGGGCAGGATTCGTCGGGAGCCTGGTTAAGACAAACTGAGTAGGTTGAGTTGGCAGAGCGGATTTGGATTGTTGCGCCGACGTCAAAGACTTCATCGACTTTGAAGTAGAATTGATTCTTGCAGGTCACTTTTACGCCATTCTCCGGAGCAGAAACTGAAAAGAATAATCAGCACTTAGAATTTTAGAGAAATAAAAACCATAAAAATGCATTTTCTTTTCACCGTTTGTCTTTTATTATGTACATTGATTGTGATCAAATAGATAAATTCCTTTTAGCCATTGAAATATCAAATGTCCCCTTCCCAATAATACAAAACTTTGTAGAAAAGTTGCCAAGCCGAGAAATGTAGAACTCTACTAGAACTAACTTCGGCAAAGCAAAAATAATGCTAAACCGATGCGGGTCCACGACGATTTCCTTCCCCTAAACAAGCAAATCCTTCCAGCTCAGAGAGGCGTGGTGTTGTCGAAAAATATTTTCCTTCAAACCAGAAATCCCTTTCCTCCCTTTTTTCCCACAACGCTGAAAATTTCATTAAATTTCTTTCCTTATTAAATTTCAGATATTCGATTTTTTTTTTCATCAAATTTGATTTTACAAAGAGGTACACCTTTTTCGTGATTGAATTATTTCCAAAGTTTTTGTTAGAAGGAAGCTGTCCGCAGCGGATTTTTATCACTCGGAAGCGCATAACAACGAAAATGAATATTTGCCAGTTCAGAAATTTTAGAAGCGCTTTCCACTTTGTCCGAATTCAAGCTGTTTTAGATAGATATGCGTTTTGGAAAAACAACTCGAGGGAGGGACCTTTTTATCTTATTGACAGGGGTTTATCATAAGTCTTCTGAAAGAAATTCTAAAAGAAAAAATATAAGTTGTCCGGAAATTCAATTAAAACCAAAAGCCTCATTTCAAAGACACCTTGAAATGGCAGTAAACGTGTGGAGAATGTTGTGCGGGAAGCTCGAAAACCGCCGCCAACGGAGGCCATAGCCGCTTGTAACCGAAAACTCCGCTGTGGCAGGGAGCCTCTTGTTTACGATGAGCCAAAGCCCTTGTTAAAAGCTGCTTCGTGAACGGCATCACTCGTATTTACAAGTTTCTGTCGAGTCAAGTTCTATTTTGGACAGAGAAGATTAGGTACACCTGCTTTTTTTTCTAGCGACTGAAAAATTCAAAAGTCAGCCACGTCTTAATTCTCAAGTTCGCGAATTGGATTAGGCGCGCTTTTGAACGAGCCAAAACGGACCTTTGCTTTTTCAATTTTTCGAAATAGCGCGCTTCGGAACGCTTTTAATGGTCAATTAAGGGAATTAAACAGAACTAAAAATTTCGATCGAAGCGGCGGCTCCGAGAGATGCGACGTTTATTAAGACAATAAACGCATTTCCAGCTAGTCTTTTTTATCAGTGAGTTGATGAATTCGCTGTAAGATCAAATAGCATCGACCCGAAATAACACTTTCCGAAAACACACGTTCTGTATTTTGGTATTTGAAAAGTAAGGGGTTTCGGCGCGAAATGTTGCGCGGAAACGTGTGCCCGAATCGAAAATTGCCTGTTTCTTTACTATCAACACTTGAGCCCGCATACTTTTATTCTTACGATAGAAAGAGTGAGCTATAGCTAACTCTTTTTGGTAATTATTACTTTTCAAAAGAGTCTTTTTCGCTGCTCAAAAAGGTTTTTTTCTTGACAAACTTAAAAACCAGAACTCTATTTTACGAAGTTTTCTACTGGATTTTTCTAAATGTTATACTGACGTAGTTTTATTTATTTCACCTTGATCAGTTTGGCAAGTAACGCACATGTTATAACCCGTTTGAAAGTGATTTACAGATAAATTTCCTAAAATCTTGAATTCACAATCTTTAAAATTCAATTCAATCGGATTCCTGGTCTTCTGCTAAGAAAAATAAAGCAAGGGGCTGAAAATGCAAGTCACGTGCGGCATAAACCTATCGGTGCACTTGGTGCGCTGTCGACAGATGACAGCTCCCGTGACTTGCTGGAGCTTCCGGTTCTGAAAAGGAGTTGACCACTGGAGAGAAAGTGACAACGCATTTCTAAAAAAAGCAAAATGCTTATTCTTCTAAAATCCCCAGCGGAAAATTTGGCTTTCAAAAGCGTTTATCTCCATAAAAGTTCTATGAATTTGAGTTTTCTTACATCAAAAATGCGGTTTTGATAAGTTACGTGCGAAACGTGAAACGCGAAATAATATTTTCATTTCAGCGAAAAGCTCCCCTCGCTCCTAAATTATAGAGATCGAAAAAAGGGGTCTTTCGTAAAGATTTGGAGAGCTCTAGAAAGAAGACGAGAATGGATTATCGCGCAGGAGAAAACATCGACCTAGAAACGAGCTTTTCTTCAGGCTCGTTTGAAGATCAGCCAAGGGGAAAATATTTTGGGAGGAAAAAAAAAGAAGCGAACTCGACTTATTCTAGCGACAAATTCTAAAAGCTAAAAAGATTTTTAACCAATATCCTGAGAATTCCGCATGAAGGCGCTGTTTCCTTTCGGCCAATCAAAAACGTCTATTTTTCAAGCCAGTATTTTTTGCCGCAAGGGGCGTAATTTTCCCTCGTCAAATCAGAAAGCTTGAATAAATACGGAAAGAAAGATTATTGCAACGGGCGGTTATAAATTAAATCACGTGACAAGAGGGTGTCAAAACTGGACAAGTCTTTGTGGCCAATGCTCGAAGAACAATCTAAAATTCAAGGGTTTCCAGATTGATTTGTTTTGGGACGCCGTAATGCCCTGTTGAGTGATAAGTTTCTGTTGCGGAAGATAGCGAGCTGTAGCCAAAGCAGCCTCTAAGTATAACACTTCGGCAGATTGAGACACGTTTTCTCGGAAGGACTCCGTTCGGGAGAAAAGAAAGGATTATCACACCGCTTGTTAGTAGCGCAAAGAAAGGTTACAAGGTGTGGGGACAACTTGTAATCTCCGTCTATTTCTAGCGCTACTTTTCTGTCGCAAGAAAATGTTTCTTTGGAACAAGAAATTTCAAATTTGTGAAAATTCTTCAGAAAGACAGGACCGCTCATTTTTGTTTACCAAAAACTTTAGAGAAAAGATTTTCTAATGAGCTACTTCCGTTGCGGAAACGAATGGACAGAGCGTCCACGAGGGCTGAACCGAGTTTCGCCCATCGCTCAACGAAATCAAGGGCCACGTGAGACTGGGAGAATATTCAGCAGCCACATTCCGAGTCCTTAATTTCGCCGCTTGTCGGGTTCATCTTCTTATAAGACGATTTTCTTTTAGAAAGTTGTTTAGAACGATTTTTGACTCAGAAAAAATAGTGTTTCTAAAATCATTTCAAGAATTTAGTCCCTTACAAATTAAACTACGGTTAATCCCTAAACCGGTAAGTAAGGGAACAGCGCAAGCTCTATAATTTGCCGGAAATGCTAATGCAGTAATGTCTATCTGTCGCTCGTAGTCGGAAATGTCACCGGCCAATTGGTGCGACAAGCCCATCAGAAAGCCAAATACTAGCGCCGATTCGAAAGACTGTGATTTTTTCACACAGTCTAAAAGAATCGTTAGAAAGATATTTTCGCTTCACAAAAAAACGTATTTCTTTATCTTATCGTTATTTCCCTGGCAGCCATTAGAACATGGCGCAATCGGTCCTTATCTTCTGAGAGGAATAATTACATAATCCGCTTTTTGGAGGGGTCTCCGGCCCAACCGGTTGTAATCCCGGTTTAAGGGGATACCCTCTCGAGCCAGTTATTTCTATCAATTTAGGTTATATAATCTGGGCAAGGCACGTGTTCTAAAAATTCCGCCATCAGAAACACTTGAATAAAACGGACAGTAGCCAAAAGAGAGCAATAAGGGTCAAATTCCGCACGCGACCGCAGTCCGAGTACTTCTTCATTTTCGCTAGTTCCGAACGAGCGTATTTGCAAAACCTTCTCATGAATTTCCTGTGGCGACCCAGTAAAAGGATGCTCGCTGGTCGCTATTGCCGGCAGTTACTATTACCGCCCACAGGAATACTTTCTTAGCGTTTACTAAACATCACCAAAAATGTACCCCCTGGTTTCTAACACATTACAAAAATAAATTAGTAGACGTTCGAAAACCAGTTTTAATAACTATTAAATAACTACTGATGACAAGAAAAAGGCAGTATTACAATTTGTTACCGTTACATGAAGATTTCATCGAAATTCAAGAAACGTGAGTACGGCTCTGATTCAACCGCAAAACATCGTGGCGGGTCAAAAATTGTACAGCTATTAAGTAATAGAATCAAGCATCGATCTTCGTCTGGGAAAAAAATTTGTCTCAATCGAAATCATTTTTTGAAGTATAATATACAAGTCGCGTGTAATGGACAATCTCAACCTGACAAGCTCAAAATACGCAGCATATTTTTCGGAGATGGATCGTTTTTCGAACGCGTGGTAAAAAACGCGTCTTTACCGCCGTGTTCCGCGAAATACAGAATTTCTAAAAGTGAAAAAAAAAGCCGCGAAAAAACGATTGTCTCGAAATTTACGGTCATGGGCGGCCGCAGTCAGGCACTTATCAGGCGTAATTTATGTAAAAGCTGTTTGTGGTGGTCTTTTTAGAAATTCTATCTCCAGAGCGGAATTCATAATTTGCAATTTCTGCTTATTCCGGCTCCGTTACAGCCTTATGTAACCCACTCGACAGAAACTCGAAGCTAAAGCCTTAATGGGGCCGAAAATTGAACCATTTAATTCCGCCCTTTTGAGGTTATTATTCAATTTGTTCAAGAAGGCAAATGGCAATTATTCAAGTTAGAATCAGGACAACGTCACTCGCCCTTTCGGATTCTGATCTCATCTAATTAGCGGCGCGATTCTTTGCTTTTTCACGGCTCATGTTTTTCTTGAAATTTTCACAGTGCGGTTGGCGACCAACCTGGACGGGGGAATTTTTTGTTTAGCCAAGAGGTATTAGACGTGTGTACGAGCTACTCTGTGAACTTCAAGTGAGGTTCAGCCCAAACAATCGAGGTCAAAGAGAAACATACTTAGAGAAAACCATAATCATCTACGTTTCTTTTCCAATTCCTTACCATTATTGTAAAAAATCGCCGAATGAGTCTCCAAATACTTCTTCGAAAGCGCTTCAAACCCTGAAGTACTTATTGCTCCAGAATTGTCAACCGTATCGTTTCCAGTTTCATTCTCGCTCGTCTCCACAATGTCGGTAGTCAGGTTGAACTGAATCGTCTTCTTGCAGGAAGTGGAGAGTCCCCACTTGTCCTGAATCTCGCGTTTCGTGCTCTTTTCGAATTTCTCCTCTTCGGCCCAGACGGTGAGAAACTAAAAGAAAAAGTGGCATTTGAGAAATATTCAAAAACGGGTGAATTTCAAGGACTATGTGCACATTACACTTGTTATGTGAGAGCGGGCTTTCTTTAGAATTGTTCTGCCGTAATACTGCGCATATTTATCAACAAAAAAAATACTGAGGCCATCGGTAATCACCTAATATGTAAGCTTCGGACGTAAAAACCAACACCACCAGCCGGTCGTCGTACGGGAACGAGAGTAGGTTCATTCGAAAGCTCTTGAAAATAGCTTTCTATTAGGCTGATAAAAAAACTGTACCCTATCCCCCTGTTTCGAGTTATTTTGAAAAATATTTTTCCAGGCTTACCTTTCAAGTCGAATAACTCGAAAAAGAGGGATAGGGTACAGTTTTTTTATCAGCCTAATAGAAAGCTATTTTCAAGAGCTTTCGAATGAGCCTACTCTCGTTCCCGTACGACGACCGGCTGGTGAAAATCGTCCTTTTTTTCGTCCGAGGCCTACTAATATGTTTAATCGAAAACAGGATACATAGAAAACATCTTCCGGGGCCATTTTAGTATTCATCATTGTTTTTTTTTATTTAAGATTTATTTATTGGACGGAACGATAAATATTTTTGAAGCTAAAAATTTTGTTTTTTCGCGAAATTGAAAAATCTTCGAGCGCGGTTTGACCACTTCTCACGTTACTTCAGACTTTCTTCAACCCCTTTTTTCCATTTGAACTGTTTTTCTTTCTAGGAAAAGGCAGGGGCCACGTGATTGATGGTCGCTCGTGTGTTGGTGTACTCTTTACTTAGGTGGCGATTAGGCGAAACCAAAAATACAGATAATTTTAGTTATTTGTAAATCCGAAATCGGGAAGAGCTTTAGCTTAAGAAGCTTTAGGTTTGTGGTGAGAAAGAGGGGAACGTGATTTGATGCAAGATTGACTAGAGTCAAGATGGAAACTGCGTTTTCGGGTTTAACAACGACGACTTTTTTGAATCCGTCTTACTTGCGATAATTTTAGAGATACTATTTTAAGATGATCGTGATGATGAAAAATTGAAAATTTTTATACTTCAGTATTTTATGTAACTTATGGTTCGTGATTTATAATTTACCTGATTCCCTTGATAGTCCGACAAATCCAAGTTGTAGTGCACCATATTACTGAAGTTTCCATTCAACTGATCAACATCGATTTCATGCTTCAACCAAGGCATCGGAGGCGGAACAAAAATCTCTTCCGCGTTTTCGTAAAACTCCTCCGCAAGGACTGGTGAGCCGCTGTTCATCCGCATGTGCAGCTTCCAAGCAGGACATCCGGTTTTTACGTAGTTTTCCTTGGCCTCTGTGAAAGCTGTTAGATTGAGCCGCGCCCCGCCAGAAACTTGAAATTTCCAGATTCCAGGGAAACGGCCATTTTCGTAACTGGTGACGGGTAAACTCGGGTAGACGTTTATTTCTTCGCTGAGAGCTTAAAAAAGATGAGTTTTAGAAAGAAAAGATCGTTAAATTGAGCAGTGTTGAAAATCGTGTTCAAGTTTTGAAATCCGATCTTTCAAACTTTGTTCTTATCGCCTTATCGTTCTTCTAAACGCTCAATCGTTCCGTCTCCTGCCGAGCGTGATTGTTATCAGAAGCGCAAGAAGAAGAGTCTCCTCGCGGAAACTCAAGCGTTATCAATCTCAACACAGAGCCGAATCTGAGCGCATTTCGGAAGGTGGAAAAATTCAGTGAAGGAAATTTGTTGACTCAAGTGCGGGGTGATAAGAAATGCGACACGTTTTTTGAGATGACAAAAGAAGGGATGATTTCCCAAGTTCTTGAATTCAATTACTCGAGTCTTGAATCTGCTGAAATAGAGATCGGCTATTTTAAAAATATCTAAAATTGGCGCTAGAAAACGTGGTTGAATCAAATGAACTTGGTTTATTTTGAGCAATTGGATCTATTGGACTTCGAGTGAGAAAAAAGATTCTAGGGCAATTATGGAGAGGAGCAGGTCGAGCATAATTCGAGGCAGGCGAGAAATTGGGACAAATGTTATTTTATGTAAAATGTCTAACGGGCTTTTTTGAGAAAAGCTGAGCCGCTTTATTGGAATTTATTCAATTGAGCCTATGTAATAGATCATGGTCTAATCTGATCCTTGTCAAATGTCAATCGCAAAATCAGTATTTTCCGAAAATGTTAGAAAACCAAGCAGGTTTTCTTGAGGTGAGTAGTTCGCAGATTTGAGGTGGTGCACCTTATAATTGAGGCTATCAAGTGATCTGGGTCTAATCAAGAGCTTATGATCCGCATTAGATGGTTCCATCGTTGCATTGCGTCACGTGAGGACGAAAAAAAAGGCGCAAGGGGAGTCAGAGGGTTATGTTAATTGGCGGGTACACGACTGCATAATATCATAATTATGATTTTACGCGTGCATTAAGACGATCCATTCGCGATGCTGTTCTCTCTGTTGATTCCCAGAAAGGATCGATTTTGAAAGTGTTGTGCTTTGTTTTCCTTCTTGAAATGTGTTAATAACAAAGTATCTTCAAGCTGGATTTATGTCATTTTAGAAAGCTGGATCTAACAAGACTCTTATTAAGAGCAAGGTACATACGCAGGTGAGAATATTTCTGCTCCCCTGTTTTTTCTAAACGATAACGCGTCTCTGGAATTTTGAAACGCCCCTCTAAACATTTTAATGAGCCAGCGAGGCTGAGCCTATCTCGGTCGGTTGCAGGCCAATATGTACAAGTAGAGGGGATGTCAAGCTCTCCATTTTGGAGTACCAGGTTCCCCAGTCAAATCACGTGGCGTAAGAAATTAGCCAAACTTTAGATACGATCTTATCGCTCTGTTTTCCGCACGTTGATAATCTTTGTGCTACCGCAGATTTACATACTAGCAGGTAGTGTTACTTAGAGCTCTTAAAATATTTATACTAAAGCGGGGAAAAAGTAGTTTATGTAATTTGACTTTAGTATATTTTCTCGTGGGCAAAGAGTGAGGAAACTTCAACGCGGCTACGTAAAGATACGCTTACGGAAAAGGATAATATTGGAATAGGTGAACGAAAAAGGGAGATTCCAATTTTTTTGATGGAAATCTCTTCATCCAAGCAAGCTCAAGTCATTAGCTCGGCTGACAGGACATGACGCGACTTTTGACAGGTTGAACATTTTCCCCGAACCTCCAAAAGCTGCTTCTTTTCTCAATTTATCGCGTGAACCGGTTAATTTTATCTTTGGCAATTTTCATCAAGGACGTTTGGCGCCTTTTCCAAGCGGGGCTTTATCATAATTTTGGTCTTTGGGGGACAATTATCGCAGAAAAGGGGATTTGAGCGGACACGTATCTTTTTGATAAAGAAATTAAGATTATAAAAATGATGATTTCAATAAAATATCGTAATCGTTCTTGATTTTAAATCATTATGAAGATTCTTGGAGAAAATTTGTAAGTTCTTAAAATTTCCTCTGAGAAGCTTACATAAGCGGAAGTCTAGTTGCGGTTTGCCGCAATAAAAATTCCTGTCCGTCTTTGGTCACTAGGATAATCTTCTTGTGGCTGCATTCACCTTAGAGTTTGCGATCACGTGCGAGGAACTCAATCGCGTCAGCAACCGACCGAAACACATGTGCGGCGGCAGTTGCGTCAGTTGAGTCTGTTTATCGCGTTGTTGCGAACGTTGTTGTGTTATATTGGAATGCAAGCTTATCGGGGATTAAGACACCTGGGGTTAGAGGGTCATGTTTGAATTGCACCTTTTATGTTTCAAACAGAAAAATTCGCAAAAAAATTCAACTTTTTAGAACCTAAAACTGACATCTGAATTTTTTTGAAAAAAAAATTTTGGGTCATAAATTTTATCCATAAGGGGAAAATGCAGGTTTTCAAAGATCTGTTGGATCTCTTTTTAGCTCCCCAAATGACTTCGTAAAAGGGATTAGCGGGTTGGAACGCGCCGCCACAAGAATTTTACGCGCGAAATCTTCACCTTCTCCCCAACCCTTTCTGCTCCTTTCTACTTCCGCCGAAGCTCAAGCTGCGGGAAACGAAAGCTCTTTTGAACCCTTGGAACAAATTTGAAAATCATCACCTTTCGTGTCCAAAATAGTCGCGAACACGTCATTAGAGTGGATCAGAAGACGGTTAATTGAATTCGCGCGCTTTTGAAGTCAATGAATCCAATTTCAACGCAGAATGAAAAATGACAAGTCCTACTTTTTTCGAATTTCAAACTTGAACACAGTAAAATAATTGTCCACTTACCAGGTTTGAAGAGAAGAAGCAGGCCGAGCAGATGTCGTATAGAAAAATTGCCTCTCATCAGAATCTGAATGAAACGTTAGTGAATCACGTGAGCGGCGAAAATCCGGGTTAATTCGAGCTCAAGACGGTGCTTTTTGGCGGTGAACAGAATTAAAGTTCAGCTGGAAGTGGTTTTCATCACGTTTTGATTTTCGTAATAAAAAAAGACCATAACGGAGTTTTTCACTTTTGAGATTTGAAATTTCAATACTGGATTAAAAAGCGATCTCTTACAATAAAAGCCAGCAGTCTCGCGTTTGCAATAAAAAGCAGAAAAATGAATTTCCTCTTAAAAAATACGAAACTTCTTTGATCGATCTAAAACCAAAATTGCAGTATTCTCAGATTCTGAGAATACAAATTACTTCTGAAAGAAAATCTGTTTAAACCTCTCTTCCTCACATAAAAAGCTTTCGCCCGAAACCTCCGCTGGCTGATCCTCTCGGTGGGCTCTTACGGGAACCAAATAATCCCAGAAATAAGATTCGAGACACTTGGCGGATCAGATTTGACGGATCCATGTCGAATTGCTTTCTTCACTCATCCCTCCAATTTTTTGGAAGAAAATATTCTCCAGCTGTGGATGGATCAAGTGAAGAAAATCGGATTAAGCCTTAATTATTAACCCTTAGGGTGTACAACGCTGATTTTTATCATTTTCTCCTATCATGCGCACACCCTTAAGCCTTTTTGAAGAAGAAAACATTGTATAAGTTGAATAACGACTAAGGGAGCCTGTCAAATTCAAGGCAACACCCGCAACTCTATCTTGTCTGGCTTTGAAGATAATCTCATTTTTTTGTGAGTGACACACCTTCTAAATCTTATTCACGGAAATTTACGGTACGCGCGGGTCTTGCGCCATGCGACGCTAGAATCGACACTCTATTCACGACTCAATCTAATTTTTCGCAGATCATAATGATTTGCCATCTGGAAATCAAGGAAGAGTAGTTCAGCATCTAAAATAACGTCTTGGAATGTATGTAAGACAAAATTCCATCGTCATACAAATTTGAAATTTCCAAGTTCATTTCAAATCTCGAAAGAGCAACTCAAACTCGAGTCTGGGAATTATAAGATTCGGAAAACGTGTAATTTTGCTTTGCTAAAAATCCGTGGTGGCGAAGTCTTCCGGATTTGGAACGAAATTTAGGCTCAGCGCTTTGGCCGGGATAAGGCGGTCTCGCGACTGGGCGATTACTCGGACTCTGTTTTAGGTTCTGAATTGCTGCATTTTTGTATTGATAACAAAACGTGGCTGTTTTTCTCGAAGGCGGTGGACAGATTGAGAACAGATTTTGCGGAAAGATTTGAATGCGAAAATTAAAATTTTTAGGATTAAAATGAGATCTTTCTTTTTGTAAAATAAGGGTGTCCGACTAAATATTCGGTAGCATTTTTTTTATAAATTCATATATCAAAATTTGTACTCAAGATATCCAAAGCTTCAAAAATCACGTTGGACAAACTTAAGTGTGTCCAAGTGCGATAAGAAAAAACCTCAGAAGCTGGCAAAACCACAACCACTAGATTCGAAAGAGGAAAAGCGAGACATACACACATGTGCTGACATCACGATCACATGACATCGTGTAAACATGCTCGATATTTTAAACGGGCTCGAAAAAACAGCGCGCTGATTTTAGAACCAAGAAAGCTACCACAAGTATTAAGAAATATAAGCGTAAGCAGATTTTCTCAACTGACTGGTTTAAAAATGAGCAGTTGCTGTAGCCCTGAGAAATGCTTGAAAAAGAAATGAGCGAAAATGTTTTACAAAGGTGTCGGAAGCGCCCCGAGATTTCTACTAAAAGGATTCATCCGCTTCGTTTTTCATCCCTTTTTTCAGAACGGAGCCACTTTAGGAGCCACTTTTGAAAACTTGAAGAGCAGGTGCTTTTTACTGAAATGTTAAAACAACGAAATTATCGCCATGGAACTCGAGAGCAAGTCATTTTTTCGGAAATTGGAGCTATCTAATGCAGATTTAGAGATAGCCAAAATTAGCTCCAGGATCCGGCCATCCGCTTTTCAGAAAATTATTAATTAACATCTCGTTGAACCAGAGGAAGGGGAAGAATGCACACGAGTTCGAAGCTGAATTTGAACAGAAAAAAAGGGTCATCGCCAAGCATGCGTAATCAGGCGCCAGAAAATGAGCAGCAAGAAATATTTCGACGCAACTCAGAAACATTCCAAAAATGACCTCTCTTTTGTCAATGTTTTTTCGAGTTATGAAGTATATTTCAAAGAACAGGTCATTCATTAGATGCAATAATGACTCAAAAAAAACATGCACAAAATATCGCATTGAATGATAACTGCAAAGTTTGTACAAAATAAGAAGACATTTGTTAAGTAATCAGTTTCCTGATTTTTCCCAAAAAAGTAAATGTTTTGACATCAGTCTACGTCGCTTGCGTTCTCTCGTTATTAGTTTTTCCCGAGTTACCGTTTAGTAATCACGTTTCCCCACCAAATGTTATGTCACATTCGAGCCGGGTTTACAAACAATTTCGATTTTATCCAATTTGTTCGAATTCTTGGGCTGGGAGCAAATTTTGCTTTTTTGATATTTACAAGTTAATTTATGCTCAACAAATTTTACGCTCGTTATTTTGATGAATAAGAATCATTGTTGAATACTAATGAAAGAAAAGCTTCAGAAAAAAAATATTGTATTTCCTTAAAAAGCATTCATTTTATTTGAGTTTATTTTCTTCTGATATTTTCGGAACACGGTAAATCAGAAAATTGGCTTGTCTAAGCTTCTAGCTCGCTTTCTGCTGTTTTCTGGCTCCCCCTTAGACGCGACTTTCTCGGTGAAAATGGCAATTTCTCGGCTACCTCTCCGGAAGATCGTCCCTTCTTTCGATATTTCTAGCGCCTGAGTCCGAATCAATTCAACAAAAACAACCAAAACAAAATTCAATTCATTTCCGGAGTGTCCTCCACCCTCAAAATCCGCCGAAAGCATCTTAAAATTTCAAAGACTTCGAAAATTCGAAAAATAGGAAAATTAGGGACGATAGCCCGCTGACATGCATGAGGACATTAGGATGGAGATTTGATTTGAAACGACCTCGTTTATGAAAATCGCCAGCGTCCAGATAGCCAGTCAGATATGCAGAATTTACGTAACGGGCGTATATTCATTTTTAACGAGCACAATTTACAGAGACAAAATTTTTCACTAGCAATTTTGCTCGTCAGAATAAATAATAATTTCTTCGAATTATCAAGGAAATTCTGCCCAAAGAATGCTTTTTTATGAAAGCGGCTAAAATTTTCTCTCGGAAGAAAGCAATTTCTGTTTTTTTTTTGGACAACTTCCAATGACCGTATTTCCTCGAGTCACGCTAACTTCCCCAAGACGCTAACTTCCCCAGACGCTAACTTCCCCAAAACGCTAACTCGCCCAAAACGCTAACTTGCACAACGTTGGGGAAGTTAGCGTCTGGGGAAGTTAGCGTCTGGGGAAGTTAGCGTCTTGGGGAAGTTAGCGTGACTCTATTTCCTCGACGAATGACAAGGTTTACGACCACAAAGGGAATCTCACCTTAGCTCTAAATATTTGGCCGAGGATCACATAAAAATGTTGATTTAATGAAAACCCAATTTATCAACAATGCAACCGAGAATTGATCACATTCTTCATGCCTTTCAACAGCCCTAGAATCGCATCTGAACCACTAAATATCCTCTCAATTCTACCGATTCTAGCGCAATCAAAAAGCAAACAACGCTACGTAAGAAAAACAGCGTATACAAGTTGAACAGGCTTAGCTATCATAACCTTTTGTCTAAGCCGACACTTATCCTTCTCGAGCACTTTCAACCGACTTCCTCTTTTCAACGAAAATTTTCAATTCGCTATTCTCTCGCGCTGCTAGTTTTTTGTTTTTATTCAGAAAATAGAATTGGTAATTGAAAAATCGATAGATTTTTATTGTTATTGAAGGTTAAAATGTTTCATTGTTCTGTTACCAGAGTAGTAAAAAATGAATGTGATGATGAATAGAATTTATTTGAGAATTAATTTTATGGACGACGAGGGAAATTTCAATGATTGATTGAAACTATTAAAATAATTTTCATAAATAAATTCATCATCTTGATAAATTCGATCAATCAACTAAAAATTATCATTTATCAAAAACACGCTCGGTAAAATTTCAAAGAACTTCCTGAAAGAAACACTTATTTTCTGATCAATCCTAAAAAATGATGACTTATCCGTCATATTTAACTCATGTTCACCACGAAATGCAAACGCCAAAAGCCAATATTGACCAAAACGAGCCTCGTTTTCTATTTTTTCTCTTTCTTTAATTTTTACCAATTTATTTTCTTTCTTTCTTCGTTTTTCTTCTTTTAGAATCTCTTTTGGGTTAATTTAATGATAACCCATGATACAAACAAACAATAAAAAAGTATATGTATTGATTTTTCAAGTGCAAGTTTCAGATATTTTGAAAAAAATTGGGATCACCGGGCGCGTTTGGTTAGAGGCATTTTGTCGGCTGAGCCGCGCGCCGGCGCTCGAGCGACACCACCAACACCGCGTTCGAGAGCCAGCTCCGCCAAAAATAAACCCGAGTCATTAGGGTTCATAATAATTCATCATCCCTTCGTGAATTTACTGTAAAATATACATCAAAAAGTCACTTTTTTGACACTTTAACCCTTCATCGACAAGAAGGGCATTTTGGTGCACCATCTTTGGTCAGTTCGCTCTAGTAATATCAAAGGGATTGATTCTTGCGTCAATTTCTGTGGAGGCTTTTTGCTGATACTTTACTGTCTTTTCCAATGAACCCTCAAGTATTCAAACATTTATTTTACAGCTTTAAATTAGCTCTAAAACAATTCACAGGATCTAATTTACCTCGTAAAAACAGATGACAACTTAATGTCGTGTAAATTATGTCGATAACCTGCTCCTTTGCTTGTCTAACAATTCAGGATTTTTAGAAAACTTGGCCTTTCGAGAAGCGCAAAAATACGCTGATCCCTCTTGCCGGCCACTTCTTTCAATGGAACTTATTCAAGAGCTATTGCCGAGGCATTAAAAGATAAGTTTCTCCTTTGTTTGCCAACAACAGCGCAAATGACTGTAATTACAATTTTTTTCAAAATTTTGAAAGATATAAATTTTGACAAAGGAAAAAGACGTCACCGGACAATATTTTCAAAATCGTTGTGACACTATCTTCACTTGTCATCGAAAATGGGGACGTTTTATTTAATCAAAAAGACTTTACTGGAACTACAAAGTTTTCTGAAATGCCAGAGATGATTTATAATTAAGAAAGTCTGCCGGTTCCTTCTTGCATTTTTAAAAACAACTGGATAGACCATGCAAGTAATAGCATTTTTAATCATCGAGTTCGGTTCGGATCACCACTATCAGGAAGGATTTGTGGTTGTACCATTAGCATAAGCTGATGCCGATAAGACCAAAATCAAGTTTGGCAGGAACACTTTCTCATATATTTGAATTTTAAGTTCTGCTGAGTTGATGTTTTCTTAATGGCGTTAAATTGAGTTAGAAATGGTACAGTACGGGAATTGTATTTTTGGAGCGGAGAGAAATGCGATTAGGGTTTTCACGGTTTCTTTCAGAGACAACTAAAGACTCCTGTTCTGAAATCACTAAATTTATATTATTGACGATCGCTTTAAAAAAAATTTTTTTTTTTTGATATTTAGAAAATTTTCATTTAATAAAAAATAAATAAATTTATATTTAATTCAAATAAAATTCGAAAAAATAAAAATTCTGAATCTGGCTTGATTTTGACAAACTGTCAATTTGAAATTGAGTTGTTAAATATTAGCTAGTCAAATAAAAAACTCGTAAAAATGAAGCCAACCAACACTCAGCGCTCTATTTTTCATTTTTTTAAAGATTTCTGAGGCTAAAAATGACCTCCTACGAGTATCCCGATTTTCTCAAAAAGGATTACCTAGAGTACTGGGTAAAAGAGTACAGTATGAAATTCAAAAGAGAGACTGAAGAAGAGGGCGGCAAATGGTTTCTCGAAGTCGGAATTGCCGACAAATTGATTTCGGCAGAAGGAGATATTGTCCTGGTCAATCATGAGTTTTGGAATAGACGGAAAGGGGAAGATTATCCAGCAACAATTAAAATTACGGTAGCGTAAATGACCAATTTTTTCAAGAAAAATCTAAAAGATGAGGATTGAGCGTGAACTCGATTTTAAAGAATAAGAGTCTCGTCGTTTAGAAATTCAAGTTTTTAGGCTTTTGACCCGGAGCTGTTTACGAAGGACAATATTTTGGATGATGAGACAGACGAGCACAATTACAATTTTAAAGTCATCACTGCTCTCGGTAAGTAGTCATTCAACATTGCAAAGAGATGATTGTCCTTCAGAAAAAGATAAATTCAAAAGAACCGGTCCGAATCACTTGGTGGACATCGAAATCTACTGGTTCGATGACAAGGATATGGCAAAAGCAAAACTTGGAGTGATGAGCATTCACAAAGGTCATTATTCAGAATTATTAAGTCTGCATGATTCAAAAATTTCTGCATAGATACTGTTCCAAGATGATTCCTGACTGTTGATTTCCCAGAATAAAATTTCCTTCCTTCTCAATATCTAACGGACTCGAATTCTTTTCGTTATCATAGAAACCAGCCGCTATCTGAATTTTTCGGTAACTTTTGGCACTATCTTCGCTGGTTTTTACACCATCTCAAGATAATTGCTCCAGAAGCAGTATTTTTGCAAAGCCGCTTGTTAAAGTTAACTCCAGTCTTCTTAAAATATATCTTCGTCTTCATTACTTAGACAATTGGCCAATTTAGACTTGATAATCAATTAGCGAAAGCGAGAATTTAGAAGGATGACTTCTTTCCGACTCTAAATAGCTGCATAACAAATATATTATATTTTCATAGCTGGAAATAGAATTACGACCGTTTTGATGGTATCATTGCAAATTATTAATTGGTACTTCTCATGAGTCGAAAATTCTGTAGTCATCAATGTTCAATTTCTTCTGAAACATGTGTTGATCCTCAGATTATTGTCCGAGCGACAGCTGCAGCAGATCTAACGAGTCAAATTATTGGATAAATTCTTGTTCCCAAAATAGACGAATTTAACCGGGGAGAAGGGAGAAAGAAGACGTCGACTCGGTCAACGTTAAAATGCAAAAATTCAGTATGAAAATAAAAAACAATCCGAAAAATTCAAGAGAAATCGATTGTTCTAGCGACTCAGATTTTACGAGCTCCTTAGGAAGAGATTTCAGGTTCCGCCGGAACTTAGGAAGCAAAATAAACACTTTGGGACTTTTTGAAAGAGCTTATTTTGTGAACTGTAATTAAAACCAAGTGTTGGGGTCCTTTGGGTGACGATTGTGTGGCTCTGTAATTGAGAAAAGGTTGTTCGAGGGAAATATTTATCTTGCTTGCCGTGGCTTAGCTTGTTTTGGTATTTGAAGGCAACATTGGACAATAATCCGGCGAGTAGAGTCGGAATCGCAAACAGGAATTACAATTCTGTCTGACAGTCGACATCAGCACTCTCAAAAACGTGGCCAGGGAAGAGTCTTGATATTTTGATGATAGACAGTTTCTTGTTTTCTTTCAAATATACGGGAAATTAGCGACTGTTTTTGGTATTATGTTTTGTTTTGTTTTGTTTTTATGGAAGATGCGCCAGAAAATTCAAATGTCAGAAAAGGTCTAACGGATTTACGTGTAAGAATACCGGCAGAGCTCTTTTATTTTACGTCCCAAAACAGCTAGAATCAAGAAGCGAATAAGAAAATATGAGAAGCGCGTGCCAAAAGCTCCAAGAGAGGCTTGATTTGGTATCAACGCATAACGGATATTGTGAACAAGACGGTAAGCATGAATACTGACTGGAGTTGCTTATCGCGTTTTTAGATATAGAGACGTTGAGGGACAGGTACTGGTTGAAACAATTCCAGGAGATAAAGGACTGCGAAATGGTCAGTTTTAATCTTCGCTATCCTTGCGTTTTTTTATGATTTTAGATTTGGCGATGTGAAAATGATGACGCTCCCCACATGTCGCATCCATACTCCTTGCTTGAGCCAACCCCTTTTGCGGCGACGCATCAAACATTTCTCCTTGCTTTTCTGTTTTTCCTGACTTTCTTCATTCTTTACCAATCTGGCCCATAAAAACATTGATAGAGCAAGAATAAATTGATAGAATTTGGACGTGTGTTCTAATTCAAATCTTCTTCGATCCCCGCAAAAGCTCCGGTCAATAACCCAAGCTCAATCTCGGAATTTTTTTTTTTTACAATTTTTATTGAAGAAATTTTCTCCTGATTAATCCGCATGTGCAAATTAACAAGCGCGCAATGACTGGTGCAAATCTGGGTACTGGGGCGCGTACGCTTTTTTTGAAAAAAGGTTGAAGTGAGCTTGTATGTGCTTACTACCTCCCAGCTATTGTCACATTGAGCTCTGGACTAGGAAGATATCACCACTAGTCTAATCATCGCGAAACTCACCGCATTTGCATCCAAAAAACATACATTAAAATTACACTCGATAAGATTTTTATTAAAGAATAGAGATTTGAAATCAAGGAAGACAAATTCTGAAAACATCGTCGTTTAAATATATACAGGGTCCGTTTATATTATCTCTTACGTTATTAATTCTGAAAGAAAGCTACTCAAAAAAGTACAAAATGAAGTATAATCTGCAAATTATTCGAAAATATTCATTAAAAAGCAAACACTAGTAATTAAATTTCATCATGACAGTGTCGGGTGTTCTGATAAATCAAATTTTATGCTTCCGTTACACTAATCAAATGATGAAATAATCAATTAGGATCCTCAAAAGACAATAAAAGAAAGTCCACAAGAATGAGCACACGATTGCGCCGGGCGCCGAGCTTAGGAAATGGCCATTAATAATTATTCTTTACTACCCTTCTTCTTTAATTAGAATCAAAATAATTCAATTACGTAACTTCAACTACAATAAAAAGTGAAAAAAACTTTCTTCTGACGTTTAGACAAAGCTCAGCTGTACCTTGACCTACTACAGTAATCTACAGCTCGAGTCGAGTACGTGATAAGAGAATTTTCTAAAATTAAAGTTGGAGCGTTTTTGAGAGCCAGAGATAAAGATGCGCTAAGTTCGACGAATTTGGCCGCTCGCTCGACAAAGACGAAGAGTTCAAGAAACGAGAGATATTCCTCCGACGAGTATTCTGGAAGAGACTCTTCCGAAGAACGCTCAGGTCGAGGGCGAAGACGAAGAAACAAAAAGACTGGCAGGGATCGATCTGTGAGCGCGACAAGGCCGAGAGTGGGAATAGGAGGGACTGGTATTGAAGACCACGACTTTGGCAGAGGATCGTCTGGTCGAGATCGACCCAGTTCTGCGCGAACGGATACAAAACCTGTCGTCATGCGCGACAGGCCGCAGACGGCCCGGCCTTCGGATGACCGTAGGAGCTCGATTAGCTCCATTCAGATTAATAAAATGGTTGAAGGCGCTAGTAATAAGATAGCGGTTCAAAACTTATTAGAAATCGTTTAAATAAAATAACATCTTTTCGCAAATTTTTCCCTGTTACCTACTAAAAGCGGAAATGAAAATTCTCAGATGAACTTGAAATAGTTTTCAAATTTGAACCCTTCTTCTGTTGACATCATCAAATCGCCTGAGCGGAAGTGTGAACTACACCACGGCGGCCCAGGTAATAATAACAAGTAATAATTTATCCGATAACAAGGTCCACGGCGCTTATCATCTCAGCTCATTTTTCACAGTGGCGCACAGCTGGGGAGTACGCGCGTCTTTGTAAAGTGAAAATGTTGTCACCCAAGGGTGGTTAGCGATTTAAAATTGACTTCATGGTCGGAAAGAAAGACCATAAATATATTATCGCTACGAAACAATAATAATTGAATGAGAATGTTTTCCTACCGGCAAAAATGATTTAAGGTTATGAATTTTGCGATATTTATCAAATGATAGAAACTTTTATTATCACAGTCGTTTTTATTTCTTTTCATTTTCAGCATTTCATCGATTGACTAAGATTTTAGTATGATGTAAAACCATCAGGAAACTCATCCGGCAATTCTGGTGCCACTATCGAAAGAGGCAGGAGCGTCACCCGAGGAGCCCGTCCATATCTCCAACGGTATTTCAGACAAGATTCTTCAACCTCATTAAACCAACCGATAAAGGTCTCAATCAGAAGTCACACTAACGCCTCGGACACAACTACAGGCAGAAGACGGCGCAGATCGCTTCCGTCAGAGCCTGAAACTCGCGGCGATGAAGCTCCAGAGCACGAATCACAGAAGAGTCAACCCGCCAAGGAAAGAGTTTTGAAATTAATTTTTGCAATTCAGAGAGAAAAACAGAGGGGAAATATTAACATTACTTCCGGTTTAAACCCTTACGCTTTCAAATCTTATTGCTCTTCAAAAAGCCACAAGCGCGTCTAACATTCTTTAAACTCTAACTAAAGCAATCCCACGACTCCAACAACCCCATCAACCCCTTTCGGCGGAGGTCATCCCCTCGCCATGTTCTCTGGCTCCCCACAAATGGCTTCGAAAAGAACGGAAGTGCCACCAAGTCCAGATTCAATTCGCTGCTCCAAAACGATGTCAAAGCTTCAGCAAGTCCTTACTGACCGGGAGAAACAACCACGGTAAAGTAGCTTTCTTCTTTCATGCCCTAGAAGCGCACGGAGAAAGGGCTTAGTAGCCATAAATCGGAAGGGGGCCTGGGTAATCGCCTCGGGCAGGTGACTACACGTGTCCACTTGTGTCGGAGGAAAGTACAGTACCGTACCACACTTCTTCTGTGCCCAGAAGACGCGACAAGGATGCATATTTGACGTGAGCCTCTTTGCGCCTAATTTGTCAATCCTTTCAGCGCCCAGACTAATATAGTTACAAGAACTTTAACACTAGAATAACCTGGCTCTTTTGCCTTTGAAAAATTGCGGTCAAACATCCATATTTTACTGCCATAAACTTTAGATCAGCCAGGGGCCGTCTTTTTGGGCACACAGATCTTCAACCATGATTCAGGCCAACTTCAATGATTGCTATGTCTGATGCAGAATCTGGAACTGATTCTCGCCCACCAAAAGCGAATGGAACTCCTGATCGATCTCGGAAAGCACCCGTCCTTGCGAAGCTTAAAATGCAATCATCCACTTCTAATGACAGGTTAATACAGAAAATTCGCTAATTAACCCCTCCAGCCATGATTAACTCGTCCTCTGGAGATAATGATTATTCTGACGCGCGTGCGGCAAAGGCTCTTGTATCAACTTAAAACAAAAAGCTCAAAAAATGAATAACTAAATGAGCCCATATAAAGCCCAGTCTAAAACGGAACAATCCGCTTATAAAGTTATAAATTTTAGAATAAGAAAATGACAAGAACGATGGCGCAAAAACCTGAAATTTTACTGAAATTTTTAAGAGACCATCAGCCGAAAACAGAACCGGTTCTGACGAATCACAAAAAGATTGAAAGCAGCCAGCCAGTAGTTGTTAAACCAGAAGTGACGAAAAATGACTTGGACAGGATTTCTGACACCTTCAACTCTCAGGTTTCTTTTGTGATCCTATTTTTGCTTCATTCGAATTCTAGCTTCAAAAATCCTGGCTCGATTGGACAAGGTCGAAAACGAAAACACAAAACTGACAAAAGAAAACAATTTCCTGAAGAAAGAAGTCGAAGACGTAAACGCGACGCTCAAAGATGAATACGAGAGGTTTTCAAAAGAAGTCAAATCGCTCAACTCAACGGTCAAAACGCAAAATGATACTATTGACGATCTGCGAACGCGACTATCTCTTCTCGAGTCCAGCCAGGTACTGAGAAAGGCTTTGAATTTGGAGGCCTGCTATCTTTTTGTTTCTCTCTATTTCTGAGGTGGGAAACGGCACGTGCCTAAGAAGTACATTTTCTGACATTATCGCACATAAAGCCGGGTGCGCTAGGCGCCACTTTTATGAACTCTCCGTAGTCTCTCCTGCCTCCTTCGTCATATCTCAATTTTGTCCTGAAAATTTTATTTTCTTGAGAATCGTTTCTTTTGAAATTTTGCGACAAACCGAAAAAGAAATCAGTGAATAAATAGAGAATGAAATAATTTTACGAGAGACGAGATTAAAGCTATTAAAAAGGTAGTAAAACTTGGTCCCATTTTGTCTGTTAAAATTCCCTTTGTATCATTTTACGCATGATTCCGTATAAACTCGATCGCACTCCCAAAGCACTTGGATGAGCATCAAATATTTGTAAAATTTGTAACTCGTCAAATATGAGAAAATCCAAATTGCTCTGATTTCTGCTCTTCCGCATACAAAAAGGTATATTAACATCCTCATTTTTCAAACCAGAGCGGATCTTCTCTTGACACCAGTAGTAAATTCCAATTCAATCGGTACGGCAAAAAAAAAATTAACGTCAGAGTACATGTGCGTTTATAAGGTCAGGGTAAACTCGTGGGATTAACTTTTTACGCGGCTGGGTTAAACTAACGGACGTTTTTTTTTAAGTTGAGCGAGAAAGACAGTCCGAGCCCGATGACGGTTGCTCCGAGAAAAAAGACACTAGATGAGATTTTCGATGTCGATGAGTTGGAAAAGATGGTAAGGAAGCATGAGCGGGGTTAGTTTTTAATGAAAATTTTAGCTCGATGAAGAGGACGACTACGAAGCCCGGAAAGCGATTCGATCCCGACTGCGCTCGCTGCACAAAGCAAAGACTGCTGAGATCGGTAAGAAGCAGCTTGCGTCAATATATCTTGCGATTTACAGAGCTCTTCTGTTGCCAAATAGACCTAACCTCACCGGACTCAGCAGAATTTCCCACGTGACTAGACAGACAGCTGCGGATAAATCTCTCTAATGAAAAAGATATTTGATCGGAAGTAATTCATCATAAACCGATCGCGGAGGAATTTTCTATTTTCGTAACCAAAACTCTTCAGAAAACCGTCAGAAATCGAAGAATCAGCCTCCTCTAAATATTCCTACAACAGATGATGAAATCGTGGTGGAGAAACGAACCCGAAGCCGAGCACGGGTTCAACGAAGCATGGTTTGAAAACGCTTCTCTTCCTTGATTTCAACAGCGATTTCTTTTCAGAGCTCAGTTGCCAGTCTCCAAAGCAGCACTGCTAGCAACGACAGATTCGGAGACAAAAGTAAGTGACGAAAGAAATGACGATTTAAATAATAAAACTGAATAGAAACCGATCTGGGTCGTGTGTCTCGAACTCCTTCACAAGCATCCCTCCGTGAAGACGATTTCGGCGCAGCTGAGAGCTCCTCTAGTCCAAGTCCGTCAGAGTCATCAATCCGAGCGCGTCCTCAAACCGCCCAGCCCAAAAGTTCTAGCGTCAGTGCATCGCCAAAGACCCAGGTTCGCCCCAGCACGGCGAAACCATCCTCAATCAGTCAAACCGTCGAAACTGCAGGAAAACAGTTGACAAACAAAACAAAACGATCGGAAGTTATAAATACGCGTGTCTAGTATTAGCTTGTTAGATTAATATTAATGGTTGGTGGCCGGGTGTGGGAAGCGCGAACTTGAGATTACAATGAGCTTTTGGTTTAGATAGGCGACCGCAATTGTGATTTTGCTTTTAGTATTCACTTAAACAGAGTTTTTTCAATATCAAAATCATGAAATCAATATAGGGAGTTTTACGATGTGAATTTCATTGTAGGTTTAATCCGTTGTTTGATTTATTTTAATAATTTATCGTTTCATGGTGTCACATGTCACAATTTTGAAAAACAAGAACACCTGGACGACCGGGATGCTCTGACATTATAAACGAAAAGTGCTCAAAGTCCCGCTAATTGGCGTAAATATTATCGCGACTTACACTATAAATTATTCGGATCAAATTTACGGATCAAAGTACGTCATAGTAATTTGCCTCTTCAATGTTGTCAACTGGCGGTAAGAAATCGTCAGTAAAAGTGGCTCTTCTGGCAAGAGCAAATTGTATACCGACTCTGGGCGAAGCATGACGGTTGGTGCGATCTCTGAACTTTCCTCCACATCCTCTTCAAAATCCATGGTAATTAGCTTGATTTTCCTAAGTTACAATGTTGGCCGTTTATTGATCACGTGGCATGGCATGAAATTAGAGCAGATAACTGTAACTCAATGCTTGTAAATTGACGTCGATAATTGGGATTGATACAGGAAAAGGTGAAGATTTGGTGGATTTTAAGGTCATCTCCGCTTTTTTTAGCGAAACATTTGACTTTTGGAAAATTCCAGCGAGTATAATTTTCAAGAATTTTATTGAATTGTGGAGCACCGAGCAGAGGCAATAAATTTTCAAATATTGATTGAAGAAATTTAGATAAAACGAGGCTCTTTACTGACAGGTGCAAGCGTCTTTTACTGTAGTCGCGGCTTCTGATTCACTGTAGCTCATGCTCGATTTGCGAGATCGATCGCGAGACAGTATAACTTAATTCTGCGAAGGACAGTAGCTTTCGTCTAATAAGACGAGTTTCTAAATTAGAATCGATTAATAAAGTGGTTCGGTGCACATTTGCTCGATTGACGAAAAAAGTATGAAAGAAAAGCGGATTAGGGTCAAAAAACAGGTCAAGCTTTAGCAAAGTCTTGTTTTAGAAATCATGCTTTTTTATGATTTTCAAAATGTCATTGACCTGTATTTTACGATTTTTCGGCGAAACAATTTTTTCTTACAAGTTGTTTTACTTTCATAAAATCGTTGTTGACCCCTTAATTACCCTTGCCGCCAATGTTTCTCTGTTTATCTTCTCTTTCCCTGAGAATTGATATGTATTTGTGATGTTTGGTTGGTTTAACTCGTTCAAGGCCAGTGCCAACACCTTGGCGCCTAGAATCAAGTGGGGAGTAAATTTGTTTTTGTCAAAAATTGACCGACTCCTCCAATCGAACATTGGAGACCATCTATCTTGACAAGGAGTCAAAGACGCGGTGCCGCGGCGATCTTGACTGCTCAAGAAGCCAAAACTCGAGCACCTACTTTCCGGTTTTCAGAAAGTTTGCCAATAGTGTCAAATTTGGCACAGTTTAGAAAGACTTTTTGAAATGTTAGAGTGCTTCTAAATATGACCTTTGGATACGGCAGAATCTTGGAACACTCTGAAGACAAAGACTAGGGCTAACTTTACCTGGCTGAAGTTAGATTTGCCTTCATCATCAGTGTCCCAAAAAAGGTTGGTCTTACTAAGACCATCAAATTCTTGAAATACCAATCTATTGAAATCATGAGTACCACAATTTTAATTCGTGTCAGTGATCGAACAATCATTGACTAATCTGATTGTTTTCAGGAATTATGGTGTTTAGTGGATATTTTTCTGTGTGAACAGGCGGCGCTCCTTCGCTGGGTGGAGTCGCGCGCGGCTCTCTCCAAAAAATCGCAGATCGAATCTTCCCCCATTATTTCGCCGCCCTTGGTAGCCCAAAAAGACAAAAGAAAAAAATTCCCATTTTTTTTGAAAACAGAGCCAGCGCACACAGAAGGAGATCGATTTTTGTATTTTTCCAAGTAGAAGAAAAAGATGGTCGTAGCGACGGTAGCTGAGTCCGGAAGAAAAAGCGGAAATGTCTCCTCCTTGATTTCCAAATTCAGAGCACTTGACGAAAATGCAGTTGCGTTCCCAAACAACCCCTCGCGGGCTAACCCCAGGCGACACACCGTAATGGGGGTGAACATGAAGATTCCCCCAGCGCGTGAAGCATTCTCCGTCCCCAACTACGCCCCTAAAGTCATCCCCAAGCGTGGCCCCTCTGCGTTTATCCCCACGGGCTCTACGGGTTCCTCCCCGCCATCCCCAGAAATAACCCCGCCCCAGAAAAGCAGCGTTACAGTTCAATTACGGCCAAAACCACGACCATGTTCCCTCCTCCCACGATCTGAAACGAGCACTCCCGATATTAAAAAGGAGGATGAGGCGAAACGTAACTCAGCCCTCTTTCTCAGCAGCGTGATCAGTAGACGAGCAACGATGCTCGACAAGCCTGCAGGATATAATTGCGCGGCTCCTAACACTATTGATCAGAGCAAAAAAGAATCAGCGATCGCCGACCTGAAGCGAAGAACTGACCAGAGAAAGGCAGAACTGACGAGAATTCAATCGATGCCGAACGGTGGAACTTCGGGAGCGGCCGCGGCGAGGAAGAAATTCATGTCCAGACTCGGCGAGGACAATCCAGAGTAAGTTCTTAGCATTTTAGGAACCGAATTTCTTAGCGTGAATACACAAAAACATGAAAATAGGAAAATTTTTACGAGGACCGTTTTTCAACACATTGTAAAATCTTACCACCTGTTTTCCCAGCTTTAGACTTTACTCGAAGTAGTCAATGATTTGAAATTTGGAATAAGTAAAATAGAAAGTTAAAGTATCTGGTCAAGAAAAAAAGAGACTTGATAAGACACTTATTTCTCCATTTGACGGTCAGAGTACTTACGCCAATCATAAATTATGTGTTTTTAAAATGCTAAATACTCTTGATCAATCAATCATCATTCTGGACGTGAGAACGGGTGGATAATAAATTTTCGCAGCAACTATAACGGCAAATGATTGTATCAGAAATAGAAAAACTTAAAATTGCGGGTCTTCTTTCATTTTGGGCACGCGCCAGGAGATACTCCTTCATTAATCAGTCAATGGTCCATGGCCAGAGTAATTATCAAAGAAGACGGCCAAGAGCAAATTGATCCATCAATCTTAATAAAGCTCGGTCTTCAGGATTTCTGTCATGAAATTTTAATTTCGTCTTGGCAAGAAAAAACCCCAGTGGGTGGGGATCACAACAATTCATTCTGGCTTCTCTTTCCGGTTGAATGTATGAGTTAATAAACCCCTAGCTAAGTCCCTAATTCACGCCCGACTTAGGCTTCCGGTATCAAACAGCTGAGCGCGTGAGTCAACCGGAAAAAATACTCGCATGAAATTATGGGGTTCTTCTTACTCTTGAGGTTTTATCGTGTTTTTTTAGAAATCGAAAGCTGAGACGATCGAATACGATTTCTGGCGGCGGCCCAACGGGTGTCAAAAGTCTTCTGCTCAAGTGGTGCCAGGTAAATCGCTTACAGTACATAATCGACGCTAATGAGTAGTTCCAACAATTTGGTGAAACGCCAAATCTTCAGAGAAAAAATAGAGCCATAAAGTTTGATTAATAGTCTCTGAAGTCTCTGTAGCTACTACAAACTATTTGCTAAATGGATATGACATTGATTGGTTCAGGTGCGGTGCAAGGATTATCCTGTTGAAGTGAACAATTATTCCTCGAGCTGGGCAGATGGAAGCGCCTTCTGCGCCCTGACCCATTCCTTCTTCCCCGATGCCTTCAAATGGGAAGATGTTATTCTCAACACAGACAACAACGACGAGAGAAGGAAAAACTTCACTCTTGCTTTTGACACTGCTCTGTAAGTAGCCCCCTCTTTAACCCGATCTCTAAACCTCTCTTTCAGTGAAAAAGCTGATGCCGAGCCCTTGATCGAAGTCGAAGACATGATCTTCATGGGCAACCGCCCCGACACCAAGTGCATCTTCTGCTACCTCCAGTCACTGTACAACAAACTACGTAAATTCGAACAGCCGATCGAAAAGAAAGACCTAGACGTTTGAAAATATCAAAGATAAAACAATATGAAGCAGCCACCTTGTAATTCTCTTCAAGTTCGTTCCTGTACAAAGAAAAAAGCACCGAAAATGACACAACACACTTATAAAAAAATAGCAGGGTTGAAACTATTCTTTTTTGCACTTTCTTCACGATAACCTTATAATTTTTGGGACAATCCTTTTTCTGCAAAGTGTTCAACTTTTTCTAGTTACTGTAACTTTCAAACAATAAAGAAGAATCCAACCCTGACCTTTTCGTTTCAAGTTTATGCATGCTGAGAACATTTCATCTGGGCCAAAAATGACAAGTGATGGAAATTGAGATATCAACGAGGAATGCTTTTGCTACCCGTTTTGCTTGAAATTTAGCCAGCCATGAATGCAAAATAGCAAGTGGGGTCGAACGGGAGCCATTTTACGTCGTATTTATGTGCGATTTACAGTTCTACATAAAACGCATTCAAAGTCGATGCCAAGTGTATCCGCTTTCATTTTTTCTTGCGGCTAAGAACTGCTTGCTTTCAACAAAATAATGCCTGAATGACGAGCCAACGTAGAACTCGGAGCTTTTTGAGTCCTGGATGTTGCTAGATATCTTTGTGTCTTTATTAACAGTTGATTTTATAAAGGAGGTAAAGGAAGAGTATTGAAGACTCAATATTTATAGGCTATACTTTGGGAGCAGCTCGTCTTCCGACTCGGAAGTTCCGAGGAAAATAATTAGCATAAGAAATGTCCGGAAGTAAAATGAACTGACCCAAAAATATACTAAAAGCATTCACATATAAAGTGAGAACATATAAGAGCGATGAAGATCGGTTCATTTTATCAAAGAAACAGAAGTTTTCAAATAATTCGGGAAAATTCTGTAATTAGCACAAATTAAAATGTACAGCAAAATTAAAAGCTAAAGTTTCTAGCATATGAGCTGGCATGTAGAGATTAAGTTTAGTTTCAATAATTGTGAAAGCGTTGGCAGTTACAAAAAACGCTGTTATAATGGACAGCTCTAGAGGTAGTATGGCTTGGATACGAAGTCCTGATCCGTGATTTCGTGGTGAATATGATCTCCAATCAGGGTAGCAAGCTTGTGCGCGTACTGGCACGGCGCTGGAACGCGAATTGTACCGGGCCAGTTGAAGTAAAGGTGTGTCAGCTTGTAGCTGATCATTTGGATTCTGTCCGCACTGAGGTTTAGCGTCGTATCGTAAATCACATTATAGTGGACGGGAGTGACAGTACCCTGTCGCACTTTTTGGGAGACAAGGAGGAAATCGTACATGTCTCGTCGAGTGATTTTGGAATCGACAACTGTACCGGGGTAGGGGTTGTCTTCTTCACCCATGTCGTTGTACCGGAAGAAACGCTGGTTGATTTGTTTCTATCATTAGGTTATAAAACTTTTTAATTTATCGCTCATTTGAAATTTCATAAAAGTTGAGATTCGTTAACCGCTCCTTGAGCACAATGTATAAGAGCTCTGGTTCCTGCGCCCAACCTCCAGGCCCGATGTATTCTTTGAGTTTGTCCTGGATCTGTGGCAACTCGTGCTTGTGAATGTACTCGAGCTGACCATCGCCGACTCCATCTCTGTAGATGATAATTCGACTCGGAAGGTTATCGTCGTTGAAGTACTTCCAGGCTTCGATAGCACCTTCCATCATGTGGGCTATAAATAAACTTGACTTGGAAGTTCAAAAAGAAGCACATACATAAGCCGTCGGATATTTCTTGCTTGGAGGACATCTGCACGATCTGGGAGTACCATCGCGTCGCATTCGTGTTGTAAGAGCTGACAAATCCTGTCAAGTTCTTGCCTTTTCGGTCAGTATCGTGGTAGGTGTCGATACCAACGATCATGGTGTTCTTGATATTCATCTTCACCTGCCAAGGAACACCACCGAGCTTGCAAGACATTTGCATCGCGACTAAACAGATGAACAACCCAATCAAGTGACAAATTAGTACCTTTGAAAGCAACAGCAGCGATTTTGTCATCCGCCATGATGGTTGAAGTGAGCAAGCACTGGCTCATTACAGGAGGATTTCGCTGTAGGCAAGCCAATTTGACGTTGGCGTACACATCAGCTTTTCTCGATGGCAAAAGGACAAATAACATTTCAGTCGGAACGCCCTTAAGATTGCATATTGTTGACTGATAGTATTCGATTGAAGACAAGTTCAAAGTCACATGTGTATTTATATCTTTACCTGATTCCAATGAGAATCAAAGATCTCCGCGATGGCGTAGTTAATGTCATCCTTCCGATCAGTATCGACGCATCGAACTGTGGGTTCGTCAATGATGAAGCCAATCCTTTTTCCCTGATCTTTGAGATGGTTGAAGAAGGAATGTGCTCTCTTTTGGTCCCTCTTTGTGCAAACGAAGCCCCAACTTCGAAGAGGTTGCGTCTCGATCATGTGCCAGTCTTTAATCGTCCTGTCCCAGTCACCATCTTTGCTGCCAGGCAGAATTTTCAGAACGTGATCGCCTGGATTACGCAAGATCAAGTTCTCTGGTGGCAGTTCACGGCCGCGGACGTTGAAGAGCTCCTCTTCTCGATCGGCGTGTTGATCTTCGTTGCCGATCATCATTCCCCACTTGTCCATGTATTCCTTCGAGGCCTGCGTATCCATGCCTTTTGAGGTTCAAAATTAAATTCATTCAAAGCGAAAAGTAAATTCTATCGTCTAAAGAACCCTCCCTGATGTTTCATTTTTGCCCTTCATGTATTTTATGAGCTTACGAAGTTCATTCGCTCGCTGTTGCGGACTCTTTCGGGTGTGGACTGCAAGATCTCGCATCACGCGAAAGTCCTTTCTCGTCTTTTCATCAAGTCCAGTCATGTTGCAGAGCTCTGGAATAAGATGATTCGTATCCGCACCAACAGCTCGTCTTTGCTGCCTCTTCTTCGGACGATTTACCAGAAGAGGTTGATTATGAGGCGATTTTATTTGTATCTTGAAAAGAAGATAGATAAACGGTTTTATGGAAAGAACTTACATTATATTGATCGGCATAGAACTCAGTGTAAGTGAAGAGGCTGCCGTCTGCCTTTCGGACAAGACTTTGTGGATGCTGGGTCCAGTCGATGTCGTCGATTCGGTACGTTTTGTTGTTGTAATGGGTTCTTACTTGGATGCCGATGATTCTTTTCGACACTTCTTTTTTGAAGAGCTCCTGTAAGCCGAGGTTTTTCACTAGAAAAGCAACCGTCAAAACCGATAATTACAAAAATCTTACGATGAGGCTTGGTCGCAATCGCTTCCAAGCATTCTTTGTAGCATCCTTGAAGAACGTCTTTGACGGTGAAGTTTGGAATGACCTTCGCACGGATATTTGCGACCATGAACAATCCAGCTTCGTATGTGTTGATGGCGAAAGTGTAGCCAGGCCAAACCTCGAAGGTTTTTCCTCCAGAGTGAACTTCCGCCGCGCGCGATCTGAGGAAAAAGCTTCGTTGAACTTGTTCCAACGAAAGATTTTCTAAAGAGGAGTAAAGAAGGAGTGACGGCCAAATGGTCTTTTACCTTTCATATTTTTTCGATTGATCAAGTTCATGACTTGAATACCGAGCGGGTTGTTAGGGACGAAAGTGTTTGAGAGCGTCAGCGACACTTCGATAATTTTGCCCGTTTTAACGCCATCTCGACAGTCCTCAACCTTGAAGATCGCTTTCTTGTCGTCGATCGGGCTGAAGGAGAAAATCATCGTTCCTTCGAAGATGTAGAGTGGAGGGAAGATATCAGCGAACTGTTCAGCGATGTAGTCGATCAAGTCCTCTCGCTTGATAACATCGTCCACGGAAGGTTTGAAATCAACTCGGTATTGATACCACGAGATGTCGCGACCTTCCTCATCTCGCATCATATTTCTCATATCCACCTTAAGTTCGGTTGTTAATAACGTGATAAAAAGGAAGATTATTTTCTTACCCGATAAAAATTGGATGACAGAATGACTTCTGTGCCAGAGCTTCCGTAAAACTGGCCTTCTTGAATCTTCAACTTCATGGAAGGTTGAAGAAATTTGCTTTGATCGAAAGTATCTTCTTCCAATCGCTTTTGCTCCTTAGTCATTTCTTGGGCTTTTACTCTTTGTGCAAGGGAGCCATGACCGGGACTCGGAGGGCCTTCAGAACCTCCAGAGAACTGGCCAGAGTCGGAAGAATGTTCTTCCTTGGGACCTCGAGATCGTGTAACTGGCATTGGTGCGCGTCCTGACGGTCGGTATCGTCCGCCAATCGTCGCTGCCTGCATTCCCTGGGTGATGGCATTGATGGAATCCCTTTGCATTTGTCGCGTTTCCGGAACTGGAGCTGAAGGGACGGGAGAACGGGCGATTGCTCCTCGACCGCGGCCAATGCCTATTCGTCGCTGGATTCCGCTGTCCATCGTGAAATTTGTGTCACTTCCGATTTAGATTCTCTATCAATAACTTTCTAAAAAGAAAATGAAATTGTGGGGGTTAAATGTGGCAGCATGTGTTTTCTGTGTTAATCAAAAGTTTAAGAAACGTTGAACTCTGACGATAAAATCTAAAAAGTGATTGGACAGCGATCGGCGACGAGTGGCAGTATATCGGCAGTTTTGAGACGCCAGTTGTTGATGTCCTTGGAGATCTTGCACCAGCGCTCACCGTGCTTTGGCTCGGCCTTGGCGCAGGAAATGGTGACTTCCTGTAGTTGGGCTGAATATAATGATTTCAGAGCTGATCTTGACATGAAAGTTACCTTCGGTCCCGTGAGCATCTTCAAATCGTCTTCTAAAGGCCCATCCATCGCCGAAATCCGGGTCGATCTTCGTGCATTTCTTGAACCATTCTCTTGCTTTGTTAATCCTTCTCTCTGACCAGAACATTCGAGCTACTGCAAGGAGAACTTGGGGATCGTGCTCGCATTTTTTCAAGGCATCGATTGATTTTGTCTAAGGAAAATTAAAAACACAGGTATCTCGAAAAGAATTCCGCTTCAACTTAACATCTAGAAAACTCGAAATGCGAATTAGTCATCAATAAGAGCGACAATCACAGCTCAGGTATTTTTATGACCGTGAAATTTTCAGGTTACCTTTCGAGCTGGCCTCGAAGCACACTCGATTGCTTCCGCCCAAAGTGATCCTGAGGCGGCACACTCTTGCATCGCCCTAGAAAGGAGACGGTCTGCGATTTCATTTCCAGAGACTCGTTTTTCCAATTCGATGGCGCGCTTCCACAGTTCTGGTGAAGCAGGGTTCTTGAGACGAGCTCGCTCAAGAACTGATCTTGCTTTCACTGGATTGCCTGTTTTCCGGGTCGACGTAAACTCGAAGAGATACAAAATCTTACGGGTTATAAAAGTCAAAATGTCAGACCCCTGCCTTCTCCTTCCTCTAAATCGGCCAGAAGAATCCACAGCGGTTTGGAATCTTTGCAGTGCTCGATTCCCTTCGCAAAGGCTTTTCTCGCCGCGTGAGCGTCTAAAACGATCGTTGAGAAAGAGTAGCGGTAATTCTTCTGACCTTTCATTTGCAAGAAGATTGTTCCTTTCATCATCCACAGCTTGTCAAATTTGGAGTATTTCGCGAGTCCTTCGTCAAGGAGCGAAATCGCATTTTCCAACTCACCGAGACACCATTCCAATTTCGCCGATTTCATCATGACTCGAGGAGAAGAAGCTGAAGACCTGTTATATCGACTTTCAGATGTATGAAATTTACCAGAAGTTCTCGCTCTGGCCAAAATCTGCCGCGCACGCAGCAGTTCATTATTCTCAGACTCGAGTTTCACCGCAGCGAGCCAGATTTCCTCCGATTGCTGGTTCGATTCAAACGCTTGCTCAAGAATACCACGCGCGCTTCTGATGTCGCCCTGTTGCCACTTAGACTTTGCGCCCATCAGCCACAGCTTTTCTTCGCGGGGGCAGGCTTTTACTGCCCGCTCGAGCATGTTATCATATGACTCCTAAAAGGAGGATGAAAAGAACCAAAAGACCGTGTTTTTATCAAACCTTTGTTCCGTATTGTTTTTCCAAAAACGCCGCTCGAAGCCAAATCGACTTCTTGTTCTTAAACTCGTCAAGTGCATATGCATAAATCGCTCTGGCGCAGTGAATTGATTGATTTGCAATACACTCGTCTGCGTCTGTCATCCAGATATGTTTTCTGTCCTCTTCTTCGATTCCTTCACCGATGATTGCGTTGATGATAGCTTGTGCAGTTGCTGGGGCGCCAGCTTTTTCCGACTTTTCAGCTTCTTTGATCCATTCTTCTCGAGTTAGCTCGACGGCATTTGCACGAAGGGCTTCCAAAGCTCGCTTGATGACAATTGCACATCTTTCCGACTTAAAAAAAATCAACGATAACTTCCAAAAATCCAACAAAAGTACCTTTCCATTCGCTTCCTCGAGCTTTGCAGCGGTTATCCAGATACTTTTATCAGTCGGAATAGTAGCTCGAGCTTTATTCAAGACTTTTCTAGCGTTATCATACGTCTCCAGCTTTGCGAGGGCGAGCCAAAGCTCTGCTGAACTTGGACAACACTAAAATATTCTTAAAAATCAACATGAAACAGCATTAAAAACCTCAACGGCACGAGTAAGTAACTCTTTTGCATCGTCAATCTCTTCAAGCTCAACTGCTGCTTTCCAGAGTCGAACAGCATTTGGAATATTCTCCAACGCTTTTTGATAAACTCTTCGTTTGGCCTTTTTCTCTTTTTCCAAATTGGCGGCGGCGCACCAGATCCTGACCGAGTTGGGGATTTCGGCCACGGCGGCGGCAAATATTTTCTTTGCTTGGTCAGCCGGGGCCAGACGGGAAGCCTCGAGCCACACATCCTCGGATTTGGGACATTTGTCTGTGCCTTGCATGATTAAAACTCTAGCTTCCGCCAGTCTTCCGACGACTTCTTCCAATCTGGCCGAGCCGATCCATGCTTGTGGCTGCTTGGGGTTCGTTTCTCGCACGGATTTCAGCAGCAATCGGGCTTTTCGCACGTCTTGGATGTCCCCATTGTAGCTTGGAAGCATACTCTGCATATCGGTCAAGTATCCCGTCGGGTCGACAACTGTTTGTCCGGACACAGAGTCGGACACTTGCTTCAGTTTCACATCCATAATTTGATTTCGCGCTTTTCCGAGTCTCTCCATGTCCAATTCGCCCGTTAGAGAAGTTGCAGTACCTCCTTGGACGTTTTTGTCGAGTGTGTTTGTTATCTGAGTGAGATTTCTTTGCATATTGATGAGCGAATCTGGAATGGGCGTTTCTTTGTCGTATCTTCCAAAGCCTCGTTGTTTTCTGTTTCGACCGTCGCCTACTTCTGGAATGTTTATCCACTCGTCGTGGCTGACTCCCTTCAACTCTCTTTTCAAATCTGAGAATTGCTCTTGAATCTTCGGCCTTTCGTCTCGATACTTTTGAAGCATTTCTTGTTCCTTCTTCTCCCTGTATATTTTGCGTCGCTCGTCCATTTTGCTATCAATCGACTCGTAAATCTCGTCTGCTTCTTTGTCGTCTTTGTCATACGTAGAGCCGCGGAAGAGGTTGATGTTCATGTAGCCATTGAACTCGTCAAAGTTTGTGTCATTGAGATCTTCTTCGTCAGAATCTGTTCGCCGTTGGTCGATTTTTAACTTCCCCTCGAGCAGCTGTTTTCGGAGCTGGTCACCTACTGTCCTCTTGAAAAAACACGCTGATAAGGGAGTACTTAGATTTGAATCTTACCTCGCCAGGAGCAGCGTGGCGATCATCCGTGGGATCGGAGATATCTCTAGCTGGACCGATATCAGAACGGGTGGTAAAACCAGTGGCACCACGACCCAATCCGGGAACATAACCAACGGGCGCTTTCTGCCCTAGAAAAGGCTTTTGCTTTCTCTTGACTCCGTCGATATTTTCCATTCTAGGAGTCTAAATAAATGGTAATACGGTGTCTTTGGAATCTAATTTCATTTCGAAAACATACAGAAATAGAGCTAGAACTAATTTTAGCGACGAGAACAGAAAAGTAAATACGTTCCTTTTTGTTTTATAATCGTTGTTTCAAATCGCTGTCATCTTTTTTTGTTATCGGTTGGTCGCGGAAACTAGCTTTTTTCGAAATCATTCTTAATTTAGTCTAATTTTCTAACTGAATATTTATTAAAAACGATTTTTTCAATAATAATGCGCAGTCTGATGCGTGGCAGGGGCGAATAACTTGGTAAAATGGCTAATTGATGGGATAAAGTGGCGCAAACTTTGCGCCGCAAAGCCGGATAACTCTCAAAAATGGGAAGTAGAACTGTCGACCGTGGAAAAAACTGACTACTATAATAGGTTTCTAAAATCAGGATGGCTTCGAGGCCAAGTTGAAATGGCATTTCCGGAATTTATCCGGAACATTTCCGAACTCTGTTAACACATTCTTCTGTTGAGCCTCTTGTCTTTTTCTTTCCTTTTCTCTTTTTTCGAATCTCGCAAGCATCAAGTCCATCTTTTCTAAGAAAAAAAAATCTCAGAAAAATTGATAAAGATGAGCGTTATTTACCATCAACCATGGCAAGAATGACTGCGTTTTCATCCGGTTTCTCAAGTTCTTCAATTGACTCATCTGTTTTCTGATCGTTTTTCTAAGAAGGAACTGCTTATTAATCCTCGAATATGCAATTTTTTTACGATATCGATGACTCGGGGAGGATTTTCCAAGTTGACATGCTCTTCCGTTGTTTCCAACGCCTTTCGCTCGAACTTTCTCATTTTTCTCGTCACTAGAATTTCACAAGAAGAACGAGAACAAAACGAAGCCTTACTTCTATCTTGGGAAGGTTGGGCATCTTCGCCATCAGAAAACTCGCTGGTTTCGGATGGCATTCGCTGCATCAATTTACGAGTGCCTTCTATGATTTTCTTTTGCTGGTCGTACTGTTTGCTGGATTTGTACGTTCCTTCGAGTGCTTGTAGCTGACGATTTGTAGAAGCCGGGCTGGTTGAAGTTTGGCTGTTGAACATTGCGATTCTTGTGCTCTGAACAAAAAATGCTGTTATGATGGAAAATTCGATAAACATTTCTCTCGAGTTGAAACAGATTTTTATTCTTCTTGCAAAAACTCTTGGTAAAATAGAGGGAAGTTCTCTCTATTTTTGATCCCCAATGCTAAAGCAATTGCTCCATTTGGAGTCCTTTTCGATTTTTTGGCTCTCGTGGGAAAAATCATCTTTTTTCGAGGGTATTACGTCAAGCGAAATGGAGGATGGGCGGCGAAGGAGGAGGGAGTCTGCTGGAAGATAAAATGTGATGGACCCCCTGGTTTCGAAATGCAGCTGCATTCGAGAACAGCCGGTTTTTTCTAATTTGGACAAAAAAAAATTCAACAACACGGCCGGATTTCTCTCTTCCATGATCAGTTTTCAGAGGGAAATTTCTCCGAATAGCATTTCCTACTAAATTTTTAGCAGAATGTGTAAGAAACTCGCGATATATTTGCATATAGAGGGCAAATATTTTACTATTATGAAGTCAAGAAAGAATTTTTATAGCTTTCTGTTCCAATACTTTTTATTCAAATTTATCGGATATTTACAGAAATTAAAAGTTTTAAACCATGGGCTGGGCGATGACACCAGTTGGAGTGCAGTTGGGAGTCGAGGTGTAGTCTCCGGGCGTACCGTAAGCACATGGACCCTCTGCATCAGCTCCAGAAGATCGGACAAAGTTAGACTCGAAGAGATTTTGAGAAAAGTCCGACTCGTAGCTGGGGACTTCGTACATGGTAAGAGTTGGGTAGATCTAAATGATTTTTAGTACTGATTTTAAGGGTGATTTTGTACCTGCTTAGTGCAGTAATCACATCCGGTAGCATCGCTCACTGTTGTAGAGTCGCAATTGTTAGTCATTGGGTTGTCAGAGAGAACTCCTTTGTAGCAATCGAAAACGGTTTCGTCGGGGATCTTTGGTAAACCCGCATTTCCTCCTTGAGCTGGGTATGGAAGGAAGTTGCAGACACCTCGGTTAGAACCGGGGGTGTCAGCAGTGTCTGGTGTTCTGGGAGCGTCAAGGTACATATCATCGGAGTAAGTAGCGAGGCAGCAAGCACGGCAAACGGAAACACCGAAAGGCAAGAGTTCGGCGTTACCATTAGGTCCGTTAGTTCGGAGACACTGGCTCTGGTACCAGCCGCCATGTCCATAAGCGTAATGGTTCTTGCTCATGGAGGTGAGGAACTGCGAGTTGAGTTGGTCGTTACCATTTTGAGCAGGGTGAGACAAGCAACCACCGATACCGTAGTAGATGTAGGCGGTGCCGGTTTTGTTGTTTTGGTCGAATGTTCTGCCTCGAGCAGCCTCTTGGTTGTAAACGGGGGAGATGAATGGAAGAGCGTTGAAGCTAGTGTTGTCGGCGTCATTTCGTTCAACCTGTGGATGGTTCATCATCTGAGCACAACCGGCTCGGATTCCAATGATCTGACCAAAATGAGCTCGCTCCTCGATGAAGCAGTAGAGTTCCTCGCCGACGCACTCGACCTGGTTGTAGTGGGCGAAGTAACCGTACTTGGAAACGTCCCATCGGTAAATATGGACGGTATCCTTGGTTGAGTGGCAGAATCGGCCATTACCGTGCTTTTTGCCATCAGTACCGTAACCGTATGCGCCAGAGGTGGCAGCACCTGCCTTACCGCCGTAAAGGGAGAGGTTGTTGTCGACGGAGTAGTCAGAGTAAGTCCATCGGTCGGAGCCTTCATCCTGGGCGGCGGCAGCGGCGAAAAGGACGGTGGAGAGCTTCATTTATTGTTGCTTGGATCTCTTATCGAGTTATCGAAACCAAGTTCTTTCACTAAAAGGAAATTTTATATCTGCTTCATGGACGCCCGATCTCTCAAGATTTCGTAATCTTGCCGCGCGAACAAACCTTGTCGAGTTTCTTGCCGATTGATGGAACAGGATTTGTTATAAGGCAGCGGTCAGCGCTCTTTTTGGACCGTTGTCAATGACGTTCTTATTTGTAAATATTTCACTCTTTTGATGAACCTCAAGATTTATTCGCAATGATTAGAAAAGCGAGTCCGGCTCGATTTATAAATGCTGAACTTCTAAAGAACATCCTGCTTACTGATGCTATATGCTAGTGCAGTATTTTTTCAATTTTCCTGCTCTATCCGCGCAATAGCAATACAACCACCAATAAGACGGGATTTTTCCACAATACTTATTGGATTTTTGCTGCAAGTCTCTGCTAGTATCTGTTTACTTTATTTACAAATAAAAATAGAGAAGATGGATAATATGGAAAAGTTGGAAGGAGGCAGTTACTATTTTGATTTTTTCTTGTCTTCGCTCTTTTTGAACATTTGAAAAATTGCGCTGCTTTGAACAGATCCCGTTATCTTTGGAGGAGTCTTCTTTGGTCGGCCTCGTTTGGACTTTGCAGCCGTTTTCGGTGGTTCTTTTTTAACTGAAAAATTTTATAAAATTTGCAACCGTTAAAAACAAATTACCGTGATTGACAATCGGTTTTGTTTTCAGCCCAGAGAACTTTTTCATGAGCTCTCGTTCTTTTGGATCAGATATTATGCTCTCCAAATACGCATCCATGCTGTTTTCATCGATATCTCGGTACTCTTGGACAAGTGGCGCTGCTTTTGGAAACTTTGTCGTTGGGACAGGAGTGGAGGGAGTCGAACTCACGAAAGAATCCCTTGAGTTTGAGTTTTCTTCCGGAAGAAAGAGATTCATCTTTGAAGTTCCAGGGACATTTGTCATGTCTATAAGAGGGGGTTCTCTAGAATTACTGTCTTCGTTTGATCTCATCGAGCTCCAGCTGGTTTCTCTCTTTATCTTTTTCGCCTTACTTTCTGCAAATAAAGCAGTGATTGATTTAGTCTTAATCATTTCCTTCTTCGATTTTCTTCCTTTGGTTTTGAGGGGTGAATTATCTGTCTTCGCTTTCACCCAGTTGACCTTTCCTCTACGTTCCTTTTCGTCAATGATTGCAAGATCACGATTTTCCTGGTAACATTCGTGCGTGAAAAATGTACTCCCGAAGTGTTTGTTCTCTTCCTTGATTTCCATCGCCTTTTTGTACTTGAGCGATACTTTTAAAATGCTGATTTTCTGTCTTTTCCACATAAACTCCATTCTTATCAGTTCTTTTATCGCATCACCAATGATCTCTTTTTCCCTGCTTTTCTTGGAAAGACACTCTTCGCGCTTGAATGTGATTCCGGCATCATTTTCTACGACCACAAGAACTGTATCCCCAACGCATTCTTCGTCAAGACATTTTTTCGCAAGAGCCGCGGCAACTTCATCAACAACGGAATATATATCCACAGGATTATCAGATGGAATCGTAAATTTGTACCCTTGATTGATGGTTAATAGGTCTTCGTATCGCTCAGCTGCGACAGAAAAATGAAACAGTCCGAATTCGCGCACATCACAGCTCATAAAAACCTAAACGAAAAACTTCTTTTACTATATTTTTCTTCAATAAGAATATATCCTTAAATATTGCACAAGCATGAATTGCATGCAAGAAGAAGCTAAAAATGTAGTCTAAGAAAAAATCTAACAAGGCACGGTAGGATTCGATAACAAGTTGCGAGAGCAGTTGCTTTTTCAAAGCTGTGTAAGAATCGAGTCTAACTGACTCGTGAATGCTTCGAAGCTGAAATTATCGGCGACATGTTGGGCGCAAACTCTTGATCTTTCAGTTTTGTTGAACTCTTCAATAAACTTTGAAATCGTCTAAACAAAGAGTAATTATCAGCTAGGATAATTTGCTCATACCTTCGCCATTTCAATTTTTCCGAAAGGCTCAGGAACAAGCAAACCAGTCTCCCCATCCTTCACAGTCTCAAGTGGCCCACCAGATGCCATGGCAATAACAGGAACTCCTGCAGCCATGGCTTCGAGAGGAACAATTCCAAAATGCTCGCCGATTGGAGTGTAAACGTTTACATTTGATTTTTGCAAAAGGAAAAGCTTGTCTTCATTTGACAAGTCACGAAGAAGTTGATAGTCGCCTTCTGGGCCTTCAACGAATCCATGGTTACCAGCCGATTTCTAGCGATTATAAAAACTCAGAGAATAGCCAGAAACAAACCTGAAGTTCTTCAAAATGCTCGACATTTTCGTCATTCTGAGGATCATATCCCCCTCCATGAATAAAATGAATTTTCGTCTCCGGAAACTGCTTTCTAACAAGTGCCAGCGCTTCAAATGCGATGATCAGCCCCTTTTTTCGTTCATAACGATTGACTGATGAAATAACAAGCTTGTCAGAGGGGATTGTGAAGCGGTTGGGCTTTCTTGCTTTCTTGGCGAAGACTTTTGTTTGCAGCGCTAAGGATGGTTTTAGTTGAAGGAATAGAATAACGAGGTTTACCTGGATATAGAACTCCAACTGGAATATCTTTCAGAGACTTGAATGTTTCGCGAAAAACTCGAAGAGTGAATGAAGAGTTGACAAGAATCTTAAAATGAAGAAGTTTTTTGCTCCGTTAAGTTTTTACCTTGTGAGCTTGGCCAGTCGAATATTCTTCAAATTTATCCATTGGAAGTCTGTACAAGCTTTTGAGCGCACTGCCGGGTTTCGACAAGAGCTGATCCGGATAGTGGCAGTAGAACAGGATCTTCGCCTTGGATAGTAGTCGCAAGATTGGAACACAATGAGAGACTTGGTCGACGAATATTACATCTGCTTCCTTTGCTTGAGTAGAAAAGAGGCAAAGATAGACAGCGGCGAATATCATCCGCATGTACATGCATGCAGCGCGGCATTTCCCGAAGATCGACCGAGGCATCCAGTCGCAGAACACAGTCACTAAAAAGTAAGAAAAGGGCGAAGAACGGATGATACCTGGAAATGTTCCATTTCTTGTTTCTGGGAAACAATGTCCCGGATCATGATAAGTTGTGGCGAAAGAAACTGTGTGTCCCTTATTTTTCAGAGCAAGCCCGGCATCACAAACGAGTCTTTCGGCGCCTCCTATCCCCAAATCTGGGTGGAGAAACAACACTTTCATCTGAAAGCACAATGTCTGAGTTAATTGAAGTGATTGGTGATTGATTTTTCTTGTTTTCAAAGAGGCAAATTTTTGTGATAAATCAGAAGTAATATCTGTTTAGTCCTGAAGAAGAAAGGAGACATGGAACTTCAAGAATCAGCGCATAAAATATTCATTTTTAGTAGTATTTGTTTGTTTCAATAATTTCTTTTGTATCAGTTGCAAAAACACACGCACGGCAAAGGAAAGTGTATGAACAGGTATAATAATTACCCGAACCAACCTTATGGCTCAAATAATCAAAAGAAGGTCGGACCATTTTTATGGCTCAGGAAAATATCAGTTATTTTTTCGGATGAACTGCTCGAGAGTAACGCGTGGTTTTTCCGCCGAGAAGGGAAGATCTTGCGCATGAATCATGATTCTGTCTGCTGTCATAACGAACCTAAACGAGAAATTATGACATCCATAGAGGAAAAGAAAACGAACGGTAATAGTCTCCAATTGATGACGTCCATGAACTCATCGTACAAATCTCGATACTGGTCATTTGAGACTACGATTCCATCTTCCGCCTTTGCCATATCCAAAATATATCTAAAAGAAGATAAGCTTTTCTGCTCAGCTGAATGAAAAAAACCTATCATCATAAGCCTGGATGAATTTCTTGGTACCCTTGTGGTATCTTCCCGGCGTGTATTTGATGATGTCTTCCTTTTCCATCTCTTCCTGCAGTTTTCTTTCCTTCTCTGGAATCTTCGGGCTTCCTTTATTTCCCTGTCGACTATGCGGGAGAAATACAGTAACGGAGCGACAGCCAAGACTCCAAAAGTGCTCGACAGTTATCTTGATTCCGATGATCGAAAACATCTCTGCCTTGTGCTGTCGTTTAATTTCGCCAACTTTCCCGTGGCTTCGGGCGATATTGGATCCATCTAAATTAGACCGATAATTCGAAAAGAGGAAATGCGGTTATTCTTACCAATAACGATCCGGCGACAGCTTGGATCGCCTTCTTCTCCTCCTGGATAAAGATTGCTGTATTGCGGATTCCAGGGGCACTTCAGTGTGTATCTGTCGGTATCACCTTCGTTTTTCTTCGCTTTTTGAACAGATCGGAAGCTCTGCTCGACTAAAATTGGAGCTATGCGGGGATTAACCACCGCAGCGAGATTTGTCCAACCTGGAATACTGTCTTCTTGTGTCCGAGGACTTGGAATTTCGACTGGCAGCGCGCTAAAAATGATGAAAAAGGCCGAAAATGAAAAATTTGTACTTGTCGGTTCCTTTTCTTCGTAGGTACTGAAATCTCTTCTTGGCATTGACGCCTGTATTTCCCTTCGTTTTCACATTAGGGAATTGAGCCTTGTTCTTGCTCAGAAAATTGTGAATGACTTCAATGAAGGAGAGGTAGTGGCGAGTGTGGTTTTCGCCGGAGTAGTAGAGCTCGAAATGCGATGTGAAATCTTTGAAGAGATCGCTTTTGTAAATGCTCATATTATATGCCTTCGAGTCTAGAAATCCAATTAGTATTTCCGATCAACAACAAAAGAATCACCTTCATAATTTTCAGTAAACCAAGCTTGGATGACATCATCTTCAATTCCAAGCTTCTCCATCGGCTCATCATCCTCTTCAATCGTCAAATCTTCCAAATCAAAGCTTGCCTCCAATTCAATTCTTCGAAGAGCTTCATTGACATCAACCCTCATCGATTTCTCGTTGCACTCTTCTATGATTTTCAACATCTCAAGTTGGGCCTTTTCGATGTTCCAGTTCTTATGTCGCTGTTCAATCTCTCTGATGATTTGTTGGCCAATTGCCTGGTTAATTGACGTGTCGAAAGCAGGCTCGGCTGGTGGAGCTGCAACTTTCTTGATTCTTTCCATCGCTTCCCTGTAATTTACAGGTCGATTTTGTTCCTTGCAGTCTTCTACGTAAACGAGCCATTCCATTTGAGCTCCTTCCAAATCCCAGTCGGGATTGATTTCCTGTAGTTCATTAAAAATTCGCTCTCCCATTTGATCAGGGTTGACTTCAGCAGGAGGTGCTCTGGGGTGGCTAACTTCGGAATCATCGAGGAGATTGACTATTTCCGGTGGTGTCGGAGCTCGCTGTGATGCGCGCATTGCTGCTTCTTGATTGAAATTAGACAAAAATGCGTTTCTGATTCTAGGTGGCGTGGCTGAAGGAACTGGAGCTGCGCGAACTTGTGAATTTTCATCGCGAATTCTTTTGAAATTTATGTTTTTTGAATTTAGATATCTCGATAGAAATCGTTTCGCGCCAAAGGGAAGTGCGTAAATCTGTCGTTTGTTGCTATCCGGCTCTTTTACTTCCCGAAAAATCATCTCAAGCTGTTCTTGGACGTGGTGATCAGTGGGCTCGTTAGGAGGCGCTGCTTTCCCATTGATGACTTCACTGAATTCAAGCAGCTGGGATAACACTTCCAGTCGACCATCAGCGTCCCCGAAAATAGCGATATCGTGAGAAGAAGAGTCTAACTGATCGAGACGGACATTGTTCTCCATTTCTATGATATTTCGCAGATGGCCACCGAGGCAATCTTTGAAAAGCGGTTTCAAAACTGAGGGAAACGGAATCACATCGCATTCGTTGTCGCTGTTGTACATAGCAAATGCGCCGAGAAAAGAAGTTGCTTTTGCAACACTTTCCTCTGTCGCCTGGCCACGCACTGGCACGGCTTCAACCGCAAATCCATCTTCAAAAATAGTAGAAAAGATAAATTGAGGGTGAGCTTACTGTTATGTTTTTGATAAGTGAGAGCGACACCAAAGAAATTGTTGAAGTCCTCTCTTCTTTCGCAAAGCTCATGGAATATTTTCGCTGTCATAAAAACCATCTTTCATTTATCTAAAGAGAAACAATTAAATCACTTACAATACTTTGAACTTCTTATTTAGCGTTCATGTAAAAACGGATATCTTTCCGCTTTTCAACTTTTTCTGGCAGTAATGGAATAATATGTTGATCGATCATTTCTTCTTGCCACTCGAGTTTTCGCAAAGCATAGCGTCGAATCCTTTCAAGATCTGGGACTGTGAACCGGATTTTCTTATCTTTGAGTTTTTCGACATTCGGGTAAAGATATGCATGTCTGGATCTATCGGAAGGAAAGTCCGCATCAATATTTAGCTTTTTCAGCTTCGACCGAAGAGGAATTCCGTTTGTTCCAGTAGTTAGGCTTTTGTGATGAGTTTTCCACCATTTCCCGAAAGTATTCAACGTGAGATGAGGATCGTCTGATCGTCGGTCGTCGAATTCCTCAAGAATTTTCAAAGCAGTCTTGCTTCCGACTGATTTTATGCCACCACAATAGTCAGATCCTGTTAGCTGGGCGAGAGCGATCAAGTATTCTCTTGAAAAATCAGTTTCGTCTATGTCGTATTTGATAGGGACCATGTTTCCAAGAGTGAGGCCCTTTATTACCACTTTACCACCGAACAAGAAAGTATCACCATCATCAGTAATTGTTCCCTTAACAATATAAGAAAAATATTCGATCGGGATCAGTACCTGAGTGATTCTATTCATCTCAAACTCCGCACACTGAGCTTCTGCTTCTCCTGGTGCAAAGAAAACCCCGCAGCCGAAGAGTGTCAGCATTTCCGCGGCGTCTTTATAAAGCTGTTGGCTGGGGATGGCAGTCAGCTTTACAGCCGATGAAAGCTTTTGAATCTGGATTGCATTTTCTTCGAGAATGCTTGCAGCGGTAAAGTCCTCGATACGCTCGGTAAGTTTCGCTTCTTGATGCGGTTGTTCAGATTTCATCTTGTCTGCGAACGATAAAGCCGTAATGTCCTCAATAAAACTGCGAATAATAGAGGAAAAGGTTTCCTCAATAACTTCGATTTCATAGGATTCTTCGACAAGCACATCCGAAACATATGAATCAGTTTCTTCTTGCACCGTTTCACTCAAAATTCGTTCCCAAGCTTCATTCATAAATGCGTTGAAATAAGCATGTGCAGTTTCTTCCTTGGTCTCAGTTTGGTTATTATCAGACTCCATAGTTGACTCTTCAGAAATGATAAGCTCCTTCTCTTCCTTGATCCCTTCTCCGGACTCATCAGATAAAAGTTCCGGTGAATGATTTTCTACTTTTTTCTCCTTTATTTCATCTTTTGGTGCTTCTTCGCCTTCATCAAAAGTTTCTGTAGTTGAAAGAGTGCTCTCATCTTCTTCTGGGCTAAACTTTTTCTGCCAAGCTGAACTCTCTTTCCTCACAAAAACATCTTCTGATTCAGGCTCACTCTTTTCGTCAATTTGTTCGATTTTATGGCCCTCTGTTACTTCAACAAAATCCTCAGACTCCTCCAAATACTTTCTCAATGCACACAAAGGCAGCTGAGGCGTATCACCACTTTTTAAAGTATCAGCCGCGCTCTTTCTCACTTTCCCGCCATGAACAAATTGCACATCGCTGGAGTCACTTGACTCGAGGATCTTATTTTTGAAGTCAGCCTCCATCTTTGCCGCAGCTTCGCGTTTCTCAGCGGCGAGGCGGGCCATTTTTAGGATCGACTCTGGAATTTCAATGTCGACGATGTCCGAGGTAGAGGAAGACTCCACGTCGCCGGTAGAAGAGTTTAGCCCTAGAATATTCTGCCTACTCGTGCAAGGCACTTTTATCGTTTCATCAGGAGTCATTTCGTATTCTGAGTCGTCAGAGACAAATTCATCTTCGGAAGAGCTTTCTGAAAGCGTCCCAGTTTTGTCTTCTTTTTTATCTTCAAGATCGAAGATCGATTTGGCGACCTTTTCTTTTGGCTCCTCTTCCTCTTGTTCGAAAAGAGCATACTTCCGACCGGCTTGTCGAAGCTTTCCCTGCGAATTTTCAATCACGTCTCTTAGCTTGTTCTTTTTGCTCTCATCCTCCACTCGTCTTATTTCTTTTCGAATGTTATTCCTTGAGAGAAGCCCATCAAGCTGGTACTGTGAAAATTCCTTGTCTTGTTCTTCTTGTGACTTTTGAGATTGTTCCTTTTTCTTTTTCTCGTGAATATAACCCGTTAAATAGCTTCGATCAAACTTGAATGAGTCGCGCACTTCGTCTAAAATTCCAAGCTGATCAGAGTATCGGAGATTTTGGAACGCCTTTGATTTCGTATCGACTTTTCCAGTTTCGACCAGCTCACCAAGGATATTATCTCGAACAGAGAGCTGAAAAGCACTCATCTCTTGCTCCTCAAACTCGTTGGTTTCTTCGCTTTCACTCTCACTTGATTCCACGATCTCCGGTTTTTTGTAATCCGACGAGACAAAGCCAAAGTCCTCTGGGTCTTCGTCTCTCGCTGCTTCTAGTTTTTTCATCACCTTGTCAATGTCTTTCTGAGTGACTACTTCGTCGGTTACAGTTTTCAACGCATGCATCTTGAGGACATTTGACATGAGGTTCTTTCTAGCGCTTATTTTGTCTTTTTCTGCTTGAGCTCGTCGCTCCCGCCTGCGTTTTTGAGTTTCAGACTTGATTTGCGGCGGAGCTCCGTCAAAAACGAAGATCGGTTTGATGCCAGAATATAGGGTTAAATCATGCGCTTCTGTAACTGTAGTTAACGACGCCTTGAAATTTTAACCTTTCCCATAGCTAAAAGGGCACAAACTCGCTTGAAAAGCGAGCTGAGGGCTTGCACTCGCCGGCTAGCATCGGAAGTTCCACGAGTTCCATGGACCGCCCGATGGAGCCAAATTGACAGATCAACTGATAAGCATTGACCACTAGAAATAAAACTAGAGCCATTCCTATAATTATTGCTTACCGAAGCTCTGCTGGGTCAATGGGAGTCCCGGGCCCTAGAATTCGCCATAATCCGATAACTCCCATCTGAAAGTAATTTTGAGTTAACGAGTTTTTTTATCAAAAATATATTTTGGCAGATACAAAAGGAAGTCTTTTTCACGAAAAAGTGTTTTGAGAACTAGTTTTTTCTACATTTGAGTAGCTAGAATTCCATTTTCCACGAGCACTTGAATGTCCTTTTTGCTGCGATTCGAGAGCGATGCAACTTTTCTAGCTCCAGTTGCTGGGTCGGTTTTTAGCAAGTGAATGACCTCTTGTACCGCTGGATTCGAGAGAGCTTCTTTGACAGCTGGCCGACTGAGGATTTCTTCCATTTTTTTCTCGTCGTTGGTTTTTGCCTTTGAAAGGGGGGCTTGAGGAATTACACTATTATATTTAATAAAAATTATCAACAAGTTTCGGTTACCGTTTGGCAGCTTTCTCAGCATGAGCGCCCATCATGTTCATATTCTCTCCGAAAAACTTGATAAACTCTTCTTCGAACCATTTTCTGTCATGATCCATGTAATATTTCTTTGCTGCTTCAGGATCTTTGGCCATAAACTCTATCGCTCGTGCGAATTTTGGGTTTGCCATTTGTTTCAGGAGCTTTTCGTTTTTATCTGAAAAAGGAAAGCGCGTCATTTTCCCTTTTTACAGAGCGTGACTTACTGTATGAATTCAGAAACTCTTCAGATTGGAATTCTTCATTCATCGCTTCTTGAACATCTTTCATGACGAGGGGATTGTCTGGCTTCTTTTCTTTTGGCTTGATTACTTCCGGTTTGGAGGACTGAGGTTTTTTAGCTTGCGTTGGTTTTTTCTTCGCGTTTCCGGACATTAAAAACCCTGATTTGAAACCAGCAAAACCCCCGTTGTCTTTTTTCTTGACTGTTTTCTTTGAGACTGTTTTTTCTTCTTGTTTTTCTTTTGGTTTTTCGGTAGGTGTAGGCTGCAGTTCTTTAGCGATGAGAGATGGAACGAATTTTTTAGTTTCCGCTTCCAAAAGAGTTGAATTGGTGGTCTGTTGAGCTGCGGCTTGCTGAGCTTGCGTCTTTTTATATTTTATTTGTCGGACGACTTCGCTCGCATTTTCTAGTGGCGGTGGTAAATCCATTCTAAAAATAGAAAACTTCAGCTTTTTCCGTACTGTTAATTGTTTATTTAATAATTTATCGACCCTGTTTCCAGCGTTTCAAGTGAGCAGTCTTTTTAACAGGCATTTGTCGACGTTTCAATTCAAAGCCAGCATGAGCTTGTCTTCTCCAGTTTTCGGGATTTGACCAGCCGTGAACATAATCTTTATCATAAATTGGCTAAAAACATTCATAGTTTTTGAAAAAATATGATTCCTACCGGTTTGTTGAGGCCAGTAGAGGCAGTATCGACATCAGTTGACTTGATAACATTGAATCTCCAGTTGGTTGGGAAGTCCGACTCCCAGTAGCCTCTGTAAAGAGTTTTGAAAGAAGTTGGTAAGAGAAAACGACTACCTAAGAACATGATTCATATCGGTCTTTCCATGCCCCTTCGCTGGTCTATGAACAGGTCTCCATCTACTTGGATGACAAGCCCATTTGAGCGGCAACCAACGACCAACTTCGATTCCATCAAAGTCTCTTGAGTCCCTCATGCTCACCCATCCCTTGCTGTGTCGTCTATTTTCGTGATTGAGTTCCCCGATCTTTTTCTTTTGCTCGAGCTCCCACTCTTTTCCTTCCGTGTAATATTGATTGAGATCTTCTTTTGTGAACTTTTCGCCTGTAAGAGGGTTAACCATTCGTTCCAAAGGAATATCCGTATGAAGTCCTGTATAAAGAAGTTCAATAAAATTGTACAAAAGAGAGAATTAGCTTGCCTTGATAGTTTTTTCTCCAAAGAGTAGGCTTATGTTTCTGATATTTGGTATTATTCGTCGGCGAAGTTGTCTGATACTGCAGAACTTCTCGATAAGTCAAAGGAGCGTTCCAAACCCCCTGTTCAGTGTACTTTTCTATGAGCTTCTCTTTCTCCTCGATTGATAGTTTTTCTGGCTCCTTTTCTAACCCATACGACTTCCAAATACTAAAACAGCTCAATTTTAGCTTTAAAGAAAATCAAACCTGGCGACAAAATCCTTTTTCCGGTCGATTTCCTTCGAATAGTTTTGATGCCACTTTTCTTCGAAGTATTCGGAATTCTGTTTCCACAATCTAGTCAGTTGGCGACGCTTTGTTCGCCTTTCTGTCCATCGTTTTTCCAAGCGGTTTGAAACAGGTACTGTAGCGGACAAGGATCGCACAGGGCGAAGTGATAACGATTTGAGCTGATTTACGATTCCGAACATTCTGGTAGATCACATTTAAGTATTTTGATGATCTGGCTTTGACTTGCTCATAAAATTGCGTTGAGACGATAATTTCAACTAGACTTAATAATTTTTCCGACGCGCCTTACAGGTAAAAAAACGTAACAAGTAATAGATCCGGATATTTCTAGTTCTAAAGTTAAGCCCACGAGATTCGTCTAACGAGGCGGATTTTTTGTTGAAAATCCGATTTCAATTTCGGTTTCGGCCGGCTCTGGCGCCATACGAAAAGGTATTTAGGTACCGATGATTTTTGATGATTGCCCCGAAAACTAAAGCCCTAATAAATTTTCATTTGAAATTTTTAAGCGGAGAAAAATGATAAACTTCGATTTCTTTAAACAAAAGACGTCATCGATTGCAGCAACAATTATACTGATGAAGACAGAAGACACAGAAAATCAAGTCAAGCCACGAGAAAAATGGAACGTTGAAAACAAAGAAGAAAACATCTTTTTCTCATAAAACATTTCTCATTGTTTTATAATTTTTGTATTCCAGTGGTTAGTTTATTAGTATAGCAGCAGTTATACAATTGAACATGTTTAATTCATTCTAAATGTGCATGGAGTGACTGTCACATGCTCATACAGTGACAGATGTTGTGAGGTGAGATATTGGCAGCTTCCAGCTTCAATATCAGTCAGGAGAAGTTTACGCAGTGATGACTCGCTCGAGAATCTTTCGGTTGGTTTCGTCCAGGTGACTTGCAGTTTCCTAAACAATCGTTAAACAAATACCGACAGAGGTAACATACCCTGATAAGGGAGGAATTAGCGAGATTGCGAATCTGTTCAGTGATGTGTTCGCAAATCTTGATTCCATGAAGAGGGTCGCTTTTCACATCGTCCTCTTCTTCTCCCTCCAAGTCTTCCAGATCTCCTCGGCCGGCGAGTAACTCGCTCAACAAAATTGCCGTTTGACCGTTCGTTCCAAAATTAATCTCGTCAGATTCAACTTCGCCGGAGGAGTCTTCTTCGTAATCATCTTCGTCGTCATCCAAAATTTCTAATATAAATATCTTTCCGATGTTTCGATCATTTTCAATTACCTTCAAGATCTTCTTCCTTTTCTCTTTGGCTAGTCCACTCAGAAGCTAACGTTTCCAGCGCGATTTGAGAAAACGGAACATCAGCGAATTTTTCAACTTTCTTTTTTGATCTTGTCGATCGACCTCCAGAATGATCTTCGTTTATTATTAAGAAAGTATAGCAGACGTACCCTTACCTTCAATTTTCTTTCGCAAGGATAAGTTGATCAAGCGTTCCTCGCCATTAGCACATAGAGTAAGGAGGCTGCAAAGACCAGCTACTGTAACCTTTCGTTCATAAGCGCCAAAAACTTCGCATTGTTTTTCAAGCCACAGTTGCATCAATGGCTAAATTTTAGATAGCACCCCCTTTCTGGGCAGAACTCTACCTGAAGAGCATTTTTCGAATCCAAAAAGTTGACCAGTCCCATAGTATCCGCCGAAGCCAATCGCGCAAAGACGAGAAGAAGAGCCTGTTGAACAGTGAGAGTAGTGGCAGTGTTGAGCTTCAGCAGGACAGCAGAGAGAATGTTTTCTAGGTTTTGGGATTGAAGGGATCCTAGCTTCTGCTGAATCTCCCACTTCTAGCGTAGTTTGCCTGCTCTCTATATCTGGACGAGTGAAGAAAACGAGTAAAGTATCTTTGACGTCTGTATTTCGAGCTGGAGTAAAATAGAGGTTAATTCACGAACTGCGTGAATTACCGAATGGAGAGAAATACACGGCGGCGACCGAGCAAAGCTCGATCTAGATAAGCAAGTGACCTTAGGGGACGAGGGAGTCTAACGAATCTAAGATCCCAATACCCCCCCATGAGACTGAAACGTCCTCTAAGGCCAAAGTGTGTGATTTTTGCAGGAGTATAAGCGTAAGATGAGTAACATGGCAGGTTCGAAACGTCGAGGCAGTCTGATTCGCGTTAAAAAACCCTTTTTTGGGAAAAAGCTTGAATCAGATGCGAAGTTTTCGTGATGTCCGAGCGGTGATGACATGAAGGAGTAGCTGCACATGTAGAAGAACTCAAAATACGTCGGCGACGGTAAACTGTGATAATTTCCGTACCTTTTCAGGCCCCGGTCGATGAATAGGGGACCTGAGTGGGGCAGTACTTGCGCTTAGTCGTATGACTGACCCGAGTTTGTGCCGATGTTTAGAGGTTCGACGGGCCTCGTTTCACGGTGTGCTCGTTTTGTATGTTTCGGGAGATGAGCTGCTCCAACTTCGGTTAAAGTCGCATTCGGATCGGCGCCGGCTGAGTATTGACGATCTGGTGAAGACTTTGGACGGGTTCTTTTCTTGCTGTTTTCAGTTGCTGAGCCCTCAACTACTGTTGAATTTTGTTTATCGACTGACATATGGCTATTGTCGGGCGCAGCAACCTCCGAAATCACTGTAGCATCAGCTGACATGTCCTCGGCAGTTTCATAAAGAGTACCACCAGAGTACCAGCGATCTGACGGCTCGGCTGGAGCTACCGACGAGTCCAAAATAGATGTAGCGGTTGTATCTCCCAGATTTTCCATGTCCAATCGGCGTCTACTTTCCAAAATAGGTGATAGAGATGATCTTGGCGGTTTTTCCATAGCAACCATCGGAGTCGACGCGACCTGAGAAGATTTCCTCCCCCCATGCGACTTCGACCCGGACTTTTCCATCGGTTTGGAAGTAGGAACAGGCGATTTTTGTGGGACTTTCGACTTAACGATTTCGGTTAAATGTGGGAATACGTACTCGGCCTCGTAGTAATCAATCCAGCGTAAGTCGTGATTTCGTTCTGCGGCGTGAACCACGTGTTCTCGATGGATGAAATCACGTTGTCCTTTTTTATCTTCGACCATGACGACCCAGTCGTTGCTCGAAACGGCTTTCAGGGGACCTACCCAGCGTTCCTTCTTGCTTTTAGCGTCGGTCAGGTTTTCTCGCTTAATGTACACGACAGCGCCAGCGGGGATTGGTCTCGGCTTAGGCTCGTTTTTCAGCCTGTGCTCCATGGCTCGGTCAGCAGCTTCCATCGCAGTTTTCACAATGGCTTCCGCCGATTTCGCTAAAGCTCCAACATTGAGACCAAACACCTGAGGTGTTTCCGCTGTCATTTCTGCGCCAGTAGAGTGGGTGAAAGTACTTTTTCGGCCAAACCAAACTTCTCGCGGTGAAATTTTCGTGCTTTTGTTTTTCACACTATTGAGCGCGCGCATCACGTGGGGAACGCAGTCGGCCCAAGTTTTTCGACCGGAAGATGAGTTGACCATGCAGAATAGACTGTTTTTGATAGTCCGATTCGCTCTTTCTGCGAAAGCGTTTGATTGAGGGTGAAATGCGGTACTTATTGTATGTTTTATCTGGTTAAGCTTACACATTTCGTCAATCACGCTTGCGCAGAAGTGGGTACCTCTGTCACTGTGTAGATGTTTCGGCAAGAAATCCATGGGAAGGAAGACCTTGTAGATGAGCGCTTTTGCAGCGCGGATAGCAGTGTCGGACCGCGTCGGAATGCACCAAGTGTAGCGAGAGAAAGTGTCCGCCACCACCAAATAATACTTGAATCCGCCAGCGGGAGGCATACAAGCGAAATCGATCTGAATCGATTCGCCAGCTGTTTTTCCACGACGAAGGGTTCCAAGTGGCGGTTTGGTACGAGTTCCAGCAGATCCTTTTCTGCGTAGGCAAGGGACGCAGCTGTGGACGTAGTTAGAAACATCGTCTTGAAATGAAGGCCACCAAACGTCCTCTAATCGCTCTAAAGTCCGCGGCTCGCCCAGATGACCGGACAAGTCGTGAGCTAGAAAGAGAAAGTGACTTTTTACCGCTTCCGGTACCACCGCCCGCGCGCCAGATTTGAATTGACACATCAAGCACCCGGTAGTGTTATCCAGGAACAGAGCTTTTTCCATCTTGAGTAGAGACGATTGTCGGTGGTCGGAGTCCTTCACCAGCGATTTTATGTCCAGTGGCTCCTTACCAGATTCCAGAAAAGTGATGATTGCACTCAGAGCAGAGTCCTCCCTTTGATAGTCCAGAATGTTATTATAATTCGCTGACACCAACGGAATCTCCATTGGCGCCGCGATAGCCTTGACGTTTACCTTATGTATCTTCACCTCTGATAAAGTGATTTTCTCCGGAAACTGATTTTCGTTCCAGAAAGGGACGAAGACACGTACTGGTGAATTCTTGTCGATTTCGTACTCGCGACCAACGGGAAACTCAGAGTCGTATCCAAGTGATTTGTCGTCCTCGCCAGGTCTGCGGCTCATAAAATCGGCGAATTGATTTTCTGATCCCTTGATGTAGACAATGTGAAAATCGAATTCTTCCAATCGGCTTTGCCATCGGCTTATTTTAGAATTCTTGAACTTCTTTTTGTGTAGGAAGATCAAAGATCTGTGGTCTGTGTGAATCTGAAAGAATCTACCTTTCAGGAGCTTTTCCAGTCGCTCGCAGCACCAGACAATGCTAAACATTTCCTTTTCTGAAGTGTTCCATTTTCTTTCAGCTTTGTTGAAGGTGTGGGAAATCGCGCTTACTAGGTGCACTCTCCCGCCATACTCTTGTAGCAGAACACCACCCGCTGCGTACAGGCTCGCGTCTGTGTAGAGGTGAAAAGACTCGTCAAAGTTAGGAAAGCTTATGACAGGAGTCTCGGAGAGTCGTCGTTGAATTTCCTTGAGCGCCAAATCCGCTTCTTTGGTCCACTTGAAACAATTTGTTTCGTTCGCCGAATTTCGAACATCGTTTATGGGTTTCATTCTGCTCGAGAAGCAACCGGATGAAATAGCTTCGCCCATTTTTGTTTCTAGAAAACCTCGGATCCAATTCAATGACCCGATTAATGAAGCTAACTCCTTTTGGGAGCGTGGGGGTTTCATCTGACGAAGGGCGGAGACTTGCGCAGGGTCCGGTTTGATTCCTTCTTCGTTGATGATTCGGCCCAAAAAGTGAGCTTCTGATTGTAGGAAAGAGCACTTTTCGCCCTTGAGTTTAGCGTTAAACTTGCGGAGCGCGATGAATAGGTTTCGGAGAGTGTTGTAATAGCAGCTGAAAGACTTCCCAAAACATACTATGTCATCGATATAAGAAAGCATCTTCTTCCTGGTGGGGCTTGAGTCGAGAATCGTGTTTACGACGCGCGAGAATATATTCCCCGAGCATCGATAACCGAAAGGTAATCTGCAGAAGGCGTAAGATTTCCCACCCCACTGGAAGGAAGTCTTATACCTATCGCTTTTCTTAATAGGGCACTGCCAATATCCGCTCCGCAAATCAACTGTGGCGAAATACTTGTTGCCCGGTCCAATGTTCGCGATCGTATCCTCCATGCTCGGAAGATGATATGGGTCGGATTTGTCGGAGAGGCATTTGTTCAAGCTGTTCTTGTAGTTGATGCAGAAGCGCATTTCCCCAGATTTCTTAGGGATTGGCAGAACGGGGCTATTAAACCCTTTCTGGTCCTTGATCTCTTCTATTATTTTCGTATCGAGCAGTTCGGAGATGTGATCAGTGACCTGGCCATGAAAAGCTTGCGGAATAGGGTGTTGACTGATGTTTCGACTCGTACCATCAGTCGGGATTTCGATCTCGAATGGGAATTCACCCATTTTTTGACCGTCGCAGCCGAATCTGTCGTCGAAATCCAAACACAGCTCGGCGACCACCTTCTTTTGCCCCGGGTCGGCGTTTGCTGGTAGGGTAATTCCGAGTTTTTGCTTCGCTAGCTGAATGGGGCACCTGGCTGCGTTCTTGTTAGGTGCGTCCAGCTTTGGGACTTTTGGTGGCGGTTGAGTGCGGGATCGATCGCTATCCTTGACCGCTGATCTAGTAGTCAAGTATTTCTTGATTTTGGTCCGCTTCACTCCGTCCAGCTTCACCACTTGAGTCTCAGTTTGTGTGAAGGCTTCGTTGTAGCAAAATGAGAGAGTACGATTCTTATTGTCGACTGTGAAGCTGTCCGTCATCGCATTCTCTAGTATATCGCGGCCCAGTAGACTTGGGTATTTACTGCCTGGCATAATGGTGAGATTCAGGGAGAATGCAGGGCCACCATTGAATGATAAGCGGCAGGGAAGGATACCCATCGGCTGCTCGGCGGGAATATTTGGGCTGAAACCGGTGACCTTGAAGGGACAGGGCTTCAGCATCTGGAGAAATTCGTCGGGAACGTAAGCAGCGGACAGACAGGAGGACTCGGCTCCGCTGTCGACTTCCATCGATACGTCAAGACTTTTAGAGCCCGTAATGATGGTAGCCGAAGCGAAATAAGCCTTTCCTGGTCGCTTCTTCTTCACTGTGTAAAAGTGAACGTCGAATGGTTGGAAATCTTCAACGTTCTTAGTCGTATTTATCTTCTTGGATTCTGGTTGTTTATCGTCTTTCCCATCCTTAGAATCGTTGCTGGCGCGCTTAGCATTCTTCTTCTTTTTGTTCTTATTTCTGTTGAAGTGCTGGGAGACGGTCGCGCTGTCAACTCGATTCTGTCTTGTGGATTGGGCGAGACGGCAGAGTTCGTTGATATCGTAAACTTTTGATAGGCTTGGAAGGATTGCGTTGAAAACGTCTGGTTCTTCTTTCCTAAGATTCAAGTACAGCATCATCGTCGAGAATATGTCAAATATTTCATCGACCCCGGCGTCGGCTGACTTCTCTTGTCGGTAAGAGTTCAAAGTCGCTTGCTTCGCCTCGTTCATCTTTTGCAAGACGTTGGCGGTGTAGTGTGCAAACGGCTTCGAATGGTCGTATTCGACGTCGAAAACTTCGCTTAGCTTCAGTAAGTAGTGACTCTTCGCGGCGAATGATTTCTCTAGCAGCGCCTTGGCCGATTTCCAGTCTTGACAATTCAGAAATTCGGTTCCAAGTGAGCGTTCGATGTTCAAGTCGAAGTGGCTGTACACTGCTGCGATGAAAGGCTGTTCACGTGAAGGTCTGTCGCGGACGTAGGCGCGGTGATAAATGTCGGCTCTGCCCAAGAAGGTGTTGAAAGATGTGTTGCATGCGGCGTCCAGCTTCGGCAAGTCTTGGACGTGACGAGACCAGGTAGTGGCCACCCATGCTTCTTCTCTCATTGTCGCATTCGTAGAGTCTTTTCCTTGATCGAGCTCGCAGGTAAGAAGCGTTGTACTGAGCTGTTCTAATTTTACTCTGCTTTCTGTGATCAAGGGCTCTAGGCTTGGCTTTAGTGATTCGTCATTTCGCACTTGTTCTTCGAGGTAGTTTACTCGATCGTTTATGCTTCTTATTTCGGTGACGGTTTCTAGCAGTGATTTGTTCGCCGCCATAGCTCGAAATATATCGGCAGTAAGGGTTTATGGGCCTTGGATTACCTTTCAGGCCCTCAGAAAATACTGCGACTAAAAGTCGCAATATGATGAGCTGAGGTGCCTTTTTGCGCAAACGCCCGACGATTTCTCTGTCCAGCGATTGTCGAAATTTCAAGGTCTGGTCCAAGGGTCGATTCTTCGTAAACTTCTCTCGATTTTTGGTGAAAAGTGGCGAAAGAATTATGTTTTTCTCAGTATTTTAGGTTTTCCCCGGCGTGCGTGCGTGGTTGCGTGGGCGCGACTTTCGGCGCGTGGGTCGTGGTGGCGCTCGTGCGGTGGCGCTCGCTCGGGGTGGTGTTGGTGTGGTGCGGAAAATTCTCTGAGTGGAGTTTCTCCGGCGGCGCGGTGGCGGTTGGTGATTCGGTTCCCCTCGACTCCGCTGACGGCCAATCAGCGTCCAAGTTGCGAAACTTCGGTTGTCGATGGCGGAAAAATTTATCTTTTCTCCAACGGGACTACTCTGATACCACTGAAGGGATCCTAGCTTCTGCTGAATCTCCCACTTCTAGCGTAGTTTGCCTGCTCTCTATATCTGGACGAGTGAAGAAAACGAGTAAAGTATCTTTGACGTCTGTATTTCGAGCTGGAGTAAAATAGAGGTTAATTCACGAACTGCGTGAATTACCGAATGGAGAGAAATACACGGCGGCGACCGAGCAAAGCTCGATCTAGATAAGCAAGTGACCTTAGGGGACGAGGGAGTCTAACGAATCTAAGATCCCAATAGGATTTTGTGTTGAGCAAAATTAGACAGACGAGGCGGCCGGCAAACGAGGCGGAGTATTCTGGCGAGTTGGGTTCAAGAAGATGGAGAATGACGCGTTCAGCAGCTAGTAATAAAATATTATTAATATGAGTTTAATAAAGAGGAATAAATTGTAAATCAATCGTTGATCACACACCATCATAAATTAAGTTTAAATCAATCACCTTCAAGACCATGTTCCATCGCGCAAATTTGATCCCCCGCAGCTGCAAAGAATCCTCTGACAGCTTCGCCTCCCGACTGAATCACTTGAGTGTCCGCTGATTGAAGAGTTTTTTCGACGATGACTGGGTAAAGCTGCCGAAGAAGCTCTTCCGGAAGCGGCTTTGGAATCGATCGAACAAAGCGGGTAGTGATGTCGAGGCAAATGGCGATGAAGCTGTTGGAGACATCTGAATCTTTGGAGATCTCATCTTCCGGGGTCTTCATGATGTGGATCAAATAAGGAACAAAGGCGGAGAAGACAGTCGGGAATTGACCGATCACTTGTGGCGTCAATTTCTTTCCAAGTGCCTCGACCATGTCCTCAACGATCGCGCAGATGTGCGGATCGGAACTGTTACTTTGCAGTGTCGAGAGGATCAAGTCTGTGAGTTGCGTTCCATACTGTTCAAGATTATCCTCTTCGACGTTGATGCACTCTGTGATCACTTCCAAAAGCAAGCAGGAAACCTCAGTCGGCGCGGACGAGCACATTTCAATCAACGAACCAAGAGCTTGAGTGACGAAGGAACCGAGGATTTCTCTCTTTTCCAAGGGGATGTTTGTAATGAACTCGTAGACGGCTCTGGCGGCTTGGATTCGGACGATCGGTGATTGTCCATTTTGTAGGCCGTGAGCAGTAGCTTCGAGGAATGCCTGCAGAAGATTAGGCGGAACTTTGTCGGCGAAACGAGCAGAGAACCAGAGAGCTCGGCCAGTAAGGAAGGGGCTTTCACCTGGAAAAAGAATCGGAAATATAAACGGACGGTGACTGTACCTGATTTCAAATCGCGAAGAGTCGGTCCTTCCAGATAGCCTCGAATGTTAAACTTGGTCATGTGTTCTTCTTCCAACGCGCTTGCAACGGCTCCAATGATGTAATAGGCGGATTCACGCTGCTGCCAACTTGCTGATCCAGATTGAGACTCCCCGACATATTCCAAAAGCGGCGGAAGAAGCACTTCGAGGTGGTCTTTCGCGATACAGAGAAGGAGATCCATGGCAGTTGTTCTAACCGAGCAAAGCATGACTTCGTCGTCTTCTTCTTCAACGAATCTATCTGGATCATCTTCCCAGGCGTTAATCTGCCCGGCCGATGGTTGCAAAAAGATCATAAGCGATGGAATTAGCGGAGGAACACCAATTTGAACGACTTTCGCAAACGCTTTCTTTTCAATTATTGTACAGAGAAATTCAATTGCGGCCACGACAGTTCCTTGGATCCCAGCAGTTTCGTTGTCTGAATCCTCTTGGCTTTCGGTTTCATCACTGTTGATCGCCATGGCAAGATATTGTTTCGAAAGCTTGGCGATAAAGGACCAGCAATCCTGAAGGCAATGAGCAGAGATTGGGGCGATCTTCTTTGAAAAGCCCTTGACAAGCTCGTTGAAGCAGTTGAAGACGTTACGTTTGATGAGCCAGTCGTCCTCTTCATCGACGGGACGAAGGATACAGGCGCGGAAAACTGTCAGGATTTTTTCGTAATGATCATCTACAAGAAATCACTGTTTGAGCATATTATGTTTTTCAGCTTACCTAATGTCTTTGCTCTAGCATCGCTAAGAAGCATCGTAAGCGTCGTCAAAATTTGGAGAGAACGAGCAGCCATGATTGGAGTAGCACCAGAATTGGGAGTCATGAATTCGAGCAACTTGGGCAAAATGTTTTTGATCATTTCTGGAGCGAACTTTCCATTAATATCTGTCGAGAACTCTTTCAAACAACGAAGCGCTCCGTCGACCATATTCGCATTGTCGGAGTTGAGGGCTTCGATTAAGTTTGGGACGAAATCAGGCCATATTTCGGGCCACTCCCAGCCAGCTACAATTGATAAGGCAGCGGCAAAGACATTTCTCACGGCTCTGGATTCATTAGCAAGTCCTCGTGGGAGTCCGTGTCTGATGAATTCTTTCGTTTCTTCGCTCGCCGCTGGTTCTTTGAATTTATCGCCGCTGGAGTTCCAGTGATAGTCGATCCAGTTCTTCAGGAGAACTGACGCTGATTGTCGGTACTGTAGGCCGACTGCCTCATTCAATCCGATGAGAAGAAGAGCCCGGGGGAAATCTTGTGTTGCATCGCACTGGGCAAGTGCTTCTTCTGCCTTGATTCGCTTCTCATTTTCATTGGAAAAACTGGCGTCGATTAGTTTCAAGATCTCTTGATCCATGTGTCTCCCTTTCTCTTGAACTAGGTTTGGTTATTATCAGCTACTTGCATTTTTTTGAAGAAATTTAGAAACAGAAGAGGGGTTAGAATAATAGAATAATTAGACTGAAGTACTGTAGCTGAACTGAAGCTAGTTTGAAGAGTTTCTTTCTTTGATTGAATTCACAATGATCGATAATAGAATAATAGATGCACTAGAAAAAATGAACAGAATCTGCAAGGTAGGAGTTTTTTCTTTATTCTTTGGACTTGGAATTGAGCGACTGTCAAAAAGTTATAATATTCATAAATTGATTAATCAGCAATTTTTTCGTATGTACAGAATTTTATAAATCACGAATGTTTGAAGAAAAGGCTAAAAAGATCTAGGATCCACTGTCATCGCTGTTATCGCCGCCAGAGTTGGGCAAGACAGAGACGAGGATGATAATGACAATAATGAGAACGACGACCCCGACGATGATCAGGTTCGTCTTCATATTCTGCCACCAGAATTTTCGTTGAAGAGAATTTGCGTTTGTTTCGAATTGGGCGGCTCCTTGTTGGAGGGCATCAGCTCGAGTGTCAAGTTCGTTGAGTTTTGCGTCTCGCTCGAGCACTAAATTCAAAATTAAAAGCATTCATAAGATGTTTGTATTGTACCTTTATCCACATTTTGCTTCATAATAACAACAACTTCATCAACCTGTGCTTTTGTCTGATCGAGTCCGGAAGGCTGGCTTGAGCCCGGGAGGTCATTTCCGTGGTTCGGGTTAGTGAATGAAGCCATTTTCAATCTATAATTTTCATTTCATTAGCATTTTTTTATCATCATTATGAAATATTCTACAGATCGGTAATGTTCTTCACGAAGAACAAATTACAATTTTCTATTCGCATTTCATTTAGTAAAGCAACCAACAATGGGTAACCAACAACTATCAGAAGTTAGTGTTTCATATCATTCTTCGTTATTGGACAGATCTCTCTTATTTTTCCTGGGTTTCGTTTCATCTTGTCTTCTCCACTTATTTTGGGATAAGCTCGCACTTCTTCGCCAAAACAAGCATCTCTTTCTCGAGGAAAACGAACGAGCGGGCCAATAAGCGCTTCAAGCCGAAAAAAAAAGAAAAATGAAAGCGCCTAGAAAAGCGGTTATCGTAACCGGAAGCAGCGGTGATTTATTGGTTCACTTTTGGTAATTGACTTTCATTGCTGCTGATTTTAAAGAAAAATGAAAGTAAGGCGGATGTAAAAATGAAGCACTGGATGAATCTTTAAATCAATAACAAACAATGCTACAGTAATCATAGAGTGACTCATTTCATTACTCTGTCGTTACAGTAACTAAACATCATGAATGCGCGATCTTTCAAACTTTACTTTCATTTTTCTCCATAACCGCTCCGAATTGATACTGCTCAATGGAGAAGTCTGACTGCCCAAAAACGATAGTCAATTGTTCATCAATTTATGACGCTCAAGCTGATCACAAAACAATGCAAATCTGGATTTACGGTTCGTCAACGAAAAGCTATCGAAAGCTACAGCTTTTCAACTTGTCATTTTATATGAATTAATATAATTTGAATCGAAACTTTAGTTCACATAATTAGTGTTCTTTTGAGCAAGAATTGCATAAAACGAACTTGTAAAAAGTTTGTCAGAAATCGAGTTTGAATTTCTTTCATGAAAACTTGGAATAAAACGCTTATGCATCCGCTCGTAAAGCAATAAAATTTTAACTTTTCAGCATAATTTCGATTTCAAATTAAAAAGAAAACCGTCGCGTGTCAGCTCGTGTTTACGGCCGGACTAGAATGGAATTTTGAAGCATAAGTGTCAAAAGTAACTTTGTAAAAGAATACAATGCAATTAGAGTGAAAATATTTGGCTCGTGCCCGCGGCCAGAGTAAATCTTGCAGCGGGAGTGAGCGGAAGTACGGAACATGCGCGTTGCGAAATCGCCAATTTGCGGAACAAATTGTAATCCCAAAGTTACACCTACTTTGATTTTCAACTTGAAATCGAGCTGCTCCTGGTACTGATTAAACAAATGCTTTCATGATAATATAATGGGACACATCGATGACTGCATTTTATTGTCAGTCTATGATTTATAGTCATATTAAATTCAGTTTATATGTTTCGTAACTTCTCATAACTCGAGTTACATTAACTCTAATAAATCATCTACTGACGTAAATTCAACTTCAATCAAGCAATTTTGCATTTGCTGAAATATCCTTATTACCACAATAAAATCGCCTTGATAAGAAAATAGGAAGAATCTAAGAGGTACTGTGTTTATTACAGTTTTAAAACAACATTTCTTCGGCAGTTTATTTCGGTCTAAATCAAAGGCAAAATATCCGACAAAGTTCCGCGAAAAGCAAAATCCGTCCTCAAATTTGCCCCGGGGCGGCGTGCCCAAAAGATATGCGGCGAGTAAGATTAATCTCGGCCGTTTGAACTTGAACTAGAAGGGTCAGGTGCAGGAGTGAGGGTAGCAGTGAAGTGAAGGAAAACGTAATTTAGACTAGGATTGAGTTTGGGTGAAGGGTTTTGGGTACTCTAGAATTTGTACAGAGCTGAGAGGAGCACTGCTCGATCGTCACAGGCAGATGAAGCGATTCTTTTGACGTTCTTCTGGTTGAGGAAAGTAAGAAGGTACTTTTTCGTGATTTGCGGAAAGTAGGGCTAAAATTTTAATCAAAGAAGGGCCCTTCTACAAGAGACTCTGTGTAAGAATCGTAGATTGCAGATGGCCATCGAAGGTCAAAAATTTCAATGAAGCTTCTGAGTTGTGTTCCAAGATTTTCAGATGATGATTCTGTTAAATGAAATTCAAGAGTATTACTGTCTAATTGCGAAGTTTTATCGATAATCCTGAACCAACTGAATATTACCAAAGGCTCAGATATCAAAGAAGAAACAGGTCAGCATATAAAAATGTAAATACCTTTGTAACTTCGGTCTTGAGCCACGAGTAGACGTTTTTGAGGTCAATTAGACGTGTGAGTCGCTTCCGTCGGCAGTCGTCCTCTGCTTTCAAAAGGCCGAGTTCAACGAAGAGCTCCGCGGTCGCCTCCATCGGCGGATGTCTTTCATCTCGTGCTCAGAAGAGAAAACTATTTGCTTATGTTTTTAAGCTGATTGATATCGGGCTCCTGGATCGGCCCTGTTCGCAAATATGGCGAAAGGTGCTAAATGGTAGTACTACCGGACGTAGGAGGACTTCTCTTGATCCTGTTTGGGAACGGGAAGATCTATTTCCGGCTCAAATAAATGAGACGCTACTTTATTTTATATTCAGTTCAATTGACCAGGAAACAAACTGATTCATAAAAAATTCCAAACTGGAGCTCAAATACAGAACTACCTCTCACAAATGTGCCTAATTCAGCTGCTGATCCTCTGCAAAATTCTCTCACTTCCCAGTGCATTTTACCTGTCACTCAAAATGCCTGGTGCTGCAAGCTTACCGGCTTCTGATAACTTTTTGACTGACATTTTGCCAAACAAGACTACTCGCTTTACATAAATGTGTTGATGTGTGCCCAGAGCCGTGTTTAGGGGAAGCTCAGAAGAATAATAATTAATGCCTTATCGCTCTGTGATTGACAGATAAAATCCCCCGAACTGAGAACATTTGCCACCCCTTCGAAGAAATTTTCCAAAAATCTAGTCATGCTTTCGGCCAACTCAAAAAAATTTCCAAGCTCGATCTCAAAAGTTTACGAAAAATTAAGACCAATAAAACGAACTTTCAAAAGATAATTAAAAGTAAAGACGTCAACAAGATGATATTTAGCGATCAAAAGTACAGTATATTCAATACAAGATTCTAAATCCCCTTCGAAGTTTCTGTGAGTATCCTAAAAGGGAAAGAATCAAGTAAGAATCACATGCTTCTGACCCAACTCTGAGTCAAGCTCCGTAGAAGGTGCAAGAATCAAATAAATCATGCTCGTCTTCTTTGGAGGAGGTTTGGAGTGCGAAAAGTAAAGTTATTTGTTGCAACAAAAATCATGGCCAGTTGAACTATGCTTGTACGACAAACAACGAAGTGTTCAAAACGACGGGTGCATCGACATAAGACATGAAACGCCAAACTTTTGTGTTGTTTTAGGCAATTCCGAAAAATCCCCTTTTTTACTCAGCCGGTCGACGGAAGCTCAAAGATAATAAGGTAAGGCTCATTAGGGCCAGATTCAAAAAGGGTTGAAGAAAACTACCCGATTTTAATTTTGAATAGAGATTTTGAAATCAAGGACGATCAGATAGAATGCAATAAATTTTTGGTTCATTTTACAGACCAGGTTAGATTAAACGATTGAGTAACAGTGTCACTGTCACATCTTTTCAATTATATTTGATTATATAATCCTTTTCGGGTCTCTTAGTTTCAAAAGAATGATAATTGACGTTATAAAAATACATTTTATTGTCACTAAGAATCGTCTGACCAATCTTAGTTCGAATGGAGGAACTTGTATATCAAGCGTATAAAAGCCGAAAATTTGATAATCCCGGATGTAGATCGGTATCTGATGTTCTTGAAATTTTCCGCATTGCAGGGTGCGCGTGCGCGGTGGTGATAGGTGCGCCCCAGCAGGACACAACTTTTACTCGTTGTTGCCTTCAACTAACTAAACAAATAGCTCCCTCCCGCTACAGCTCTACATAAGAAGACTCAGAAAAACCTCGACCCTCAAAGTGATTGACGAGCTTTTCACAGATAGCTGCAAAAAATCCGAATTTCAATACTCACCAACCCCACCACGTGTGCCTAAATTAACCCGGATAGATTTCTCACAACAGTCTGAAATATTCCATTTGGGTGACAAAAATTATCCAGAGACTCAAATCAGAGATGATGTCCCCACTCGATATCAAAATCGAAGATGCCCCAAGCGAAGCCGACCAGATCGAGGTAATATTTTCGATAGTGAAATAGGAATTTAAAACAATTTTACAGGTCAAACTCGAAGATGAACCACTCTGGAACAAATTTTCCAACTTGACGAACGAAATGATCGTAACCAAAAATGGCCGACGAATGTTCCCAGTAATGAAGGTAAGAGAAAATGAAAATTCCAAATAGTCAGTATAAGAAGAGTCATCAGAAAACTGATTTTAATTCAATTTTTCAGGTCCGAACAAAGGGCTTGGACGAAAATGCCATGTATACCGTCCTTCTCGACTTCACCGCAGCAGACAATCACCGCTGGAAGTACGTCAACGGCGAATGGGTCCCCGGCGGAAAACCCGAACCACAGGTAATTTATCTCTTCATCATTTGTGGTAATTTACAAGATAACTACCAAATACAGACAGTTTTATGTCGTTCTCTTGATTCTCATGTCCAAGTCTAACTTGTTCGTTGAGCAAACAATCAATCAAGAATAACTTAGAGCAAAAAATAAGGTTGATCGAACATCTCCCCATTACTTGCGTGATTTATCGCTACAGAAATACATATCTTTTCTAACCAAAATTTTCAGGTTCCCTCCTGCGTTTACATGCACCCCGACTCGCCAAACTTTGGCTCGCACTGGATGAAGCAGCCCCTTAGCTTCTCAAAAGTCAAGCTCACGAACAAACTCAACCAGCACAACGGCCAGCAGATCATGCTCCACTCGCTTCACAAATACGAGCCTCGAGTTCACATAATCAAAATCGGCGGAACCGCTGGAGCGCAAGAATTCGTCAAGACCCAGCCCTTTCCGATGACTCGATTCATCGCTGTCACCGCCTACCAGAACGAAGAGATCACTTCACTCAAGATCCGACACAACCCCTTCGCCAAGGCCTTCCTCGACGCTGAGCAGCGTAAACAGAACGATTACCTCCCAATCTCTGGCAGCAGTAGTTACAGCAACAATGGCCGTAGCGCTGCCCAGAACAACCGTCGAAAGCGAGCTGAGAACCGTACTCAGCCGTACAAACGACCAGTTCCCGTTGCCAAATCAGAGCCAGTGAGCTCGATCGACTTCAGCTCGCAGAACATGATGCCAAGCTACAGTCAATCAATGGGTATCCCGATTCAAGCACCTGTGAGAACCTTCTCGCCCGATGGATCCACCGTGCTTGGTGATCCCATGCTGCCTGCACATGAAAGTGGCTCGCCGCCGCTCAGCATGCCGCCAATGAACGACTGGTGTCAGAACGGATATTACAGTACTGGATTGGAAGACTCCTCCCCAGGCAGCGCTGTTTCCTTTGCCAGCGATCAGTCTAGCTCTGGTCTGCCCGGAATCGATCAATTCTACTGCGGCGGCGGATATGGAAATGCTTTCGACGCCATGTATGGAAGCGGAGGAAATCCAGATCCAAACTCAGCCCTCACCTGGGGACCTGATCCGAATGGCTCGCCAGACTCAAGCTACTGGTCCGATCCAACAAGTATGACTGTAGGAGGCCTCGGCGCATTAGAATTTACAATGTAAGGTTGACTCTATCTTTATTCTTCCGAACTCATTTCTATCCAATGTAACTTCAATTCGAAACCGATAATTTTATCACTTCTTGTATACTTTGATTCTACTTCATCCCTGTACATATTCAATAGTATTTAAAAAGAAAATCGTAAAACTTCCAACCATCGTTTTCTGACATGTGCGCCTTTCTGACTTCACGCCTATTGATAAAAAATGCTATTCATCTATTGCCCGAAATATCAAAAATATCCAATAAATTATGCAAAACAAAAAAGTTTCTGATCACTAGCCTGAACAAACTTCGCAGCAGCATATCAAGCGCCTTTTCGACTGAAATGACATTCGATTCTTGCAATTTACTGCGGTTACAGGAGCCCATGAGCTTAACAGCTAACTCAGCAGCTTCTTTAGCTTGTCCAGTGACTTTTTGAAGCAATTCCACACGATCTTAAAAAACTCGTCAAAATTCGAAAGTGCGAGCATAAAAGACATAAAGTCTTTACTGGTACTAAACACGCGACCCGGCGTCGTACGTTTTTTCATTAGGAGCATAATGAGCTCATTTTAAAGAAGTTTAAGGGGTCTTACCCTCGCCGAGGCCGAGGAAGGTCTCCAGAGATGGTGACTCGACAAATTCCTCAACAGTTGCTGATGCAATGTCGTCCTCGTCTTCTTCGTCTGGCTCGCCGTTGTCTTCGTCTAATTCCACTAGTTTGTGTTCTGATTTTAAAGCTAAAATATTTATGAGAAAGGATATTCATCAAAGCCTCGAAAAAACCTTTCATAGCTTCCAGAATCTCCTCACAACCGACTTCTCCAAATTGATTGCCATTTAGATTCAAGCTTTCCAAGAGTTTCAAACTGCCAGAAGCATTAGCAACGGCAAGCCCAGCGTTAGCGTTGACTTCGTTAAAACTTCCATGTGCTTTCAAACAGAGTAATTTTCAGACTCGAGAGTTCAAAGTTTAAATGCCTTTCTTTGGCGTGAATCGTGTTTGATATTTATGTTGTGAAAACACAAGCCTGAGATTGACTTGCCGCAGTTTAGGAAGCCCGGGCAAATTCTCTGCGACGATTTTCGCACCTTTGGAGCGAATTAAACAATCCCCAAGGTCGAGACGTTCGAGTTTCTTGCAGTTTTTAAACACGGGCACAAGACTGGCCACGCCTCGTTCGGTCACGATGTTGTCATTGATATTCAGTATCTACTAAGATTATGAAAAAGCAAGAGTACAACCACTACCTTTAGGCCTGAGTTCGTAGATAAACCGATCGCGAGCGCTTCAATTCCTTTCGCTTGAATTCCATTCTGCGGCGATTGATAATCTTCGAGGCTTCCAATCTTTCCAAATTGTTCAGCAAGTGCGGCAGTTCCTTCGATTTCAAGTCTGTTTCGCCCAGCAATGAATTTTCGTAGCATCAGTTTCACGTTAAGTTTTTGCGAGAGCTTGAACAGGTCGCCAAGACCGTTAGCGATCATTTTGGCTCCGAAAACGCCGAGACCGTTGTTGTTTAGCAGTAAGTTTTGCTAAAAAAGTATTAACGTAAAATTATGTCAATTCAGAGAAACCAATTTGAGACAGCACTTTGTTCTGAGCCATGGTTCAACAGCTTTGGCACCGTTAGGACCAAACGCGTTATCAGACAAGTCCAAAGTTCGAAGACGACATCCCTCTCCAAGATTCAGAGCATCGTTCAAATGTTGAATCGCTACTGGAATTTCATCCTTTAATCTGCCAGTGAAGATATCTGCGAGGAGCAAATGCTGAAGCTCATTTCGACCTTTTAGTGCTAAAGCTATCGCCTTTTCTTGGAATGTAAAAGTGGTTGATTTTTTAGAGTCGGTCTCTTCCATGATTTCAAAATTCAAAATTCCTTTCCTTGGCACCCTCCGGTGCAAGTGTATTTCCTGAAAGTCTGAGCGTTATCAATCGGTCCTTTTGGTTTATCGCATCGATGATAGGTTGCGCATCGTTTTCGTCATTCACTGAATAAAAAGGTTGGACAGGTGCACCTCGTCTAATGATGATTGATTGGCTTACCCTTGAGTCCCTTTCCGTGGAAATCAACTGTCGTGCTTTCTTCAAGCATCGCTTCGAATTCTTCGTCAACAGCACTCGGCTCATTACCAAGGGCGACGTTTTTCATGCAGCCAACTTGAAGCTCCGTGACAATGTCGACAGAAGATTCTTGGTAATGCTCGGCTTCATCCTCTGAATCTGTCACAGCATTTTCGTTCTCGCTTTCATCTTCATCACCTTCGTCATTTTCCAAATCGCCAACTAAAGGACAACCATAAAGATATTGATCAGGTGATCAACTGGTTTTTTGACGACATTCGGAAAAAATTGTATTCGATCTTTCCATGAAAATGCGTGTAAGCTGATCTACCAGCGAGCGAAAAGGAAGGAAAGTAAAGAAAAAGGACAACTTCTTGCTGAATACCCGGTTCTTTTCCCGGTAAATTCAAACGGTTTCCCGACAACGTACGTTTTTTGATAATTCTGAAGGCCCGGTGAAAAACGGGAGCTGTTATGAAAATTGAATAAATCATATGATTTTATTCAGAATCTGTTTGATGAGCGGCATACAGCCCGGCTTCTTATAAATCTATGTGAAACTAATCCTGACTTTTCAATAAATTACTCATTCTTCAAACCGATAGATTCTCCTTACCTAGTTCACTGATAGCTTGTAATTGCTCACAGCCTTCATCCCCGAAGCAATTTCCGTCAAGGTCGATCTTCTCCATCTGATCAAGCGGAAGAGCTTCGAGAACTTTCAAAGCTCCTTCGATTCTCACCGCAGAATATGAAAAAATAACAGTGTGGATATTAGGGCAGCTTTTGAGACCAGCAGCGAGAGATTGAGCTCCCTTATCACGAAGAAGACAATCTCCAAGATCGAGAATTTCCAAAGTCGGAATCTGTCTCAAAGCAAGGGCGACGGCGTGAGCTCCTTTTTCAGTGAGAATATTGTCGTTTAAATTTATCAATCTCATAGGGCAGTGCTTGAAAGCCTCGGCCAGCGCTGCTGCTCCCTTCCATGTGATTCCATTTTGATGCATTGTTACTTCTTCCAAACTGCCAAGCTTTTGGAACCCAACGGCCAAGGCGGCACTGCCTTTGACTTCTTGGCGATTTCGTCCAGCGATAAAGATTTTCAGTTTTGGTGTAAGTCCTGCTTTTCTGATGTTTTCATTGAGGATTTCGAGCCCTGCTCCGACGATTTCGCCTCCTCCCTCTCCAAGTCCACAGTTGTTCAATAAGAGCTCTTCCATTTCCAAACATGCGTCTGTTTCCAAAATAGGTTTAACTCCCCGGGCTCCGTTTGGACCAAAAGCGTTGTCTGACAGATCTAACTTTTTGATTCTAGCGCCAGACTTGTCCAAACCCTTCGCGAGATTTATCAGCGCTGGAGGAATCTCTTCCAACATTCTGGCCTTGAAACAGTTGCCCCACTCGCAGTTTTTCAACGTCGGAGTTTTCGAAATCGCATCTGCGATTGCTTCCGCTCCGTCGATTCCCAAGGAGATCCCGTCGATGTTGAGCGTGACGAGTTTGTCGACGGACTCAATCGCCTTGACAATTGGAGCTGCATCCTCTTTTGTCGTGATTTTTACATTCGCTAGCTTTTCACATGAAACTGTTTGACTATCTCTGATTAGGTCGCTTGCTTCGACTTTAAATCAGGCTCGATAATCATCCTCTTCAAAGGGAAATTAAAAAAAATAAACTAAATGTTGATATTTAATAAGAAACCTCTTTTTTATAAATTTAAAAAGCTCCACATTGTTGATGAAAATTTAAATAATGAATAAATTTTCTCTCTTTTTCAACATTTTGTCTTATCGAGCCCTTTCGCCATTCTAAATATCACAGCCGATGTTAAAAAGGTATCGTATGTGTTGGATATGGCGAATTCACGCCTATGGCGAGTTAAACGACAAATAACACACTTGGTCGACAATGGAAGTGAGGAGCGTCGCTGGAGGATCAGACAGGGCAGTGGGAAAATCGACACATTATCACATGACGTATTAAAATTGTACAGAAAGAAAGAGAAAAAAGAGAGTCACATCATCCCGTCTTTGATCTGTTTGTAGTATCCCTTGATTTGCTCATGCGACCACGGCGCGACAACCATAAACCTTCGATCATCGTTCGACCAAACTAGCGCCCGGATATCCTGCGCATAACTCTTCAACATTTCAAACGCTTCTTGGTCCAAAAACTGGTGATAAAGAAGACCGTCGCTGAACTGCAATCGATCGCGTTCTTTGCACCAAAGATGGATGTTATCTGATACAACCTAACAAAGAAATTATTGAAAGATAAATTATAGAAGCCCGTACTTGTGGAACCCAGTGCTTGTTTTTCCTGGCCACAGGGTGGGCACTCGAGCGCAAGTAGTTCAAAATCTGCTCTGCGGATATTCCATAATCGGCCGATTGCTGGATTGAATCACGTGACATTTGGGCAACAATCATGTATGGGAATCTTATTCCGACTTATCAGCATATCCTTTTTGAGACAGTCTGTAAAGCTGGTAACAAGCCTTTCCTGTATTGAACGTCGGCAAAGAGAGAGATGAGCGCGTAATGTAGCTCCGAATCTGTGTACGCGTAAATTCTGTAATTTGTTTCCACAAGAATGAACTGCTCTTGAACATCTTCTGATGAAGTCTTTTTCCCACCCGCGATACTGATCGATTGAGCAAGACGAGTCGGATAAAATCTCTTAAAAACCCTTGTTTTCGAAAAGAAAGATTTGAGACCGACCATTTCTTTGCTCTTTCGTTTAAAAACCAGTCCCATCTCTCGAAAGTGCTGAATAACGCGGCATATTTCTTGGTTCGAGTTGTCGCACGGATAGTCAGTTCCAAAGCTGCAATATCCGAGTTGAAGAACAAATGCAAGCACATTTACAAGGCTCAGCCCGAGTTTTTGTACATATCCCAAGTACTGAACAAGCAAGTACCAAACTAAACCAAGCTCATTTCAGCTGATAAAACCAATGGCTAAAACCTTGACTCGATCGATCAAGAAGCAAGAATTGAAATCGCTTCTCGCCATTTGCATCACAAAGCCCAGCGTATTTCAATAAAGAGATCACTTCTTCTGACAATTTTCCCTGCTCCTGTGTCAAGTAGCTCAAAATCTTCATGAAGATTTAAAAAAGAAAAGCATCAATCAAAACGGAATTTATAATAGAATTCCTCTCAATCCTTCCTGGTCCCATCTTTCCTTCGTGTACGCGTCGAGCTGCTCCACTGTCTTCGCATTCTTATCTTTCCTATTTCATAACAGTCAAAAACATTTCAACTCCGAAATTGAGCTCACCCTAAAGTCTCGACCGCCGGACGCCAAGTCTCTCCTCCACCAAAAAGCGCCTCCTGAAGATGAGTTCTGAAGGAGTTATTGAGATTGTAGGCGATCCCATCATTCGTGTTCTCCCAAATTCTCAAGCCAGTGATGATTTCCATCGCTTCTTCGAATTTCTCGCGGTGCTCATCTGCTACCCACGATTCAATTAGCGGCTTTGCTATTTGCTGGTTTATGAATAGTATCTTTATCGAGGATTCTCACGGGCAAGATCAGGAAATAGGCCCCTTTACAGATATTTCAATGGTCGACTTCCGAGGCAAAGAGACAAAAGCCTATCTCGGGCAACTGAGAGTTTCATCCTTTCCCGAATAATGATATGCTTGGCGACTTGGGGAAGCTCTCGAAAAACCGACATACAAGTAGCCGGATGTCTGTACAATTCATCAATGACCCTGGCGTCCTGCTCTACGAGAAACTCGTGCAACGCCACCAACTTCAGTTGCGGCATTCTAGTGATCGAAGAATAAACAAAGAGAAAAGTGGATAAAATTAGCTTTTTTGATGCTCAAACTTCAGCCACTTTAGAAGTGAAAATTTTATTATACTTAGTGTATTCTGTTTTGTATTTTCGAATCAGGAGCGAAACTAAATTCCGCCAATAAATAGTGGGCTTATCAGCTCGCCAAAGAATTGGTTTTTCAGAGCTGAGAAAAAGGGAAATTTTTGATGAGGGAGGATTTGAACAGGAGGGAAACATCTTTCCAGTTGTTTTATTAAACAAAGAGCGTTTAATAGACGGCTTCGCCGTGGGAGTGGACGGCGGCGATTTCGATCTCGGGCATGTCCCACTTCTCGAGCTAGAAAAGGGAAGTGAAGAGGCGGAGATGAAGGGGAGGACTTACCTTCCAGTAGGTACCGAACCAAGGATCTCGGGTCATTCCGTTGGGGGAGTGACCATCTCCGTCCTGCCAGACCCAGAAGACAAGTCGAGGAATACCGATTCCCTGGACACCTGGAGCTTCATCGGTTTCGTCGAGCATGACGACTCTTGAATCGAAGTTAGAGAAAAGGAGAAAGATTTAAAAAATGCATCGTAATTATTTTTATCACGACGTGCTTTTTCAGAATGGAAAGTCTCTTGCGGCTTCTGCTCAATAAAAAAACATTTTTCCTAAAATGTCAAAAGCCGCAAGCGGCTTTCTCAATATCCTGTAAATGCAAAATAGCAGTCAAAAACTTACCGTCCGACGTTTCGGGAAGGAACGATGTAGGGGTTGTCGATGGTGCCTTCTCCCTTCTGGACGTAGGGAGTGTTGTCATCGTAGGAGGAGAAAAGATCGAAGCCGGCTTCCATGGCTTCCAATTCCAACTTTCGGAGGGAAGTGGGACCGTACATGTCGATCTGGTCCTGGTTGGTCAAGACGGGCTAGAGAAAAGGGTTCGAAAAGAGGGAAAGTAAACGGTGTCTTACTCGGGTCTTGAAGAATCCAGTGCCGGGGAGCTCGGTGGGAATCTGCTTGTAAAGAGCATCTCGGGCTTCGACGACAGTCTTGTCTTCAGTGGGAACCTAAAAATGGTTGGATTTTGATAATGAAAATTTCTAAAAGTGAGGAAACTTTCTTTAGTTAAAAAATGATTAATAAAACGCTGCAAAAAAACAGTAATACTTACAGCCTTGAGGCCACCACCACCGTTTCGGACAGCCAATCGCTGGATTGCCTTTCGAGCTAGCATTTCTAAAAATAACCCTTATCAGATTTTAAAATCTGAACTGATAATTTCACAGTTCTTCTGAAGAAAATCTCTATTTTTGAAAAGGTGAGTCATTGAAAATCTTTCTTCTAAAATCTTGCTTGTTCTCTAGATTCATCACTTTTGATTGGTGGAACCAAAACTTTATGGGTTTCAATAGGTGGAAGGAACGAAATTTCGAATCGATGACAAATTTGGGCTAAAAATGTCTGTGGCCAATCAACGCGCGCGCTTTCGGCCACTTACGAAGAGCAAACCCCGGCGAAAATAATTTCGATTCTAGAGATCCATGTCCCGAATGAAGAGGTTTTATCCGGTAGTTACGGTTTCTAAGAGATAGTCCTTCAACATTACTTTTTTGATGAACCCAATTTTTTTAAAGAAAGACAAGTTTTGTTCGAATTTTTGAAATTTAATAGTTTGAATTTTTCTTTTTTCAGATTATTTTTCACAAAGCAAAATATAAAAAAATAATTAGTAAAATGTCGGCACGCAATGCAAATTACAGTCACTTCCTTTTTGTTGACCTGATTTTGGACTGTAATCGAAAGATTCTTATTTGAATGCAAGAAATGTTGAGTAATAGAAATATAGAATAATAGATATTTAGATACAAGTGTTGTTATTTTTTAGAAATTGATTTTACATTTGTTGCCAGGGCAGTTTTTTCGCGGTAAATGTATTTTTTGTCTGTTTACATATTTTTTTATATTGAATGGAGAATGTATGATTTTATATTGATTCTTTTTAAAAAGAAGCATTTTTGTAGAAATTAATCTAAAATGTTCTAAAAAGCAGAGAATGAGAGATTTGGAGAGCTGAACCTTCTTCTATTGTTGTTCTGTTAGTCCTGAACTTTGTTGATATTTTGGATCATTCCTGGATGAATTTGGAGCGTTTTGAAGGGAGAGATTTCACTCGTGCTCGAGTTCGCGTTGTCGGCAATTATTTCAGCATTCGCGGTCGCCACGTTTTGGACGAACATCGCCGAAGTCGAGGGAAGTTGCACGATTTGGGCGGCGCTGGAATTGTAGCTTTCGGTCAGCGGTACGCGGAAACCGTTGTCCAGTTGAGCGCTTTTGCTGAATGAAAATTTTAATGGCGGTTCTCTTCCTTGACTCCAAAAATAAGAAGAAAACTCACCTGAAGTTCTGCCTGTACTGCGATCCCTTTGGCGTGAGTTTCTTTATCCTCGCCGGTCTTGAAACCCCATCAACGCCGACTTCTACCGTCGGGTGGGGCATCGCCGAAGTCGTCGGTATTCCCGGGTCGAGCCTGATCGTCTTCATTGGCGGAGCCCCCACCGAATGCGAGCGATCGAGACGGACGTTTGTGGCCGAGTTTTTTCGCCCGCGCTCAGGGACTGAAGCTTGTCGGAGAATTGAAGGAGCTGCGGAGGAGTCTAGATGCGCGGCTAGAGCTTCCTTATCGCTTGGTCGCCGCGCGCGACTAGCTGATGTCGTCTTTTTACGTGTCTGAAGGTCGATAAAAACATATCGAAAACTTGGCAAACTTACCGAAGTGTGCTTGAATTGCTTCTCGTCGTATTCATAATCAGAGCCGAGGACGGAATTCTTTCTCTGGAGCTCTGGTGTGTTGTCTGTCGCTTTTTGCTCGAGCTGATATGTGATGCCCGGCTGTTCAGCTTCGATTTCGTTTTTGAATAAATCCAGGTCTTCGTCGCAGCGCCTGACGTAGCGGTCGACCTTTGAGATTGTTTCCGTCATCATCTTGCACTTCTTTTCATGCGCACCTAAAATTTTGAGAGGTTAACTGATAGTTATTGATTCAGTCTTACTTTTAGCCTTGCTTGCAAAAGCGTTGTACTCTTTTTGCATGGCCTTGACTTCAGGATCTTCTTGGATGTTTTTGACGCCTTGTTTGTCCTTGATTTGGCATCGTTTGAAGAGATCGTCGGCTTTTTCGTGCATTTGCCGTCTGAAACTGTTGGCTTCTTGGTCTAGTTTTCCGATTTGCTCGATGTCTTGTTTGAATTGGTTCTTCAGCGGCTCCAGAAGTTCTAGGAAATCGTCCAAGAAGAACATCTGGAATCTGAAATACGAAGAAGATGATACCGTGCTTGCCGATTATAAAAATATATTTGTCAAAGTATAAAAATAAAAATAATATGATAAACGAGGAGTTCTGTTGAATAGTGATCGTTAGTATTGTGCAGTTTTGATTTCTCCTCTATCTGGGCAGTCGTAAATTTTAGAAAGAAATTAAAGGAAAAAGATCATTTCCAAGTCGTCGGAGCAGGCCTTCCCGTCCCTCTTAGACGCGAGTTGCCCCGCTGCGATCCTTTTTCGAAGCAGGTTTCGCAGCTTCTTGTTCTGCTTTCTCTGCCTCTTTGTCATACAACAGCTCGTACTGGCCAAAACTTGAACGAGGGGGGTTCTTTTCTGCGCGAGAATCGGGAATTTCCCGATCGTAAAACAGAATTGATAGTGCATCTAAAATTATCTGAATTAACTCCTATCAGGGTTGCCCAATCGGACAAAAAATCTTGGTCTCGGCGATCCGATTCCGATCCGATCCGATTCGAACCTTGCCCGATCCGACCGATTTCCGATCCGATTACCGATTCCGATCGGATTTTTCGGATTCCGATTAAAATTCATGTCCGATCGGACAATTTTCCGATCGGAAAAATATTCGAAAATTTTCAAGTTAAAATTTCAATTTAGGCTACTCAATATGAAGAAAAAACTCGAAAATATCAAGTTCTTTCGCTACAAACGCCCTTCTAACCATTTTATCTCTGATTTCTGTGAAAATTTATAGATAGTTTTGGGTTTTCGGGGGCTTGGATCCGCAACATGTGACAAAACCAAGGGTCCTGAAAGAGCTTTCATAAAAGCCGCCTAGGCGCTAGAATTTCCTAGAATCGTAGCAACAAATGGCATTCGCAAAAACAACCATCTCAATGGTTGACATTCTCAATCTAACGCCAAATCACCGTGACCAAGGTTTGGTTGAAAGTCTATAAATTGTAGATAATATTCAGAGATAATATTGAGTTTTGCTGGCTTAGATCAGTAACCTGTGTTCAAAACTTTTCAAATAACCTTCGCAAAAATAACCATAGTAGTTTTGAGATGTCTCAATGATTGAGATTCTCAGTCATTGTGATGATCACGCCGTGATCGAGGTTTTGATCGCAGGTTGCCGAGCCCTGTGTTGGGGGTAAAGGACGTAATTAAGTTCTTTTTGAGAAAAACATGCCAAAAAAGGGTGACGGGCGGCCACGTTCTGCCAGAACGGCGTTCTGCAAAAACAGAACGGCGTTCTGCAAATGCAGAATGGCGTTCTGCATGATAATTTTTACGATGTAACATGATTTTTATCAGTTTTAACGCATTCAGCTAAGCTTCAAGAATAACTCCTGACTTGAAAAATTCTGAGATTTCCTTTAAGACAGGCGCGAAGCGCATATATTTTGAGTGCAGAACGCCGTTCTGCATTTACAGAACGCCATTCTGCATTTGCAGAACGCCGTTCTGCTGCAGAACGTGGCCGCCCTACACCCCAAAAAAATGGTGAATTTACAGAAATATTACTTTTTATAAGTATATTTTCAGTCTTAGTGACGGATTTTAGTGGTTTTTGAATGAATGGACCCGACTTTTTTACCCATTTTCCGATCGGATTATCGGATCCGATTTTACCGATCGAAACCGATTTTACCGATCGGACAAGACCAAATTTTCGTTGCCTCGTCCGACCAATTACCGATCCGATTCCGATCGGATCGAATTTCCGATCGGATTCCGATCCGATTGGGCAACCCTGACTCCTATTCTCTTTGCATATCTGAAAACCTTTGATGACGGAATACTTCATAATTCTATCATTGGCAGTCGTGGCGCTCAGCGACGGGCTAGCATTCACTTCGATCAGCCAGGGCTTAAGCTTGTCATCGATTAAAACGTCGAAGCCGTAGATCTCGAAGCAGTGCTTATCCGAGTTCATAATCCAGGCGACCGATTTTAGGGAGTGAAGGATCAGCCTTTAATATTCACGATAATACTAGACTCTTCAGTTTTTGACCTACCAATTTATGTCGTCGAACATTTTATCCGTCTTATCGCTCCCATGGGTAGAAGACAAATACAGTCTGAGCGATTCTAGCGTCCATTTACCCCCGTGTTGTGCATTATAATCATCTGCGTTCTTTTGAATCGAGACGTTCGTCAAATGAACGAATAAATTATCCAGGTCGGAGGTCGAATGATTGTACTTGACTGTACAAAATCGGCAGAAGCCCATCTTGTAGACGTAAGCCTTCAGGGGGCGGAAAGAAGTGACGAGGACGTAGATTCGTAAGTCGAATTTCTTTCCACCGATGAGAAGCGGGTTGTTGATGTAGCGGGAAATAACGTAAGTATCTCTAGTCGTTTGCTGAGGGATATTTGTCCGCGCATTTGCCCATTTTTCAATTGCGAAAGCTTAAAATAAGCGTTTATTTCTGTATTTCTCTATTTGTTGTGTACTTTGTTAATGAGGAAAATGCCAATGCCCCTTGCTTTTCCGCACGGCTTCATAATCCATGTTGAGTTTGGGTGGCGCTTGAAATCCTCCGCGAATAAATTATAGTCCGCGGGGAGAAGGTATGTAGACGGCACGATGTCAAGATGGACATAATTCCCATCGCTGTCCTTCTCCGCAAGCCAGTGGTCTTATTAACGAGATTAGATTACTGTAATTTCTACCCGCGCCCGCCGTTGATTTCATTACAGTAAGCGCTCTCTTACCGTTTCTCTCGAGTTCTTTTCGATATCTTTTGATGTTTTTCACCATTAAATCTTTTCGGCAAAGTTCGTAATGATTCGGAAAATGGTTGACAAGTTGATTGTCATTCATTCTCATCGTAGCTTCGATTCCGAAAAGGTACTTGAGGTTGTGAACAGCGCACCAGTAGAAGTTCCAGTCGCCATTTTCCAATGACGTCTAGTGAAATGAGTTTTAAAAAGTTCACGCGCTGTTTATCGTACCGGAAGCCAGCCACGCTTTTCAAAATTATTCAAAAGGCACGATTTCTCCAGATCAACAACATATTTACACTTTGTGTTAGAATGAGTACCATCGTGCGGACTCATCGATGCTGAAAAACGAGGAAGGATGACACTTGGTTTGAAGAAAAGGACGATTAGTAATTTTAACAGCTGGAAAATGGTCTTGAAATGACAGGATTTTGATAGAATTTATGGACTGAGATCTTCGACTTCTGAAAGTTGGGCTTCTAAAACAGCAAAGTCGCGGGACAAGTTGTCGATGATTGCGTTGTAATGAGCCAGAAGAATTCCAGTATTTTGACCTTCAAGAGATTGAAATTCATTTCAACTTTCGCCTTCAGAATCAGTACCTAGATTTTGTGCTTTTTCGTATTGAAGTCTATTCAGCGTCGCCAGTTTCTGGATATCTTTCTTCTTTTCGATCATGTTTTCCAGTTCGCCAAGGTGACTGTATTTTTCAAGTGACTGAACCTTGTCCATGTAGGGCGCGATTTGCTGAACGATGGGCTCGATACTGACTGCAAGCTGGTTCATCGCCTCAGGCGTGATTTCGGAGCAAGAAAGATCAAGCAGATGGGTTAGTCGACTGATGTCTTTGAAGAGGGTATCTACGTTTGCGTCTGAAAAAGCAATAATATTGGCTGAATTTTGAATTTTTTTTACATTTGTTGGTGTTTTCAAGCTTTTTCTGAGCAAAAGTAATCGCGCTTATATTTTTCTTCGTGATCTGTTCCTCCAGCGAGTCTAACTTTCTGTTCAATTCCGCGATCGACATCTCTTTTTTAGCTTTCTTCAAGTTTATTTTAACATTTTTCAAGTTTAAATTAAAGATGAATTAGAGATGGATAATCAGAAAGAAGAATCGTCGAATACAGAATAAATCAACATGTTTTTGGCAGGTTCAAAAAGATTTAGAGCAAGTTTTATTCACTCTTCCATTTTGACCGGGTTCGAGAGTCGTCCAAGTCCCTCGATTTCAATGACGCAAGTGTCGCCATCCGCGAGGAACTTGGGTGGATTGCGGTGCATGCCGACGCCTCCAGGAGTTCCGGTGAGGATCACGTCTCCTGGCTTGAGGGTGCAGATTTGGGACACCCAGTTAATGATGAATGGAATGTCAAAAATCAGGAACTTCGTGTTTGAATCTTGCATTTTGTCGTCTCCGATCCAAGATCTACATTTTTTATTAGTTACTGAATACAATTGCTTGGTGCTTACGAAATCTTCAAATTAGATGGATCAACGTCAGTAGCAACCACGGGGCCAAGCGGGCAAAAAGTATCAAAAGTTTTGCCGAGAAGCCATTGACCTCCGTTGCGTTTCTTTTGCCAGTCCCGACCAGACACGTCGTTGGCGATGGTGTATCCGAAGACGTGGTCGAAAGCGGATTCTTTTGAAATGTGGCGGCCTTCTTTTCCGATGATAATGGCTAGTTCCGCCTCAAGATCTGGAAAAAGTCAAGCTATTTATAATCGTAGGAGTTTTCAGCGTACCAGTATTGCATCCGATTTTCGGGAGCTGAATAGCATCGCCATGGCCTACCAGAGTGGATGGAAACTTGTTGAACACGACAGGCTCCTTTGGTGGAGTAAGATTTTGCTCGGTGCAATGGTCGGAGTAGTTGAGGCCGATGCAGATGATCTTTTCGGGATTATGAATGACTGGCGCCATCTTGAGGCTATCAAGAGCAACCCCACTTGCTGGACTTCCAAGAGCAGCGGAGACTTTTGACATTCCTTCGGCACCAGCGGAGATCAAGGACTAAAGGAGCTAAGGCGACTAGAATCAAGAGGAAAAAAACCTTGAGATCAGGATATTGTGCGGAAATATCAGCGACAGAGCCATCAGCGAGCTGTGCACCGAGCCTAAGGCCGTTAGACTGATCGTGGAACTGACAAAAACGCATTCCTGAAGCATAACGCGTTGAAATTCTTCCAAAAAATCGATTCATTCTGATTCAATCTGATCTGATGGAAATCAATCACTTGATAAGTTCTGTAACATATCAAAATCACCAGAAAGTCATTTTTCAGAGAAAAAATGAGTCTCGCGGTATTTTGATGATGAAGAATCAAGAAAAACAGAAGAAGAAAATGACATGCAAATTGATGTTTTTGGGAAGCGGGATTTTTATTTTCTTTATTAAATATTTTTTCTTGTAAAGTTACATTTATCAAATACAAAAATATATATACGGCATTTTCGTTTTTTTAAAGGTATAAAAAGAAGCTTCTTTTCTAGTTGAAGTGACGATCGTTAATGACATCCAAGCGCCTCTGATGTTTAATTGAGTGGTTGACACCTAAGAAAACACATTTTTGACAATTATGAACATCGAAATTTGGGAGAGGCGTTTGGGGAACGGTTGTTTACCTTTCAGAGCTGGGAGATGAATGGTTTTGTTTTCGACACTGGGGTCTAGTCGCAGTTCCTTTCCGAAACCAGACTAGAAGTTTCGAAAAATTATTATCAGAGGAAGACGATGATTTCTACCTGCAATTGATTGACTGAAGAAGAGGAGGCCTTTCCAACCCCAAAACGAGTTCTACTGCCGATCGATCCGGCACTATTAGCGGATCTCGGCGATCTAATTAATTTCGCCGGCCTTTTTGTTGGCTCCATCGTTTTTGAGCTGCGTAGAAGCTCGGATTTGAATCGTTCGTTGGCGCGGCGGAGGAATTCTACTTCAGTCTTCAAATCGGCGTTCGTTTCTTCTAATCGTTTCATCTTCATGATACTCTACCAAAATGAAAAGCTTGAAAAGATCGAACGGAAGTACCTCTGGATCCTGCTGTGGTGGTACTTCGGTAGTTTGAACTGATAAATTCTCGAATTGTCTGACGACATCAATGTCTGGCAGCGATTTATAGTGTCCTGCAAGGACTAATCTCCACTGCTGCTCTTTATTGAGCATTTTCAAGCGCTCAACTTCGCTGTGAAGCTCAGAAATCGTTTGCTTGTGAGAATCTAATATTTAGTTTAGCCACATTCTATCTTAAACAAGGTCAAATTATCAGTAAGAATCCTGGTTTCAAGGGTCGAAGGGAGAGTTTGAAATTATTTTAAAGTAAAATGAAAATAAGAATGAAAATCATGAGCCTGACTCAATAGAATGATTATTATTTACCTTGCAAAAACTCAATATTTTGGTTGGCATAACGAAGTCGTCTCTTCAACAAGCTTACTTCGGGAGAGTCCGATTCGTCATCATCCCTTCTTCTCGTAGCTCCGGCGCTAGTAGCAGCCAGGAGATGCTCTTCTTGGTCACTCATCCCTGCAGATTTCTGATTTTCTGAAGAAAGGAACGCTTTTTAGACTCGCTTAGAAGATACACAAGCGGCAACATGGAAAAGTAATTACATTGATTTTTGCATGGATCCGTCAGATTAAGAAATAATGATAAGCTTTTGTTTCGTTTTAATTATTCAGAAATAATGCATATAGATAGGAAAATTGATAATTAAAACATATAGAAAATTTTAATTTATGATTTTTTAGAATTCTTGACTTGAAGTTCGTTTGGTTCGTAAATTTTTCATGTTATTTTCTTTTTTCGAGCGAATACAGTATTACAGTTTGTAATTCGTGACTTTCGTTTGATGAACTTTGTAAGCGATTGTAAGCTAACATAGAAAATGTGAAAACAAAACGGATTTGATTGTTGACTTGAAGAAATATTGCTGGAACATGGGAAGATAGAACAAAGAAAAAGAATCGTAGTTTTCTCAGATTGTCCGATTTTGAATAAAAGGATGAGCTCTAGTCGCGATTGTGATTCCGGCGAGAGATGCAAAGAAGAAAGAACATGACGACTAGGCAAATTGCGCCGACGATCGCGTAGGTCCAGCCGAGGAAGAGGTTCTTTCCACCGATCCAGGACGTGGTCGCGAGAACGAAGAATTTTCCACCGCCGAATCTGTGGACTGGGTAGTTGTAGTACGTCAGCAGCTGGTAAGTTCCGGGTGGAAGGTCTGAACAGCATTTTTAATCAATACTTCTACAGCTATGTTGAAATAAAAATTAGTTACTTACTTAATTGCTGTCCATTTGAGTCCTGAATCTTTCGATAAAGCTTCCTGAAAGTTGGAAAAGCAGCAGTCCTCATCCAGACGATAAAATCCTCGTTTCGGAAGCCGATCCCGCTTGATCCAGATTTCGACCTGTAACTCAGCGCGTCTTGGGGTGTTCCAAGCGTATGCACATCAGTTCTCCAGTTCAGTGGTCGAACAGTTCCATTAAGAAAAGTCGCGTTCTTTGTTTTTCGTTCGGATCGAATTTTTGGCTCTAAAAAGAGATCAAACTCGTTCAGAAGCGGTTGCTTTGATGTTACTTTGTCAGTTTTCCAGGCAATGTCTTCGCCAGACATGGGAATCGCGCCGAAACCACTGTCAGGATTAACAATGTCATTTAGGGTAAGTGGGACACATCCAGAGGTTCCGCATTGCCGGAAGAAGAATGTATCGTTGAAGAGAGAATTCGCAATGGCTCCACATGGGGCTAAATGAAAAGATGTTATTCGTGGTGGACTTCTGATCGGTATTTTGACCCTAAGGTCACATGATTTTGATCGAAAAGAGGCTAAAACTCACCGATTGGTATCGGTTTAATATCACCGACATCGACAACATCGTACGGACTGCAATCGCCATCTGGCTTGTCTCCGATGGTCGACGCTTCGGCGAGAAGTTGAGTATCATCTCGGGACTTCACATATCTTCGGTGGTTTTGGTAGTAGTTAGTCAACCTGTAGTAAGCAAAGATCTAGAGCGCATCATGAAAAAGGCCGTTTTCCTGATTTGAAAGTATAAAATGTTTATGAACTCACGGGAGATTCCATTTCTGCTTCAATTGTAAATTCTTGGGAGCAAATACAAGTGGGTGGATTTCCCTCAGGAGCTCCAGGAAACGATTCAATCCAGGCATCGTAAATGTCCTTGCAAGTCTGGCCGCTGCCGGTGACGTTACTAATGTTTCCTACTGTAGGAGGGTGCTGAGTAAAGGTGAATTCTGCTTCGCAATCGGTGTAGACTTGCTCGACTTCTTGGACACCGTTGGACGCGACGATGATGAGAGAGCCAATGGGGATGAAGATAACACCGACGATGAAGAAAATCTGAAGATATTTTGTTGGAAAATGTGGAAAATGGTTAACTCATCGTAGCAGAATGCTTTAAATATTGACTGAGAGTTGCTAACAAATCAAAAATGAACATTTCTAGCCGAAAATGAACAAATACCATGCGAAAAACGGATAAAAACTCTGAGTTATGTGCATTTTTCTCATAAAACTTTTCTTACCGGTAAAACCGACTTAGCAGTAAGCACTGGTTGCCATGCTGGCAATCTCTGTTGTTTGAAAGCCGAATTGTCCGGTTTCTTCGATCTGACGGACGATTTCGAAGCAGAAGTCGCCGTGTTATTCCTGTTTCTTACGCCGTCGCTCATTTTCCGTCTCTGCCAACTTCAAAAAAACTAAAAAACGAAGAAAATTACGAGGCTTCACAATTTTCACAATTCAAAGCGCCATAAATTTATTTCTGTAAGAGCGATGAATGGCCGAGCGCGCGCTGATTGGCCAAACGCGACCAACCAAGCGCCGAGCAACTAGAAATGATTGTAAAAAGAAAATTACAGTCATCTGCGGCCAATTTGTGAAAATGCTCAAATGAACAGAAACAATTGTTTCTTGTCACGCACTTTGTTGAAATATATTTAAAATTAATTCGAAGCAGTATTTTTATTAATTTCCAATCGTTCTTAGCATCAAAGTCCTTTGAGGAGTTGTTTGAAAACCTTTTCGATCTGTAGAAATCAGACTCGATTCTTTCGAATTTGCGCCGGGCTCTTCTGTTTTCTTTGAGGTGGATTTTATCCAAGCAGACGGTGTGGTCGTAAAATGACATCGTCGATTCTATCAAGGGCACAAAGCAAGAATTATCAGTCGTATGGCGCCAAGCGCAATGACTGTATTTGTCCTCGTAAGTGCATTCAGAATTAGCACGCTCTGATAGTCAAGGAGTTTCCTTAACGAAGATGATGTGATCTTTTACGAGCTCGTCTAAAAACTAGGATCAAAGTAGTCGCCTAAGTTGTTCCACATACCAGTGTTTGAAAACCCGCAACATTTTCCGCGGGCGCGGGCGGGCGCGGGGGCCGATTTCAAAATTTTCCGCGGGCGCGGGCGGGCGCGGGGGCCGATTCCAAAATTTTGCGCGGTTGCGGGCGGGCGCATGGGCCGATTCAAGAATTTTGCGCGGGTGCGGGCGGGCGCCCGTTACCCTCGCGCCCGCAGGCCCCGCGGGTTCGAGGGATATGAATCTGCGAATTATAGAAGAATAACTCTCAAAAAAAAACCATAATTAAGCTAAAAACTAAGATAATTTGACTTTTTAAAACAATGGGAGTGGGTGGGGTTGGGGACAAAACTAAATGTTCCAAGCCTATGTCAAGCCCCTTAAATCAAAAAATCAAGGAACGGGGCTGAGACGGCCCGAAAATTAACAAACAAGGGGTCTATCGATAGCTTAGAATGCAATGAGAAAGGTAGATTTCTCTGTTTTGAAGAAGTTCTATTGACAATAATGTTCGTCAGGATTCATAATTCAAATCGGCTGATTCTCCAGTTAAAGATTGCCAAAACGGCCTTTATTTAAAAAAACTGGCTCTTTATTCATAAATCAAGGAACGGGGCTCATTCATTTTACGCAAAGTTTTTCAGATGAAAACCCAACATTCTTAACTAGCTTAATTCAATTTATGGTGAGCCCCGGGCGCCCGCGGGCGCGAAAAAAATTTCCACGGGCGCGGGAGGGCGCGGGGGCCAGATCAAAAATTTTCTACGGGCGCGGGCGGGCGCGGGGGCCAAATCCGAGATTTCTTGCGGGTACGGGGTTCGCGGGCGGGTTTTTTCAAACACTGCCACATACCAAAATGTAGAGTTGAAACTTAGGTGAATCCCTCGTCGCTGGTGCTTTTTGGTGAACCGCGACTTGTATCATTTTCAACATAATTGACGTTATTCAGTATGTGCGTCGTGTACCATTCATTTTCTGAGTTTTACTTAATTTATTTAACAATTTATTTTATTTGCGAACTCGACCCCTACACGTAACAATCAAAATAATCTCAACTATTCAGGGGCACGTCATCGTAACGGAGTTTTTACAATGTTAAAACCAAGATTATGATTGCGCGCGATCGTAAAAGTCCGCATCCGAAGTCGCAGCAGTCAAAGACGAGAGAATGAAGGTGAGGACGCGCGGCGCATTTTTCAGCTTTTCAAGCCCTTTTTTCTTTAGTTGACCAAGAAGTTTTCCATTCTGGCGTGGCTGGAGCTCGTCTTTGTTATTACATGGATTGTGGTTTCGGCGCTGGCTGTTGGGTCGAATAAATATTTCTTTATTCCAGAAGTAAGACACCATAAAATTTACTTATACTTTTTTCAACATAATTTTTCTATCAGTTGAATTGATGATTGTTTTACTTGATGATCATCAATGATAATTTGGCCTTCCATAGATGAAAGACATCTCTAATATAAGATTTTCTTGACTTGAAAATTGTACTATGTTGGATGAGATCTCATTTAGTTTTTCCCATTTGATTTGTAATATTTTAGTTACTAAAGCTGTAACTAAATGTTTTTAAACTAAATTAATTTATTAGTTCTTCGCCCCACAACTTGGCTTCGCCGTGGTCCTCCTTGCTGTCCCAATCTCCGGTCTCCGCGCTTCTCGGGTAATAAAGTCTAAAAAGCTAATGAATTAGGCAATTAAAATTCCTTTTATTCGCCGATAATTCTTCCCGAATAACCTTTCTTTAGCAAAAAAGTGCTGATGCTGCCTTTTGGCACGCTTTCTTGAGCTGCTCAGGAAAAGATCAAAAAGACCAATTTCAATTGAAAATAATTGTTTCAAATTATTGTTTTTGAATCAAACAAAAGGTACTTGTGTTACCGCTACTTCCTGCGTTCTTGCTGCTTATGGTCTTGCTATTGGAGTTCAGATGGAGAAGTTCTACAGCGCTCAGAACAACCCTGTCACTTTCTTTGATACCTGGGATAGTTACTGCTCATGGATTCTTGCTGCCCCCGCTCTCTGCTTTGTTTGCTCCGTTATTATGACGATCTTGCCAAAGGGTTGACAATTTTAAGAGAGACTAAAACTCAATCTTTACTTTACTTGAAAGTCATTATTATTTTCAACCCTTTATCAGCAGCCAATTTCCTACATGACCATCAGCCAGCAAGTCGACAAATACGACATGCGAGAAGGACATCTCGATGAAGCTCAAATGACTCGATAAGAATCTTGGGAAGAATGGGTCTCTCTTGCTCTTTGCCTTGTGATATGCTTTTTTACGTGTAACTAACCAATAATATCATATTTTTTTCCTTCGCCAAAGCCAAAGTTCAACAAGAAAACAAAATATTTTTATTTGTGCATGTTGAATAAATCATATGTATATACAAATGTCTATCCGAGAACAGTTATTTCGTAGGGCAATGCAGGACAGTTAGGTAGATAAATAGGTCGTGATTGAAAAGCTCCTTCGGCCGACATCGCCTCGGAAACAGGATTTCCCGTAGAAATATCAACTAAAATTATCTTTCATACACACATAAGGGTCTCATTGTACCTCTTTCGATGGGCATGCTTCCTGAAAAACCGCCAATGACAAGAAAAGTATCCGAATCAAGCTTCTGCAGCGTTGGAAATGATCGTACATTCAGCATATCTGCTTGACCAGTCCAAACATCGTTTTCCATTATCCAAACATTTGATTTTCTAATTATCAATTAGTAATTGAGCCATAAAATTCTAACGAAATTGGTTGATTACCTATCATAGCTAGAATTTTCCAGACCGCCAACAACAACGATTTTCGCGAAATCAAGAGATAAGGCAATAGCTCGTTTTCTTATATTCGGCATATCCGGTACATATTTCGTTTGCTGCCAAAAATTATGTTTAGCGTTGAAGTCATCAACTCGATTTTGATGAGCTCCCCGGAAGAGCCGCCAAAGAGCAAGAGTCGGTGAGCTTTATAAGGAGCAAAACCTAAGAATCGAAAAGTGTGATTATCAAATAGACAGACCTCGACTGAAAATTTGTTGTCCACTTGTTGTTGCATTTTTCCAGGTAGCTGATGAGACTGGAAAATTGATTATACTCAGCGATCTTATAACTCCGTTGTTATGTGCGTAGATTTTGGTGTAGCCATCAATCAAATGAGTCGTCATTTGGTCCTCGACCTCTTGATTTGGAAAAGGAGTCGCTACAGTCGTTTTTGTCAATCCGCAGGTATTGTCGAAGTAGTAGATAAAATTGCACAAATTGGAAACGATGATTACGTTGTCTTGATGATAAAAAGTCGAGGCAAATTTAAGAGGGCAGTCGAAAGAAACCGCGGATGCTGTTTCAAATGCACCGAAAGAATTGACAAGCCAAACGCTATCGATTGGATCGTGTGCGTCGAGAATGTGGAAAGAGTCGCCTGGAGCAGGTGTTGTCGGACTAGTAGTCGTTGTGGTGGTTGTAATGGAGCTGGTGGTTGTTGTCGTTGACGTTGTTTTTGTTGATGTTGTCGCGGTTGTGTATACTTTTGGAGGGCCGAGTTTCGCGAAGCAATAAAGGTAATCAATCTCATTCGAAGACATGCCATCATCGTCGAAAATAAAGATTTTCATCTTTTTTATACAATTTGCTATTTTGTCTTTATCGTGGCCAACCGGAACCTTGACAGAAATGATAAATGCATCTGAGTCTTCTTTCCACCCTTCTGAATCTTCAGACTCGCGTATGTTGATTGAAGATATCTTCCGAACCTGCTGGAGAACATATCTTGTCACAGAACTATTGAATGGACTGGCGAATGGCATGGTAAACTCAACTTGGTACAAATTCCCAGTTTTGTCGATTATTTCGATTATTGGCAATTCAGGGGAGCCCATGGAAAGTTCGTCAAGAAAATTACTTTCGCATTGGTTTTTGAACTTAAAAACTCCCCAGTAATTTTGAGTATTCGGGATTTTCTAGGTTTCAAAATTATATTTCAGAAATATGATTGTCAACTTACATTTACAAGTTTAACTTTCGCCAAGATTCTATCTGACATAACTCCAATAATATCGATTGTTCGCATTCTCGAGGGTGGTAGTGAACAATATTCGGGAGCCTGGTATGCTTCGGAATATTCCGAAAATGTCAATAGTAGCAAAATTATATTCGAAAGCATCTTTTTGCGAAAAATTCTCTGTCTTAGCCTTAGGTCTATGAGATGATGACGATCCTTGTTACGCTGAAATTAAGATTGAGTACGTTGTTAAATCGTAGATCTAACTATTGACGATGTTAGCTTACCATGATCATTATGCGGAAGCCCTGCTCAAACATAACATCATTGATAATTAAAGATGTCTTCATTTCAAGAATAAGATCGACTTACTTTGCGCAATAACGTTAGAAAACCGTTTTCAGCCGGATGGTTTTTGCAAGAAACGCCACTAATAAAGTGTAATCTGTGTGATCACTTCACTTGCTGGCGCCATTTGAGCACCTTTTTTGAAGTAGCCATTTTTCCGACCATCAAGAACCAGACTACTGGTGCACTCTAAATGGCAATTGTTGCAATCTCATTCATTCAAGCAGAATTGGATCTCGAGTGTGTCCAAACTGCGTGCCTAAAAACATACTCGAGAAGGAACATTCAGAGTTTTTTATTCAGAAGAGAGAGAGGAAGAAATTTTCTCGAAAGAAAAGGTTTGGGTTTGGAAGGTTCCTATGAAGCTTGATTTACAGTATTGTGTACATTTAATAATAGCGATTTGATGAAACACTTGAGTGTAATAATCTCCGCTGCGGATTTGAAGCCTTTATTCACTGGTCTTTGTGCCCATTTTTCAATGAGCTGGGAGAGATGGATTTATAAGTTCGGATAAGCAGGAAATGGGCCAAGGCTCACAATAGCCAGGTGTCATTCTGTGATGATTGAGGCAAACAGTAACCCGCTGAATTGGACACACACTGACCCTGGATTGACCCTGTGTTAGCGCCCGAATGTGGCGGGATGAAAATAAACTCGAAAAATTTAAGAAAAAAAAATATAAAGAGAGAATAGAAAGATCATTTTCTTATCGAAAACTGGTGAGTCCAATTTCTTTATTGATGAAAAAACTTCAATAAATAATTATGGATGTAGGCATCAAGGAGCTTTAATAAATCTCCAAAGTTGTTCAATCCAACAAGTTCGGGCTTCCCTTATCGCACTAGCTATCTCTCCTCTTCTCATTTCTAGCGCTTCTTAGGCTGAAATGAATAAAGCGGCTTTGGGAAATTTTTGTTTTTGGTCTTGGGGATGATCCGCACAGTCCCCAGCTGCTTCTTTTTTTCGATTAAAAATTAAATCTTTGCACGAAGAAGCCAAAACGGCGCGCTGGCGCAGAATTGCCTTTTTTCTTTCTTTTTCTGTGGCTAGAGTTTTTTGTGATGCTTAGGAAGGCCTTGAGAAATTTCTCACGGTGGTTATAATACAGTGAATCAGAAGAAAGAAAGAATAAGAGATACTGAAACCGTTGTTGCCAGAAGGAGGTGCCCCTGGGCACACACGTCGCAATTTCGGCCTTACGGGCTTTATTGTGTGCCCAAAATTTATCATAGAGATCGAAAAAGCAGAAGACTAAAATGCCACCGGAAGGCGGTGTTGCCAAGAAAATGAACCTAAGGGACCAGCACCAAGGTAAACCACAGACCAAGACAAGGACCAAAACACCCTTGATTCCCCAGGGAGCGAGAGGGTTACTGTAATGAAATAGAACACGTTTCCGAAAGTGATAATTACATTGTTTTGTTTTCGCGCTGAATTTCTTTACAAGTTCGGGAATACAAAAAATGAAAGAAAAAGTTAGAAGTTGAAAATGAAACCGTTTTCAAAATAAAGAGAAAAAAATGAGAGAAGGCTTGAAATTTTCAAAACCACAAAAAGGTCAGATTGAATAAAAAGAAGGATGGAAATTTTAATCAGAATTTTAAATTGAATGTTTTTGATGGGAAGGGTGTCGCTTAATTTTGAACTTTCGCGTGAACCCTCCTAAGGGCCTCATTATAATCGGGTATTTACTGGAGCATGTCCAATTTTATAAACCCTTCTAGTTCCCTTTTTGTGGCTAAGGGGCAAGGCCGAGTTGCATAAAATTGGCTCAAGGGAGGGAAAATCAGTGAAGCGTATTGAATCGATAATAGTGAGATTTGACGGAAAAAAAGAATAAGAAAAAAATACGATTAATTTTTGATGAGCTAAACTGTGATGGACGAATGGAGTCGACCATCGTCGAGTTTATTTTCGAGTGCGTGATGAGAGAGTTGCAGGCGAGATACCAGAAATGGAAATTAGAAGCGCATATTTACAAAGGTAGATAAATTTATTTGGAGATTCGATTATAAGCGCCATTTACGGAATCTCATAAAACTGAAGGATCTCGCCAAATTTCAGAAAATTTCCATTTGTCATGAAAAACGCGATAATCGAGTGATAACTGAGAGGCCGAGTTCTATCCCATTTTTCCTTGTGAAATCTAACTCTCCGGCGCGTCTCGTCACTCCAACTCAAAAATAATTCATTTCTCCAAGAAAAAAAAGTTGAGGAAAGTTTCAAAGAGGAAATCCCCTTTTTCGCCTTTTTCTCCTTGACGCACGCGAGTCTCGCTAATCCCACCCATCCTGTATGGATTTATTGGGATAATAAAAAAAAATTCCTTCCTGAAAATTTCAAGGGATATTTTGCTAGTCAACACCTCTTTGAAGCCCACTCGTCAGGGAGTTGAGGATACTCAAGTTTGATCAATTTTGGCCTTTATACCTCAATATCCGCTTTTAAAAATTGATTTTCTTTTTGGAGATTTTTGAAATTTGGGCACGCCAGACGCCCCGTGGCGATGGAAGGTGTTCGCAGCGGGATAGATCAAGGCTTTCAGAGAGATTACTGTTTCCTTCACAGTTTTGAGAAAGAGAATTTTCCTACGGGTAAGGAATTGGTTATTTCAACAGGAAATAGAAAAGGCACCTGAGATTAAATAAAAATAAAAATTATGAAAATTTTGTTTTCAGAAAAGTAACTCATATACACTTTTAAACTAAAATTATCCTCGTGCTAGTCTGACCATCTCATGTATTATTCGAGTCGATCTGGGTAAATATATCTTCATTTTATCCAGGGAAAAGAACCATGAATTAACGTCAATTCGGGGATGTTTCCGTAACAAGAACACACTTGTTCTGAATTGATCTCGGGATTAGAATAATATACGTTGTGCATATTGTAAGTTGTATAATATACAATCTATTTTAGGCCTAAAAGCTGGGATGGAAGAATGGCACGTGCCAATTTGCTCGAATCTTCCTCAAGAAGAAGTTGGCTACCTCAAAATCGACGATGTTCTGGAGATGTGGCAGACTCTTGGCATAGAGGACGGGCTCAAGAAAACTTCGAAATTCTTCGATCAGGCGGAAGGATCGCAGACGATTTCCGTGACTAACTTGAGACATTCCCTGGACTCAGTGCTGAAGGATGTTCCTGGAGGACAGGAGCTTCTTGCGACGTACAAAACAGAAATTACATTTCTTTGGGAGCAGTTTGAGTCTGCTGTTCAGCAGGCGGAAAAAATGAAGGTAAGAAATCAAGGATGAGAATTTTTTTACTTTTTTGACAATCAAATACTAATAGTGCGAAGGGCGTCAGGGTCAAAATAAAAGTCAAAGTGCTCAGCTTTTTTTTTGAGGTTGATTTTTCGACTTGAGTTCATGATATTTTGACACGAAGAAAACAAGACGTCAGTGATCATTTTGAAAAATTTTATGAGAGAAAGAATGTTTTGCGAGAATTATTGGTGGTGGGATAATTTTGAATTGGTACAGTCAATTTATTTTATTTGAGCAAAAATTGTAAAATAAAAACTGAAAAACGGTTCGCTATCCTGCATTTATGGAACCGTTGTATAGGAGACTTCATTTATAAGTGCCATAAATCAAGGAATAAAATGTGTTTTTGAAGCAATTTATTTAATAAAATATAACATTTCTATCCCGAGTTCATTTTCCTAAAATAAGCATATCATTTTAGGAACTATGCTCAGCCGCCGAGCAGCGAAATCTGCTGATAGTCGAAGACGCAGAAGAAAATCAAACAGGGCTGAGCAACGATCACGTGCAGCTCGTCCAGAAAATCGAGTCCGAATGGAAAGAAAAATTTGACAAATCAAGAGAGCAGTTCAAATCCGAGCTAGATTTCTTAGATTCTTCCTTCAATCGGCAGGTATTAACAGTAATATTACGCAATGTTCATAAAACTTATCTTGTATGATCGCCCTCCTTTGATATTGGTATTTATATACTTTGATTGACATTTCTTACTCAAGAACCGAGTAATCGTATCACTCAATCTCAAAATCAAATAATTGGGAGAATTTCTCAAGAATCGAGCACAGCAGAAGAGAGATAATTAAAAGATAGAGCATATGATTATTTTGATCTTGGCTACAAATCTGCGTGTCATTTTTGATAATCTTGTCACTCAAAACTCTTTCTTTTTGACTCATTCTGACTTGAAGACAATGAGGAATCAAATTTGTCAAATCTAACTTTTCGCTTGAAAATTATGGCATTAGATTTTATAGCGAAAGTCGCTTATCGAGGGTAGCAACTGTATTTACAAGCGGAAATATATAACGTTGAAGGTGCTAAGCCTGAGTCAGAAGAGTTTGATACGTGGGTTAAATCTTCATTGCTCGAGCAAGAAGCAATTTTTTCTCGAGCCACTTCGAGCCAAGCCCCAGCCACGACCGACCTCGATTCGTCTTTTTACCGAAAAAATAAAGCCCAGAAATAATCGAATGAGCGAGAAATAGACAAATTTAAAAGAGAAAGAAAAAGAGAGAAAAATGGGTAAAATTTCCGTAAGAAGTGAGCATCGAGGAAAGTCGAAGTGGGCACCGCTCGAGGCGAGAGAAAAAAGACAAGCTATTTTTGACCAAAACGTAATTTTGACCAATTTCGAGATAACTCTAAATTCAATTTTTTGTAGCGCGAAAAGTACGAGGCAGAGTTAGAGCATTGCGCAGAAGTGGAAAGCAATCTGAAGCTGCACTACAAAGATGCGCAGTCGGAAGTCAAGGACCTTCGGAACAGAATCGACGAGCTTAGAGAATACTCAGACAAGGTCGATGATGAGAATAGAAGGTTGCGAAAAGAACTTGAAGAGACAAAGGAAATGGTTTTAGAGAAGACACCACAATCGTCATATTTAAAATTCATTTATAAAATTTTCTGGTAGTCTAGGAAATGATCATCCTGTACAAAGCTAATGATTTGCATAGTATTTCACAAGTTGTTTAGGAAATTGTTTAGTTAGTTACACTCAGAATATCCTCGGACTCGAAGAAATTCTATAATTCTTATCATTCAAAAACCCTGAAAAGCCAAAAACCGCTGCGATCAAAGAAGAACCCGCAGACCTCGACGCATCCTCCTTGGTCGAGCAATACGAGCGATACATCCGCGATCTGAAAGACAAGATCGACGAGCAAAACACAACCATCAACTCTCTTCGTGAAGAGCCGGAAATTCACTCCACTCCTTCGCGATTGTCTTCAAGAGTCGATCCTGATGGCGAAGAAGAATCTTCTGGAGACATTCTGGATTCGGACAATGAAGATTCTTACGAAAAGGCTTTGCAGTTTCATTTGACCTCCACTCCTGGAAAAATGGACAAGAGCTTTGCAGAAGAACTCAAGGGAAATGCAATGACGCCAAGAACTCTGAATCTGCTAAACGACCAAACTGAAAATCTCGATTCATGGGTCCAGGTGCAAGTTGAAACTTCTGAAGTCGCCCTTCAAGCAGCTCCAAAAACAACAAATTCCTCGACAGAAACAATTGTGAAGAAATATACGAGTACGGAAACCCAGGTTCTGATCAAAACCGAAGAAGAAATGCGCCAAAACGAAATGCTCTTGGAACTTGAGGATAGATTGCATTGCGCGCTGAAAGATGCAGAAAACATTGGCGCCCTGGCCCACGAAAAAGACAATGCTTTGGACGAGCTTCGTATATCTGTCGAGACTTGCACTCAGTTGGAACGAGAGCTGGATAAGTACAGACTTGAGCTGGATGAAACGAGGCAGAAGACCTTCAAAATCTTGGCTGAAAAGACCGCTCTTGAACAGAAACAAAACATCGAAGAAGTGAAAGTAAAGAATGTTCAAAATCAGATGGAAAACGTAGAAAAGAAAGTGTCAAAGCTGACCGAAGAATTGGTCCGAACGAGAGAAGAAAAAGAAAACGCCGAGAAGATGCTGAAAAACATCGAACTCGACGGAAAAATTATGGAAAAATTGAAGAACGATCTTTCGGAAGCGCAAGAAAACTATTTCTCCGAAGCTATGAAAGCCAAAACATTGACTGAAGAAGCTAAGAAGAGTGAATCCAAAATCGCCGAACTTGAAAGTCTTGTCAGCTTGGGATACGCGGAGAAAGATAGATTATCTGGCGAAATTCGCGCTCTGGCTTTGAAAGCGAATCAGAAGGAAACAACTGAAACGAAGGAAGTTGCCGAGTTGAAATCTCAAATTGCCTCGCTTCAAGAAATGAACGAAACTTTCCACAAAAACGTCACCAGCACTTCTGAAAAACTCATGCTCGAAAAGCAGGAATGCACGAAATTGCGCGGCCAAATCGCTCAATTAAACAAAACCAACAAGGAGAACTACGACCTCAAAAGTACAATCGCAAAGATGAAGACCGAACACGAAGTCACCAAGAAGACTTTGAAAGACAAAGAAACCCTCGTCGAGGCGCTGAATAAAAAGGGACGAAACAAAAACGAACTCACTAAGAAGCAAACTCAACAGCTCAGACAGACTGTATCGGAGCTCAAAATGGAGCTTGAAGCTCTCAAGTAAGTGTTGATTTATAAAATATTGCACCATCAAAGCTTCAATTTAGAAGGCTTATCTTTTAAGTTCTCACTTTATGAATTTATTTGGGGTGATTCAATCGCCCCGTAAAAATACATAATCAATGAGAATATACCATCCGAAAGAAACATCTATTTAGGGACATTTCTGCATCAAACGAGCAGTCAATGAAAAACGAGCTCGACAACATGGAAAAACAACTGCACCTCGCGATAGAACAAACAGTCGAATTGGAGGACAAGCTCCAAAAAATCATTTCCGAAAAGAGTAATCTCCTCAGTGAAAAGGAACGTGAAAACGCAAAGAAATCTGCTGAGCTTAGCCAGCTTAACGAGCAGCTGGCGAAGATATCTGAGCTCGAGAAAAGCCACCAGGTAAAATTAAAACTCCAATAGCTAAATAATAAAATCTGCTGATAACATCGTCTTTTTCTAATTGAACTTTTAGCTTATCTTGAAAGAAGAAAAAGTTAAAATGAAAGAAGCCCTCGACGAAAAAGCAAGACAGCTCTCAACTATTGAAGAAAAATACACGCGCCAAATTAACGAACTTAATTTTGAAAAAGAAATTTTGCAAGAAAACCTTGAAGTCTCCCAGCAAGACGTGGAAGATCTCGAAGAAAAGCTTAAGAAAAGCAAAGAAATTAAACCTACAATAACAACCGTTATTACTGAAACAACGGAGATTATCAAGTCAAAGCCAAAAATGTAAGTCATTTTCAGCCTTCCTTACTTCAATCAGACTTCTAGTAACAACGGAACCTACCTAAAAGTGGAATTCGAAAAAGACTCCTCCGAGTCCGAATCCGACGAATCAGCCGATCAGAGCATAATTATTGAACTACAGAAAGAAAACCAAGAGCTGCGGGAGCAAATTCGCAATCTCGAGAAAATCCAGGAAACAAACGATAGATTGAGATTGACCTCAAGCGACACGCCCGATTGTGACGACTCGAATAGCGTTTCTAGCTCTATCATCGCGGTAAATACGAGGCTAAAAAGTCTGTTTCTAAACAGCTGTTTTAGTACTCTCCATCGATGAACCAGTTGAGACTGGTCGACTCCAACCGATTATCGACCAGTTCTACCAACAACACAACAACGCAGCACAAGTCGACGCTGTTCAAAGTCGCGGAGATGCGTGCCCAACTCGGCTTGCCACCCATCGCCGATCAACAAGTAGCGACGCTGGAGAATGAAAATATCGAATTGACGAGCAAGCTGAGGAAAACACGAATAATGCTCAACGACAATACCAACAGGTTCAACGCTACATTACTAATTGAAATCTTTACCAATCATAATAGGCTGCGAGATATGTACAGAAAACTGAACAAATCCGAAGTGCTGATCCAAAACCTATACATGGAAAACTCCCGGCTCATGCGCGCGATGAAAGCTTCCTTCTCGCCCTGCGCATCGCCAGAAGAGCAGGGTTCGGTAATTTGAGCTCAAGCTAAAACTCATTTTGGCTAGACGCTCAAATTTCCTCAAATTGAGAACTCAAAGTGACTTGAGAAATCATTTTGAGAAGATTTGAGAGTTTTGGGAGTTTTGAGTTTTTGAGAGATTTGAGAGTTTTGAGTTTTCAAAACTCAAATTAAGCGAGCGCTTCCTTGTTTGGCTCATGGATCGCCAGAATTGATTTCTCATGTGAGCTCTCATCTCTGAGTTCTCAAAACTCAAATTAAAAAACGTGAGTCTCAAGCTTTATTTTCTTGAGTTTTAGCGTGAGCTCAAATTACCGAACCCTGCAGAAGAGACAAAAGCCTGAATCCTAACACCACTATATTTTTTCTCACCTTCACTACTATCTATTTAAATATTTTGGGTGTTCTTCTTTTTTTTCCCGAAAAGTTCCACTGCGTTTAACTGATCACTGCTCTGCTCTGTAATAAAGCCTGTTTTACCACTGTAACTATTGAAAACAAAACACACAAGAGAAAGCGTTTTGGCCCTAACATTTTTATTGACGAAATCGTTGTTGTTTCCGAAATCAAGATAAAAAAAAAACTAAATCCTCTCTATAAGTCGTTAAAAAGGGTTCAATAAAGACCTTGAGAGTTTTTTTTTCAACACAAATGGAAAAAAAACTTTTCGCGGTCCCTACCGAAAAAGGGTTTAAAATAATGTTCATTGCAAAAAGAATAAAGGAAAAGTAAAAATGAAGTGAAAGTGCAGCACCGATGAAAGTTGGTTTTGATTTTTACAAAGCGCGTAAAAGTCGTATTTGCAAGACGAATGGAACTGGTGTTTGTATTTTTTTCGCTGTTTTTTTGTGTGTTTCGCTAAATCGCGCGCAGCGGATTTCTTCTCAGCAAGAATCATTCAGTTGTTGTTGGCAGTATTAATGTTGCAGTTATAGGAACGAGCAGGTAAAAATACAAGGTTAGATTTTTTTTCGTTATTTTTATATTTCGCTAAAGTATTCGCGCGTTTGCGGCTCAATCTGTCAAAAATTGGAGTTTTATTTCGCGGTCTGCGTCGTGCAACTAGCAAGCTATGCACTAGAAAAAAAGGGCTCGTATTGCACGGTAGTCGAGTTCACTTGGCAGTGTCTACGCCCGGGGCGCGTTAAAAGACATATTTTGGCGTAAAATTATAAACTAAGTTATTATTTTTTTTTGAGTTGTCGGTAATCAGTAATTTTTAGCGTGAAAATGAAAGAAAAATGCAAGAAAAGCGGCAAGTTAAAAGGTCAGCACTGCGGTGTTTGGGGTTCTTGTTCTTTTTTTTATGTTTGTTTTGAAATTTTGTCGGAGAACGAAGCGTCGACTCCAAGCAAAGTATTTTTTTGCTGAATGAAAGCATTTTTGGGTTTTGTTTGAAATTTGTCATGTTATAAGGAGAGATCGAGGTCGCGCATGAATTCCTGGAATTCGAGCAAGTCGGCGATCTCCTGCTCGCGTGGAGTGAGCTCCGGCTGCAGCCTCAGCTAAATTGGATTTTGATGGTTTGATCGGCGACTGGTGAAGAGAAGCGAGCGTGTGCCCGCGCGCATTCCGCTCTCGCCGCTTGGCGCTAACGAAACGCTGAATTGTCAGCGATTCCGTCTTGCATCCTTCGTGGAATGAACAACCCTGGAAGAATGAGAAACTCAACTCTATTAAAAGAGGAGTTTCAATCAACTTCCTGGGTTTCCACTGAAGAAATTGCCATCACAACATATGAACGCGTCTCCAATATCCGATACATCGCCCTTTAATTTGTCTTGACCCTAGGCTGGCACTGCGTTTAACTGTGCCCCGGAGGAGTGGCCTAAATAAGCCCCTCGACTCACGAAGCACTACGCGACACCACCACCTTAGGTGAAAACAGGCGGGAAATCAAGAATATCGAGCTCAGTGCGTCATTTTTGTTGATTTGTGATCAGCGGCGATGAGAATGCGCGTCGAGCTAAAAATACAGATTTCGCGCAATTTTATGAATCTTTACAACGATGAGTTTACCTCCTGCATGGAGTCCAAGAGCTCTTGCTCCTGCTGACGGCGGGAGACCTGATTCCGGCGAGTGTTGGAACGCGCTCGGCGGGAGAGCGGCTCCGAATCACCGTATGGATCAGGATTGTAGCGTTGCATCATCCGAGCTCGGATGTCATTATAGCCAAGGACTGCTAGTGCCAGTTGAGTGAAGCTAAACAATTTCATTGTTGCTTGCCTCTTTCCCCCACTGCCCTGCTTTTATACCCCAGAACCGGGCTAGATTGACGAGCGAGCGCCACTGAAGGAGGCACCACGGAGCTGAAAAATGGGGAGACAACGATCTGAGCGCAGCGAGTCATGAAGGCGGAGGTTATTCGGTGATATCCCCGATTTAAAACTATCCCTGCTAAAAGAACTCTCAAGCAACTTTATTCGTTTTGAATACTTGCAATCAAGGAGGAGAATCAGGAACTGTAGGTTCGAGTGTCATTTATTTCGAAAATTGAAGATTCGGGTTTAAAGTACAAAGAAAATCTAACTAAAGGAAAATTCTATGTGTTTGATGGAACAACAGGACGTTTGTCTTTGATTCTTGCTTCCCAGGCTTTATACTCCGGCAGATCTTCGACCAGATCACCAAGAATGTGGTCCCGCAGATAATTTAATTTATTTTCTAAATTCGTGTTCACCCATGGAGTCTTTTTCTGTGGATTCCACTTTAGCTTGTTGGCATTAATGAATCTGTTGACACCGGCAGCGATGAACGTCAATCCTTCGCCCATCATACAAACACCCTAAATTCAATTCACTTTCAATCGAACTAATAAATCTCTTACTGTCGGTGGTTCGTCTGGTGCTGCGAGGCCAGCTTTCGTTCGAATAATGCCAGTGAAAAGGACATCTTCGAGCTTGAATCCTTTAGGATCAGTTTTTTCCGCTGCCTGGAGAATCTTCATCGCTGTCTCACGACTCATCAGATTACACGGGCCAGTGCAAAACTCAGGAAGCCAGTGGCCAGATGCCCACTGCTCGATTGTGACATTGTATTTGCCCCATCGGTAGGGTCGGGCATGAGAACCTTTGTACGCCAGGCAAGACAAATCAACCTAAATATTTTAAAACATTCCAGCGTACATTTCCTACCGATTTCTCTTTGACAAAGTTTGCTAGCTTCGCATAGCTCAGCATTGTGTCATCATCGTGGAAGATGAAGTAGTGCGGAGCTGCTGGTCCGTCGCAAACATTCTTGATGTATTCGTAACCTATTGTAATATAATTTAATTAAAGTTGTTCAAATGCATTTGCAGTCAATGAAGCATTAACAACTTTATTGAACCCTACCTGTCAAGGTCTTGAGAGGTAGATTCTCATAAGTATCAATAAAATCGCCAACAATAATATCTCCATGTTCTTTAATTTCATCCTCGATTCTCTTCGTGAGTTCAGGATCTTCATTGCTGCTTTGCTTCCCAAGAATAAATCGTACCGGGACATGCATTACGTGATTCAAGGGGTTTGCATTTTGAGGGTAGAATTTGTCTTGTAGATTTGTGTAAATACGGATAAATCTGCGAATTTTCTCGTTTTGTCGAGCACTTTTGATGAGCGAGAAGATAGAGTAATTTGCAGAGCAAGGAGGCGCGTGAACGAGCCCAACCGACCAAGGATCTGAGACAGGACGATCTTTGATATACAGATCCGGCAGATTATACGTCATTCTGTTCGTCGGTTTTAAATCCATCGCCCATTCGTGAAAGTGCTCACTGAAATTGTAAAAGTTCCAATCCATGTAAGGAAGAGTAACAAGAGCTTTTGTCCGCTGCGGTTTATCGTTGTACATAAGTCCACTGATACCCGCTCGATTGCGTTGAAATCCTGTAATTTCCTGCGCGACTGGAAAGTTCCTGTTGGGTACGGAGAACTTCATCAACTTCTGAGTTGTATCTCCACGCATGAAGATTTTGTTTCCACAATAAGGAACCGACGCTTCTGAATGAATCTTTCCAAAGCAGAGGATTCCTTCGTTCTCGTCTCTTTCATTTCCTAAAAACACAAGATATTTCTACTTTTCTGCAGCACTGAAGAGTACGCAGTGCCGAAAAGCATCTCAGTCCTTGACTGAGAAAACAAGATGAAACACAGGACTTTTTTCGATGTTAAAATTTTGTCTTACATTTGTCTACATACCAATTTTTCTGGAGACATTTCTAATGGTATCAAAGTTAACCAAGTCTGTGTCTTTCAAAAACACATGTCCAGTATTCGGCCCCGTAAATTGATCTTTTGCAGCGTATTCCAGCGATTTGAGGAACATTTCTTCATCATATTTGGCAGACATGTTCTGATTCTGTTCCCAAATCATTTCATCGCAACTGACATCGTTAAACTTCGCATCGTAGCCATCACTCTCCACAAGAACTAAGTCCTCATTCTTACTGGCTTCTTTTCTTGTGCTTGGAGTTTCCACAGTGAAGAATTTTATACGCGGTAGAATCGATGTCATCGGAGTACTGGGATCATCGTGTTCTTCTCTCCACATTTCAGTGTACTCTCGAATGGTGTTTCTTCTAATTGAGCATGATGGCGGCGATCTTAGGTTTATCATGAAAAATGAATTTCTTGCAGTAACAAAACCTGTAGTAAACATTGAGTTCTGTCATATTCATTTGTGATTGAAAATGAGGAATTGCATTTTTCTTGAATAAGCGATCAATCATCGCATTTTGTTTATCCTTGAAATTTATATTTGAATTTCCAATATGTTCTTTTAGCTGAGATATTCTTTGTGGAACAGCTCTACGCATGTTTTGCTCATCCTTTTCTCTCTGAAGATCGATTTTTAAAATTTGCTGGACTTCATTTTCTTCCTTCTTTGTAATGGGTGGTTCCGGTGATGCTGCATTCACTTTTTCTAAACAAATTGAAATACTGTTGCGATGGGCATGGTTTAATTTCTTGATTTATGTTGAATCTAATATGATATCATAAAAGAAAAAAATATATTATTACATTTTCAATTGAATGAAAAAACCATCCGATATCGTCAATACGGTATCGTCAATGCCCTTTTTTCCCTATCGGAGATCTGACCTTCTTACCGATTGAGAAAAATGGCAATTCGTATATAAATTATGTATTATAAGATAATTTATTCGTTTTCAACGCCGCCTTACCATTGATGCTCGATTGATGCTCAACCAAAAATATCCTGTTCAGTGCGCCTTGATTCCACAAAATTTTTACGATGATGATGGCAGCGAACATCAGGCCAGTCCTTCTTCGTCGTCCCATGATTTATATTTTCTTCAATTAATGTATTCTAATCAAATCATTCCTCGCGCAACCATTCTCTCAGAATCGATTATGATAATTTTCTCTGATTCACTTAACGGCGGATACAAATCTTATATTTAGCTCCCTTTACCTAGTTAGAACTAGAATTTCTCTGAGATAAGCCCTCCAGGCAAATTTCGCTGGCTTATAGCTGCAGCAATATCAATATTTCTATTATCAGAGCCCGGATCAAACCGCGGATAATTTTGGATTTTAGCGAAATTCGTCTAGTTCAAATTTCTTTACTTTTCAAAATCAGTATGAAGTTGGATATTGACTCGAGAAAAGCGTTCAATTTTGATGTTCGCAAAGCGTGTCAAGCAAGAAATAGATAAGATAGCTCTTTATTTCCTGTAAGTCAAGTTCGTTTAAGAATAGAGCGACGAATAAAAAGAATGAAAAGATAATTAAAATAAGCACTCAGAGCCGAAATTTGAATAAAATGTCACATATTGATAATGAAACTACATCAGGCACAGTGGATTCGAATCAGGCACTTGATAATTTCCACGTGTCATTTCAGAACGAGTATCAAATAAAATGAATCAAGCAAGAAGAAGCTTCAAACGAAAAGAAACGTATTCGAACAAACTTCAGAGAATCGTAAAATTTCAAAAATAAAATTTTATTGGAAGAACATACCAATGGTATTTGTTGATCAGTGAATTAAAAAGTACCAAGGTGCTTTCGTTTCAAGGCTTTGAAACTCTCGCGAACAGTCTTGAGCAAGTTGCAGTCTGAAAAATGGTGGCTCTTCTTCGAGAGCTTTCCCACTCGTCTACTCTTCTTGTTTCGCTGAACTTCGAGTTCGATTCGATCGAGCCAAAGTCTGCGAGTGTGTCTGTCCTTGAAGCGGATGGTGAAGACGTTATCCAAAGCTTGAATTTCCAGTCCTCCTTTGCCAGCATCCTTGAGTCTGATCTCTCGTACCCGGGCGATTTTCAAGTTGACCAGGAGGGGCATGGATGGGGAGATGGCGCCGGAAATGTCCTGGAAAACTAGAAGTTCTTGTTCCAGCGCAACGCGGACCCTGGTCCACTCCTCCGAATCAGCCTCCTGGTTGTGTCGTTTGAGGTATGCTAAAGAAGATGGATTAGAACTGATGATTAGGCAGCAAGTCACCACCCGGATGTAAAATCAGCCAAGATGCGCGCGGAAAATAATGAAAATGAGCGTGGCACTGGTCCTCCCTCAGTTTCATTTTTTACGATTTCTGATTCCGTTTGAGACTTACCAACGCACTCGTAGAAACGGCTTGAGCTGGAGACTTTTCTCGTGAGCTTCTTCCTTCTTGGCTTGCCGGTTGTTTCTGGTTGATTCTGGCAGAGTTCGATGTCGGATAGAATTTCGACGGAGCCAGTCATGGAGGATCGTTTTAGTGGAACAACTCTGATATCTTCAGCTTCTTGGAAGCTTTTGGAAAGAAGCTTGCGTGAGTACATTCTTTTTGTTTTGTAATAATTTGAATTCTGAGTTCGAAGTTGAAAGATCGGGGTTATATCCGGCTGTCAAGAAAAGCGACGCTAGAGGGCGAAGAAGGGAGCAGATCTCTTGACAGGTGTCGACGCGTGATACTCTGGAAGTTTCACTTTCTTATCGGAAACGCGATCACGGAAGGAAATCTACGATGGGTAGCTAATTTGTACGCGTTGGCCCTCGATTTCATGCTGAGAATCGTGAGTGTATAAAATGATTCCATACTGTCTTCTTTCTGAGAAACGGACTGTATATGATTTAAGGAAAGTATTCACTTAAAATTTGGGTTTAATGAAATCAGTCTCTCTGAAATTTTCGCTATAAAATAAAATTGACAGTCTGAGTTTCTTTTCGCAATATTTTTTTTCAAAAACAGGTCTCAAAATGTTTCTGCGATCGTTTCCTCGATCAAAGTTGTACGAATATTTTTGATATGAAGATAATTTCAATGGCAATTTGCGCTGCTTTCGGTATTTCTTCTATTTTAAATAATATTATATTATCAAGAGAAGTTTCAATTTACGAATTCCGTAGAAAAACTTCTTCACTTTTGTTGAAGAGTCAAGTTGGAACAACCATCATAATCACGACAATCTGTGCTAAAGAGCGGCTCTAGCAAAGCCAATCAAAGAAACCTATCACTGATCTACTTGATCTGAAGAACATCTGCGGGGTTACATTTGGAACATCTCAAATAATTACCTGAATAGTCTTCTTTGCTGATAATTATGGAATAACATGCCCTGCGTTGCGATAAGAACTTACTTAACAATACTTGGCTTACATGAAATTATTCAATTTTACGTAAACCCGCAAGACTTGATGGACTTAATCAAAGTGGCTTTATTAAAAAAAGAGAATTGGTATCTGGTCTACAGATTATAATTGGAGAAAATGCCAAGTAAAAAGATTAAACAGGCTTGAAAAAAAATAATCGTTCATTTTTTTGCTCGAGATGTCCCGAAAATATATTTTTTTTGTTGAAAATGAAAAATACGCGCATGCTATGGAAGCAAGCTAATGCGAAAGTGGGAATGCATAGTTATTTTTGTTGTTTTAGCAAAGACATTTTCTTGACAAAATCTGGTTAGGTTGAAAACGATGGAATTCCAAAACATGATTAAAATACTGGTGAGTCTTAAAGTTATAACTCGAGATAAATATATATTATGAACAAGAAAGTAAAGCAGTCGCATATGTACAGCACGTTCAAGATGGTCATTTTCTCGACTCAAAAAATGCAAATGGCAGAGGGGAAGAGTTTCTTTTCACAGAGGGATTTTCTGGGGAAGAGGGGAGTCGAAAAAATGTTGTTTATTAGAGGCGATCTATCATTTGTGTCACGGCTTTTTTTGGGTTGAAGAAAGTACCGAGGGTAACGCCGAAAACAGACGTATCTAACTGAGGTTCACAAATATACTTCTTCATCCCTTCCTAAAGTTCCTCCTTCTTCGACTGGAATGATGCACCAAATGGTGTCGCCGAAGTGAGCACCTCGCTCTGTTACAAGACTCCATCGCGATTCGTAGAGTCCGGACTCTTCTGGAGACATCATATTGACGGAAACTACACAAGATTGTTTGCAATGTATGATAGACTGCTATTGAAAAGCACTGGTACACACCTTGAGTTGTCTCGCCAGCTTGAAGTTGCGGAACTTCGACTGAGTTAGGGCCAGCTAGCTTGTGTCCGGTAATGTATTCGAGGCGACATCCTGCTGGCCATGGGGAAAGTCCGCAGTTTTCTTAAACAAAAATTATTCATCGAAAAATGAAAAGAGAGACGATATAAATCAATCGGCGGTAGAATATATAATAATTAAAATATGAAATGTATATTATATATACAGTATATAGAATAAATTACGGATCGTCCAGGTCTTTGTGAATTCTGTAGATGGAGGTACAGACTGCCCCTCGCCGATTGTGACATCATCGATGAATTTCGCGTTAGGAAGGGAAACGGCACCGCCATATTCGAACCAAGCGTTGAGCGCGGCTTGAAGATTCCAGTTGAAGGACTCGAGGTAGAACGCTGCGCTGTCCTGATTAGCACCCTTTTGAATGATTTCGAGAGTTTATCTACGAAATTTGACTTTAGAATGTTGAAATGAACAATTTACTTATTAATTCTCATGAAACCCTTTCCTGTATAAGCTCGCAAAATCTGTTGATCAAAATATCATGATCATCCGCTTGTATCTGCTGGAAGCGAAAGAGAAGATCGGCAACATCGGTACTCGCCATAGTCACTACGCTTATTGCTTTCTGAATTCGGCGGGTTTTAATTTTTTTGTTAGCCTTATCACGATGTTATTTTAAGGTCTTTGTACATAAACGTATCCTTTGTTTAAATTCATCAAGATGGCAATGGAAAGTAAAATATAGATTTAATTCAAGCTAGAATTGGGCGCAAAAATATCTTCTGTCCCGCGGCAGCGACGAGACCGTTTTTGTAGATATCGAAGCCACTCAAGGGCATCCCCTCTCTAAAAATATTTCTTGAAAGCTGCGCCAATTTGAGTTCGTATACCTGACTGGAATTCGGCCGACAGTTTTCTGCGAAACCAGATCCCAGCAAATCACATTCCCAGACTCGCAAGTCGCGTACACTTTGCTCAGCGTCATTTGACAGTCAGCTCTATATTCCGTTACGGTATGCCCAGCGAATGTGCCAAGGAGGGATCCTAGAAAGAGGATAAATCGATCGGATGAGGAGTCATAAGAAAATGCTTGTATCAGCTAAATGAAATTATTGTCAGATGCGCACAGCCTGAGAAATGGAATATCTTTCCTCCAGCAAGGACTTGACATAACAAACGATCACTGGGGATGGTTCGTACTTCCGGTTTACTACTGTACGTCAGTCTGGTAGACCATACTACAGTTACAGTCTAACTTACACTTGTCTCTCGATCAAGACATCATGTGAAAATGATTCATTTTCTCCCTCGTCTTACTGCCATTTTCAATATAAAAGTACTCTACCTCCGTTAGCATCAAGCAGCCTCAAATTGCCATCCTGCGACTGAACCAAGAGACATCCATCAGCAAGCATGAAGGAGCAGACTTCGCTCGCGACATAGTCTCTTCGTAATTTTCCCGCAACAATGTCGTATCGATAAACGAATCCATCAGCGGAGCCAACGGCGATCTCGGTTTTGCTAATCTGGACGCTCGTGATTGTATCGCTCGGTTCTGCCAAAACTGAATGAGTTGAGTAAGATAATTAGGAAGATTTAGATATTATTTAGTTGTTACTACACCCCAGACGGGAAAAAATATTGGCAATTAAGATTTGGTACTAATTTAATCGCTCAGTCTTGCTTGGTTATGCTCACCTTGTATAGGTTCATAGGATCGACTGCGCAGGTCCCAGATTCTCGCTGTCCCATCGACGGAGCCAGAGACAGCTACAGTGCCTTCCTCGTTGAGTTTCACGCAGTTAACGCGACCAGCATGGCCGCGAAAGCGTCGCACGATCGCCGTATTCGGCACATCCCAGAGAAGAACCTGCTTGTCAAAAGAACTGTTATTAGAATCTGACATCTTTGAAAAAATCGAATGATCACGCAATAATTTCATCATCAAAAATTACAAAGAAAAACATAAGTTTTTATTCCAGAATTTAGCCTTCACACATTTTTACATAAACTTATCGAAAACGATACAAAAAAAAATTCAAATGGGTTCAGAAATATTCATCAAATCGTGTCATAAAATCTCTATTATCCTTTGATATCAAGGAAGATAACAAAGAAAAAATAGTTTCAGGCAATAAAACACCAGAGTCAATTGTAATAATTGAGCAGTAAAACGATTCTTTCAGCCAATATTACCTTGATACGAAGTGCTCCGAGTCGCCAGCACAATCTACATCAGTAACGTCTCGCCCGTGTCCCGAAAAAAGCGCAACACACATGGACTTGAAAGGATTCCATAGCTTGATCGTGCTATCTTTGCCGCACGATAAACAGTAGTTGCCATCGGCGTTCCAACGGACTGCCAGCACGCTGAAAATGAAATTTCAATTTCGATATTTTCCACCTGAGAAGGCGAGATATCTTCATTATCAGGTAATGCAGCTGGCGATATTAAATATTGGTACGTATTGGTATAAATAATAGGCTTAACCAAGATCTAATTATATGAGGGGAAAGATTGAATATCAATACGTAGATGCTTACACAAGTGTTGATAATGTAAATATATTTGCGTCATTTTCAAAATATATTCTCGATCAATCAGTTGAATTTTAATATGTACCTTCTCTGTTTGGAATCCCATTCTCTGCTCTCGACAGCTTGCTCCTGTGCAAAAATACTCGGTCGATTACTTCAGTCGGGATAATTATAGAAGCCATCCTGCCAAGGGTCAAGCCCAAGGTCGCGCTATTTGCAAGAATAAAACGCAAAACGTTTCTAACGTGTCAAAATATCGTCTGTCCCGTTGCCAACTTTCTATAATTGGAGGGGCCGCTGTTCCTTTTTTTGGCGCCAGAACTAGCCGAGATTCAAATCTGCGTTTTTTTTATCAATACTCTTTTTTGTAACCTTAGCGCGGGGCAAATCGCATTTTTCCGTTGCGGTGGAAAATCGAGGCGATATTGATCGATGATTTACCAACCGCAACAATAAAAAAGGAACTTTCAAACCCCCGTATTTTATACGGCAATTGTCGATAGAAACATGTCTAATTAACAGAAGGACCTGTAATATACTCAAAATAATTACGAAAAAGAATATATCAAATTCAATACGCAGATGCTGAATAAGAAGGAAAGAGCTAATCTTGCGGGCATATATTCATAAAATAAACGCTTTGATTGTGCGCAAGTGTTGTTCTTGATAATTACTCCCTTCCTTGGCCCTGTTTGTAAATCATTTCGCAAGGCATGGCCAATTATAGGCAAAGAGGGTACTTTTTCCGCGTGCTCCACGGAGAGCTTCCAATCCCCAGCTCCCTTTTTGCGAAACATCGCTTCTGAAAATTCTATTCATTCAAATCCGCCAAAACTTTCGATAGAAAACTTGTCGTAAAACGTTAAAAATGAAGAATCGAGCATGATTTATTTCGAGCAATACAGTAGGTAGAATTAGGTACAGAAAGATAGAATCGATGAAGAAATTTCAGCAGAATGAAAGAGAGATTGGTTTGTTCGTTCATTTTTTTCTCAAAAGTTCAGTTTCAAATGAGATTCCCGGTTGCACCGACGCCAAGATCTTATCCACATCGGTAGTTATATCAGACAGATTCTTCTCCGAGGGCTTTTTCTCCACAAATACACTCATTCTTAATTTGATAAATTAAAAATTGAACATAAAATAGAAACTTGTCTTTTTGGTATTTGTCGCATGTTCGAAAGAAACTTACTTTTTGTTGTCTGACTTGGTGAGTATCCATGTATTATCAGATGTTTCTGCAGATACTTCTCCACCGTTCGGCATCAGATAAATTTGTTGAAAAGCGACAATCAAAGAACTCACTGATGGGTGTATCCTACATTGTCGCTCACTGCCACTGAAATATAATTTGTTTGAACCTGATCTCATCCTATTTGACTAAATCTAATCCTAAATATGATATCAAATATTTTTGAATAAGAGCAGAAAGGTATAAATCAATAAAACCAACCTGAAAGAGTAAAAAGTATCTTTGGAATTTCCATTTTGCTCGTCGCAAATATAGTAGTGAAAAGCTTCTTTAGAAGCTGCGTTTTGGTGTTCGAGCTTATTCTGTTCTTCCCTCTTCAAAGGTAGATTTTTGTCCAGAAAGCTTTTCACCTCGTTCAAAGGGAAACTCTGGTCGGAATTACCCATCAGAAAGACACAAAAATGGGCTTGTCTTCAAAGGTGATTTTAAAAGTTGCGTAAGAGCCAGAAGCACGCGAAATTATTCCCCCTTTCTTGAGATGCAGATTTATTTAAATTTAAAAACACCATCCTGTGATAAACGAATATCTCTTGCCTTGAATTTTTTGTTGGAAGGAAGAAAGTATCAAATCCAAGATCGATGAAACCGTTTTCAGCGTCAGAAAACATGCTCGTCAGATAAATCATCAGAATGTACACACTCTGCCTGTCGATGTTCGTAGAGTAGACTGTATTTTGGGAGAATATGAGGTAGCCATCAATTGGTGAAAATCGACTGCGAACGCGATTGACCATGTAGATCAGGTCGAATTGCTAAACATACATGTTAAGTTTTTCGCTTATTATATGCGGCCTAATTGCCCTCCCGGTGAGTGTTTGCACATTGAAACCGAACCAATATCAAGAATTTTGTCTACTAAAAGGGGTTTTATATGTTTTCGCTATCTCTGATTTCAAATATTGAATTTACTTTTTCGAGAAATCTAAATAAGAGATAATTTTTGAAACCCCCCTGAGATAAATGGCATTTTTTCTGCAATAAGGAAAAGCGCCATGCAAATTTCGATAGCGGATTTGAAATCTACACCCCAAAATTAGTATTGGGAATAAATTTCAAGTTTATCCGACCAGTAGTTTTCTTAAGTGCAGTGGAATACACCTTCTGTCCGAGCGCCTCTATCCCCCGATTCGTCCCATGCGGGTAATGGAAAATCTCCAATATCTACGTGCAATGAGCGTAAAAAATTGATAGGAACTAGCCTCTTTGCTTATAAATACGAGGAGTAGCTAGGAATTATCTGGAAATGTAGGCAAGGTTAAGGAATGTATATAATTCAATATAGCAGCAGATGTACTTACAGATTCTCTCGAAGCATCTAACTCATATGAGCAAAATAGTTCCGGCAGGCTGTAGCTGTGAATCTTCATTTTCTGTTTTAGGGCTTAGAATATTATCTTGACATATTATTTTTCTATTTGCACCAACACAAGTGTTTATATCTTTACGACATTTAATAAGAAGCACCGATCCTCAAGAAACGAGCTGAAAAAGGACGAGAGTAACTCAGTTAAACCACTCACACCAATTTTTTCGAGTAGATCACTCAAAGTTCTTGTTCAGGTTTGAGAATTACTACATTGATAAGGTGTTTGATCTTAGAAATTTAGATAGAATACTTATTATTGATTTTACGGAACGATACTTTGAGTAATTACTTATCGCCAAGTTACTCTAGCAAATTGTCAATATAAATTGCGCCACGTAAGCAACTATATTTATAACAACAAAACAATTAACTTGATAAAAATAGACCTTATCTGCGTTCAAAACCTGCCCGTGAATACGCATGAATAAATCGTACCAGTCGGTCAGGACGGACAAAAGAAGAGCATGCGAGTATTGCGTGTCGCCGTTTTTAATGGATAGCGAAATCAGAAAATCCTCCTCGGGCTCGAGGAACGAGTGAGTTAGCTTTTTCGTCCTAAGTGCCTCGCAGTTTCCAGAGAAACTTTTGGAAACAGCATTAAGAGCTTCTGCCAGGCCAACTTGCTTTAACCGCTGAGCTTCGGCTAGATCCGGGTGGAAGTACAGGATTTTCTTTTCTTCCTCACCGGTTTTCAGGCTTACTCAATGCACAGCTTGAATGATGGAAAATCACATTCATGGTTCACGATGAGAGCCAAGCTGCAGACTACTCGAACGTTTGGGAAATTAACTTCCGTAAAATATTCTTTCTTGATTTCAATATGAATTGAGTAAGCCGAACCTTCGCGTTTGCACAAAGGAGGGTGGATGATAAAGAAATTATGCAGCATCTGAAAAGGAACAATAATCAAGCTTATTTTTTTGCGAGGTAGATTCAACCATGAGTGACTTTTTTGATTTTTTGAAAGGATAAAGCATGAAGCTGTTAAAACAAAAAGATAAGTTGGCAGACAGAGGTTCTTTGGGTGTGATTTTGCTTTTTAAAGTTTTGAGTGCTAGAATTTTATAAAATCGAAAAAAAAACAAAAGAAAGTATTAGCACCGACTTTCTTTAAAACACTGAATCGTCAAGTAAAACATAAGAATAAGACAACATACAAAGAGAATAAAAGAAAGAGTGTGACAGGTTTTAGTACAGGCTTTGGTGAAAGTGAAGAATTCTAGATGAAATTATTGAGGCTTATTTGAGATTTTCCTTATTTACAAGTTTGTACAGAATAGAAAGCTAAATATCTGAGTTTTCTTTTTTAACTGTTACAGGTGGATTTGAATAGCAGTCAGCAGCGAGATCATCTATGACTTGGCCCAAGTCTTCTAGAGCATGCTGCTGAAGGACGATCCATGTTTGTCGAAGGGGACAGATTTGGTGAGCACATTTTTCACTAAATACGAAATTTGAGTTCGATTTTTTGATGATGATTTTCTGTCCTAGAATCCCTGAGCAAATTTGCCCGCCTAGGATTGTGTTGAAATCAAAGCACCCATCAAAAATTTAAATTTTAAATGAAGCTCACCAATATGTCTCGAGGGGCAGTGGTTTTCCATTTTCATCATAATCAGGCACAGCTTTGACGAACAATATGCAAAATAGCTCGACATCGCATTTTTCACAATAATTAGGCGGTGATTTGCCAAATTCCGGTTGATAGACTATTCGATATTCAGCCTTTTTGAACTTGTACAGCTGGCGTTGCAAGTTCCACAAAATCCGTTGCATGCATAGTTTGAGAAGGGTCTTGAATTCGGGACTCAGAATCGCGGAAAATTCACGCCGTTCCCGGGCCATCAGCCAGGTAAGCTGCGCCATGGGGATCTAAATAAAGCGATGCAGATTTGAGACATTGTCTAGGAAGAAGCTCTTCGGCTTTATAAATAATCATAGTAACTAGTGGAAAATTCTGATGAACCAGACGCATCTGTGACTCTTCCTTGCTATCATTCAGAACGATTCATTTTTGCTTCCGGCGAGAATTTACGAGTGCTCACGCAATACCCATAATCGGTATCGATTCAGTAAAAGGGCGCCGAGGAACTTACCAAGCTTTGGTAGCCTTCTCCGACGTTGAATTGATACCGTTCTATTGCTTGTTTGAAGTGATCGGCATTAAAGGGCCCTACGTTCCACGCTACGTTGTTGCACCATCCCGTGCTCTGAACCCAATGAACTGTGCCAGCATTGAGGAAAATGAGATCACCAGGCTTTTGCGTACATCTAAGGACTGGAATACCGGCATCCTCAAGTTCTTTAAGATTTGGCCACCAGGAACCAGAGAGATAATTGACCTTATTCTCCTGGCACATCTGAAAAATAATTCGTAAGCATTTCCGCGTGGATACACCCAATTACTCAATTAAATCTACTTTCAGGACGCTTTAATCAGGATAAGGATGGATATCTATAGAAATACCGTCGGAGCGTCAGTACAAAATTAATGCTCCTTACGTCTTTGATAAGGTACTGAGGCTTGAGTTCAACATCAAAGGTTCTATCAGAGCATTATTATTGAGAATTATGGTTATGAAAAGAGCTATCAAGTGAACGGATGAACGCTTTTATTTATCGATGCAAAACTATCAAACACTTAAGTGTGACTAAGATGTATTCATCGTGTTTTGAAGATTCTCTTGATAATATATCGGATAGAACATGCTTTTTCTAGTTGAATCTAGCATTTTATGACTAGTTGAATACTCAAAATAGAGCCATAAAGACTAAAGACTTTTTGGCTATTGTAAAACATAAACTGAAACTTTCAGTGAAAGCTTTCATGAGGCCCAAATCCTCAATAAAGTCTTAAGAACCCTGCTGATAAAAAAGTACCTTTTTGATCGCTCCCCAGTATTCTGGAGGCGTACAGAACCACTCCGTGTCTCCTGGTCCAATATTAATATTGACTGCGGGCATGTTTAAATTTTCTTGATGTCCAGGTGTGCGCGAGCCCAACACCTTCATATACAACTGAAGCGTGTTCATTCCTAAAATTGGGTAGCCAACTTGGCTCAATGGATTGCTTCTGTCGTCGAGCCGCAGCCACCAGGGCAGTTTATTGATTTCGTCAAGGTGTTCGCCGAATAATTTCGGCTCGCTGAGATCCACATTGGTTCCAAATTTGATTTGCTTGTTCATTCGAATGACGAATTCTCCCTCTAAGCCAGCGTCTGAGAGCTTTCTTTTGCGGCATTTAAAATCTACAAAGATTTGATAAAAAAAGTTCACCTGGAAGAAAAGTTCACTTACCACGAGTTTCGACAAAAGACTTTACTTGGTACTTCGCATAAGTTTGAACAGTAGATCGCTGCTTAGTCGAGTGTGTTTCCCACTGATTACGGCCCCACTCATCGAGATTAAATTCAGGAGCTAGGATAAGAACATAAGTATTTTGCGGTAGGATACGAAATGCATAAATATCAATAATTGGCCAATCTTCTCAACTATCATATGAGCGATTAAAATATACGAAAATACATCTTCGAAAGCAAATTAAAATAGAAACATAGATTCTATTCTATTTTTGTATGTCTATGTCAGATATTTTGATCGCGTACAGATAATGTTCAAATGAAAGGGACCCCGATTGAATTTTTAATACCAAAGCTCAAGTGAATCTTAGGGCTTTCTACACATATTTAATTAATTACGAAAGGATATAATAATTTTTAGATTTTTTAACATTAAGAAACATTTATGAAATTCAACTGGAAGCGATAAAACATAAATTCGCTTTGAAAATATGCCTCGAAACCGAAAGCGAAGCGAAAAATTTCGCTCTCCGCTTTAAAACGCCTACGTTATTTAGTGACTCAGTTTTGCTCGTGTCTCGGACAGACTATTTTTTAATCCCGTGAGTTTTTCTTCTCTTTCCGCGGATTTTAAACCGTATTCTTTGAAAGAGAAAAAAAGTCGATGTCCGAACAAGTGCTAAAATTCATTCCAGTGAAGTCGGTAATCGATCCTGGTTTTTGGGAATCGCTTACGAAGAAAAAGCTTGACGAATGGAAACTGGACGATTCAGAAAAGCCGCTAGAATGGTCGTATTCTCCCGGAAAAAGTTTCATTCGTTTCGACTACGATGCACTCGAAAAGCCATCGTCGGTGTCTTGTGGAACACTTCGCAATTTTAACACGATTGAGGACTTTAAAAAGCTCGACAAAAAAGAATATCTAAAAGAAGCTCTTGGAGAGATCAGAAATAACATTCAAAATTCGGATTCTATCGAGTGGCAAAGGCTCTTTCTTCCGAAGATCATCACCTTTTCCGACCTGAAAAAATATCACTACACGTTTTGGGTCTGCTTTCCAACCATGAAGCTTTCCAAACCGATCAGTATCAAGTCCTCTCGATCTCTCAATGCCACCGAATTGCAGCAACTAGAACACAGCGAACAGCACAAAGAAAATTTCTTTCTTCTAGTCAAAAATCATCGTCGACCCTTTCAGCAAGCGACAAAGATCATCAAAGAAGAGGGAAAAGATGCAAACGTTGTATTTTGCTTTGAGGATCACGTGAATCAAGATGAAACGCCAGAAAACGCAGTTGGAATCATGGCAAGAAATTTAATTTTCTTCATTTGGTCGAGACTTGGGCTCAATCAATTCAAAATATGCTCCGTGCGATCAACTTTGAAGCAGGAAAACGGCTCGTTCTCGCGCGATTTTTCCTCCAGCCGACTCTACGAGCTGTGCATTTCTAACGACACGGAGGAAACGAATGGCGCAGGATGGGAGCCCTTCAAGGACAAATTAGCGCCAAAGAAAATCGACCTTTCAGCGTCAATGGACTCCCGCCAGCTCGCCGCGAATGCAGTTGATCTCAATCTCAAACTCATGAAGTGGCGATTGCAGCCAAGCATCGATCTCGAGATTATCAAGGAGAAGAGGATTCTTTTGCTTGGCTCGGGCACACTTGGTTGTAACGTTGCGAGAGCGCTTATCGGATGGGGCGTACGGTAAAAGTGCTGTTCCCAACTGTATATAAATTCCGTTTCAGGCACATCACATTCGTTGACAATGGAAAGGTCAGCTACTCCAACCCGGTTCGCCAGTCGCTGTTCAACTTTGCCGATAGCGAGAAAAAGGCGGCCAAAGTTGAGGCAGCTGCTGCCTCTTTAGCGCTCATTTCTCCAAATGTTACTACCCGCGGAGTGAAGCTTTCCATCCCCATGCCCGGCCATCATATTGACTTGGAGACTACATCAAGTAGCGTGAAGGAACTGGAGAGCTTGATCTCGGAACATGACGTTGTTTATTTGCTGATGGATACGAGAGAGTCGAGGTGGCTTCCAACAGTGATCGGGAAATCAATGGACAAGTTGGTAATCAACGCAGCGCTTGGCTTCGACACATTTATGGTCATGCGGCATGGCGTCTCCCCTGAACGAGATACGGGCGATTTACAGCTTTCGGCTGCGGAAGAGAGTAAAACCGGAGCGCGCATTTGCCATCTCGGATGTTATTTTTGCAATGATGTCGTTGCTCCTGCCAATTCAACGGCAGATCGAACGCTTGACCAGCAATGTACCGTTTCCCGCCCCGGTTTGTCAATGATCGCAGCCGCCTATGCCGCCGAATTGATGGTTTCTGTTCTTCAGCACCGCGACGGAATAAGAGCAAAAGCTGGAGTACGACCAAATGATCACGAAGAATCTTGCCTCGGCCTAGTGCCCCATCAGATTCGCGGCTTCCTCGGCCAAATGCATACAATTTTGCCGACGACGGAGGCATTCGAACAGTGCACAGCATGCTCGAGCAGGATTATCAAGCATTACCAAGAGGGAGGGATCGACTTTTTGATGAATGTTTTCAACTCTTCCGCTGGTAAGCTCAAAAAATCAATCATATCGCTCGGTTTTCATTAAAATATCATCTTTAGGATTTCTCGAGGACTTAACAGGACTGACTGAACTACACGCTGCCGCAGCTGAAATAGAAATCCTCGGCTTTTCTTCGGACGATGAATAGTTATTCTCCTTTTCCTTAACCTTGCTCGCTTTCCTCAATTCAATAAAACAGCCAATTTCACGGGAAAGCGACTTGAATTTCAATATTTAAACTTTATCTAAGCAAAAAAGAATGGACGTTTTGATACTTTGTGTTGTACACACGGTTATTTATATACCTTGGGCAAATTGCTTACGCACTTCACAGGGGTGTTTCGGAACTTTGTCAACAAGCCATTTCGTTGTAAACAAAGACAGGTTTATATCAAGCGCTTGGGACAATCCCCTCAGAATCGTCACTGGATTCTGCTTACTCAGGCAGAAATCGTACAACTGAAATGAGAACAATTAAAGCACGTAAAAGTAAATTGCTTGGTTATTTAAAGTTCTATAGAATATAAGAATCGTACCTTTTGGGAAAGAGCTTCTGCTTTTGTTTCTATGTTGATTACGGGAGTAACTGGGAAAAGTTGCGACCTCTCGACTTTTAATTTCGGCAGTGGAGCTATAGACCTCAATTTGCATCCTAAATCAGAATTTAACCAGAAAAATCAACTTCTACTTTGGCTTTTATATCTTTATCAGAGGGCTGAGGCCTTACCTAGAGTAGCAGTTATTTCAGGATAGGGTTCATCAACACTCGCATGGGATAAAATTTCGCCGGAAGATGCATTTTCCAGAACATGTCTTTGAATAAGCTCTGGATACGCAACTTTAAAATTTCCACCGTTTAAAATTTGATTCTCTACCATCCGATAAATCCTAAAAATAAACATAGAGATATTTTTCTTTTTAGTCGTTTATTCTCACAGAGAAAAATTTATTTGAAAGGGTTAAGAAAAAAAAACTGAACTTGGAGTCGTTGAAATATTTTTTTCAATAAAGAGAAGGAGGGCAATAATGATAATTTTAGGTCATTTTTAAAGATTGAAAGGAGACGGAAAATAACGGGATGATTTTTGCATTTTTGAAAGTTTTTTAAAACATTTTTTGAAGGAAGGCGGAATCCAAATAATATGAAAGGGCAGTAGAGATTCGTCCGCATGCTACATGTAAATTAGAATTGGAAAAAATAGTGTTTTCAATGATATTTAAATGTTTAAAAGCGCATGTCACATGTGTTCGACCTCACGATAATTCCGAATACAAGTTGAATGATTACTGTAGCTTTCTTTTTTTCAATTGACAAGGTTTTTCTGGAACTTCTTGGCTCACTCCATTTGCTGGGGCATTTGCTGTTGGGGCATCAGTTGTGGAGCTTGTTGCTGTTGCCCCTGGTTTACGTTGTTGCTCAGGTTCTTCAGAACGTCGTCCAGAAGTTGGAGAGCGCGGTGCAGTTGAACTTCGATCCAACTTTACGAGGTTACAAAAATACTCTTCGTTGAATTCTATGATAGACTTCTATTTTGCCAAAATCTTTGTTTTATCTTTATCAAAAAATTGCAGTGTTTCCAACGACTGAAGCCCTGAAAAACACTAGATTGTTTGGAGATTTCATTTTTTTCTGGCCAGGCACTAGTATGGCTGAATATAGAGATTGACGCAAATTCAAAATGAGTCCTCTGCAATTAAATTTATCTTTAGAGATAGAGCAGCATTATGTAACCGTAGCAAGGACATTCTTTGATCGTTCTCCTGTTGTACTCAGGGCCCCAGCCCTTGACGAAGGAAGCTCGAAGCATACAAAGTCGTCTTAGGTCATCGACACCAACGCTTGTGTATGAAGGAGGCATACCGTTGTTTCGCCCAGTGCCGTCATTTATCGATCGAAACTGAATTCAGTGGAGCATTAACATTTTTTAATTGATTCTCTTCTTTTCCATAAAAATGAGGGAAGAATCAATTCAGAATTCCGCCCCTCATAAAAATTTTATTTAAATCAGTGATTTGAATTTTAAATTTGAAAATAAAAAATGGCTTACCGTTTCCATGCTTGTTTGTTGCGTAGCCTTCACTTGAGTTTCCATCTCTCTGTCACAGTGATCCAGACTGAAGACTTTAATCTGGCACTAGAAAAAATGTTAGAGTATTGGGAAAAAAAGTCTTCATCTTACTTCGGGATGAATTTTATGAACGAGCTGTCCAGGTTTCTTCTGTTCCATGTAGTCCAAGAAAGAGCTGTAGACAAAAATCGCATTTTCGCTAAAAAGAGCATACAGTAAGAAAAGTGCGTTTCATGGATGCTTTTAGAACTGAAGGAACTGCCAAAATTATGCATTTTATCAGATGCAGATAACGCAAAAAAATGCTTCATCAGTTGAAATAATTGTCTCAAAATAAAGCATTTCGAAATTTATTATTTTCTTTGTTGCGAGATCGGCATTTTATAAAATGCATAAGTAGTTATCGTAATTATGCCATTGAATTTAAATTGAAGGAAATTACGAAAGGCCACTGCGGGAGAATTTCATAAGGCTCTTTTTTATAGTTTTATACCTCTCGTTGGTGAGCCAAACATCTGAGCCGTTGACGATTTTGAGCTTCATGCCTTTTCCGATGTGCATTCGGACATCTTCTGATTTGTCTTTTCTGTGGACGTTGGAGAGCTGCCCCAGACAGAATCTGTCGTTGCCGGCAGGATCGACAAATCCATCGATTGTTACTGTATCATAGTGCGAGCTCACGCGGAACGTCTCTCCGACTTGAACATCATCTAAAAGATATTAGACTTTCAATTTTTCACTCTTATATAATCTTGGATAAGACCTAAGATTTACTTAGCATATATTAAATATACATTATAGATAGTTTTATATTTCAAATAATAAATTGCTCGAAATTTGTATATAAAAATAAATCTATATGATATAGACTATATCAATAAATCAAGCAAAGCAATTTGAAATTTGCGCATGTATTTTGCGCTCCAGGCAACCCCACACCGGGTGTTCCAGTGCTCCACCGACTGCTTGTCCGAATGCTCCGCCAAACTGAACAAGACAACAAAAAATGATCCCTCGTTTGTTAGGTTATCTCTTGATTTTCGGCTTTGGCGGAGCGACATGGTGGTTTTTCCTCATGTCCAAGTTGGAGAGAATTCAAGATTTGCACCATCAGCTGTACATGGGCCTTCGCGATTATTCGAATCACTGGCCGCTCGAAAAGGTCAAATTCATGGAAGAAGAGTGCTTTGACAAGTATAGAAATGAACTAGTCACTCAGCGTTCTAAGCAGGCATTTTTCCGAAAACAGGAAGAGAAACATATGCAAGGCTTCGCGTCTATTCCGGGAGTTATGGAAACATCGATGAAGATCATGGAACACACCAAGAAAATGCAGGGAAAAGTAAAGACGATACAGGACAGGGGCTGGAAATTCTTGAAGATAACAATTTAATTTGTAAGTTGAGATTGAATCTATCAAGTAGGCTTTATAAGATCTGTGACGCGCCAAAGATATTGAATTTTATGACGATTTAAAACATGAAGTCTTCTTTTAATTTACCAGCCCAATTAAGAGTGAAAATAAGGTTGAAGTTTCCGAAAATGACCTTGAAACATTCATCTCTGGCATGGAAAATATCGAAGAATCCGTCGCAACCATCAAGAAGCTATTTGACAACATGAGCCAGGACTACAAACGGAACGAGGATATTTTCGAAGATCTCAAGATCTGGTACGGTTATCACGGCTGCGCGGATGGCAAGGAACACTGCGACGACTACGAGCGCATCGAAATGATCTCCGTGAAGGAGGGAATGCTCGGCATGCTCGATTCAGTCGTGAGCGATCTTTTTGTAAAAGGCGACTGCTCAGTAAAAGGAAACATCGGAACCGCTGACGTCGAGCCGTGGATCGCCGCTGTGGATAATAAACTCAATAAAGTGGAAACTGAGATGAACGTTTACGGAATCTCGCGAAATATGGATGATATGTTTGTACTACAAAAGGATGTTGGGGATTTGTGGGAGAACGTGAAAGAGCTAACCGATGCTGCAGCGCATTTTAAGAATGATACGCAGTTGTATCACGATCAGAATTTCGATTTGGCTGAGGATGTTTATGGCTTACAATATGAATGGTACAAAACTAACAGGAACACGGTCCACACAAGGTTCAACAAGGAAATCATTAAAAATTGACACTTTAAAAACAGGGAAATGTCTGCTCGACAGAAGATTCCTTAGAAAAGAATATAAGTAATTTAGGACCCTTTGAAAGTTCTATGTGGTCGATTCCCGCGGCTTTGGCAAATATCGAGGTTCACTTTCAGTTCGAAATCTTCGACCAAGAACGATGGCAAGAAGGCATCTGGATGGTCGGCAATTACACAGAAAAAGCACGCGATAACTTTCAATTGTACAAGGAAAGCGACAAAAGTCTCAAATCAAAGATGGCGAAAAACAACTTGATCGCATTTATCAAAAAGTTCGACAAGTACACCTCGACCGTGGACGAGTTCGAGAGGAAGATTCTTGGAGCGGAAGAGGACTTTAAAAGCCGAGGAAAGACGCTGAAAGAAAATTGGTTCCTACATACGGGAGAGATGGGCTGGTCGATCAAAAATATCCAAACTACTGGCATGGATCTCGGCTGGTTACAATAACTTACGGCATCAATCTTTCTTTAATTTGGGAATAAAATAATTGAACTTCAATTATAACTTGTAAATCAAATTTGTTCCTAACAAAAGGAAAACAATTAAATCTTGAAACGATTCGAGAAAAAACGATTTGATAAACATGGATAGATATAAATTTAATTGTCCGATATAGATTAAATTGTTACCTTCGTAATATGTAATCGTGCACCAATCGCCAGGTTGAGGGATCGAATGCTCCAGATTCCGCCTACTTTGCGAGTAATATCCGTTTGGGTAGTTGTTGAAGTTGCTGAAGCAAGACACACTCTTGTCGAATCGAGGGTCATTTTGTCGGATGTCACATGGACGGTGCTATGATTACACGGTTGATTTATGATCAATTATTAGATACTATCTCTTCTGATTATTTGTAATTGAAGTTGACGTTTCATAATGTTGGTTTTCGTAATTTATTAGTTGGCAAGCTTTCGGCATTTCGCCATCATCAGGCCAGGTGAAACGGGACAAGACCACCTGGCCTGATGATGGCGAAATGCCGAAAGCTTGCCAACTAATAAATTACGAAAACCAACAATCTTCTGATTATATGAATAATAAACCAATTAAACAGCTGAAAGATTTCATTCGGCTTACATCTATTCTCTTTTGTGGTATCATCTCGTCGCCCGTCTTCTGATGATGAGCCAGTGGATCAGACAATTTGATCCCGCCTGGACCAGCCAGGGAGATGTTGCAACGATTCATATCTAGGTTCGAAGCAATTAGGTCAACGAAAAAGCGGAAGGAAAAAACCTGATCCTTGAACGATTCTTTCATAATGAAATGGGTTCACGCAGACCATGTCCAACTTGAGATCGTAGGCGAATTGGCAGGTTGGGATGTTTCTCAGCTCGTTTTTGTGTAGATCTGGAAATCTCCACAGCTTAGAGTAGACTGAATTGAGAGATGATTCATTCATACTGTGAAATCTAAATACTTATGTGCGGAAAGCCCTTTCGCCCAGCCACTTGAAGTCGACCATCCAAAGTTCTTTGAATCGTCACACAGCCAGTCTGAGAGCCTCTGAAAAAACGCAGTCTTGAGACTTGCTCCCTTTTGAAAATCAGCCGACTTTAGCCGGTCCAAGAAGAAGGAAACTTACCCGTTTGATGTGATGGCTCGGATCAGACTATCTTGCTCCTCTTTTTTATCTTTCAGCTTCTAAAGAACAAAATTGAAAAATTGCGCTCGTTAAAGTTCCATCGAATCTATCGTAGTTGATATGGCGAAGTTTTCTTAGGTTATAGAGAATTATCTGATAAAATGTATCGATTGATAATAAAATTAATTTCTTGCAATTTAGTTGACTTGAATCTAAAGAATCTTCCACGAAAAGGTTTATTTTAGATCTTACTGAGGATGAAGCACTTTTGCTGACTTAACTCTTGACGTATGCCTTTAAAAATGGCACCACATTCATTCAATATTTAACAATATCTGTTAATACTAATAGAGGATGATCAAACCAAACTGAAAAGAAGCAATTACCTTAACGAGGGACTCGATCGCCCGCTTTGCAAAAGACTCGTTCTCGCCCCCTTGGCGATGGCACATCAACTTGTGAACAACGGCCTAGAATAACCATTGCATTAATAGCTGATGCAATCTGTTGTTATGAAACCTTGAAATATTCATAAGAGGTCAAGTAATTAGATAAACTCTTCTCCGAGTAAAGTGTAACACAAATAGAACATTCCGAAGAGTCAGAAAGGAAATTCTTCTCAAAGAAAAACTCCAGTTTTTAATAAGTTTTGTTTCAGAGGCAATTTTAAAAGAAGGAAAAGACTCGAAGACAAAATAAGGTAGACTAATGAGCTTATAAAAACTAGATGCTAGAATTCGAATTTTTAAGGGGACTTGACCTCAAATGAAGATGATTTAGAACTGACTTTAGTTACCTGTTCATTTTCCGTTGCATTAGTGTGTGGCATCATGGCCATGCCGTGACCTGCGCCCATTCCGTGCATGGTTAGACCGGAGTAAGTGCTAACTTTGTCGATCAAAACTCAAGTTTTTCCAGAAAAAATACACAATCTCGCGCCGCCTAACCACAAAACATAAGATAAGTCAGTCTAAATTCAGATTCAAAAATTAAAATTATAATCCTTGGAAAACCAATTAACCGAAATACAATTGATTTGCATCAATCTAAATTCAAAAACCAGTCGAGGAATTAAGCACCCTCATTCAAGCGCGTAATTAAGTGCTCTTCAAAAGCAAATCAGTTTTCAGGAATCAACGAGGAGTTTCTCCAGACACTGATTTTGCAAGAAAGATATGCTGCTTTTTACGGCACTCGTTATTGGCGCATTTGCCGCCGAAAACGATTATGGCATCCATATGGGCGAGTTTACAGAGCCAATCTGCAAGAAAGACTGGTGCACGACTACTTCGCTTGTAACGTAAGAAACTAAAGTAACAGTAACATGTAAATTTAGCAAATGTATTTGAAAAGAAAGTAGAGAAAGTAGTGTTGTATTTACAAGTGAAATTTTTAAAGTGATATGTGGTGCAAGGAACTTGGCGGAAAAAATTGTGAATACACGTGTCAGATCCTCTTCAGCTTAGGTAACTTTCAAAGAGAAACTTTTCACTGAGCTTTGATTCTAGTTTCGGATGAAGTTGAAACAGAATGCGAAGACAAGCCGATCGAATTGGGAAAACGCAAATGGAGCCAGAATGAGTTTTTCTACGCGCCAATTTAAACTTGCGCTCTTTTCTGACGAGAAGTGTGTTTGATAATTATCCTTTTTTTTATATATAATGCGTATAATATAATTTTGGCAGTTGCAGGGAATAAACAAAAATCATGAAAAACCAAATGTGTTGTGTTGTTGTTTTTTTTTTACTTGCGCTTTTTCTTTTTCGATTTATTCTTGCGAGTACACTTGGGGCAATACCATTCACCTTCTGGAACGGGCCCGGTGATACCGATACAGACGTTGTGATACCAGTCTGAAATATAAGGTTTATAAAGAAGGCTGATTGTCCCAGTGAATCGGGGACGGTATAAATCTTGATTCCTATGTGGGGTTTAGAGGTATATAGGTTTTTCGACCAATCACAGAACGTTATTCCTCTTTTGAGCCTCTCACAGGCCATCAACTTTTATTTTATCAAGGCTTTGCCTCATGAATACTACAAAAACGGCCGGGAATCTAGTAACCACAAAGTTAAAAACGGCAAAAATTTGTATCAAAACTTCAAGTTACCTTCACAATCCCCATCACAGCCAATCATGGGTGTTCCATCGTCAAGTTTCCCACAACTTGGGCAGCGCCATTCTTTTTCCTCGAAAGATGTGTAGTACTGTCTTCCGTCAGCGTCCGTGACAGCATAAACGCCTTGCGGAGCAACTGGATTGGGTGGTATTGTTTCTGTTACGTCTTGCTTCGTAACTGTTTGCACCGTGATTGTAGTAGCTTTTTCTAGGGATCAAAATTTTACGACTATTTTTCATGATTATTAAAATAAAGAAACCCTGTCCTTTTGACTCTTCAGACTTTCGCTTTTGTTTTTGCTTTGACTTTTCAGATTTCGGCTCTTTCGTCTTGACTTTTTCAAGCTTCGGCGTCTTTGATTCCTTGATCTCTTGCTTTTTCGCCACTAAAAGAAAGCGTTATCGATTTTCTTTGACATAATTAGAGGAAAATGATTTCATGCAATGGCGATAAAGGAGAAAGAAAAGGATGAAAAGGCATGCAAAAAGGGTTGTTCATAAAAATAATACTTCCTGGACGATACCTGTAAATCAGGAGCATTTTCAATGTTGACATTGAAAAAACAACTGATCAGGATTTTTGAAAATATTTTTTTAGAAAAAGCCGATAACTGAGGTTCGGTAAATGTGTGTTTTTTCGGAAGTGTTTAACCTGTCTCTTTAAATGAAATTGAAAGAGCTTGCCACGATCTACTGTTCTTTACCAATTTAATAACAAGTCCTTGAAAATACAAATCAATTCTCTAAAAAGTAAAGCGACAAAGTTAGATGCAACAACTAGTGATTTAAAAGGACGCAAACCTGTTTTCTCCTCTTTCTCCTTGTCTTTCTTTTTCTCCTTGGCTTTTTCTTTTTTGATTTTCTCATGGACTTAATCTTGGCGTGAAAAGGAGGCATTCAAAATTTTTAAAAACATACCAAGCGCTGGTGGAGGTTTAATTTTAGGAGTCACTATTTTGTCCGATCGTTTTTCCTTTTCCTTTTTCCTTGAAAGAGAAATTAATCTTATCGGTTTTAAGAGGAACGTACAGTTTCGGCTTTTTCGCGCTTTCTAAGTCTTCCTTGTCATCTTTTTTCCTCTTCAAGCCTACGGAAGAGCCATTTAACTTGAGCTTCACCATGAGTGGCTTCTCCGGTTTCTCAGCTGTCGACTTTTCTTCCTTTGCTTCGAACTTCGGAGTCTTCTCCGGCTTGGGCATCTTTTCTGCTTTGGGCGTCTTCTCTGGCTTCGGTATTCTCAATTTCTCCACTTTCTCCTTTTCTTTCTCTTTTTCCTTTTTGCGTTTCTCTTCTTTCTCGGCGCTAACCAACTTCTTTGACTCACTTTTAGGCTCCGCTTTCGACTCTTTCGGCTCCTTCGGCTTTTTGGGAAGAGGAATCGTAATCTATAAATTTAGAATCAGCGCACGAAATCTTATTGATTTTTTCTATCGCCATAAAAGTTAAGGCGGGAAAGTTTAAATATCTATTTATAAAAAATTCAGATGATTCAGAAAGTAATTCGTACCTTAGGAGTGCTCATTTGAACCGGAGGAAAAATCGGCTTCGGCGCTGGTGGAATGATCTCCGAGTCTGAATCCGAGCTCAAGTCCAAGCCATCGGTAGAAACAGGCTTCGGCGGGGGTTCTTTCACAATTGGCATCGGTAGCTTCTCTAGCATCGGTTTGATCTTTTCTGGAGTGTCAAATCCAGAGACGCCCGAACTCATGGTCGAGTTGAATGAGCTGTTCGCGGAGCCGCCGCTCTGGGAGCTCTCACGCCAGAGTTTTAAATTCAACTCATTAAACAATTTTCGATAAGAAAAAGGTTACTCAAGTTTACGCAAAAAAAGATCAAAACAAATTCAAACTCTTTTCTTGTGCTGCTCAATGGCCTGCTGCAACTGACGCTCCTTCTCCAACCTTTTCAACGGGTCTTTAGGCGGTCGACCTCTGGGTTTCGGAATTTTAGGTTCTTTGTCCTTCTTTGGCGGTCTTCCAGGTCGACGTTTTCCAGATCCATCCAAGCTCTCGGGCTCGGAAGCACTTGGAGCTTGAGAATTTTGACTTTCCTCTCTCTTCCGCTTCTTCTTTGCCTCCTTTTTCTTGCGCTTTTCTTCCCGACGTTTTTCCTTTTCCGCTCGTTTCTTCAATTTCCTATAGAAATTTTTAATCAGAGATTCTCATATACTGGTAGTGACGTATCAGATTGAAAAAATCAGACTTGTTGATAAACAAGTAAAAAATTCCGTGAACTGTTATCCTTACCGAATTCTCTTTGCCTCGTCGCGTATTTGTTTCTCCTTTTCCGTATCAAGAGTTGGCTCCGCTGCACCAACAGGAGTTGGGGGAATCGAAGAAGCTGACATTCCACTGTGGGAGTGTAAGCTTGGAACGGCAGAAAGAATCGGGGCTCGACTCTCGACTGAAGGAACGGGATGATCGTATGATAAAGGCTTCGCTGCTGGTGGAAGCTGATCCTCGTCAGAACTGTCAGAAATTCCAGGAGGCTCGTCGTCTGCATCTTTCTGTGAGTTTGAGACGCCGACGAATGATTCATCGCTAGAATCGCCGAGGCCGAGGATGCCGGCTTGACTGGAGTTCATATTCGATGCTGTTTTGGGCGCGGAAGGAGGTGGGGAAGTATAATTCGATAGAGGGGTGTTCTGAGAGAGAGGCAGTTGGGCAGTGTTCGAAGTTGTTTTGAGTGGAGTTACTGGAAAGTTGGATGTAGCATCTACACCGAGGGGCAAAGAAGGCTGATGTGGATGGATGTAAGGACTTTGTTTTGGCGTCTGGCTGTAGTGAGGCGTTGGCTTCTTCACGGACCCGGGCATGACAAGAGGTGTCATTGGAGTAGCAGGGTAGCTGGGTACGTCCGACGGAGAGTATTGCTGTGATAAGGGATGAAAAAGAGATAAAAATCTGGGTCTCGAATCCGTGGTGTTTTTTTGGAGCAGGGTTTGCTCCAAAAATTCGAGACCCAGATAAAAATCACTTAGAAATGAGTAAACAAGAGACTTTTTTTTACCCCTGACTGAGGATATTGATGATCAGGTCCCCTAGCACCACCAGGAGCAGAAGGTGGGTTTTCCTCTTCCGACTGCAAATTTTCATCGTCAGAGTTATTCTGCTCTTCTTTAGCCTTCTTCTCCTTCGCCGACTTAGCTTCAGCGTCGATTCTTTTAGCATTGGAAATGGAAGGCATCCAGGGATAGCACCATGAAGGAGTTTGTTCGTCGATTTCCCGCTTATGATTGAGACCGATTATTCTTCCGTCTGATTCGGGCAATCGAGGAACATCAGGGGCAGCAATAGGTTCTGTAAATTCGACCAAATTTCTCAGCGATTCTGGTGGCATCCCTAGGTCTTTCATGGCTGCCAACATGTCATACGCGTCAGCTTGATTATGCTTTTTTTAGAGTTATATTTCGAGGTCATTAGCTATTGAAAGAAAGTATGCTTTTTTCCGTAATATAACCAAACTGAGCATGCTCGGCAAACTTCATGATACGCGAGCCAATAAGCTCAACAAAACGCTCCATGAGATCGGCAAGAACATCGAGGGGCAACTGGTTGATCTTTTCAAAGCCGACCGACTGGACAAGGAGCGCCACGCTTCTCCGTGTCTGTCTCCGGATGAACGGATAGACATCCTCCTCCATGTTTAATGTCAGCGGGTAAGACGACAAGAATAAATTCTAGAGTGGAAAACTGATATTGAAAGTTTCTTTTTGGAATAGAAAAATGTGGCGTAAGAATAAGTAACTGTTGTATTTTCATCATGTGGCAGGAAAGAAATTCGTGTTGAATATACAATATATATTTAAAACGGCAGATTATCTAACGGAAGAGAATCTAGATTTTCTTCGTTTACTCGATGACTCATCTAAAGATCTATTTTCACTATCGCTGATGTTGCGTTTCGATGCATTTTTAAGAGCTTCTGTTTTTGCGTCGAAAAATTGGTCTGAAAATCATCATCAGGATTTGTCGAAATAAATGAAATTCCTACCCAAGCATCCAACAACCCAGTTGTCTTTGATTTGAGCAGTTGGGGGAATCGGGCGGTAGAACTCATCGAGAGCTATAAAACGTAAAGAACGCGAGCGGGGATCAGTAATATTTTACCGTCCATGAGTCTTTTAGAGGGCTGAATGTTCGGGACAAGTCTGAGACTCTCTGGATCAACTTCCGAAAACGGCTTCGTATCTAGCTTTATGACAGCAGCCATGAGCCCTGCCGGCAAGTTGTAATAAGGTCGAGTTGGGTTCAGTCCCTCAGATGATCCGTCCCACTGAAGAAGATGATTCCTTAATTGAACCGAAAAGACAAGACGTCTTACCGGCTTGCCGAGCGGACCGAAATTAGTATTTTGACCCTGCATGTTGAGCTGCTGTCGCTCAGAGAGTTGTTTTTGAAAGTTTTCTAATCCTTCTTTGTTTCGCTTCGCCGCTTCCATTGCATTCTGTCTCCTCTGCTCTGCGCGTTTTTCCCACTCATTCATCGCCTTTTTCTTCTCGTCAATCTGCGCCATCAAATCTTTGAGAACATCATCGGCATGTTTCACGTAATCGCCGTGTTGGGACTCGTAAGATTTGAATTGAGAGTCGAACTCTTCTTCAGCTTGCTTTACTTCAGATCTATAGCGATCTCGCAAAGCATCACGGAATTGCTTGTACTCGACGATATGACTTTCGAAGCGATTTTCAACCTTTTTATCGAGTTTAAAGAATTGAGTAATTATAAGGTTATCCGTGAAATATCTTATATCGATGATGATAAGTAAACTCGTCCCTCAAGAGAAAAATATCTGTTGTTCTTCCACAAATCCTTCAATTTGACCAGCCTTTCACCGATCTCCTTGTCCGCCCTCAGTTTCGTGACGGACCAAAGCGGGACGATAATCTCCTCAAATGCTTCGAGAATGAGATGATTCTCCCGCTTGTGCGCGTGATGGAAGACATCGTTTATTAAATAAATGGTGTGCAAACGCATATCAAAGGTGGCATTGTTGCTGAGTACGCGGCCGGCGATGTATTTACAAATGAGCTCAGACGTCTATATTTCAATTGTTATTTTATAGGATCTGTAATCGACAATCGTAACAACAATAAAAGTACAAGCCCTTCACTACAGGATTCAATGAACCCGGTTTAAACTTTAAACTCTTGTTTACCTTTGAATCTGTCGCGTTTCTTAAGATCCATTCCTTCCCAGCCGCGATAGCCTCTTTTGTACAATGCCTAATAATCGGCTTCATGATCCTACTGAAGTCTTCAATATTCACATCCAACTTGAGCGCATCATTCGAGCATTCAAAGCTGATCTTCTCTTCTATCACCGCGTCGACGCTATTTTCCCTGTCCGTTGCTAAACTCTTCTTCTGCGCCTTCAAGTTCGACTCTGACTCGCGAATCTTTTGGTCGAAATTGTCTTTTTTCTTTTTGTATTCGGCCTTTAACTCGTCGATTTGAGACTGCGTCGCCGGTTGCGGATCAGCAACAAAATTGGGATTTGGATTAGAGTTCTGTGGCGCGAAACCAGCTGGACGAGTGTTTGTTTCTTGTGGCTTCCAAGAAGCGCCAGGTCCTGGATTCGAAAAACCGCCAATTTTCAACGTTGGATTCCATTTATTCTGCGTTTGAGGGTTGAAAGAAGGTTTCTGGGAACCTTGCCCGCTCATTACTGTGTCTCTTTGCATCGTAAGCTGAACCAAACCGATAATAATTCCTGCTTTTGTTCATTCAGAAGTGTACCTTTTGCGCGATTTGCTCAGATCGAACTTTGGATAAATAATATTTATTGAAGGCTCCATTTGGAAATAGAAATGCATATTCAGGATTGCCCCGTTGCTTCTCTCGCATCATATTTTCGAATTGGCTGCCATTCTTGGAAACGTACTGGGCCACCTTATCGATGAGATTTTTCTGGGCGACATTTGTTGGAGCCCCGGCCGACATTTCTATTGTCTGAAAAGAAGGAATCTTCCAAAAAGGGTTCTTTTATTTCTTTGTTTTTATTTTTGTTGAGTCACGAAATAGAATAATTCTCGGCAGGGAATACGATGGGCTGATTTTTCTCTTGAGCATAGAACTAATTTGAAAATGACGCTACTTACGTGGAAACAATCGCAGCAAAAATAAAGGTACTTACATTGATTTTTAACTTGAGAAAACTCGAAATCAGAAGAATGGAGAGACTTTGCGTATTTTTGAGCTACAAAGAAAAAGGAGCTAAAAAACTCAAACCTGGTTTTATGATGCGACTTTTTTGTGCCTCGTCCAGTGCTAGTTCTAGTTACTGTAATTTTCAACTAACCTTGACAATTACTGTATTGGTTCTTGACTCAGTTCTTGCACTGGTGCTCGGGTACAACGCAAAAGCTCTCGATTTTTTCACAATTTTGAATATTGGAAATAGTTTTTTGCAATTCCTACTTTGTTGGAGAAGAGGTTTAGAAAAAAGAGCAAAAAATATTTGATTTCGGTACCTTTGAGGGGTACCTACCGTGCGGACTTTGGGACTGTGTCGAAAGTTCTACACGCGCATTTTTTCTCTCCAGAAAATCGATGAAGAATTTCTTTATTTTTCACGGATACGGATGTTTGCATCTTGATTTAAATACGTTAGACTCAGCTGTGGGTTGGAAATTGTCGGGAATTTAGAGGGAGAGCAATTTGGAAACGCAGAGAAAAATATAGAAGATAACCTGATCAGAATCGCGGGCGGACACCAAAACCGGTGCGGACTCCGAAGCCACCACGGGCTGGTCCTCGGGTCGGTAAACGACCTTTCATCGCGGTACGAGGGAGTTGCCGAGCTGGACCATCTGGGAGAAAAATGAATAATTGTACAATGCTTGTTCAAGCTTACCAAAAGCGTTGGAATAGCCACCATCGCCACCAGGCCCACCATTGTCCATGTGCGAGGGCAGCATGTTATTTTGTTGCGGCTTGGAGAAGTTAAATTGTACTGGTCCGCTTCTGTCAGCTAAATGCTGATATTTCCTCGCCTAAATATGGAAATCAAGACCAAATTCTCTCCTGGGATCTTACTTTGAGCTCTTCTAGTGATATATCTTCCTCTGGGTGCATAATTCTCGTGTTTTTCGACTGAACGACAACTTTACCAACTGTTGGCACTGGCGGCATCGATGGCGGCGGCGGAGCATGATTACCAGAAACACCTCCAGCGAAGAGCGGCCTCGGGGCGCCTCCTTGCCCAGAAACTAAAAGAACAGGTTTACCATGGGTTCATAAGTGGTGATTAATACATCTACTCTGCTTTTCTTGGCCCATTGGTCCGCCCATACCAGGCATTCGCGGATTTCCCATCATTCCTGGCATTTGGCCCGGCGCTCCTGGAGCTCCTGGTGCTGCTGCTCCACCACCAGCTTGATTCTGCATCATCATTTGCATCATCGCCATCATCGGATTCTAAATTTTGAAATTGTTTACCCTCTAATCTGGCGATCATGATATTCATTTCTTTACGATATATGCTGAATTTATACCGGTGCGGCTGCGCCTCCTCCAGCAGCAGCTCCTCCTCCTTGCATCGACTGCATCATTTGCATCATCATCATCGGATTAAATTGCGAGTTCTCATCGCCGGAGTCATCTGAGTCGTCAGAATCATCGCTGTCATCTTCCTCGATTTTCGGCCGTTTTCCCTACAAAAATCATCTTTATTGAGAAGCAAAAAAAGAGCATTTTACATGGCGTGCGTTGACATCTCGTTGATGTTTGACCATGTCGTCGATGGGAATTCCCTTCATTCCGTAAATTTCAATTTCCGGATCACTTCGGCGGTCTAGCGAGTTTGGAATCGCGTCGATTGTCTCTTTGTGAACCTAAAAATCATGTTTCTTTGGCGTCATGTTGATTTTTTCGGGTTTACCTGAACACAATGAATAGCCAGTCCAGGCCCAGTGAACAACTTCTTGTGGCAGACATGACATTTAAAATGCCTGGCCTTCTGATGCTGAATCAAAACCGCCTCGTCATCGAATTCCCTGTTGCAGTACCAGCACCAGGGGCGCACAGTCTTTCTCTTTTTGCGACCCATATTTCAATAAATTGAAAGTCTGAAAAGAAATAATGCATAAAAACAAGCTTAAACTTTTCGATATTTTTTTAATCCTCTCAACCAGCCTACAATCAGCTGACATTAATTGAAATAAGACAGAAAAAAAGTAGAACTTATTTATTGCCGAATTTCTTTTGGTGGAAAGCGGGCGGGAGAGATGCGAGAATTTCGCCAACAGGTCGGTCAATCACAAGTAGTTCGTCCTTGCTTACTGCTTCTGCGTGTAAGACGTATTTCCATCGACAGATTTCCGTGAATTCTGTCTCGCTAACAGTCGGTGGCAACGCTCTACTGAAGTTTTTCATGTTCTTTCCTTCGTGAGACAGTCTTCCTTTGTTCTCTTCGATGAATTTCTTTTCCTGGGCGGCGGCTAGGAAGAATTTATTGTGGAACATTTCAGACTTCGTACAAAAAAGATAGATTTTAAAGAATCTTTTAAAAGAGTGGGCATTAAAACCTTCTAGTTTAAATAAGGGCGGATAACTTAATCTTTATTTCAAAATTATTAGAAATCTCGCGAGATTGAGCTAATTAAAATAAGCCGCAAATAAACCATGAACGGATTACACGTCATAAATTGAGGATCAACAAATTATTGACAATACTAGTCACCTACATCTGATTTTGGTAAGGTTCTTAGATTCCTGCCGGCTTCTATCCATGAACGTAAAGCTCTCGTTGTCGCAAAGGATAATCGGGCGCGTTCCAAACTGATCGATAGAGACGATTTTCGATCGATACTTGCGCCATGTAGGGGGGGATGGACGACGAGTTCGACCATTTTGTATACTCGCCTTCGAGATTGAATTCGTGGATATCTCGGCTAGCCGTCGATGCCAAAAGCGTTTCTTCTCTAGTTTATTTTTAAGCAATTTCAATTAAAAGCGCCTCACCCATTTTCACTCATTATGAAATTCGCGGCGGTGTAAGCGGTCGCCGCTCTCGGAATCAAAATCATTGAGTCCTCCTCCAAATTGAACAAATACGAGCTCAACCCGATCGATGCCACGTATTTGCAAGTTCTACTGAATTTGATTGCTCTGAGTGTTTCTTGCGTCTTTTCTTTTGCTTGCAAGGTCGGCCCGGCGACTAATGCTTCGGAGTCGTCATCGATTTTCAATGATTTGAGCTCCGACGAGTACGTTCCATAGAATAAGAGCTTCGAGTCGGGGGAGAACTGCAGCTGGAGGGGAGCTTCCTTTATCGCTTCCCCGATCATTATCTTTAATAAAAAAGTTTTAAATTGATTCTTATAAGCTTTCCTCAAGAAATACCTTTTCTAATCCAACATTATCATCTTCATTAAACACTCTGTACACTCGAAGCTTCGATGCTGTGGAAAACGCAACCCAGTTTCCATCAGGCGAAATGGTCGAAACTCTAAGCGGTTCCGTTTTCAGGGAGAAAATATGCACTGGTGCTTCTGACGATACCTGGATAAGTGAGATTAATCTTTCAAGATAAAAAACTTGAGCCCTCTACCTCGTCCTCGTCCATGCAATCATCATCAAGTTCCGCTGCGTCAGCCATTTTCCACAGATCAAGCTGACAGCTGCCCTGCAGGAGGAAAAGTCTGGCTTCCTTCGAGACCGAACAGACCGGACTTTGCCGATAGCTGTGGAGGATGCTGGACGATTTCGAGTTGTCGTTTATTGCTTTTTTCTGTCTCGCCACTACAATGTTCCTGTCTATTCCGGCGCTCACGATCTCGCGGTCGACAATTTCCAGCTGTCGCACATCGTTGCCATGAAGCACATGGCCCCAGACTCGTCGCCACTCCTCTTCTTTTCCTTCAAAGTCACTTTCCCCAACCCGGATGTTCTCATACGCCAAGACCAATGGATCGACTCCGGAAGCAAAGACCATCCTTTCGTTTTTACTTGCAGCGATCGTGAGAATATCTCGTTTGTGTTTCTTTATTGATTGAACTAGCGCTCCCAATTTTCCGTTGTAGAAATTAATTCTTCCGTTTGAATCGCCAGTCACGATCGTGTAGTCTGTTAGGAAAAGGTTGCACCAGACTGTTGTTTCCATGTTTCCTTCCTAAATTAGTTAATTTTGTAATTTCATCTCTTTCTTCGCCGAAATACCGAGCGTTTTAGTAAAAATCGTACATGTTTTCAATAATGTCATATGAACGAAGGAAAATTCCACGCACAGATGGGAAAGAGTGGAAATCTGCCCGAAAAACTAACCTTAGACACAGCGAGTTGACGATGCATCCTGCCAGTTTCCACATTCCAAATCCGGATAGAACCGACTCCTGACGTACACAGAAGCTAAAATGAACAGTCACGATACAGCTTTCGTTCAATGTTCATGACGCAAAGATCCTTAACTCTAGCGATATTTCGTGCTCATGAATCATGATTATACTTTTTATCATGGTATATAATATACGGTATATTTTATAGTATAGCGTATTTTGTCTTTTTCTAAAGGAGGACCCTTTTTCTGGGATAAAGGATAGAGGCGTAAACGTTCATACTTTTCCTTTCGAATGCCAGGACAGCGAAAGAACCCGTTTTTCCTGCCGCTCGAACGATTTGAGATAAAGGAGACACATTTCCGTTTTAGTATCCATTATTTCATAAATTCGCACGATTCCATCTTCTCCGCCGACGGCGAGGTGTTCTCCGTCGGGTGATTTACGCATACACCACACTGCCGACGCTCCACTATCCATATTTGCCAGGACCTTGAAAGGAAGATTAATTGAGAATATCGGGGTAGTCCGCACCTTGCAACTTTTAGGGCAATAAGAAGTAATGAAACCATTGGCACCGGCAGACAGTAAAAGCCCGTACTTTGTCCATTCTAAAACATCTACCGGTCGATCCTCATCTGGAGGGATGAACGCGACTTGATCCCAACAACGCCGGTTGTAATAAGACCAAATCTGAAACGCTTTTTTAGTTTCTGAAAGAATTTAAAGGCATCACCTCGATTCCGCGTTGTTCTGGACCATCAGCTCTTGCAACGGCTAGTCTAGCATTGTCAGTGTCGTAACGAAGAGTTTGAACTGCGCTCGGATTTTCTGAAAATACCGAACATCTGTGTACTCGAAGACTTTGTTTCATTCTGAAATCGACATGGATAAGATTTTCTCTGCTCAGACATTTCAGCCAGACGTTAATATGCAGTGAGGATATGCTGAAAGGCATTGGTCCAGTTCAATCGATAAACCAACTTTGTAGACCATATTATTTCTAGAACTCCTCCTGGTTCGAACAAAAGGCTCAGATGAACTTTTTCAACCCTCAGTTTTAAACGGAGTTTTACAACAGTTTTACGAGAAAAGAGAAGGGTTGGCGAATTGTAATTCTCAAAGATGCCAGAGCGTGTTCTTTCCAAATTCAATAGCGAAAAAATGAGCGACAAGTAAGTTTACCTAGTTTCATTAATTTTGTCTGCGTCAATTTTCACCATTTTCGTCAGGTCAGCAAACATCAGGCGAGTCTGTGACCCGGGTTAACCTGCCTATCATAATTACGTTTAAAAATATCAATACAAGCACCAAAGCTATCAGGCTCTATTTACGTCTATTTGACCACCAAAACAGTATCATTGAATCATATGACCAGGGAATCACATGAAAAAAGGATTCAAAAAGAAAGAATGGCCGCTTTTTTTCTTTTCAAAAAGCAAAAGACAGAGTTGAAGCAAAAAATAGACAGAAGCAATTCAGAACAAAAGACAGAGAGAAGAGTAGTTTTCCATCAGGTAGCCGAGCATTCAGTAGATGGCCTGATACTACCAAATTTGGGGAATTCGGGGGCTTATCAGCTTTACAAGTGATTTTCGCAAAAAGGGGTTTTCCCCGGGAGACGGTTGGGGAGACAGGGACAGTCCTTTTTGGAAATTTCCACTAAAGAAAGAAGAAGTTGAACAAAAGGGTTGAGCACTTTTGGAGACTATCCAAATAGAAACAAACTCAGATAAAGAGTCAGAAAATGGAGCCCGTTATTTTGGAGAAAAGGTAAAGATAAATGAGCCAAATATTCTTTATAAATAGTCAAAAACAAATCTTAATTTTTATAGAATTTCAGAAAGATTTTCACTTCCTTGAGTTAGAAACAAAAGAAAACCGTTTCAAAAGAGATTAATTCGGCGGAGAGACAAGTTATGTAACTCGCCCTCTTTCCTTATCGCTTTTTTCCACGTTAGTTATTGCCCCAAACATCCGCTGTCGTATTTATTATCGCCCCTGGCCGCCCAGTCGCTCTAAAGTTTTCATCAGACGTCGGGTAAAATTTCGTCAGCCGCCAAAGGGGCTGCTCCTCTCCCGCTGATTGGCTTTGTTTACCCCAGCCAGGCTTTATAAAGCCCGCTCCTCCTAAATGACCTTATCACATTCACACTCGAAAAAACTTTCAATTAAATTTTTGGAAAGAAAATCATCGTTGATTTCAGAAACATGGTAATTGCGAAGAGAATTAACGAATTAATCCGGCTGTCTCAATTTGACGCGCTGGCGAATTTGGAAGAGCTTTGGGTCTTCGGCTACGGATCGCTTGTCTGGCTCCCGAACTTCTGCTTCTCGGACAAGATCGTCGGGAAGATCCTTGGCTATCGTCGCCGATTTTACCAAGGAAATACGACGCACAGGGGCCGACCAGGTCGACCCGGGCGAGTAGCCACTCTGATGAAGGACCAAACTGGAAGATCGGAGACATACGGCTGCGCGTACAAACTTTCCGGAAGAGAGCAAATTGCTGCAGCATTAGAGCATTTGAACATGCGAGAATCCACCCTTGGCGGCTATTCCTTGAGCGTCGAAGATTTCCACAGCGCCGAGTTCGCGCCAATTCCAGCGCTGGTCTACACCGCCACGCCAGAAAACGACCAATTCACGGGCGAACAGTCCATTGAAGAATTATCTGACATCATCGCGAATGCAAGCGGGCCGACCGGGTCCAACGTGGAATATCTCTTCCGACTGGCCGAATGGCAGCGCGAGTTTCTACCGTTTGTCGAGGACGACCATCTTTACGAACTGACGCGGCTGACGAAGACTAAATTGGCGAGAATGGAACGCGAAAAGAATAACCCGCGACGAATGGTCAGAAATGGCAATTAAAATTGAAGAATTGAAAACTTGAAGATTTTGAGTTTTTTCTTTCTTTTTTGTAAATATTCTTTTTTTCTCTTTTTTTACTTTTGCGCCAACCCTTCAAAAATATTAATAAATTTTATGAAATCGGCTCTTTCGACTTTATAGGTATTTTCTGGATTTCCCGCCGCGAGAAAGAGCCAATCAGTAGCTTTGTGAGGAAATAATGCGCGCTCATTGGATGGCGAGAGTTTGAAAAGTTCATGAAGGATTTCGGGTAGGCTTCATTTGAACAAGAGCTTCATTTGAACAGAGCTTCACTCGAACGACTTTTGAAAAAACGATTATTTTGACGTAATTGATAATAACTAATTATGGCCAAATTTTGAGAATAATTGACACTATCAGATGTTTTCTTTGATCTAAAAATAAACAAAGACAAATTTTTCACCAATAAATTTATTTTATCGGATATTCATGTAAAAAACTTGTCAATTTTATGAAAACTGTTACTTTCTTTTTGAGAATCGTTTATCAAACTCACAAAAAGGACCCTTTTGAAATGTTGTCCAAGTGAAGCTTTTGTCCAAGTGAAGCTCTGTCCAAGTGAACTCTTGTCCAAGTGAGGCCTACTCAAGGATTTCATCCTTTTTCTCTGAATTTCGAGAGGAAATAGCTGTGAATATGTCTCGTGGATTTATTCTAGTCTTCTAAGTACAGTCTGCCGTTTTTCTGTAATTCGAGTAATTCCTTCAGCTCATCTTCAAGGCTTGCTTCGAAGTCACATTCGACAGCTTGCGTTTCGGGCTTGACAACTCGCCCGGCAAAGATAATTTCGTCTTCTTTTCGAATGAAATAGAGGAAGGGACGATCGCAGATGAACTCTTCTGGAGGCAGCTCGTAACGGCCACACTATAAAAGCATTAGATGAGATTTTAGTGTGTAAGTTTACCCCTTCACATCCACCGAATGATACCGCTGCAGCTACAGTTCCTTTCTCATTGACGACAATTTTTGCCCTGTGTTTCGCCTTCGATAGGTACACAGATTTCTTCGTCAAATGGCTGTGCAGTAGGTAATCCTAAAGTTTGCTAGCCCTGTGAGGGCGGCCGAATTCCAAGGGATCAGTGCTCAGTGAACACTGTTCACGAACTTTAGAATTACCCACAACTGTAGTTGTCCAATGCCTCCGAAAACACATGCCCAAAGCCGAGTTTTTCGAAGATCTCTTTCAGATCCAAGTTTGTGTCTATCTCGAACTTTGGCATTCGAAAGTTCACCTTCGCTTTTCGTAAACCACCGAAAATGTCCTTGAGCTTTGACGCGGTCAAGGAAACCGTTTCGAAAACGAAAAGCGGAGATTTGCTGGAAATCCCTTTGAGATTTTGCGGCTTTGGCATTACAACCGTCATTTCCAGCCCTTCAGTCAAGTAGGGCAATGAAATGGCTTGGAATTCGCTGGTTCTGGTGTACATGATCTCTTCGAATGTTTCTTCCATGTATCGAACTCCGTGCTTTCCTTCGCCGAAGAGCCCATAATTTGTTCTAAAAACTGAAAATTTTTTTTTCCATGAGTCCTTCACTCGGAGTTTTCCTTTCTATTAATTACTATAGTTTCCTCATCCAAATGGTTGAAAATGACAACTCTGTCTTGAAGAAAATTGCGGAGACAAGGATCATTCTTGTCAATGGATCTTCTAGCTCAGAAGCATCAACCACCTCGTTGATGACATCGTTCGTTGACTTCGAAACCCAGGAGTTTATTTTATCCGCAGCGTCTTGACTCTCGGTAAAATCAACGTATTCATGGGAGGCGCTGAAGTCTGTTTTGAAGCAGCTGAATAATTTTGCGCCTATTTGGACGACAGGAAGAGATTCTAGGGCTCTGACGCGCGCTTCCGTTTTGCCAGGTTCTTCTTGAGACACCATTTTAAGAATTTCTTCTCTAAGAGTCAAATGGAAGTAAATCTCATTGGAGCTTTGAGTCGTACCTTGTTTGTCCATCAGCAGCTCTCGCTAGAATGGCAAATGCGTGCTCAACATTGACAGGCGAAAGGACCAAATTCTTGGCAGGCTCGCTAAGGAGTAATTTCAAACACAGGTCCATCTCTTTTCGGACTAAAATACTATTCTGTGGGAGAATATCTGTGAAGCTCTGATGAAGCGAATACCGGCCGGTTCATGAATCCATCGATAAGGAAACTGAGTGTCTTTTCATTGAGAATGTAAACCAACAAGATGAATATGTTATCGAACGAACGAATGGATAAAAATTTACCGGGATACAAAATCTAGTAGTAGGAAGAAACATTCCAAAATCTTATTGATGACGAATATGGCAATAAAAAAGTAACGGAGAGTGGCAAAAAAAGCTTTTGACGCTCAGAGCATGGTCGCCAAGTTTATTGCTTTGTCCCCGCAGTTGATATCATAAAGGAGTCTGATCGTCAAATTTAACAGGGGTCGAATACTCTGACGCTTTCTTTGTGATTCTTTCATGATTAGTTCCTAATCAGGGACTACTTAAAACATCAATCACACAGAAGATAACAAAAAAATAGAAAAAAAGAGAAAATGAAAATTTCAAATTTGATTTTCGGATCTGTTGTGCTTGCGGACGACTCTATTGCTGGTATACCTGCCATTGATAGAGGAGTGAGGTGAGACTGTTTTATCTCTTTTTATTAATGAGACTCATATTTAGACCGGACATGGCTGGAATCAATGGTGTCAAATGTCCTAAAGGAGGAAGGTTAGTTATTCTTACATTCATGAATCATGATTTTTGACCAAGTTGAACTATTCAAGCCTCATGATTTTTAGTAAATTTTAAAGCTGAGAAAAAATAATTGTTCAAGGCCAGCGATGGGTGGAATGTGTATTCCTGACGATACAGTCGAAACTCCCCTAGTGACTGAAAATATCGATATTGACGGAATCGGCAAGCTTGATCCTACTGAAGATCCTCTTAATGGGCAGGGAAACATGTTTGGACCACAAAATGCGTTCCCAGGACTTCAAGAATCATCAACTGATTCAATGACAACAACATCAAGACCCAAACCACCACCACCATCGACAATGCCACCGGCAATAAATACAACCGAAAAGAAGACAGCAAAACCTGCTGATCCAGTTGTTCCGATGGACGATCGTAACGCAGTCAACACTGATGAGCCATCTAATGATGGAGTCAACTCACTCCCAGATAAACCAGCCGCAGAAGCATCTGAATCGACCGAAGAAGATCCATCCTGGTGGATTTGGCCCCTAACTTGTGTTGGAATCGGCACTGTTCTATGTAGGGCTTCTCATAAAAAGCACTTAGTTATCATTTTTAGTGGGAGTGTCGATCTACGCATGCCAAAAGAATGCTTCTCCCCCTGCACCAACTCAATACCTTCCAGGCCAAATCATCGGTCAAGAATCAACGGTGACAAAAGATCCTCCAGCGCAGAATAGCTTTCCCAACGGAACTTCTTCAGTGACAATAACTGAACAACAACAAACCACGCAACAACTCTCCATAAGTTATGGACCATAACTCAACAATCAGCATAAACTTCAAAAGCTGGTTTTTTATTAATTAATCAACCAAAAGTTCAATAAATATTTTGCTTAACAAACAATAAAACAAACTCGGTAATAATGATTGATTATTTATGCAGAAAATTAAAAAAAAACAAATAAAAAAAAAGATGTTAGATAAAATGGACATCTTTGTTTGTGTCGCTAATAACCGAATAAAAACAATAAGTCATCAATCTTGAGGCCCTAAAACTTCGAAAGCTCACCTGCTTGACACACTGCATGGCAAAATGAAAGTGATAAGTCCATCTCCTTGAGCAAGACTGACTGAATAACAGAGAAAGATGAAGCTTCTACTGTTCTTTGTTTGCCATGCTCTTTCTAAGGAATCGAGGGGACCAAGGTTTGAAATTTCTAAACCATCCATTCCTGATCATAGAATAGGCCGCGACCAACAGACTCCACTTCAGTAACTGAGTCAGACGGATTTGACTTGATCGATGAAGAAAAACAGGAAGAAAACTGGAATTTGTTTATGATAACAATTTACTGTCTTGGTGGAGTTGTTGCCCTTTGTAATTTTCACAATTGAATTTGCAATATCTATCTTAACTTTATTTAAGTTTTCCTGACTCTCATTTGCCATTTCATCTTCAACATCAGAAAATACGCCTGTTTCAAGGTTTCTCCAACCCAACAGCAGTCTCAAGCTGTCGAACTTGAACAAACAACTCAATCTGAACAAAATTGAAGCAAAATAAAACTCCTCCATCAAAAAACAAACGCTTCAAAACCAAAGGCATAACGACCTTCTGACCTTCAAAATTTTATTTACTGTATCAACTACACGTCAATTATTCAAATAAATAATAATCGATCAGAATAAGGAAAATATAATGCAGACCTATTTTCTTTGATACAATAAAGATTTTTTAAAGATAGTTTGTTAATGAGTAACAAAATCCACTTTCCTTTTTTTGCACTGCAAAAGCACTCTCGAAAATAAGGCTATAAATTATGCTTGTTTTTGACTCGCTAAAGTTCACGTTGATAACGATCCTGGTTTAGCCCCCATTAAGAAACATTATCAACTTGCAAAGTGGACCGCTCATAAATCTCATAAAAAGGGTCAGATCCGAAAATGGACACTTTTCATCTTAAGTTCATAGTGAGAACTTGCAAATCGCCGCCGTTTTAGGCTAATATTTCTGTTGAGGAGCCATTTTCAAACGTATAAATGCGCTCGTTGGAAGTGAAATTTCTCATTCTACTCAAGAGTCTACTAGAAACTTGAGAAGGTAAATATATCTAGATTATTTTTGTTGCTATAAGTTTACTATTAGATGTCGCTTTGGGATCCTGAGGCAGCTGGCAATGCCGCTAACTACCTTCGACTTCCTGACAAGGAAATGTTGGAGCTTCGAAATCAGCCGTTTGAAGGTGCCAAGTGCATTTGGGTCCCATATGCAGATACTGGCTACTCAAAAGCTGAACTGATCGGTGATGGTGACAAACCAGGCACCAAGAAGGTCCTTCGTCTTGCTGATAACAAGCAGAAAGATGTTAAAACCGAGCAGGTAAACAATAACAATCTGGCTGGCACTTATGTTTGTGATAGGTTGAGAAGCAGAACCCTCCCAAGTACGAGTTGCTTGAAGATTTGGCCAACATGACTTATCTATCTGAAGCTTCTGTCGTCTACAACTTGGACGAGCGATACCGACGATTCTTGATCTACACCTACTCTGGTCTCTTCTGTGTTACTGTCAACCCCTACAAATGGCTCCCCGTCTATGACAACCACGTCGTCGGTTGCTACAAGGGCAAGAGAAAGTCTGAAATGCCTCCTCACATTTTCTCGATCTCCGATAACGCCTACAACGATATGTTGCGAGAGCGACACAACCAGTCCATGTTGATTACTGGAGAGTCTGGTGCTGGTAAAACTGTCAACACCAAACGAGTCATCCAGTACTTCGCTGTCGTCGCTGCTCTCGGTGCCTCCGGTAAAGTCGGTGATGCTGCTGATGAGGGACCATCTCTCAAGGGTGGCGGAACTCTTGAAGATCAGATTGTCGCTGCTAACCCCGCTATGGAGGCTTTCGGTAACGCCAAGACTACTCGTAACGATAACTCTTCTCGATTCGGTAAATTCATCCGAATTCACTTCGGTTTGACTGGTAAACTGGCTTCCGGTGATATCGATACCTATCTTCTCGAAAAATCTCGAGTCGTCTTCCAGCTGAAGGCCGAGCGATGCTTCCACATCTTCTACCAAATTTGCTGCGAGCATATGGTCGAAATCAACGAGATGTGCCAGATTTCTCACAATCCTTACGACTACAAGTTCTGCTCCATGGGTGAGATCAAGGTCAAGTCCATCGACGATAAGGAAGAACTCGCTGCCACTGACGAGTCCTTTGATATTCTTGGTTTCAACCAGGAAGAAAAGAACGGTATCTACATGATTACTGCTGGTCTTATGCACTCCGGAAACATGGAATTCAAGCAAAAGCCCCGAGAAGAACAGGCCGAGCCTGACGGCCACGAAGCTGCCGAACTTGCCGGATATATGTTTGGTATTTCTGGAGCTGAGTACACCAAGGCCCTCTGTACCCCACGAATCAAGGTCGGTACTGAGTACGTCACCAAGGGTCAGACCGTTGACCAGGTCAACTTCGCCCTCAAGGCCATCTGCAAGGCTGTCTTCGATCGACTCTTCAAATGGCTTGTCGAAGTCGTTAACCGAGCTCTCTCCACCGATCTCCCTCGATCTTTCTTCATCGGTATCCTCGATATCGCCGGTTTCGAAATTTTCGAGTTCAACACTTTCGAACAGCTTTGCATCAACTATACTAATGAAAAGCTCCAGCAGTTCTTCAACCATCACATGTTCGTCCTTGAACAGGAAGAATATAAGAAGGAAGGTATCGAGTGGGAGATGATCGATTTTGGTATGGATTTGGCCGCTACCATCGACTTGATCGAGAAGCCTCTTGGTATTATGTCAACCCTCGAAGAAGAGTGCATGTTCCCTAAAGCTACTGACATGACCTTCCGAGACAAGCTTTTCCAGCAACATTTGGGTAAGAACGACAAGATTGGCAAGCCCAACCCGAAGAATCATAAGAACGCTGACGTCCCTGCTCCTCACTTTGAATTGTACCACTACGCTGGTACTGTCGGTTACAACGTCACCGATTGGCTTCTCAAGAACAAGGATCCCCTCAACCCCTCTGTTGTCGGTCTTCTTAAGAAGTCCAACAACAAATGTATTGTTATGCAGTGGGAGTCCTACATGTCCGCTGAAGACGCCGCCGAAGCCGCCAAGAAGGGTGGTGGAGGAAAAGGTGGCAAGCGACAGAAGGGTGGTTCTTTCCAGACTGTCTCTGGTCTCCATCGAGAATCTCTCGGTCGTTTGATGGCCAACCTTCGATCTACGCAGCCTCATTTCGTTCGTTGTATCATTCCCAACGAAAAGAAGAAGCCCGGACACATGGACTGGAACCTTGTTCTCCATCAGCTTCGATGTAACGGTGTCTTGGAAGGTATTCGTATTTGTCGAAAAGGTTTCCCTTCTCGAGTCCAGTACGAAGAATTCGCCAAGCGATACGTCATTCTTCATGCCGAAGCCAAGAAAGATCAAGAATTCTGCGACTGGAAAGCTATGTCGAAGGAAATCTGCGCTGGTATCGCCCTTGATGACGCCAAGCACAAATTTGGTCACACTAAACTCTTCTTCAAAGCTGGTGTCATTGGTGACTTGGAAGACGAGCGAGATGAAAAGATTGCCAAGATCCTTACTGCTCTCCAGTCTTACATGCGATACCGACTTGCTGAACGAACTTACGCTGAGATGGTCAAGCGACGAGACTCGATTGACATCATCCAGGCTAACATCCGAGCCTTCCAGTACTTGAAAGACTGGGAATGGATGAAGATCATCTACAAGATCAAGCCTCTTATCTCTCAGGCTGAAGAAGGAAAGAAGATGGAGGAGCTTGAAAAGAACTATGAAGAGGTTAAGAAGCAACTTGAAAAGGAGAAAACGACGAGCAGAGCTCGAGGAACAATCTGTCGCCTTAGAGCAGGAGCGAAATGAGCTCACTCAAAAGGCTGAAGCTCAGAACGCTCTTCTTGACGATGCAGAGGGCCGATGTGAAGAACTCATCGCCGCTAAGATCGATCTCGACGGTAAGATCCGAGATCTTCAGGAGAAACTCGAAGATGAGGAAGAAATGAACAACGAGCTTGTTGCCAAAAAGCGCAAACTCGAGGACGAATCTTCCGAATTGAAAAAGATATTGACGATCTAGAACTGACTCTTGCAAAGATCGAAAAGGAAAAGCACGCGACAGAAAACAAGGTCAAGAACGTGACTGAAGAGCTCGCTACGATCAACGAATCCATCCACAAGCTCGAGAAGGAGAAGAAATCCCTCCAAGAAGCACACAAGCAGACTCTTGGTGATCTTCAAACCGAAGAAGAAAAAGTTGTCAATTTGACCAAATCTAAGGGCAAACTTGAACAACAAGTTGATGATCTTGAAATCGGCCTCGAGTCTGAAAAGAAGGCTCGAATGGATCTTGAGCGAGCGAAGCGAAAGCTGGAAGGTGATATCCGTCTTTCTCAGGAGCAGATCATGGATCTCGAAAATGACAAGGCTGGTCAAGAAGAGAAACTGAAAAAGTCTGAGTTTGACTACACTCAGCTGAACGCAAAGCTTGAGGATGAGACTGCTCTCGTTGGCCAATTGCAGAAGAAGATCAAGGAACTCCAGGGACGATCTGAAGAGGTCGAGGAAGAACTCGAGTCTGAACGAGGCGCACGAGCACGATCTGAGAAGACTCGAGCCGATCTTTCTCGAGAACTCGAGGAACTCGCTGAGAGACTCGAAGAAGCGGCGTCCAACACTCAAGCTCAAATTGAAATCTCGAAGCGACGAGACGCTGAAGCCGCCAAGGTCCGTCGCGAGCTCGAGGAGGCCACTCTCAACCACGAATCTGCTCTCTCCAACATTCGCAAGAAGCAGGGCGACCAATCATCTAGTCTCGGAGAGCAAATTGAAAACTTGAACCGAGTGAAGCAAAAGCTTGAAAAGGAGAAATCCGAAGCAAAGCTTGAAGTTGATGAGCTCCATGTTAACGTCGAGTCTTTGACTAAGGCTAAGCTCAATTACGAGAAACAGACGCGAAATCTCGAAGATAACATCGCTGATATTAAAATGAAACTTGAAGAGGGAGCAGCTCAGCTTTCAGAGTCCCAGGGCGAGTGTGGCAAAATGAACATGGAAATCAACGATATTAGACGTCACATTGAAGAGAAGGACACCCTCAATTCCCAGCTTATCCGAGTCAAAAACTCATTGTCGCAGACCCACGATGAGCTCAAGCGACAAAATGACGAAGAAGCCAAGTCGAAGAACTCCCTTGCCCATCAGCTTCAAGCTCAGCGACACGACACTGATATGCTCCGAGAACACATGGAGGAGGAGCAGGAGTCCAAACAAGAGCTCCAGCGAAATGTCACGAAATCCAATAATGAGTGTGTCCAATGGCGCAACAAGTACGAGACTGATGCTATTCAGCGAACTGAGGAGCTCGAGGAAGCCAAGAAAAAGCTCGTCGCTCGACTCCAAGAATCTGAAGAGCAGGTCGAAGCTGCCCAAGGCCGATGTGGATCTCTTGAAAAGACCAAGACCCGACTCCAGGGTGAAGTTGAAGATCTTTCTGCTGATTTGGAACGATCGAATGCAGCGGCTTCTCAGTTGGACAAGAAGCAGCGAAACTTTGATAAACTCCTTTCTGAAGCCAAACAGAAGCAGGAAGAGGCCCAGGTTGAACTCGAGCTTGCCCAGAAAGAAGTGCGAAACCAGCAGACGGAACTTTTCAAGCTCAAAAACTCAACTGAAGAAGCTGTCGATCACCTCGAATCCATCCGACGAGAAAACAAGAACCTCGCTGAGGAAGTTCAGGAACTTGTTGACCAGCTCCAAGAAGGATCAAAGACCATCCACGAGCTCGAGAAGAACAAACGAATCGCTGACACTGAACGCGCTGAGATCCAGTCTTCTCTTGAGGAAGCCGAAGCTGCCATTGAATCTGAGGAAGCAAAAACATTGCGAGTTTCTGTTGAACTTCAGCAGCTCAAGCAAGAAATTGACCGACGACTCAGTGAAAAGGATGAAGAAATCGACAACGCCCGACGAAATGCTACCCGATCTGTTGAGCAAATTCAAGCTTCCCTTGACAACGAAATGCGTGCCCGTGGAGAGGCGATTCGATCTCGAAAGAAGATGGAATCCGATCTTAACGACCTCGAAGTAACCCTTGCTACCTCATCTCGACAGGCCGGTGATGCGCAGAAGACCACCAAAGATCTCATGCTTCAGCTCAAGGATTTGAATCAAAAGCTCGACGATAGCCAGAGACAGACCGAAGATATGCGCGAGCAGTCTGCTGTTTCTGAACGCCGAGTCGGTTTAATGACCACAGAAATCGAAGAACTCCGAGGCGGTCTCGAGCAGGCTGAGCGAACTCGAAAGCAGGCCGAAAATGATTTGATGGAAGCGAACGAGCGATCAAACATGCTCCACACACAGAATGGTGCTTTTATCAACCAGAAGAGAAAGATCGAAGGAGAACTTCATGGTGTCAAGACCGAAGTCGAGGAAGCTATTGGAGAAGCTCGATCCGCCGAAGAAGCCGCGAAGAAAGCACTTACTACCGCCGCTCTTCTCTCAGAAGATCTGAAGAAAGAACAGGACCAGTCTCAACACTTGGAGCGAATGAAGAAGAACCAAGAGAACTCTCTCAAAGATCTTCAGATGCGACTCGATGAAGCCGAGCAGGTCGCACTCAAGGGTGGCAAAAAGGCCGTTCAGAAGCTCGAAACTAAATGCAGAGAAATTGAGATGGAACTTGAGGCTGAACAACGACGAACTTCTGATAACACTAAGGTTTGTTTATTAGTTTTGTGACCTTATAAAATTTTGTAGGTCATTCGAAAACTCGAGCGTAAATACAAAGAAGCCGTCTACGCCAACGATGAAGACAAGAAGAATCTCCAGCGGCTCACTGACAGCATCGACAAGCTTAACTCCAAGGCCAAATCCTACAAGAAGTCTGCTGAGGACGCCACTGAGTCCGCTTCTTCCGCCATGTCTCGCTTCCGAAAGGTTCAGCACGAGCTCGATGAAGCTAACGAGCGAGCTGAAATGGCCGAGGCTGCTGTCAACAAGGCGCGATCCAAGGCTCTTGAATCCAAGTAGATTTAATTCTGATTCTGTCATTATTATTTATTAAGAAAAAAGGAATAAAATGCATTCGTATTATTTCTTAGTGAAAATGTTTAAGCCCTGCGTGATGCAAAAACGGTGATTGAAAGTCAAATCATTTTAATAACAAAAAGTTTCACTAAAAATGCACAGGCAACAAAATGAGGTGATTCAGATGCTACTCCGTCTACTAGGAAAATAGTGGTTAGTAAAACTATCGTTAAACTTGCTCAACTTCGGTTTCTGCTGGAGCTGATGGTTCTTCTCCATCGACGGCGGTTTCAACCTTGTCAGCGATGTTTTCTGCCTTGTCGGCGATCTTGTCTACTTGAGTGACAGCCTTATCGGCTTGCGCGAGTGTTTTGTTTGCTTCTGTCAAATTGTTGTTGACAGCCTTTTCAAAAGTTTTAAAAGTGGCTTTACTACAAAATAGGGGAAAAATCTTTCAAAGAGAAACAGACGATTTTCAGTGCGTATTTACTGCAACAATTAAAAAAATTAAAGAAGAAGCGAAAGTTTTAAACTTTTCCTTGAGATCCTTCGAGCATCCGGCACCCATTTTGCTGTTTTTTGAGTTCTTGTCTCTAACTGGAATTTGAAGCTAATGAAAGCACCTTCCTGCTGCCGGCTTGCGAGAGTGCTGAAATTCTATCTGATAGCCCAACAATCGCGGCCATTGTCCTCATTGATGATATTGGCATGGCAGCCATTGAAAAGGCTTAAACATTTCAATCAAAGAGCTCTTCAGCGGCTCCTAATGAAAGCGCCTGTTTCCATGGTGCTAAGCACCAGGAGGAAAGCACCTTGCTTTAAACCAAACCAATGTAAACAGCAGACCCCTCTATAATACCAGTTAAGCTCACAGTGTCTCAGAATAGCCACTCATCATTTTTTCTTGGGAACACTTGTCGGAAACGAGATCAATAGTCTTCTATGTATTCAAATAGCCGCTTCTGTGGTGGTCTTCCGGGCAAATATCAAAAAGTTTGCGCGACTTATTTTGTGGTTTTAGCTCACGCTTACTGTATTGATGAAAATTTTGGTCATCTTATGAAAAGAATCAATTCTAGTGAACTGATCTTGTGAGCTCCTGGTATTATAAGCTTAAATTTAGTAACAGAACGTCCTCATTTGAGATATCATAACGGTAATAAATAATAATCCGCATCTTAGAAGTAACGTTCAATTGCTTTGTGTCAGAAAGAACAAAACAACTTGAGAGCTATGACAGAAAATGTTTCTTTTGATACACATTCTAACCGCGATCTGAATGATACTAACTCAGGTATTCTTTTGTACTTTTTCTTTATTATTTTCCACAAAATCACATTTCCATTACATCGTAAATCGTTAGTTTCTGAACACCAGATGAATAAACCAATAACCATTTGTTCCATCGATATTACGAGCAGTAAGTCCAAAGATGCTGTTAAAATTGAACCAAGAATTGCCCAAAAAGAACCAAATACTGATGACCCCATCACTCGATGCTGGGCCACCAAAACATGCTGTTTATGTCATTTCATCAAAGATTTCACAAAGTTCATTTTTGGATTTTTGTTTGGCTTACTCTTTGCTCTCATCTGTGCACCATTTTTCTTTTGTAAACGAATTTTTGGCGGGTCTGCTTGAATTCTTTTTGGTATTTCAAAAATCATGGCTGATTAAACTTTAAAATTGTCTATCAACCTTATGTCCTAAATGTACATTCTTTACGTCACACGCTGTGCCTCCGCTCTTATTGTTTTAGGAACGATTTCCGAGAAAAGTAAAATTATTCATCCCCGCATAAACATCGACCATAAACTTTGCCCCGTGGCACCACCAGCGGCGTAATCACGGAGAGGATCGATGTTCGCTTCGAAAGTTCTAGTACGCTCGAACTTCATCCCTTTCGTATTTTTTTCATTCGAGAAATGAAGCTGCTGGGGGTTCTAGCGCTGGCGCATTCCGCCAATGCGCAGAAAAAGTTAAGGGTTCATAAGCAGAAATTATAAAGTAAATAAGATTGAAAAGTGAAGGAAAAATTTGAACTTTTGAAAGATGGAAATGAAGCTGCATCACTCAGTTGACGAGGCAAACTTTTCTTTTGGCCAAACTGGGACCGAACTTGGTCAGGGCGTGCTCATGGTCAATGTCAACAACGGTGGCTGGGGAACGGTCTGCTCAATTGGGTTCAATCAAGCAGCCGCTGATCTCGTCTGTTCAAAGATAGGATTCAAGCGCGCCATAAGATACGGTCCGAATTTGCTTGATGGTAGCTTGACCGAATTAGAAGACAAGAAAATTATTGTTCAGGAAAGGTTCGATGGAAAAATCGTTAGAAAATTTTACATAGGTATCCAACCTTTTCAAAGGATGTCACGTGCTATGGTGGAGAACAATCACTCATGGACTGCGGGGCGGTTTCTGCAACTGATGAATGTGACCACAACAAGGGTTTGTTTGCTAACTTTATGCATACAGTAACATCGTTTGCAGATATTTCTATCCAGTGCACAAACGAAGAAGCAACCGGCGAGTGCATCTCCTATCAGAAAGTCATCGAAAACCAAGGCGCAGTGTTTCCAGGCCAGTACAAACCCGTCTGCAACTTGGACGGCACTTTTTACAAAAAACAATGTGACCAAGAAAACAGAAACTGTTGGTGCTCTACACCAGACGGAGACGAAATCAGAGGGACGAAAGTTAGTTTCAATTATGTTGAAGATATGGATCTAATGGAGTGCGAGCCGGATGAAAATGGAAGTTTCAAATCTGACACTAGCGAAGGTATATAATCAATCGAAATTGATAGAAATATTTTTTCAAGGTGTTATTCGTTTGAGAAACTCAAACAAAAAATCAAGGAAGGGACTCGTCAGCATTTTTCATCGAGGAGAATGGGGCTTCATCTGCAGAGATCAAATGGATGCAAACCTTGCTGGGGTGATTTGCCGCCAACTTGGGTTCGATCGAGCCGGTCCCTCTGCTGCTCTCCGCCAAGCGCCACAGATGAAAGTTTTTCTTCCAAAATACGAGCCGTCAATGATGGCGACGCCGATTCTCTGCAACGGGGATGAGGAAAAGATTTCGTATTGCTCTCAGTCAACTTGGGCTCTTCCTTCCAACATTCCATGCGAAAAGGACGCTGCTGTTATGATTCAGTGCGACAATATTTCTGAAGCGGAGAAGAAAATGGCTGAGCAGCGAAAACGCTTTGCCAGGACTGATGAATTGAGACGAACGCTAAATGATTATATGAGAAAATTTAAAGAAGCTGAAAATACCGTCTATCCTCCATCATTTTACCCAACCCTGATATCATGGAATGAGGAAGCTCAAACTGCCCTTGAAGAATTCAAGCAACTCGATTCAGGCACATCTTATGGCATTTTTGCTAACTATTTCAACGTCATCGTGAAAAACTACATGAGCAATATCAAACTCCCAGAAACTCCTGAATTATCCGCAGATCCCTTACAGCCCGCTCTAACAGATGTGCCAATGTGCTATCCTGGAACAAAATGGTCATCTTGCAATGGTCACTGTCAAAAACAATGCCGTCAGCCACTCTACAACCCAAGATTTTGCACCAGAAGATGCGTCCCCGGATGCGTTTGTGAAGATCCAAACGAATGGTTGAGGCCTGACGGAAGCTGCTCAAAGACATGCGAGTATTTCAATCCTCAAATTGAACAAGCAAATCTGAATATTCTCAAGAACCAAGAAATCATCGACAATATTGTGTCGAATACACGAGAGTCTTCCGGAATCAGCGGCGGAATAACGTGCCCGGACGGAATGATCTTCAGCCAATGCAAGGCTCATTGCCAAGTCAAGTGCGGCGAAGAAGACGAAGAAAAGCTCTGTGATGAGAGCAAATGCATGCCAGGATGTGTTTGTCCAGAAGGCGAATTTATGTGGGCCAACGGAAAAGCCTGCTCTTCAATCTGCTTAAAACCTACCCAAGCACCAGAGAAGCCCAAAACATGCATGGATATTATGCCAGATTGTACTAAATTTGCTGAAAAATGCGACGACCTCATTTCCGGACCAACTTTGCAGACTGCATGTGCTTTTACATGCAAAAACAAGGATGCATGTGGAGACTTTTTTGAACCAAAGAAGCCAGCTCCAACTCTAGCTCCAGTTGCCATAGAGCCAAAATCGACATGTAAAGACTTGTACCCAACTCAGTGCCAACTAGAAGTGTTCAAAAAGAGATGTGATCCAGTAAAATACTCGACATTTGCTCTCGGATTCTGTCGAAAATCTTGCGGAAATTGCGACAAGCCTGAATACAAGCCATTGAAAAGAAATGGTTCCCCTAAAACTGAAATTACTTCTGATGTTGTCTCTGAACCAGCTTGTGTTGATACGATGAAACCCGCGTACATGTGTGAGAATCTAAGAGACAATTGTATGACAGTCAAGACAATGCAAACTGCTTGTAAAAAGACATGTGGACTGTGCGATCAAACTGCTCAAACTAAATTGAGTTCGTCGATAACCGCCCAAATTGTTGCCAACCAAGTCCAAACAAGTTTAAGTCCAACTGCCCAGACAGTTATGACTACGCAAGCGGCAATGATCTTTCAACCGCCAACCAACAATCAACCCGTTTTCAGTTCACCTGATCAGCAGCAACCTCCTACAATCTACAAGCCACCAATGAACAATCAGCCATCTTTTTCAATGAACCAGCCTCAAACCAGTCAATCCGGAATAACTGCCTCAGTTGTTACCAACTACCAAGCCCCTCAAATGAATTCATATCAGCCCCCTCAACCCCAAGTCACTCAAGCTCCGGATCCTTGCGTGGATGTTGTCGTCAACTGTGCAGATCTGATCAAAGGTGGAACAGTTAATTTTTGCATGTATCCGACTCTCCAGCAAAATTGCAAAAAATCATGTGGAATTTGTCAGCCAGCCCCAGTGACTACTCCTCCACCAACAACAACGACCGTGACAACGACCAAAACACTTCCAGTAGTCCTTCCAACGAAGCCGTCCCTCAACTGCATCGATTCCCGTCTTGGCGGGCAAACAACAACTGCGATCTATTTGAGCTGCAATCCGGATGGCACTTACGCACCGAAGCAGTGCAATCCAGTTCAAAAAAGTTGCTGGTGCGTTTTCCCAGATGGATTAGAAGTTGTTCGAACTCGCTCTCAATTCGATCTACGAAATGCTTACAAAATGGACCAAATGGAATGTACGAAAAATATCCTCGGATTGTACGAGTCGAATTTCAACGGACGCGACTTTTTCGAACCAGAGGGAGAGGTACTGTCAGCGTGCCAGAGCGAGTACAAAAGAAACATTCTCCTTCCGCGAGGAACCGCGAGATTGCCAAGTTGCGAGGACAACGGTGACTACAGCGAAATTCAATGCTCGCAGGATGTTGCTTCTACTGTTTCAGAGTGTTGGTGCTCTGACAAGGACGGCCTGGAGAAAGACAATACCCGAAAAATGCTGCAGGGGAATCCAGAACTCGCAAGAACAGAAATGGACTGTCGCGAAAAAATAATCATCCCAGGCCCTTGCGCGGAACGAATTGATGAAATCCGCCAAAAAACGTCTCTCACTCCATACGGTCAATTCTACAATTACAGAGGCCAAGCATCTGCTCCAATGCTACCGAAATGCAACGAAAGAGGATTTTATTTGGCGAGACAATGCGACGCTAATAATTGCTGGTGCGTGACGCCCATCGGAGATGAACTTCCAGGAATGGTTCTGAGATAGTCTTCCATGATTTCATTTTTAAAATCGTCGTTTTCTTGAAAAAATCTCAAACACAAAAAAAGGAACGCGAGTTCGAACTCGAGGACTGTTCGCCCGAGCTCCTCCGAATTGCGAGGCTCTTCTGAACGGCCCATGTATCGAAGCTCAAATGAGCACTGGCGAAACAAAGAGCTGTGACCGAGCTGGATTCTACAACGAGGTGCAATGTCCTGTTTCTGGCCACGCGTGCATATGCGTTGACAAAAATACCGGAGAGCCGAACGGAAGAAGAGTTTACAGAGGCTATTTCGGCGCGAGGTAATTAATGATTTTTGATTTGTAAATAGTTGATTACAATTTCTTTCAGCTATGTTTGTGTTGCTCAACAAATGAATTCCGTTGTAAACATGTTTGGCCGATGATTTGCCTTATCCCTGCCTCTGAAAAACAATGAAGCATCTACAAGTTTATCTCGTCTATCTCACTAGAATCAAATTACAATCATTTATGAAATAAATTGAAACCACCAGTCTAAAATGTTTTTGATCATTAGCTTTCAATTGAGCTTGAACAACCGAAAGTACTCCCGAGAAATGGCTCATAATTGTGTAAAAGAAAAGAAAACACTGTGTTAGCCTTTCTAAACTCTGATGGAGCACGACTAGTTTACAAGCTGATTTTGGAGTAGTCGCGCGTGTCAACTTTTCCAATCACATTTTTTTTATCATGACAAGGATTTGGTTTATTTTATTTCGCGAGCTTAACATTAAACTTTTCTCCTTCTCCTGTACTCGTAAATTTATTCAATTTAGGGAGGGATCATAAATATTCGACTCTGACTAAAGAATGAGACAAAAATTCTTTTAATGGAACGGGTTTATTTTTGACTATGTACAAATATATTATTTTTTTCAGAGCATAATTTATAATGGGCAGAATGGTGTTTTTTCACAATGAAAGGATTGAATAAGGTTTTTCCTGTGTTAGTTTTTGAAATTGGATGAAGCTCTTCTTTAGACGGCAACACCAGTAGGGACATTCGTCATTTCACAAAGAACTCGGTCGAGTTCTTGGACGATCTCGTGGAAGTGAGGTCGGTTGGAAGGACTTTGGCTCCAACAAGCGACCATCAAGTTGAAAATCGGCTCAGGGCAGCCAGTTGGACGAGGGAGTCGCTGACCACGAGCGAGTTCTGGCACGATATCAGCATCTTCAAAAGCAGCGTATGGGCGCTCACCATTGGAGAAGACTTCCCACATGAGAATTCCGAACGCCCAGACGTCAGAGTGGAAGGAAATGTTTGAAACTCGATTGTTGGCGATGCATTCTGGTGCGGCGTATCGCATTGCATCAGGAGAATTGTCTCCGAAGCCGGAAACCTTAGAAGTGCCATCAGCAGCGACCATGATGTTGCTCGCTTGGATTGCGCCGTGGATGTAGGATTTCTGGTGGTGGAGGTAGCTCAATCCTTCAGCAACATCAAGGAGCATTCGAGTAGAGAGCTTCGAGTCTGGTCGGGCTGTTCGGACGAAATCAGAAAGAGCGCCCTTTTGGCAGAACTCGGTGATCAGGTAGTAGGGAGAGTACTTGTCATTGATAGACTCGTAGCGAAGGACATTTGGATGGTCGAATTGGCCAAGAGCTTCGCCTTCGCGGCGGAGTGATTCGACGTTGACGGGACTGGCTTTGATGGCGACATCGCGACCGTTGAGTTTTCCGTAGGAGTAAGTAAACTCGCCGTCGTGGCCGATGTCGGCTTCTACAATTACTCGAGAAGGGTCGGAACCAGAGGAATTAAAAGAAGAGTAAGTGGCGGTCTCAGTTCTTGAGTCGACGTAGGAGAACTCGGGTGCATTGATTTTGCAGGGAATGAGATCAACAGTGGCATCCATTGTTCCAGCGGGGCCAGAAGTTTGTCCTCCCCAGAAAGAACCACGAGACTCTTTTGACCATCTTCGAGAATTTCTTCGGACTATGAAGATAACAATTGCAGCCATGGCAGTGACAACTCCAAGGCCAGCAAAGACAATGACAATCAGCCAGCTAACAGGCTCTTCTTCTTCAGTAACTGTCAGTTGAACAGCTTCATTTGATCGAGTAGTTCTGAATATCTCTTCTGTAGACCAGGGGCCGTATTCTCCATCGACAATTGCACGAACCTAAAAATAGAGAATTAGGGAAATTTTTAGATATTTGGAATGAGAGCCTTAATTTTTAATCGTTAAAACTTCTAACAAAATAGTTGGGTAGGCTAAGCGCACGCTCGACAAGGGTAATGTTGTTCTTACCTGAACAGTGTACTCGGTATTCGGGAGCAAGCCAATGAGCTTGTAATCCGCGCTGCGCATGGTGTCCATGTTCCAGCGGGCGGAGTTGGCACGATGTCGGATTTCGAAAACTTGGTCCACAGCACCGGTCGGTCGAGACCAGCTTAGTCGCGCAGATGTTTCATCCTTTTCAGTGACGATGACGGAGCCGACGATCTTGTTGTAATAAGAGAAATCGCTGGAATCAGAGTTTAGGAACTGGCTCGACTGAGTTCGGAATCGGACTTCTCCAAAGTTCGGCGCCTGTTGAGCCACGTCAGAAACTCCGTTCAAAGCGTGAACCTAAAAGAAATTCATAATTAATTGCTCTATTACGATAAAAGCTTGGGAAAGTAGGGGCAGGTGAATGGCGAAAGTAAAGTTAATTGCAAAGCTCTTTGTAATCTCATGACCTGAGAGGTTTTACAATGTTGCAGAAGTAAATAGTTGGTCACTTCCGGTGTTTACAATCTTATCCGTTTGGAAGGCTTCCGCTCTTTCCGTCAGATTTTCAAAAATAGGTACGTACATAAAACTTCCTTTCTAAAAATAGGCAAGTCAGAAAATTATCCTCTTTTTAACCCTTTTCAAGGGAAAAGTCAGCGCTCAGTAGTTCTGAAGTACATGAGAAATATAAATCTTTCCTTGGAAAAATACTTCTTTCGGAACATATAAGCTAATAGAACGAGGTTAAAAAACTAGTCTGGAAAGAAAGTACTTTCTGAGAACGCAACGCACTTTATGCAACGGACAAAGTGTGGAATAACGTCTTGCGGTATCGCATCCGAGCAAAAAAAAAAGGAAAGTTTAAAACGAAAACGTAGTGAAACCGCGTTTGACCGGAAGCATTTGCGGATCTATAATCAGGATTACGGAGCGGTAAGCCTCCAGAAATAGAGGCTGAAAAAGTAAGTTAGCCGCGCCTCAATTTTAAATTACGATGGCGCGTTTTTAGAAAGTGTCTAAATATTACATTCGCACACATCACGGGAACTGGGAGGGGTTGAAAAATAGAGAATTGGTGTTTTCTATTTACCTTGACGCGGTAGGAAGTATTTGCCGTTAATTGACGGATTTTCACGAAGTTCTGGACCGCATTAGGGCGAATCTCCTCTGAAGGCATCTGGACGGTGTTTCCACAGGGTCGGCAGCTTCTCCATCCCTCTTCGCACTGCTGGCACTCGAGTCTGAAAGAACAACGTGTTAATAACTGGCACTGGAGCATGACGGAAAAGATAGCCTGTCCATCATTTATTACGCCGTCCAGAGAATCGAGTTTCCAAAAGACGCAGCGCAAGAAGCGAGTGCATAACTAGATCTCCATTTTTCAAGGCGCCTTCTAAGTGACAAAAGACGGTCACGTGGCGTCATGCCAAAAAATTCTTTATTTTCAAAAGAATCAAGAGAGGATCAAAATGCATCAATCTGAAAGAAAGATCAATTTTCGCTGCGCGCTAGAAAAAAAATGACAAAAATGACTTGGCCGATGACCAGAAATTGACCAAGGCGCGACTCCAGCTTGTCCTTCTTGCTGGTACAAGACCAAGACTTGACCACACGAGAGTGCTTTTCCCGACGAGGTCAGATTCCCAGGCCGTCTCATCCTCTCTTTCCCGCAAATCTGATTTAGAAGGCGTCATCCCGCGATTTTGGCAAAGCCAGAAATTCATTATCCTCCGTAAGCTCTTTTCTCATTTCGCGGAATCAACACAAACGAAGGTAGAGAATAGCTAATGAGTGGTGTAGAATTAGTTTTGGGAAAAACGAAAAAGTACATTGTTCCTGCTGAATCGTAAATATGCTTCGCCGAAAATCGTAAATGCGTGTGAAGCCGAATACATTCCCGATTATAAATATAGCAAAAGACAGTTATTATCTGAATTCTAGCGCGGGTGTTCTTGAACCCGTTCCAAAAACAAACTTATTGAAAAAATGATCGGAAAGTGATAATCAGAAGGACGCGTAGCATTCCTTCTTTATTAAAGAAATTCCTGGAGCTGGAAATTTTATATTAACTCCTCGATTTTCATCTGTTTCAAGCGAATTGAGCCTATTTCCAATTTTGGAAGCTGTTGGTATATCGTGCTTGTTGGTATAGATATGCGTTGGTTGAGAAAAAGTACATGATAAAGTACGGATTTCGCCGCTTTTCTAAATCATACTCTTATGGATATCAGCTTGTACTTTTGGCATATTGGCGCGTTGCAGGTTGCGTTATGGTTAGAAAACCTGCTAGTGGTGATGATAACTGGAGCGATAGGGCCGCAAAACACGCAGCTCAAAACGACCAATGCTCGCAGATTGCAAATCGTTCACCGCGTTTTTTTTTCATTAAATTGGCCGAAAGAAAGTGCTCTCTATAGGTAAAATTCGCGACTACTCTGAGTTGACAATCGAATTCAAAAATATGCATGTTGGGCTTTCAACTATTTTTCGATTTGGACATTTCTAATCAAAGACGGAGTCGACAAAAATACTCTGCGACGGACATGCTATTGAACATTTTTCCGAAATAGCCGTCTGAGGCACCTTGGCGACCGCAATTAGCTCAGCGAGTATGTGGGCTGGCATCCAGAGCTCTGATCTCAACCACGTGGTGCTGGTTCGGTAGGGAAAGTGTTAAGGTGGTTACCTGAACATGAGATCGGATCGACCACCATCTGTTGTTGGCGAGGACCAGCGGATGTCAACTACATCGTCGATAATCGTGTATTCTAGCGCCAGAGGCTCGGATGGAATTCCTAGAAGAATACATCAAATCTGGGGTAATCAATGTTTTTTTCTTACCGTAGCAAGGAGCAGTCTCGTGATCATGCTCTCCTCTGTAGAATCCATCGAGACAAGTACACTGGGTCGCTCCAAGTCCAAAAGACGCCGAATTTGCTGGGCAGACGAGGCACTTTTCGTTGCCTTGTTTTGGCTTGTACTGGTCCTCTCCGCAAGCTGAATATTTACGTTAGACGTTGTCAGGGGGTTAAGTTTCTTAGTGAAGAGAGGAAGTGCTACTGGGCGAGTGTTTGTTCCGAAAGTTCCAAACTTTGCCGCTGCCGCTTTTAAATATTTCTCATTTTTACATAGTAGCGGCACGGGTTCATGGAACGACTGGCCATTACTTATTTCCATCGACGGTAGATTAAAAGTCGGGTTACTAGAAAATCGCGCAAAAGGATAATATTATGATCCAGGATTTTGAGCCACTAACCCTGCGATCTCCTTCCCAACTGTGCCATATTTTCATTTGCTCCCCGCAAGCTCGGTCAGCAGTGACGAGGTGGCGGGCGGATTTGACAAAATAGGGAATCTATTCGGGATTTTGATCCGGACGAGATTACTCCCACTGCCCATTATTTCAACCAACTGCTGATGACGCCAGAGGATTGAACAACAAAAAAGACTGATAAGATAAAAATCTCGCTTCCCTTCCTGGCGCCACCTCCACCCAGAACAACCGTAATCAGAATATTGCTGAAAAAATTTATATTACATATTTAGGAAGGCATTTCAACTACAATCCCAAGACTTTCTGGACTTTGTTTTGGCACTCTAGGCACATTTTGACGTAACCTTTAATTCCGCCCTGGGAAAGTTGATTAGAAACGGCGCATTCGGCCAAATTCACCAGCTTGACACCGTGGATAAGAACGGGTTAAGACTTATTTTTGTGCGACGTGGTGCATTTCCAAGCTCCGTAACAAAAATATTACGTTCTAAATAAGTTCCGGCAACGTTTGGCCTCAATTTACGGCCATTTACGAGCGCAGGAACCGGCTGGTCCTTATCGGCTTGTTTGCTTAACTCGCTGGCGCACGAGTGTCTGTTTTCGCACCCGAGTGGTTACTCGACTGCTAGAGTAATACGCGGTCTGGGTAAATTTTGACTTCTCGACAGCTAAGCTTTTAGAAAAATACATTACAAAAGGGTCTCAAGTGAAGAGGCGAAAGTGAAAGCTCCTGCCGAGTGAGCTGATAAGGCCCCTACGTCGGTGGATTATCCGACGGACAGTTAGCTGCGAGTTTGTTTTAGCAATTCAATACATTTTTGATAAGCAGAATAAATCCGCAAATCTCGACGTAACGTTATAATTTGTTGTTCTATCACTTTTTCGAATCCCCGGCCGAGTTAATATTTCACAATTAATCTATTACAATTGCCACTAGAAAATCTAATCTTCAAAGAACGAGAAATCAAAAAGATGGCGGGCTAACCGCGTTGGGTCGGTAAATGACCACACAAAAAATTGGAGATCAGTTTTGCGCTATCGCTCTTCGATGGTGGAGGTGCCCATTCACTTCTCGGAATGAGTTGACCACTTGATAGCCGTGCTCAAGGAGTACCATTGACTGATAAGCCCGAGCAGAGTCCGTTGGCGCCGGCGCCGTAGCGATTTCTCGATGGAACGGGAGGAGAAAAGAAAGGGCGGAAATGACTTCAGTCAGGTTTAGTTCATTTAGGCATTCCAGCATAGGCACTTCCCCGCACTGTTATATAATGAGGTCGCGCCATGAGTCGTCATGATTAGCCCGAGCCGGAAGCCCAGGTCACTAAGCGGAGGATAGGTGCTTCAGGAATTGTTTTTAATTGCGAGGGTATAACATGGGTGATTTGCATTTTTGCGACATCAAGATAATCCTCCACCGTGGGGTACTCTTGTGTGGGAAAGTTTTTGCAAATATGAAAAACGTGGATTGAAATTACCGGGATGAAAAAACAGAATCGTAATCTTTCGCAAAGAAAAAATAATGAAAAATGTGACTCAAAAATCTACACACGTGATCTGAGGAGCAAGAAAACATGAAATCAAGACCGCGTGTTTTACATACAATCGGAATCGCGAGATATACCAACATTGAATATCTATTTTTGCTGTGCCTAATTTTGAAAGCTGCCCGTTATAGCATTTTACAAGATGTAAAACAAGAGAAACTGCGCGAATTTTGGAGAGACGATCTCAGGTGTTGTTTGTGGTCTATTTCTTATGGATTAATCCATAAGGAGGATTGAGAAATATTTTGCTGATAAGGGAAAAATAAAACGTGGGCAAGTTTACTTTTATCAAAAATTTTGCCATCTCTAATGTGTTATTTTTGGTGGAGCAGAGTTAGTATCACCCCTTGAACCCAGCGCTGTTTATGCAGCTTTACTTGGCGGTTACTCTTTCTCGCAGCGGGAAAGCAGCGATAGGTGATAAGAGCGCAAGCTTCTAACAGTAAACGCCAACTCCACGCCAAGAAATAGCGATTTTAATTGCCCTTTTTGGCGACACCACCAAATTGCGCGCTGCCAGCCGCACACGGCTGCAGTCTCGCCCGGGTTAGATAACGAAATCGAAGCTGGAAAAGGTACAATTAACCTCGCCCGCTTAGGGAATAAGTAAATCATCATCGCGGTTGTGGGCGAATTTTGAGACTTTTCCAGCGATTTTCTAAAAGATTTCTTCCCGGATGCATTTTAGAAACGCGGTTTTATCAGAGTGCACCCTCCAAGATCATGCAAATGGAAGAGTGTTTGCGTTGCTTTGGAATTCTTCTTGGGAGACTCCCAAAAACGGCGATCAAGACCTGAGAGCTGAAGAGGCGAGACCGCAAGACGGGAAGCATAACAAGGGTGCTATGGGGTCCTTGCATAATTAAGTACTCATTTTCAGAGAATCATGATTTCGGCGAATCAACTTCAAAAGTTCGCGCCAGAAAAGAAATCGTATGTTTCTTGGCTCGCGGAATATTTTTTCCAGAGCATCTAATTTTCCAATTTTCCCGGTCGGAGAAAATTACTGTTGACATTGGCATCGGGATCACTACTCTAGTTGAAGAAGCGCGAATTCTATCTTTCCATCGGGTAATGGCGAAAATTCTTGGGCCGTGGCGGGATAACGTGATTACCCATACGCGAATAATTCGCGGGTTTTGCTACAAAGTCCCTGCTTGAAGAGTCTGTGGTCTCGCGGGGGAGCATTCCTGTCAAAATACTTATTCAGCTTCAATTTGATTTATGTAAGAAATTTTCAAAAAAGGCTCGGCCGGACATTTACATTTACATAAGAAGTCTGAGCAAGCTAAGTGCTATCATTATGCCGTCACCGTCGGTCTAATGCGTTTTCTTTTCGTATCTACAATCGCAATTACGACCCTCGCAAGCACGTTGTCCCTCACACTGATAATTGTTTCCTCCCTTTCCTCTCGCTGCTGATGTTACATGATTCTACTGCTTCTCGGAAGGATATTCTAACATTCGCTAATCACGGGGTATTTAGCTCTGCCTCTCACCTTACTATTCCCAATTGGCAAGGGCTCAAAACTGATCACCCGCCGTGTATAAGCGCGGATCTGCATACTGATAACCCGCCACATGGTGAATAACCGGTTCTCATACACATTCCCTGGCAATCAATCATTGATTTAGATAACCCTAATTGTAAGTAGCAGCTTCCTTTTCTCCCACATTACATAAGAATAAGCCTCCTAAGATTGCCTAGTACTTACGGATACAGGCGTAGTTGCCTCGGTTGGGCTCATAACCGGCTTGACAAACGCATCTTGATCGCTGGCTGATCCACTCTCCGTCGCTGAGGCAGGTCATAGTCGGTTCTAAAATTACAATTTTAGAAAAAAATGAAAACAACAATACATCCCCCTGTTTTTCATGAATAATGATAACGCCAAATGTTATGGTCTAGTCATGTAATAACACAAGCTCGCTGAATTTTATTGAATTCGCTAAAATTCAGCACCCGACTTTTGATGACTAGTGAAGTTAAAAAGAGGGGCTCGATAAGTGGAGCGGTGGTGCTCAGAGCACTGATCAGATGAGAGGAGCTATTTGACAGAAGTCGCCGGCGATAGTGTCACACCGAGAGAGCGAATTCAAACAATGATGACGTCGCTAGAATTTCGTGAAAGTTCTCGGTACTAGAGCCAGCGGATGGCATCTTAGAAGGTGCGCAAGGGCAGCTCTTATCACTACGCAGCGGCGGTGTTAAATAAACGCATAATTTGCAAATGAGGATCTTGCATGAATCCTAATTCAAACTTACCATTGCCATCAGCACTGATAGCATGAGCGACACAAGAGCCAGACACGGTCAGATCTCGGCGTTCAGGAGCAGGCTGGTTTTCAAAACTGCCAGGTCGTTTTCCACCCGTTTGCAGAAGTTGTAGTAGATCTTTGTGTAGAAAATCACTCCGCAGGCGCCATGATCCTGAAAAAATATAATGGAGCGTTTGGAAGATATTTTAATAGCTGAGATGCTGATTTGATTTTTAGTTCGCTGCGGCTTTGGTGGAAAAACCTGCCTGTGCCGAGGTGCAAATTTAGAAAAATCGGATTAAAATTTGCAATTTTCAATTCAGAATTTTCAACTGCGATTCAGGTAGTTGAGCTTGTTTTTCAAGGGAAATTATGCGCCAGGAAAAGTGGATTTTCTTCACCTGGGGGAGCGAGAATCTGAGTACTTTTTTCTTAATAAAAAAGCGCCAACAAGTGACATAAAAAATGCAACTCTAGAAAGATAGGAAAAGGACTCAGCTGCGAACTCAAAAGCTCTGCTATTGAGTGAGCGGATGGGAGCCTCGTGGCGGCTGTTTTCAAAGGACTTATCCAGCTCCAAAATGAAAATGTTTTTGCACCACATGATTAGGGAAACTCGACGAAAAATGAGCTTTTTTTTGGGCTTAGTAGGGAGGGAGTATAATACATGTTTAGAAAGCCCAGGAGTTGGGGATCATTTTGACTATTGACAGTAAGGGGTTTGACTCATGCCCCGGGGCACTTTTGGCCTTCCAAAGAGGCAAAAATCTGGTACTCTCGGGAAAACGGACCGTAGCTTCAAGTATCCCGGGTCTGTGGATAAGAAACCTATACCAGGTTGTAGAAGAGGCTCTGACGGTCCAGAATATGTGTATAAAACCATCGTTAGGCCCACTCTTGAGGGCGCTAGAGGCTCTAGAACTTTAGGAAGTTGGCAGAAAATCGGCACTCTTGGTCCGAAAAAGTACGAAACTGTTATTCTATTCGCCTGGAATACGTTTAAGGACGTTTTTTATCCATAAAAATATGTAAGAAGAGTATTTCTGGGTCATATGAGATATTCCGGGGTGAGTTACTACGAAAATCTCTTTTTGTAAAATATGACCCCAAGTGACCTTCAATGACCCCAAAATACTTTTCCGACATATTATTTTAGGTTTAAAACATTCTTAAATATATTTTACTCGAATAAAATAACAGTTTCGTACTTTTTGGGACCAAGAGTGGCGATTTTAGGCCAACTTCCTCAAGTTCTAGGGCCTCTAGCGCCCTCTAGAGTGGGCCTAACGATGGTTTTCTACACATATTCTGAACCGTCAGAGTCTCTTCTACAATCTGGTATAGGTTTCATATCCACAGACCCGGGATACTAGAAGCTACGGTCCCTTTTCCCGAGAGTACCAGATTTTGCCTCTTTGGAAGGCCAAAGTGCCCCGGGGCATGAGTCAAACCCTTACTGTCAATAGTCAAAATGATCCCCAGCTCCTGGGCTTTCTAAACATGCATTATACTCCTCCCTACTAAGCCCAAAATAGCTCATTTTTCGTCGAGTTTCCCTACACATGATGGATTTCGGCGCCAGCTTAGCCCTTATCAAAAGAAGAGTCCCGATCGGGGCGCCGCAAATAGCTAGTCCCCTTCCACCACAATCTCCCCTATCAAAATATGGAGCTGCTATATCTAAGAAAAACAGCGGAAGAATGTGATTTTTAGACTCGATCCGCACGTGAGGCACTTATTGGCGAAAAGTGGAATCGGGAACGTTGAAAAACTAGTAGCTTGGATTAATTAGCCTCTCAAACATCATGTTACAACTTTTGACATGAAAAAACGGAGTGTACTTTCAGCGGAAGGGCAGCTTTATCGCCATCTGCAGTAGTAGTAGGAATTAAAGTATTAAATATCCTTGATATAAGATTCTTTTTCTTACCTTGTATGCCAAGTAAAAGTCTCCATTCGTCGACAATTCAATCGTTTTCGTCTGATATCCGTCCTCAAGCGTTGCAACCTGAAATTAACACGTTAGCTTTGTTAGAATTTTTAAGGGAACCCAGTTTGATGCATGGGAGGCAGGTGAAGTGCCCGCTACTGTGAAAAACGCCAAAATCGATCAAACTTCAGCTCTAAGTGCGAAAAATGTGTCCATCATTGAAGATCGCTGGGTTGAAATGTTCAAGTGGAGTGGAGCCGCTCCGATGATCAGAGAGTGTGATCAGTTCGATTTTATCCCAAATTGGTGAACTGGGAACGTGATTCAAGTGCTCTGCCGTGGAATACCGGAAGCAGAGGAGCCAATTCAGTTCGTGGTGCATTTTGAGATCGAGAAAAGCTAAGGATGTATCCGTCTCAAGCAGCTTCAAAAGTGATTCCAATTCACAATGGAAAGAAAAGTAGAAACGAAAAAGTGCTGCGTTTCTGTTCCAGAAGGAAATGGGAGACAAGTACTAATCCGCATTAGTGTCTGATACCACCCGGTTTTCCGAGCGGCGAAAAAATCCTCGAAACTCTTTCTTTCCTAATTATGATAAGAATTGCGAACTGGGGATTAGCGCGATCCCTGGGCAAATAAATCAACCTCAGTAACGATTATTTTATCGCACTCTAGATTCCTCAAACCTCCTTCCTTCGTACTCCGCTCAAGGAAAAAAGGACCCTACGTATAAACTTGCTCAAAGTGCTCAAACCTGACCGCGGAGGGTTAAATAAATACGCCCTTGTTTAGGGTTGCCCAGAGTTGCAAATTTCTGAAATTTTTTTCTGAGCTGAGCTAGCTGAGCTGAGGTCGAAATTGAGCTGAGCTGAGCTGAGCTGGCCCCCTTTAAGAACAACTGAGCTAAGCTGAGCTGAGCTGATTTTTTTCAAAAAAATTGAGCTGAGCTGAGCTGAGCTGGGGCAAATTTGAAAATTTTTGAGCTGAGCTGAGCTGAGCTGATGATTTCTCAAACTGGGCTAGCTGAGCTGAGCTGACCATTTTTTTAAGCTGAGCTGAGCTGAGCTGAGCTGAGCTAGCTGAGCTGAGCTGAGAAAGCTGATTTTTATTTACTACAAAAAATGTCAACAAAATGTGTTGAAGCGAATTTCAACCTTCTAGAGTAGATGGACAGGGGAGCCCCTGCCCTCACACACCCCTAGACCAGCATCTCACTCGCAACATCGCACTTTTTTGACATAAAAAAAATTTATTCTGTCATTTAACAATAAGAAATCCTCCAAAATACGATACAGTGGTATCACTTATGTGGGTGAGCCAATGTTTCAACCTTCTAGAGTAGACGGACAGGGAGCCCCTGCCCTCGCACACCCCTAGACCATTCTAGGGGGTCTCTCACATTTGCAATCACATATTTACCATCTGTACCTTATTATTTTTTATTAAAAGCTATTTTTATCTTATTTCTCTCTTGCTTCAAAGAAAACTCGAATTATTTCTATCTAAAACTGACCAACAGGAAAGCAGAAATAGAAAATACGTGTAAGTTTTTGAAAATAAGACCAATCAAAAGTGGTTCGATCTTGGTCAGCTCAATAGACTGAGATGAGCTGAGCTAGCTGAGCTGAGGTTAAAATTGAGCTAGCTGAGCTGAGCTGGCTCTTTTCGAAAAACTATTGAGCTGAGCTGAGCTAGTTTTCTTCAGAAAAATTGAGCTGAGCTGAGCTGAGCTGACCCTTACCTCAAAATTGCTGAGCTGAGCTGTAGCTCAGCTAGCTCAGATAGCTCAGCTCAGCTAGCTCACAAAATTCGCAACTCTGGGGTTGCCATCTTTTTTTAAGCCTTGACTTATCGTCATTCGATCGTACTTATGGTTCAGAACCTTGCGTAAGTTTCTGACATGAGCGGAAACAGCGGATGGTGAATGTTACATTCATGTCACGTGTCAATCAAAAACTCAAGAATGTAAAAGGGAAAAGATGAGCCTAATGCGGGGCTCGAACCCGCGACCGTTGGATTAAGAGTCCAACGCTCTACCGACTGAGCTAACCAGGCCCGACAGCGTTCCAGAAAAAGATGTATAAGAATGTCTAGCTTAAGAATTCTAGGAGTACGCAAAATCAAACATGAGTGTAGAAATTAGGTATTTTTGTGAAGGTAACAATGTTATGACTGCAAGGTTAGCAAGGCCGTAATCTTATGCAAATCATCTCTAAATCGCTTTCTAAAAACACGAAGCAACTACAAGGAAGATTCACCAAACGAGGCACTTGAGTAAGCGGCTTCTATCCGCCGCTGATGGGCGGGAAACGAGCCGCCTCACCGGTAATGTGTTCCGGCCCAAGTTCAAGTGGCGTTTGAAATCGGACTACCGGGTGGGAAGGAGATAGTGTCGCAAACAGCAAAGAATATCCAAGGGTGTAATTTACCGATTGCGCCGTTGAGCTGATTTTCGGCGTCTGGAATGCATCACGTTTGGCAGAAAGCTTTATGCTTTTTCGACAGTCCCGTGTCAAATAGAAGGGCTTATCACGCCGCCACGTAACCCGCTGTGTTTTCTTGCGATAATAAAAAGGAATTCCGACGCAGACTCTAGCACGGATCAGCCAAATTCTAGTGCGGCTTCCGAAATTCGTGAACATCGCCGATTTCGGGTTAAAGTGGTCACTTATGCTCAGAAAGGCGTTGAATTACAAGTGACCAGGCGACTTAAATTGCGCTTTTTACAATTATCGTTACGTTCACATAACTGTAAAGAATATTCAAAGTATGCGAGGAAATTTTGCCTATGGGTGCGGTTTCTGAGGTGTGAGAACGGCGCAAGTTCTGTGTAATAAACCAAATCTCGAGGGTGGATAAGCTCGGCGCTGGAGAATTACGTGAACGCAGTTAGTACCTAATCAGTGTAGCCGAAAAGAAATTGAGGGGCCGGGCACCGCGGAAAGCTAATCTAACCCGCATGCGTTTGAGTACGTCCACTTTTGGATCTACCCTTCTTTTATGCAGTTTTCCAGGAGCTCATTATTTTATAGGAGCACTTTCTTTAACAGGCCAAGATAATCTAATACTGGAAATAAATTATAAAAGCGGCAAGGTGAATGTACCCTGTCATACGCTGCCTAAGCTCGTTCTTTGTTATCCGATGTTACGATTACGACATGACCGCGTTTGGGCACACATCGCGTCGCTCAATTCAATGAAAAACCCAAACCGCGTTTGATCACGATCCCATTTTTGTCTTACCGAAATTTCTTTCTATTGAAAAATTTCTCCTTATTCACCAAAAAAAAATATCATAAAACCTACCAAGAAAAAGATCCTATTCAGAGCTTCCCTGGGAGCGATGGAGTGCTATTCAGAAAAGGGGATGAGAGGGAGCTTGTAAAAACTCCAGCTGGATTTTTGTATATCGTTTAGGACTCAAGCGTGTTTAAAATTCCCTGCTCGAGTGCCTTCTCCCCAGACGCTAATCAATTACAATTCCTAATGCGAAAATTAACGCGATCAGAATTAATTAGCCTCTCATCCCTTCCGGACTTCCGGTCCTGCTCCCAGCTTGATTCTGATACACAGACCTGGCACCTGGCGAAATAAGCATCCCGTCAACTTTCAAATTCCAGCGACGAAAGAGAGCAAATAAGCAGTTTTTGCCCCACCCGCTCGGCGGATTTTGAAAAGTGAGGAAACAACATAATTCGCCGATCTTCGATAATTCTAGCCATAATTCTAACCCGGAAGTTTTCAACTCCTTTCACACCCTTTTCAAGCTCTTTGAGCGAAAACCGCAAAACATGGAAATTTCTTGAAAAAAAATGGAATTTCAATCTTTCGGGTTGAATAATACACTTGTGGTTTTGGAATACTCGACTTTGATAAAAACCAATCACCCAACAGCCGCCAACACTAACTATAAACAAGAGTACAAGTTCCCCCTCTTTCTTTTTGGCCGAGTGGCCAGCCGGCCGCAAGAATTTTCCCCGCCATAGTGGCTAGGCAAGGGTTGTCTCCTAAATATTCGAAAAACGCGAAAAATATCAAACTTCCCGCAGTTCGTGTATAAAGTGAGTTTTGCAGCCGTAAGAAAAAATACTCTGCGGTTAGATTTCTTATCTATCTCTTATCAATCAATCGCAAATTCAAAAGTTTATATTCGAATATATTTCTTATCAGAAACAAAAAAACGAATTTCGACAAAAACCGGTCGGGCCGTCTAAGCAACCCGCAACACATCTTGAGGCGCATTCTTGAGAAGATTAAACGGCCGATGTAGCTAGCGCCTTATCAGGAGAAAATTCCCCGCCGGATGATAACATATTCACGTTTCCTTAGCTCACAGATTCTCCAAGACAGAACCGAACACGGGAGGAGGGAAAACCGACCACGCGGGAATTTTATCCTTCACACCAGTTTTCGAGAGCTTCTTTTTCTTATCACCAGCTCGGAGGGTGATAAAAACGCGTAAACGAGCAGCGGATATCCTGATCGATATATTTCTCCGTCACGTGGTTTAGGAACCATCGATCATGATGATGTGCTATTGAGGGATGGATTAACAACCCGATAGCGGACCATTTTTCGCCGTTTTACCTGACACTTGGGTCAGAACAAGTGATTTATTGCCCCCTCCCCATGCATCAAGATTTTGGATATTCAGCCAGCCTTGAAAACGAGGTCAAAGTCTTACCTTTCTCCAGTTTCGCGTGTTTGCCAAGAGACCAGTTTCAGCTGCGTTCTGTACCAAAATGTCGATACTCTCGCTGCAGATCTTGCAATCCCTAGAAAGGTTTATTTAATCGAATAGTAGATTTATAGTAGATAGTAGATAGTAGAATCTGTATCAAGTAGCGGCGCCACTTGATCTGTTGAAAAGGAGTCTGGGTACTTTAGGGGGCCTTCCGAGAGTGCTTGAACGCCGACTTTGACGACTCGCCGGGGATAAAAAATATATAAACCCCGGAAGACTCTTGTTGTCGTTTGATTTTCCCTGTCGGATTAATCAAGCGCTGCGCTTTTGACTTACCTAAGGGAGTACTTGATCTCGACGAACACCTTCTGAGCGCCTTCGGTTCGGATGAGCGGGGAATAAACATACGAATCGCTTGGATTTCGAATTTCGCAGATTTGCAACGCTCGGTAGTGGATTCCGTCGCCATCGTTGGTACTGGCATCTTCCCACTAAAATTGTTGGAGTAAACACGTGTGCGCGCAATAAAGAAGTTAATAGACTTGCGTGACAATTTTCTATATCCGATTTTGCAAGGGGCCGAATATTTGCGTGTAAATTTGGAAAAGAAGCTCGCGCTGGAAAAAAGATCCCTTTGGGAAACTCTCTTTTATGAAATTTAATAGCTAAGCAGCAGTAGTGGCAAGAAAAGACAAAACAAAGACGAAAAACTCTGCTCTTCTCTTGCCAGAAGATAGTGTTTGTTTTCATCTAAAAAAATCAACTTGGAAAGAAGCTGGAGGTCCGCCAAGTGCAGCGAAAAAAATTCAAATAGAGTAAATAGTTTTTAATGTGATTATGGTAAGCCTGACACGTGGTTGATTTTGGCATTTGCTTCTGTAGAAATAGTCGAATTCTTACCTCTGATTCTGGTGGAATGTGCCAGCTCTTGCCGATCGGGCCGACAAGGTCAGACGTTTCTGTTGATGTGTCGAGGATATAGCCTGAAAAGATGATTAGCAGAAGGTTTAGCTGGAGGCAAGAAATTTTGTCGGAAATCCGTTTTGTTCCAAACAAGGCCAGTTTGAAGAAGGCTAGGTACCGTTGCTTATGGAATTACCGGGAAAGGGTCAAACTATCGTGGCATGTTTCGAGTATCGAAACACGCGTTTTCAGAAGATCATTTATTATCGAATTTAATTACAACATGATGATGGAACCTCTTCATAAATTCTAACCTCGTTTTTCCGAAGAACTTGATTTTGGAAAAATAGATTCTTACGCCTCATTATTTGGCCCCAAATCGCCCATTTTTCCAGGATCAAAAAAATCGATGCAATGTAATCAGCATCAATTGTAAAATGCCTAATACACTAATTAGCTGTTTCGCGACTTGTCCATTAGAAAAAGGGATGATCTTGAGCAGCCATATGGAATGTGCCATTTTGGCGAAATTGATATTTTCCAGCTTCGAGCAACGAAAAAAAAACTAGCACTGGTCTTGATCGATTTATTTTATTTTGTTCGAAATAAAGGGCGATATTTTTGTATATGCGGCTGGGCTTTTACATGTGAGGAGCTATAGCTGGTAAGATAGCGAGTGAGTGCCGAAGGAAAAATGTCATAATCCGACCCTTTCATCCCCACTTGCTTGTTTCGGGGTCGCGCAAAGCAGCTATTATGTCTATAAAGCTCGGATTGAACTGTTAGTCCTGGAGCGTGAGATAATGCTGCAACTATTTTCCGAATTTGCAGAATTTTAGCAGAATTACGAGTGATAGATAAAAAAATCTCCTGAAAGAGGGAACTTGAGTGTTTCGAATTTGATATTTGCCCATGAAATCGCCTCTCTCTAGAAAAGGGAAAAGTTCAGTGCGAGTCTGAGCCGCGTCTGAGCCCAATTAGATCAGGGGTTGATTTCTGATCGGAAGGTAGCAAGGCGAATTTAGGTAGATAAGAAATCGGCTCACTTATCAAAGGGCGGCCCGGACATGTTCACTGCGGTGGATAATTACGAATTTTTGAAATTGATAGCGCTAGAAGATTATATCAGACTAGAACGATTTATTTTCAAGGAGAAGTTTCAGTTCGTTTTTTTTTGACAAATTCGCAAATAAAAGAACGAAAATCGAAAAACTAATCCAAAATCAAACTTCGAACTGGAACTTAGACAAGAAATCTCTGCCCAAATGTTCCCAAAACTCCCATCTGTAAATCCCCGCTAATCCGAGCTAAAATTTGCAGAAGAAACCTGCTCGGATCGATAAGGAGGTGGTGATCAAACGAAATCGGGGTGGGATTTTTCGAAAATTTTTCAACTCCTCGCGAAAATATTTGAAAATCTGGGGCGGCGCGATGAAAGAAAAGATACGCAAAGTAAATAGACCAGCTCCGAGATTTCTTTTTCTTAATTTTCTAGTGCAGCTTCTATTTATACGGAAGTCCTTAATCCTGAGGATCAAAAAGCTCTTGAAAATTATTTGTGATAAGGAATTTCTTTTCTAATCAAAAGCTGGAGCGCGCTACGGGTAGACCCTGGGAAAAGCTAATAAAGGGCCGAAAGAAAACTTGCGTGGCACGACAAGGTACGCTAGAATTTGAAATTTTTGATGGAGCTCCAAAAAAAAGAAGAGAGAGGCGGAAATCATGGCCGCGTCGTCGGATCAGCCACTACCGGGGCTACTAATTTAATTTTAATGCCGGCGCAGATCCTGGACCGCGTCCGATGTGTACCCTTCCGTTAATCACTTTTCCATTTACACAAGTGCCACTGCCGAGATAACTACCACATTCCATTCTTAGGGCTATTTTTTATGAAGAAACACATCGAAAAAGAGGTCCTATTCAAAGAAGAAATTGAGATGATCCAAGCTGCAGGAGCAGCTGGATTTGGTTCAAATTCGGAATCTGAATCGAATATCAAATCTTCTGGCCGGTGTGTTAGAATCAGAAATCATAATCTAACCAGGTCAGTGTGGGTTTATGGCACCCCGCTGCGTCCCTTCTTATTTTACCAGCGAAAAAAGTAGGGGAGGGAGGGTACCAGGGCGCGAAATTTTAATCCACTTATAAAGGGGGCGAGTTCAAAGAGGGGCTCCTGCATAAGGCATTTTTCATTTTGTATAATTTGACCTTGGCAAAAGATCTGAAAAGAGTGATGCTACGCAGCTTGCCTCGTTTCTAAAATATTATAGAAATGCCAAGAAAATTCAAGTTATATGCATGATTAAGCCCGAAAGTGGGGCTCAAACAAAACTGCCAGTTTTGTGAAGATTCATCCCTCCGGAAAAAGGGCAGCTGAAGTTCAATGAATTTTTTCTATTCCTTCGGAAGTAAACAGAAATCGCCAATTTTGAAAATAGAAAATTTCAAATTTCAAATTTGCTGAATAAATACGAACTGACTCGAACGGCTTGATCAATTGACTTGACCGATAGCGAACTATTCATACATCTCATTCAGACGTTTATTGAAAAGAATTCAAGGCCAAAAACGGATGGATAACGAAAAATAAGGAAGTTTTAATTGAAAATCTGGCCATGAAATTCAAAAGAAAACGGATTTCCAACAATTGATGAAGATTTTTGCCGTAAAAAATATTCAAAAAAAAGTTTTAAAACTTACGTTTATCAGCTGATATCAGCCCAGCGAGAAGAAGTAATCTCCTCATCTGGAGAATTTTCTTTCTTCGGTTGTTTTTTCTTTGAAAAATCTCTACGTTTTCTTCCTTGATTTTCGTTATTTAGCTCTGTTCAGTTATCCGGCGACGATCTCGGATTTTTATCTGTTTTTGAGTTGTTATAAAAAAGATGGCTGAAAAATTTTTTGTATTGCCTGAAAAGTACGGAAAACGGAGCGCGCGGAATTCGCTGCGCCGCGCTGCAACAGCGCCAACTGAGCGGCGCAAAACGGCAGGTGGAGCCGGAGTGTCGCGCCGCGCAAATGCGCGCGCTGACGATTTTGAGGAATCGACGGGATAGCGCGTGAATTCAGGGGGATTACTAATTGATAATCCCTGATAAATATGATTGAGGCTTGATGATTCGAATCAGATGGGGAGGCGCAAACTTCTGTCGGAATATTTCAAGCCAATTTAGTTGATTTCTGAAATAGGAGTTGATAAATTGAAGATAGTTTCCTCTTTTATGTTTTGCAGAAAATTCTGTATCGTTGAATTAGACAGTAATGAAAAAGGAGCTATCGTAGAATTCTCACAATCAAGGCAAATTGTATTGGTCGGAAAAAATATAAATTTTCAATTTTGACAAAAATTTCAACTTGGGGATAAATCATTATCTTGACCGTTTTTGTCATCGTCTAAACTCTAGAAAACACCTGGAAAAAACTTTTTTTCATAGCCTGGGGCGATTCTGAGGCCATTTTCATTTGTTTTCGCGGTATTTTCATGATTTCTTGAATATAAAAAAGGGGTTGCTATCGTCATATCTGTATGTTAAAAATAATTAAATATCGTGTGACTGTATTGGGGACTGAACTACAGGCTCATTAAATATTTTGAACATGAGGACACTTAGGCTCGTTATTTGCATAACAAATGTCAGTTTAACTTCAATTTAGTAGAATGATACTACTACAAGAGTAATTTTTAGTATACGTACTCTTTAGCATTATCAATTAATGCTGTTTTATGGTATAAATTTCGCATTTTCATCCTCAAAATACAGCAACAACAAAAATCCGATCCAAGACTCGTAATCGGCTCAAATAACAAATTCCTCCCGAAAATAATTATTTTCCCAAAAATACTTGCAACCGGTTGTTTTAGAGAGCAAAATTCAAAATTTCGAAACTTGGCGATCCACGAAATGCACAATATACAGAGCTATTCATTGAAAGTTTATTTTTTGAGGAGATGCGTTTATTTAAAAGTTATGTTAAAAATCTGCAGTTGTAGAATTTTAAAGACGCTGAGAAAAAAAGAGAAGTGATTTTCTTGTGTGTTTTTAACCGGTTGGCTTTTTACGTAACAAGCCGAGACGAGAGTGACTAGCTGAGACATTGATGGATGATCCGCCGCGCACTGATGGCGGGAGAAGTCTGATAAGATGACTAGGCGAGGCAGTGATAAAGAGTTTGATGGAGCCCCTGCCGAGATCTGACGCAAGAGAATTTTTATCGAAATGGATTGTTTTTCGGCACGCGAACAGGTTAAGTTTCCGGGCAAGAGGATCTGAGATGGACAAAACAAAGATTGATAGAGATAATCATTGATTGAAAATATTAATTTTTACGAAGCGCGCGTAAAAATCGATTTCTTAGGAAAAATTAATGAAAAGGTAAACTTTAAGTTTTATTTGATGAAAAAGCATAATCGAAAAATCCCCTGCTGAGAGTAAGAAAACGCTGATAATCACTCCTTATCGCTACAATTTTCGCGAAAGTTTGTTTACAAGCGGCAGGGGCCCAGAGCACGGAGGCAGGCTCATAAGCAGTTATTTGGTAAATTTGGCGAGTGGCAGTAATCTGGATCGAAAATGTGATTCGCATCAAGGCCAGATCCCAGATTCGATGATGGGATTCAAACCAGGCCACAACTGGGCCAAAATCGCTTCCAGTGAAGATGAGCCGCAAGAATTAAATCAACCTTTTTTGGCGCATTTTCGCGAAAAGATCGTTCAATTTTCAATTTACGGTAACAATTTACGCGAGAAATAACAAGAGTAAGAATTTACAATTATCGATAAATTGCAAAATATTAATATCAAATATGAAAAGTCAATAGAAAGATACAAATTCGAGCGAATTCAAGTTCAAGACTCGGAGAACTGTGTAGAAAACCTGAGTCAGGGACTCCTGAAGCAGCTTTTATTAAATTGAAAAGCATTTTCAGACCCTGAGTCAGATTTTTGCCAGCTTGTGAAAATTTTGGAAGTGTATCAAAAACATAAGCTGCGATAGACTTATTGACATTCCTGATTTCTGAATGAATTTTGGCGATATTGGATAGAGTGAGCATTGCTGTCAAACGCTGAGATTGACTGCTGGCTCCCGACGCGCTGTCTTTCCTCCAAAAATAAAGAACGATTGATCTTGTGTTTGAAGACGCAGGGAAAAAGAACACTGTGGATTGGCGGATTAGAGCCTTCCCGAGGACGAGGTTTTCTAAACTTCCTCCAGCTCGGCTCAGCACCTTTCTTAGATGAACCGCCGCTGCGCCTGTCCCTTTCCGTCATTATTCAGGTCACAATTACGGATTAGCAGCGGATGGACAACTCAACAAACCGCTGTTTTTGTGCTCCTGAGCGGTTATTTTCGGATCATTTTTTAAAAACTTCTAAGAAAGATTTTTCATGTTGTTGCTTTTTCTGCAAAAAAAATGGCTCGGGCTAGAGTTAGAGTACTTTTGTCCCTGAAATCGAGGCCCTCAAAACCGAGAAGCCGCTTGCGGCTTCGAGAATAATTATTAAAGCCGCGCTTTGCGCGGCTATTATATTTTCGAAGCTCGAAGCCGCGAGCGGCTTCTCGATTTCAACTGAAAAATAATGAAATTTTATTGCTTAGAAAAGATGATCTATTAATGGAAACTGTGAGTAGTCTTTTTTGTCAGCAGAGAAATTAAGTTCAGATTGAGATTGAATCAGCAACAATAAATATTTTTTGTTCGTGTAGCGCGTCCGGATGCGGGGGATGAAACTGATGTGGAAATCCTGCAGCTGGATGTGAGCGTGCGTGGTTGTACCATACATTTCAACTGTTTTGTTTAGGCTGAGGTTCCCAACGCTCGATCCTGTCAAAAATCGCTTGAAATTTGTTATGGTATCGAACTATCAAAGCGTGTGGCGCTTCACACTAATTTTCAGAAGTGAAAATCCAGAGATTCGGCGGCTGATTTCGTGCTCCAGTAATCCCCTTGAATTGGCCCCCAATGCTGATAAATATTGCCATGGCTTAAGCCTCACCAGTCGCTCGAGCGAAAACTCCCAAACTTGTGGAATTTCTTCCAGAAAAAAATGTGTTAATTAAACTTTGTCGTCAAAGTTTGTTTTGGCCTTTGATCTGGTGTGAGCGCTTTTTCGCGCAATTTTCGTGGAATTTCGAATTGCCACACATTTTAATAGAAAATGTCTTGTAAAGAGACAGATCCTGTTCTGTAAATCATCCATTTTTCTAGGCGTGACTAGCAGGTCGAATTAGTAAAACTGCTCCTTTCTGCATCACCTTTTAAATCTTTCAAGTATCGCGTTTCAGACTTCTTCGAATTGTTTATGTAGGAAGCAAACGAAACGAGCTTGTAAAAATTGCTGAAGGAGACAGTGATAGACCAGTCGAGCAAATTTATGACTGACAGGGAATTGCTTCTTGCAGCAGATTTGCGTTATTTCGATGATCAAATTTGATCGAAAGAAATATTCTCAAACAGTTGTAAATCATCACTAATGCGACTAAATGTGAGTCCTGTAATTTCCTAACAGAAGACTACTTTATTCTTGCGTCGAGCGCTTAAATGTAGAAGAGTAAATAGAGAGAGAGTGTGGTGACAGAGAGCAGAAGTACATAGAGACACGTAGTTACAGTAGAATTTTACGATAACGTTTTTCTTCCCATTAACTCTTCCCCATGTTTTGAGAACTAAAAGGTTACACCAAAATGCTGCGACGCTGATTTCTTCAATTTCTTCCTGTCACGTAAATTCAGTTTCAAATGGGGGATGATTGCCGGGGCTCCAGTCATCAATTGTTGCGACGGGGACGGGTAGAGATTCGCGGCTAATACTTGAGTCGCATCGGCCATTAGAGCGCAGAATATTGTAGACCTTGTATTTCCCGCAAAATATCTTATATCGTAGTCGATTTCGTCGAAGTGGCTGTGTAGATCTAACAGTTTTTTATTGTTCATCGAGATTGTCGTTTCAACGTTCGAGTCGCTTGCGCTTCGGTCCATTTGTACTATTTGCCTCCAGATCTTCTTGATTTCCATTGGTGCTGCCCTAGCGAGTGCATCTGCTAGTTCAATTTGTAGCCGATCGGGTGCCGGAGGAAGTGAAAACGGGTAGAAGGGCTGGAGTTTCTCTTGAAGAGATCTCATATATCTTCCTTCATCTGTTGGAGTTGCTAGGTTTTTCCAAACGAGTTTTCTTTTCTTCGCGCTGGCGTTTTTGATTGTTTCACTTGCCTCAACCAAGCTTTGTATTTTTTCGTGTCTTTCCCGTTGGAGTATTTCTTTGATGTTTACTGCTTCTGTTGGTAATTTGGATGTCTTCTTGGTGCTCTCTCCCTCCTTAACAAAAGGAGCTACGTCAAGCTTGACGGATGGACCAATGCTTAGGTCCCTGTCGTAAAATACGACCTCTCCTACTTCGGAGCTTTGGCCAGGACTTTGGCTTAAAACCTCTAAAAAGTCGAGGCAGTTTTGGTCTGTTCCGACCATCGGAGTTTCCTGCTCGAAACTCATGGCAAAATTTCTCTTGCCTTCTGATTTTCATGCGTTTTTCGTTCCGTATTTATGCAAATTTTTTGCCGCCTGGTACACAGACTGCAAGACTCGAGCGAATTTTATGACACGAATTTTCACCTTGGGCCGGTGTCGCAACTATTTGCGAAGGTTTGTTCCAGAACGCTGTTTACTTTGTCTGTTTTAAAAGAATCAGTTTTGCTAAAATTCCATCATTTCTTGGATGGAAAATTTCACGACTTAAAATTTCTGAAGATG